GAAGAAATTTGAGCAACCAAAATTACCAAGCTTTAGCATTCCAAAACAATCCTCAGTGAGTACAGCATCGAGAAGTAGTTGTAGTACAGACTATCTCGGAGGTGGAGAAGGAGGAGGCACCACACACCCTATCCATATTCCTCTCCCTATTGAAGATGTGGATACCAAACAAAAGGAAAGAAGAAGTAATTTATTGGACTCTATTAAATTATTCGTAAAAGAGAGAAAGGGGATCCATCCATGATCACCGACAACTCTCAACAGATATTCGTGATATTGGACCTCTGAATCGATTTGGACACTCTGTGGTTAATGTGAATGGTGTTGCCTACTTGTACGGAGGAAGACTCAGAAAACCCTATGCTAGTGGACATCCCGACCAAGTGAACCCCTATTCCGATGATTCTGTCTATAGCTACAACTTTAGAACCTCTCAATTCACTCGTCTCAAAATTAAGAGTTCAGAAAAGCCTCATCCACGAATGTTCCACGCCATGGTTGAAATCCCTGAGAATAATTGCTTCTTAATGATGGGTGGACACTCTGCGAACGAAACAATTCTTGATGATGAAGGATTAAGCATGATGATGATGGAAGATTCTCAAAGCAAACCATTAAGCATCACCACCACACCATTGCGATACTTTACCGATTGCTATCTCTTTGATATTTTGAGATCCGAGTGGACCCTTGTGAAACAGAGAGGTCATATTCCACTCTCAGCTGAAACTGAATGCAGATCTCCTTTAGCACTCACTCGAACGAAAGAAGGCAACTTTTTGTGTGTGGTAAAGAATGGATCAGGTAGCTTGGAAGTGTATGAAGGAAAATTGACTTTCTAAAAATGAATGCTCTCTTCTATTTGAAAAACAACGAATTACTAAAATTAATTTACAACTTGTCTACAGGAATTTTTACAACATTTTTCATAATAGTGCTGCCACTCGTAAAGTCACACCATTATACGTGATTCTCCTCTTATTTCTCCCTTATTGGTCGTTTGTCAATGAAATTCTCCATTTATGTTGGACATTTACGAATGTGGTAAAACGAGAGAATGTAAGTCCCATTACTGCTCAATATTCTCCACTGGACTCGCTCAACATCACTTTCATTCATCCGTTCCATGAATTGTTCGGGACTGTCAAGTCAACACAAAAAACAACTAAACACATCTCCTTCTTGTAATTCATCATCAATAATTTTGCACTCCATCATCAATGGCTACCACTACTACACGAATTATAACCCTCGAGGAATTAGCCGAACACAAAGAAGGTCATAAAGATCCTTGGATTTGTATTGATGGTAAAGTATACTCGATAGCCGAATATAAAGATGAGCATCCAGGTGGAGAGGATGTGTTATTTGAGGTAAGTAGATGATGTTCTGACAATCAACCTGGATTAGTTGGATCGCTGATACTTGTACGTTCATCTCAATTAGGTTGCTGGAAAGGATGGCACTGAAGAATTCAATAAAGTTGGACACGGAAGAGATGCCTTCTCTCGAATGAAGGATTTACTAGTGGGAGAATTGAAGCTGTAAAGAGTGTCCGATCCGATCCGATTCATCACACGGTGCACGGACTTTGCATTTCTTGTTTTGCTTGTGGCCACACGAGTCATTTACTAATAAATAATTATTCAGGATCTCGAAAAATTGTTCGTACAAAAATAAGAATCCTCAATGTTCTTACACCACGGAGATAAAAGATACCATCAACAAGCGTCATCATCATCACCGAAACAACACTCCGAATATTAGATTGAATGAAAAGAATTTACTCAATTTGCAGTAGAAGAGTTGGATGTTCATCGTCGTCTATGATTGCATTGCTTGACCAACCTACCACACGATTCAACATCAATCATGCTCATTCACACATCACAATGAATAATAATAATAATATACGGAAATACAACAACTTTATTTCTTCATCAGTTTTGCAACATATTTTCATCAGGAGAGTCAAACAAAATTTTGGAAATGCTTCTCTTTTCCATCCATGGAGTGATTCAAAAAAACAATCTTTTCATTCATCTGTGGTACCACAAACAAATCAGAACAGCTCACATCAAATTCCTGCTGAAATTATAAATATTCATCAAGAGTCACCGAAAACAAAACGATTTACATTAAGAGTCAAAGCATCTTTTTTTACTTTCTATGCAGGGCAATTTATTAATATTTATTTGAATGACATGACAGCTTCATTTTCAATATCTAGTGCTCCAACGATGCTCTCTAATGAAATTGAAATCACCGTTCAGAGAAGTAATCACCCTCTTACACAGTAGGTAAATCTTGAGTTAATAGTGTAACTTTATGACATTTTCAGTTTGCTTCATGATTCAAAAATTGGAGATGTCATCCAAGTTTCAGGACCACAGGGCAATTTTTATTTCAATGTTAGTGATCTACGGTTTGAAAATATCAAACATTTAGTTCTTATTGCTGGTGGCCTTGGTGTCACACCCTTAATATCGATCATGAAATACATTTCTGGAAATATGCTCTATTTCTATCATGTCACATTAATATATTCTGCAAGTACGGTTGATGATTTTTGCTTTGTGAATGATATTTCAAATATTGTCAGCAACTTTCCGAATATCAAGTGTAAACTTTTGGCCTCAACATCTCCAACCAGCTCAATACCACAAGCACTAGAGCCGATATTGACAAGTGACAGAAAAATTGATGTCCATTATTTGAAAAATAATTTGAATGAAGAACAACGAAAAGAGGCAATATTCTTTGTATGTGGTCCAATCAGTATGGTCAAGGATGTTTCAGCAGCTCTTCAAGAATTATCTGTAGACATGGATAGAATATATCATCAATAAATGATGAATTAAGAATACGTCGTTCGAATAAGGAAGAAACCATCAAAATCTAAATTTCGATCGATGGATATAAAAATAGTCTTCAAATAAATAAAAAAAATGAAAAGTACGAAACGATCTTCATCCTCTCTTCAAAGCGTGATCAAGCCTTCCATGATGGTTTCTCCTCCATCTTCATCCTTATCAGACGAGCAGCCCCGAGATGAATCGGAATATTCAATAAATTCAATTACGTTGGATTTGGAAAAATTATGCGAGTCTATACAAACGACTGCCATGTTATTGGCCCGTATCGGAACTGCTGAAGACAGCAAAGAAATACGAACTGAAATTCAACAATTAAAGAAATATACACAAAATGTTATTCAAGACATTGAACACCGATTGATTAATTTGGAAGTAGAAAATCCAGATCAACAATTTTTGAAATTCAAAACTGATTTTAACCGTCTGAAACAATTAAGAGATGAATACTTTAAAAAGAAATTAAAACAATTAGAATTGAAATATCCAAAGACGAATTTGAAAAACAAAAGCATACCAACGAATCCTCTTGTTGCTTTATATAAAAAGCATTGGAAAGAAACACAGAACGCTTTTTGTGACAAGTATGGAATTGATCCAATGGTATTTGCCTCCTGGTTAAGCGGAATTGCCGAAAGCAAAGAATCAGAAAATGCTGTGAGGAAATTTATTGCGTCAAAAGAACAATCAGAACAGAAAAATCCATCTGAAAGAGAAGAATTATTTACAATTTTAAACTCACAAGAAAATTCTTCCATGTATAATAGTGCAGAACAGCAACAGCAAATTGTTTTACAAGATGAATTTATATTTTTACCGTACAAGGTTTGTATGCCAGTGATATTAAGGAACGTATTAGACGCCATTAATTTACATATTTAGGAAGATGAGGATGAATTGCAAGATCTTCGAAATCTGCATAAAGATTTAAGAGATTTATACCAAATTTCGCAAGATCTACACCAAGAAGTCCAAGTACAAGGCGAAAAAGTTGTGCAAGTCCAAAATAATGTAGAAAAAGCAGAGCTTTCTGTGAAACAAGGTACAAGGTATCTACAGGAGGCCAAGAAAATTGGTGCCTTCTCTGCAATAGTTGTTGGAGGAGCAGTGGGTGGCTTGGTGTTAGGTGGGCCCATTGGCGCTGTGGTTGGAATTAAAGCTGGAGCAATACTGGGTGCGTCGGCTGGCGTGGGAGGTTTAATTGTTGGTGCAACATCCGGAGGTTTGATTGGCAAGTTTGCCACTGACATTGGAAACTCTTTGTCTGGTGTTTACTCAAAAGTTACAGCTCCCTTTATGAGCAAGAAAGGTACCAATACAGCAACTAGCGCTTCTTCAACCACCTCCAACAACTAATACGTTTTTGAATCCTTCCGTGTAAATAAGCAAAACAAAAGTTTATTGGAGCATTTGTTGCAGAGCCTGCTTTTGTTTGTCTGTCAAAATCTTTTCCAAGTGAGGCAATACTTGTTGATTAACAGAACATAATTCTTTCATAACTTCAGGCAAAGTTGTTTCTATATCAATGCTATTGATAGGATCTTTGCTTGAAAGAGGATCTTCATCACCTTCATCATCTGAAAAGTCACCACCTCCCTGAGCTAATTGATTCAAATATTCATCTTGTGGCACAAATGGATCTTCATCATCAAAGCCGCCACCTCCATACATCATTCCCTCAAGAGTTGCCTCATTCTTCTCCTCCTCTTTGGCTTCTAAAGCTCGGATATAGGCGTCAATGAGAAGCATAAAAGCATACAACACGAAAGGAACCTGTCTTTCCTTAATCTTTTTGGATCTTGTTCGATATCCAGTGGTTGGTTCTTTCACCTCCATTAAAACATTCACACTTGCTAAACGAGGATCTCCTGTTTGTAAAACCTTTGCAAGAGCAGTGGACGTGACCTTTAATTTGTAAAGGCCAAAAAAGAATTGTTGATTATGTGCCCACTTGCTTAACACACAAGTCAACCCATTCGCATAGTCCTTTAAGTTTGAAATAGATTCAAGTAAGGAAAACATCTTTACAACGTCTTGGTGGTGGAAGAGTTTTGCAAAAATAAACACTATTGATTGAATAAATAGTAAATCATTTGAAATTGAAAGCTTAAGCACACAAGCTTTGATGATTTGTCCAATAATATCTATATTGAGAGCAGTGCTTAGTTTGGCAAAAATTTCAGTCACAAGTTCTCCGACTCCAAAAGCTGCTGAATCACTGAAATTTGGTTGAAGTAATCTAGCTATATACTCTAATAAGAACTGGAATGAAGATACTTGATGTTGTTGGCTTATAAATCGATGTTGCACAATCATTTCCTCTCCAACATGAACAATAGATCTAAGACACTCAGTGATCTTTTGAATCCATGATGGCTCCTCATTAGAAAATCCCAAATTCATCAAACTAGGGTATAGAGTGTTTAACACGGTAAGCATATCCTCTTTTTTAGCATGTACAATAATTGTGTGAGAAAGGTCAAGCAAATTCTCAATAAAATCTGGAGCTGTTGCAGTTGCAGAGCTAATGAATATTTGAGAAATTTTGGGAATTACATTGTTGACAAGTTGGGCTTCCGTTTCTGGAATTTCTGCCAATTTATCAAAAACGTTGATAATATCGCTTGCAATAGTTCTGTCGTTCGAAAATTTGCTTAGCTGGGTTAGCATAATAGAAATAACGGTCTCACTGTGAGGAATAACAACTTGTGGAAGAAACTAAAACCAAGTTAAAATTATCAACAACACAAATTATTGACTTACATTAACAAAAACAGCAATGCTTTCCAATGGAATGTACATGGGCTCTTCTCCAATATCATTCACTAGTTTGCACATGCTTGCCAAAATGCCATGTAAAAGTTCGTCTCTACTTGCTCCAAATGATGATAGCAAAGAATCTAATAGAGGTTTTTCTAAACAAAAAACTCGAGCTGTAGCTTGACATGAGTACAATCTAATTGGTATAGGCTGATTCTCTGCCATATGGTTCACATAAGTAATAAATAATTGCTTGATCATATCCAAATTGACCGTGAACAATTTTGGATTTGAAATTTGATTCAAAAAGTAGCTTGAGCATTGAATAGCTCTGGATTTCAAAAATGGTAAATGCTCTGAGGAAACATTCAAGTCGTTATCAAGTAGTTGAGAAATCAAAGAAACGAGGTCAAAAACTTTTGGATTGTCTTCTATGTGATCTCTAAACTCAGTAAAGCTAGAAATAGTCATTAGAGAAGCTTCTCTCAACTTCCACCAGGTACTACTGTTAGGGTTTTGAATATATAAAGATTGAGACTCTTGCATTCTCTTGTTGTAAGCATCTAACAAACTCTCAATGCCTAGAGTGTCATAGGTCTCATTAAAATCCTCAAGCAATTTCAGACATGATGTTCGAATGCTATAACTAGAGAATTGATTATCTTCTTCCGATACAAATTGTTCAGGATTGTCTTCCCATAACTCCATCAAATGCTGAGGTAATTGGCAATATCCTAAAAGTAAATAAGTTAATTGAGCCAAATTATTTTTGTTGGATGACAGTATCTTGGAAAGTTGACGACTGCATACAATAGTAGCCAACAACTCGATTTGCTGGCAAATAACTGTTGTAAAGTTGATGCTTTCTCCTTCGGTGTCAAACCTTTCAGCAATCTGGCTTGTCGCAATTCCACTTTCATTTGGTGAAAGGATTGCATGTTTAAAATAAATTTCATATTCACTACTCAAGGAAGTACAAGTAGATTGCAACACGTGAATAACAGCGTCTTGTAAACTTTTTCCAAATTCTTTCACCAATATGTTCATCGTTTTTACGCATTCCATCTTAAAGGAACAATCTGAGTTTACATTTGTAATTGGATTGGAAATTTCTCCCAGAATTAAATTCAAAGTTTGCCCAATAACTGATGACAACATCTTTTTTGATTCTTCTATGAGTTTCTCATCTATTTTGGAATCATCTTGAGTGTTATCATCTTCATTGACATCTTCGCTTTCGTGATCTCCATCATTTACATACTCAAACTCATCATCTGCTTCATCACTTGGGTCGCCTGCAACCATTGCAATTAAATAGAACATTTCAGAGCAAACAGTCAATGCCTTTGCTCGAATGAGATCAGGAAGTTGAGTATTAGAAGCTACATTGAGCATATATGGCACAAGTACTGGAAACACAAATACTGTATGCTTATCAGAAAAATGTTGTGCGACTAACGACAAACATTTTAGTGAGCCTAAGGATTGAGCATAATGATGATGATTCACTAGACCACTTTCATAAATATTAATTAATATTTGAATTAAATCTCCCCATTCTTCAGGAAATTCATGCTCTGCAACCTCGGCAATACTCATTCCGAATGCAGTGTTGATTTTTGAAAGAAATGATGGTGGGACTTCAACTTCCAAATCACTTGCCATAAGTCCCAAAGGTAAAGCATCTTTGAATTGCTTTTTCAATTGTGGAGATTGAATGTTATTCCAGTGGGATTTAATATATCCCTTCAATAGAACAGCAGCTAATTGTCTAATTGCAGGACTGATGATAACACTCTTCAATTGTTGTTCTTGTTCAATTAATTGATAGAGAGGAAAATGAATAGAAATATTGATGAAATTATCTCCTTGATTGATGCAAAAATTATTCCTAAAAGGCAAATAGGCATACAGTGAAACATGAAGTAGCAATACCCCATAATATGGACATCGTCCTGGAAATGATATCAATTCACTTTCTGCTTCTCTTACTTGCTGCGGAGAGCTTCCGACTCCTCCTCCCAGCTTAAACAAGCATTGCACAAGTGTTGAAAACTCTCTTTGCAACTCTTCAAGTGATGAAGGAACCACCGCTCCCTGCATGGATGATGATGGTTGCCCGTGCAAAGAGGGAGATCCAATAGAAGAGCCTGATAGCATCTTCGAATTTTTTTTTGAGTTCAAGGAACATTTAATGGGTAAAGTTTATTGGAAGAAGATGACTCATGGTTCAGACTTTAGAGACTAACTTGATTCTTGCACTTTCTCGAGTTGGTCACTTCCTTCACGAAGGAGAAACATCTTGGATTCACCATTCATAAAGAGTTCACCTTGAGTCAATTCCTTTAACACCCCCTTCATGATTCAATTGAAATGGTGAGCAAGCTTTCATGTCAATACAAATTCACTCAGTTAATACTTACATGATGCGTGATAAGAGCAATACATGTTTCCTCTCTTTCATGAAGCCGTTGAATCGATTTTTGTACTCTTTCTTTTAAATTGTGTTTTGGATAAAACCAATGATGTGTTTCTTGATACATGTGAATGTCATCCAAAACGAATAATTCATTTCCATAAATTTCACACAATTCTTGGATATCAATTCCTGTGTCACAAAGCAGAATTCCAGCATTTTCCTCTTGAAGTAATGGTTGTAAAACAATCGTTGTATTTCCTTTTCTTTTTGCAATGCATTCAGTCATGTTTATAAATTTTTCACAACTCATGGATTCATTTTCACATCGAGAATGTAATGCATAAAGACAAGTTTGAATAGTTCTTTGCAAGGGTGAAACTGCAATAAGTGAAGGAACATGCTCATGAATTGCCACTTGTTTTGCTTGATCGATTCCCTTCGGAGTGAGAAGAGGATCTCTGATTTTTTCTCTCTCTTCCCATGGAATGGATTCCAAATTATGTGTTGCTTGTCCGTGCCGAACAAGAATGATTGTTTTTGTGTTGTTGTTGTTTTGATTTGAAGTATTCATGTTGTTTTGTTTCACAAACTGTTGGTCAGATAAAAAGTGATTTTTTTTAATATTTTGAACGTTTGTGAAATCACCGTTCCAAGTTGAATGCTTTGCTGGTTTTGTGAATGAAAAGTCTTGTTTCTTTGCTTTGGGCGATCAAAATGTGATGTACACTCACCACTGTTCATAGGTCCTATGAATGAGCGGATAAAAGAGATGGTCAAAAAAAAAAATAGCCTTTTTCTTTGCGACTCATATTTCTTCTTGGTCGTCCCTTGATTTAAGTGAAGTTAATCGTCTCGTTCGGTGGTTGTTGTTGTCAACACTGTTGGTAGCTCTGCTGTTTCTTGTCACCGTGTGCTCTCCGTTATTCGTGTGGGCCTCTCACATGCAACACCAGCTTTAGGATGGAACACTTGGAATACCTTCGGATGTGATATTAGTGAAAGCTTGATTATTATTATTATTTTCATGGTAAGTGTTTAAGAATTGTTTTCATTTCAACCATTGAGGAATATTCGACTTCAATGAATGCACGGCTATACACCGCCATCACCATTGAATGTTCAATGACTGTCATATGGCAATGATCAAACCATGGTTGTGGACATATGTGATCTGTGACCACTCTCACACACCACATACAACCTGTCTGACTCACAGGAAATGGGCTCCACCAATTTCAATCATGTGGCGCATCACACATGACATTTTTCCAATCTATCGATGGATGATTCACATCATTGGCGTTATGAGTTCCTTGTACGAGTAAAGTGCTCCTTTTTCATTCAATGATCCTGATATGCTCGAAGTGGGTGTGAATTGGACACTTCCCCTAACATCCATTGTTCAAAGATTAAGTGAAAAGGAATCAAAGGCACACTTTTTCCTTGTGGTCCATCTTGAATGCACCTCTAATTCTTGGAAATGATATTCTCAATATGCCTCCATGGGTGTATTCCATTATTTCGAATAAGGATGCTCTTGCAGTGAATCAAGATTCAAACATTGTGCAAGGAAGACTAGTAGAAACCATTCAAGAAAATACTTTGGATGGTTTTTGTTATTCATTACCAGGTTTTTATTGCAAATACATCCAAGTGTATGTGAAACTATTGAGTAGAGAAAAATTTGCTGTTGTTTTATTCAAAAGAGGAAAGAGTACATGAGAATTGAGTGGGAAAAACATTTGAAAGTGGACTCGAATCGAACCTTCTTTGTACGGGATGTTTAGCAAGAACGTGAGGTGGGAGAATTTAAGGGAAATTTTATGACCCCATTTCCTGTGGAGCCTCATGACGCTCAAATGTTCATCTTGTCTCCTTCCAAGAGGTAAACTCACGATCGCATTCTCATGTTTGTGAGTACCTGAGCTCAAGTACATCTTCAGGATCCATTCTGAATATTTTTATCTTGAAACTTTTTAAAAAAATTAAAAACACACATCATCATGGTTTTGTATCGATATGGCGGTTTGGCACGAGCAGGAAAAGTCAAAGCTCAAACACCTCGTGTACCAAAAGATGAATCGTCTACCACACACAAGTACAATGGAGGAAGAAATAAGTTGAAACAACGATCCAAGAATAATAGAAAATATAAGAGCGGAGCAAATCGTTTAGAAGCTCTTGAAAATCCATCACCGAATACAGATACTGACCTCTCAATCTCTTCCGATCAGAATGGTCATTATATGCAACAAGCTCCACATTACTTATCTAATAGTTTGCATAAATTTAATACTATTGATGGATTGAATCGTTTGGAATTCAAATGGGCAATCATTCGCAACAAGAGATTACACCTTAAAGCAGAAGCCTATTACGATCGAAACAACAAAAATCATAAAAAATGGCATAGAAATCATCCTCGAGATGGCTTCTATCAATTCAGACATGTTTTTGAAAATGATGAAGAGTATACAAGTGAAGAAGAGAATTATATTGAAGAGGTGGATGACAGCAATGGTTTTGAACTTAATCAGCAATAGGAACATCTTGAGAGGTTTAAAGAATGTCAATAAGTTATTAGAAATCACAAGTTGAGAGGGCCATCTACGGTGACTTTTAGCATTAAGCAATTACTTGACCTTTCGGACCCTCAATCACCCTTCTTTGGACCCTCAATCACCCTTCTTTGGACTTGCACTAACTAATTAGATTGATAACTACTGAGGGAGATGCAGCCCTGTTATCTCTTAATGAATAAACACTGAAGCAAAGCAAGTATACAACAATCGTGTTGGTCTTCAAGCTTCCTCGAGCGAACTTCTTCATCCCTCAACTTATCATTACCCAAAATAATTCCATAGATACTCTCCTTTTTCATTCACAGACTCATCACTGATGCATCTCAAGTCAAATGCAGATTTCGAACCGCAGCTATTTTCCGTACGCACACCATAGTACTGTCTTTTTTCTCTACCACGCAATTCCGTAATCCATATTGTGCAGCGATCCTACTTCTAAAAATGTAACGAGGCATTAAAAAATCTCAAAAAGGCATACTTAATGCAAACGGGATTCTTTAATAATTCGTTGAAAGAAGAAGAACCTCGTTCTGGCCGGATTGATGGGCGTTGATTCTTCCCTTTTCTCTCACAAAATTTTAACCAAAAGAAAAAACAACAAGAGCTGCCCTGTTGATACTAGTAGCGACAAAATTTGTTGAACCCCCAAACTACTAATCTCCCCTTTGAGTGTTGTATTTTTCAGACCATTGAATCCTTCCACGTGAATATTCTTATTGTTGTTTTCATCACGGCTGTGATTCTCTCTCTTGTGGACCAGACCTATCCTCACATCCTTTCTTCTCATCATCATCATCATGAAACAAATTAATGAATTGGTCAACTTCAGTGCCCAGTTTTCGTCTCCAAACCTTTCATCAGGCCATCCTGTTGAGTCAAATTTTAATCATCATCATCATGGAAATTCTTCCTATGGGCCAACAAACAGCAGATTGATTGCTCATCATCATTCAACCTGTGCGAGTAGTAGCAGTAGTAGCAGCGGTATGAGCACTCACGGATTGTCCAACAACACTTCCACTGTAAATATTCCTCAAAGTTTATTAGCTCCAAAAAGACAACGAAGATCAACCGATCATTCTAAAATTGTGGTAAAGCGTTACGGAAAGAACGCCTCCACATCTAGCAATAATGGTGCAGTGATGGCTCATTTCAAATCACTCTCCTACAAACCACAAAAGAGATTGAGAAAGAAGAAGAAGGCTGACCCAAAGCTTGTAGATTTTCTCTGGAGACAAATTGAATCAGCAGATATTCATGCTGTGTCTGTTTTACAAAACAATAATAATACTGACTCTAGTGAATCATCATCACCAAATTCTACATTGACGGAATGGTGTTGCGATACGAATCGATTTCACTCTTATCATCACCACCACACTTGTCCATTTCATAGAAAGAATCCTTCCAAAAAAGATTCTTTCTCTTTGACTGGCGTTGTTGGAAATGGATGCGAAGAAGATGGAGTGCCTCGAATTGAAAAGAACCGAGTGGTAAGAACTTCAATTTCCATCAGAGAATTACTCTTGTAAATTTACAGCGTCATGCAGACGTGAAGAAACTTCAAACTAATGGCACTGTTGCTGATGTGACATTTCATCATGCAAGCTCAATAGTTTCTGCAAGAATTACACTTGTTGGAGGGTCAACGAGTTGAATTTATAAGAACTGATGTCCACAGAAATGACACATTCAAAATGTGACCTCTTGATAGAAGTCCTGCATACAATGTGTTTTTGTAATTCTCAGTAAAAATGTTGCTAAAAGTAACTAAAAAAAGAATAATTTAGTTTTTCTTGCAATGGAAGCTCAATGTCCTTCCAATCCCTCCAAAAACTGTAAAGGCCTTCTTGAAGATGAACTCTGTTTTAAACCTGCTTTGCAGACTTCATATCGAAAATTCAGACCTACTTCCAGAAGATACTTCGTTTGCATCGCTGATTAGAAGATGAACACAAACTAAAGTCACACTTATTTCCAGAGTCATGGAAGCAGTCGAGATAGGGTTATCGAAACTCCAAAAGGAGAGTATACATAATATTCTGAGGTTGACAAAGAAAGAGTAGATTGTCCTGGGAATATTTCTTTCGATTTCACAAAAACAAAAACAAAAAATATTTGCATTAGCCGGGAGTCGAACCCGGGTCACCAGCTTGGAAGGCTGGTATGATACCGTTACACTACTAATGCTTCTTTATCTCTTGATTATTTGTTGTAACTGTTTAAAGTAGTGTATGAATGTTGTTTGATCAAGACGTTGTATCATCAATGATTGGTAGTCGTTGTAAAGAAATGGATAACAAATGAAAAAGTAGTTTCTAGATAAATAAAATTATCAGTTTAAAGGTCCTGACTGGATAGTTGTTTGATTATCAAAACGATAATCCCTCTTCGCGTATATTTGTCTGCATAATGGGCATTTAGGCTGAGTTGACGTTTCATTGAATTTCTCAAATGATTGCAAACACTTGCCATGAAAAACGTGACCACAACTTGTGATAACACAATTTCGTTCATGTAAATGGCAAAGACAGATAGGACATTCTTCATCTTGGTCCTTGTCCAGTTTCGTTTCAACTCTTCTCCATTCCTCGTCATGCATGTTAATTAAAAGCAAACTTTGCTTAACTTGATCATCTATGTTTCTTAAAAAGTTGTCCACCTGTTTTTCATCTTGTTGAATAGTTTCTTCAAGCCTCGAGTTGAGGGAGGACAATTTAGACAAAACAAACTCTCGGTGTCGATCAGGAAATTTTTCAAAATACACCTTTCTGAACTTTTTTCTTGCAAATGCTCCTCGCAATAAAGCCTGGATGGTTTGGGCATTCCAATTTCTGAGAAAGCTTAAATGTAAAGTGGTATTTTTGCGCTGATAGTCATCTAATCGACACATTGGGCAAGTTCTCTTCCTCCAACTGTTGCATCTTTCAAAGCCTTTAAGACAGTTTTCATGAAACATGTGGCCACAATTTGTCACGCACACAGAATCGCGAAAATTAAACCATTCCATGCAAATAGGGCAACCATCTTCGATGAGAGAAATCCTATTAGTAACGATCATTCTTTCAATTGATCGCCACTCCATATCATTTAATGGTTTTGGAGGTGGTTGCCTAAGGCCCATCTTTTGAGCTAACGTTGGCTTTCGTTTTGTAGGATCTTGCTCGAACTTTTTTTTCTTCTCCGACAATAGCCCATTGCTATTCAATACATCCAAAAATTCTTGTTGAAAAGCAACAGCAGTCCATAATTTTTCATTTTGCTTGTATGGTTTATCCAGCTCTTCCATAACACCTCGTCCTTTAACTGGTTTTGATAAAGAATGTTGAGTTGTTGTTCCTTTTGAAATTAGTGATCCCACGTTGTTTTTATGACGATGGTGAGCACCACCCAATGAAGTGTTTTTTTTCATTTGTGAGTGCATGGTGTTGTAGAGTTGAAGCGGGTTTTCATCATCTTTTAACTGAAACAATTCCGTCCTGTGATGATTGCCAATCCATTAATGGATTAATCCGGTATTATTTTTATTAAAGACAAAAAATGCTTACCACAGCTACTGGCTCAAAGAACGTACGGCTCCGAGAACAATTCGAACAGGAGCAGAAAGCCTTTAACCAAGCTGGTGATTTGGAAGAAGAAAGCGCTAGCAAAAAATCAAAAAGCGTGAAACCAATCATTATGTATCGGCCAGGTAGGTGATTTATTTTGTAAAAAGTGTGCTGATCATCATCTTATTTCTTCTCATTTAATTATTATTTAATTATTAATTTTCACTATAGGCCAAAACCAATTAGACTTGTATAAGCCTGGAAAATCAGTCCGTATTTTTATTCCTGCAAAATATTTATTATCAGAAAATAATGTGAAAGACCGAAAGATATTCGGTACGGATATTTACAGTGACAATAGTGATATTATTCTCGCTTGCCAACATGTTGGGTTATTACAAGATTTACCATTAAGCAATTGCAAAGGAATTCTTGTTACAGTTCTGATCGAAAAGCCACCAAGGTAGGTTAACCACCTCATTCCACATAGCTCATTTGAATTGATTCTTTTAAAACTACACAGAAAATATGAAGCCTCCTTCCGAAACAATGTCCGTTCGAGAGCATGGACTAATATCTCCGATACTGACTCCAATGCATTCAAAATTCAAGATGTAAAAGTAATAGCAGATGAAACTAGTTTTCTCACTAAACAAACACCAGTGGACAAATCTAACTTTAGTTATGGAATTGAGCAACACAGATTTCTGTCAAATGTTACAATTGTTTTTGGTTTGACATGTGATCCTGCAGTGAAATATACAATTAACTCTGTTTCAGATAGAGGATACAACAATGGAGATTTAACTAGTGCTCGTTTAAAGAATGATGAGATTTTGATACTTGAAACTGAAAATTCCAAACATGAACTCAAATATGACAAAACAACAAAGAAATATGTATGGTCAACCATTTCAGAAGATAAGGGAACCTTAGTATCAGAACCCAAGATATCTGATTTAGATTGGCAAGAAATTAAATGGGGCCATGAATCAGTCATTGTCAGAGATAACGAGTATAAATTGACTCTTACATTCTTTCAAAAACAATGATTGACCAGTAAAAACTCGAATTCATTCTTCGTTTTTGCTCCTCTTATTTAGATGACTTTTGCCTGCAGCTATTTTAAGATGAGTTCCTTCAAAGAAAAAATTATTGACAATCAATAGCAGCAGTTTTGAAGGTTTTTTAGATTCAAATGGATCAAAGCATTGAACAATTCAAGATCATCACGAACATTGATGACGATAATGTAGCGAAATTTTATTTGGAAAGCGCCCATGGAAACCTTGAAACAGCTATATCGAATTACTTTCAATCCGGAGGAGTTTCATCAAATGTGATGCACGATGATGATGATCAACAGATGCATGCTGGTTTTACTCCGATTTCATCATCATCAAGCAATCCATCACAAGGTGGTGGAAGAACACTTGGAGGAAGTACCACAGGTGGCCTATCATCAGTTCCTCCTCCAAAGTCAAGCGATCAACCCATTTCTAGCAGCAAAAAGCCAACTTCAAAGAAATTTGCAAGCCTTAGAGATTTGCAAAGTGATGAACAACCATCAAATCCAAAGGACAATAGATACTATGCAGGAGGAAGCAGAAACTCTGGTCAACAAATCATAGGAGCTAATGACGATGAAGATGATGACGATGAAGAAAATCACTTTGCTGACAAGATCTTCAAATCTGCTCAAAAACAAGGAGCTAAATCAGCTTCCGAATACGAAGAAGAGATGAGACGCAATCAACCAAAATTTGCAGGAAGTGGAAGAAGATTGGGTAACACTGACAATTCATCTGTCGTCATACCAGGCGAAAAGAAACCAGAAGAAAAGGTTGTTACCATCGTATTTTGGAGTGATGGATTTACTGTTGATGATGGTGAATTGAGACCCTACGATGCACCTGAAAATAGAGAATTTTTGCAATCCATCGATAAAGGAGTTGCTCCAAGAGAGCTGTATACCAGTGGAGCAGATATTGTGGTAAATTTGTTGAACAAGAAGACAGAAAAATGGTCAGAACAACCAAAACAATTCAAAGCGTTTGTTGGATCTGGAAGATCTTTGGCTTCAAGCTCATCCTCAGCCAGTAGTTCATCCTCGGTCATGAGTACCCCATCTAATTACAAGTTTGAATTGGATCCTAACAAACCAACGACCACTTTGCAGATCAGACTGGCCGATGGAGGTCGTTTAGTTGGAAAATTTAACCTTACACATACCATTAGAGACGTTAAGGAGTATATCAAGAGCCAAAAACCTTCTTCTGCATTTGATATCATGACACAATTTCCTAACAAGGTCCTCACAGAAGACAATTCAACTATCGAAGAAGCTGGTTTGAAAGGTGCGACGATCATTCAAAAACTAAAGTAATGGCCTGAATTGCAAGTTGTATTTTATTTCTTCTTCTTAGTTTTGTTAGAAGGGTTTGTGGAAGCTTCACCTCCAATCGCCCTAACTGTGGCGTTTTTCATTTCTGGGTTCTTGTCAATTTGTTCTTGAGTTTGAAAATGCATCATCATGTCGTGTAGCTGTTCTTGCAGGTCTCTTATCTGAGCGTCTTTCTTTTCGATTATCTTTTTGTGGGCTTCCTCAAGTTTTTCAATCTTAATTTCATACTGTTTTTGGTTGTTAATTAATGTTTTGTTTAACTCCTTGAGAAAGTCGGTCTCTTCTTTTTCTTTCTCTACCTTTTTCTGTGTTTTTTGTACTTTGTTATTCATCTTTTGAGTATTTTGGCGATACGTTTGTAATTCATTCAACAAGCTTTCTATTTGCTTGTCTTTTTCGCTTGCAATTGCAGAGATCCTAGACTCGAAATACACTCTCTGGCTTGTTAATTGCTGTGTCAGTAATTGGTTATATTCCATCAAAAATGAATCTAGCTTTGAGTTGTATTGAGCTTCAAGCATTTCACTTGCTTCCCTAATTGCCTCCTTTTGATTGGGATGTGAAATTTCAATTAATTTTCCTTCTGTATTTCCTGCAACTAATCGATGAACGTATCCATCACCAGTATAATCCCAAACACGTTGTGAGTCAGCCTCCATGGAGTATGTATGATTTGTTTGAAGATAATGCTCCATGGCATGCCCTTTTTCATATCTACCACATCCAACATATCCACAAGTGAGGCATACCCACAAATTTGATGTGCATGCACACTCTGCACATTGTAATTCAGTTTTCATCTGATCAGTGTATCGGCATACTGGGCAATTTCCATCACCCCATTTCGTAAGACAATCACAGTGGAATTGATGATTGCATACAGTTGTAATAATACCACTAGCACCTGAATCAAGTCTATCAAGACAAACAGGACATGTTGGTAATTCATATCTCTTCTCTGGTTCAGTTTCATTGCTAGTTTCATTATTAGTGTGACAGTGAAAATCATTATGAAGTTGAGGATCGTTGCAACTTCCAATATTGAAAATATCTGTCACTGTGCTTTGTGAAGTACTTTCCAAATGTTTTCCAATCATTGAAGGTCGATTGGTAAATTCAACACTTTTTACAAACACTATTTTACAGTCTTCAGGGTCTAATGAATTGAATGGTCTTCCGTTATATTGCAAAAAGAAAGAATCTGCATTTTTCTGATCATCGAATTGCAGAATGACCATGTACTTGTTTGGCGATTCATCTCTGAGTATTCTTGTTTTCAAAATATTCGATTTAAAGCAGTCAATAAATTCAAAAAAGTCTGTAGTGGATATAAAGGAAGGTACTGCCAGCACACAAACCAAAGTACTTCTTTGTTCTGGCAATTCATCCGAAGAATAAAAAAGTTCATCTTCTCCTCTACCTTCTTCTTCTGAAATGGATGAAAAATTAGATGAAATAGTTGAGGTATTATTACCACTATGGTTGAGATGAAGGCCTGAAGAGGGAACTTGAAGAGATGATGATACAGAAGGTGGATCCACAATGGTTGCATCCATCATGCCATTCAATAAAGGAGTCTGAATGGTATTTACACAACATGTTGTTGAATTATTAGTTTTCTTCTCTGGAATGGTACCGTTGCCACTGTACAATTCATCATCCAAACCTAAATTGTCATTCACTGCATTTGTAAAACTTCTTGGTGTTCCATGTTTGTACAATTTGATGATTCCAGTTATAATTTCAACACTAGGATTACCTGATGAGAAGAAGACATGCTTTGGAGTAAAATAATCTTCAATGAGTTCTTCCTCTTTTGAGAGAAGATTATGGTTTGAGGAAACAAGTTGTGATTCTGTCCTCGGATCTTCCATTAGAGAGTGAGAATTACCATTGCTTGTACTCTTTTTGTTCTTTTTCTTTTTCTTCTTTCCGTCCGATATTGAATGTTGATGTGATTGGCTCAACATGTTTTGATCCGAATGATAAGTGGTATTGTGATGATTGAGTGTATCTAAAATGGTGGTCTTGTGATTCCGAAGCAAATCAATGTGTTTTAAAACTCGTTTAAAGTATGGTTTATAGTGTTTAATATTCTCCAAGAGTCGACGTTCGACTTCCGAATCTATTTGTATTTCGATCGAAAACATGCAACGGTTTTCCGACAAGTAGTGCAGGTGTCGTTGGAGAGGAGGAGAAGAGGCTCTTCCGTATTGACGCGTTTCACAAATTTTTTGAGTTGTTGAACCTCTTCAGTCATGATTGCATCCTCTATTTATAAAAACAGTTCATCACTCGTCTGATTCTCCTGTGTGATATGTCGCACGCATTAGTGAGCACTCACTCCTTGTGGTGACTCCTTGTCATGAAGACTCCCTGATGTCTCGTTCGTTTTGCGTTTAGTGCTTTTATGTTTTTCCTTATCGACACTCGCAATACATCCATCAAGAATCAAAAATGCAACAATGCACAAGACAAATGAAAGGACCAACAAAAACTGAATGGTGACAATGGAGAGAACAATTCCAAAGGCAAATCCTACAGCAGTGGAGATGGACTGAACAAATCTGAAAGCAGAAAATGCCTCACTTGTATGTTTCTGATTGAAATAAGGATACATTTCATGCATTTTGACATTCCTTAATTTCGATTGTGAACTTACCTTCTTATAGTAATTTCTACTTCCCAAGATGGAATAGATTGAATTCGTCAGGAATGCATCAGCTCCACCGAAAACTCCCATTGTAACAAAAAACAGTACGTAAACCTCTGTTGGAGGCTCCGTTTCATTATTCTTGAGAGAATATCGTCCCCAATAAACCATTTGAAATGACAATGCAATACCAATCGCGTGGATGACCATAGACATCACCATACTTGTTCTTCGTCCAATAAAATCATTCAACTTTCCAGAAATTAATGCACACAGAACCTGCATGACTCCGAAGCAAATCATAACCCATCCGATTCTTGTTTTTCCAATAATTGGAGGAAGAGATCCATAAAAGAATGATGCTGAAAACCCAGAGTAAATACTAATGAGAGAGAAGATGAGCATCTTTTTGGAAAACAAAACGAAAACGCTTCCTTTAACCAGCTTCAAAAATTCAATTCCTTGGCTCTTCACAAATTCAATTTTCTTTGAAATACTCGGTGAGGTATTTTCATTCATTGAGGATGATTCAGCCTCAGTAGTATTCGAGCATGGAGATGTCAGCTTCAAAGATTGAATAGTAAATAAAGAAATCATTCCAACCACACATAAACATCCTAGAATAAAGAAGATTGAAAAGTTCGAAAATCCAGCAGAAATTAGAGAACCAGCCAATAAATTTCCAGCAATAAAATTCATTTGATAAATTCCAAAGAAAATTCCGCTATACACGCCCATTAATTCAACAGAGCGTGGGACACTTTGTGTGGTTTGTTCATTCGAGTGAGTTTTACTACCATCATGCGTGTTAGGATGTGTATTGAATTCATTCTCTATCAGGTCTTCATCGTTATTCAATTTAATCTCAACCATTTCGGTGTCTTCCTCTGTAAAGGAGTGAGAAATGTTGCTATTATTGTTAGAATCTTCTTTTTCATGTGGTTGAAATTTTCCACTCACTTCAGTTGTGCTTGGTGTCACTAATTTTTCAGCTTTTTTAATCTGCTGAGAGTAATTTGCAGATAATGTCAGTAAACTTCCTTGACTGGTCCATAGTAGGGCAGCACAAAAACCATTGTATGCAGCAGCCACATATAATAGAGCAGAGCTCTCAATAGCTGCGGAGAACACAAACAAAATATATCCTGAACTTCCAATAATGATAGTTGTTTTTTCTCCCACTAAGGTGCAAAACGAAGGAGAAACAAAACTTGCAAAAGCAAATGCCGTATATAAAACAAATAAAGCAATAAATCCCTCTTCTTCTCTGATGGTAGTTAAAAAGTTTTGAGTTGTTTCATACGAACAAAACAACAAGAAGAAAGAAAATCCAAGGTTAAATACATTGAACAATCCCTTATCGAGAAATGAAGACTTGGACAACCTAGAACACAGTGAGAGAAAGAAATTAGTAGACACGCGAAACGGACAATGCGTAAATTGCTCATTTAACTTGTGTTTCTTTGTGGGAGAGTCGAAGGAAGGAGAGTGGTTGTGGGCATTGTTATCTTGGATAATATCCATTTTGATAACCTCGGGTTCAAAAGAAACAGTAAAAGAAGCATCATGAGGGTCTGTATTGGAACTATTCGAAGAATCGTTGACTAGTTGTTCGTGATGTTGCTGATGTTCCGTTAATTGCATTTTCATGATGGAGTGAGCTGGAGCGTTGGCAGTGCTATCTCCTGGTGTGTGTTCCAACTCGTGCATTTTTTTGAGTTGGTTTTGTCCAAAACGGACCAAACTTTAAAACAAGTAAAAAAGTGTTAGCGTCACACTTTACCAGACAAATTTTGAGTTAAACTTGCATGTTTCTGAACCAAGAATCTTTAGATTTTTTTGCCACTTCGCCGTTTCCAATAACCAAAACGAACCTTATATGCAAAAATATTTCGCCCACCGTGGGGCTCGAACCCACGACCACAAGATTAAGAGTCTTGCGCTCTACCGACTGAGCTAGACGGGCGCACGTTGTATTTAAAATCAAAAACATTAACAACAATCTTCTGCGAAATGTAAAAATAGTTGTTTTTGCGAATTGAACGAACTTGCGAAACAAGTTACAAAAAAATTCCTCCATGCTCAAGAACACAAGTGTGAAGCACTCTTTTGGAACGAACTGATTTCTGCCAGCTGTGCATTTTCTTGTTCTCTTGTTTTAATTTTTGTAATTCTTGCATAGATTGGTATATTCCCCTCCATCAATCCTTCTCATTCATGATTCCATCTAACCTGTTCAACCAAACCACTCCCTTTCCTGGTACAATTCCTTCTTCCGATCATCATGGCTATTCTCCTTCCTTCTTTCAACCTTCACCTCCTTCTCTACTAGATCAACCACAAAATTGTAAAAGAAAACGTGACGCTTATGAGTCATCCTCACCTTCTCATTACTATTCATCATACAATACTCATGAAGACTATGATGTTCTGTCAAACTCGGATAGTGATTATGCTGACGATGATGAAGAATTATCATCATCAGCAAATACAAAAACAATAACACCATTATCGGAAACTAAATTGGAGCATCCAGATCGGAAACGAGTGAAAGGCTTCAATAACCAAACTTCCAACTCTTCTGCCCATCATCACTTCAACAACGGAGACCCTTCAAACAAGTACCTCTTTACTCCTCCTCCCCAAACACTCTTTTATAATCAAATCTCACCCAATGAGAGTGGGGCCCTTGCTCAGTTCAACTCCATGAATATTGATGATGAAATGGGTGATGAAGGGGCTGCAACGTCGTTCGTTAACGAAGGGCAAGACGAAAGCATTCTTTCAGAAGCTATTGACTTCTCAAATCCTTATGTTGTTCAGCAATTCGAATACAAACGAAGACAAATGTACAATCACAAGCTTAGACAAGCTCAAGAAGAGAAACTTCGAGAAAGAGAGCTTATTTCTGCTCTCCAAAAAGGTGAAACAAACTTTAAACTTAATCCCGTGCTGAAATCACTCCATGACCAACGTCAATATAACAGATCACCAAGAATAAATACCTCTAGCCCGTTCTACTGAACACTAAAACCAAGCTTGAAATAAGGTGAACTCGAGTTTTACTTCCCTTTTTATTAATGTTTGAATTTTGAGCAAGGTGGCACCTTGTTTTTTAGACCTTCATGACAGCAAAATTCACTCATTTACTTGATAATTTCACCTAAAATGTTCTTCAACAATGATAAATTTATGGTCTTTCCATAACTTCGTTGTGATGCTTGGTAGCCTTTGCCCACACATACAGGGTTGAGTAAACTAACAAGGCTGGGCCAGCATCGACAAGCAATCTTCTAGTTCTGACCCACAATCTCTTTGGCAATCCGTCAAAGAAATGTTTGAAAACATGTTGTTGATTTGGTGAAACGTGTCTATGGACTCTTCCCTTCAACATCTAATTAATTTTGATACAAACATGTTCGGAGAAGCGCAATTCAATATCATCCAAAAAGTAATTTCGGCGGTTGTTGGTAAGAGTATCCAATCATCATCATTGAAAATTCAGTCATCCACAGCAATTTTTGAATCATCCAATAAAGAATTATCAATTTTCAAAAACATTGATATTGACAAAATCAATGTATAGAAAGAGTATTCAATATTGTCATCATTCCAGTTTGTTGTTTTTTAGCAAGAATACCAAAACGTGATGGTGGCCATATTGCAATGGTTTGTTCCGTTGTTGATGATAGTCAGATGGAGAGGAGGGAAACAACACCTACCTTCGTTATGAATTTTTTTGGACTTTTACAACATTGACTAGCTTGCTCCAACAATACTTATGATGAGAGAGCACTGGATAGACAATCAATCCGAATGAAAGCATGAAAGGGAACAATAATAACATTTCATTGAAAATTATTGTGAAGAGAAGCATTGATTTTGAGATGATAAACAACAACAAACAAAAAAATGGTACGGCTGCGCATGGGCGAAAAAGCCTCTCGTTTCACTCTTTTGGCCCTATTTTCGAGCATGTTAGTGGCCAATTTGTATGTGATGGGAAGAGCCATCTCAGGAAATCCAATCCGTAGGTTTGATTCAAATTTTGGAATTTACACAACTTCCGATTTGTTTCTCATAAAATAGGAATTGAAGGTTTTGAAACAAAAGAAGAGGGAAGAAAGACATTTGAAAAACTCTATCAAATCGACAGCTATGAAAAAGTGAAGCAAGAATTTATGGACTCTGTAAACTCATCTCCCAAATCACATGTTAAAGATGAATCTACGAAAAGAAAGACAACAAATACTGCAGAACGGAATCAAAACACAAAACCACCTGTAGAGGACGAAGAGTCTTTCTACATCAAGATTAAGAAATAGAACAAAATTGAGTGTGATTTTTGGACGAATAACTATGGCATCTACAAATCATGAATGAGATTTGAGAGGACTGTTTTATAGGTTCGAGGACAATATGCTGAGCATTCTTGCTCGAAAACATCTCGCCAACAACATCTCATCAACAGTAAACTGTCAGGTCATCTCAAAGCAAGACTGAATTTCACCTTAGAAATATGTTTTAGGCGAGTTCCCTTTTCTCTGTTACAATTTAAAGCCATGATCTGTCATCGTTCATCATCACCTCTTTTGAAAAGTGACACTGCAAACTCATCAACAAAAACAAAAAATGAGCGGAGGTAAGTGAGATTGATCGCACACTTGTTTGGGATCGATAACAAGCAACACATCCAATCCTCTATGATTATTATTTTTGATGATCAATGAATGACCAACAACAACAATCTGTTTCTCTCCTTGTTCGTTTGAATGATGATTTTGATCACTTGCTTTTATCATTATTGTGTTTGTTCTTTTCAAAAATATTAATCTTTGGGTTCATCATCATCACGGTGATGGTAATATTCCTCTCATATATGATTTGAATTCAATTTCATCATTCTTTATAGGCCATCACGAATCCATTAACGAAATTCTTCAGAAGGACACTGAGGACGAATCTCTCAGAAAATACAAGGAACAACTTTTAGGTGCTGCTGCCAAGGGAGTTCCAAAGACTGACGATCCTCGCCGTGTGGTTGTCGAGACATTTGGATTGAAATTCCCTGACGGAGAGCATCCTGACATTATCAGAGAAGTAGACACTCCCGAAAAGGTTACCAAATTAGAAAACGAACCAATTAATATCAAAGAAGGAGTGAAATATCAATTTGTTGTTACATACAGAGTACAACATGATATTGTTCCTGCCTTGCACTTTGTAAACACTATCAAGAAGACTATGGTGACTGTCGATCAACAGGTATGTTGTGGATGTTCAATTATATGAAGTGCTAACAATGACTTCTTGAATTCAATCGGTATTATCACTTGCGAATAATGTTTCTACATAGAACACAATGATGGGAAGCTATGCTCCACGTGTTGAACCTTACACCTACAAGTCACAACCTCAATATGCTCCAAGTGGAATGTTGGCTCGTGGATCTTTCAAGGCTAACACCAAGTTCGTTGACGACGATGGCAACACCCATTTGGTACGTACTTGTTTTTTGAATTATTCATTGTATTGATATTGTTGCAATTAGGAAATGAACTATAACTTGGTCATTAAGAAGGACTGGACTGATTAAGCTGGTCAATGATTTATTTATTTGTGAATAAAATAGAAGTTTTTAATGTATTCGTGAATGAGTCATAATTATACTATAATTGTATTCTGAATAAGGTGATAGAAGCTTTAATTCACACCTTCTTTTTTGAGCCATTGGTTGTTGCCTGCAGCTTTGCTTTCAACTCTTGTATTGAGCTCAACAATTTTTCTTGTTCTTTCACGAGCAAGCTAAACTCTTTGGAATCCTTTTCTGAGTTGTAGCTGCTATCGCTTACAAAAGAATGAAAAAGTCCTGTTGATCCCAGGGAACTCTTGGGCCGTTCATGGTGACTCGAGGAGGGCCTTTTGTTTGTGGTTGGTGTAGAGGGGCGTTTGGTCATTGAGGGTGTAGACGGTCGCTTGGGAATATCCTTCGTTTCATAAGAAAATCTTGCTTTTACTGCAGATTCTCTGGCCCTTAGTTCCTCTCTTATCTTAGAAGCATTCTGCATCTTTCGTTCTGCAAGCTCTTTTCTTTTTTCCTCAATTCTTCTTCTTCGTTTTTCCTCCTCTATGGAAAACTGAACTTGCTTGTATGTGAGAGGTTGGATGGAGTCAGAGAAAACTCTTGAGTGGATAGGCTTTGGTTCTTCCTTCTTGGTTTGAAAAGTAATTCTCATTCTTGGTTTAACAGCTACTTTGTTTTCTTTTTTGACCTTGTCTTCTAAATAGCGTTGTCTTACTTTCAGGCGTTCTACAGATTTCAAAATTTCATTCTTGTCTTTGAGCGTAATATGTGATTGATCTGGTGGTTTGTAAAGTAATTCATGTTCGTCCTCAGAGCTGCTTGGAATACTTTTTGACGAAGGTTTTGAAAAAGGTAATGGAGAGGTGGGCCGAGATTTTTGATTTCTTCCTAAAAGCTCAAATTCAAGCTCTTCGTCTCGACCGTATGAATTTTGGGAGGTTGTTTGAGGCACGGATTTTATGGTCCGTGTTGTGGTTGTTGTTCCTTTTACCAGATTTGATGAGCGAGCAGGTTTCGTATCAATTTCTGATTGATTTAATTTGTATGGAATTGAGTGATTTTCTCCTGACGAGTGATCAATTAATGTGCTGAAGCCTTTTTCTTCTGTTGTTTCTTCGTTTTGATAAGAATGTTCGATCAAAACGAGCTGGCAATGGTCACAGGAGTTGTCCAAAACAATATTAGATTCACCAGTATTTTGAAGTAAATGAACATCATCTAATTCTATTAAGGAGGAGCTGCTCATCGTGCTTCTCGGAGAGGTACTACTCCCGAGAGAAATAACTTCTGCCTCATTGAGAGATAGTTGTTCTTCTCTCATTCCTGGCGTTGTGCTTATTGAATGATTCAGACAATCCATCAAAACTGAAGTAGCAGAACCCTCCATTATCATCATCACTATCAAAATTGTTTTTCAAATCCTCTTGCTTTAACGTTGGTTTTGCTCTCAAAAATTGTAGAAATTTATCATAATAAAAAGCGGTTCCTTTTTCTGCTTCAATTCTTTTTTTTACTGCTTTTATCTCTCTGCAGAAAGAAGAAGCAATTTCGTTCGTGTCCCAAATGAAATACATACAAACCCTTCCAAACACCACAATCTTTGAGAGCTAGATGTTACGACGACATGATTCACCAAAGCCCAAAATTAAACACGCTCTCTACAATTTTAGGATCTTGTTTGCTTGGTTGAGATGGGGGAGAATGTTGGTGGGGTATGGTCTGGGCTTCCGATTTCCCTGATGGTTGTTGTTGTTGTTGTTGCTCGGAGACAATTTTCGGAGGCAAGTCGTCATTGTTGTCGTCATCGTTCTTATTGTGGAGTCCGGAAAAGAGACCTCTAAAGCTGACGGATCCACCTGTGGTTGTGGAAAGTAATGAGAATGATTTTTGATGAGATTTGGGTTCTGGAGTTGCTGATTGTTTCGACTCCTTCTTGTTTGTTGAATGTTTGTGATGATGACGTTCTTCTTCTTCTTCGTCGTCGTCATGAATTGGAAGAATAGGTTCTAGAAGACCCTTAAATGATTTACCAACAGATAATAACTGTCTATGAATTTCAATGACTGGATGAATTTTCACTGTCTTTTCATGCCCATAGAGTTCTTTCTTAATGGAAATCAGCTGATTTAGTACTGTTTCTGAGTCTGGTCGATCTCTTGGGTTTTGACTCAGCATTGAAATGATAAGCTCTGAAAAACCAATATGGTAGTGTTGACATTTCGTTCGAATGTCTTCATAGAAATTGCTTGGATTTTTCATGACTGAAATGAAAGGAGAAATTTCTAAAAGATCACATGATATGGTTTCTAGAAAGACAATTCCAAGTGACCATATATCAGATGCATAAATATAATTCATAAACAGTGAGTGAGAGGTTTGAGGGGATGCAGATGGTTGGTTAGATTGTGGTTGAAGACTTTTAGCACTCTGTGGAGGAGACTCACAAATGTCCTTAGCTCCAATGTGACACTCAGGAGATTGATACTTTTTTGTGCCACACGAAGAAAGTGTTTCATTGAAATTAGAAAAGGATCTTAAATTATACACAAGTCCATAGTCTCCAATTTTGCATTTCTTACCCTTATTCTCTATTTAAAAGACATTAAAAGATCGCATTGTAATCATTCCATTCATAACGAAAGTACGAAATAATACGTGTATATAGGATTATTGCTCTTCTCAAAGCACGAATCAGCTAATAACAATCAGCGTTCCTTACCTAAAAGAATATTCTTGGGCTTTATGTCACGATGCAAAAGTCCATTATTGTGAAGATGATTCAACCCAGATGCCATTTGAATAAACAGAGAAAGTAAATGAGCTTGTTGTATGGATTGATGTTGTTGCTTGTGTTCCAATATGAAATGTTCTAAATCTCCACAATCTAGATATTCCATCACAAGACACAAATCAAATAATGAAGTGTAATCTTCTGCTTGTTTTGCAAAATAAATATCCTCAATTCGAACAAGATAAGGATGATTGATGTTACGAACAGGCCAAAATTCAACGAGTGCATCATTTGCATTGTTAATATTACCACAAGCAATTTTCTTAATAGCAACAATTGTATTGTTTGACTTTCTTCGTGCTCTGTTGCAATATTGTAAAAGTGTCATGTTATTTGTATCGAATAAAGTGGAATGATAATAATGGTATGTATAAATGTTTTAAGTGTATATAATGAAATAATCAAACACATGCAAAGAGAGTAATCATTGTTCATGCATTAACAATTTTTGTCATCACAAATGAATGAACGCGAATTAGAACAATGGAAAGAGAAAAACAATTTCCAAATGGACTTACCTATAAACTCTTCCAAATGCTCCAGAACCTACACACTCAAGCAGCTCATAGTGTGTATCCTCATAATAATTATCAGTACCTGTTTTCTTATAATCAAAATTACTGTCATAAACGACCTCAGAAGTGTGTGATTTAGTGGTTCCTTGTGACAGGATAAACGAATCATCAAATGAAATGGTTTCAAATGAATTTTTCGAGTCATGATCAGAAAGTGAAGCACTACTCGATCTTCTCAAGTTATTTTCATTCCTCTCTGGAGGTAAGATCAATCGCATTGAAAGAGAAATAACTCCAGTTTTGTCCTTTCCACGCTTCAGATTGAGCTCTATTGAATTCACTGATTTTGAGCGAAAATCTAATAATCTGTTGAGATCATATTTACAATCACCTAAAAACGAGACATGTGGATTACATTTCACCAAATAGTTATGCACAAATTCAGAAGCTCTAGAAATATTATCTAATTGAATGACAACATGAGGGAGAATCTTTTTTGAATCCATTGCAGCATGTTCCAACGAGTTGAGATTCGAATTGCTTCCTAAATTTGATTTAAAAATGTTTTGTACTTGATTAAACTCATTTTCTGAAAGTGGAATAATTAATAACACCTTTTCTCCATTCCAATCGAATATAAACCCATCACTAAGAGGGGTTTTTCGAATTCTGGAAGATTGAACCGATGGTAATTTAGAAAGATCATCTTCTAAAAGCTCATCCTCTTCTTTAGGTTTGACACTAATGGTCAACATGGTATCAAAGATGGAGGCACTAAAATATTGAGTAAAACTCAAATCACTTCGTAGTGACACTTTGCCAATTGTGAACTCTACTCCAATGCTGTTATATGGAATGATGATGGGTTTTTCAACCTCTTCGGAATGTTTCGATGAGGACTCATCCGAGGTTTTCACACCAATGAATTCTAATAGACTTCTTCTTCTCGAATGTCTTCTGCTTGATGATGATTCATCGGTGGTGTTAGGTGTTGATGTTTGTGGTGGTGATGGTGAGGAAGGTGATAATGTCGAATGGGGATGGTGATGATGAGATGAATTGTGTGGATGTTGTTGTTGCCGTTGGATCAATAACTCATTATTTGAATGAGGTTTGTTTTCGTGACTCGTCGAAGTGTGTTGCTGTTGGTGCACCTCCGAGGTTGTTGTTGCTTCATCGGATCCTCTCAACGGTGAAAGTAGATGGCGAAGACTAAACATTTTTTCAGCGTGTTCGATCGGCTCATCATCTGATCCAACAGCATTCTGTGAACTTGGAAAGAACAATTTCAACAACCGATCTATTTATTTACAATTTGTGCCAAGAATCTTATTTACGTCACGACATGATGTCAGCCAGCTATTGATAGGGTTGTTGGACGGGTCTATATCTGTCATGCGTGCCAGGAACAGCCTCAACATGTGAAGCTCCAAACAATTTTTCGAGAGCTGAAACGAGGTTTTCATAGCCAACTCCAGATGCTTGCAATAAATCTTCAAAAGAAATGTCCCCATGCTGCACAATGAGGTCATACACGATGGGAATAATGTCTTCTGGCTGTTGAATGCTCGTATGATTGTGAGCTTCTCTTGTTCCTTGTTTTGAAAGAGGCCCAAATTGATAATGAAGATGGGCAACAATACAATCTAACAAGTGTGTTGTAAATTCATTGAAGTCGCTTACATAAGACATGTTAGCTCCCAAAATATACCTAGTTCCAGTTTTATCATCACAAGCAATACTTCCGAAAACTCGTACAAACATATTTGGCTCAATTTCAAATTTCTTAAAATCCAAGTAACATCGTACACAAATTCTGCCAGTGCCATCATCAATGAACAAATCCATACGATTTTGAGCAGTCTTGTGGAATTTAATAACTTGTCCGACAACCGTAATCTGGTCAAGGATCTTTTGTTTGGGAGCGTTCGGAATGTTTAGAGAAAATTTTGTGAGTGAAACAGCTGGACAGCTTATTACTTGACGAATATTTAGTGGTATCACTGTGAGTGGTTCCTTTTCTGGAGCCTGTTGGCCTAGATTGTGTCCTGACGTGTTGTGTGGGTCGGAGCCATCATGGGATGGATCCATCATGTTGTTGTGAAGCATTTTTTTATTGAAATTTTTTTCCAGCACTTGCTGGATTGGTGGCAATTCTCCAAATAACGCTCCTCAATAAAATTTCAACAAAACATTAATCTCATGATTTTGCAGTTCCAATGAACTAAATTATAATGGAAAAAGAGAAGCCATTTCGATTTTCGAATAGCATATCAACAACAGATGAATATAATTAATTGAAATAAAATATCGATAGGGAGCATGGTCTAGTGGTATGATTCCTGCTTTGGGTGCAGGAGGCCATGGGTTCGATTCCCATTGCTCCCCTTTGATTTTTATTTTATCATTTGTTGTGAATCTTTTGTTGTTTTAACAAAGGTGCATTGTTGGAAATGATATCTCGCTTGTTAAAAGTCAACATTTAGTCCTTTCCTATTGTATAAATACAAGGATGAAAAGGATTGAAATATCTTAAAAAAATCCATCAATGAACTTGGAAAAGCTATTCTTGTTTTAAAGACATAATATCTCCTTAAAACGTCATCATCTTTGAAGCATCTTCAACGATAACCAGCACTTCACGACAGTAAGGAGAATTATTTGAGGTTCTGCAATTTGAAGGGGCTTGAACCTTCTCATGAGGATCGAGTCCCAACGTTCGCTCCATAAAAAAACTCCAGTCAGCAACAACGTGTCATAACCGAAAATTTCGAATTCAAGTGAGCACTAAATGGGCAACAAACGTTCAATTTCAATTCTATTTATAACCGAATACTTTTAAAAAAGACAAACCAAACCTGCTTGTTGGTGATAACTGAAATTTTCGAAAGAGTCATCTTTGCGTGTGTCCCTTAAATATTGCATGACCTCCAATTCATTCAAACAAAACAACAACAACAACACTTGCTGTGTATACACAACAAATTGTGTTCTACCTCTCATTGCCACTACTACACAACAACAAATGTCGCCTGCTCATTCTCTATTGAATCATCATCAACATATTCCTCTCTCCGATGTGTTATCCATCGATATGGACCAAGACAAGAGATGTGCTGTGATGAATCCTTCATTATTTCTTAAATGTAAATTGAAAAAGAAAATCCAAGAAGAGTGCGATCATTATCATCACTGCTCCACAAATCATTAATCATGACGATGCATCAACAACCACTGTGTCGAAGTTGTAAATAGATTTGGCACGTGTTGGTTGAAATAGAGTTTAATGATCGAATGTCTGTTCAACAACAGGAGATAGCTATGGAGTTGGCCTGGGTGTACATCATCCTTATATTGTATCAGTAAATGAAAGAGAAAACAATCATACTTCTTTCTCTTCCTTAGGAATATGTGTTTACACTTGTAATAAAGCACAACTCGTATTTGAAACAACATCTTTATTTTCATGTCAATTAAGACCCATAAATCTTAAAAAGGTCCTTTTATTCGACTGGATGGTTATTGCAAAATCACCAACAGTCATTCTCTTCTGTGAGCATTTCATCCAAAAACTCCCAAAATGAAATAGTTGCTTCATACTCGGGACATTCATGATCGTAATCACTTTTGGCAATTTTCAATGTATTTCATTCGAGTTGTTGTGTTCAACATAAGGACAACAATAAAGAATCATCCATTGATGTGTCGTCCACAATGACCACGATAGACAAGTCAGACTTGTGTGAGTTTGAATATTATTGAAATTAATGAACCTACCCTGTGAGAGGATCCTCTTCGAGAATTCCATCCGATCGAACAGTTCTATAAAATGTTTGTCCATTTCCTCCTCCATCATGATGAAAACGCAATAATTGAGTTTTACCTTCATCATCATCGTTGTCATCTTCATTGAATATTTCACAAGCAAGCGAACGAAGAGTGTTTGAAGACACAACACCATCTTCCCATGCATCAAGTCTTCTTCCAAATTTAGTGTAACCATCATGCACTGAATAGAAGAGAGCCAATGACTTGGGAATCATTCCCCAACCTTCTTGTTCCACTTTAAGGGCCTTTTCATATGGTAGAGGTACTCCTCCACTATGTAAACCCACTTGATTGTCTTCACTAGTCTTGTAAATATAAAGCAAATACCATTCCGGAGTATTGTCATTGTCTTCATCACATTGTTCACGAACCACATATAAGGCTTGAACACAATTTAACAAGAATTCCACAAGAGTTGGTAAATGGCTCACAACAGGTGCCCACACATGTTCAATGACTTGTTTCACATTATTCACATCAATCTCTGGTGGAAATTTGAAGGGTGAGGAGACCTGTCCAAGCTTGGCAAATACAGAGACAGGTTTGTGGAGGATGGCTTGTAAGATGAATGGAGCCTTTTCAAATTCATTCCAATCCAAATCTGAGCTTTCCTTAAATTTGTTAATGACTTTCACACGATATTTCCATTCATCATTTGCACTTGCTTGATTATTGGATTGATTGATGATGAGTGCTGTATCGAGTTCTGTTTTTCCATATTTCATTTCAAACATACTACGCCACACATTCTCACCATTTGCAACTTTGTGAAAGGATTTGCACGAAAGCATGAAAGGAGTGATTTCAGCGGGTGTTAAAAATCGGGCAATGTTTGAAAAGACATCTTGATTTTCCAAAATGGCTCTCGCATTGGTGGTCAATGGTGGCCACTTGGGTTCACCCTCCATTTGTTTTCGTTTCTTGCTATTATTATCGTTGGGTTCAGCCTGTTGCCATTCCAATTTTCTTTTGATATTTTCTTCGACAATCTTGTTGACGGCTTTGGTATGTTGTTGAAGCCATTGTTCGAATGCAGCATTATCATTCTCCGAAGCATGAGTCCGATAACATTTGGAACAATAACCCTTGTTGGCTTCATTTCCGAAAAATCCACAACCCGCTGGAAGATGATTCGAAGATATGATGAGCAACAAGAGAGAGCTCTTCACCTACCTCTGCAAGCCGACATTTTTTTGTAGTTGATTTTCAAAAGATCCGGAAATGGAAATGGAGGAGAACGATAAATTTCCAATATTTTGGCGAAACGTTGTTGTCTTTTGTTCTGACAAAATCATTTGTTGAAGGAAACGGTTGCATGATGTCCAAATGATTTCGTCTTCACTCCTTTTCATCTCTTCAAGTATGGAGTTCTGTTAGATTGCTTGTCCTCAGTCTCTCTTTAAGAATTGTTCGTTTCATAAAAATAGGACATTTACACCTCATGCCTCCACGCACGTCCTCCGATACATCAAAGAAGAGACAAAAAGCTGCTATTGAATCAAGTAGTAGTAGTAGCAGTGAGGATGACGATTTTGATTTGATTGAAGAGGTATTAGATGATTCCGAGAGCGAGGACGAAATTGAATTCAAACCTCGTCGTGCATCTTCTTCTTCCAACAAGAAACAAAACTCCACTCAAAAGAAAAATACAAATTCATCTTCTTTGTCTTCTTCATCTAACAAGAAGAAACAAACCACAAACAATAGAAAAAAGAAAAAGAAAAACAGCTCAGACGAAGAATCAAGTAGCAATAGCGATTCCGAAGAAAAGAACAAAAAGAAATCAAAAAAGACCGACAAGAAGAAAACACAACCCACAGAAAAAGACAAAGAAAAGATGAATAAGCTTTGGGAAAGATTTGTCACTGGCAAACCACGATTATTAATTGGATGTCATGTGGCGTTTGGCTCGCTTGGAATTGAGCATGCTCCATTGGCAGCTGCAGAGAATGGATGTTGCGGAGCATTTGCATTGTTTTTAGGAAATCAAAAGACATATGCTCAGAAGGATTACACGGACAAACAAGTTTCTAAATTCATTGAAAATTGTAAAGCTTTGAATTATGACAGGGATTATTTATTGCCACATGCAAGCTATTTGATCAATTTAGCAAATCCTGACAAGGAAAAGTTAGCGAAATCAAAAACTCTATTTCTCACAGAATACAAGAAGTGCGAAAGATTGGGTCTGAAGAGGTATAATTTTCATCCTGGATCTACCGTAGGAGAAACGACAGTGGAAAATGGATGCAAACAAATTGCAGAATGTATTAATTGGGCAAACTCACAAGTTGATAATGTAATATCCGTGTTAGAATGTGTTGCTGGAAGTGGAAATACCATTGGTCATAAATTTGAGCAATTGAAAATGATTATTGACCATGTGGAAGATAAGAATAGAGTTGGCATTTGTTTAGACACGTGTCACATGTTTGCTGCTGGCTATGATTTACGAACACAAGAGGGATGTAAAAAAGTGTTTGACGAGTTTGATCAGATTATTGGATTCAAATATTTGAAGGGAATGCATCTCAATGATAGCAAGGAAAATCTCAATTCCAAGAAGGATCGACACGAAGATATTGGACAAGGTCATCTTGGTTTAGAGGTGTTTAAATACATTGTCAACAATCCAAAATTTAGAAATATCCCACTGATATTGGAAACTCCAGGAGGAAACTACATTAAGGAGATTGCAGAGCTGTACGATTTGTATACAGGAGAAGAGGACGAAGTAAAGCCAAGCAGTAGTGAAATTTCGAACTAATTAAACTTGGTTTTGAATTGTAGATGAACCTCTGACTCGATCGTGTTGCCAAAAAACAGTTTATTGGCAAAGGCACTTGCAAAGACTCACAAACGTATTGTTTCAAAATTGCAAAATGTTGAAGGTCTAATAAATCTTTCCGTAAACATCAAAACTTCTTCTCTTATGGTGTCTGCGCTTCTTGTTCCATCTCTTTCTCTTGTTATGTCTTCTCTTTTTAAGGAAATTTCTTCTCTTCTTGAAGGAGTTTCTTTTCTTCTTTGGCCAACCCTTACGATAACGACGACCATAGAACTTCTTTCCTCTCTTCTTAATCCAACCCTTTCTCTTGTGGAATCTTCTCTTGAATCTCTTTCCGCCATATTTCTTCCAATATTTCTTTTGAACTCTATTCTTTCTGTGGGATCTTTTCTTGAATCTCTTACCAAATTTCTTCCAATATTTTCTGCTCTTCTTTCCTTTGAATTTACGTCCATAAGTATCAAACTTTTTGAATTTGCGAGAACGACGGTGTTTTCTTCCCTTTCTTGGAAGATAAGTGGAGAGTGCAGAACTTTCAGCTTGGGTCACTTCGGCAGAGCAAATCATAAAGACTGCTAAAGACAAGGCCAACAATAATGCAAGAACTATGAATTTCATTCTTGTTGTTGCAGACGATTTTTTTTGATGGGAATCCTCATCGAAAGGATCTTCAAGGTGCTTTTTATTGGAAAGTGGAATGCAACAAAAATGGACGCAATTCTTTTCAAGGCTAAGTGAAATTTGGGTTTATGAATATATTAATCATGAATAAATAATCAGACCATCTCCATTTATGATGTTGTCATAGAGAAACTTGAATGAAAAGTTCTGTGATATGGGAACTCGATTTTGTAAATTCAACAAAGACATTGTACATACCTCTACAGTTTTTTGGGCACAAGTCTCAAAAAGTTCGCGACGTGTGATCAAAAATTGATAAAGGAAACTCACCTTGAATACCATGTGAAAAGAGGTCTGTGATATTTTAGATCAACCACAAATGAATTGTATTGCTGCCTTCCATTGGATTGGTTCTAAACTTCTGAACCGCTTGCCCGCCTTTTTTCCCGCCATCATTTGGTACAATTTTGTTGTCCTCCCACAAAAAAATGCTCGCAAACAACCTTTCTTCCGATGATCCAACGTTGGAAAGGACTTATCGTGGTCATCATGGAACGATCACGGGACTTAGCTTCTGTCCCAGTATGAAGAGAATGGCATCGGTAGCCATGGATTCAACATTGTATATCTGGAATTTCAAACCAAATCTGAGATCATACAAATATCAGCAACATGAAAAGGGTGGCGTTATGTGCGTTGAATTTTCCCCACTCACTGGAAAGTTGGTGGCTACAGGAGGAAGAGATAAAACAATTAGACTTTGGCAACCAACTATTGAAGGCAAATCCACTGTCATTAGGGGCCACACAAATACCGTTCGAAGTGTACACTTCTCAATGGACGGAAAGCGGCTCCTGTCGTCATCTGATGATAAAACTATCAAGGTAGGTATCACACAAGACTCATGATATAATTTGGGTAGTTATGGTCAATTGCTAACCAACAATTCATCCAAGTATTCTCTGGTCACTCCAATTGGGTAAGAGCCACAGACTTCTCTCCTGACGAACGCTTAATAGTGAGTGGAAGTGATGATAAAACTGTTCGATTGTGGGACATTAAATCGAACAAATGTATCATGTCATTGGTTGAACATGCTGACAATGTTAATGACGTGCATTTCTCACCAGATGGAAACTGTTTGGTTTCTTGCAGCGTTGACAAGACTGTGAAAGTGTGGGATGTTCGTTTGGCGAAAAAGCTTTTGCAACATTTTACGGGTCATGAAGACACAGTTAACCAAGTGAGCTACCATCCAAGCGGTGATTACATTATCAGTTGTAGCACAGATCAAACCATGAAAATATGGGACACTCGCGAAGGAAGGTTGTTTTATACAATAAGTGGACATGTCAGCCCAACAACTGCTGTCACATTTTCTCCTCTAGGGTATGTTTTCGTCTTTCTGCATTGTCATGTGTTCTAAATTAGCGTGTTGTTCATGTTGTTAAAATCAGTGATTATTTCGCAAGTGGAGGTGCAGATAATTTGTGTATGGTTTGGAAAACTAATTTTGACAAATCTCTACCAAATTACCTGTTCGAAAATAACCTGTCTCCACCATTTTCCAATGTAAATACCTACGCAGGAATTGAAGAAGATCAGATGGCAGAACGATTGTTTATGGGAACTACTGGTCATTCAGAAAGACCAAGCTCGGCTCCTGCACAACAACGGTCTGTTCCAATATCAAGCAGCAAACCATCAAGTTCAACAACAGGCAATCCTCAACCACCAGGAGCCACTTTCTCAAAATTGCAAACATTTAACTCTGCAAGTTCGTCCGTTCCTCTTCAACAACCACCTCAGATTGCCCACAGACAACAACCTCAAATACCAAGTGCCTCAAATTTCCAGAGTGTTTACTTTCCGCCACCAATTCAAACTGACAATATTCCGCCCTCACTTGCTAATACTTTAGAACATATTTTAAGGCAACTGGATATTATTACACAAACAGTGAAAGTGATGGAGGATCGACTTACTTTGACAGAACATAAGCTCTGCAAAATGGAAATCAATCAAAAGAAGATAATTCAAATGGAGTTAGCAAACCAAATTGCTCATATGAATGTTCAGCAACAACAGCAACTCTATCCACCTCAATCACAACACAACAACTTCCAGCCAAGCTCTACATCTTTCACCAATACTAGATTGCAAGAGACACCAATACTTGGTCCAACTCCTTCGTTGACATCATCGCCCAACCTGTCCAACTCTTCACATGCATCATCTCAACATTCTTCACCGAAACCAGTCATCACTAACGAACATGAAGACTCACACGACGACAACACCATCTCCAAGCCTAGGACTCCTTTATCTAATGTGAATAACCTTGTGACAACACCCATTCAGTTGTCATCACCACTTTCTCTTCAAAATGACAAGCAATAACATTATAACAATAAATCTTCTAAACTTTTTAAAACAATTTAATTTTATTGAAAGTTTGATTGACCTCAAGCGGGATCGACTTTTTAAAAAAATGCAAAACAAGAACAATACTCCACTCCGATATTTCGTACGTATTCGTCTAGCCAATTTTCTGTGGACGCAAAAAAATCAATTAAAAATTATTTTACAAGATTTGTGGAAAAAACAGTCAATTAGGTGTTTGTTCATCACCTTCTATTTTTTCTGAGATTTGTTTTCATGAAGAAATATTTGATTTGAAGTGTGGGAAAAATCACATGATGATAAAAAGTAGGTAATACAATTATTAATTTAATTAGTGCATTGGATGATCATTCTATTTTCAGCACGACTTGGAAAGTTATATGCCATTGGGAGAAATAATGAGGGAGCTTGCTCTTGCAGCACATCATGTTTAAATATTATTCAAAAATGGAGACCATGTCAATTCAACATTGCTTCATTTATTAAGGACAATAATAGTAACAACATGTTTAAACAATCAAATAGTGTTTATGAAATAACAAATAAGAAAGAAAGGCGAAAAGAAAGAAGAAAGATGGAAAGAATGGAAGGAAAAAAAGAAACTAAAAAATCAAACAAAAAAACAGATCGAGAGGAATCAATAATTGTGAGCACGTTTGATGTGGATGATTTTTCATGTGGAAATTCTCATTCATTACTGCTCTTCAACAATAGAACTATTTTAATGGCTTCTGGCGTTGTTGAGTCGCCTCTCCTCAAAAAAACACAATCGAACGTATTTACACCTCTTAAGGGGTTAGCTCTAAAAACCGGACAAAAGAAATTCACATTCATTGCATCATATGAAAACTCAATCCTCATCACTATTGACAACAGATTTATAATGTTTCATACACCAACTAATGCCTTCGAATTTGATGCTTTCAAGCAGTTTGGATGTTCAGAGATCTATGAAATTGCACTGAACGACCCCAATTCTTTTGCATTCACATCTAACACAGGTCGAATTTATGTATTTGATGTTTCAACTTGCAGCTGGCAAACAGGATGGAACAATTCAAAAGAACAATTGATTTTCTTTGACATTTATTCAGCATATTGCTTTAAAGCCAAATCAATTTCATCAGGAAAAGTCACTAATTATTATACATCTTGGTTCCAAAACAATATTTCAAATTTTGACAAAAGTTCATTAGAAATATTTCCTTCTTATTTGTGCTTTTTTGCATATGACCGAAAACAGAATGAAATACAATCCATGGGCAATAATAGTATGAACCAACAGGGAATTGGAAGTGACATCATTAAGCAATCTTCATTTCAGCCTCACTCCCAGCTCAATCAATTAATGGCAAAAGAGCAATTAACACTCCACAAAGTTCTTCATGGCCAATTTTATTCCGTTCTCTCTTTCAGTAACTCACTTTACAAGCCAAAGCTTGATTTACCTGACTATATATTCAGAGCCCTGCGAAGCACGCTTTTATCTGATATTGTGTTGAATACGTCAATGCATGATTTCCAACGATAACATGGTGGCCATCTTTTAAGGGATGCATCTGAGTCACATATTATGCAAAAACACTGCTTAATAATGAGATTAGTGTTACTTTTCTTCTGATTTTTCTTGCTTGTATTTATCATATTCTGATATCTCTGCGTGCAACAATAGTGGTGGTTGTTTCTTTGCAAATAAATACTTGAAAAACAATTTCCAAAACTCCACACGATCTCCCAAGGTTTTCCTCCGAATCTGCTTCATATCAATCTCATTGAAAATTTCAAAATTAATTCTTGCAAGCTCATCCATCAGTATTTCCTGTTTATGCTGCTCTTTTGCCTTCTTTAGCAACATTCTTTTTTGTTTTTGATAAAACAACAATCGTTCTCTCATCACTTGTGTTTCATACTTTCCATTCTCCATTGATTCAACATTTCCGAACATCACTTGAGTTTTATAAATTGATGATAAATTCAGCACTCGGTTCCATATATTATGATGGATCCAATTCTCACATTTTTGTTTCAGTTTTCGATAAAAACAAATTGTTGGGTGATGATGAAGTGTTCCTGGATTGGCTCTCCTGAACAGGATTTGCCAAAGAGAAGAAGGATTTGATGACATTTTTTGAGTTTTCATCAAATCATGTTGTAACCCTTGATCGTACCACAACAAGAAGCTTGCTTTCCTCCTTTTCAAATCTGTTGAACCTGGACCTCTAGGTCTTGGACACAAACCCATTACTAGAGATTAAATAAGGCGCTAAACCAATTCGAAGATTGACTCTAATACCTTTTTCCAATTTTAATTATTAAAAAAAAATTAAAAAAAATAATTCACCTGCTGATTTAAAAGAAGCAGATTTTTACAACAAATTCTCGGATGCTAATAATCATCAATTATTAAATTCATTAAAGAATCAAATCATTCTCGGACCATGGGAAATTCCAACGTTTCACAAAAGTTTGCCTCTCTTCAACCAGTTCCTCTTGTGGACACGGATAAACGATTTAAATTTTGGAATTTATATGATGGAGTTGTTCAAAAGAGTGTTCAAGCCGATCAACGGAACGTCTCTGTTTTTGAATTTAACTTAACGGAAAAGCAGGCTAGAGATTTACCAAAACAGTTCCGACAACAACAAAATACTTCTTCAAGCTCATCACCAGAAGGAGATGCTTCAAGCTCCTCTCAGATCACGAATAAGCCAAAGAACTTGTCTCCATTCGAAGAGGAACCTGCTAAAACAATTATTGAATGTGCTAGAAGAGGAATGAAATTTATTAAAACATTGAGACACCCTTCCATCATGAAGTATGTAGACGATCTAGAGATCGGTCCTACTCATTTCTATATTGCTACAGAGCCTGTGGTTCCCCTTCGATCTATTTTACCAAATCTTGAAATGTCTGAAATACTTTTAGGGTTATATCAAATTGCAGTAAGTGTCATAATTGTGCAATTTGAAGACATTTATTTTCCATGCATTTCATAGAGTGCTCTCAATTTCTTAAACGAGCAATGCCAAATTACATTTAACAACTTACATCTTGATTCTATATATGTGACAAAAGATAAGCAAATAAGGTGGATGCTTGGAGATTTTCAATTTGCTCTCGAATTCAATAATTTGGACAAAGAAATATTTGAAAAAACAAAGGAAATGAGATACTCTGAAACTATTACTCCTGAAGAAGGAATGAAGAAGTTTCAAAAATACACCCCAACTTGTAGAGATGTTTACGCATTCGAAAAACTTGCATCAAAGATATTTGCTGAAATTGAGGAAAGCTGTAAAAAGAACAATATTTCCAATGATCTCACGTATCAACACTTTTTGAAATTACCTGCTATCAAGTATTGGATGAGTAAAGCATTGGAAAGTGAGCCGCAATCCAGAGCTACATTTTCCAGCTTCTTGAAACTGAAGATCTTTGAACAAGATCCACTCTGCTCAATAATGCTCTTTTTTGATGATATGAGGTTGAAGAAAGCGTCAGAAAAGGAAGCATTCTTTAAGGATTTAAAGTCTCAAGTTTCCAAGCTTTCACTTCCAGTTTTTAAGAATAGAATACTTCCAAGAATGTTAACTTTGCCATTTGTTACAGAACCCGCGTCTGGTACTTTTCTTGCACATTTATTTTCTCCTAAAGAGTCTAGTAAGAGAGGAGTGGAAGGAGTTCTTTCTGGAAAAGATTACGAGGATCATATTATAACATTTATCAGAAAATGTTATTTAAGCAAAAATTACAGCCTCAGAATGAGAATTCTACAAACTCTGGAATATTATCAGAATCAAATTTCTCTTCCAATAGCTATTTCTGAAATTATTCCTGAAATAATGCGCGGAATGAAAGACAGTAATAACGAGCTCGTCATGTTCACAATGAATGCTTGCGTTTCATTTTCCAAATATTTAGTGAGTCATGACAATTCTTCAGTAGGCTTGGAAATGATTAACAATCAATTTTTACCTGCACTGCACCACTATGCGGTTCAAAACTCCATTCCAAAACAAGCCACAACAATGGATGCTAGCAACATCGAGTCCGTGATTGCTCTACGATCTCATGCATTGCTTTGTCTAGTTGAACAATGGAATTTACCTGGTGTCCACAAGGGTATTATTTTGACGGCTCTACATGCTAATTTGTTTGATAAGGAAATTTTTGAACTCAAAGTTCATGCTCTCAATGTCATTCTGATTCACATGTCACGATTTGATCCAAGAGAATTAATGACTTATATTATGCGACCAGTTCTGCCACTCACTCTGCATGAGAAGGAACAAGTGAGATCAAAAGCTGCCCAAGTTCTCCGTGTTGCTATTGAAACGTTAGGAGAAACCGATCTTTCTAAATGTCATCTTGGAATGATCACCTCACCTAACGATGGAATTTCAAATGTCACTCCACTTTTTCCTGCCACTTCACAAAAAGAACTTGTCAGGCAAGAAATATTCTCAGGACAATCTCCAAAACACGTGATACAATTTCCAAATGACTCCAAAGATTCAGAAATTCTCCTACGAAGCACAGAGATGAACTCTTCTCCTTCTTTGTCAACCTCAGAATCTATATCCTCTCCAAAACAAATAGAATCACCTTCTCATAACGTTCACAGCGTAGAATCATTTAAGGCAACAACAACACCTCTACCCTCAAGAGGAGTAGGTATCATGAAACTTCCATCAACCACTCAAGATCGTGCGCTGAGCAGCAACAACAATGTAAAACAAGAGTCGACATCACTGAAAAATCACAATTCTCAACATGATACTTCAAAAGAAGAGGAAGACTGGAATAGTTGGTCTGACAACGATGAGACCACAAATGTAACTGTGGAAACAAGTCACACTACCAAGATTGTACAGAGCTCACCCACACATTCCACTACTGAATCCTCCAACGCCAGAAAAAAGAATGTTCTTCGATTTGATTCAGATCACTTGGAAGAAGAAACATCTCTGCAAAATTTGGAGGAGGACTCTGAGGATTTGTTTAAAGATTTCACACCTAAAGAACAACCACAGCTGCCACCCCCTAAAACCTTAACAAGAAAGAGTGCTACTTCCAAGAGACAAGGGACAAGTGCCAATAACAAAACAAAAACAAAGACCACACCAGCAGTGACCTCTTCTTCAAGTGCCTCTTCTCCTCCACTACAACAACAGCAGCACGAAGAACCCGAGTCCAAAGAATCAAACCTTTCCAAGATTCTCTCAGAGTCAGAAGCACCAGTGGATAATTCAGCATGGGATGAAATTGATATGTTTTCACAAATGGATATTAAGCAATAGTTTGTTTCCAATTAGAAGGTTGTATTTAAATACAATATTGTAATTATTTACAAGTTACAATATCTCACAATTTTTCTTTGTTCCTGAATTTCTTGGGAAAAGAACAGCTCTGATGGCCTCATCAAACACCATCTTCACTCCTTGTTGTGTCTTTGCAGAACACTCCACATATTTAACAGCCTTAATTTCGGCTCTCAATTTCTCTCCAAGTTGTGCAGAGATGCTGTCACTTCCTTGTGATTTGTCTCCCATTTCACGTAAATCCACTTTTGTTCCTACAAGGATAATAGGAACGTTATCTGAGTGGTGACTCACTTCGGGATACCATTTAGTTCTGATATAAATTTGTTTCAAAGTTGTTTGGAATAAAATTGATGATGTCATATTAGATAGATGAAGAGAGAAGAATAATTGTAAAATGTTTGTTGGTGTGACATTTCACATGACGTCAATTCCATCATTACAAATTGTTATTCACGGTAGAAACTCACCTAATGTTTGCATAACTAGTTTCATCGACAGTTGAGAAACAAATGAGGAAAACTTGAGTTCCTGGATATGAAAGTGGACGCAAGCGATCGTATCTGAGGATGACAGACCGTCGAATTGGTACAACCATAGTTTTTAGTTTGTACAACAACTTACTCTTCCTGACCAGCTAGAATATTGTCACAACATCAATGAACAAACATCACCACGACGTTAGTTAAATTCAAACCATCATCTGTTGACGTACCAGTATCCCAAAGTTCCAATTTCACTGTTCTTCCATCCAAACTAACCGTTGTTTTATAATTGTCAAACACTACATGAAGAATGTTTTAATGATGGAATTGATTCGGATAAAATTATGGCATAAAAATGTTAATTCCATCAATTTTAGTCATCATCACCACCATAAAAGTTGTTGTTTTAGGAACATCCTTTCTCTTGAAAACTTACCAGTTGGTACATAGGTTTCGGGGAATGAGTTGTTGGCATAGACCCACAACAAACATGTCTTTCCTGTTGTGTGATTGTATTGATCATCAAAAGTTGTTGGAGTGAAATTGTTTATAAACAATAATCATGAAGTTGTAGATGAATGAATTCAAAAGAAGGTTAGAAATTGATGTTACGGAGTTGATGTCATGTTGTTGTTGCTGATACTCACCCACGGCACCATCACCCACGACCACAATTTTCATCTCCTTGCTGCTCATTTTTTTTAATGTTGACAAGTGACTTCCAGCACAGTTTGGATCAAAAGAGTTCAAAACAGTAACGGATGTCCTTTGACGATTCGTTCAATACGTATGAGTCTCAGACAACATCATTAAAATTCATCACTGATTGACACAACCATTTCACACACTGTGAAAAGAGAGGTGTTATTGAGATGTTGAATATTAATAAATTACTGGTGATGAGAAGAGGAGGAAGTGGTCATATTGAAATCTTCCATCATTGTTGGGAAGTTTTTGGGATACGCGATATGTTGAGGAGGGCCAACCAAAGGGAGATTTAACATATTTGGTGTTGTCAACATGGGCGGAGGTACCACTGAAGAACTCAAAGGAGCTGTTTCTCTCTTTTTCTTGGTTGAACGAGATGTCTTTAAGGAAGAATCAAAAGTGTTTTCAATATTTGGAAGAGTTTCAGCGGTTGAGGCATCACCCTTTTCACTCTCGGCTTGTTCCAGTTTTTCCTTCTCTTTCTTGGACAAAAATCGACCTCCAGGTCCTCTTGCTCTCTTTTTTGCCCATTCATGTCTGGAATTGTACTTGTAAGATGCCTTTTCTTTCTGCCCAGCATTCTTCATTTGATGTTCTAGCTTGGCTCGTGCAATTCTTCGTTTTAAAATTCGATGATATTGTTTAGGGTTGACATAAATGGTTCCCTCACCTGCATTAGAAACGTCTGCAGAAAATTGTTGCGTTTGTTGAACTAAATGTTGTTGTTGAGCTACATCAGATTCTTGATTTATCTCATGGTGACTGGATAACATTTCTTGTTCTTCGCCGCCCATCAGATGGTGATGTTCCCCATTTGGATGATGCATTGGACCATGTGGATATGAGTGAAATCCGTAATTCCAAAAACTTGGCTGAGGTGGAGGAGCGTATCCATATGGATACATCCAATGTTGCATATCTGGATACATCATAGGATCTCCCATATAAAAAGAATGCATAAGATTTTGGTGCATGTAAGCAGGTGAAAATACAGTTGTGGATGTAGCTGCTGTAGAAAGTACTTCCAGATTGGAGTTATCTTCGCTTGCTTCATTGTTGGAACGTGTTGACCTTTTTTCATCCTTTGATTGAACAATTCTAACTTTTTTGGGTGATGCTGGAACTGGTGTTTGTGAAGTGGATGGCTGTATTGGAGTGAGAGAAGAAACTTCTGAGTTTTGTTGGGTGGTGTGTGAAAAAACTTGTGAAGTCTGTAATTGGGCTGATGTTTTCCCACCTAGTGGCAGTGGTGGTGAATTCATCTGTAAATTGGAAGAATTACTTGCAGCTAAATGACCAACAGGAACACCAAGTGGAGGTGGAAGAAATGTGCTTCCTGAGTTTGCCATACCTAACTGAAACACTTGATTGTGTTGATCTTCCATCATTAAGAATTCAGTCCCTCTGGTGATCATTGCTGCTGAGCTTCTTGAGGGTATTGACGATGGTTTTGGTGGAACATGTGAATTGCTTAAGGAAGGTGACAAAATGGTCGAAGTGGTGCTGGCAGAAGTGGTTGGATTGGTTGTTGGACTTTTCATGGAATCTGTTGTTGGTGGAGGGATAACAAGGACAGAACTATTGGAATTATTGGAAGTGAGCATTTGCGAGGAAGCATGTGAAGGGTCGTTGCCTCCACTAGAGGAAGATGAGCTTGTTGTTGTGGTGGTGGTGGTGGTGACGGTGGGATGGAGGGACAGAGAGGTCGAGAGAAGATTGTTGTTGTTATTGCTGGTCATGGAGTGATGAGCAGTAGTATCCATCAACGAATGAGCAGTTTCCTCATGAGTGTGATCAACAGGTACCTCTTGATCATGCTCCGAGTGGAAGGTCGTCGGGTAGTCATCAGAATCTTCAGATTGTTGATCTTCATTCTGACTTCTCACGAGGCGTTGAATCATTTCATGTGCTTCATCATCTTCGGATTGTGAGTCACCAAAATCATCATTGTAGATGGGTTGCGAATATTCACGTGAATTTGAAACCACTGATTCCTCGTGATGACGATGTTGTGTTTGTTCGTGGTGGTGATGATTGTCATGATCATGATTGTTGGGGTGTGTTGTTCCGTCGTCCTGAAACTCGTTGTCGTCGTCATCATCGGCAGCTGCTTGGCCGTGTTGTTCAAAATTCCAAGTGTCGTCCATGATGATGATTATGGCATTAACCAATACAGATTATGACTTCAAAGAATCAAAAGAATGATCAGTTGATTGGTTAGAATTTAATTGGCAAGCAAAGTCTCGTCTGATGATTGGACGATTATTTTTGAAATATTTTTATTGGATGATGATTTTACAATACTCATTTCGTTATTCCCATACGATCTCTGGTGATGGTCGACACGAGGATGTCTCAAAAACATCATCCAATGAGTGGTACTGCTTTGTTTCAAACTCAGTATCTCTTCACTTCAAAATCGATGCGTTGGATAGAAACAATCTGTTAGGGGTGGTTGTTGTTCTTCATCTGTTTCTTCAACTTGTTGAATACATGCAACATGAAAGGAGAATTCGATTTGGGAGTATAAATCTTAATTCCATCCTGTGAATACGCATCACATGTTTACATTCATAACTGAGCACTCTCTCATTTGGCTTATTGATTGATCCTAGGTTAAAGTGATCCACCTCAACCTGAACCGTCTGATGCAAGTACAGAAACATCCACATTACGGATACAATCTTGAGAATTGGTAGAAGAGGCAAAATTTTAAAATGAAGTATGTGACATTGGATCCTCATTGCGCTTACCTGCCAAGGTGTCTGCAATAGCTCCACTCATGGAATGAAATATATTCTTGGTGCAAGGGTTGTTCGCATGTTGAATGATCTCCTGATTCAGAATAGTGGTTGCATGGGTCAGTAATTCTAATTGACCTAAATCTTCTCTTTCCCCCTGATGTGTGAACAAGTATATGAGAGAATTCATCAAGCTTCTTAGTTCCAATAAAGAGCTCGCAATAGTCCATAACCTTTTCAAAGATGTGTATTTGATGTGTTCGAATTAAGCATTGGTTATAGTTCTTGTGAAACACAAATAATAATAATGAAATGATCATTCCACTCTAGAGTTGGTATTTGAATTTTACTAAACATTCTCAATGTTTGTTTGAACTACAGGATGAGGACATGTTGGATCCCACCAGTATGCGATGAGATCGAGCATGTCTGACATTGATCTGAATCGATTTTCCTGAGGCCATGTCTTCGTATAAGACAACATGATTCGGTTTGGAGAAGAAGGACTCAATTTCTCTCTGCCCATTGGGGTACTTGAAAACGCAAACATCCTTCATCGTTGCCTTATACTTTGCTTTGGGATGATGTCTCGGCGAAACAGAATATTCGCTATGAACTTGAACCGAAACGCAAAGAATGGATCCCATGGCAATATTGATTCATATGTTCTGAACACAATGAATGGTTGGAACGGAAATGAATGATAATATTAATTATAATATTAACCACCTTTGTTATTGAGACTCACAACAGTGCAAACAAACGGATGGTAATGATTCGCGAAGAGAGAGGCTATGAACAGTTACGTAATTTTGATGTTGTTGCTGTTGCTGTGTTTACAGTAAACCACCGTTTTTTTGGTTGCGTATTTCGTCTTTTTTATTAAGGCAGGACGACAAATACGGAAGGGTTCATTTCTTGATGTGGTGAACGGATCCGGGCTGCAAATGTGCACCACAATATTTTCGAGAGAAAAAGAGTGGCCCATCTTTTGAATTAATGACTTGCTGATAGAGAGTGCCTGGAGTTAGAATACGAGGTTTGCAGAGACACCTTAGAGAATATTCAACTAAATGAAGATTTTTCGGTATCTGCGTCTCATGTGATGATTCATGTATTCGTTTAGGTGAATTTTTGTAGAGAAAATCAACGAGTTGCTTTTTGCGAACATCATTAGCAATTAATTGTTCATCCTCACAAAACCAGTCTGTTTCACATTGAACAATGAATCTGCGTTGAGCTTGTTCTTCGAGTTCAATAATCTCATTTGAAAAAGCAGTGCTTTGGTGTAGTAAAAGAGTTTTTTCTTGTGTGCTTCTACCACGTGTGAGTAACACGCTATTCTCTGATGAGCACATGAGCAGGTAAAAGGGAGTTGTGGTGTAGCTAGTTTTGAGTTCGTTGAAAGCCTCTTTAAAATTCTCAAACTCTTGAATGACATGTCTCACAAGAAAATCTACTGGCCAAAATGACATGATAGTGGAAAACCAGCTTGCGATGTCACCAATTAATCCTTCATTAGTAATTCGTTGAATAAGTGAGAGAGAATATGAGCCATAATCATAATATTGTGAGTCATTGAGATTACCACTTTGCTTTTTTTGAGCTAATACGGAGTCCATTAGAAACACCAACGAGCGGAAGTATGGTGGTTGTTTGAAATAATGGCCTTCCATGTCTGATAAAATCAACATCAATAACTAAATGTCTCAAAATATTTGCAAGCTTTTCTTCAAAATTCATGTGTCTCAATTGAAAAATTCCTTCATATCCATTTTCTTCAATAGCAACTGAGCTCTCCACACAAAAATGTTTGTAGGACACATTGAATTGGAATATCAAGTCGTATCTCAGTCCAATACTTTTAGTAACGTCAGCAATTCCCCACATTTCTTCCTCAAGAAAATATGGTGTATGAATTTGGCTAATGATATCAGTCATGCTTGGAACGAACGTGTTATCGCCCTCCTCTGACAAGATGGAGTTTAGATATTGCGAAAGAAGTTTCAATGGTCTCATGAAATCATGTACAATGTGTTTCCATCTTTCTCTGGGCTCCATGTCTAGATCAATAGTATATCGAGGTGATGCTTTAAATGATGAAACAAATACGGAAGCAGATTGAGAGCTTTTGTGTGATTTGTTTTCTTTCTGGTTTTGGGAAGTTTTTGGTTGAGGCATGTCGAAAACATTTCTATCATCAACACTCAACTCTTTATCCATAGGTTTCAATGGATGATCAACAATGGCAGAAAAAGATTGAACTTTCAAGGAATTTTCATTCTTTTCCAAGATTTTGTGTTGTTCATTATCATGTTTGACTGCCTGTACAATATTTTCCATCCTGTTGTGATCTTCAACAGTTATTGCTTTTCCTAAATCCACTTCGTAAAAATCATAACCATCCAGTGTAGTAATTGGACAGTCATCAACTGGTTTAAAATTGGAAGTCAAAGGATGAAAATCGGTGACTTCTTCTTGGTCAGTTTGTTTTCGGTGTGATAAAGAATGTTCGTTCAATTCATTCAGTATTTCTTTTTCAGTGTTGTTTAATTTTGTGGATTCGTGATTATTGACACTTGCTTCACAAGATTTATCCAAATTAGAATTTTTGTTGTTGTGATGATTGGCCTCGTCAGCTGACGATGACATTTTTTGGTTCTGGTTTGAACATCGAATGTCTCTCTCTTATTGTTGCCTCATCGTTCTAAAAAACCAGATCATTGTTATTTCTTGACAACAGTGCGATGTTTGCCAATTTCAGCTCTCATGCAGTCTATCAGTGTGCTGTAAGCACTATTTAATTGTGTTGAATTTTCGGAATTATCTTCCAGACGTTTATATTGATTTTTGCACGGACCATCAATCAATTTCTCAAATCTTTTAATTTTGGATCATCATTTGAATTTTGTTTTTAATTTTCTACCTACTCTGTTTCCATTTCATACTCGATACATTCATGTAATCTTTCCTTATGAACTTGACAAACATGTTGTCGAATTTCAGGTTTAGCCGAAGAAAAGCAAACCATCAAAATATCAGCAAGTACGGGACAACGCCCCGTGCCTTGGTTAATCACGAATGAGTTGTAGAGATGAGGTTTGATTTTAAGAAACTGCTGTTGATGCCTTTCAGATTGAAGATAAGGTTGCATTTTTAATGATTCGTGGAGCAGTTGTATCCGAACATTCTACTCACAAGATCTGCATCGAGTTTCAGAAACGTAAAATTTTCTTCATCACAGTCATTGGGGATGTGAGGAGACTTCAAGACGTTGGAGGTAGTGTTGGATTTCAAGTTTCTTACATTTTTCAAGGCTTCTCTCACCCGCTTCAAATAAGGGTGTTGCTGCTTCCTGCTAGGTAATGAAGGTTTTGTTTTTTGCCTTTGGGGAGGTGTTGGCTCTGCTGATTCTATTGTGAACGACGAGTCTGGAGAGATGTGATTTAGTTTTTGCTTCTTCTCCTGACTTTTCATATTCGTTGGAGAGGATGAATGCATTTGACTCTCTTCTTGTAATTTTCGTTTCTAGTGTTGATCAAGCTCTAGAAAGAACGATCCATGACTACATGTTGTACTTACCGCACCATGAAGGAAGGAATCTAAGGTTTGTTGGTTCTTGTGAGGCAGTAGGAATTTATCCAAGCGCTTATTGTGTTTCATCGAGGTTTTGAATTGTCGGACTTCATGGCCTACCACAACATTAATGCCAGCTAAATAGCTTCCATCAGTCCAAGGATCTGTTTCCTCGCTTTGGAAATTATCCAACTCAAAACTCAACTCTACACACGAATGAGTCTCGGAAGGAATTCTTTCAGAAAGATCCATCATGTCCTTACAAACAATTGTTTCATCATCGTATGATTGAATATCATAGTTCTGAACAATCATTTGACTCAATAAGCTAAGGGGTCATTTGAGATTGGTATTAGGCACATATCTCCACTAAACGAAAATCCTACCTCATGATTGTTGGAAGGCGATATGTTTTTTCGTTCATAGGCTTTGATTGGTCGGCATTCTGAAGATAGTCAACTGGATCGTCTGACGAGGAGACTCTGTCTTGCTCTATTCTCTTTTGTTCAGAACGAGTTCTAAGGATGATCATCAATCCTTTTTCTTCCTCACGAGAACATTGTTTTGAATTTACTTGTATACTTTTCATTCGTAAATAAGGTGAACAAGTAAGGCTTCTTGCTTTATTTTTTTATAGTTCGTATCGTCGTTAGTATTGTTATGAAGAAAAAATTCAGGTCAACTGAATTTTTTCAAACAAGAGCGTATTGCGAACATTTTCTTTTCCAGTAATTGGACTTGAACATCACGATGAGTAATACTCTATTCCACAAAACAGTGCTGGGTACAAACAAAATTTTTTGAAAGCAAAAAAGTTCTTTGTGAACAATTTTAACTTTTCAAATAATTAAAAAAAAACCTATCGTCGAATGAGAAATTTCAACCACCAGAATAACAACGAGAATGATTTCAGTGGGCACGAAAGTCAAGACGATTCACCACCAACACTAGTGGATGTAATTGAATTCGATGATTACACGGATTCCGAGAATGAAGAATATAGAGATGATAATTATGATGATGATGATTCTCTCCCATCATTGGTTGATTATGAAACACCACTGCCAGCACTACACATGTTTCATTACTACTTGTTTAGGCACATGCTAAATAAATTGTCACTCTTGTGATCCTTTGAAAATCTACAAGTCGTATTCAATCTCTTAAAAACCTTAATTGCTATTTCGAACTGACCTGCAACAACAACAACAGGTGACACTCTCACCCATCAAAAAATTTACAAAAAATGAAAAATTTTTTCGGGAATTGGTCTCCCGCTGCTGAAGATGACAACAGCGTACGTGAGAAATACGCATCACCCAACGTTGCTGGTGTGGATACTATTTCAACAACAACATCGTCAACCAACAAAAAAATGATTTCTCATAATGACGGAAGGAATAATGTGTCATCCCCATCATCGGAAACAATGACCGTGATGGAATTTATGGCTACAGCACGGGCAGAAGATTATTTTGATATAAGCGGAAGAGCAAGTAGACATCGATCGAATGCCCACAGATTTGATTCTCCACAAGTGGAATTATCTAAATCCGAGGTTTTGCATAAACAAGAGCAAGTTCGCGATAAGCAGTTTGTGAAATCAGATGTGATTTACATGTTCGAAGCAGTAAAAGAAAATGCCAAAAAGATTTCAATTATGGACGATGAAGAAAACAACAAATCATCACTGATTGACACACTCAATCAATGCAAATATTCTTTTTGTGTTTCTACAAAGAAGTATGATGAAATTTGTGGTCAACACCTTTTATCCACACTTAACGGTCAATCGACAGTAAGGTTGACATTGAAAAAGGATTATTCGGATACATTGGATGTGTCCAAAATTAAATCCATATATTCCAAATATGAGACAACATTTTTGGTTTGTGGTAAGTACAAATTTGTAATATTGTTATAAATATTGTATTCTTTATATATTAATAATTCAAACATGAGATAGACTCTTTAATTTGGGTTGCTGGAAGCAATGAGCATTATAGATTAGGTTTAGGACACAACCTTCCATTAACAGTGGTTCCTTCCATACTTCGTCACAACTTTAACAAGGAAATCAAAAAGATATGCATTTTGCGTCAATCAACAGTGTTTTTAACAGAAGACAATATGGTTTATGCTTGTGGAGAAAATTTATATGTAAAATCTCCATATGACACAAAACCAAAAATGCCTTATCTTGAATCATCAACCTATCTGACAAGTGGTATAGAAGATGCTGTCAACACAGAAAATTGCATCTTCTTTTTGACACAGGAAGGTACTGTTCTAGTTGCAGGCCACCCTGATGCTACAGGTCCTTTCTTTGCAACTCTAACTGAATCACAAAGTGCTGTAGTGTCAAGTACTCTTACCATTCGAGTTATTACTAGTTTATTTGGAAAAGAAATTGTTAAAATTTCATGTAGTGATGATAATGGAGTGACATTAATGTGCTTGGCTAAGGGTAGGTGAAATTAATGAATTCCAAAAAACTTAACTGTTGTCAAGATTATCAAACGGTGTGGTGCTTGGGAAACAATTTAAATGGAATTTTTGGAATTGGATTTGCTAAAAACTTTACAACTCCTAAAGAGCTAACCTTTTTCAAAGAGAATGACATTACCTTACAGGATATTTATTGTAAAGGAGGTGAATGCTTCTTTTTAACAACCACAGGAAGGTAATTATTTTAAATTATTATTTATTTCTAATCCTCTTTGTAGAGTTTATCAAACAGGAGGGTCTCCAGAATTCTATATTCCAAAACAAATATTGATTGAACACACCATTGTTGCGATTGAGGAAGATGGAATTTTTAGAAATTGTAAGTAATTTAAGTACACACACAATGTGAACTGTGACCTGGTCAAATTACTTGTTGCAGCTCATGGTCGATATTTATTCAGTTGTGGCATGACCAAAGCAGTTGGAGTGTACAAATATTTCAATGACAGGTTCCAACTGCTTCATAATGCATTTCTACACTTTTTAGATACACCTAGTACTACTACTGCATCTTCATCAGATCCCCAAGACATTTTCTCCAAGTCAGCAAAAGAAGTCAAATCATCAGGTGAAATAGTTGTCATACCCAAGCCAGTTCTTTTTGGGTATAGCCACTTCTTTGATCCTTGTTCGGAGCTTCCATTCGATTCCTTACTTGAAAAGTCCTTTTCCAAGACCACAATAGGAGGGACAACGTTTTTTGAAGCAACAGAAAATTTGAAAACATCCATGGGACTTTACAATGCAAGCTCTAATTATTTTCAAATACCAAATGGTACAATAACCTCTTCCCTATTTGTAAGCTTTTTAAATAGTCAACCTATTCACAAATTAATTATTGGAGAATTCAGTTCATCCGAATATGAATTAACATTTTACAAGAAGGATGCCTTTTTGAATAATGTCGAAAAAGATCTTATGGCTCTCTCTGAATTTTTTGGAATGGAAGAGTTCAATAAGCTCATTGTGGCCAGTCATTTGATTTCTCAGAACTATAGTACGTTAATAATTTTGATAATAATTTTTTAATACTTTTTTAATACTTTTTGTCTCATTGTGACCATTGAAAACGACTCACTTGTGATTTTGTTGGATAGGCAAGGAGATTAATATAATTTCCAACTCTGAAGAACTTGCCAAGAGAGAAAACTTTGACATTTACAACAGTCTATTTGATCTCTATAAATCAATCGCTGAACCATCGAGCAGTAGCGACGACACACGCGCACACATTAGAGAACAGTATTTTTCTTCATTGAAACCACATTTCTTTCCAAAGCAAATTCAATATGCATTTGACCTTAATTTAACCGTTTGGATTATTGAACTGTATTGCTACATTGCAGAACAGACAAAATACACAGATATGGATGCAGTCAACACGTATAATGTGGTTCAAAATTTGATACCAAACAGTTTTGAAGAATTCAGACAGTATTGCTACAATATATTGAACTTACCAATCAATAGAGAGAATCGTAAAGATGTGTCTCGATTCTTGTCAAAGCAAACTCCTTTTGGTTATATAGCAAAAGCAGAGACAGTGTTTATTGCTGTGACTCTTTGTTTGGCCATCAAAATGCTTTCCAATAAGGAAATTCTCACCAAATCAGCTTTTCATGTGGATCCAGAACATCACATTCTTCTCTCAGCAACACTCACTTCTTATGAAGAATCTGTATCCAAGTTATTTCAAAAAGAAGGTCTCTCTGGTTATGCTTCCACGAGCAAAAAGTAAGTATTTTACAAAAGATCATCACAACATTTCAAAATTGTGTCATCCATATGAATGGATTGGATCAGAATTAACGAAAAGCAAATTTCAAACTTTGTGTTAAATCACATGTTAAATTCATCCATCTCTCTCATTAGAGATTTAAACAAGCTATCTATTGAAAACAAAGCATTACTTTTATTGAAACATCTAGTCATGAATGTATTAAGCAATGAAGGACCCAAGTGGAAACCTCCAAATATGACCGTTTTTGGAAATCACTACATTTTGTTAAAGAAAGTTGGAGAAGGAGCAGAAGGATCTGTATTTAAATGTTTTGATAGAAACACCATGTCCTTTGTTGCTCTTAAACGATACAATGAAGTGATGGATCAAGAAAAAATTAAGGAAATTAATCGACATTTGGATTTAGTCATGAAACTTTCGGTTCATAAAAATTTAGTGACCGTCTTGAAAAAGTTTGTTGAAAGAAAAGGAGAAATGTTCAATGATTATGGATTGAATGTGGTGATGAATTATATTCCACATGGAACTCTGTATGATCATCTTAATATCTACAAAAACAATCCTTCCATGCCTTACTATCCTGAATGGTTGTCCTTTGCTATTGATATTGCTTCTGGTATGGAACAACTTCATTATCAAAACTTTATTTATAGAGACCTCAAGAGTGAGAACATTCTTCTTGATTCAGACAGTCGAACGGGTTCATTGATTTGTAAAATTTCTGATTTTGGATTGTTGACACGATGGGATCCAAGAATGAGTGTCAGTCGAAAAGGTACTCCACTTACAATGGCTCCAGAGTATATGGACTCCAATGTATTGATTGACAAAGCTTGTGACATTTTCTCATTGGGTTGTGTGATTTATGAGTTATTGACTCTTGAACGAGATTTAACAATGAATGGTCAACGATTTCTTTTTCATGAAGCAATTAGAAATAATCAATCTTCAGCTCATGCTAGGATTTGTAAAGTGTTAGAAGGCAATGGATTTCCACCTCTCGTACAGAGATTAATTATTTCCATGATTCAACGAAAAATCTTTTTAAGACCTCAATCTCATCAAGTGGTACGAATTTTGGAATCATTTCGAGATAATGGATTTTTCACATTGGAAAAGCAGCTTGAGCAGTTGCTTCTTGCCTTGCCAGTGGTGTCACCCACAGATTCCTCCTTGCCTCCATCCAAAGATCAAGAACGAAAAAGGAATACTTTTGGATTGCTCAATGGACGATATAAGATACTTGGAAAGTTGAATGCAGACTCCGATGCGTGTATAAGATTTCTTTGTGCAGACACAAAGAGTAATGATAAGGAGGTTTTAGTGTTGGTGTTTTTACATTTTGGAGTATTTTGTAGTCATGTAAGTTCATCATGATGTTGGCAGGCTGCTTTCAATGTTCTCGTACTAATCTTGTATCAATTCAAGTTATCGAAATATCAATTTCATCATCGTCATATCATACAAAGAATTGAAGAATTCAGCGAAGACAAAACTTTTGGAATTGTGACTACCTATCTCAATGGAGGAAGCTTGTTGTCTTTTATTAAATCACAAGGTAGCTCAAATCAAGATTCGAATGTGAGCATGAATTCACCTCCCTTAAATGTCATGATGCAATGTTGTGATGCAATGATACACATTCATGAACGAAAGAAGGTTCATCTTGGAATTTGTCCAGAGAACATTTTATATCAGTTGTCCTCTTGGAAGAATATTGATATTATGGTTGAAGCACTGGACAATGTGACAGATATCGTTGAGCTAGAGAGATCTTTACCTAAACAACTTCAGTATAACGTATTCATACCTGAATATCATGCTACCCATTCCAATAAGGAGCTTTCATTTGCTTCCGATATTTTCTGCTTGGGAGTTGTATTTTATCAACTATTAAGTCGAGATTTAGTAAGTTTTTTTGAACTATTGTATTGGAACTTGAAAACCATGTTTTTTAAAGACATCTTTCCATGTCATGTCAGAAACAGACATGCTGTCAAGAGTGAACGAACAGTTGAAAACTAGTACTGATAATCAAAAGCTGATAGATCTTGTCGTGAGTATGTTAAGTTGGAAGCCTTCAGAAAGACCAACAGCCAAACAAATCAGATCGATACTCGAAGAATGTGTTTAATTATTTGGATTTTCACTAAACAAAGTACCCAGCAAAATATCCAGCACATTAATTCCTTTCCTCGTTGCCACCATCCTACGTTCCTCTGCTTCTTCAACCAATGACAAGTAGTCATGTTCTATTAATCTATTGATCAAATTGGAACTGAATAATTTCTCAAAAGTCATACTCGAGTTGATGTATTTGAGAGAGCTCTCTTTGACTCCTTCTTTTGCCATTCTTAAACCCATCATGAACAGCTCCTCAATTTGTTGCATTTCAGAAAGATTTTCTTGCTTAATGTTTCCCAACAGTAATGCAGGATTGGAATTTCGTGTTGAGAAATCTAGTGAAGCTTTTTCAATCCAATCTTCAGGCTTTAAAACCTGAATCGTTGAATACCGTTGACGTGTCTCGTAGTTTGTTAATCTTCCATGAGCACCTGGTCCAATTCCAACAAAGTCGTAAATAGATCTCCAATACATAATGTTGTGTTTACATTCTTTTCCAGGTTTAGCAAAATTAGACACTTCATACATTTCAAGGCCAGCACTGTGGCATGTGTCAATGGTGTAGTCATACATGTAGCTATACTCGTCTTCGTTTGGTAAATCTTTCTCTTCATTAAACAATTTGTAATATTTTGTGTTCTTCTCAATAGTCAATTGATAGAGCGAAATATGTGCAAGATCTAAGCTTAAAGCTTTCTTCAACGTCTTTTCCCATATTGTTCTATTTGTCTTGTGTTGTGGTAAACCAAACATTAAATCAATGGAAAGAGAGTCATTTCCAAAAATGTTTTTTGCATTCTCAATTGCATACATTGCCTCATCCACGGAATGTTCTCTACCTAGAGTTTTCAAACAATCACTATCAAAACTTTGGACTCCAATACTCAATCTGTTTATACCTGCTTTGTGAAAATTTAACAACTTTGCTGACTCTATCGATGTTGGATTAGCTTCCATCGAAATTTCAACTCCATCTCTGTTCGAGGAAAATATTTCCATACTTTTTGAAATTAATTCTTCCATCATGAGAGGATTCATTGTTGAAGGAGTTCCACCACCAAAGAAAATTGAAACGAGTTCATAATTATTTTGTGGATTTAAATTTTTCATTTGTCGTTTAAAATCTTCCAATATTAATAAATAGGTTTTCATCATTTGATATCCAATATTGTTATTAGAATTGTGAGGATCTAAATTTTGAATGGATGTCAAATCTCGTTTGTATCTATTGAAATCGCAGTAGGAACATATAGATTGGCAGAAAGGCCAATGAAAATAAATTGAAATTGGAATTGTTGAGCAATCATTCGGCAAGGATTTGAGAGGATTTGACGAAAGGCATTGTGTTGTTAATGCATCATCATCATTCGCGTTGTTGTGATGATGTAAATATGGCAGGTTACTATTTAATGAAAATTCTCTTGTGTCTAGATGAGTATGATTCATCAAATGCATCATCACTCGTGAATTAGTTTTACATATTAAATAATTCCGAAGAGTGTTGTTGTGTTGCAAAAAAGAAGATAACATGCTCCGTGAAACATCCGTTCGAACAATGCATGAAGAAATTTGTTGCATTTTTTTTGTTGTTGCTTAAATATATTTGAATTGGAAATGGTCATAACATTTGATGTAACATTACATTCGAAGTTCTTCGAAGGGTTGATTAGGATGTCTGTAGCGTTTGGAATGACACATCCATGTGCATAGCTCGTCCATATATCTTTCTAGTGCCTTAATATATAAAAATTGGTGATGGCTCAATGCTGATGATTCAGGTTGTTGTTGCTGTTGAACGAGTTGATCAAATTCGAGTCTGTAGCGTGCAATATCACGCAGACAGATTCGAGATGCTTCTTCAAGAGTCATTCCTCGAGAGTGTTTTAGTAATACTTGTAGATACGACAAATTAATATCTCCGCCAAGTACATTGTAGTCATGAGGGAGCAAGACATCTTTGTGATAGGAAAGTAAATCATTCACAAGAGAAAGAACCAAACTACACAATCTTTCTGCTTTTTCAAAGAGAGATCGATGTGTTTGGTATTCTTCAATGCTTAATCCAGATCCATTTTCTGTCGCACAAAGCTCAATGATAGGAGCTGCACAAAACGTGGCACTATCATAAAGCCGTCTTTCAAGATATTGCTCAGGAGTTTCAGAAATGTCATCTCCTTGTCTAATACCAATGTTGAAAAAGTTCTCCATTTCAGTAATGAATCGATCAATGACACGCTGGTTGCTAGTAATTTGATGCAACTCGCACATAAGATGTGAAATATATTTCACATGAGGATCTACATTTTGTTTCGAAAATAGATCTTCACAATGATCGTTTTTGAATCGGTTGCTTCTCAATGCCTTAATGCAATGATCCAACAAGTTGTCTCTCTTTTTCACATCCTCTTCATTCTTGATACAATTATCGATTCGATCATCAATGCTAAACAAAAAGAAATAAAAGTCTGTAATAAATTTAAGCTCTATAAATTCCAATTCCGATTTCTCTTTCGTTACATTTAAAGGACAAAAACAATTAAAAATCAATCCCATGCTATCATTCTTTTCAAGTTTCTTTCTCAACATTTCCAAAGCTGATAAATTACTTCCTGGAATAATTCCACAATTTTGGCACAGACTCAACAAGTGATTCATGCACCTCTCATGATAATAACTCTTCATATCTTGGGTTTCATTTGAAATAAATTTCTTCTCCACTCGACCCGAATACTGTAATGCTTTTGAAATATTCCATAAATTATTTTCAAATTTCAAAGATTGCGATAATGATGAGCGAGTCAGTAAATGCTGTTCCGATAAAGAACGAAGGCTTAAAGAAAATCTTTTCATTTTTTTTTGAATTTATTTTCAAAAAAGTTGAATATTACAATTTTAAGATGGAAGGAATCGAAAGTCCAACTCTCTCTCTCATTATTGAATGAGCTCACATTTAATAGGAGTAGGAACATCACTGCCTTCACTCACAAGACCAGAACATGTACTAGTTGTCACCACTTGAATCTCTTGTTCTTGATTGAATTCCTTGCTGTCTGGAGAAGAAATGAAACTGTTACATCTCTCCACTCGATCAAGAGCAGTGGTTGTTGGTCGTTTCGTTGGAAGTTCAGTTGGACCGTTCGCTCCAGACGATTGAGAGAAATCGCCACCTTCACTGAAAGATTTTGTCACTTGTTTCAATGGATTGTAAATGCATAAAATCAACACAATGAAAATGAAAATTCCCAAATTGAAAATGAAATGAAAAACACTTGCTAGTATGGTCTTGAAGATTTGAGCTGGAATGAACAAGAAACCAATACATTGCACCAATAAGGAGGCACTAAGACCATATTGAATAAGCATGGATTTTCTGAGAGCACTCTTCTTAATCATGTAAGTTTGTACACTTTCTATATTTGTATTTTTCGATTGTAAAGTCGATTCATCTTTGAGAGACATTATGATTCGGTTCTGGCTCTCCACAAGATAATGCTGTAGTTTTCTTCCAATGATCTAGATGAAACTTGTCAAGTGAATCATTAAAGACATTTCTTCTCACAACTTACATTAATTGCAACAACGACAACGATGGATGACACAAAAAACAAAAAGGTCATCACAGTCACAAGTGCAACGGTGGCTGGCAAAATGACATTCACATAATGAGCATCTGCTGCAATTGCAATACCTACAGTGAAGACAAGCAGGTTCAATACAACAAATAGAATGGTAAAAACAAGGATAAAAATGATGAAAAATCGACGCATGCGTTTGAAATTGACAGCTGAAAGAGTGCCAACCGATCGACAGGTTCGACAGCTGTGTGTGTGTTAAAGATGAGCAACCTAAAAGCACTTTCAACAATACTTACAAAACGTAGGAAATATGACACATGATCAGAATTTCCATCAACATGGCACTATTCGCCAAACATCTGTCGAAAATCTTAATCACGGCTTTGATTTCAATCCCTACTTCTGGATCTGGATGAAGAATTCCATACTCTGAGGATGTTCTTGTCAATATGTTCGCACACACAAAACCTTCAAGAACAAATAAGAGAGAAAAGAGAACATGTTGATTTCGTTTCATATGAGACCGTTGAATCATGTAACTCACAAATGTAATGAGCAACAAAGCCACAAATAACAACAAGAATGGATAATTAAAGGCAAGAATGATATAACTTTCTGTTGAGAAGAGTGCAATGCTGCTATTTCTGGTGTTGTTGTTAGGCGATGTATTATTTCCATCGGAAAGAGTTGTGTGAATGACTGAAGGGCTCGTTGGATTCATTGATGATGTTTTATTTACAAAATTTCAATGAAACAAATCGTTTGGTTTTGTTGAGTTTGTTGAGGGTGTGAGTCATGAGGTCATGCAAGAATGAAAAGAGAAAGAGTACGGACTGTAATATGCATAACTTTCCTTTTTTGTGAAATGAGTGAGATTTCCCGAAAATCTTGTCCCTCAGGTCAGTCATCGAAAAGGTAACACCAACAAGATTGTGAGTCACATGATTCAGTGATCTTGTTCTTTTCTTGAAATATCATAGTGATCTTGTTCTTTTCTTGAAATATCATAGAGATCTTAAAAAGTGTGGATGAACCAGCACTTCAATAGCATTTTCAAATTACACATGCTTTCCTTCATCTCTTGTGTTGTTATTCAAAGAATGAGACGAATTATTCAAATCAAACGCTTCAACAGGATGTGTACATGGAGAAAGTGTGTGAGAAATGGGAGAGGCCACTTCTTTCTCCTTATTAGAATCACTTTTCACAATCTTTGGATCATTCACAAGCTGACTTGATGTTAATGACGTACTGGTTGCCAATTTTGTTCCATCTGTACTTTCTCTAAATAATTTGGTCACTTGTTTCATTGGATGATAAATCACCAAAATCAAAATCACAAAAATGGCAATTCCCAAGTTGCAGATGAAATGAAACAAATTGAGAAGATATGACCATCCCAATGAAGCTGGAATGAACAGGAAACCAATACATTGCAATAATAAGCAGGCACTTAGACCGTACTGAACGATCCTGGATTTTTGAAGAGCACTCTTCTTAATCTGGTAAGTTTTCATCCATTCCGAACTTGACGTGTTTGTTAAACCACTTTCAGAAAACCTCTTTGAAGAACTAAGAGTCTCTTGGAGAGAATTCATAATTCTCTTTTTACTTTCTTTTAAATTATTTCGAAGCTTTCGTCCAATGATCTTTTTCAGTGCATGCAATTTAATGGCAATTTAATGGTGAGTGGGCAATGCATGCGATGGAAAATTAATGGTGTGTGAGAGGTTTGACATTTCACACCAAGTGCAATGGAATTTAGTGTGAGTGAGAGAGAGAATTTTTCAAAGTACTTACATTGAGCATGACAGAAACAATGATTGAGGAAACAAAAAACAATATGGATGCAGTAAGGAACAACACAATGTTCACAGGAATCACAGCATTTTGAGAATGAGATATCGACATTACAGCTCCAAAGACGATTGCAATGGCACACACTGTCAAGTACAGGAAACCAGAGACAGAAAGAAAAATAATGACAAATCGTCGAATTCGCTTTACAGTTTCAGCTGAGAACACATTGATCGATCGACAAGTGTCACAGCTAGTATATTGTCTTGTTTGCAAATGCTTTCATCATAATTACAACACTTACAAGACCAGTGAAATATGACACATGATCACAATCTCCATATAGACCGCACTCGTCACAACACATCGATCAAAAATTTTGATCACTGCATTGATAATCCTTCCAATATTGGGATCTGAATGAAGAAATCCCAACTCTGCAGATGTTCTTGTCAACATGTTGACACAAACTAAACTCTCCAACACAAATAAAAGAGCAAAAAGAACATGTTGATTTCGTTTCATTTGTGAGCGTTGCATGATATAGCTCACAATACTTGAAACAAGCAATGAGACAAATACTAGAAAGAAAGGATAATTGATGGAAAGGATGACATAGCTTGAGGTTGAGAAGAGTGATGACGTGCCATTGATGCTTTGATTCGTTGGAATGGCAGAGATGTTTTTGTCTCCGTTCCAAGTTGCATTTGCGAGAGTGATGATAAACAACGAATTAGGGATCATTTGGATGTGAAGAAGAGAGAGAGAAGAACAACGCAATTGAGTATTTCTTTTGAGCTTTTATTGTGTCTTTCTTGTTCGCAGAAAATTGCTAATAAAAAGACGTCATACTTTTGATTTGAGCAAGATTTGATTGTCATGTTGTGACATTCGGCTTATTGGTGAGGGACTAAATTTGTCAAGAGAGATCTTCATGGTATGACTTTGTACAACGTTGGGGGCAATAAAAAATGTGACAGAATGAATGTCCCTCACCAACAACTTTGAGATTAGACTACAGTTGTTGGTGCTCCCGATTGAGTAAAATAACATCAAGAACTTTGAATTTACTGTCTTAAGCTCATAAGGTTTATAACTTGACTATGTAAATCGTGACATTGCTTATTTCGTCATGTTCAATTTCTTTGAAATCCACTCATTCATATTCTTTTCAGGAACTTTTTCATTCATGGCTTGTTCAACGAGATTAGGAATGTCAAAATTTCGATCTGTCAATATTAATTTCATGTTCAACAATGCTTGATGATAGAATTGTTTTGTTTTGATCATTAACTCCTCATTGAGTGAATCAATTTGTTGTTGAAGTGGCACAAGTTCATCTTGTTCTATTTGTGCTCGTTGTTTCGAAAGAGTTTCTTGTAATTCTTCTTGAATGTTCTTCCTTTCTTGTTTGATTTGTTTTTGGAATTCCAATCGAAGAGTATTTTCTGAGTGTTCATTTTCTTTCTTTAGAGATGACAATTTGTGTTCATATTCTTTTTTGAGTTCTTCGATTTGTTGAGTGTGTGATTTCTCCAACTCGTCACGTTGTGTTTCATGAAGTGAAATGAGAGCAGACTTTTCTTGCTCTGCTGCTTTCATCCATTTCTCTTTTTCAGAAGCCAACAATTCTTGAACTTCATTCTTCCATTTGACTTGTTCCTGAGCGAGTAATTGAGCGAGACGATTCTCCATGTAAATTTTTCGTTCTTCTTCTTCTTGTTGACGTTGTCTGAGATCAATGGTTGCTCCACGAGGAGAGGTATGATTACTTGTTGTTTTCGTCTTTTCTTCCAATTCTTTTTCTTTGTTTTCTAAATTAAGTGTTAGTCTTTCACAGAATTCGGTCAATTCCTTATTTTGTTCTTCTTTCTCTTCTAATTGTTGTTTGAGAGTATTTGAAAGAATTTCTAATTCATTCTTTTCTTTTTGAATGATCATTAGTGTTTCATTCAATTTCTTGATCGTATCTTCCTTTTGAAGGTTTGTAAATGTTTCCTTTTTAAGAGACATGATCGTTTCATCCTTAAAGGCGAGATCCTTTCTTAATTCTTCCAATTCACCACTCATGAGTTGCAATTGATGTTGATAATCCTCTTCAATTTCTTTCATTTGTTCTTCCATTAATTTAATGGCATTATCGGCAGCTTCTTGTTTCGTCACATTGGCAACAAGATTGTCGTCCTGACTCGCAACTGCTTGAACATCCGTATTTGATTGACCTTCTTCCTTAATGACATTTTGCAATTGTTGAATCATGGAATTGGTAAATTGAGCAGATCTTCTTCCAGATAATGCAGAAAAGGAACTAACATCTTCAGTAGAGAGACCTCCAAGATTAATACTCATGGATTTTCGATGACCAGCTGTGTTCAAGTTTGAATTCAGCAAAGTGCCACTTGAAGAAAATAGAGAATCGACATTTTCAATCAGAAATCGACACACTTGACAAATGATTGGCAATGTTTGTTGTTGTTTTTGCAAGTGAGCTCGAATGGACATTCTCTTAAAATCATCCAATACGACTGCAACCGATGATTGTGGAACGAACATTAAATTCGTACCCATCACAATGGCCATCGTTTTGGGTGTCATTTTCGTCACAGTTGAGAACTCTCCAACACTGGCTAATTTCAAAATACTCAATAATTCACGAAGGACACTTTGATTGGGTTGTGGCAATGTATGAATCAATCTTTTGGTTCCTTCAAAAACATGAGTATAAACATTTGGATCAGATTCGAGAGAAATTTCATCAAGTTCAACATAGGGTTCGTAGAGACGAATATAATCGTCGTACTTTTCATAGGTCAATAAAGGATCTTGCATTTCACGTAAAAATCTCTTCACTAAATCAGCAACCATGTGAGCATCGGTTCCAGGAGCAAATTGAACACCATTTGGAAATAAATGAGGAAATGCAAGCATGGTGTTAAATTTCTTGACAAACTTTTCAATTTTCACTTTGGATCCAGCCATTCTGAAAATTCCTTCAAAACACAATCTTGGTGGATCTGATTCACTTGGTGAAGTTCTAAGAAAGTTAAAACAAGCTCTCAACACATATGGAATTTTAACTTCTTTCAACAGAAAGAGAGCTGGTTCTTTGACATGAAATTGTTCTTCTTCAGTGAGAGAGCTATAAAGTGTTTCAATATTATTCCAATCGATACTTGTGGATGAAATAGTTTTCATGGAAAGAGGTGAACGAATGGTGAGAGGACTCATCAATGTCGTCAGTTGAACCTTTTTACCAGACTCTAGCTCAGAAACAATCCAATTACTATTTAAAGCATTTGATTTCAAGTGTTTCATTAAAAAGTGAAAATTAAACAATGTCTCATTCTTACAAATGGTTTGCAAATAATTTCCATAGACTTTTGTCTTTGTAGGTGCACAATTTGGAAACAATTCCAAATACAAGGTATCATGAACAGGTGCTTGTGCATCACTAGAGAGAATGTGAAAATTATGAGCATATTCTTTCAATGAGAGAACTGCAGATTTCATTTTGATAAATTCTCTTCTCATTTCAACATCTCCCAAATCACAAGATTGATCTTGTGCAGATGTCATTGAAGATTCGTTGGTGTTCTTTCTGTCAATCATGGCAAAATCACCTTGTTGATAATAGAAACTTCCAGGAACGCTTTTTCTCTTTTTTGATAAAACACTACTATACATCATGTTGACGAGACCTGATCCAAAGGAGGTCATTCGATTATGACCACCATTAGATCCTCCTCCTCCTCCTCCGCCACCACCACCACTGTTGTTACTTCCAGTCGAGGAATGTGACATGGTTGATGTGGAATGATTTGCAGAATCAGAACCAACAATCATTTCAGGAGTGATGCATGTGGTGGTCATCACAAAACATGAATTTTGTGGGAAGACCATTTGGAGCTCATCTTGTAATTGGAGGAGGATATCACTAAATGTTACTTGTTTTGCTTTTTTCCCTCCGATTTCAATGATTTTGGAGTGGAGCGTATTTGCTTGATCGGTAGGTGATAATTCAATGTGGAGAAGAAGTTTTCCAGATGAATTAGAATTCGAGGACATGTTTTTGATTATTAAACAATTGTTGTTGTTTGAGTTGTGGTGTTCGGGAGCAGGTGGTCGTGTGATTTGTAAAAATTATTGGATAACACAGTTGTTGAAGTCAATTCGCACACGCTCAGATGTCTATTTGTTGTTGTTTGGCAATGATGATGTTGTTGGCAGGTGATGATGTTGAGATTTTTCAAGAAATAGAAGTTGTCTGTCATTTGTCAATACGAAGAGGTTTCGGAATTGTTTACAAAATATGCAACGAATGATCTCTTTAATCACATACAACTGTAACAGTTGTTATGGCTTCTTGACCAAAGCAACCAAATTGAAATACAATTGCTCTGGGTTAAGTTGCATGTAATGTCGCACAACTTTCACGACATCCTTTAATAAATCGCCAGAGCTCTCTCCTCGATAGCATGGATGATTTCTTCTTCCATCCAACTCAAATACTTTGCCACTTTTTTCTACAAAACAAACAAAGTGCAAGTTTGTGTCCTCAACAACAGCAGAAGAGTTCTCCGAAGATAAAGCACTGCTTTCATGAGCTTCTTCAACTCTGTTGTCCTTTTCTAATGCTTTAGCGATCTCGTCAGGTGTTTTTCCTTGGCTAGCATTGAGAAAGTCTTTCAAAAAACTGTCTTTGTCAATATTCAACAGAGAAGCATTGTTAGCCAAAGAATGTACAATTGCAACAGTTCCACACGCATTTCCGATTGTTTGTTTCATAAAGAACAAGTCTTTGGGGAATGTATCTTTTTGCTTTTCAGATTCAGCATCTTCTTTTGATTGTACCTCTTGGTTTTCTTTCGTGAGAGGGAACAAGAGCATTACGGCTACAACAGGACGTGGAACCATTTCTAATAGCTCGTCATCAAGCCCAAAAACATCAACATATTCATAAGCACTATCTGTTCCGAGACCTAATTTACTTGCATATGAATTCATTAGATCTGGATTTGATTCCAATGGAAACCAAGCTTTACAAGGTTTGTAATAAAAGCCAATTTGAAAATTTAATTTTGTTTGATGATCATCACCCTCTCCATATATCAAGCTTACCTACTTTTTGTTGACATTTTTTTGTTGGTTTAATAATGTGGAACTTCCAATAATAATCAGATCAACCAACAAAACATCTGAAATTTTACTTTTTGGTAATGTCAAGCTGAATGTCCCAAAACGCCTTTATCAAAGCATTTAGGGCTTTTTGTTCTCTCTCGTTCAACCGATCCACCAACGGTTTGAATTTTTCTGGATGCTTTTTGTATGCTTTGAAGTGAGTTAAAATTTCCTTAAAAACATGTGCCACTAAATCATCGTCAAAAATCTCCATTTCTTTCTCTATCTCTTTCTTTTGTTCAAACTTTTCCTTTTCTTTTAATCGTTTAGAAATTTTTTCAGGTGTATAATCTCTAAAAAGTATGTCAAGAAACAAGGATTGATCTTTGTCTGGAAGTTTTTCGCAAAGTTGCAATAATTGTTGTGGGTTTTGGGTATAGTGCAATAAATTATCCTCAAAAACTTTGAGAGCTTCTTTAACAGCATCAGAAGCCTTCTCTAATAGTTTTTTTGTCAGATTAGTATCATTAGCATTTTCCAAGTCTTCGTCCTCCAAGTCATCCTCTGTCAAATTTTGCCAAATTTTTGCATTAATGTCGCTACTAATCATAGCTGTATTTTTCACGGCCTCAATCACTTGAGGGTCGTTGTTAAAAAATTTAATTGCATCATCAGGTTCCTTTTGTAAAAGATCCATCAGTGACGACAATTCATTTGGTTGAAGTTTTGAAATAAAGTGATCGGCTGTGTTCTTGTCTGTTATCATTGATTGTCCTGATTTTAGTAATTCAATGTAAATTTGTTTCAATTTTGATTTGGGTACGTTTCCTTGCTTGTCCTGCGAAAGAGTGTTTAAATTCTTAAATTCTTGTAATAATTGCTTTTTGAATTCTTCATCATCGGAAAGATCATCCAACTCTCCGTCATCGGAATCGTCGGAGTCATTGAGAAACCCTTTGCTAGATAAATCGTGTGCTAGTTTTTGAGTGAGCATATCCACAGTTTTCGAATCCAATTCCAAATCTTCATCGAAATTAATTCCACCTGAGGACGAAGACTTTGAGGGAGGTTTTGTTGATTTGTCCTTTGTTGAATCCGAAGCTGTTGAAGCAGGAAATTGCTGCTTGTTCAAGGTTTCCATCAAGTTTTGCATAAATGATTCTGTTGAAGATGACGAAGGCTTACTGTTCTTGTTGAGCATTTTTCTTCGATGGATCTGGGACAAATTAATTTAATTAATTTTTCTTCAAGTGATCATTTGATATAAATTTCTCACCAACATCTTTAAAATTTAATAATTAATTAATTGATTGTTTATTGTTATTTGTACAGGAAACCTAGGGGTGTCAAAAAGATGATTGACAAAATTGTTTCATTATACTCTCACGAGTTCATGGTGATGGTGTTTAATATCCGAAACCATAGAGGGTTCTTCCTTGTCTCTTCAAGGCGTAGACAACATCCATGGATGTAACAGTCTTTCTTCTTGCGTGTTCAGTGTATGTAACAGCATCTCTAATCACATTTTCCAAAAAGTTCTTCAAGACAGTACGAGTCTCATCATAGATTTGTCCGGAAATACGCTTCACACCTCCTCTTCTTGCCAATCTTCTAATGGCTGGCTTGGTGATACCAGCAATGTTATCTCTGAGGACCTTCTTGTGTCTCTTGGCACCACCCTTTCCGAGACCCTTACCACCCTTACCTCTGCCAGTTGTTGTAGTCATTGCTATGTGTTAGTTGTGTTGGAGTTGATTCGTAAGCACGAGTTGATTTGTTTTTTTTTGTTGTGGATATCGATGACGTTCGGGTAGACGCATTTATTTGGCTATGAGGGGAATGGAAAACCCAAAATTTTTCGTAACGGTTTTTGTAAAGTCTCCAAAAATTCGATCCGCAACGAAAAAAGTTGAGAGACTTTACAATGAAATGTCTTGAAAACAAAGAAAAACCACGGTGACTCTCTCCTTGCACCTGATCATCTTTCTTTTATCCACCTTCAATCTCTAGATTGTTTCTCCGATTTCAATACTGGCATCTCGACCACCTGGATACTCTCCGAACTTGACAAGTGCTTGCACTCACTCAACATGAGTCTTGTCAAATCCGAATTGTCGTCATAGGCATCACACGCATAACAGAAGATACTCAAGTCAGACAGGGTGATGAGTGGATTGATAATGGTTCAACATGTATCCCTTTCGGTACTACTGCAACAAATCGAATGGTTGGAACATGAAAATGAGGACAATTTTGCAAATGCTCCACTTCAAATCCTACTCCTTCGATCTCATAACTCTTGTTATTTGTTGGTGCTGAATCACTTGTTGATGATGAAGATGAGGGAGGATGAAGAGGACATGACGATGTCGAGAGGCTGTTTTGATTTCTGTTTCCTTCTCTTTGTTGAACTCATGACAACTCGGCACTTCTTACACCAAAACCGAGAAGTTTGAAATAAACTGTCAAGCTCAAACAAACCAAGAGAATGTTCTTGTCCTCTCGATTTCTATGTGAGTGTATCATCATCTCACGAATCAAGCTCGTTTTGTTTCATCAAAGATTTGAAACCAAAAAAAATGAGTTCTGAGCCATTTTCCTTGGCGAAGGAAATTGAGAAAGTATTGGCAAAGAGCCAACCCGAGAACAACAAGTACGAAGAAGAAGAGGCTTGTGATTCCTGCGAAAATGAGGAGGATAGTACCTCCTTTGAAAATGATAACTTTGAATATGATGAAGAATGTGAAGAAGTCGTTGAAATTTCGGAAAATGAAATGTTGGCCATGTTGGATGCCGAGAGAGATCCCTTTGATGTCTGTGCACAAATATTTGACAAAGAGAAATTATTTGGAGATGAATATCACGAAGATGAAATAATTGTTTCACCAAATTTGACTCTGAAGCATTTCAGAGAATTGTACCAAAGAGGATTTGTGGTCATTGACAATTTCATCGATTCCGAAGAAGCAAATGAGATTTACTCGTTAACAAAGAAAATTTCTCATACATTCAAGCCTGCATGTGAGTTGAAATCCATTGAGGACTCTTGTGATGATAAATTTAGAGACAATACAGCCAGGTCAGACCTTATCAAGTGGCTTCATCCTAAAGTAGGTTGATAATTGAAGTTTTCCAGAGTGTTATAATCCCAACACTATGACTGATGGTTGAACCCTTAAATCCCTCTCGTTTTATAATGTTTATCATGATAGGATTTCACTATGAATGAATCACAAAACTCTTCTTCATCCTATTGTTCACACTGCTCTGACAACGAGGAAGATATTATTCTTTGGAAAAACAACCAAACTCTTAGACGCATTGTTCTCCAGAAATTCAAAGTCATCCAACAACGCCTCCATGAGTTTGCTCCGTGTATTAAGCATGAGGATGAAGGCATGGAACTAATGTGGTCTCTCTATAGAGCTACTGGCACTTATTATGAAAAACACCGAGATTCTTTTCCGAGGTAAGCGTGACAATGGATCATTATAATAGTTTACAAAACTCACAACAATTTTATGCCCTTATTGACTCATAGTAATAGCAAGGATGAAGGCCCTCTCGATCAAAGAAAAGTCACTGCTTTACTCTACCTTAACACTGAATGGAGTGACGAAAATGATGGAGGCATGCTGAGAGTATTCGTAAAACCGGAAAATGCCATCAAGCATACAGAAAGAATTGCAAAGGAAATTAACCCAATTGCTTGTCGCTTGGTTTTGTTTTTGAGTGGAGCTGTAGATCATGAGGTATTGAAATCTTTTAAAGATCGTGTTGCTCTTACTTCATGGTTCTCGTAAAGAGTAAAAAACCAATTATCAATTTCATTGATGTAATTTAATTAACCAGGGTCGACGGATTGGATCGGATCACTCCAGCGATCTTTCTATCAATCAATCCAATCCTAAAATCCGATCTATTTAAATTTCCTCATTCAAGGAGGTTCATCCCAAGACTACATGTGTCCTCTTGTCTTTGTCAACTTGTGGTGAGAAATTTGGAAAGGTATTATTGGAGGTACATGGTATGGTGTCTCTGGAAAGTTTGCCCTTTTTGAATGAATATTTTAACTAAAATGACTGCGTAATACCGATTCTTGGTTTTTACCGACAATAGCCAAAGGTCCAAGCTATCAATGTCTGACGCTGTGGAACCAAATCCTGGTTTTCTTTTGTTGGATTTATTACGAGGAAAAGAAAACCACGACGGCATCAAGATGAAGCGGACGACAACATTCTCATCAAAAACACCTTTCAGGTTCATGATTGTGTTGTTGATGCTGCTCGTTGGAATGATACTCTCCACTCGTCGAATACAAGCTCAAGATTTGCGATATTGCTCGATTGCCAACACCACAGTGATTCCACTCACCACAAGCTTAACAGGTCAACAACAACCCGGAATATTATGTCCCTTTGGATTCATCAAACAAAGAAATATCACTTCGGGTCTGTTCACTTGTCAAAGTGTGATGGATTTATTGAATGACATTGTGGACAAGAAGGATTGTTTCTTGCCACCAGGTCGAGACAATGAAAAATCATTGCCCTACTTTGACACTACAAACTGTATTTTCAATTATCTTCATTGTTCTCCTCGAACCAGAAAGTGCACCCTATTCAACACGAGAAGTTTGGGCGATGCATGTGTAGACCGATTTAGTTGTGCAGGATCGGTTCAGAAAAATCACATCAATTGCTTTGAAGGAAAATGCACCACTCTTGTGAGAAACACTGTTCTACCTACAGGTGCTCTCTGTCCATCTGATCTCTCAACTTTTTCTTCTTTCATTAGCTATGAGAATAACACATTATCCACATGTAATGACAACTCTCTTTGTGTGTCCAATGGCGGATCCTCAAAATGCATGAGAGTGCAACCAGGAAGAGCTCCAAGATTTGGATCATGTGGAATGTTTTACACCGTTGAAAACAACACTATTATGGATATAAGTGTGAGGTTGTGTAAAGATGCACATGTTTGTTCAAATATGGAGCACGGTAATTGCTTACCTAATTATGCTTCTACAGACTTTTATGACACATTTAGATCCCCATTTAGGACTCTAATAACTCCACCAGAAGAGTTCGAGCTTCAATTAAGCTCCACGTATATGGACACGAGGCAAGCTTTTACTACAAGAAGTAATTCTTTTTGTAAACATAACTCTGGATGTAGCGGAAACGCACTCGGCAATTCTGCATTACAAATCAAGTCAAGCTATTCTTACATGAAGGGAGGCCCGAGTTTCAACGCGTCGTTTTTTGAAACATTTAACAAATGTGACACATCTCTGAAGAAATGTATTCGAGTCTTTGGAAAAGAGAATGGAATGCCATGTTCAGAAAATGCCGAATGTCGATCGACTTATTGTTCACCTTTCAACAACATGACTTGTTCTGAGTTGCCAAAAGAAGTTGCATGTGGACCAAGTGTTTCCAGTGCATCATTGTCTGATTGTCCAGGATATTCACAATGTGTGTGCACCAACTCGAGTCGAGGAGTTTGTATGAGTTTATGTTTTGCTGAATTGACAGATTTGCATTCATGTTCCTATAATTTTGGAATGGTTGGATCAAATAGTGCAATTTCTAAAATGGAAAATACTTTAATTCCATTCTATGACAATCAATCCTCAATATTTTCTCTTGAAAATGGAAAATGTAAAGAATACATGATCAAATATTTTGAATGTATGAAGAATATTCAACAAGAAATGAATTTGGAGACTCATGATTTGCCATATTCTCCTTTAACAAGACGAAATGGAATGACAGGAAAATCTTTGTCACTCTCTGAACCCAATGACATTGTTTTGAAAAGTAATTTGGCAAATTTATCTCTATCTGAAGATGAGACAGATGTATTTGCAATTGCTGAAGTGAATTTGACCAACATTGAAAATAATCAATTTTCAAACATTTCAGAAGTATCCTTAACAAGAATTGATATGTTTAATGAAAGTTCAAGTTCAATGTTGATGCAAGTTTCAAGCATGTATTCAAATTTTAACATTTCAGAACAAGTGGTTGTTTATATTTTGGAAAGAATGGCAGGATTAATTCCAAAATATAAAACCAAAGAAATTAATTTCAGATCAACCTTGAAAGTGTGTGGATGTTGCACTCCAACAGTGACCAATTATTTGCAAGATTCACTTCATGGAGGAATTTTATTGAAAGGAAATGATTCAAATATTCTCTCTTCAGGATTGATTGCATTCTCTGATTTATCATTAAGTAATACCATCTCTGGATTTGAACCAATTATGGGACATAATTCATTTCTGAATCGAAATTGGTATGAGAAATGTGACATTATTTTAGTTCCAGCTGAAGATATTGATGTGATTACACTCTCTGTGAAGAATAACATGTTAATTTTGGATCGAAATTCAACAGATGGAAATTCATTGAAAGAATTGGAAGAAAAATCAATGAATGAATTATTCTCTGTTGCAATTTCAAACATTCCATCAAAAGTGTTGACAATTCCAAGAAGTGTGAGAGATGCTGCCCTAAAGAATCAAACATTATTGGATCGAGTTTCTTCAGTGTTTAAAGATGCAGTAATGGATAATTATTGGCATGTTTATAATGTGTTAAATTTGACGAGTTCAATCAACTCAACCGATTGTTCCATTTTCAATTCGACTTTTGATATTAAGGCTTATCATAGAGTCATATTCTCATATCCAGTGACATTTGACACTTCAGTTCCATTTCCTCTTTCTTCTCCTTCATTTGTGATTGAGAATGATCAATGGTTTATGCAGAAATTATTTTTTGGAATCATTTCTGATGAGATATTGATGAACATATTCTCAAAATTGGCAAGTCCAAAATGTTACAGCAGTTATAACTCTTATTTGGGTGTATTCCATTATAATGATGTCTCAAAATATTGGGATTTGATTCTGAAAGATTCCATGTTATTCATTGTGATTGCAAGTTGTCTCTTGTTTTATATTTTATTGATCACAAGTTTTAGAAAAAGTTTGGCCATGAAGAGAAGATTATTTGCACCATTTATTGGACCATTTTGCATGATGATCATTTGTTTGGTTTATATTGAACCTATTTTAATGTCTCTATTCAAACATGTTGGAAAGAATATTATTCCATTCATTCCAATTCCAAATTTATTCATTTCATTATTGAGTGCTTCTTATATTGTAGTGTCCATTCGATTTTATTATTTGAGAAATTTATATCAAATCAGAACAGGATTAGATGAAAAGATGAAGAATAACAAAATGAATAATATGAGAATTTATCGAATTTTCGTTCAACCCTATGTCACTCTCTCATTGGTGATCATTATCACTTGTATTGTTTTTGGAATTTGGTTTGGAATATTTTATGGAATTTTAGAAAGTATAATTATTGAAAGATTTGGAAGATTTGAATGGACACTTCAATTTGATGCTTCCTTATTGGCATTGACCACTCAATTTGCATTCTTGAGTTTATTTTCAATTCTTTGTTTATTTGTTGATGCCTTTTTCAATTTGAAAAAGATTAGAAAACATGTAAGTATTCACCAAAATGCATTCAATCCACAAATAATATTATTTTCATGAACTAAGGGCTTTGGGTATTACTTTATATTTGATGATCCGTTCCACATGAGAATTGATATCCTTTCACAACTCTTTATCTTTTTTATCTCCATTTTTGTAGTATTGGACATCTTTGTTTGGAATACTCTCATCATCAACAGAATTGGAATTACTCTCTTCTTCCTTTGCTCTCTAATGATATTTGGTGGAAATATTATGATAGTTGAAACAGCAATATCCATTAAGAACAGAAGGACAAACGGTTGTTTGAACTGCTTTGTTGATCGATTAAGCGTCCTCGAAACCGAATGGGTTGAAAACATGAAAGATGTTCACTTTAGAGAATTGCAGATGGTATGTATTGATATTTTGCAATGTTTTTTCTCATTTTGGAATAGAAATATGCCAAGAATGAATTTTCGTTAGAGAACTTTTTGTTGTACGAACATTTAGAAAAATTAGAGAAACAAAAAGTATTGACTGTAGAGGATCTCCATTATTTACAAACCACCTATCTCAGTAGTCTGTCTCCTTACTCGATCAATTTACCTGCCCATTGTTACACTAAATTTGCAGAGATTTTGACAAGAAATGCAAATATTCAATTTAGTGAGCTCGAAACCATCAAGAATGAAGTCATTGCCAACAATTTGGACACATTCAACCGATTGACCTTAACCAAGGAATATAAAAAGTGGAAAGAAATTGCTTCCTTCCAATCTCAAATGAAAATTTAACCAACAACTTGCAACAATAAAATCAACAAATTTAATGTATCTTGTTGGGAATTCACACACACTACAACATAAGAACCCCAGTAACGTATACAGGTGGGAGTGACAGGTAACGAGATCTCCCAAGCCAGGAGAAAAAAATTGGCTGGACGGGAAATTTAATTTTTTTTTCTCAATACCACCTCTGAAAACGCGTTTATGTTGTAGTGGTAAAGAGAAATGAATCATAATGATTTGAAATGAAAACAAATTGACTTGAAATTGAGGTCATGAACCACGCATTATAACAATTTCAAATCTTTTGTGAATTCTAATAATCTTGCAGGGCATGGACCAATTGCAACCACTGTTGCTGTTCCTGGTTCAACTTGTGTTTTACCCGCATCTAAAACTCGATACGTTGGAAGACCTTTCTTTTTAGCTTCACTTTCATAATGTTTCATTTGGTTGGCGTCAACTCTGAGTGCAACCTTAGCAGCTCCAAAATGATGCCACTTATTTAGCCATCTTAAATGTTCCTTGTATTGCTCGTTCTTTGGATTTTTTTTAACTCTTTGATGAATCGCTCGATGAGCTCCAAGACTGTTTAAATAATTTTCAATTTCAAAATTTCGAATAATTATTTAAACAGTCTTATTAATTATAATTATAAATAAATTCTAATCATTACCTTGCATGTCCACATTGCGCACACATTTTTCCTTTACCCATATTAAGATCACCTCTCACCAACAAGGTCATTTTCTTTGGATCGGAGTCTTCTTCCTCATCATCCTCATCGGAAACATCTTCCTCCACATCTTCCCATTCTTCATCATCATTTTCCTCTTGTTGTTGATTCTTCTCTTCTTTCTTGATGACCACAGCAGTCGGTCCTCGGAGCAAATCATACGATTTTGCAACAAGAATCCCCGTGAAGAAAGATCCTAACATGATGGTCAGTGTTTCATAAGAGAGCATTTTTTTGTTTTTGGTTTTCAATAAACCCATTCCTGTATTTTTTTGTTTTTGGTTGGATTCTTTTTATTAACCAATATAATTGGTGGTTATTCATTTAATGGGGTCAACCAATTAATTAGTGGTGGGATTTAACTCAACTCGTCTTTGAAAGGGGCAGGGTCAATTTTAAAGATGATGTTAACTCTATTAAAACAATGAAAGAATTACTGTTTGAGAAGTATGGTTTGTTGTAGACCAAGCTCTTAGAAAACAGATGGTGGAGAGTAAGAAAGTTGAAACATCCTCACAATCATCCATGGCCAACCACTCTTAAGAATTTCACGCTATTGATCTGTAAAAATTTTTTTATAGAGTGGACAATTCTTTAATTGGTTACAGAGTTGACATTTTGACAGCACCATTCACTCTTCAAAATTGCTCTTTTCGAATGGTCCCTCCTTAACGCTGGCTCTACAGAAACTTTTTTTTTGCAGGGACATAAATCGTGTCCTCGAAGCCCGGAGTGCACTTTCGCTGGTCAGTCTTGCTATGCTGAGGATCAAACACTACTCATCAAGCGCAACACAACTCTCCAATTTCTACGACTAGAGATCAATATCTTGTTCATTATTGTTTTACAATTTCTTTTCATTGTTCATTAATCCCTTTTCTTTATACAGTTCTATTAATTCCTGATAAATATACGAAGCACAATGATGTTCATACGCTCGTTTATACTCTTTTAACTGCTCATCCTCTGACAGATGATTCACTGGCAAAGGATCATAATTCTGTGAGGACCAAATGTATTTGTAATTCTCGAGTTGAGTTTTGACAGACGATGAATCTGAATCAGAGATGATGTAATTGGATGATGAATTTGTGGTTTGTGTCTGTGGATGCATGTGTGACCAGCAGTGAGTGGAGTGCAGCAATTTGGGAACGTGAGGGAGTTGGAGTGTGAATGCGCGTACGGGTGTTTGTTTTTTTTCAATACTTGATACGCAAATGTTCTTTAGACTTCTTTTACGGGCATTGGAGCATTCAACTTGGACATGATCGTGAATTCCCTTCTCTGTCTTTTGTGAGGTTGTGAATTCTTAAAATATTAAAACCTCTTGGGTTGGAAAAATAAAGCGAAAGGAACACAGAGATTTCCCAACGCTCTCTCTTTGGCAGCTGATGTGTCGGTGTCGAACAAGACGTCGAGGGGTCATGTGAGGGTCCTTTCCCATCCAACAACAGTGTTTTGAGGGTTGATTTCCGCTTGTCCATTCGAATCATCCCATTTCCATGATGATTGATTTACTGTAGTTGTTCATTGAGTTTGTTTTCGATCAAAAAAACTTGTTGTAACGAATTTTGTTTACGAACTGTTACGCGTAACAACAAATAGCATGAGAAAATTGTGCTGCACCACCAGCACCCTCATCACCATCACCACAACCAGCACCACCCTCACGAATGGGTGTAGCCTTCGTGGTGGTCTTTTTTGCCTGAAATCTCTTATTGGTTGTTATGATGATGAGAGTGGAGGAGGAGGAGGAGTATACCTTTATCATCATCTTCGGAGAGGTTACAGTGCTAAAAGAAACCCTTCTTGTTCTTCATTTCATATTTCGTTATTACAGCCTCATTTGGATCATCATCAACAACAACAACAGTTGAATCATCATCATGGCCATACGATGATGAATACAACAGATACAACAGATACGATGAATACTACTGCTTGTTCATGGGAACAACGGAAAACTCACAAGAATATTGTTCTTGTTCATGGATGTTTTGGATTTGCTTCTCAATTTTGTTTATTAGAAAAGAAATTATTGGAGAGTGGATTTAACGTTTTGAATTATTGTTATCCTTCTCCGAGGCAATCCATTGAGAGATCATCGGAGGAATTGTTACAATTTTTGAATGAGCATCATGATCGAACGGAACATGTCTTGTCGAGTGTTGGAAAGTTATGGAATCAGCAACATGGAAAGAAGAATGTCGATAGTAATAATTTTACAACCATCCACACAACAACGAAAAACCAAATACCAAATGTGGATTCTATGAATGGAAATCATGTAAAACAAGAATATCATTTTGTGACTCATTCCATGGGAAGCATGGTTGTCAGAAGATTTCTAGTCATGACTCTCATGAAGCAATTAGAGAGCTCGAACCAATCATTCATATTGAATAATCCTGTTCTTGACTCTTTGAATCGCCAAGAAATGTTAAATCTCATTCAAATTTCACCTCTCTTGAGTGGAAATGTTCGACTCGCTAGAAATCTTTCCTTTTTACTTCCATTAGCAAAGATACTTCGAAAATATGAACATGAACCAACCATTGTTGAACAATTAATGATGAATGACAAGTCATTGAGTGATGATGGAAAATTTTTGGACATGTATTGGTGGCAACCTCATTCACCTTTGTTTAATAAGGTCAAATTAACTCATGTGATAACGTCACTATCTGCCACTCAAAAAAAAGTCAAGAAAGCCACTTCCTCTCCAAGTAACAGAAGTAATATTTTGTCAGACCTTGTATTGACTTACGAAGAACAAACATCACGAGTACCCTCTCACATGAAATTTGAACCTGTGGTTTTGCAGTCGGATCATAATTCAGTCTTATTGAGAAAACAGTGTATTGATAAGGTCTTGCAAATTCTATCTGACTAACATTTCTTAAGGACAATGGAACAGCTCACAACTCAACAATAATTGGCAACTCATTCGTTACAATTTGACAAATGGTGTCAAGATGTGTTTATTTTAATGGAATTGATCCAACAATTACAAGCCAAGAATTTTCTTCTTCTTAGCTTGGAATTCCTCTTCAGTGAGAATTCCAGCATCTCTGAGCTCGCCTAACTTTTTCAATTGATCAAGATAATCTCCACCAGAAGAGCTTGATTGAGAAGTGGTTGTCTTCTTTTCAGGAGTCTTGGAGGTAGTGGTTGAACTACTAGAGCTCTTGGAAGGCATTTTCTTTGAGTCAACAATAGTTGCATTGTCAAAATCTGCATTATCAGCTTGAGTAATATCAATGACTGAACGATCTGAGCTGATTTCAATTTTCAAATAATTACCATACTTGGTAATATTAAGTTCGGATTCTTCTTCAAGACCATCAGCTTTTGCGACAGCTCTCAAATCAATACGTAAATCATCAATTTTTGGTAATTTACCAGTAACAATTGCCATCTTATCACCAAGATCTTGAGTTTGTTTGTAAATTTGTTGTCCATTCACAAATAGTTCAAATGGCTTCTCTGCTGAAGCATTAATGTTTGCCAAATGGAAGTGCACTGGAATGATCTCAGAAGATGAAGAAGCAGCTGACTTGGTGGCAGTTTGTTGTGAACTTTGAGGACCAAAAGTATCATTGAATTGTTGTTTCATTTGAATTCGTTCTGCATCACCAGCTTTTTCAACACCAAAGAACAAGAAAGTACCATTTTTGGTAATGTTAAATTGTTGTTTGGTGTCAACATCTCGAGCGTCAATTTTGAAACGAATTTCAACAATTAATTCTTCTCCACGAGGTGGCTTATCAAACGTTGCTCTCAATATTGCTGTTCTTGTGACTGGAATCTCCTCTTCACTCTTGAAAAATTCGTCACCATTCATGTAAATAGTGAAAGGTTCCTTCTTGGATGCTGGAATATTATTCACATAGAGAGTAACGGTCACTTCATCCAGAGATTCAGAATCTCCATGTTTGGCAACTTGTTGTGGAGTTGGAGCAGAATCATCGTCATCATCATATTTGGTCGTTGTTTTCACACGAGTCTTTTCCTTGTATTCTCTCTCAGCATTTGCATAGTGAACTGGATTGAAGAATTTTTCATCGAACATTTTGTTGGTCTTTTGTTGAATTTCGACATTGGAACCTTCATTTCTGTTGAGAACAGTGAATTCACCAAATAATTTTCATAAGGTAATAATGACAACATTTCAACATGACATTTTATAATGACAACATTTCAACAATCATAATAATCATTTGAATTCTCAATGAACTACTCTCATTGGATAGCACTTTCTACTTACAAGACAGCAATTAAAATATGAGTTCCCAAAGTAGTCAAATCAAAATCAACCACAGAATCCACACCAACTGTTGGAATTTTGATATGCAAATTTGCAACATGACTCTTTGCAGTTGGATCTGCTTTTCTCACATACAACATGACTTCCTTTCTCTTAAAAATTGGTTTTGAACTTTTGAATAAATTCTTGTCTTGTTGATCGGCGTCAAGAATTTCAAAAGGTTCTTCTTCACTGGCATCAATGCCTGACAAGTGAAGCCATATTCTTGTGGAGTCACTTCCGAAATCTGCTGAATTTGCAATTGCTTTTGCAATTTTAGCTTTTGGACTCTTTTCATAGTCATCTGCCAAATATACTGGTTTGTTGTACTTGCTAATAATTTCAGAATTTGGTGTGATGAGTATTATTATTATTTGTAGTTGTAGTAGTAGTAATTATTATAATCATTATTATTATCATTATTAGTAGTAATAGTAGTCATATATATATATATACATCACACAAAAACCTACTAGGTATATTCACCAGTCTTTTCATCGACATAGAATTTACGTTGATCATCCAAAATGACATTCTCTTCTTCAAAATTCTTATTCAATCCTTGCAAGACAGAGAGTTCTCCGATTTTTTTCACACGCACTCTGAAATGATATCCTCGATTGGTGAGATCGTATTGATTCAATTCATCAATATCTGCTTGAGGAATGACAAAATTGATAAATTCACGATGAATGGCACTGAGTCCAGAAGGTGTGACTTGAACTGTGTGAGAAGTGTTTTTTTGTGGAGTGGTGGCTCTGTGTGAATCAACAATTGAATATAATATAATGAATCGGTCAATAAAATCGATGAATGGAATGAATTTGTTAAAAACAAAATAATATATTATAGTTATAAATGGTTGTAATTAGAAGAACACAATCATACGTACGTGAATACAACATTGCCTCCAATCTTAACCACAAAGGGTTCCTTATCGGAAGCAGGAATGTTTTCAAAGAGGAAGTGAAGAGTTTCAGACATTTTTTTTGAGCTGAAAACTTGTCAATTTTTAATGACAGCAGACGTGAGATGAACATACTTTTGAAAATCATTGATTGACCATGAAGGACAAGGAGATATATCAAACAACATGAAAGCATTCACCACTTTGCATCCTTTAAACCTTCTTATGGACAATATTCAATTCTTGTTGAAGCATGGAAACTTCTTTCCACTTTTTACATTCATCTGTCAAAATGAGTCTACTATAGGTATCAAGATTATTGGTAATCACTTGTGTTTTGATGGCTTCTAATTCACTAAAGGAAATGGTTTCATTTGGATTTAGAGTGAGATTACCAAGAAGAAGTGTGAATTGAGTGTAACAAAATGCAGGTAAATTAATCGAGTAAGGAGCTAAATGAGAAAAGTAATTGGTGCTCAAATACGTCATGTCATCGAAAGTGACTCTTTGTTTACGTTCCAACTTTTCCAAGTCTTCAAATAATAAATAATTTTCTACTGAGAATTCATTTGTTGCATATTTCTATGAGAAGGACATTATGTTCAGTGTCTATGATTAATGAAATAATGATACAAACCTTTTGTAATTCTCTAAAATTAAAATCTTTCATATATTCCATCCATTCAGTTTCTAAAAGACTCAATTGGTCAATGGTGGAGTTCACACAAAAAGTTTTCACTTTTCTATTCTTAATAGAGATTAAAAATTCCACTAAAATTATATTTCCACCAAATAACATGAGAGAGAACAAAAAGAAGAGAGTAATTCCAATTCTGTTGATGATGAGAGTATTCCAAACAAAGATGTCCAAGATGACGAGAATTGAAGTTAAGAAAATGAGTAACTGTGAAATAATGTCCACTCTCATGTAGAATGGATCATCAAACATGAAGTAGTAGTACAAGCCCTTTTGAAATGGTCATCAATAACAATGATTCACAAAAACAACTTACATGTTTTCTAATCTTTTTCAAATTGAAAAAGGCATCAACAAATAAACAAAGAATTGAAAATAAACTCAAGAATGCAAATTGAGTGGTCAATGCCAATAAGGAAGCATCAAATTGAAGTGTCCATTCAAATCTTCCAAATCTTTCAATAATTATACTTTCTAAAATTCCATAAAATATTCCAAACCAAATTCCAAAAACAATACAAGTGATAATGATCACCAATGAGAGAGTGACATAGGGTTGAACGAAAATTCGATAAATTCTCATATTATTCATTTTGTTATTCTTCATCTTTTCATCTAATCCTGTTCTGATTTGATATAAATTTCTCAAATAATAAAATCGAATGGACACTACAATATAAGAAGCACTCAATAATGAAATGAATAAATTTGGAATTGGAATGAATGGAATAATATTCTTTCCAACATGTTTGAATAGAGACATTAAAATAGGTTCAATATAAACCAAACAAATGATCATCATGCAAAATGGTCCAATAAATGGTGCAAATAATCTTCTCTTCATGGCCAAACTTTTTCTAAAACTTGTGATCAATAAAATATAAAACAAGAGACAACTTGCAATCACAATGAATAACATGGAATCTTTCAGAATCAAATCCCAATATTTTGAGACATCATTATAATGGAATACACCCAAATAAGAGTTATAACTGCTGTAACATTTTGGACTTGCCAATTTTGAGAATATGTTCATCAATATCTCATCAGAAATGATTCCAAAAAATAATTTCTGCATAAACCATTGATCATTCTCAATCACAAATGAAGGAGAAGAAAGAGGAAATGGAACTGAAGTGTCAAATGTCACTGGATATGAGAATATGACTCTATGATAAGCCTTAATATCAAAAGTCGAATTGAAAATGGAACAATCGGTTGAGTTGATTGAACTCGTCAAATTTAACACATTATAAACATGCCAATAATTATCCATTACTGCATCTTTAAACACTGAAGAAACTCGATCCAATAATGTTTGATTCTTTAGGGCAGCATCTCTCACACTTCTTGGAATTGTCAACACTTTTGATGGAATGTTTGAAATTGCAACAGAGAATAATTCATTCATTGATTTTTTCTTCCAATTCTTTCAATGAATTTCCATCTGTTGAATTTCGATCCAAAATTAACATGTTATTCTTCACAGAGAGTGTAATCACATCAATATCTTCAGCTGGAACTAAAATAATGTCACATTTCTCATACCAATTTCGATTCAGAAATGAATTATGTCCCATAATTGGTTCAAATCCAGAGATGGTATTACTTAATGATAAATCAGAGAATGCAATCAATCCTGAAGAGAGAATATTTGAATCATTTCCTTTCAATAAAATTCCTCCATGAAGTGAATCTTGCAAATAATTGGTCACTGTTGGAGTGCAACATCCACACACTTTCAAGGTTGATCTGAAATTAATTTCTTTGGTTTTATATTTTGGAATTAATCCTGCCATTCTTTCCAAAATATAAACAACCACTTGTTCTGAAATGTTAAAATTTGAATACATGCTTGAAACTTGCATCAACATTGAACTTGAACTTTCATTAAACATATCAATTCTTGTTAAGGATACTTCTGAAATGTTTGAAAATTGATTATTTTCAATGTTGGTCAAATTCACTTCAGCAATTGCAAATACATCTGTCTCATCTTCAGATAGAGATAAATTTGCCAAATTACTTTTCAAAACAATGTCATTGGGTTCAGAGAGTGACAAAGATTTTCCTGTCATTCCATTTCGTCTTGTTAAAGGAGAATATGGCAAATCATGAGTCTCCAAATTCATTTCTTGTTGAATATTCTTCATACATTCAAAATATTTGATCATGTATTCTTTACATTTTCCATTTTCAAGAGAAAATATTGAGGATTGATTGTCATAGAATGGAATTAAAGTATTTTCCATTTTAGAAATTGCACTATTTGATCCAACCATTCCAAAATTATAGGAACATGAATGCAAATCTGTCAATTCAGCAAAACATAAACTCATACAAACTCCTCGACTCGAGTTGGTGCACACACATTGTGAATATCCTGGACAATCAGACAATGATGCACTGGAAACACTTGGTCCACATGCAACTTCTTTTGGCAACTCAGAACAAGTCATGTTGTTGAAAGGTGAACAATAAGTCGATCGACATTCGGCATTTTCTGAACATGGCATTCCATTCTCTTTTCCAAAGACTCGAATACATTTCTTCAGAGATGTGTCACATTTGCTAAGCATTGCAGAGTAGGTTCCATTAAAAGCCACTGGTCCTCGTATGTATGAATAACTTGACTTGATTTGTAAGGCAGCAAATACATCAAGTGCGTTTCCAGAACAACCTTGATTGTCTGTACAAAATTCAGTTCCTTGTTTGACGTAAGCTCTTCTTCCCTCAAAGAGAGTTGAGCTTATTCTCATTGAAAGACTAAAATGATGAGGATCAACAAAGGTTGTGAAAGGAAGTCTAAACTTGTCAAAAAAGTCCGTCGAAGCATAATTTGGCAAACATTTGCCATGTTCAATAAATGAGCAAAGATGTGCATCTTCACACAACACAATACTTTTTTCCGACGCCACCACCACTGTAGTGTTGTTCTCAGACCAATTAGTCGACGTGTACATCATTCCACATGTTCCAAATCTCTTTGCTCTTTCCTGTTGAACTCTCACACACATGAGAGAACCACTCGTCGACACACAAGTAGACTCATTGTTGCAAGTTGCAAAGGTGTTGTTCTCATAGCTCACAAAGGAAGAAAAATTGGGAGCTGAGGGATCCACACTACAAGAGGATCCAATCGGTAACACTTCATCCCTCTCCAAAGTGGTGCAAATTCCTTCAAAGCAATTGATGTGATTTTTCTGAACCGATCCTGCACAACTAAATCGGTCTACACATGCATCGCCCAAACTTCTCGTGTTGAATAGGGTGCACTTTCTGGTTCGAGGAGAACAATGAAGATAATTGAAAATACAGTTTGTAGTGTCAAAGTAGGGCAATGATTTTTCATTGTCTCGACCTGGTGGCAAGAAACAATCCTTCTTGTCCACAATGTCATTCAATAAATCCATCACACTTTGACAAGTGAACAGACCCGAAGTGATATTTCTTTGTTTGATGAATCCAAAGGGACATAATATTCCGGGTTGTTGTTGACCTGTTAAGCTTGTGGTGAGTGGAATCACTGTGGTGTTGGCAATCGAGCAATATCGCAAATTACTTGATTGACCCAAAATATATTGGGGAAGAGAAAGGATCATCATGGTTGTTGCTAGCACCATCATCACAAGGTTCATCTTGAAAGCATCATCATGACGACTTATTTGCCGCAAAAGAAACAAGGTGCGACCTGTTGGATGAATTGTTGTCATGTCGAGTCGAATTCACGTTGGAGGTAATTTTTGTTGTGTTGATGGTATTTTGATGTGCGGATTAGGTTCGTTGTCTTTCCCTCTTGAGGTCTGACAGCCTGACATGTCTTTTGGCATGCGAACCATTTTATGGACCAAGTTTTCAACATCACCGCGAGAGCAAACATCGTGCAATGTCATTTCGGGAGCTTGCATTTTTTGTTTTAATTTGGAGATTCCCTAAACTGAATTCAATACCCATCACTGGAAGACACATGTGGTCGATCCTGTCATTGTCCTGACATTTCCTTGATCATTGTTTACAGTTATTGTTGTTGAAATAGGTAATATTTAATGTTGTTGAGTACTGGATGAGGAGACTCGTTCGTATTCGCTTTCATAGTTGTATCGTATCTTCTTGGTGTTGGATCGTGCCTGTTCACGTTTCCTCTTCTTAATGTCAGCATCTTGGAGATCCCTCAATAAATCTTCCATATCTGCTTGTGAAGCGGTCGATCCAAAACTGGCAACGCTTGTATTGTCATCATCGCTTGCTGCTTCCAAATCTGCATAAATATCTTCAATATCTTGTTCATTTTCTTCTTCAACTTCAAACTTGTTTAAAGAATCTGGATAGAAAGCATCCTCATCGTCATCGGATGCAGCCTCCAACTCCACCTCAATCTCATCCTCCTTTTCTGTTTCTTTTTTCTTTTCATCTTGCTTAATCTTCTTCTTATACAAGTCTCCATAAACACCATTTCTCAATCTCTCTAATAATTCTCGTTCAATTGTGTGTTCAATTCGAGCCACTTGCTCTGCTCTCTTTTCTCTCTTTTCTAATCTCTTCTCGACAGCTCTGTTCACTGTCTTGATCTTGTGTTGAACTTTACTTCTAATTTGTCTCATTCTTCTCAATACCAAATATAATTTTGTAAATCTCTTCTTGACTCGATTAATCTTTTGATGATCCCACCATTGTAAATGATAATCAATATCTTTCAAGGCTTGTTGATAATTATCAGAGATGAGAATCTTTTCCCACATCTTGCTAGGAAGGTGCATTCGTTCAGGAGTTTTGATGCACAAATATAAACGTCCTTTCTTTTCAACCACTGTTGCGTATTTGCTGTTTGCGAGAGGACAAAACACCATTCTACATTGACCATCCACATTCATGGGATTGGTACACAAGTGTTGATCGGTTGCTTTGTTTTTAAAAGAACAAAACGATTTGTCCAATATGGTCCATATTAATTCATCGCTTGCCATGATGTTAAAGGGTTTTGATGATTGTGATGATATATATCGAAGGTAAGGAGAAAATCTTCTACACTACAGGTTGAAAATAAATTCAAAACTTGTTAAAATAATCACTGATGATGATTTTAGATGATAGTAGATATAATCCGTTCCGAAGTTCAGTATGGAAAATTACTTCAGAGTAAATGTTGATGATGATGATGTTGATGAATGGTGTTGAACGATTTAAAAGCTGTCTTCCTTCTAATTTTTTTTTGAAGTGAAAAAAAATAATGTCGATTCATGAAAGAAAAGACGATCTTCCAATAGTCCACAAAGAGTCCACACAAGAGAATAAGCAAAACACATGTGATTGAAACAATTCATTTTCCTCTTGAAATTCATATTCTTTCGATTTGAAATCAATGCCCCTCGTAAGAACTCCCAAATGTCACTTTTCATGGTTGCACTTCACTGAATTTCAAAAAAATGTCTGTCTCTCGTCTACTGCAGTTGGGGTCACCCTCTGTGAGAGATGAGATACGACAAGATGTTTATACATTCCGTCACCAACAACATCTACAACGACAAGCACTTTCAAAGCCAACCATTCCATTGTCCTGCGGGAATGATTACATTTCATTGAAATCCGGGGATGTCATTCGGATTAAGGTTCTAAAGGTGAGCAATTAATTGTTTTAATTTTTACAAATTGTATTTCTAGCAAAATGATCAATTTTTTGTTGAAATGGTGGTGCAAACGATGATGGACCGGAACGTGTTTTTTCTGATCTTTTTCAATGTTTGAACGGAATCTTGTCTCTACAGGGAGAAGATCTAGTGTCGTGTGACCTCAATGGTTTATCTGATCCGTACGTTTTATTGTCGATTGTTTGTCATCGTTGAAGTCGATTGGATGAAAATGTGGTACCAATTTTGTATTTTTTCAAATTGATCTGAATGCTATACAAATAGATTTGTTAGAATTTATGTCAAAGGATTTTCTGAAGTGCCTCAAACGACGGTGATTAAAAAGTCATTGAACGCTTCTTGGAATCAGGAATTTGCATTTTGTGTGACAGATCCTGAACTGAGTTCAATAGATATCGTTTTCAAAATGATGGATAAGGTATGTGACAGAGTCAATTCTTTGTTGCGAGCAAAAATCATTCTCACACATATGTGGCCATATGGATGACCACACGACGACATTAATTACTCCTAATTAGGATACATTCTCAGATGACGATTTTATGGGCCAAGCCTCTGTGTTTCTCACCAAGCAAGACTTTCCAGCCATGAATACATTTAAAAATTTTACGCTCAGCCTCATGGGTGTCGATCATGGGAGTCTTAGTGTGTCAGTTGGAGTTTACAGAGGTGTCAACTAATGAAATTTAAAACTTGTGGATATACAATTTTGAATGCATTCATGAAACGAATTAATAATGTGAAATTATAATATTTATTGATTGTACATAACTATAAACCTAGCGATGAATTTAAAAATATGGATTTACCTCAACATTATTTTCTTCGACAGAGCTATTTAAATTAAAATATGTGGACTTGGCTGAAGGATGATCATGTTCAGGACTAGTGGGTGGTGAGTTTACAACTTCTTCCTCGACCACATGTGTGGATTCATCGTTGTTTTCAATTTCAATTCTCAGGGGTTTCTTGAATTTTGGTTGTTTGGATGTAGGTGTGATGGTTTCGTCCACCAATTTCTTTGGCTGAGACGGTTGTTGCGACAAGGTTTGGCCAGAAGTAGCATTGCGTTGTCTTGCACCCGTGTTTGATGCTGTGACCGCTTGCTTCACTTGCTGGCCCTTAGGTGGAGCTGAGGAAGGTCGTTTCGATTTTGAGGAACTATTTTGAGAACTGGAAGGCAACATCTCTTGTTTTTTCTCAATCACACTCTTATAATTGCCTTCAACACCAGCAGATTTCCTCTTATTGTATTCGTCAATGGAGTGTGGATAAGCATGGCCCTTAATATCAGCTTTCACAGTAGTATCATGGAGTTTGGTTGATCGAGCAAAGCCATCCAATTCTGCATCGTGAACAAACTTTGTACTGGAATCGACTTTCTCCGTCGCCAAGTGGTATGCTTCCTTCACTTCGTCAGCCAACTTTTTGATGCTCTCCAGTTGTGACTGAAGCAGCTTTTCACAAACTTGCTTGCTCTTTGAGTTATCCAAATTCTCGGGAACTTGCTCGAGTTGCTTTAGAATTTTGTTGACACTCGACTCGGCCATTTCCACAAAAGATCCAATCTCATTAGGGGTTGAAAGTGAAGCAACGTGGTATGGATGTACATCTTCAATGGTCAACTTTTTCTCCATTGGAAGCGCTTTCACTTTTGAGAAATCTAAATGACTCAGAACTTCTCTCACATGATGAAGTGATCGTGATGACACGAGAGAGGAAGTGCTTGTTTTGGTGCTTGATTGAAGTGACGATGAAGACTGTCGTAATGGGCTTGTTGAAGAAGATCTTTTGTTCTTTTGTTTCTTTCTCTCTCTTTTTTTCAAGAATCGTTTGAGTTTGAGATCAATAGACATGTCGTCCTTTCTGTTTGACAGGATACATTCAATGCTATTGCTTAACTCCTTCATTTTATGACCTTCCTCTGAAGTCATCTCTTTCTTTTTGAATAAATTAATTGGTGGTTGACCGTGTGACTCATTCTGGCTCTTGTGATTTGAGGCAAGATTAAAGTTTAGTTTCTCTGAATATCTATCAGGAGGATTTTCATTAGGGTTTTCTTTTTGAATTTGTGCTCTAGAATCGAAAGGAACACGCAAGTTTTTCTCTGGATTATTGTTCTTTTGAGTTTTTGACCCCACTGTCGCTTTGGTAAAAATGGCTTCCTTTGAGGTGTTATTTCCCAGCAACATATTTTCCTTTTCACTTTGGTCGTTTCGTAGATATGGTCTTTCTTCTTTGGTCTCAGGAGGATTAGGTAGGGGCTCAATGGACACTTTTGAGTGTGTACTCAAGGTATTGCTTTTTTGAGAGGACGTTTCTGAGACGCTCTGATCCAGAGGTTTTACGGTATAACTTTGTGATGTCTGCTGAGTTGGGTTGGTAGTAATGTAGTCATACTTTGCGGGAAGTAGTGGCTTTTGCGGCTCCTCCATCACAATAGGAGGAGGCTGTGAAGAAGAGGAAACTTCAGAATGAACAATCTGACCATCCTTATAGAAATGGTGATGATGTTCGACCACTTTTTTCACGGTTTTCTTTGGTTTGGAAAGAGAAGATGGAACCTCTTTTTGTGGTTTAGGCTTATGGGTATTTTTGATTTTGCTTTTCTTTGAAGACGTTTCTCCATCTTTCAGCTTCTTTTTACATCTCACCTTTATCATGTTTGTGACAGAGTAAGGGCTTTTTCTGAAATCTTTCATTCTGTGATCCTCCTCGGCCTGCTTCTTTTTGTCGATAACGTAGTCTTCAAATTTTTTGTATCGTTCATTTTCCCTTAAAGGAACGCCGGTGGTGTCAATTCTTGGTTGAAGGCCTTGAATTTTTGAAACCACCAATGTTGAAGGCCTTTTGGCGTTGATGTAATTTCGGTATGTTACCTCATCAATCCTCTTATGTGAACCAAATATTGCACCAGTGCTTTTTTCAATAGGTATCACACCCTTACTTGTATTCGAGACTGCAGAAGGTTTCACTGTATGGGTCGACCCTTCTCCAAGATAATCCTTATAGAAATTTGGATCCTCGTTTCGTTTTCTGAACTTTTCACTGAGATTTTGTTCACTCTCTATTAGTTTGTCAACATCTATCTCATAATCATCGTCACTTTCGTCGAACAGCTCGCACTCTTCTATCACATTCATTCGCTTTTTAAAACAATTCAATACGCTAAACAATTGTTATAGTTCATATATCCAAATAAATATATTCATTTGCAAAACACGTACGAGTGAACTGTGTTAGAGTAGTCATTTTCGATAACATCTTCATTTTGCTCGATTTTTCTTCGGATTTGATCTTCTCCAATCTTCGTCAAGCGTGAAAGAACTGACACCAACGGCTTCGTTTCGGATGATGACAGTCTTTTATTAAGGTTCTTGTTGATGAATATTGGAGTTTGAAATCGTACACCACTTACGCTCTATCTTCATCTTCGGGTTGGGCTGGTTGCCAAAAACTTGTTCTGACCGCTTGAGGCACACTCATTTTTTTTGAAAATTTGTATCCGTTTTTGGCGGGTTGATTTTTTTCCATCGTTTATTATTTATTGATTGGTTGATTGATCGTCTTCAAATGGAGTGATTTGTGGTTGAGATGTTGAAGAAATTTCCTCATGACTTTGATTTCCAACATGGGGTATTGAAAAACCAGGCTCAACTGGTTTCCATGCTGTTTCAGGAAGAGGTGCATTCTCTTCTTCGTCTGAGCTCAAGGAAATATTGGATGAATGATCTAGATCATTGATGTTATGTGGAGATTGGAAAGCAAATGATTCTTCTTTTCTCTGTTTTGGCGAAACAGAGGCTAAATCATCCTCAGTAATGAATGGAGTTGAAAATGATTCGATGGGTGAGAGATTGGGATCCTCGGCAGTTGAAGAGGCAATCCAGTTTTGCTGTTGTCCACCATTTTGGTGTTCTTCAAGACTATTCTTGTCGAATAGAGGAGTTTCTGAGTGTGGAGCGAGCTCTTCGTTCATTCCAGGAGATGATGAGCTCTCTAAGGCAACATGACTTTTCTTAAAGTCTTCCAGCTCCTTAATATATCTTGATTGTTCTAAACATTTTTCAAAGTAACTGGTTGGGCGAACAAAGAAATTCAGAGTTAATACATCCTCCTCAGGATTAACAAATCCATTGCTTATAAGCTCAGACACTCTGAAGAAACGATTATATCCCCAGCATTCTCCACACTCAAATATTGAAGCAAAAGATCTCTCAATATTTTTAGCCGGATCTCGTGTGTTAATCATTTCAACTTTGTAGTGATACTTCTTTGGTTCGGAGAGTCCCTTGTACATCTCCAAAAACACTGATATAAAGACTCCTTTTGCTAAACCAGTTCCATTAGGATACACTTTCAATCTCCAAAGCAGTCCATTTATGTTGATCGGTTCAGAATATATAACTTCTGTAGATTTCACCTTCTCAAAGTAATTTTCAATTTTGAATTGACCACCTTCAAAAGCTGGAACTAGTTCATTGGGGAATGAGTGATCAACAGAGATTTTTGAGAACGTAATTGGTGGTTTTTTGTTAATTTCATCTACCACTCGCACAATATCTGGTGTTTTTTGTATTAAAACACATTGGGGGCTTGTCTCTATTTGTTTTCCAAGCTCCTTATTCAGCTGTTCTAACATTGAAATTTCATCGATAATGAGGTTTTTTTGTGAAACCAGAGATGATAGCTTAGTTTTGTAAAGAGTTTCCAAATTTCCTCGTATTTCTTCCACAGTTTCGTTAATAGATTTTAGAGTTTCATCTTTAGACTTGGTAATCATCTTAATGTTTTCATCAATATTGATAATTAATGTGTTAAGGTCCTTCAATCTGACATTAACAGAATTTGATTCAGATTTAACAACCTCAACACATTCTTTGTAAACTTCTGACACTTTCTTGAAGGAATGTGCTTTGTGTTTATCTTCAAACATGGCACAGTCAGAGCAAATAGCTGCTTTGCAAGTTTCGCAATAATAAATCAGTGGGAGATCATGATTTGAGCATTGTTCAATGATGTTTCTTGGAGTTGATGTGATAGTTTTTTCTTTTCTTGAATGTATCTGGGATTGGAGTTTTTCCAGCTCCGATGATATTTCTGAAACGAATTTGCAGTTCACCATTTGGTTCATATGAAGAGAAGCTCTGCAATTAGGACAATTAGATTTTCCCTGATCAACAAGCCATCTTTTGATACATGGAAGGCAAACAATTTTGGAACAGCAAGGACACAAATGTGGAGTCGTCGGTTTGTTATGACATAAGGAACACTTAACTATTTGTTCCAAGTGCCTATTAATCACGATAGGAGGTGAAGAGTCGACTGATGAAGTGGCTGAGGGTGAATATTGCCGGTTGTCAAGTTCTGATGAAATGGTTCTGGGTGTATGCAAATCAAACTTGCTTCCTGCAGGCTGTGTATGATGTAGATTAGCTTCGTCATTGGCATGCTTTGAATTGGTATTTTCATAGTTATATGTCGCCATCAGACCCGAAGCCGCTGTGTTATTCTTGTAATGTTGGATTGGAGAAATATTTCCAATCTTTCCCGTAAAGTTTCTCGCTTCTGATGATGAAGCTGCTCTTCCTGGAGCTTTTCCGTATGACGACATGGCTTTAAAATCTCTTCTGAGCAATTGAATTAAATGTCATGAGGCGCACGGCAACCTTCCCTTAAATCTTTACGAGACAATATTTTTTTGAATTTTTTGGCGCTCAATTCCATAGCTGTATTTTAAAACAAAAGTTCAGTTCGGTTCATTAAAAAATAACAACCGGGACATGATGATGATGAAACGTAAACATTGAACGAAACATTTTTTGAGTTGATCAAAAAAAATGTTTCAACAGCAAGACCGAGAACAATTTGGAAGGCAATTCACAGAACTTGTGGTTCGCCATCGTCAAAATATTCGACAATATGAGAAGATGATTGAAGAATTTAAAACATTATATGACACACTCATTTACATACCGCAAAAATTACAACATCACTCTATGCTTCCGATAGGGTCTCACGGATTAGCTTTCATGCCTGGGCAATTAATCCAAACCAATGAAGTCACTGTTGCTCTCGGAGAAAATTATTTTATTAAAACTTCAGCTCATCATGCAAGACAGATTTTAAAAAGACGTATAGAAAGAGTATTGAATGCTTTGGAAAATGAGAGAAAATTATTGCATGGTGTTTATGAAGGAATGGGACTTGGAAAACATTCTCATGTTTTAAAGCCTAAACAAGAAAAATTAGATTTGAGGGATGTGTCCGAAGCTGAGAAAATTGAACAAATGATTCGAGAAATGGAAAGCCAAATACCTGATGAATTGAAAGATCTAAGAGAATTAGAAGAATCAGAGGAAATGGTATTCGAATATAATTCACGAAAGAAAGATAGAGATGAATTGCACTATAGACGAAAAACAACTCCAAAAGATGAAGAGGATTTAGAGAAAATATTGAATGAATTAGAACGAGAAGAAATGATGGAAAACAAAATGAAAAACATCAATTTACATGACGATGAAGAAGAAAAGGAAGAATTACAGTCTAAGCAAACTCACTCATTTGGAGAGGAAGATAAAAAGTTACAACAAGATATTCTGAAATATTTCCACAGAACGAAAGGGGCAAGCACTGAAGCAACAACGAAGCAACAACTAAAACCATCACAGAGTACGCCCTCGTCAATGAAACCATCTTCAGGTGCCAGCTCTTTCAACATCATGGAGAGAGAGGTCGTGGGATTTGGATCTCCAAAATCAATGATTGCGTCCTCTAGTAGCTCCTCACAAGATCAAGCCCCTAAAAAGGTTTCTAAATTCAAGCAGCAACGCATGATGGAGAATAAATAACTCTTCAACGTATTTAATGCGAATTTACGATGCTTCAAAATTGCTCGATAGATCTCGATAGGAAAATTGTTAATCTGCCTTTTTCTTCTGTCTTGGAGATGGAGAAATGACAAGCTTGTACATTTGGTACACAAAAATAATCACCACCGCTCCAAGCATTAACAAAATCTCTGCAGAGCTTCTCTCGAGTAGCTTCTTCATATCCATGTTGTGGCCAGCTTGTTCAACCATTCTGGCGACTGTTTGCATTTGTGGCCCAAGCCGAGCTAAATACAATTCTGAACGATAATCATCTCCATTTTCTGTTCCAAAAAAGTCCCAACTATTTGTGTGATCGCAGTTGATGAATGTTGAAAACGTTTACAATTTAATGTCCCGAAAACTTACCATCCATATGGGTTGTATCTGTTTTGAATTGAAGATCTAGGGTACATGATAATAATGTTATTTTGTTCAGCAATTCTATTGTATCCAGAGTAAATGGCGAACTCTTCTCCTAATTGGTCACATCCATGGAAGGCAACATGCTATTCATTAATGTTAGAGAGACATAAAAAAACAAGACAACACATACAATGTGAATGCATTTCGTTTCATCCTTTTGGCAGGCAGAGGGGATGTACAAGTATCCGTAATCTCCCATTAAATGTCTTTGAGATGCAAATGGAGTTTGGTCAATTTTGAAAAGCTACATATTCATATGAGCATGCAAACTGTAACATGTTTTCATGTTGCACTTACGTTGTTGTTCAACAAGTCTTCATTCTTGTTAGCTGACTTGTTGTTCACAAATTTTTGGTCATCATTTTGGAAAAGCAGGAACTTCAGAGCATCAGCAACCAAATCAAATCCACAATTTTGAATATATGGCTTTTGAACTTCTGCTCCACACTTATTCTTTTCAGCGTCAATGTAGTCAATAGATACCATAGCATGGCCAGAAGGAATGTCAAGAACTGTTTTGATGTTTTCTTTTGGAACTTTCAAAAATTCGTACAATTCTCTTGATTTTACGGCAGCAGCTTGAGTTAAGCTTTTGTCTTGTTTTCCGCTTTGCAAATAGACTCTATGTGACGGAATTGATTCTGCATAGTCATCTATTAAATTATAATATGTCAATTTTTGCAGAATGTCTACAATTTCATTCACTGTGACTTGTTCAGTGTGTTTGAAACATGTTTCTAATCGAGTTAAATTGTTTTTGATGCAGTAATATGGCAATCCAGAAAAAGCAGCAACTCCAGCTACTTTCTTTGAGTGAGCAATTTGCATTTGAACTGCCATGGATGCTCCGGAGCCAAACCCAGAAAATGTCAGTGTTTTAATATTGGAGAATGTAGGAATCATATCCAAAGAATTTTTCACTAAAGTTGAGGTATCTTGTCCCTGCACCACCACACACAAGGTCGTCATCGTGAAAATGCCCGATATCAAGAGCACCAACATGAATGCCGAGTTGCATTCGGAAGAGAGCGAAACGAAAGTCTTTCGGCGGCTCATTTTTTTCCTGTTGGAAATTTTTGAATTTTCAAAAGTCTCACGCAAACCCAACAACAAGGCTTGTTGCGCTGATAGAGAGCTTTCAGAATTTGAATCAATATTTATTGATCATCGGATCCGAGACCACTGAAAATTCCCATCATCATCTTCTTTTCCTTTGTTTTGTGTTCCTTTTTTAAGACTTCCAATTTTTTGTATCCTTGTTTCACGAGAGGATCATTTGGAATTTCTTTTGAAACATCTTCGAGTGCTCTCTCGGAATTGTCAATATCGTTCAGTCCGAGATAGGCTAACGCTTTTCTCAATCGTCCTTTGATATTGTTAGGCTCTAATTTAAGTGCTCGTTTTGAATACTCCAATGCTTGTTCATATTTCTCTAATTTGAGATAACATTGTGCAATATTTAAATTTGCTGTGACTTGTAGTTGTTCTGTTTCTGAGAGAGTTTGTTGCGATGACGATCCTGCGTTTTGATTATTATTGGACATGACTGACATTAAATTTGAATCCAATCCTGTTACGTAGAGAAAGATGGTCTTGTAGAGTTTGATGGCCTTTAAATAATTGCCTTGCTTGAACTGATCATTACCATCCTCTTTAAGCTTTTTTGCATAGTTAATTTTTCCTTCAGTGGTTTCGGGAATTTCAAAGCTATTAGTACTGCTGCTACTCATCGTCGTAATTCTTCTTTTGTTGTTGAGATCAATCTTGCCTTCTGTTTCAATTCCGAAATAAATATTTGATATCTTCTGGCAGGTGAAGGTTTAATTTTTTTGGTTCGCGGAATACTTTTGCTTGAAGTTTTTGGACTGGGCAAGATGGAAATAGAAGAGGGTGATATCACGAATTCGGCTTTACAAGCACATGAATAGGAAAACACCTGGTGCGATTGAAACAGTGCAAAACAGACTCGTGATGAGAACATAAAACAAAAGAAACAAATAGCTTCCCTCGCTCTCATCATTCATATGATGGAAACTCAATGTCTCATCATCACTGGCAACCAAATGACTTCGAGCGATGAGCATCGCTACCAACATGACTCATTTCAAGAGACCCCTCCATGCTTTTCCTTCTATTATGGACAACAATCAAAGAGAAACTATTTTCACTCTCTTCGGAAATCCATACGAAGGATTACTAGTTTTTCAATTTTGGTCTTTTCGTTTCGTCCATCTTGCTGTTAGTAGCTCTTTTAATCTTGTCAATCGTAATTCCTATTGAAACCATCAGAGCAGCCACTAGCACGTCAATGATGAGAAACAACAACAACAACAAATGAGAAATGTTTTCTGTACTTGGAAACTGTAAGAGAAGCAGCTCCGTAATGACCCCAGGCTTCCCCTTAAGGAAACAATTTGATACCTTAAAAAAACGCCGTTGTTTGCACGAGTGCTGTGAGGGAATTTTCGGTTGGAGCATCATCAATCTGTGTGCTGAGGTTCTTATGATCATCATATAAACGTATTAAGCACGACGTAGTTTTTGTATTAAATTGAGAGAGCAGCTCTCTTAGCCTTCTTTTAATTTATTATAAATTATTCAGTTCCCTCTTCACTTCCTTCCGTTATATAGTAATCATCATCGTGCTCAGAAGCACACCACCGCCAGCAACATCATGGGCAGCGCGTTTATCAAATTCTCTTGCTCCAAAGTCTCTGATTCTAATGTCCACGATCATTCCAAGTACAAAACCAAGCGACAGAAAAAAGAGTTGAAAACCTTTAAGTCATCATCTACACCTTCAAATTTATCCTTCAAGAACGCATACGAAGAAAGCAATTTAAATTCTTCGACACCGGTCTTAATGAACTTATGCCCTTCTGCCCCTACTCTGAACGACACTTCTAACGCAGAGGACGTAAGCAATGAATCTACGAATGCATCTCCTCGAAGAGGAAACAAAGTAGTTCCACTCTCGGCCGCTTATTCAGAACAACAACAACAGCCAGAGTCTTCACCATTAATTCCAACCTCGTTTTCGTTCAGGTCTCCGTCTTTCACATCAAACTTCAAGTTCAAAAAGAAGGCCGCAAGCTTTTTTGAAATGAAAAAAAGTGAGGATTTAGTATCACCTACTGTAAATAATGATCCCGTGAACACTAGTAGTATTTCAAAATATGACGATTCTTCGTACTTTGACAATTATCACACATTGCCTCCTATTCCTATTGACGAGGCAGTTTTGCAAAAAGTAATGACTCGAAATCGTTCAGCAGGAAATGTTTTACGAGAAAGCTTGGAGGTATTTAGGTTTGGGGCTGCACAGCAAAATTACAACGAAAATGAAGATATACCGATGGATGATGATGAAATTAAGTCAGTGGAAACAGTGTCCACGACCTCAAGTAGTACTGTGGAGGTGGAGATTTTTAACCATTCAGGCCCAAAAGCAGGGCTTATGAAAACCAAATCATCATACAGGCTCGAGAGAACAGGATCAGGAGTTAAGAAGCCACAACTGTCTTCATTTCACAGATTCAATACAATTTCCGACATCCATAGAGCCCTTGTTGAAGAACATCAAAAGAAAGCCCTTTCCAAACACTCTTCAATTGCTTCCATTAGGTCAAAATACAGCCCAATGAAGCGAGATTCTCTAGACTCTCAAGTTACAACATCTTCTGGAACAGGAACCAGTGGGTCTGGGTCGGTAAGAAGTCCAACTCCTCGTGTAGGAAGAAACATGAAAATTGAAGCAAAAGTTACAGGTACAGAAGCTCTGTTATGCCCAATACCTGAAGAACGACATTTAGTGGCGAGTATGAGCCTTAATAACTTGTTTTCCAACAAAATGCCATCATCAACTCGAATTTTAGATCCTGTTTCTTCGAACGGGGGTAAAGAGAGAAGGTTAACTCGAAATTTTTCCTCTAATCAAATCATAACATCGAGTTTGTTAACGCAAGAAAAACAACTTTTATCACAAAGTAGTCAGGATTTGTTACGAGATTTAAAAAAGCCATCAATACCCAAGACGTTGCAAAAAACGTCAAGTTTTAGAAGTACCACATCCAATACAAGCACTGTATCCAAAGAAGAAATTTTAAACAGAGTTTTCAATACTGCTCCTTCTAGACCTACCCTTCCTCCAATTAAACGTAAAAAGAAAGAATCAAGATTAATTATTGATCCAAAAACAGGCTCAATCAAATATACGGATGAAGAAGATGTCACAAGTGAAAAAAGTTCATCATCAACTACCAGAAGTGATTTTTCAAGTCTAGATGAAACTAAAACAAATTTAGGGAACTCAGACATTATGATCAATATACAAGAGCCTAAAGAAGCGCCTGAAGTTGTGCCTAAATCAGCACCTAAAGTTACTCTAAGACAGCTGAAACTGCAAAAAATTCAAAAATTGAAGGAACAAAAGGAAACAGAAGAAATGTTAATTGCTTATATCATGGATGACAAATATTCAGAGGCAGAAATCAACAATTATCTCCTTTCAATTGGTTCCCACGAATTCATGGACATTTTCTAAAAAGAGAGTTTTCAAAGTTAGATGGATTTTTCTTTGTTAAAAGTATATTTCTGAGATAGATAGAGCTCTCTCCGCTTCTTTTCAGTTTCCCAAACTTTGGAAGCAGATGGATATACCACAAGAAGAGAAAATGCAGTCATGTAGATTGAGTATTTGAACCATCTCGTAAAACGTTGCTTCATAGAGCGAACAATTTGTGGATGGTACATTTCACGGGTAGCAATTCCAAGATATGGATCCGAGTATTTATAATTGTGATGTAGTGTTTGTTGCTGTGAAATATTGTGTGAAAGAACTCTCCATTCCGCAACGAATTGAATAATATTAAATTTTATCTTGTTCCAAGGTGATAGTAATCGATAATCTCCGATAATGTGTGAGAGTGATGATTTTGGATCGTAATTTTTAATAATATTTGCTTGTGTTTTGGCCTTTGGTAGTGATTGTTTGGTCGAATTGTTTGTTGGCTGTGATGATGATCTCTCTTGATTCATTTTTTTTAATGAAATCGATGACTTTCTGATGTTTCTTCCTACCATCCCAACAACAACAGAGCTGCCCGCATATGGCCGAGTGGTTTTTCTGGAACTGGCAGCCAACTGGTCCAGCGTTCGAATCCCAGGGGTTGCTGCTGTTATCGTGAGCAGTTTAAACACCTTTACTTCCGGGGTGCCTGCTAGGGAGTCACTACGTATCTTACGTTCGGCTTGTAAATAATGTACATAAAACCATCGAACAACGTTTATCATCGAATAAACCCATCCCTGAATTTTTTTTTAATGAAATCGCTTTCAAAAAAAATGCCTTAACTGGTCCTGTGGTGGCTGACGAAAGTTAGTTTCTACGCCCCTATCTCAAGGTGCCTGCGAGAGATACCCAAGTCTCCTTCCTGCGGGGTAAAGGTAGATTCTCGGTATCGACGATGTACGGGCTATGGTGGGGGTGGCGAGTAATGAGCAATCGCCGGGGAGCCTGAATGAACTAGCAGCGTCATGATACACATATAAGATTCGGAGATGTTTCTAGATTCAACGAAGGTCTATGGGACCTGTGATTTGAATCTATATAGCTTAGGGATTTGCGTGCCTACTCTATGAGATCAGTGTTGAGATGAACCTGTTATGGGAATTCTGGGGGTGGTCCGTGCTATTCACTGAAATACGGCAGGGCAATAACTCCACTACATCATAGATCTCATTAACGAACCTACGACACCGGTTGGAGGGTATCTATCATAAGCCTACAAAGGGCAGGTGGGAGTCTTACGACGCTAATGTGAAACCACTACCAATGTAATGCTGTGACAAGAGAGGATCACAACCATGATCCGGTTTCAGAAGGTGAATAATAAATTTTTGGGTTCAATTTTTTTTAATGAAATTCAATGATAAAAAGCAAGAACAAGGAGCAAAATTGGTCTTGTTGTTTATGTTTCAAAATTTGAAACTCTTAGTGTTTGTTGGCTTCAGAAAATTGTCGTTAGTGGTACAGTGAGTGATTTGAGTCGTTAGATTTGGTGTAGTGTTGCATGTACATGCATGTTATGTTACAATTTGGTGAATTTACAAGTGTCATTCATTTCAAGAACGAGAGTTGATAATTGGTTTGAATTTGAAAGGATCCCGTTGGTGACATGGCGTTGCTTGGGAGAGCAGGAGCTTGACAGTTTTGGTTGCTTAACGTATGCACTCGCTTCGTTCTCTTTCCTCTTGTCACCATCTCACCTGAAATAATCAATGAACTCTTCTTGGAGAGAATCTGTTCTAAAAAGTTGCATGTTTCGTTTTCATCAATATTGTTCAGTGAAAGATCAGTGTTGGAAAGATCCATATTCGAGTGTTGTCCATTATTGTTTTGTTGGTCAGTGGTTGTTGTTGATGGAAGAGATGTTTCTGTGATTGTTGAAAAGTTTTCAATGTTAACAATTCTCTGAATCATGTATTGCGCTGCTTGCAAGCAATCGAAAGAGTTTTGTCTCCTTCGCTTGAGAATACCATTTGAAGAGGATTGTTTCTTTTTGATATTCGTTGCTGTTGTTGTTGTTTGGGTTGTCGTTTGGGTTGTTGTGGCAGGAAGTGTGCAAGGTGTGGTTGATACCTTTGTTTCAGTAGCTGCTTGGAAAGTGGAAATCAACTCGGCAGACGTCGTTTCCGACAGGTCACTTGAATGAATATTCACTGAATGACATTGACAGCTACTATTCAAAGGCATTGTTTGGGATGAATGGACGTGGTTCATGAAAAATGTTATAAATGTTATATTGGATGATCTGAGAAAGAGAGAGAAGGTGGACAGTTGTGAAAGGATTCTCCTGACAGCGTGATGTGGTGGTCCTCTCTGTGTGTGTTCAGATAATAATTATTTGAAAATTTGTCGCTGCAGAGAATGAGTTTTGATCTTTTTTTAATTTTTCAAATAATCAGTTCAAAAGCCAATCGCTTAAATGGAACTTGTACATTGTAAAATGTTAACTTTCATGCTTGCCCTTGTCTCCCCACAGACATCAAGTGTCTTTGACACAATTGGCAGAAACACAACTGATGGGGTGTTTGTAAAACTTCTCAAACGATACAAACAAGAAAATAGTACAAACTGAATTAAAGCGATGCGCCCATTTTGACAAGGGAATAGATGTGAATGAGGAAATAGTACTTTTTCACTTGGAATCATGAAGATTTCCAATCCTTAAAAGGAATGTATGTTTTTTTACATGGTTTGTAAATAAGTACTTGTCGAGAATCAGTCATTTTGTGTTATTTTGGAGTGATTGAAAGTGATATGTGAAGGATGAAAAGGATCACAAGTTTGTGTGAAAGAGATCGAATGAACCAGACGATGGTTCGTGTCGACAAATTTTGTAAAGATTGTATCAATAAGAATTTTACCTAAAAGGAACCATCTTACCAACGGTCCATTTCACAGTTCCTTGTGTTGATTCTCATATTGACTTGTTGTTTATTGACAGAGATACATGTCCACAGAAAAAGGTTTTGCATTCTTTGGACTCTCCCAATAAAATCAAAGACTCCAAAAATGCAAAGGATTCATTTTGCTAATTTCAAATTTGATAAGTGAAAATGTCCTTCTCAATCAATTCATCATCAATTGGATGATGCCAAGGACAAACTTTGACCATGGAGAAACAGGTTCATCATTTCGTGCTCAATGATGGAAGAGTCGAGTGGTCGGAGAGGTAAATGTTGATTTAACATGAAAATGTTCATTGAAAAGGAATTTGTAGTGTTGTGTTGCAAGTTGAAATTCACACTTGTCAAAGATTCATGATGAATGAATTGAGGTTCTCTTTCCTCCTTGTTCAAAGACACCACAAAACATTGAATACAATTTTCATCTTGTTCTGAAAACAGGTTCAGATAAATGTCAAGGACGTAATTTGAAGTCTCGTTCTTGGCAACCAAATGATCCATGACCAACCAAATGAGAACAATAGGAAGCCTTAATGTTACATCGATTCGAATTTCTCGACATTCAAAATTGCAAACCACTAAAAGATATTGTTCAGTCATGTTGTTGTTGTTCTCCATGCCAATCAGTTGACGAACTGACATTTGGGTGTTTGCAAATGACAAATTCATTCGAATTGGAAGGTAGGAGAGATTAGAGGAGAAACACTTATCATGTTGCACCGCAAGCACTTCCGACTCTTTTGTTGAGCATGACTTGTCAATTCCATCATCATCCACAACAAAAGGACTGAATAATTCTCTCGTCTCCGTCATGAAGGTGTTGTCGTATTGTCGAACTGAAGATGAAGAGTGATGATGCATCATAATGGCGAAAGGTGTATAGTAAGTTTAGTGAATGATGACTCTGGGAGAAGTGTCTCTGTTTTTGCTTTTTTGTTTCCTTAAATTTATTAATTTTTTAAGTTAAAGATGCAAAACTTCTCACTTTCAACCGAAATGGAACTCTTTTTTAAGCGAGGACTTAATACCTCTTTGAAATGAAATTGGAAAGTGAGGTTGCATTCATTCGCATTCATGATACATCGTACGTTGGATAAATCAACGCACACAATGGATTACAATGTCTTTACTTTCATACACATCCGTTGTCTTCTTTATTCTGTCGAGCTTTTGGTGATTTGAGAGAATCAAGTGAACGCTTTACAATCACAAAGCAATGGAAGGAGATTATTAAGTCACTCATCATCATTTCAACCAATGATGGCATGAATTTAAATATATTCACTTGCATTTGAGGTAGTAGCAAATGCCATTTTGAGCATGTTGGGATTCATCAAGCACAGTGATTTTGGTGCACACATCCAACGATTGTCAGATGCCTTTGGCAATGAGTTCCCACCCGTTATGATCTCCTGAATTTTGAAAATCAATGAACGCTCCATAATTTACAGTAATAATAATTATTTTACTTGTAGAAATCGTCTTCGTCTTCGTCCTCATCTTCATCTTCGTCAGCTTCTTCATCGCTATCGAATGCACTCTTCTTTCGTTGGATTTTAACCTTGGTTGAAGAGCCTGACATTTGTTCCAACATTTTCACTAATGTTTCTTCATTAATCTTGCCTGGCAATTTTCCAGTTTGAGCTAATTTGATAACATAGTCTTCAAATGATCTTGCCCTTTCTGGCTTAACAAGTGAAATTCTGTTTACTGTTAAAGACAGAATTTTCAAGCGCAATATCATTTCACCCAAATGATTTCATCCAAACATGACACAATATAATCGGTAACAAATAAACCGAATCGGAATCACCACACGATAAATAGGTATGATGATCATGATGATCATAATTTCCAAAATGAATAATTCCGAATTCATTAAACGGTTAATTGGGATTGCAACCAATCCGATGATGATCATCATTAATCCCCCAAAGTCCAATCTCATTCTACTCCTTCTTTCAAAACTTACATCTTTCTCTAGCATCGCCATCCAATATTTGAGAAAGAAGAGCTCTTCTCTTCTCCTCTGCCTCTTCCAATGCTTTCTTTTGTTGTTCTTGTTTTGCTCTTTCCTCTTCGGAAACCTCGGCCTGTGGTTGAAGTTGTTGCATTTTTTACTCTTTTGTATGAAAACAATTTATAGATTTGTTCACAATGTAGCATTTGGAAAGAGGAATGGACTTTCAATTGGACCTATTCAATACCAGTATTCAAGTTTTATTCAAGTTATTGTAATAAGAAAACTTCCACTTCATTGAGAATCCATGCATTCAATGAACCTGCTAAACTCTTTTGTGCTTCATCACTTCGAAATCCACCTCGAAAGGTTGAATACGCACCACCCACATTCGTATGTCCTCTCTTCAAGGAACTATCCAGATATAAATCATAGGGATCAAAGACAAGATTGGTACCACCTCCAAAACTGGGTCCACTACTTGCATGACAATAGACGGCTCTTTGTGGATTTTTCACTTTCAATTTTCGAGGTCCATCGTTGTAAGGATTGACCAAACTAAAGAGAAAAGTGTCATTGGCTTTGAGCCATTGATTGTTACTATTCCATTCTACAGAGTTATATCCTCCAAAGATATAACCTTCTGTGGTACGACACACCAAAACGGAAGGTCCCTATTGTGTGTGAAATGTACCAATAAAGTGAAGATCATGGTGATGTGAAATGTGTGGTATGTTCAAAAAAGCAGAAAGATTATTCTGAGTGTTGAAAAATTCATCAATTACTTACTCGCGTGTCACATTTTTGATGGAAAACACTGCTGTCAAAACCATCTTTAGAAGCTTTAAATGCCAATGTCCACATTTTGCCCTTAGTAATGCTACTTTCACCACACATTTTGATGACCTCTTGTCTGTTCTTTCCTTTCAAAATCGTTGATGCACTAAAATGACTTTGTTCATTTTCAGAGGCTCCTTTTCTCTTTTGAGCTCGTTTACAGGTACTTGGAAGCGTTCGATCTGGAGCACATACATGTCTATAGGCTTCCAACAATAAACTATCATCCACAATTCCAAATATTTCAACTACATCGGTTAATTGGTGTGCTGTCATGAGAGGAAATCGAATACATGGAATCAAATCTCGAACCACTTGCCTAATAAGATCCTTATCCTCATCCGAGAGTCTATTGGCGAGCTGTATAAGGTCTGTATGATGTCTATTTTGTGGTACTGGATCTAATGAAAATTTAGTGTGTAAACTAATGTCGTCACGTAATGGATTTTTCACAACTGCAAAAGGAGTGTCTGATTCAGATTCATCTGTGTCATTGTTGATGTAATCATTCATGAGAAGACGCTTTCTGTTCATGGCCAATTGTTTCTTTCTAAAGATGAGTTCCTCTTCTTCTGGAGGTTCACACAACAGATCTTTCAAGTCTTTCATATCGACGATGTGAGTGACTGTTTGTTCTTTGGTTTCTTCATCAATAAGAACGTCCTCAACCTCTTCATCATCTGAAATATCTTCTTCAGTATCAAGTAGCCCTGTATCATCTGAAATTTCAATTTGTGACATTCCCCATCGAAGTAATGCTCGAAATAATTCAATTTCGTCGACAGCTAAATATTCACTTTCTAAGAAAACTTTCATTGTTAAATGAGAAACAAAAGGTAAGGATTCACTTGCAATGACTTCTCTAGCGTTGTGTTTGATGAAATCAAAACAACTCTCGATCAAGTCCTCCGATCCATATTTGAGAGCTAAATCTAAAAGTACAATAGCAGACTCAGAGTCAATATATTGTTTCACATAATCCACACAAAAATTCTTGAGCTCGAGTAGAATTAATTCATCAGCAGCAGCCAATACGTGCATACACATGGAAATTACGTTATCAATATCGTCAGGACTTTGCATTTGTGCCACATGTACTGTTTTGTCCTTAATTTTTCTATGTTTTAATTTTGTGGTAAATGTCACTCGTCCAGTATAAATATATTGCAACACTTTTTCAAAAACAGCTGGTGCAATGTTGGGTTTTTCCACAATGGATATTCTCGTTCCGAAAGAGTTTGTTAACACTTCTGCACTCTTATCAGAAAATGGTAAATTTGTTGTCCCAGAAATTGGTGTTGAAGAAGATTCCAAAAACATTCCACGATGCACTAAAAACATATTTCTGAAATACTCTGATCGTTGACATAAAATCACTTTGTGACAATGAAAAGTTCTTTGATTTTTTCCACTACCCACTCGAAGTTGACAATCACTAAGCTCTTCATTATCAATTAAAAATCCAAAATCTGTTGCCAATCTTGAAACGTTTGCATAAGTCACAGTTCGTTGTGTTTCAGATTTGTCCACAATTTTTGTATAATGACCATAAATGGATTGTTCTTCTCTCGTGGTTGTAATCACTGTGCTTTCTGTTGTCAATCCCAGTGACGAGGATGGTTTTAAAATACTTCCTGAACTGGGAAGACCTGTCACAGTGTTGGTAGTGGTCAAGAGATTATTATTTGAAGGATTGATAGTGTTGTTGTTGTTGTTACTGACAGTGCTTCCATTATTATTAATAGTTGTGGTGGTACTGGTTGTAGTATTCAGAACAGAAGAGTTATTGAATGGATGATTCGAACAAGATGGAGGAGAGGTAAAATTAATAATGGGTATTGAATTGGTAGTACTACTACTCGGAGGAGATTGTGCCACCATCGTCATCATCACGGAAGAAGTATTATTAGAATTTTGAACAAGTGATGATGATGATCCATGATTCAACGTTGAGGAACAAGATGAACAGCTTGCAATATTGATGGCCGTTGAGGAAGAGGATCCTCCTGTGGATGATGATGAGGAGGAGGAGGAGGAACCAGTGTTGTTGATGCCATTCGAAGTGGTTGTGTTTGTTGTTGTTGTTCCATTCATGTTGTTGTTGTTGTTGTTGTTGTTGGTTGTATGAGAAGGATGCTGATTGGATAATACTGTTGTTACGGAAGAGGGTGTTGTTGTGGATGAGGAAGGAATCATCGTTCTAGAGAAAACGTGTGTGATGAAAACAAGGTGGTGATGGTTGTTTTCCAAAACACGTTGGAGGAACTTTTTTTTTGTGTTGCTGACAGGTGAAAGGCAAAGTCCTTTCAATTCCTAAAGAAATTGGAACAGCAATCATGGTCACAAGCATCAAAATCAGAAATTTCAAAAATTCACTGTTGAAAAAACTATATATATAAGATGACAGTCTTTAAAAGATGAACGAGTGACGATAACACAAAGTCATTCATGATGACGTGTTGTTTCCGAGCGCGCATGACATCAATAAGGTTGACACATAATGTCGCTCCAAAAACAAAGACCTATTAAATACTCATGTCACAAACACGAGCCCATTACGGTCGATTTCGATCCAGTCCAAAACCTTTGAAATAATCCTCCATGTCCATTAATTGATTTTTCAAACATAACTTTGAAAACAAAACATCACAAATAACAACACCATGGACACCGAAAACCACAACACTTCCAGCAGTAGTGATTGTGTCCACAACAAGGAGATTAGTTCACAACTTGTTGGAATCAACACCAATGATCTTGTTAGTCAACCACAACCAACCACGACAACAGCCACAGACACTTCCAATTGTTTCCTGACAGTCCATCCTTCTTCTGTCCACCAGCATCATTCAAGCTCTTCATGTTCGAGCCCATCCTCTACCATGCAACTCATAGAACGACCTCTCAGCATTAAAAGTGACGACCATGATGACATCTCTTCATGTTGGTCCACTCCACAACAGTGTTCGAACACTGATAATGTTCAAACGGAAAACTCATCTTCAGAGAAACATGCTCAATTTGATAAATCTCCAACCAATCAGGTGATTGAAATTAATATTCCTTCTGTTTCCGCAGGCCTTGCATTGCATACCTCTCCACAAAATCTACTTGCTCGTAAGGGAACAGGAGGAATCGATAAGAGCAGTCAACTGTCATCGGTGGGAGGAAAATCACCTTCAAGAACCACACATTCTCATGGATCCAAGGCCGATGGAGAGGGTTTCAAACTTTACACGTGCTGTGGAGTGATTGAATTTTCATGGATCAAGACTTTGAATCTATTTTCCTTATTTGTCAATTTAGTGGCCTTTCTTACATTGGGTGCTTTGATCATTGCCAGTTACAGTGGTTCTGCTGCCTTCAATGAATTGTTGAACGGCATGGATGCAGACACAACCTTTTATCGTAACATGTTGATTGCCAGTGCTCGTTCATGTGCCTTTTCGAATCAAAGTTATGCCATTGCTTATAATTATTCCATCATTTACAACAATTATCGTGACAAGTTTATTACCAGTATTACAGAAGTGTTGAATGTCGTTCCACCTCAATTGCAATATCACATTCCAAGAAATTTGACCATTTACGATTTGAGAACATTCAAGGCCTCTGTTCTTGAAAGTCAAGTCATTAGTCTCTCTTTGAACGGAAGTTTCCTTAATGCCATGTCCATTATTGAAAGTGATCTTTACAAGTACTATCTCGATGGTTATGAAATTGAATATCAACCTCTTTTGGATTATTACAATCATAAGGAAGTGGAACGAAAGAATTTTTCAATTGTTATGACCACACTTTCTCTCATTGTGATTTGTGTGTCGATTGCTGTGGTGATTCCAGTAGTGATTGCATCCATTGCTTTCTCATTGAAACGTGATTCATCCAACACTAAAAAGATTAAGCAAATGAGAGCCAATCTGTTACAAGATACCATGAAGGATGAAAAGATGAGAGAATTATTCAGAGCTCATTGTGCGTCAGAGTTTTCATTGGAGAATTTCATGCTCTTGGATAAAATCACTGATTACAAGAATAACAGTGAAAAGAGTTTCCAAATTCAGGAATATTTGTATGACAATGATTCCAAGAATGATGAAACTTCTTCCACAGTGGCTTCTTCTTCACAACAAGAACCACCAAAAAAGAAAAAGACAAAAAAAGGTTTCACAGAGAAGGATTTGCTTCAAATCGAAAAGAAAAAGTTTGAAATTGCATTTGAAATTTATAGCGAATTCTTGGATGTGAATGGAGAACATTCGGTAAACATTAACAAACAAATGGCAGAGTCTGTGAAGGAACAGTTGGACTTTTATGCAACAGGTCAATCTGAACATTTGCCAGATCAATTATTTGATTCCATTTTCTCAGAGATTTGCATTCTCATGTTGGATTCCCATCAAAGATTTATTGCACAACAAGAAGCAAATCGAATTGCAAAGAAAGAAGCAATGAAGACTAAAAAATCAAGAAAATAAAGATGTAAATGAAGAATCTCCCGCAAAATTAGCTAATTTCATCTTTGGAAAGTATAGTTCTGCTTTTTTCCTACAGGTTCAAGAAAATTCATGTCAATTCAAAGATTTCACATCGTTCCATAATCTTTCTAGAAGCCTAGATAAGCTTAAAATTGCAATTCATCATGTGTGAGTTTGTGAGTGGAACGGTCAAGAACTGCTAGCTCAATGCTGTTGGTTGTCATGTTATTAACTATGAAAGTTGGCCAACTGGTAAATTTGAATGAAACCCTGCCAAATGTTGCAATTAGATAATACAAAAAAGGAGATCACCAATGAAGCGGTTTGTTGATTTATGGGCGTTTCTAAAGAATTTACACAGTATTATGAAGGATTTACTTCGTTTCCAAGAATCGTAATTGAGAAACACGGTTTTTTGGGTAGCAAAACAAAATCCTGTTTCAGCCAGATTGCATCCGAAAATAACTTTGGCGTCGAGGACTAATGCAGTAAATCATTTGAAAATGAATATTCTCTTTTTTGAATAGTCTGCAACAAACACTTCTCTAGTGAGCTCATGAATACAACAATTATAGGGTCCCTGAACTCGATCATAATAACTTGTTAAATATTCACCATTTCTATCAAAAATTTGAATCCTTCTTCCACTAAAATCACAAGCCAAAATTTGCTTGCATGCTCGATCATAAACAACACCTCTCAAAAAATTGAACTGTCCATTTCCATTTCCAGTCTGTCCAAAACTTTTGAGAGAGACATAAGAACCCATACCGTCTGGTTTCAAAAATTGAATTCTATTGAAACCTGTTTCTCCAACGATAATTTCCCCATGTTCGTTCATATCAATTCCCCATGGACCTTGCAAAACGATTCCATCATTTAAGCCAAATCGACAAATGATTTCTCCATCTTGTAGTCGAATAAGATGAATGCAATTCTTAGTGTAGTCACAAACATAAACAATTCTGAGAGTATCTTGTTGTTGTCGCGATGTCACTGGAGAGGTTGGGCTTAAATTTCGTAAATATTGATAAGTCACTAACATTCCAGCAGGATACTCGAGCTGTTCCGATTGTTTCCAAATTAAGGAATCATGGTGAGGTCTCTTATTCACAGAGGCATCCACTAGAGACTTCAAATCATACTTGTACACAGAATGATCGCTACATCCCACAAGTAAGGCGTCACTGAAATGGGAATTGTAATTAGTCTCAATACACAAGCAATGAGGTCGAGAAATGGTTTTGATGGTCGTTTTGAATTGTTTTGTCTCCAACTCATAAATTTGGATGCGACTATTGAAATAATCACTTATTAAGATGCAATTACAAGCATAGGAGAGTTTCACATCATATGGATTCGATAAGGAATCGTTGGAAACTGTGCTTTCGGTTAAGTTCGACACAAAATCTAACTTTCTTGGAGTTGTTTTTGGTTTGATTGAGTGCACAATGTTACTAAACTTGTCAATTTCCTTCTCTATGATTTTAAACGAACTCTTTGTATCGACTAACTCATAACCATGCAATTCGCTCATGTTCTCAAACTTGCATCTACTTTTCAATTCTTGAAATAATTCATCCACTTTTTTAAAGTTCACAAGTTTCTTTTCCATCATTTCAAGACCACTTAATTGATGTAATTGATCAAACTCTCCCAACATTGACATTAATTTGACTTTCAACTCCACAATATGGTGAATGATACATTTATGGTTTTCACACATTTCATCAATGGATTGATTCAACTTTTCCTGTTGTGTTTCAATCATGGTTTTTAACTTTTCAAATAAATTGAGACCTTGTTGTTTCAACCTCAAATTCATTTCTTCAATCATTTCCAATTCATTGTTCACAGTTGCATCATCCAGAGAATGTTCATTTTCGAATACAATAATTTCCTTTTTGAGTAGTTGTAATTGTTCATTCAATTTCTCTCGTTCTTCCTTCTCGATACTGTCAATCAAATATAAATCATGCCCTTTATGAGAGTGAACACTACAAGCTGCACAAATTAATTGTTCGCAAGTCTTGCAAAATGTGTTAATACTCGATGAGTGAATGACGCAATGACGACGGTGACTTTGAGAAGAATGGAGAGAATTATTTCCTTCTGTTAATATCCTATTCATCTCTCCATTCAAAACAGCATTAGAGTATTGGTGTCTTGTTTCATCTTCATTGTTGATGAGAGAAATTGAAACATGTGATTCATGTTTTTTAAAATGTGTTTTTGTATGAAATTTGCAAAGTTCGACTTGACATTCTTGACACGAGGTGATTGCTGGTATGTGTTCTTCAGCCTTTTTGAGACAAATAGAACACCACAACGTTGAATTTAGAGAAGTAAATGAATTTGTTGTTTGTTGTTGTTGCTGAGAGGAATGTGTTGCTTCTTCTTGGTGTGGCTCCGAATGGTGTTTACGATGAGAGTGATGGAACAGGGAATGATCTACATGAGGTGACTTTGTTGGGGTGGTTGAAGGCTTTGCTGTTGTTTGCATTGAAGGAGTGGTAGGTCCGGAGACAATTTTTGTGAGAGGAAGTGTTGGCTCTAAAAAGAAGGTTTGATGACATGTGACACTTTACTAAATTGTTTATTGAACTTTCTGGAACTGATGCATAACATGATCAAATCAATAAGAAATCAACGCAAAATGCATTTTACGTCTTTTTGGTTACATGATTATCATGTTTATTTATTATCGGAAATGATCATGAGAAACAAAGATCATGCCTACTATTCCAATAGGTTTTTGTATTCGGAAACACTTATGATATTAACCATACGATTGGAAGTGATGATTAATAATCAGTTTGAAAGATCATCACTTGTCTTAAAAAGTTCCTCATTAATGGCTCTTCTCCACATGGTATTGCTCTGGATTGCAAAACAAATTATCTTTATGTTTGTACTGATAGTCATTGCCTGGTCGTATTGGATATTTCAAAGAGAGATACAATAACTTCGTATGGGAAGGAAAAAGGGCAAAGTAACTCTCAGTTTAATTATCCAAGAGGAATTTGTTTAATCTTAACCAATGTGTCAGAATTGATGGTTGTAGATCAGTACAATCACCGCGTGCAAATTTTCAGATAATTATTTTTCAGATAATTATTGGATAATGAATAATGGTGTACGATCCTATCAAGAGTTAGAAAGTGATTTTGTAATTTTTGAAATTGAGGGTTAAGGAAAAATAGATCATGACGCTCTTCCACAACATACAATACCTCCATCAATGTTCGAAAATGATGGCCCATTCCTCTATTTTGACTGATTGAGAATTACTAATTTCAGAACAGAGATTCCAGAAGCTCAAAAATTACTTTCTTGACACGACTCTCTTGGTTGTGGAAATTTTTGTTGGCGAAGAAAATACAGAGCGAGAGCTTTGTTTGTCAGACGCAAGATTTTTAAAGATGTCCTCTATATTCATAGAATTGGATGATTGCTGACTAGATATCTTGGTCGGAGAACAAGTGGAAGCCACATTGATTTCTCCACGTTTGTGAAATTTTCTTGGTTTTTTGGTCTCAGCTTTTTTTGTCTCCTCTTTCAAGACTTTGGGTTGATCTTCATCATCGGAGAGAATCATAGCGTCCTCTTCTTCTCTGTTGTCTTCTGTATCAGATTTCTTCTCCACAGTTTTGAAGAAGCTATCAATAGTTTTGTTTTTGCTTGTTGTTGTTGCTGATGGAATTGTTTTTTTGGATGTAGTTTGGCTTGCTGAAGGAGTTGTAGCATTGGTTGACTGTGCCGATAAACTTGACGATGCTTGTTGTTGTTGTTTAACTCTGCTTCTTGTTCTGTGTACTTTAGGTTGATTTTCATCATGCTCGTCAATGATGAGGTTTTCGTCTTCTTCTGAAATTACAAATTCTTCTTCGTTTTCATCACCAATAAAATCGTCTTCCCTACTCTTCTTTCTCTTCTTTGTTGCAGAAGAGGGTTTCGGAGACTTGGCTGTACTTTTCCTTGAGCTACGGCTCGCAGTACTATCCTGCGAATTCGTGGATAGAGATGAGGCGACCAGTGCTTGATCCTCTTCTCCCACTACAGATGATCTCTCAATAAAATCACTTCTATTGAACACATAATTCATTCCCTTCTTCATGGAAAGTGGAGAAGTATCAGTGTACTCCTCGCACCGTTTCAAAGTCCAACCCTTTTCCTTGATTGTTTCGTTGAGTGTTTTGCTATTCTGAAAGAAGAAGCCTATATTCGGAGGAAGACAAACTTCTCCCTTCTCGTTCGGATGTAATGCTAAAAACTTGGCCAGTGTTTCTATGCCCGATTTTCGTTCCGTGGTGGTGGTCATGGAGTTTTGTTCTCTCGGGAGCAAAATGTACTCAAATACTCGGATTTGAAATTAAAAAGTGAAAGTACTTGCAATTTTTTGATGTCAAATAAAATTAAGACACTCAAAACAACAATGGTTATGAAGATCATTGATTTTAAAAGAATTTTGGAATAAGAAGCATATACAACTATCATAATTATATCACTCTCATGATGAATTAAAATCTCTTCTTCGTCACATGACGTCATATTTCCAAATATATTTGATTTGCAAACTAAAAAAATTTTGACGAACGAACGTTACAGTTTTCTCTTCTTCACCATCATCACTACATTAATAATTTTCTAAAGGCACACATTATCAACAAGACAACCAACTTGTTGAGTATCATTGGATTATAATTTTTGAAACGATAACAAACAACAACAACAGATAAGCTTAACTCATCGGGATCAAGAGAGAGATGAACATTTTTCGTTTGCTTGGTGATTTACTTCACCTAGGATCAATTTTATTATTGCTCTACAAGATGGTCATGTTGAAGAATGCTAGTGGAGTTTCTCTCAGAACACAATTTTTATATGTTCTTGTATTTATTACTCGATACGGTATTGATTTATTCACTACCTTCCATTCCGTTTATAATACTGTGATGAAAATTTTCTTTATTGCCTCCTCGATAAGCATTGTACATTTGATGAGAACAAAATACCGTTCCACCTATGACAGTGAAAACGATACATTCCCATTGTATATTTTGATTATTCCCTCTGCTTTGTTAGGAATTATTTTCACTGATGATTATTCATTGTTCGAGTTGTTGTGGACATTTAGTATTTTCTTAGAGAGTGTGGCTATTATGCCTCAATTATTCTTGTTGACAAAGAAGGGTGGAGCTGAAGCAATTACATCTCATTATGTATTTTTGCTAGGAGGTTATCGTGTTTTGTACATTTTGAACTGGGTCTACAGATACTTTGCTGAGGGATACTCTCCTTATAACGCATGGCTTGCTGGATTAATTCAAACTGTGTTGTATGCCGACTTCTTCTACATGTACATTAAGAAAGTCATGCTTGATAAACGTTGGGAGCTACCAGGAGCTGCCAACATTTTGGACAGAAAATAAATTCACTACTTATTATTTTGTAACCATGCATTGGAAATCAATCATGCAACATCACGATTCACAACATGAATGCTGTAACATATTAACTCTAGCTCCTAAGTACTGTGGAGCGGTTTGTTGCTCAGTTCCATGAATACAGATGAGGAAATAAATTAATACTTTCGAGTTTATAAATTTAATACATGAAATTATTGATCTGCTGCTCCTAATTCTGTGAAATTAGAAGGGAACAAGCCAACTTTGTTTGTGGATAAGTTGCGACCCATAAACCAACCTCCTTCAGATTCTTCCAATACTTCAATAACATCTCCTGTTTTGAAGCTTAGCTCATTAGATTCTTGTGCATCATACTATCCATATGCGTATGAATCAATATCAACATTAAAAAGATATTCGAACGTATGGAATCAAGCAATAATCAAGAGTGTTCAACAGAGTTAAATTGTAGGTGTTAGGTGTTAAATACATGAAAATGCACAAACATTTCAAAACTTACGTCATACAGTGCAGATGTAGTCTTTCCACTTGCCTTTGATGAGGTATCCACAACAAAGTTGCTTGGAAATAGACCAACCTTATTAGGAGTGGATTCCACAGCTCCCTTCCACCAACCTGCTTCATCTTTTTCGTACACTAAAATGGTTTGTCCTTCTTTGAATGATATTTCTCCACTTTCTTGAGCGTCATAGTCATACATAGCTCTACATGTACAAAGAACAGATTCTTTTGATGCGCTAGAAGTGGTTGTATTACCATTAGTTGGTTTGGCTCCTCCTCCTCCCAATTTGAATGCATTTGCCATTCCTGAAGCTCCTGCTGATGAAGTATTTGCACTTGTAGAAGTAGCAGAGGTCTCTGATGTTGTTGTTGTTGGTGTTTTCAAAGGTTGTGATGTTGTAACGGAGGCTTGTGATGGAGTAGATCGAAGAGAACTACCTCCTCCAATAGAATCAATTGTTTGTTGTTTGAACGAAGATGCTCTCTTGTTGGACTTTTCAAGCAATTTTTCGAGTGGTTCCTTTAAATCATGTGTCAATGTATATCCTTCTGCAAAGAAGTGATGGAAGCTCATTAATAATTCATTGAGTTGAGCTAAGTGTTTGGTTTGTCTCTTCACTAAAACATCACAAGTTTCCTCAAGAGCTTCTTCGAATGCTTCATCCTTTTCAGTATCGAGTTGTTGTTGTTTTTCTTCTTCTGCTTGAATCTTTTGTGGGTCTACTTTGTCACCCTTTTGTTTGAGTCCATTCACAAGATCGACTTGTGCGTCAAATTCAAGACGTTTTTTGTCATACTTTTTATGTGATTGTTCAGAGTCCTTGACATCTTTCTTGAAATCGGTGGCTGGTTGAATGAACTTTTCGACAATATTAACTAACATGACATGATGAATTGTTGACAGAGATTTTAAACCCTCTCCAATCTTCATTAATGATTCTCCGACTATTGAAGAATCATCACCACACAAATTCATGAAGTATTTGTTGTTGTTATCAACAATTTTCGGATCCGAACCATCCAATGTTGTTTTGACGAGCGAAAATTGAGTTATTCATACAAACATTATGTTGCAATTTGCACAAACATTGAAGAGCAAAATTTTGAATCCAACAAGACGATTCAATGTCTACCTACCTTCATCATTAGTCTGCATACCACTTTCTACTAGATATTGTCCTACTTCGTTTTGAACTTTAGTGATGGCTTCCGATTTCTGACAAAAATTCCTAACAATCTTCAAAGCTCCCTTTACATACTTTTCAGTTTTTTGTACCTGATCGCGTAGTTCAAGATAACCTTCTGGGTCTTGGGTTGACTCAGCTTTTCCTAATTTGACCTTGATTCGTTGTTTGAGAGCTCTCATGATGATGATAGTTATTTTAATACGCTATTGTTTGTTATTTTAAATAAGTGATTTGGTGATGGCCAAATAGATCTAGGTTTATGTTAGCGATGATGTTGATGATGATGACTAGCAATTAAAGAACGCTAAAGTAATTGCAAGCCTTGTCCGAAACAGAAAATGATGATGATATGTGCCGAGAGAGAAGATGAACAACGACGACAGTAATGATTAGGCGCCTTGTTCAATAACCTTGCTATTGCTTGTACAACAAAGAAGATGGTGCTGATGAGAAACAGGAGTGTGTGAATTTTTTCTCTTGTCTTCGAAACTCATGATGTGTTGAAATGGAGATCAAATGAAGAAGAAGCTCTGAATTTGATCATTTCATCTCTAGAACTGGATTGTTGGAGGCTTTGAATTAAATGATGATGATGATCAAGGAGACTTGCTTTTATGTCTTTCTTTAAAAAGTTTGAATAACTTTTCACGTTGTTGTGATGCCTTTCTATGGATTAGTGTGGTCATGGCTGGTGTTATCACTTCAAGCAACTTGGTGAAAAGAACAGCAAGAAAACCAACTCCAAACAAAACGAATACAACAAGAACTACTTTCGACATTTGATCTAAACAACAGTAGGATTTGTTGATAATTGAAATTTCAAACACAAAAAGCGTCGGAAACAGAGGCATTTAAGGATGGAATAATGTTCAATTACTAATACCATACTTACGTCTGACATAAATGTCGCCATACCCTATGGTTGTCAAAGTGACAACAGCGAAGTAAATAGCAGTCCAAAAAGTCCATTCATCTCCTTTTGAATCTTCCAACAAAAAGAAAATAAGCGAGCCAAATATAATGTACAGAAGTATGAATACACATAGATAGACTAGTTGCGCTATAGGACTCGTCAACGCTTTCGTTACATTTTTAAGTTTGTTTCTTCACAATCATCAGTACAATAGTATTTCCAATAAGTACCTACCTCAGGGAAACCTTAATAATCATGATTCGAATTATTCTCATCAAGGCGTGAGAAATTATGTATAGAACGCTCGTGGTATTCGATAAAAATCGCTCACCAATGGCTGTAATCACTAATGTTGTAAGGAACAGGCTAAAAAACGCAAAGATTACAACAAGAAACTGTCCGCCTATAGTTGAAGGGCTATAATGATGTGAATATACACACTCGTGACAATAATGCTAACTCAAATCTTACCTGTAATCACCGTACCCGATTGTGAGCATTGTCGTGGATGTAAAGTAAAACGACGACAAATAATTCCATTTTGGAAGGTTGGTTAAGGTATACTCTGTGGGCCCAAGGGTTGAATTTGTGTTTTCATTGGTCACAATAAGGGGCTGATGGTACTTTAAAAAAGTTACTTCATTAAGACCTGCATAGGAAGTTGTAATGTTTGTACCAGAGATTGTCGTCGAGTTTCTAAGTAGTTCTAGTTCATAATTTCCTTCCACCAACCAAATTGAAATACACAACAGCGCAATAAACAATAAATACGCAATAGACATGAAAAGTATCCACAAACAATTAGTCATAAAGTCTCTACAAGAGAGTTGATAGGATTTCATGCGTTTGTTCAGAGTAGAAATGTCTAGCAAACCAAAATATTTGATTAACTTCCTATACTTGGCCATAGCGTGCTCATGTCTATTAAATATACAAGTATAGACATGATCACAAACATATAGATTTGTAGCAACTCCTCCTTCATTTACATTAACTCCATTGTTTTTGTAAAATTCAGCTAAATATTCCTCAATATCCTCCACGTCTGACAGCACAAATTTGAACATTTCTAAATTTTCATAATTTACATAGTGGTTCTGAGAAAACATCTCTATTGGAAAGTAGCATTGTGAAACTACGCAGTATTTTTCACTCGAATTCGTTGACGTTGTCAATTGAAGAAGAGTGAGCCTCTTTTCTCTCTTTGCACGAGGCTCTTGGCCCTCTTGTGTTGGTGAAGAGCTGGTGATTACGTTTTGAGCCTGATCTGGAAAAAAGTAGTTCTTCAACACTGGCAACGATGTTGTGGCTCCAGTCATGGTCTTCAATTCGATCATGTCAGATTCATTGTTATTTATCTCATGCTTTTTGCGATCTTCATCCTCTCTAAGGGAATAATAAGGGATTTCAAATTGTTCGGCTGTGGTTGTATTCCTTTCTTGCGCCAATAACTGCCCTAATGGTAGAAAACGGGCTGTCGGTAGCACTCGATCCGTGGTACCACGAGCTCGAGAAGAATGATCCGAATCATTGATAGCCTTATTCAAGAGTCTTTTCCGTTCTCTTAAAGGTATAAAAACCTCCACTCCATCATCATGATTCGTAGTGAGCCTTAATTCTGCGTTTGATGAGGAAGGGCTTTCCGTTCGAGCTGAATTGGAAGGCGGAATTTCTTCCATTTTTGTTTTTTTATGAAATGCGCAATCTTGTCTTTTTCGTGCACAAATCTTTGAAAATTATTGCGGTGAAGAACCACTTTGTTCTTTGAGTTCAATGAAACAATTTATACATGTAACATTAATGTGAATGATGATCATCTTTGCTCTACAATGTAGAGATGACATGACTCTTCTATTTCTTTTTCTGATAAACCTTCAATGTCAAAAATCAACCCATCACGAGAGAAAAATAATTTCGGAATGCCACCAGTTTAATACAAATCGATAAGATGTATAATCCTCGATGATAGTACGAAATCACTGCATTTTTTGTCACAAGGGTAAACTTCCATCCTCGACACAACACTTCCCTCTTCTCACGCAATAGAAATCGATCTAATTTAGAGAAGAATCTACAAACAAGATCTCTTTTCGAGTTGAAAGGACCATGCGAACGGATCACACTCAAAACGATGGTATCACGAGACTCTCGAGTCGCAGCTCGTCTCCTTCATTCATTTTCATTTCGAAAAAAAAAGAAAAATTGTTTCAAAGAGTTGAAGTGGAATCCCGTTGAGGAGCGAGCGTATATATTCTTCGCATTGGGAATAGAGTTTCAACTAGAAAATCTCACACCAAAGAGTTCGTTGAGGAGTTTCTACACAGAATTTTAACTGTTGTTGTTTTTAATACGTGATCATCAACAGAGCGGAAAGCATTCATAACATTATTAACAACATCCGATTTGAAAGAAACCGATTTTGCAATAGATCAAATCGGCAGCATCATTTATCATCATTACATCTCTGATATATTTGGTATTTCTCAATAATAGTTACAAAAGTAATCAAAACTCAATTCATCATGACTTCAATGGATGCAAAACTCGTCAAAGAGAAATCATCCTTCTCGGATCAACCTCGTTCTTCTTCTCCCAATCTCTCTCCAAATCCATCATCTCCAAGTACTGAATTATGCTGCATGGGACCATCACATTTGTTATTTGGAGATACACAAACCACAAATGCTTATGTTGCATATTTTCTGTGGTTTTCGAGCGTCTTGACTTGTTGTATCATATTTCCTCCACTCGCCACTTATTTCCTCATCTATCAACATCCACGAAAGTATGTCCGAGATGGAATGAATGAGGCAATGAGCAGCGGCTCTGCTGGTGTGGTCGATCTGTCCATTAAAAAGCAAGAATCAGAAACTGCAACGCAACGAGTGAGAGGAGAAGTTGAGAATGAAAATGTTGATACGAATAGACTCATGTGGGTAATGTTGAGTGTCATGCTGACAGTTTTGTGTTGGGTGCCGGGAATTGTTTTCAATGTGGTTTTATGTTTTTGTTGTGTTGGACCATTGCACACAGAGAAGGATAGTCCACCGGAAGCTGAGGTTTAACATTTTGTGTTTTCTATGCTTAACTCATTCACGTGGTGATAGCTGTATCGATCATGATAGGTCACATTTATTAGCTTTTTTGTAATTTATCAATAGTTAAAAATTCAAAATTCCTTATCAAATAAGGTTTGAAAATGTTGAGCTGGAGATGAAGTTGTTTCGATAAATCCTGTCGATCTTGAAACTCTCAAAATGGATGGAGGAGATTGTAGCATGGTGTGATCCTTTGGTTTGGATCTGGCTGTTGTCTGAGTGTTGCTGTTGTTGTCCATGCTGTAGGGGTCAGCATTCACTGCAGGCAGTAGTACCTCATCGCTGCCAGTAACAATGAGAGGAATTTCAGGTTTTTCTTTTGGCTTGGCGGTTACAGTGGATAAATTGTTACTAGTCGAAACAAGATCAGTTGGAAGGGCACTCTCGCTCTTAAATCGTTTCATGTCGGCAATTTTGACACTCTTCTTGTTGTAAATATTTTGTGTGAGTGGTGAACATTTGAATTGATGCAGCTTGTCATTCATGAGCCTCAAATTATTTGCACATTTCTTCTTCATACCCTCTTGTTTATCTTGTTCGAAAAAACTTTCCACTTGGTGCCATTTCGAAATGGCTTCTTTTTTACATCTGACAAGCAAGTCTGCTGTCCTCTGATTGAGCCCAGCGAAGTGAGGATGAAGAGCTTCCTTATATTGATAGATATATTCATACCGTGCTAACAGTGTGTCACATTTCGAAACTTTCTGGGAACCAGAAAAATCGTACTTGTCTTCATCGGGAAATTCAAGCATATGAATCAACACTCTTGACTTTTGGTTTGGACTGTTGAGCTCTTTCATCTTCTGTTGACAATAAATTACTATTAGGCGAATCAATTAAGTCACTATCTTCTTTTTGAGTGTTTGGACTTGAACTCTTTAAAACTGGAAGTTTTTTGTCTGAATTCTTGGCAGGCATCTTACTCTTTTTCAAAACAACAGTTGTATTGGTTTGTTGCAGTTCTTTTTTCACGTTGGGTGACACGTTTTCCTTGTTTTCACTTTTTTCGCTATTTTCTTCGAATACTGTCACACCACTCGAAAACCCTTGTTGCTTCTTTTTAATCTTTTTCATTTCAATAGGTGGTGCAATATGCTCAACAAATGCATTCCACTTGTTTTTCTCGTGTTCTCTAAATTTCTGAAATTTCGAATAATGACCCAAAATCTTTTCTGGAACTAATCTTTCAAGATACTGTGTTGAATCCTCCTCTTCTTCCTCTGTTTGAAATCGACATCGATAGTGCCTTCTTTGTTGCTGAAGAGAAGAACCATTCGTTTGGCCTTTCATATTCTGCAAGATATTTAATTGATTCTTACATTTTCGATAGTCACTTGCAGAACAATCACTACCAGCAATAAACGAAGAATTAGGATTAGTAAAAACAGTCATGGAGCTTGTATCCATGATCCCTCCAAGAACGCTCTGTCGCTGAGAAGAATTATTTTGAACGGAATGTTGATTCCTCTCCGTGTTGTTGTTGTGATTGTTGCTCTTCGTCATGAGCAGGCTGTTAGTCTCGTCGTGTTGTTGTTCTTCTGAGGTTATTATATTGAGATTTAAATGCTCATGAAAGAGTGATTGCGAGTGGATAAGATTCTCGAGTTGCTTTTCCTCTTGTTCGATTTGCATGGAGAGGGAATTGAGGGTGTTGAAGTTGGTGGATGAGAGTTTGGTTCGAAGAGTCCCCGAATGATCCGTCATGATGGTCAACTACAAATAATTTTTTTTCAAAATGAAAAATTCCAAGCGGAGATAGAGGCAACTACAACTACCAGAAATGTCATTAAGGGTTTGAAGAGATTGACATTTGTCATCCAAAAGAAAGATATTCAGTGGTACAATTTACATAATCGTCACCAATAAACTCCAGTTTATTAGTGAAATATTTCTCAGCTCTGGAAATCTTGTTTAAGTGAAAATTATTGTTGAGAGAAACTTGATGCAAATGAGGTTCTACAAATGGCAACATCAATTTGTGGTATGGAATTGGCCAATACTTCTTCGACAACCTCATCTTCGGTATCAAACGTAAAATTCAGCAATTTCAGGACTTTTAATGCTTGATTGGTCTTTAACTGTTTCAAGCATTCAATGCTGAGCACTAACAGTCGATTTCGATCATCATATTCAGCAATAAACTTCTCACACACCTTATTGTTGGTTAGAAAATTCTCAAAGGCCAATCGTGACGAGAAATGTGTCGAGATGTGTAGTCTCTTAATGACCTTATTCTGGGCGAGTCCATCCATGAAAGCAGAGAAGCGAGTGGCATTGCTAAATGAATTGGCCACTGTGAGAGAGGTAATGTTCGAAGCAGATAAATTGTAGGCTGCAGTTGCACCTAAATGTAAAAAGAAGACCAATGAAAGTTTGGTAATGGACGAGTTTTGAGAAAGGCCACTCAGAGTACATTCTGGACGTGGTCTTTGATTCTCAACTTGAGGCTCTGAAATTTCCAAAGATCTCAATGAAGGGATGCAATTGGATGCCAAAAATTCAGAAAACTTGGAATCTGTGATGAGGTCATTCTCTGAAAATTGGAGAGAAAGATGACGCAAGTTCTTCATGATTGGAGTTTTAGCACTCATTAAGAGTTCTAGTGGTGAATAACTCAAACCAGTTAAGATTAGAGTTTTGATCTTGTTATCTGAATGATAGAATAATCTCTCCAGCAGCTTGCTTGAAATATTGCAGAGATGTATTCTTTGGATGGAACAAAGTGGTGTCATGTCCATGGGAGATTCTTGTAGACTGTCAGAAAAATATAAACAAGTCTGAAAGTTTCGTAGTTTGGGAAATCTGTGCAAATGAGGAATGACCTTATTCACAGAAATAAAGGGTTGATTCAAATTAATATTGGTGATCAGAGGATCAAAAGTAGAATTGGGCTCATACATAAAAGGTTCTTGCGTACTAGAATCGTCTGTTGCAGTGTCATCGTTATTTGTCGAATTAGGAAAATCAAAATTTAAATAGATTGACTTCAATCCAGAAAAAAGAGAGGACGTCTTTTCAGATGAAAATGCATGTTTTGGAATAGAGGAGAGAAAAGGTTTCACAAAAGGAGAATTAGAAAACTCCAAGCAACTTTTAACAAGCTTGTAGCGAACCTTAAAATCATGTAAGACCTGCATAAACATTTGTAACTTGTCGTGCATGTTTGAAGAAGGCACATGATTGAATGACGTTGTGGTTCGAGGGAATCCTTCTTCGCCACCTCGTGTGAGGACAGTGGATATTTTCAAGTTTTTGGCGTGATTGAAAATTGGAGCATAAAGCATACAGAGTGTCTCCATGTCGGATCTTGTGATTGATTGAGAATGATGAGTGGTGTTCGAAACATTTGAGGGTTGCGAAGACTGAAGTTCTTCATGTTGTGAATTTTCAATGTTGCTAGTTGAGTTGATCAATGGATCGAAGGGCTCGGTGGTAAATATCAGCTCCACATTAAGGTATGGTATAAATACACAGGATCGACGAGTACTCGCTGCAAATCTTCCGAAAGAATTTCGTATCAGTTGTTTTGAAAACATGTCTTGATGCAACCTGTTAAATGCCAATCTCAAATAAAACTTCATGGGCAAGTAAGGCAAAAAGCTTAAAATTACGTGCTTGATATCGATAGGTAATTCTTTCAGGCGTGTTAATGTATAGGTTTTTTGCTTCTTGCTGGGTCGATTAAATTTTCCACTTGCACTGCTATTGGATCGAGATCTTGAAAGAGGTTCTTCATCCTGAACTTCAGAACACTGTTCGGTTTGCGTTTGGTTTGTGATATATTCAAAAGGGTTTACCATTCGTAAAATGGGAGATGTTGGTACTTGTTCTTGAAGTGATTGTTCAATAGGGGTGGGACAACGTTCGTGTTTTTGTTGTGAATAAATGTTTAGATTTTCATTCAATTCTTGTGTAAGAGTAGTGTGCATGGAAGCATCAATCGTTTCTTGTTCGGAAAGTATTTGTGACAGAACAATTATTCGATCATCGACAACAGGGTCTAACATTTGTTCATCCTCTGCTGAGAGAGCGAGTGGCATGTTGAAATTGTCATTGTACATAAAATTCGTGTTGCCATCCCAATAAGCATTTCCAAAATCATGTGTGTTTACCAATGATGCAGCAGTATTACTGTTAACAGTTCCAAATACAGCATCATACACACACGATGAAGGTGGAGAAGGTACTTCTTCATCGTTGTCTTGTTGCTTCAAAGAGTTTGGTGTTGTGTTAATCTTCAAAGCACTCAAAGAAAGAGATGTATTTGGTGTGGATGATGAGGAGAGAGTAGTATCTTGTGGTTGGGAGGTGGAAGGATTGATTTCTTCTCCATCTTGAATCTTTTGATCATTGAAAAAGGTAGGAGAAGAAGGATTGAATAATGATGGAGCAGTGCTGCTTTCAATAAGCAACTGAGAGGGATATGTTTTTGGTGTTTTTCGTTTGGAGCGGTGTCTGATTGGAGTGGATGTTGTTGATGATGATGGTGAAGCATCGGAACAGAAGTGTTGTTGAGTCATCTCGAATAATAATATTTATATAATTATTACAATGTTGAATGATTGAAGAGAAGTAAGAACAACAAATGAATGATTCAAATCAACGACATGATTGCTAGAAAAAACACCATAGAGCCACAACACAAATAAACACACAACAAGCCTTCGCTCCGACGAGTGAATTTATTGTTGACGACTTGTTGTTGGCTTGATGATGTCCGATTCCAATTTTTGGCAATTTTTGTTTTTTAAAAAAATGTAACGGTAAGATTTTTAAAAAAGGGCGGTGAGTTCTTTCAGTTTTTTACGGAGGTGAACTCCCCGCCCTTTTTTAAACGATTTGAAAAAGAATGAGAACTGTCCACTCTTGTGATTGGTACCAGTTACAGATGAATTCCTAATTCCCAATGAGGCACCTCATGGAACGATGAGATGTGGAAAGACAAAGACACTCCCCATAAGAAGTAATGAGAAAAGAAGTCATTGAAGCTATTTTATTTGCAATTTTGATTTTCCTTTTCCTTGATCTCGACCAACAAAAAAATGTCGCAACAAAGCACAGCCAATGTCGGAAATGGAAAACATCTTGTATGGTTGGGTATGTTATCGTCATCATGAATAAATGGATGACGATGGAAATATTTCTATACATTCTTTATGATTTCCAATCGGAATAATCATTTTTGATTTTTAAATTATATCGGAATGAATTCAAATCATAACTAGATTGTGATCCAGGACATGATGACTTTTTTGCTATTTTAATGTGTATTCATCCCGATATTAAATTGTTAGGAATTTCCACAGTTGGAGGAAATCAAACGGTCGAAAAAACAACTCTCAATGCCTTGAAGGCTATTACTGCCATAGGACCTGATTTTGCAGATGTGCCAGTGGTGAAAGGACAAGCAAAACCAATGGTACGACCAGCAAAGCAGTAAGTATGGTGTGTGTGTTGCATGAATGTAAAATGCCAAACATTTGACATTGAACAGTTGTGCTGAAATTCATGGCGAAACAGGACTCGATGGTCCAACATTTCCAAAACTAACAAAAACAGCAATCACTGACGAAAAAGCTGTAAATTACATGTATAAGGTTATTAATTCTCAGGACAGGCCTGTTAATTTAATTTGTACAGGTCAATTTACCAATGCTGCCCTTTTATTGATTTTATATCCGGAAATTAAGTCAAAAATTGCACAAATTATTGTCATGGGTGGCGCCATTGGATTTGGAAATACAAGCCCTGCTGCAGAATTTAATATCGAGGGAGATCCTGAAGCAGCCTCAGTTTTATTTGAATCTGGTTTGAAGGTTGTCATGTGCCCACTTGAAGTGACGCACACTGTATTGGCTACGCCCCAAATTCTTGAACGATGTGACAAGATGAATTCGAAATTTGGAGCTATTTGCAAGGAATTACTATTGTTTTTCAAGGATACCTACAAGAGAGTATTTTTCATGGAGTAAGTGTTCCAATTCTTTGTGACTATCAGTTATGAAATTTACATGATGCATTTCCGATAGAGATCCTCCTTTGCATGATCCATGTACCATTGCCTACCTTTTGAACCCTTCTTTATTTACTTTGGAATTTATGAGAGTTGACGTTGAATGCTCGTCTCGATTCTGTAATGGTCGTACAGTGTGTGATGTTTATCACATGTCCAATCAACCAAAGAATGTTCACGTCGCAACAAAGGTGAATGTGGCAGGATTTTGGGAGTTGCTTTTTGAATGTTTACATTTGGTAGATAAGGCCACCTGTCTAAACCACTAAAAAGTCATTAAAAAGCATGAATGTGATCGCTTTTTTCAGGGCCTCATGGAATTTCATAACTTCCACATCAGCAAGCGGAGCGACAGGTTTGAGTCCGTTCGTATATCCATAGATCCTTACTGTCCAATCTTATAAGGGAAAAGCCAGAATGGGCATGAATCACAGGAATGTGGGTACTCAATTTGAGTCACTTTTATGGTGGCGAAGGAACAACAAGCAAAAAATATGCTATCGTTTTGGTTGCAAGAAAACACAAAATTTATGATGTTTGTAAATCGACATTCAAAAAATTGTTGAAGGTATTTGGAAATTAGAGGCTGATTTCTCTTCAAAGTCTTTCCTGTTGAAACTGTTCTGCACTATTTCTGAAATTGTTGTGGTGATCGTCGCTGGATAAAATTGGGGCAGTGTTTGTTATTGAGGACCTTCGGTGCCCTCATAATAGCAGAAATGCAGACAATGCTCATAACCAAGCATTACGGACACACATATAAGGAAAATGCAATGATTAGACCACAGCTTTAAATTGGAGAAAAAAGTCTTGACTAAAAGTTCTCACACAATAATCTTTTATTTCAATTCCGAACAATTAATTGTCCTTCTTATTGTCCTCTTGTCTTGCATTTCGATGAGTTTCCATTGTTCTGGTGACTCTGTTGAAAGGTGTGTAACCATCTGTGGTAATATATTCCCACAAAACGTAGGTCCAAGAATCAATCGTCTTCAAATTATTGTAAAATTCTGGAGCAATTTGTCGAACTTTTGGTAAATTGCAACATGGAATCTTTGGGAAATCATGATGTTCATTGTGATATCCAACATTGAACATGAGCCAATTTCCTGGTCCGTAGTAGCTGTAAGTTTCTTGACCAGGAGTTGTCACAAAGTGCTGTAATCATTAAATCATTGAAATATTAAATGTTTAAATCATAATTCAAAACGAATTTGAGCTCATTCAAACCAGTTCTAGACAGAAAGACTTACCTCAGAAATAAAGTGTCCACTCAATGGATGAGGTCCCAATCCAAAAAAGCTTGATCCCAAAAAGTAGAAAGGAGCCAACCATGTTCCAGACAAGTAATAAATGGTAGCCATGAATCCAATCACAACAATATTGTTCATCCATTCATAAGAAGTTAATCTCTTTGGTGCAACAAAGATTGGTCTCAAACTGTAAAAGAAGACCATAAAGAAAATGTGAATGAATTTTGTCCACTTGGATTGGATAAGCAATGCTTCAATACGAGTACCAATATCGGTATCTACACCAACCACTCCTTGGTACAAGTGATGGTCATGATGATAACGTTTGAATGACATGGCATATGGTACTCCGAGTGGAAGGTTACCAATGATTGACAAGTAGAGGTTGTATTCAAACTTTTCAAATCCCAATCCTAATATTATATAATATGGATATAATTGTTGCAGTATTGTTCGAGCAGAGGTTGGTTGATGAACCAATGCAGAGTCATGAGTTGAAATCGGATACGTTGAGTAGTAGGATGATGAAATATTAACCATCATGTCAAATGAGTAACATTGTCGTGCGTGAGGATCATCAGCAGTGAAATGAAATTAGTTCATCATTCAATTATTCAAGGGAGTCATGTTTCATATGGAAATACGCATTCAATCCGGTTATCATTGAATAGTCATCATCATCATCATCATCATTATAAATTTCAATAACATACCGTGAGTCAATTCATGAATACCGACGGTCAAACTCGTATTACAAGTTCCACCAATAATCCACATTGCAGCAAGCCACACATACCACGCAGGACGGTAGGTAACAAGAAGATAACAGGTCAAGAATTGAATCAACACAAGAGCAGTAATCTTGTACTTTGTTGCAGGATCAATTCCATAAAGTTCTTTGATTTGTGGATAACGCTTCAAAATTTCCTTCTTTCTCTTCCAATGAGGCTCATCTTGCTTGGACCATAAAAAGTCTTTCAAGTGGAGAAGAGATGGGTCTACTCCATCAAATTCTTTCTTGTTATTCTTGGAGGAGGAGGAGATGGCCGGTGTGTTGTTACGAGTAGTGGTAGTAGCTGCAGCGACTGTCATGATGATCAAGAAGTGGAGTATACGATTAGAAACAAAAGAGCCTTTTGAAAAAGTACAGAGGATGTGTTGTTACAAAAGAAGTTCGTTCCGGTTCGGTTGAGAGCCTAGAACCAAGTAATTCAAAAGGTGGTGTGAGATGATGATTTTCTGAAAAAGCTCAAAATTGAAGGCAGCTTTTTTTTTGATGAAATTTCGAATCTCTCCCGAATATTCGTTTCTCGTCTGTGGGCGAGCTTCAATATGACAAGAATATTCCAAAAACGGAGATGAAAACTCGGATAAGGTGACCGAATCGCAGTCAATCTCAAGTGTTGGTGGTCATCAGGACAAGGTAAGATAAGGAAAAGAAAAAAAACTTGAGAACAAATGAACTCTCTTTTCTTAGTGGGATTTCTAATGATGCCACTTTCCAGTTTTTGTAATTGATCAAAGAGAGGGTTTCGGAGAGAATTAGAATGATGCCCGACATTGGTCTCGACTCAACTGTCAATAGACCAAAGCAGAAACAAAAAAATGAAAAGAAGCAAAATCTATTTGGCGGTGAGAATATTTCTAATTATTGCTGGGCTGGTCATGTTCGGAATTGGCGTCACTAACTTTGTTCTGGAAGTTACTCAAGAAAGTTATTCCATCACACGTGATGGTCCACTTGCTTTTGTCATTACGCAACACTTGACAGGTTAGTTCAATTTTCTAGAATTAGGCGTATTGATGCGAATGTTTGTTTTTGCGACACAATCATCGCCTACATGATTATCGGATTGCGAATCTACTACTATTATTTCATTTTAAAAATTCATGTCGATACGCCAATATTGTCTTGTGATCGTAAACCTATTATAATTTGAATTTTATTATTCGATTGAAAATTAGCTGGAGCTCTCACTGTCACAGGACTGTTATGCTTCTTCTTTTCAGTTCTAACTCTTGTTCAGGATAAACAAAATGTCACTTCTGACCACAGAATTACAAAATTAATCAATGCAACTACCACTGATCCAACAGAATTGCATTCACTTCAACATCAACGAAAAAAGCAGAGAATTTATAATTTCTATTGCTCACTCCATTTATGTTTTTGGATTGGATTAACTAGTTTCTTATTAATTTCTTTAGCAATTTGCAGTTTAGTTCTCGTTGTTCAAATTGGAGCTGGAAACACCGCTTCAGTGAAACCCCACGCAAATAAGGAAAGTTTATTACAAGTATGCGCTGCAGCTTTGGGAATATCCATTGGTCTTTGTTTACTTGGTTGCATACCCATGTACCTTGTGGGAGCATATTTAATTAACATTTATAGAGATAAATCATCATCGCCAGGCACAGATGTGAAAGTGTCATCTCATGATCTCGGAAGCACGAGTACGACAGCTAATTATGTCTTGATCAATGCACGTGACAATGACGATGAAGATGAATATGATGACGATGATGCTCTCTTGTTGACTCATAATAATAATGAAATTGCACTCAAGTAGTTGAAGAAGTATTGTCTTCACTTTCAACAACATATGATCAATTTCCTATCTCCGCAATAGTTCATGACTGAAAATAACCTGTCAGATTTACAATTAGAGAAGCCATAAATCTTTTCTTAAATTAGATCTTGTATAGTGTTGTTTACTACAAAAACTACAGTTTACGTTGAGCATGAAATCCGTTGACAGATCATATCTCTGCTGAGTTGGATAAGAAAGAATGGAAAAGTAATCACCGACCTCACTTCAACTTTGAAGCAATCACCAAACGATTTGTCTGAGAAAGAACACACCTCGCTCTGTTTTGATGCAACATGTCACTTGTCCAGAACCAACAGCAAAAAAAGCATCCTCACTCGACGACTACTCATTGCTTTCCAGCTCGCCACGATGAATCATTCAACAACAGAAAGGATAATTCGATTCATCTCTTCGTCTCGCTCATCTTCCCTAGATGCACGTTCGTGGTTATCTTTTCATCGTCGATTGAACGTTTTTTTGTTTCTTCTCCTCTCTGCTTTTCTGTGTTTCTCAATTCCACCATTTTCTTCTCACAGACCAAATAGCATTTTCGTTCTCGCTGTCAATACTTGCTTCGGAATCGTCTCGACGGATGTCAACAATGTATGTGGAGGACATGGTATATGTCAATCCACAGATTCTTGCTATTGTTTGGACATTTGCTCAAAGAACTCTCTTAGAAATAATGCGGGTGCTGTTTCTCTCGCTCAGAGCAATGATTTAATCTCCACCAACGGTCGATTCAAAGCATCCATGCAAGTGGATGGTAATTTTGTGATCTATGATTTGCAATCGAATCAAGCCATATGGTCTACTGGAACGAATGGACAAGGTTCTCAACCTTATTCTCTCGTGTTGGATTCGAGTGGAGGTCTACGTGTGTATGGAAATGGTGCTGTTATTTCGACCTTGGTGCAGAGTTGTTCGGCGCTTCCAGCGACGTTGGGTAGGTACAATATGTCTATTTTGAAAGTGTCGTCTTGTGTTGACGTTGTCGTGTGTTTATTCTTTTTATTTTGATCAATTCATTGGTTCATTTGGTTGCTGTTGTGGTGATGGTTCGTTTGGTTGAATTTCTGTTTTGTTTCCTTTGGATTGTCGTTACGTGATGATAAATGCGTGGATTTGATGATCATTCGATTTCACACCTCTAGTTCAACAAAATGATGGTCATCTAGTACTCTATGGCTCAGGAAAGGAAGTGTGTTGGTCTGCCGGCACCTATGTAAGTACTTGTTTCATTTTCATTTGAATTTTATTCCTACACACACTGTCACCAGTATGCCATATCGAATACCTATGTTTGGACGGGTGGATCTGATTGTTCAGTCACCACATGTTATGGAATTGCTTCCAATTCTGGAAGTGTTTGCAGTGGTCATGGTTCATGCACTTATCTAGATACCTGTTCCTGTAATTCGGGATATGGCGGCTCAAAATGTGACACGTACTACTGTAATGGAATTATTTATAACAGTGGAAGTGTTTGCAGTGGACATGGTTCTTGTAATTCACCAAATACTTGTTCTTGTCAATCTGGATATTCTGGATCAAACTGTGAAACTTATTATTGCAATGGAATTTTATACAATTCAACGAGTGTTTGTAATTCTCGTGGAACTTGTTCAGCCTCAGAAACTTGTGTTTGCAATGCAAATTATGGAGGTACCTATTGTCAAATTCCTAAATGCTTTGGAATTTTACAAACAGCCACTGGCACAGTTTGCAGTGGACATGGTACATGCAACGATGTTGACACATGTGCTTGCAACACGAATTGGGGAGGACCAAGTTGCTCCTTTCCCATGTGTTTTGGAATTTTACAAAATGAAACGAATAGTGTTTGTCATGGACATGGTTCTTGCAATGATGTCGATACTTGTGCATGTGTGGCGGGATGGGGTGGCTCTCAATGTTCCATGCCAACCTGCAATAATATTTTACAGAATCAGACAGGACTAGTGTGTGGTGGACATGGTACATGCGATGGACCAGACACGTGTCATTGCAATTCTAATTTTACAGGTCCTTTCTGTCAATATCCCTTTTGTTATGGTATTCCTTCAAATGCATCAACCGCCGTTTGTAGTGGACATGGTGTCTGTACTGGTGTCGATACCTGTGTCTGTAATTCGAATTGGGCTGGATCTGATTGCTCCATGCCTAAATGTTTTGGAGTGTTGCAGAACTCGACCACTGTTTGTAGTGGACATGGAACTTGCAATGATGCTAATGTTTGTGCTTGCAATTCAAATTGGGACGGACCTGATTGCTCCATGCCTAAATGTTTTGGAATTTTACAAAACATGACGAGTAGTGTGTGTAGTGGACATGGATCATGTAATGACGTTGACACGTGTTTGTGTAATCCTAATTGGAGTGGTTCCAATTGTTCAATTCCCATGTGTTTTGGTATTTTACAAAATCAAACGAGTGAAGTTTGCAATGGACGTGGTTCTTGTAATGGTGTGGATACCTGTGTCTGCAATTCCAATTGGGGTGGTTCCAATTGTTCAATTCCAAAATGTTTTGGTATTTTACAAAACATGACAGGTAGTGTTTGCAGTGGACATGGTTCTTGTCAAAATGTGGACACTTGTGTGTGTGATTTGAATTGGGGAGGACCAAGTTGTTCCTTACCTACATGCTTTGGAATTTTACAAAACGAAACGAGTAGTGTTTGTAATGGACATGGTTCTTGCAATGCAGTGGATACTTGTGTTTGTAATTTGAATTATGGCGGTCCTTCTTGTGCCTTACCTAAATGTTTTGGAGTTTTACAAAACATGACAAGCACCGTGTGTAGTGGACATGGCTCTTGTATCGATGTGAATACTTGTTCATGTTTGACTGGATGGGTAGGTCTCAATTGTTCCATGCCAACCTGTTTTGGAATTCTGCAAAATTCAACCTCAACTGTGTGTAGTGGACACGGCTCATGTGTGAATCTTGACACTTGTTCTTGCATGGCTGGATGGGGTGGTCCAAGTTGCGCCTTACCTAAATGCTTTGGAATTTTACAAAATGAAACGAATAGTGTTTGTCATGGACATGGTTCTTGCAATGATGTCGATACTTGTGCATGTGTGGCGGGATGGGGTGGCTCTCAATGTTCCATGCCAACCTGCAATAATATTTTACAGAATCAGACAGGAATAGTGTGTGGTGGACATGGTACTTGTGATGCTCCAAACGTGTGTCGTTGCAATCCGGGTTGGAGTGGCGACTTTTGTTTCATGCCCTCTTGTTTTGGAATTTTACAAAATATAACTTCCAGTATTTGTTCTGGGCATGGTATTTGTACCAACGTCGATACATGCCTCTGTCATACGAATTGGACAGGCCTTAATTGTTCGATACCAACGTGCTTTGGATTTTTACAAAACTCTACAAATGTTTGCAGTGGACATGGATCATGCACGAATGTGGACACTTGTGTATGTGATTCGAATTGGGGAGGACCAAGTTGTGCCTTACCAAAATGTTTTGGAATTTTACAAAATGTGACGAGTAGTGTTTGCAGTGGACATGGATCATGTAATGCAGTGGATACTTGTGTATGTGATTTGAATTGGGGAGGACCAAGTTGTTCCTTACCAAAATGTTTTGGAATTTTACAGAACCAGACAGGAATAGTTTGTAACGGACAAGGAACTTGTGACACAGCCGATGTTTGTCGATGTAATTCAAACTTTTCTGGTGAATGGTGCCAATATCCCAAATGTTACAACACTGCTTCCAATGAAACTGCAACAGTTTGTAGTGGACATGGAGCTTGTATGTCACCCAACAACTGTTCTTGCTTACCCACATGGATTGGTGCAGATTGTTCAGTCACCACTTGCTTTAATGAATTGTCCAACACGTCCAATGTGTGTAGTGGAAAAGGAAGTTGTACATCTTTCGATCATTGCAACTGCAATTCAAATTATTTTGGAAACAAATGTGAGCTCACGACTTGTTATGGAATTACTTCCAACAACTCTCTCGTTTGCAGTAACAATGGACAATGTAGCTCTTTTAACAATTGTACTTGCTCCTCAGGTTATGATGGATCCATGTGTGAAAATTATAGATGTTATGGAATTCCTTTTAACTCAACCAATACTTGTAGTGGAAAAGGTATCTGCGTTTCTCCCAACAAGTGCGTCTGTAATCCAGGATTTAGTAATTTCGACTGCTCAGTGGTGGAATGTTTTAACAAATTTTCAAATACATCAGATGTTTGCAGTGGAAAGGGAAATTGCAGTGATTATAACAATTGTACTTGCCAGTCAGGTTTTGTGTCAATGGATTGCAGTGTGAACATTAATCCTTATGTCATTTCATTGTCTTCAACATCCATGCAAATTGACACTTCATCCAACATGACAAGTGTCGAAGTGCAAATGAATATTCCAACCGATGTGAATCCTCTGATGACCAGTTTCTATTGGTACTGCTTGAATTGTCAAGGAATTTCAAATTCATCTGTCTTCATGTTGGGCTCCAATCAACAAAAATTAACCATTGCCATTCGAGAGTTGAAGGCACCTGGTAGCTACTTGTTCCATGCGAATGCTACCACCTTGAATCCTTTTCCGTTCCCAACACGAATTTCAAACACTGAAGTGTTTAATTTAACACTCCTAGTTCCATACGTACCAAATCTATCTGTTCCTTCTTTAGGAGTATTTGGTCTTCCTTCTGCCTTTGTTTCGACACGGAATGGAGGGTCAGGTCAGACCATCAGTGCCGTCATTTCGAATATTGTATTGAATCAAACGAATATTGAGAAATTCCTTGGATGTAAAGCAAATTGTACCACCTCTCTCACTTACTCATGGCAATTGACAAGTACAAGTAGCAGCTCATTGGAAGCCTCTTCCACTGGAAGTATTTCTGCCTTTACTGGTGGCAATAATCTCATGATTCTTCAACCACCAATTATAGTGTCAGCCACTCTTAGAAATTTGGTGAGCAACAGCAAGATTGGTTTTGCATTAGCACTATTTAACAATCAAATGTTAAATATTTCCTCTCGGGTGGATATTCCAGTGTTGCCACCTGTGGCTCCACCTACAAATAGTTCACTCCCTGTCACTAATAATACCAACGCTGTGATTTCTTCCTTAGTGCAAGTGGTGCCAGCTGAAGGTGTAGCTCTCACAGATACGTTTACAATTAACATTACAGCATGGAAGGCACCAAGAGAATTGCTTCCACTCAGATATGCCGTCGGATTTTATGACAAAACTAAAGGAAAGGACGTGAGATTTACTGATTTTTCTCTCAATCTCACCATCACTGTTTATTTGCCCTTTATTCAAAATAAGGCAAGAAGAAGAAATGTCCATGCAGCATTGTCACAAGTGGATTTAGTTGTGTATGTGATGGATGCTCTAGGAAATGTGGATTCACAATCTTCAAATGTCACCGTCACTGTGGCTCCTTTCAACGGAACATCAACGGAATTGCTTCAGAGAATTAATCAACTTTCTGGTACCTCATTGATGGTAGCTTCGTTCGATCAATCCTATACTGCATTGAGCAGTACAAGCGGAGGAAATTCAAGCGCTGTGATTTATGAGCTTGTAAAGAACATTGTGATTGATCCTAAAAATCCATCAGTTGCCTTATCCAGTTTTGAAAGTTTAACATCGAACTCGGATTCGATCAATGACAATATCGTCAGTGCTGTTACCACCAAGTTGTCTTCGTTTGTTGACGGAGTGAAAAATACTTATAGTGATGAAAAGAAACTTTACGGATTTGTCAAGAGCAAACTCTCCGATCAAGATGTAACCTCAACCATTTCTGTTTCGTCGAATTTACTGTCCAGTGGTGTTTCTAGTGACAAAACAAGAAATGTCACAGAAAATATTTCCTCAATGGTCTTATTGGGAGAGGTTGCAAAAGTCATTGACCAATCAAGCTCTGCATATTTACCAACTGTTTCCTATAGCACTTCTCTGATCAATATTACCATTTCCAGCTTTAAATTGAATTCTGGAATTTCGATTAATCAAACCTTATCGTCAGGAAGTAACTCGGTAGAGCTGAGCATCTCACAAATTTTGACACAATACAATGCATTCTCAAAGGAATGTGGAGTGTCAATGATTGAATACGCTAAAAACACAAACTATGATAACTACACTTCCAATAATGTTATTACATCAGTGGTGAACGATTTCAAATTTATTCAAGAACAAACTCCATTAATATTGAATAACCTTAATCAGCCAATCATTCTCACATTCAAATTGGATTCTTCAAGCTTACAAGGAAAGAATATTTCCAATTCCACTTTTACTTGTAGATATTGGGATGAAGAGGGACGGCGATGGAGCAACAATGGATGCTTCTTGCATCGAGTGGATATTCCATCAAAGACGATCGAATGTGCATGTTATCACACCACCATGTTTACCACATTCTTGGAACAAAAAACCACCGTCAACATGCTCGAAGTGAAAGATCAAGTCGCCGCTCTCTATTTTTCTCAGATTGTCTTTGGATGTATCTACACTGCAATTGCCATCTTCTTGTTGGTGAGCTTGATTGTGTTAAGAAAGGAACAACCAGTGACGAGTCGATTGTTGACTCCATATGTGGGTCTTATTGCCTTAATTACAGAGAGCATTTTAATTTATATCATTCAGAGAGGAGTATTGGTCAATCAATTGTTGGGAGCCTCTACACAAATGTGGGAAACAGGAGATACTGCTGCCAATGTGATTGCCAACATTGTGACCATCTTTGTGAACACATTGAACTTGTCTGCTATTTTATGCTATGTCTTGCAAGTGTTTAGATTTCAATTGATGAAATTCCTTTATCAACAAATGTCCAACAGTCGAGGCAACGAGAAAAATAGCGAAAGAATTCTCAAAGCATTGAAGTACTCTACTTCGGCTGCACTGTTTTACACCATTATTGCCATATTTGCAGCATTTAATGTTTGTTATTGGACTCTTTGGGTCATTCTTGTGAGAACAGGCGCAATCTCCTCTCCAACGTATAGCTACATTGTTTCCATTTCGTACCTTGTTTGTATTTTGACATTTAGCATTGTGATTTGTACTGTTGCCATCTTTGATTGGATTTTGTCCTCAAAGAAAGAAGTGGAGGTGAAAAACAGTCGAAGAAGACCAACGAACAACTTTAGTCAAGTGAACTCGATTGCCCTTGCTAGCGATTCAGGTGAAAATCTCAAAGATCCAAAGAAGAAAAATTTAATCACTCTCCCCACAACTGTGATGAATTGGTTTATATCTTTGGACCAACCTCTTTATTTCAGAATGGAAATGGTTATTTACATGGTTTGCTTTATTTTCCAAATTCTAAATCTCATTATTGGAAGTTCGAGTTTATCATTTAGATTTGATAGTAATGAATCGTACAAGAAAGCACTCACTCTCGATGGAGTTTCCTTTATATTTGAAGTTTTCTATGTTGTGAGCTACTTGTTCGTGTTTGGTGGCTTTGCATTAATTGTTGCATTGATTTACAAATTCAAACGATCGAAAAAGAAACAAGAACAACTTCAAAAACGTAAAGAAGAGCAAAAGAAAAATCAAGAGGAACTCATAAATAAGGAAATGCATGTCCTTTTGGAACATGAAGAAGGATACAAACTCTTTGAAGCATTTTGTCAAAAAGAATTTTCACTTGAGAACTTGTATCTCTATTCCGATCTGAAAGCAAATCCAGAAATTACCCAAGGTCAACAATTGGGAGGAATTGTGAAATTCATGTCCTTCCTCTACAATACCTATGTCAAGACAGGTGCCACACATGAAGTGAACATTCCTTCCAAGTGTAGAAATTCATTCCTCTATTTGTATAAGAACGTGTTGGAATCGAGAGACCAATTAATAAGCACGGACCTCAAACAATCTGCTGACAATTATGAAGGTGATATAGAGCTCGTCGATAAGGATATCAAATTTGCCACAAAGAACAATCCAATACCACGTCAAGAAATTGATGCTGAGACTGTCTCTAATTGTTTTGAATTTCTCCTCCGTCAAGTCATGCTTAATATTGGAGACACCTTCTCTCGTTTCGTGTTCACTCCAGAATATAAATCGTTCCAAAAGTCCTTGGAAATGCAACAAACGATTATGGATAAGGTCGGAGTGGTGTACGGCATTTAGATAATCGGTGTTCACAGAGGCAGCTCTAGGCATTCATGCGATAAATTAAAATTTAATTTTTAAAACAATTCAAAAAAATTTTTATCATCAAAAATTAGCAAATCGACACAATTTTACAAAGCCATGTCTGAACCAAGCAGTGTGTGGGACTTGTTTTCGGAAGAAGAGGTCTTTCAATCCTTTGACACAATTTTAGACAATCCATCAACTACTCTTGAAGATGTTCTTGATCAGGATACTCTTCTTCAAGAGGTAAAATCTCTCTCTCCGAAACTCATTCAATATTTGACTTGTTCTAAAACTCTTCGTAAACTCATTGATTACATCACCGTAGAACAATACTTTGAGGATGATATCAAGAGCTCAAGTGCCACCAAAAAGAACAAGCCAGCTAATTTCTTTGATGATGATTTTGGGTTTGATGACAACTTTGGAAACCAATTTTCATCATCCGATAACAGTGCAAATAGTAAAACCACCACCACCACGAGCATAAGACAACAGGCCCTGCAAGAGGAGGAGAAGATGAAGCAAGAGTTCCTTTCTGTTTCCAGTATCAAGGAAAAACTCGACGAGCTGTCCAACAGACCTGAACTCAAAGCTCTCTACCAATATCCATATGTAGTGGGTGAGATTTTCGGTTGCAGTGTCGACAAAATCTCAAATGCTCTTGTCCATCAAACCGAAGATGAAAACTACCAGCTCTATGGAGAACGCTTTTTGGACTTAATACTTGTCAAGTATCTTCTTCTTAGAAAACCATATCAAATTCCAAAGAACAGAAGTCTCTCTCAGTACTTGTTTAAAGCATTGAATGTACTGATGGACAAGCCAGAAAAATATTATACTGATGTGGTCAAGAGATTGATGGAAATTGTTGACGATAGAGCTATTCCAGCAAGTTTGAACGAAATTATTGATGAAAACCTTTATTCATCATCTGAAGTGTTACTAGAGAGTCTTTTCATCAGAAACATTGGTTTGTGTGGTATTGATAACATTTTACTCAAAATATTAGGAATGGAGTCATCTATTTTCCAAGAACAAACAGCAAATATGCAAGATTTTGGAGCGGCAGGATCATTCTCAAGTTTTGCTAGCAGTTATTCTTTCTCTGTTAATTCAAACGACAAGTTTTCTGAAGAGGAAGAGGAAGCTCCAGAAATGAAAATCTACAAGTCAGTCCAAGAATGGGCCTTTACAAAATATGGCCTATATTCATCACTTTTGAGGAAACTATCATCATATGTTACTGAAACCATTAATGACGAAATATTAATAGAGCTTGAGGAGGAACAAAAGAACATTTTTTCTCTATTGTCTGTCATTATAGAGAAGGCATTGCTCAAGAGACCAGGTTATTGCTTGCCAAGTATTGAGGCTATACTCTCTCCTACAAATATAAGAACATTGATAGACATTATTTTAAAGTGTGACACCAACAAAGGAGCACAAACATCTCTGTTTAATTTGGGTGTCACATTTTTGAAACACTTACTCTCACAAGTGGTTTCCTCCATTTCATCAATTTCCTCAATGACAACCATCGAATATGCCAACCTTTCAATCACTGATCAAAAGGTGTTGTCTCTTGGTATTGAGGCCTTTAAAGAGCTTACTTCATCATCACTTTTGACAAAGTTCATTGATAGATTACAAGTGGTACCACAAGTACACGAGGTTCAAGTTCTACAATGTGGAGTACCTATTGAACATCCACTTGGAGAGTCACGCTTACTAATTATTGAATATGTCGATTCAATTTTACATCATTGCTCTTCTCTTGAAACTAGTTTACATAATTTACAAACTTCAAAGAACGAACGAGCTACTGACCTTCAAACAGCACTGTCATCCATATTGACAACCCTCAAAACCAGAAATGTCTCCCATCATATCGTTCCATTATTCTTCCAATATGACTTCAATTCTTTACTTCACAAACAAGTTCATTTAATGGTTAAATCTATTTGTAACCTAACCATTACTGAACCAGTTGTAGCTGAATTGAAGAAACAATTATTGTTCGACGAAACATCATTGTGTAAACGCATTGTCGAAAAGTATGAGAGCGTGAAAAATGGTGTTGGTCAAACCTTCAAAGGAACAGTAGGAATGGGATATTTATTTGAAATGGCAGAAATAATTCAGAAATACATTCCACAGTCCAGCATTTACGCAACCACTAACGAAGAGTTGGACCATTTGTTGACCTCCGTCAGCTCTTGGAAACCATTCGTTGATACCGCACTTAAAGAATATATTTCGCTCAAAGAAAAAAAACTTGGTGGATCAGCTCCAATTGGAACCAAACCTCACAGTAATTGGCACGTGGTGTCTGAAGGAAACTCTCAACATATGAGTGGTCTTCATATTGATGAAGAGGATACCTATTAAACGAGGACAAGCTTGTTTTTGGCCAATTATTCGAATAATTTTTTGTAAACTCATTCCACGTCCAATTTCCAAGTTCCATGATACCAACAATGAAACCAAGATTTTTGATTTTGAAAGAAAATTAGAAAAAAACACAGCCATGATAAGCGCCTTGTTGCTTCTCAATGTTCGTGGTCACATCATTCTCTCTCGAGCATTCAGAGATAATCTTGACATGTAAGTATAACCCAGACATCTCAGCATTGTTTTAATACTTGATTGTTGCAACTAACTTCCAGACGAGGCATTGCCACAACCTTCAAAACACAAATCCTCACCTCAAAACTTGTTGACAAGTGCCCAGTTAAAACAGTAGCCGGACTTTCATTCATATTCATTCGTCATGAAGATTTATACCTTCTCGCTATTTCGAGACAAAACTCGAATGTTACTCTCGTGTATGAATTCATGTACAAATTTCTTTCTTTACTTGCTGCCTACTTGACAGGTGGAGAGGAACTCAGTGAAGAAGCCATTCGAGAACATTTACCATTGGTCTATGAATTATTAGATGAGGCTCTTGACTTTGGATATCCTCAAAATTTGGAAATTGAAGCATTGAAAACTATTCTTACACATGTTCCAGGTGGAGACGAGAACAAACTCATTCAGAAAATGGAATCGCAAGAAATCACTGAAATTCTAAAACACATGACTGGTGATCTACCATGGAGACGGCGTGGAATTATTCATTCCAAGAATCAAGTCTTTTTAGATGTCATCGAAAATGTGAATATGCTCATGAACGAGAAAGGAAGCGTTTTAAGCTGTGATGTGAATGGTCAAATTGTCATGAATTGCATGTTGAGTGGTATGCCCGAATGTCGCATTGGCCTCAATGACAAACCCATGATGTTGCCAAGACAGACAAACTCCAATTCAAGCAACAATACATGTTCAGCCCAAAAGAAGGCCATTCAAATTAATGACTTTTCTTTCCATCACTGTGTTCAATTGAGTGAGTTTCAAGCTCATCGAACCATTAGCTTTATTCCACCCGATGGAGAATTTGAATTGATGCGATATCGAGTGTCACAATCTGACGGTGTTATTCCTCCATTTCGCCTGTTGCCACCTGTAGTGAACGAAACAAACAAGAGTTCAAAGCTTGAAATTCAAATCACCTTAAAATCAATGTTTCCTTCTCGAATGTTTGGAAAGAATGTAAAAGTGAAAATTCCATGCCCTTCAAATACTGCCAAATGTCAAATCTCTGTCCCACATGGACATGCTTCGTACAAGGCAGAACATTCTTGCATTGCTTGGACCATTAAACGATTTCCTGGATATAAAGAAATGACACTGAATGCTGAGGTTGATTTAATTGCACAAACGAGCGAGAGCAAGAAATGGTCTCGTCCTCCCATCCAATTACAATTTCAAGTTCCCATGTTTACGTCAAGTGGCATGCACATTAGATTTTTGAAGGTAATGGAAAAATCGAATTATGAAACCACTAAATGGGTGAAATATTTGACTCAAACAGGTGATTATGAATGCAGAATTTAATAGATTTCACAGTAAATCATTATTGCTCAATTCACGCTGTGCCAACGAAGCCTTAAATCATGAGAGTCATAATCATTACAATCAACAAAAAGAAGGTCATTGTGAAATCTCCTCTCACCATGCTTGTGGCATGATTCACACTGGTTCGAGGTCCATTCTTGGTCGAGGACGAAGCGCCTGGTGGGGCCTCTGGAATTACTGTTGTTGTAAAAGACATTGGATCTGCATCTGGATTGGCCAATGATGTTTGGCCAGAACAAACAGGTCCAAAATATGCAATATTTGATGAAGTCAATCCACTGGTTGCCAATGTATCCGTTGAATCTTTGACAAATCTCAAATTGTCAAGGATGACTTCTCTGAATTTTGCAGTTGACCAATCTTGATCAATTCTAAATGTAATGACTTGAAGGTTGAATGTTCCTTGAATACCCATCGATGCCAATGGAATTCTAACACGTGTGGCACGAGTTTCATCAATAATAAAACGTTGATTTTGTTGTGTGGTAGAGGTTGAAGTTTTTCCAATTTGAGTAGTTTGAGAATTCTTATTTTCTGAAAATGTCACCGCCAAGTTCAATGGTCCTCCATTTAAAGCTCGTGCATAGAATTCAAAGTATTTGTAAACATTTGTGTCAATGGCAGGGAAAGGACTTTGAGTGGCAGAATATTTGTAAATTTGTAATCCACCTCGTTGTGATCCAAATAAAATTGAAGTTGTTCCACAAATTGGAGATGCTGAATATTGAGAATTGAAATATGTTGGTTTTGTGTCAATATTATCCGTCCATTTGGATTGAGTAAAGTAGAAAGTTTGACAAACATTTCACCTTTCACTAATGAACCATGTTCGTCATAGGAATAAGAATAAGTGAAACGTGAAATGGAATATGGACTAATCTTGAAATCTCGTTGCAAGATTCGTTGTTCACTACCTGGTTGACCAATACCCACTTCAATCTATTTGAAAAGTGAATGAATCAATGTAATGCATGAATAGATCATGTGAATTGATATCATCCATATGGAATGAATGAATCAATTGATGAAAATAGAAATATTCAAAATATTCATCTATGATGTGAAATAATGTTTGAACGAATTGTTGAACCAAAAATATTAAAATTTATCCTTACCTTTGTAGCAATCTTAGTCAAATCATGATGTACACTAAAATCAATGGTTCTTGTCAATGTATTCACCATGGCAAAGACATTTCCATTTCCAGGAGAATTCACAGATGGATTTTGTTGACAAGTTTGCAACACTCCAGCATATCTTTCCTCTCTCGAATAACGTTTCAACATATTGGGTGCATCAGGAGGTCATAATAATACACACTTCCATCATAGGAATCCATAACTTCTTGAATAGAACTGCCAGCTGTCAAAGATTTAGGATTGGTTCCCCAAGTGAGTAAATTCACTTGAAAAGTGTCACTCGTTGGATATTGAATAGCCAAAACCACCCAATCACTATGAGCATTGGAGCTCAATTCCACACTCAAATCACTTGGAGTTGGGACGTTAAATGACCAACGCACCGCATAGAAATTTTTCATAATGAGATTACTCTTAAGAGACAAACTTGAAGATCCACTCAAAGTGGCTCCAATCACTTCCCTTTCCTTATTTCTTGTCAAATCAAATAGTTTCATTCTTGGAACACGTTTGGAAGGATCTGATAAATCAGGATAAGTGGCACCATTTGCTCCCTTATTTGAACTTGATGAAAAAACATTATTGTTAATAATTAATTGTCCATAACTTTCAGGGAATACAGGACATTTGTAAGTTTGACCTTCACATGCACTAAATGAAACAAGAGAATCATTGGAAACAATCCAACCACCTGGTCTGTTACCTGTTGCTGATCCGTCAATGTCTGCAATGGCTGAACCTTTGTGATTGTCATAAAATGATGAAAGTTGATAATAGACATTGGCATTTTCAAATTTGAGATCGAGTAATCGATTTCTTGTTTGATGTTTGAATGGTCCATAGGTTAAGCCAGATAAAGCACCTGCAGGTCTATAACTGTTAGTTTGGAAATTTCTAAAAGTGACATTGGCTATTGATTTTGTGAATTCATCAATGTGAAAATGTTGCCATCATGATGATGATCATTCATATATTGATCCATATTGATCCATTGTGACCATTCATGCGAATATCCATATTTGACACAAGATTCTCCATGATAAAAACAACAATATCTCACAAATACTTACACAAAATTTGTGGAGGTGCATTCATTCCATTCATGTTATCATATAAACGTAAATTACTAAACTTGAGATGACATGAACGACTCCAAACTCCATAACCTCTATTTTTGTAAGCCACATAGTTTGTGAAGAGTGCATTGACAAATACTGCTGGATACCACTCTCCAGCAGGATGTGTGTAAGGTCCTTGAATGGGAACATTGGAAGCCATTTCAGTGGTTGTGTCTGGTTTGACCATGTCATCGATGTGAAGACTGTTTCGACCACAATTTTGACCAACATTGTCTGAGAATTGACCTAAGGGTTGACTTCTTGGACGAACGTAATAATTGTCTTTACCATATTTGGCAGCAGAGAGACCACTGTAAAAATGTCATTGAATAAGATTCAGAGAATCACACAAAAGGATCACATCATCAACAGTTCAACAATAGAATGGTCACATTCTTCAACACTTTCATCAACAACAATAAATTAGGTAGCGTCTTGAGGCATGGTGAACCAATAACTCCATTTACCTCCAACAGCTGCATTTTGAATCCAAGTATTATTGGGATTAGTAATCCAAAACACTGCAGGTTCTGATTCTGATTTGATCAATTGATAGGCATCTTCTGCAGCTACTGGAATTGGGTTAATTCCCAAATTACGTTTGAAAATATTTCCCATTTCCACTCCATCCTATCATCACATGTGATGGCATGTAGTATTGTCATTATTTGTGTGAAATGGAATGTCAGTTATTATTGTGTGTGTGTGAAATGGAGTGTCATGATGGTGAGGATATTCATAAACATTGGACAAGAAATCAACAGACCATTCCAATGAATCATCAAATATTCCATAATGATATGATACCAGATCAAGTTTCAACCTTCCTCAAGGAAGTATTGATGTCCCTTTGTATTCCAACAAATATTACCTTCAATTGTCACTCCATTGGTGTCATGAACAACAACACATCTCTGATACGTGTCATGAATGGAAGAATCCTTCAAATAAAAATGAGCATTTCCTATCTTGTAAGCTTGTTCTCCAAAAACGTGGAAGTGAATTGGATATCGACCTAACAATCCAGCATTACCCATTTTAGTAATTTCCACACTTCTCACTTGTACCATATTTCCAGGTCGAAACATAATGTGACCACCAAATTTGCTACTCTCACTCGAAGCATCACCTTGGAAGATAATATTTCGATTCAACACACCCACTTCGGCACGCATGTCACCTTCAGCAAAATGAGTATAATTCAATGGTGCGTTTAACACAAAGGTTTGAGAATTTACCACTTGAACAATGGTTCTCTCTTCGTTTTGATCTAAAAATCTGAAACCTTGTTTCCATTTGAGAGAATCTGGAACAGTGTCACTCCAATGATACAAATCCGAGTAATCAGTGTTGGCAATGACAAGTTTATCTCCAACTTTCCATTGAGTGGATTGATTCACAGTAATGGTGTTTGTTCCTTTTTGAGCAGTATTTTGTAAAACAGTCCAAGTAGGTGTGTAGACTTTACCATGAATTTTAACACTCGATCCAGTCATGAATACCATTCCCTTGTATCCTGTTTCAGTATTATCAGCAGGATCTTGAGTAACAAATATGACAAGAAATTCATTGTAGGACTTGATTTGCAAGTCGCCTCGAACCGTCTTACAAATGGTAGATATGTCAGTCAATACTTTCGAAATTATCTGATTCAATGTTTCTGGATCTTGAAATTCTTGATCATTCAAGTAAGGTATTGTCACATGAAGAACACAGCATTCCTTTACAGACAAACCTAATTTGAACATGTTTGCTTGTTGATTTCTTTTTGACATGCGTTCTGAAAGCTTGGATTGGGTGTGGCGAGAATGTGGCGAGAATGTGAAGAAGCATGAGAACCCAATTCTGAATCCGTTTTTTGTCATTGGATGGATGTTTCTTCTCGTTGTTGTTCTCATCAGTAATGACATTGGAGGTTTCTTTAGGAGCTTGAAGTTGATTCAAAACACAATCAGGCAAGAAGGCTCTAAACTCGCTCAACCAGTTAACGGTTTCTGTTAAGCTGGAATAAATACTTTTAGCTTCAGTGAAAATGGAAGGACGGATATTCAATAAATCAAGAACTTCAATTTTTTTAAAGTCTTGTTGCAATTTCACAAATGGATTTGTTACCATGTAACCAATAAGAGCACTCACTATGACACCAATGATTGCAACACCACAAGTCACACCTAATATAATGTAGCTGCTTGTGATAATGGCTTCCTTAATTTCATTATCTTCAAAAACTAACGTCATTCTCCATCTAATATTGTAAAACGTATAGGGTTTGCTAGAAACTAGATAGGTCACTCCTCCCACTGTGGTAGTAAATTGAACTTGGTCATTTGATTGTGACATGACCTGTTTCATCACTTCACCAGCATTTCTTGTCGCAATGCTCGAGGCGTTGATTCTCTTAAATTGTAAATCAGGAATCTCTAAAGAACTTCCCAACACATAGCCACTACTGAACTCGGACAAGACAATATAACCATGATTCAATACTTTCAAAGATGACAAAGATTTGGCGATTAAATCTAAGGCAATGTTCACCTTTGCAATACCAATGACTTGTTTGGTGGAGAGATCCGTACGATTATAGACGGGAGTGGACCAATAGATTTGCATGGACGAGTTGATCACAAGATATGCGGAACCGAATGCACCGTTTGGATTTGTCTTGATCAAGTTCATTGACTCGATATAGTAATCCATCTTTGCAACTGGATACTGTGTAAGATTCAACACATAAGGTTTGATAATTGCACCAGTGCTAGGATCCAACTCCCAGCTTAACAAGTTCTCTCCTGGCATTTTCTTGGCCCAAACCCATTGTCCTATCAACATTCAAAGGACTCTAATCACTTTGTACAAAAATCAAAAACTTACCTGCAGAACCAATGGTGACAGTTTGAAGATAATTGAGTCCATAACTTCCAAAACACAAGTTCACCAATGTAATATCATACACTTTGAATTTAGAATAGAGATAATTGCGCACGGCATCGACCATATCAATATATCCAAACTGATAATCGAGAGCCACTTGATCTATCACTTGCTTTGCAGGAATTAACTGGGCATTCAATAAATTGACAACCTTTTCATTGACAATGTTTTGAATAAGGACATTCACTGCTTCTAATGCTGCTGCCTCGTTGACTGTATAGCTCGTGACCCAAATCGATACAGCCGTGGTGATCACCAAAAGAGTAATCACTCCAATCAAGAACAATCGAACAGACAAGATACATGCAAGAATCGCTGGACGTTGCTTTTTCTCTTTGAAAAGAAGAGATTCTTCGCAATCATCAGAGACAAGCGGTTGATTGGAAGACAACAGCTCTTCGTCGACTTTTTGAGGAACAACTTTTGACATCGTAAATAATTTGGCGCTCAATCTTTCGGATGACAGAGAGACTGCAATTTTTATCAAAATGAGCGATATTTAGGCGAGATGAACGAGTCATAATAAATTGGAGAGATGATGTCCCTTGATGGCCACGAGTGTGGTGGTAGATGAATAACTTCAACCATCATCGACGATTCTATTTTGTGATCTGTTTTTCTTTGAGCATAAACTGGGTAAATTGTTAGTAAGGCGCAAAATCGACATTGTAGTGCCTGAGAGATGATATTACCGGTTATTTCGGCTGATTACCATCATCAAGTTTCAATGCTGTATCATATATGGTTGTTAAATCTCTTTCATCCTAGAGATGAGAATTGTTATTCAGCCGATAATATTAATTTCTAAGAAATCTCTTTCAAAAAAACCAATTTAAACCATTACTACTCAACTGCATTGTTCAGAATCTGAGATAAAGATGTCAACGACGAATGTTATTGTCCCTCTCGACACCACCAGCAGCTGTAGCAACCCTACACTAGACCATGCAAAGGATGATGATGACAAACAAGAAGAATCTCATCTTCTCTCCTTACGAAGGATCCCTTAGCTCCAAGAATATCCATCAAGTGTAGTATCATTTTTTTGATGTCCCTTGTTGAGTTCACAAGTGTGATTGTATTGTCTGTCGTATGGATTTCAAGTTTACTTCCTTCGAACGTTCAATGGAGTAACATGGAAAGGGATAAAGAATTTCGTGAGATTATTCACTCTGTGTCAGAGATTATTGTGGATTTGACACATGTTCATGATATCATGAGAGGACAATTATTAAAACTTTTAGACTTTTCGAATGCAAGTCAAATTGAGCAAGTGACTTATCAAACTTATGTGACAGAGGATTTTCATCATAAAGGACTCGTGCAAACGGTGTATATTGGAGATGATCAAAATAATGGACTTGGAATTTACAATGATCCTACTGGGGGTCCCTGTTGGTATAATTATACCTTCAATGACCGACAAGAGCTTTATTATTGTAATCCTAATTTCAAGATGTATGACTATTGCAAAAGAAATAACACACCAGACTCAGTGATAGGACCTTTTGACTCTTCGGATTTAGTGAACACTTGTAATGACAATCCAACAAACAAATCTTTGCACCAAGTTATTCGGATCCTACGACCCCAAATTGTGATACATTCACCACTCTACTATATTACTTTTAACTTAATAATAAGAGTCGATTCAATTACTATTTGGCATTTGATTTGACCGTTGCAAGTGCCTCAGATTTCCTTATTCAGGCAACTCAAAGAGTGCACGGATCAAAAAGTTTCATTTTTGAAACAAAGACCAACTATGTAGTAGCAAGTAGAGTTTTCTCTTCAATGTTGGTATTTGAGAAGGGATTAACTCATGGTCACAAACATGAATAGTTGACAATCCAACAATTAAAGTTGCAATCCCTCTTGGAGATCCAGACAACAATGTGGATAGAAAAACAATTTTAACTCTCAATGACTCTAGAACTCTTGACGTGGCAAGTTTTGTCTTTGCACATGCACATGAAAATATCAGCAACTTTGAGTGCAACCAGATTCAAACATTTGAAAACAGTTTTGATTATATTTCAGTTTATAGAATGTGTACGGAAACCAACCTTGATTGGATATTTGTAATGGCCATTCCTAAATGGAATTATTTAGGATCCATTGTCATTGGTGTGGTGGCTTCAATCGGCGGAGCCTTAATGATAATATTTCTCTCCATCTTATTATCAATTGCCATATCCATGAAAATTGTGAAACCATTTTACAATTTGATCGACCAATTCACAGCAATCTCGAGAATGGACTCGAAGGAATTGACGTTAAACCCAGCATAATGTTTCTCATGAATTACAAAATATATGCGAATGATTTCTACAATCAGAGAATTACAAAAACAATTTTTAGACATGACGAACATGATCAAACTTTATCGTGCTTTCATTCCAGTTCATTTGTTGCAACAATTAGACAAAAAGAATTTAGAAGAAGAACAGAAACCGAAAGAACAAACAATCTCATCCCATCGCACAGAGAATAACAAGAAGCAGCAGCCGATTGCTGCCAACGTTTCATCAAAATGTTCTTCTTCAGACTTGTCTTCTGTTTCTTTAGCAAGCCGCTCCACACATAATACTTCTCTCCAAAAGAATTCACGAAATTTGAACATGTTCTCCTTATACTTGGAAAAGAAAAACGTGACTCTTCTTCATATGGTGCTGGATGGTTTCTCTGCTATTCTTTCAAAATTGGAACATCCAAATGAATGTTTGCACATGCTGTCGGATGTGTTTGATCAAGTCAATACGACGTCAAAAATCGCTGGAGGATTACTTGGTAACTTTGAAAACGACTCCTTCACAATATCTTTTAATTCCTCTATTCAGAATGTAAATCATCAAGAGAAGGGAACTCTCTCTTCAAAACAATTACTGGAAAGAATTATGGTATTGAAAACCATTTCGATTCTCAAGAAAGATCAACTAATGACCTTAATAGAAGTCTTAAAAATTAGAATTGCATTGATTCAACAAGAATGTCGGAAATGTGGGAACTCGTGACACCAAGACCTTTAATAATGTTTCAAGTGCAATATATAATTTAGAGGCCATGGTTAAAAAAGCTCATCAATTAGATATTTCCATCATAGTGACAGAGGGTATCCAACACAAAATTGACAGTTTGTATCATTCACGCATTGTCGGAGAGCTTCATTTGATATCTGACCATGACTATTCATCCATGTACTTGGAGAGTAGTGAACAACTTGCACAAAAATTGTATGAAATTGGTGAAAGTACAGACCAAGAAGCAGACGAATGGATGTATGAATTGGAAAATCAAAAGAAAAAGCAAAAGTGGCAAAAGCACAATCATGCCTGTCAATGAATGTCTGAAAAACAATTCCATTCTGCTTTAACCCTCTTTTTAGAGTTCAATAATGAGAATCAAGGAAAAGACAAACCATGTTTGGAAATGATTGAACGATGTAAAAATCATGTTCACAATGAAACATCCGCTTCCACCTTTAGTGACATCTGAGAGTTGAAAATTCTCTAAAAAAGACGATGAATAAACCATCCTCAGTTATCCTCAAAAAGTTCCCCCAAATATTCGAAGTCCATTTTAAAAAAATGAGTGAAAACCAAAACATTGGATCTTCATCATCATCGGGCCAACCACAATACGTTGTAAATGTGATGGACATTGATATTGATGAAGAGCAGGAAAAGGAAGCAAGAGAATATGAGCTGCAACGACAAAATACTGCACAACGGCTTGCGGAATTAAAAAAGAATGCTTCTTCTTCGGAGAGGATATCCTCCATGATGAATAGCGGAACTTTAAATTCATCATCATTATCCTCAATGAATGCATCGAATCGGATGAATACAAGTTCAAACAATAATAACGGTGGAAAATATATTTCAACAATCGTAAAATATAATTCATTCGCAAATGTACAAAAATCCAATGGATCATCCTCGCCACACACAACCACGATTCCGAATGTATCACTTTCGAAACTTCCTTTACCTGTGAGCAGACCGCCTGGACATGTACCACAGAAATTTATTCCACCTCCTCGAAAGGATTCACAAACAAATTCTCAAAAAAGTTCAACTGATTCTGCAAATACCAGCAGCTGTAGCAACAGCCAACAAACAATGAATTTTGCCTTAAAACCACAAACACCAACAGCAAAACCTGTGAATGGAGGCACAGTTGAATCTTCCACAACACCAGTGAAAAGCAACACTTATGTTCCTCCATTTTCTTCGTCGTCCCCGTCATCAGTGACATCCTCGAGCCCATCAGCAAGTATCAATAGTAGCACTACTAGTGAATTTAACATTCCGTTTCCAATAACAGCAACCTCAATAACAGCCAATGCTGTTCAAAAGAAAAATCCAATTACAAAACACATCCGAGAAGGGGCTTTTAAGGTAAATTATGTTCCAGAGTGGAAATTAACAGATTTTATTCTTGGAAAACATACAACTGCATTATACGTTAGCTTGAAATATCATATGACTAATCCAAGATTTATTTTGGAAAGAATTCGAAATTTTCACAAAACTGAAGTATGCAAGAACAAACTTTTTACAGTTAAAGTTGTGCTTGTGAACGTGGATGTCTCCATTGAAGCATCTCATGGAAATTCATCATATTTTAATAGTGATAACGATGAAATGAAACCAAAGGGCACTCCCACCTTTGTCTCAGAGTCTGCTCTCGACGAGGCCCTAATAGAAATAACAAGAATTTGCATGTGGGGAGACTGGACCATGTTATGCGCATTTTCAGATGAAGAATGTGCCCTTTATTTGGAGTCTCTAAGGTATTGTGAAAATAAGAGCGCATCCACCATTCAAGGTCCGATTCAAGCAGTTCCCAGTCTTGCCACCTCAATGTCAACACCAAATGCGGCGACAAAAAAGAAATCAGGTAAAAAAAAGTGGAGCAAAGAAAGATATGTTGGCTCTTCCAGTAGTAGCTCTAACAATCCAGGAAAATCAACAGAAGTTGAAAAGATTTCTCATACAGAAGAAGTTCATCAACTTTTTGCCCTCTCGTTCAAAAGGACACTTAATAAGAGAGATCACGTCACCTTATTGAATCATTTTGGTTCTGTTAAGGAAGTTATTCAAACAAGTGCAGATGAGTTAACTGACTTACCTGGTTTTGGAAAAAAGAAAGTGAAGCGTCTAATTAATCTCTTCCAAACACCTTTCATTCCAGGGAAGGAAACAAAAAGCAATACATCCAACGAGAAGAAAGAGACTAAAAAGAAAATTCAATTGGTCCGTAAATCAAGAACTTCAACAGCATCAAACAGCAGCAGCAGTAATAACCAGGAAAGTGACGATGACGACATTCTTGTGGTGAATAATGAGACTGGTGAAGAAGAAAAGATTCGAAAAACGACCAAGAAACAGACCAACTTGAGCATTTTCTTCAGTCAACCACAAACCAAATCAGAGACACAAGATTCTGACGAGGAGGAGTGAACATTTATTAGATCCTCTCTCGCAATATGGGGTCTGCGATTGAGATAATATTATTATTTGTCCGCACGTGGCGAAATTGGTTTCGAAACAAGCAGAAAGTTCGTGCGCATAATCACAGAAGGCTGATTCAGCATTGAATTGCTTTCATGAACGTTGCTGGAGACCATTCTCTCTCGGATTACAAAGAAAAAATGATTTCATCCAAACCTTCTTCTTTAAGTGAAAATACTGCAAATGCATCATCCAACAATTTATGGTCCACGAGCAATAAGCAAGAATTGTTTGATCTCATTTGGCAAAACAAGAATCATTATTATGAACATCTTTCCCATTCCAATGATCGAGAGGGAATGGAAGGAAAGAATCCTTGCATCATCTCCGAGAGCAAACCTTCCTACTTTTTAAGCTTGGGAATGGATCCTTACTCCGATAACGGGAAAGTCATGACGTTTTACAATCAAGTGCATTTCCATCCAACACAATTTCCAAACGTTGAAGATTTGGATCGTATCAAGAAATATGCAAAAGAAGCTCATGTTCCCTTGTTGGCCAGCTTGCCTTATTATACATCTCCAAATGTTGAGCAGAGATTGGAAGAGTTATTTCAAAATGGCTTTTTCATGATGACTAAGAGTCCAGGAATGATTTGCTCGTTGAATACGAACCTTGATCATGAGAGCAGTACTGCTGGAGAAACAAAATTCAATGATTTACAAATTGGAGAATTGAAAAGAAATGAAGACGAAACGAGTGAAAATAATATTCTACTGAGAGAGTGGTGTAATGTTTTGGTGAGTTCCTTTGGATTCTTTTCAAAAAAGTCCACCATTGAACATTTCTATCACTTATTCAGGAATTGCAAATATGGTCCAAACGAAAAATTGCGAATGTTCTATGTGACACATCAAGAATCACCTCAAAGTCAACCTATCATGATTTCAGTTGCATCTTTATTTATTGAACCTGAGAAACATGTGTGTGGTTTGTACAATGTGGCCACTCTACCGAATCCTCAATTACGGAGAAAGGGAACCGCACGACTTCTCTCACGATATGTGGTCTATGAAATTGGAAAGAAACAACTTGGTCTCAAATATTGCACATTGCAATCCTCAAAGGCGGCTTATAACTTGTACAAACAATTAGGATTTGTTCATGTTGGTGATTGGTCACATGCCGTGTCTCCAGATCATGCACATTGGTCCATTCAATTATTGATGAACATTGTGCTCTTGAGATTTTTTATGAAAATTACTGGCATTCGAGATTTAACACAAAAATCGAATTGGTACAAATAGTTAGCAATTACCGTGCTGTGGTTTTTGTTTCTGACCTACTTGATTTTCTTTATGAGACTTTAATGATGAATGGAGCTGTTTTTCTGCTACGGAGTTTGCAGGATTCTTCCTTTCGTCCGCGCCAAAGCAAATAAAGAAGAAACTCCACCAATTTGAATAATCGAAAGTAAAAAAATGAAAATTAATTGGAGGTGAGTGTTGAACATGAAATTCTGAGAGTCTCTTTAATTTTATATTGAAAAACAATCATCATCAAAACATTGTTATTATTGAAAATTTTATTCATGGTTTGATTCCGATGTGTAATTTCCCCTATGTTGAATGTTCATATTTTTAAATGAAGACATCCGGATATCTTTGTTTCATGGAGAGCACTTTTGGCTGAATTTATTGGTACAGCCATTGTAAGTAGTAATAGTATTACCCATTGAGTGTTTGAAAATGGATGAAACTATGTGCAACTGCCACTTGTCAATATGTTCGCATATGTGAACTCACTCTGCTACTGAATAGTTCGTGTTTTTAGGTTCCATGAGTGCAGTCTTCTCTCCGAAAGTCGAACCTCTTTCGGCTGCTTTGGGTCATATCTTTGCTCTCTTGTGTTGCATTCACATTTTTGGTCCAATTTCTGGCGCTCACTTTAACACTGTAAGTTCCAAAGTGACTAAATTATTTCCCAACACTCATTATATATATATGAAACATAAAATATGAAATTCTAAATATATGAACATTAATGATGATGACACAATAATTTCTGATTTAGGCTGTTACCTTTGGTGCCTTAATTACGAGAAATATTGGACTCACTGCTGGTTTGGCCTACATGATTGTTCAATTATTGGGAAGTATTTTAGGAGCTTCATTGTGTTTAGGAATTGGAAAGAGTGTGGAAGCTGCTGTTTTTAATCCACCAACGTATGTTTTGTTTAGATATTTAGCAATTGACCTTTTAATTGTTCACATTTTAATTGACCTTTTCATTCACATTATTACACTCTAACAATCATGTTTTATTTATTCGAAATTAGTGAGTTAGCAGATGCATGGAGAGGTTTTGGTTTGGAAATTATTTTAACCTTTGTGTTGATGATTACCATTTTTGGTACTGCTATTAAGCCACAACATTTCAGTAAGAATGATGGAATGGGATCCGTTGGTGGATTAATTGCCGCCTTTCCAATTGCTTTTGCCTTAGGAGCGGGTGAGTATAGGTTATCATTACTCGTTCAATAATTTTTAATTTTGAAATGTTCACACCTCCATGAAATGCAATTGAATTCCATCATCATCATCACAACACCTCAGATGCCATGGCTGGCCCATTAACTGGAGCTTCCATGAATCCAGCACGTGCATTTGGTCCTCAACTTGTTGGAAATTTATGGCCCAGACACTCCTGGATTTATTACACAGCACCATTTCTTGGAAGTGCTTTGGGTGCATTGTGTTATGAATTTGTATTAACAAAACCAAAGAAATTGAGTCATTATGCTTCTCTATTGCATATCAAGACAAAGAGTCATGACAGTGATGAGGAAGAAGAATTTAATGAGAAGAATGGTTTATTGACATCAAATGCTTCTTCTTCAAAGGAGGGAATTTTGTATACCAGTACCAATTAAGTTAGAATTCTTGAATCACATGACGAACGAAAAGGTCATCACCTCGTTGTTGGATGCCGCTCTCTCTGTGATCTCTAGAATTCCACAACCAAGATTTTCACATGGCTTGAGTGTGCATTTTAAATATATTTATTTATACATCTTTTTTGAAATTCAGATTCATGTTTCCAACAAAGCTTTTTTAAACTTTGAAGTTCTCTCCAATGTAGTGGTATTTGTCTTGTATTTGTGAGTGTCATCTTTTCCAACTCCACCAGGAAGATTCGAAGGTTGATCGTAACCTTCTCTATTTTGACCAATATTTTCACCTCCACTCACTCCCATCATGTATTGGGGATCATTGGCAGATACGTTGGATCCAGATTGACCCAACTTGGTCTCACTGGAGCCAAGAATGTTCTTGTTCTTTGAACTAAAATCGTCTTTTTGAATATCTTGTTCCATTTTGGTGAGAAATATTGGAATGAAATTTAAAGAGAAGAGTGATATCTTTCAATGATGATGTAAAGTGGTTTATTATGAGTGGTATAATTAGTGTTGATCGTGTGGTGGTCTTGACATTAGTAAAGAGGGAAATTTAACATTTATTGGATAACTACTTTCGATGTGTTTCCTTGGTTATTCTTGAGATGAGATGGAGATTGAAAATGAGCACTGAAAATGTCACTTCCTAAACAATCATTTCAATCTGTTCCTTCGAATCTTTTCAAGTTACTGTAAATGAATGGTCGAATTCTTGAACCAATTACATTTTTTTGAAATTTGAATAATGAATCAAAAACCAATAATCACACTCTACAAACTTTAATTTTGTTTATTTCCATCCTGTTGTTGAGAATTCATTCGTCTCCCTCTTCACCAGGATTAATATTGGTCAATAAACGTTATTCGAAATTTAGAAAATTCAAAACTTTGAAAAATGATGATGAACACCGCGTGTTGTCCTTGATTTCATCGTTGCAAGTCGCTAGGTTGCGTGTTAGGAGGAGTCAAGCAAGCACAGGTGGGACAACCTCTCTCATCGAGCACGTGTCCATACTCACAGAATATGGCACATACGGGTCCGCATGAGGATGATGAAGAGGAGGAGTCCTCTTGAACCACATCTTCTTGATCATCCGATAATGAGGAGGAAGAAGAAGACTCATCACCAAGCCTTTCTTTCATGTAATTTTGAAATTCAACATTCACTTGTTCCGAATGCGAATTGAAGAGTGGAGAGGGTTGTTCTTTCTCTCCGTTATGGTTAGTACCAGAACGAATTGTTGTTGTTGTTGTTGCCGTGATGAGAGAGAAGGTGGTACTCATCAAGACGACAAGCAAGAGAAGGGTTCCGCTGATGACAATGAGAAGAAATTCGCTTCCTCTCATAACAGTTGGATTATAAATCGTAGCGCTCGTTTTGTGATGAGGAGGAGTGGAAGACATTTTCTTTATGGAGTGAGAGAGAGGACAAGGCAATTCATACACGTTGCGGTGCATACCTATTACTTGCGTTCGGTCATCATTGTCGTCAATCACCCTATGCACCCTATGATGATTGATGTTGTCTAACCAGCACAAGTGTTCCGTGAGTTACAAATTCTCAATTTTCATGCGACAAATTCTCACAAAATTCATGGCTGGTTTGTCGAGTGGAGGTTGGTGTGATTGTTTGATGGATGGTGAGGAGGAATTGGCTGCTAATTCTTGAAGATCTCCACCCTCATCTTGACGTGCTGAAAACAATGAGGCTGATTCCTTGACTGATCTTTCGGCCAAAAACTCCTCGAAAAGAGTTAATGCTTGTTCGTATTGATCGGAAAAGAAAGCCACACAAGCTTCTTGATACTTTTTCCATTTCAATAACTTTTGTTTGTGATTCAATTCATACATCCACTCTTGATCATTTTCGACTTGATTACTCTCTCCTAATTCATAGATGGCTTCCTTAGTGAAGAGTTGACTGCGAAGGACAATGTTAGGTTCTGAAGCTTCTTCGGGTGAGAGACAAGAGGAACTATTAAGGAAGCATGAAGGTGACAAGAATGAATCATCGACGAGCTCTTTCAAATCCACAAATCGAGTTTGATACATTTCGGATGCTTTTTGGTAGATTCTTTCTGGGAACACAATTGAAATTTCAAGTCGATGAGCCACTTCAATCAACTGATCCAGGTTCTTGCGCATCGAGGACACAACACTGTAGGTGAGAATCAATTTACAATGTATGAGCTAGTATAAGTGTATCAATATATTTCAAGATTCCAACTTACCTAAAGAATTTTGAATCACTCGTGCCAACATTTCCACAATAGACTTTCTGTGAAATGACAGCAATTCTAAAGTTAAGCCCATCAACGAGATGATGATTTTTCAGTTGTGTTCCATGGCTTTTTCTATGTTTTTCTGATTCAGATTTGTATTTGGATTGCTTCACATCCTTCAGTTTTTCCAAAAGGTTTTGAGAAAGAGAGAGTGCCTTTTCGATATGATTTTTTTGATCCTTGCTGGAGTTAAAACTCAATATTATCAAATCATTGTCAAACGTATCAAAGTGACATCCAGAAACTCTACTAGCTGTGTTGACTTGCTCAAAAATGCCAGAAAGAAGCGACAGTAATTCTTTGGTTCCATTGGTTTCAGCGTTTAGATACCACATCTCGAGACCCTCAATGAAAATTCCAACAAATGAAACCTGTTTTACCTCAATATAGAGAGAAAACTTGTTGACAGATGAATATTGAGAGCTCTTCAAGCTTGAATTAAGAGTGTGTTTCGATCCACTTTTCGAAGAGTGAGATGAATGCTTAACGTTAGAATTACCAAGTTGTGAATTGTTCAAAGAATTTCCAACTGACTCTTGTGGTTGTTGTTGTTCACCCTCAATCTCTTGCAATAGATGAGATGGAATGAATGCTCTGTAAAGCTTTAGCTTTTTTAACATTTCCTGAAACTGAACTTTGACATATTTCATTTCTGAGAATTCAAATGCACTTGTGGTCAAACCAAGAACATTATCCAATTCCATATTTGAAACACTCTCAAACATGAGCATGAGATTTTTGAATGGCCTTACTATTTTGACGGAGAACAAAATGCCAACAAACACACTGATGCCCAGCACAATCGCACTTCCACACAACGCTGCGATTAATGCATAAATAATAGGGCTTATATAATCCCACTGAGGAGTCGACACAGCAATCACCCAATCCATATTGTAGTCAGAACAAATACGATGCATCATTATGTAATTGGAAGAAAGAACCAGATTTTTGTAAGAGTTGCATTCAATTCCAGTTTGCAAGTTTGGAATTGCTCGATAGATGGCCTCGCCAATATCTCTGTACTCTTTAATATCTATATTGAGAGGTGTTTTTCTGACCACTGTCTCCCCTTCTTGGACTGCCAAAATAGAGGTTTCATTATCGACTGTGAGAGGTTATGGGTAACAACATTTGATCAAATGACGTTAATATTATAATCATCATGATCAAGGAATCACTTACTGGCTAAAAGATAATTGGTATTGGTTTCAATAATCATTGCTTTTGAGCCGTCCATTTCCTGAGACAACTTTTTCAAGTACTTGGACAACTTATCTGTTGTCAATGCGTAAGATAGGTAGTTGCTTATGGGCGAAGAGTTAGCAGTTTGGTTGACAACATTGGCTTTCCAGCTTGTCACAAGTGTGACAAATATAATAGAGCCACCAACACTATACGATGGAGTGAATGTTGGTTTTCCTGGTCGTTTCTCAGCAGTTGAAATGATCAAGCTCAAATCAAATGACGGCATGACCAAAGACGGTGTGCTTGATCGCACACAATAATCTGCAGAAAGACCAGCGCAGTAGTACAGATTTTGCATGACTGGACCAATTTCAATGAATGTAGGAATAGGTCCCCACTGTAGAACAGAGTAGGACATGGAGTTATTGCCAAGAAGAACGGCAAGAGGCAATCCTCCATGGTAATTCGCTTCACTTTGGAAGAATCGATAGAGTGAAAGTTCTATTTGAGCTGGGTTGGTCAAATCTTGGATATGATATTGTCCCTTTGCTGTTTCCAGGACAATGATAGCTGTGATTCATGAATTCGTGGAGGTTTAAAACATATTAATAAGATACAATGTCATCTCTTGAAGTTTGTGATTGTTAATCAGGCCGTAAACTCACCTTCATTCATCGTTTGTTGGATATTCATGACTAATTTTTCATTTTCTCCTTGCCTCACATCAAAACTAAAATCAGAAATAGCAGGAATGAAGGCACTTAACCATGTACCTGAAAGGACGAATGAACTTGCAACCACTAATAAGGTAATCAAAATAATGACAAAGAATTTGATCGATTTGCAACTTTCAATGAGTGATTTGTTGGATGGAGTTAGATTTGGATCCTGTGAAGAAATTTCATCATGGTCTTGATCGTTGTATTTACCAGTTTCTCCAACATTGGTGACCGTGGATTTTGCAACTGAATATCTCAAAAAGTATGGGTCGTTTCTAATGTTGTGATTTGCAATGGGGTTGAAAAAGGTTCCTTTTTCTGAGAGAACTTCTCGAGAACTATCGACACTTTGTCGAATGTTAGAGGGAACAACCTTTGAGGTGAACACCATCGATGTTTGACCAGTAGAATGTTGGGTGGCAGTGTTGTTGTTATTGTTGTTGAGATGAATTCAAAATCTTTTTTTGTATGAGATATTCAAAGTGATGCCCCAGAATTTTCCCGTCAAAGATAAGCTATGAACCGTGCTATTGAATCGCACAAACTGAAATCGACCAATTTTCGAACCAAAACAAGGAAGCACTTTCAGGAATTAGACCAATCCGTCAAATTTTTGCAAGCATTCTTTATTGCCGCCAAAATTGTAATTGAAAGGGATGTCGGTTGTAGGTTATAAAAGGTATTACCTTTAAGGATATTATGATTACAAGTCCTGACACGAGTCCTAATTCACACCACATCATAGAAGCAATCTCTCTAGCATAGCAGCGCGAAAGGGGCCACAAAAGAGAATCATCTCTTTCAAAATTGAGACTAAAACCATTTTAGTGGTTCAAATGGAGCGAGCAATCCAATGACTTGAGAGAGACAACTCATGAAATACATTACAACTACAAATGGCTTAATATTTCCTCCAATCCTCTGACAATTCTCTCATAGTTATCTTCATACCCAACGGACAACCTGACAAATGTAAAACCTGATTCCTCCTGAGGCCATGGATCTGTGCGTGACATTTTGGCACCAAATGAGGTTTTATGCTCAAGAATGGTTGCTTTTTTCAAAACTTGCAAAACCTCACTTTTAGTTCCTTTCACCTTGAACGTGAAAACGCTTGGAACTAAATGGTCTCGAGTCCTTGGTGGGCGCTTAAAGTAAATCTTCATGAGAGCATGTGATGGGTGATTTTGACACAGTGGATGATTCACTTGAAGAACCTTTGGATGCTTGACAAGGAATTCCGTAATGACTCGCTTGGTAAGATCTGAACAAAATGCAATTCGATCTGAAATGGTCTCTGCATACTCTTTCACCAATTCACAATGATACGGACTCACATGATTACCATTCACAACCATCCATTCGGTGCAACCTTTCATGGCATTCTTGGAACGAGCCAAAACCATTCCACCAATACAATGACCTGCACTGTAATATTTAGTGAGAGAACTCACCACATAATCCACTTGTTTTATAGTGAATGGATTAAATATCTCATGAGTGAGCCATGTATTGTCCACAATGGTGATTAAGGCCTTTGAGGCTGCTTCCAACTTTTGTAAAATGGAAAAGTCAAACATTTTTCCATTTGGATTACTGCAACTCTCAAAGAACAAAATGTTGGTTTGTTTTGCAAATTTACCCTCAAATGAACAAATGATATTATTCTTGTCCAAAATATCGATGGAATGCAAGGTCACATTCTTGTACATTTTAGCAATCCATTGAAACAATCTCGGAGAATCACAATACAGCTCATCACTATAGATTAAATTCAAATGTTCATTTTTTCTAGAAATGATAATTCCGTGCAGAGTTGCTGAAATTGCTTGAATGCCCGATGCTGTTAATTGGCAACATTTGGCATGAGGTTCATGCTGTTTCATCAACAAATCCTGCAGAGCCATGTGTTGAGGAGAATTGGACCTATTGTAATAAAAGAAACCATCGGAAGACTCGCCCAATACTAAATATTCTTCATCTTTGTGAATCACGTTGGAAGCAGAGCTATTGCAACTCTTGGAAATGATCATTTCTGAAGATGAGCTCATAATGGGTAGAAGTTGAATGGGTTCTATTTTTTGATTTATTCGAAGAAACAAGGATCGTCTTTCGGAAAGTTAAAACTAAAGAGAATCAAATCCGAAATTGAATTTGAATGCTGAACCAGGAATTTGAAGGGTCAATAAAAGGAACACAATGAAGCAAATGAAGTGTTGGAAACAATTTGTCAAACATGTCCCTCCACTCAATAATGGTCACTTTTTGTGAATTTAGTTCTCCCATTCGTTTTAATGGATCAAAAGAATGTATGGAATGTTGTTTCCTTGCTTTCTTGTCTCTCTCTTGTGACTGATTCAAAAACGATGGCATGACTTGATTTAACAACAGAGAGTTAGTGACAAAGGTGGTAAAACAGTGAAGAACATTGGTCATTGTGGATTGTAGAGAGGACAAGAAATAATGGTTAAACCCCAACACAAGAGCAAATAACGAATTTAACACACTCTCTTCATTCGTATTTGAGAATCGATATTAATTTTGTTGAGTGTTTGAAGAGATCATGAAAGTAATGTCGACTTGAGGAGATTTTTTTTAACACACCCATGATCTTCCTTATTGCTGCCATGAAGAGAGAGCTCCTTACACCATTTTCTTTGAATCAAAGAAAGAAAACATATGGACATCTCTCGAAGAAGAAGAAGAACAGCCGATCACTCAACAACAGAATTCACCAATTCTTGTCTTTCAAAAGTCCAAATAATAAAAAAAAATAACCCATAATATAAGAGAGATAAAATTGCCGCAAAAGCACCACCGACGTGACGAACGTTGATGTTCTTCGAAAGTTTGGTATGAAGAAACAATTTGTCCTTGTTTGGATTATATGAGGACGTGTATTTACTTGAACAGGCTCTGATGAACTTTGCTTAGCAGGTGCACAACAGAGCGCGTTCCTACGTGCCATGATATTGTGCGCTCAATAACTACCAAGATCTGAACTGAGTCTGTGTTTTAATGTCAATTTTCTAATTTGCACTATCTTTGAATTAAAGTGTTTTCTTGATTATTAAAAATAATAATGCACAACAATACTTCTCCGTAGATTCATTTTCATCCCGACCTGTCATTTCACGATTCCATTGAATCTAATTACATGAACATTCATGACTGATTGTGAATGTTAGACCATTTTAGAATTTTCTGTATTGATCGAGAAAAAACAACGTTTTACCATTCTTGATATTTTGAATTTCCTTAACAAGAATGAGCATTCATGAAGCCTCAGCTTTTGAGCTGTAATTTCAATGGTGGCGCAACATTTTCAATAACAAAAAACAACAACAACAACTGTAATTGAATTGCATGATAGAACCTTTCAGGTACACGAGAAGACCTACATACAGTCTCCATTCATTCCAAAGTAATGACTCCCACTACAATTACAAACAAAGTGTTACACGTTGATACAACACTCAGTCACCTCAACACTACAACCACTGTGGTCAAAGCAACCAATCTCCATCAAACGACTCAAGTGACTTGTCATCCTATAACCATGAGCCTACGAGGTTATTACACGTTCATTCTTTCCGTGTTTTACACTCTTTGTCAGGTCGTATTCCATACCCTGACTGAAGAAGTCTTTTCAATGTTTAATACAGGAGAATTGAATGCCATGATTTTGGATGAAGGAGTGGAATGGTCCAACTTGATTCCAAACACTCCTAGCTATGAGAAATTGGGAGCGATAGCAGAGTCAAAAACAGAGACCAAAAGTCCAAGAAAACGACAACTCTTAGACTTTTCCCAACACAAATACTATGAATTCAAATATCCTGATGGGATATAACTGACGCACACGCCTGCTGTGGTTTTGATATCTATTGGCTCCTCATAAGTCTGTCTGAAACCTTGTTTTGATCGAACTTTAAAACATGGTGATAATGTTTTTCAAATAAGTTTAACTCTATGTGTGTTAATGATGAAAATACAATAAATCTGACAAGTGCTGACGTATAATTCCTACTCCATGCACTGTCAGCTTGTTTCTTGTCAAGTCCAAAACCTGTAAGTGCTTTAAAACCTCACTTGTCCCTAAGCGTGTTGCACCATCATCGCTAATCATGTTTGAACTTAGGTCAAGATCAATAATGTTTCTCACATGTTCACTATGTGAAAGATATTTTGCTCCTTGATCTCCAACGTTATTACACTGCAGATGAAGTTCTTTCAATTTTTTCATGCATTCACTTGTTGCAATAAATTTAACGCCTTCATCTCCAATATCATTACCATTCATGCATAAATATGTCAAATTCTTCAAGTACACACTTGTGGAAATATATTTTGCTCCCTCAGCACCTAATGTGTTGTTGGATATGTCTAATTGATTCAAGTTCTGTAATTTTTCACAATTCGAAATACATTTTGCTCCTTCAATCCCCAAGGAAGTAAATCCAACCTTTAAAACCTCTAAATTTTGACACACGTGTTGACTGGAGCAGAGTGCTCGAACTCCTTCACATCGGATTGGATTAACACCTAAATTTAAAAATGTTAAATTTTTTAAATGTTCACTTGTAGCTATCAATTTGGCTCCTTTCACACCGACGCAATTATAATACAAGTCTAAATAAGTTAAATTTCTCATAGTAGATGCTATATGTCCAGCACCTCGAGAGCCAATATTGTTGCGCCATAAAGTAAGAAATTTCAAATTATTTTTAAAGCCACAATTCGAAAGATATTTCAAGTCTTGATCGTTAATTATACATGAACTTAAATCTAATTTTGTAAGATTCAACATGTTATTAAGATAATGAACGTCAAATCGAATGCTTTGTTTCTTTCTTTTTGAAAAATCCAACGATAAAGGAATGGCACATGCTTGTGAGTACCATTGCTTGCAAACTCTAACACATGTCGACCAAATGAATGTTGAACCCAGAAATTGCATGACATGAAAAACGATATCATCGGGAAATGTGAGGTGATCATCATAATGTTGATCGTCGAGATTACTCTCTTCCAAACGAATAAATCCTTTCTGTTTTTTGATGGGAGGATGTTGTGAGCGAGGAGATGAGCTCTCCATCAGGTCTTCTTGTTGTTGTTCATCATGATGAATATTCTCATCCATGGATTTTGTTTGCTGATTCATTATGTATATTTCATGACAATTACCATCATTACTTTCAGTCCATTCATCATCCCGATATGAAACTTTGACTCGTTTCTTGAATTTCGTTGGCATCCTTGATGCTGCGAAGCCCTTCAGTATGCAGCAATCCCAATCAAAAAGCGTTTGAATTTTTTGAATGAAAAAAATATGCTCCCTCTAGGATCATCTTCGCCCTCCTCATCCACTTCGGAAGAACCAGCAGCAACAGGTTTGAAGAAACTATTCAACAAGATTTGGTCATTTGGATCAACAATTTCTGGAATGGGACTTACGACGGGAACGGCTCTTGTTATCTTGTACTTACCAATCATGATGACGCAAGACAATGAAAAGCTTGCCATTTACCGATTGATGGCTAATGCCTTCGGAATTAAGTTAGACTTAAATCCACAACAACAAGCAAATGCGAATGCCAATATTCAAGGATTGGACAAGTTTTAAACATGTGTTGCAATTAATTCATTCTGAGGTTTCAAAGAAAGGTACCTTCACCACTATGAAAAAGCCATCACAAAGAAACTCCAGAATAAGCTAACAAGTTTTCTTCTCATAACAATTCAAAAACCAAATAACAGATAAATACTATTTTATTTTCGAGAATTAGCGTCAAATCTTTTTTTCACATGATTATTGTTTGGTCTTCAAACAAGTCATCAAAAATCTCATGTTCTTGGCATTCTTGAGCTGGACGAAATAATCCTTTTGCAATTGCTTGAAGGTGTGATCTGCGTTGGTATATTCGGATTTCAACATTTGTTCTGCCCACAGCAAGAGATTGTTGACCAGCTGCTCATCAGTTGTTTCTTGTGCAAGAACAAACAGTGCATTAACGCTCTGAGCAATCATTCTCTTCTTATCCAAATGTGCTGCTCCCTTATCTTCTCCTCCATACAACTTGTCGAAGCACTGTGTTAAGGCATCGATGAGTGCTTGATGTTTACCAGTGACATTACGTTCAATGTCAATTCCAGCATATTTCTCCAAGTTTTCTTTCAAAATTGCTTGTTGGTCAACCACAGGTTGTGCAGTTGGGACAGATGATACAGGCTGGTGATGATGTAAGCTCGTCATATCTTGCATGGGTGGAATGTTGGTAACAGGCTGCCATGAGGAACCACTCGATGGAAGAGAAGGGTTTGATGGTGGTACTGGATTAAAGGAGGCAGACGAGCCAATATTAGTAGAGCCACCAGTCACCATAGGTTGTGGTACGAATGTAGCAACCCCTCCCAAATTACTGGACATCATGTGTTGCGGAGGGTTAAAACCTGCTGTTGTTGTAGGTCCCATGTGAGTATGGGTAGTACCAAAAGGTTGAGGAGTAAAAGTAGCCACGCCGCCCAAGTTACCGCCACTGCCACCAATTGTCGTTGGATTGAAAGTGTTTGCAGTAGTGGTTGAGGTGTGAGAAACTACAGGTTGTGGGGTAATGGTTGGGGGCAAAACACTAGTTGCATTCTTTCCAAGCATTGGTTGAGGAAGCAATTTAACCTCTGATCTTTTGTAACCTCTATTTGAAGGAGACTCAGAACGAGTAGAATGTGTTGAAGGGCTTGTGTGAGCTGTAATAGTTGCACTTGTTGGAGCAGTACTAGGTTGACTGGAGGTAACTGGAGAGGCTCCACTAGTAGTGGTTGTTGATTTGGCAGGTTTTGACAAAGGCTGCAATTTCTTGGAAGCCCAAGAAGCAGGGAGGGGAGGAGCTCTCAGATTTGGTGGAACTCTGGCAATCGAATGATAGAGACGGTATCTCAACTCCTGAATGTCAACATTGCTAAACTCCTTTGGAATTACCAATTCTGAATTTTGCGCTGAGACTTGATCAAGAGCAATATTCAAATATCTAAGAGCAAGTGGAAGCGTCTTTTGAATGTCCACCAAACTTCCTAATTCAACACATTTCATCGCAAAAGTGATGTAAAGCTGATTCAAAACATGGCCGTTTTGCAACAACTGGTTCAAAATTGATTCTATATAAGTAATGGTTGTTGTCTTTTTGGATATGGCAGCACTAGTGACATGATGTAAATGTAAAAGCTCAATCTTGGAGATTAGGTCAATAAGTTCAAGAGCAAAGGATGGGCTTGAAGGAGGAGTATTCTCCACGTTCTTTTCAAATTCGGCAATCCATCTTGTAAAGATTTGTTCGATTTGTCCAGATAAGAAGGAACTGACAAGAGCCCCAAGCATGTCTTCTTCAGTTTGTTCATTCTGATGGATAAGACGTTGCTCTTCCTTTTCAATTAAGGATTTCAAAATTCCATCAATCAAAGACTTGTTCTTTGGCATATCGGAACAAAGAATTGCAAGCTTTTCTTTCCAATTCTCGAGAGAGCCATCTCCAATAATAGCATCGTAATTTTTGAAGATCAAATTCTTAACATTTGCGATGCAAGAACCTTCTTTGCTATTCAAGTATTGATCTAGAGCCAAATTCCACATGTCGTTATCACCACTAACTTTCGCCAATAACAGAGCATCTGCAAATCTGTTTCCATCTAAACAGCACCTGATAGCTCCTTGAATATTTCCAACAATAATGTTATCCTTAATGAGAGATGAAAGTTCCTCACTATCATTTCTATTGACTTCAACTGTATGAACCTCAATATTTTGAGATTTTTGATTAATCTCTTCGCGGTTATAGCCTAGTAATACTTGAATCTTGCTGCCTTTCTCTTCCTCTGAGGTGAACAAAATCTCTAACAACCTCCATTCAATCAATTGCTTCCTTGTTGCAGTACCTTGTTTTTCCTTACAAAATTGTACAGAAATTTCTCTCTTTTCTTGAGGAGATACCTGAGATAGAGCTACTTTCTCTAACTCTATAACTTGCTTATTGAAATTTACAAGTTTTTCAGTTTCAGATTCATCAAAAGTAGCAGAGGCAACTGCAGATGCTCCACTATAAATTGCAATTGGATTTGGGCTCATGTATTGTTGAACACTTTGGTTCTTCTCCAAGCTCTTTTCTTCACTTTCTTGTTTGACAGTATTGCTGAATGAGATTAATCTGTTTCCGAAACACCAGGATACACCAGCTGGACGTTTAAGCCATTTTGGTGCAGTTTTCAAAACTGAAGGAGCAGGTTGAGTGATATTTTGATTTGATTTTTTGACGGTTTCAGTCAACTCGTCAGATTCACCCGTGGCAACACTGCTGGCATCTTGAACAGCATAAATTTGAATCTTCTTATCGAATGAACATGTTGAAACGAGTGATGATCTATAGGACCACTGAGCATCAAATATCCAATTTTGATATTCATCTTGAGGCACTGTATTTGTTGCTCTTCCTCCTCTTGTATTACTTGCTGATACTTGAGAGAATCCTGAAGACAATTCACCAAGCAAGTCGCCTGTATTTGGATTCCAAATGAGAGTTCTATTGTCTTTTCCTGTACTGACCAAAAGATTGCTGTCATCAGGACACCAACTAACACTAAGCACACCTCTTTGATGTCCTTGTTGACCAGCTCCGAGCTCTCTGATTGGAGCATAGGCCTTTCTCAAATCCCAAACCTCAATGACTGGTCTCTCATCATCTTCACACGCAACCAATAATTGAGTATGAATATCCGGATTCCAAGCCACAGAGCTGTATCGAGACTTTGGATGAGCAGTGTTACTGAAAGGAACCAGCACTCGTTTTTGTTTCAAATCCCACACAACCGATGTACCTTGATGTGAGGTTGTTGCTAAAATGTATTCAAACTTGCGATTCCATTGCAAGTGAGAAATGGTTTGGTTTTGATGAGGGTTTTTACATCCCAATACAACTGCTTGTGGTTGATTTGGTTGTTTCAAATTCCAAATATAAAGTTGACCATCATCACCAGCACTGGCTAGCAGATTAACTTGCTTTGGATTGAATTCTAAGCCTCTGACGCTACTTTGGTGCTTATCCATGCTTGCAATCAGCGCATCATCGGATGGTAATATTTTCTTCCTCTTTGAGAATGATTCTATCATCTTGTTAGCATCAAAGAGGCTGATGACTCCATCGACCTGAGCACCAGCAATAATACCGAGAGAATCACCAGTTGATCCAGGTGTTCCCCAGGTTAAACGATGAAAACGATCCGGTGCTTCGATTTGGGCCAACAGCTTGGGTTGTTTTCGGGCAGCCTCCAATCTTCTCTTTTCTTCTTCTTCCGTTGTTGCTAAAACGTTTTGATGATGAGTTGATGCGAGGGTGTTGAAGAAATCATCTGAAGCAGAACTGCTAGAGAAAAAGTCATCAGAATGTTGAGTTTGGAAAATATCATCGTCGTGTGTTGTTGTTGTTTTTGCTTCCTCTTGTGTCTGTTCTTGTTCTACAGTGTTCTCTTCTTGATCTTGTTGTTCCTCACCCGAAGATAAGCTACTGATTTGTTTTTCAGTAATACTGGGTAACATGCTGTAAATTTCCAAGACAGGGCCACTTCCCGAAGTACTGCTGGAACCACCTGCCGTTGTATCATTCCTCCAATCAAGTGATCCAGCAACAGAACCCACAGCCAATAAATCTGTGTGCGAGCTTATTGGACACCAAGCAAGAACACCGGCCTTGTTGATTGATGTGAGTCTCATTTTTTTGTTTTATTAAAACAACATCATGACGTGTCTTTTACCAGAAAACCCAATATGTTATTGAGGAAAGATCTCTAAGACCCTAACTTTGCATCTTTATTATGAAGATTTGTATTCGTCATTGTTTCATCATTATCCACGAGAGAATCAAAGTCTGAGTCGTTACTTGAACAAGAAACTGGTGAAACTATTGGCATTTCTTTGGAAATAATATCATTCGAATCCACTTTGGTCGAATATGAAAGATCTTGCTCCTCCTTTAACCACTCTTCAGATAAGGAGTCCAGTGAAGGGAAATCTTCATGGTCCAAAGGGACATCTCCTCGGGATGCCAGATCTGCAGCTAATGAGGCAAGGCGTCTATTGATGTGTCGGTATTTCCGAAGATGAAGTTGTACAGGTTTTCTTGGACATTTACAAGGGCAGGTGCTGGGGTCTTTGCTTTTACACATGTTGTTGGAAGTTATTACTTGTTATGTGGATGTTTTTTGTTGTTGGAAATAAGGGAACGGGACGTTTGGATTTGTATGATCGATCGTCAATTTGAGAATCCTCTCCTAATGTGATTCTTTTGGTGATTCTTAAATATTTTCTTGGTCTGCAAAGATGGGAAGAGATAAGGGAAGACACTGGTCTTCTTTGCAAAAAAAAGGACCATGGTCCTTGTTAAGGAGTCGAAAATGGTTGTTTATTGTTCCTTTTGGGATCCTTAATCCTTTTCTCAACAAGGACCAAAGAAGAGAGTCTTCCCTTATCTCTTCCCATCTTTGCAGTCAGTTCTATGATTCTTTCATTCTCCTGTGTAGAACACATGAGTGCAAGAGAAAAACAACGTATTACTATCCATACTCACCTTGTCCAGCTGGAATGGCCCGTGGTGATCATCAATGTCATGGATTTAATCGATCCATTTGCAATCTAAATTTCCCTTGCTCGCACAAAAAAATGGGAAATTCAAACAAGACATCCCCAAGTCGTCTCGATAAGAAAACGGAGGTCATACATCGGCTCGACTCTTCGAACGAATGGACACTCACTGATCAGTTGAGTGGCGTGTTCTGTGGATATGAGTATTCGCTAGACTATTATGTCGGATTTGAGAAGAGTAAGAAAGCAAGATACTCAAATTCCATCATGAGAAGCAGCAAAAACCAGCTTCTACTTCCACAGCAGGCAAGCAAAATTATTTTGCAAATTCAACCTTATTCATGTCGACTTTCCGATGCACCATCAACCACACCCAACGATTGTGATTCTTCTTCTAGCCGACAGAATTCTGATCATGATAAATATAATGCAGCAACAACCTATGCATTCTATGTTGGGAAAGATGAAGTTCTATGCACTGTAACGAAAAACAACAACACCAATATTTGTTCTACCCTAGCAGCACAATCAGCAACTCCACTCTCTAATTCGTGTCACTGCCATGTTGATGCTCTTGTATATAGTAAACTCATTGAGCACGTAAGCTGCAATATATTCCTCCTCCGACTCTCACCAACCACCTCTTCTACTTGGGGGAACAACCCTCAAAAATCTCTAAAGAAAATTCAATTATGTAAATATTCATGCACTCACGAAGACACCACTGGTAAAGGGGAAGAGACGGTAATTGCAACGTTTGAAAGAGAAGACTCACCGAGTATGATTGGAGCGAGTTCTTTCATTTGTATATACAAGCAACGAAGGAGTGGAGAGTCTGAGGTATTGTGTGAAGATTTAAAGTCTGCTTTTATGAATTTTGTGTTGAGATATACCGAGGAAATATTTAAGCATGAATATTTGCATCAAAACACTACACATGTTTCAGAGCGATGATTGTCGCTCAACTATGTAAGTATCGATTGCATTGAATAAACGCGCTGCAACCTCATGAACTTACAAGCCTAGTATTTACAATTTACGAGTTGGAAAGCCTCGAAAAATGCCTCAACAACCAAGTTCAAAGAAGCAAAAGGTTCAAGCGAAAGGTATGTATTTGAAATAAGAATTTGATAGAAGCTTCTTGGTTGGTTGAAATGTAATGTATGGTGCAGGTGCTAGATATTCTGACTCAAATCACAATGGTGTTGGCCTTCCTAAACTTTTTCGCCCAAAACGATTGTTTTCATTTGCAGAGTTGATTATTCTGTTTAGGAGCTGTTTTAAAGAAACAGAAGAGGAAAGAACTGGACAATATTCAATGATCAATAAGAACCTTCTCTCAATGGACGACGATATGCCCCTCACAGACGTTTCGTTCAGCATTGATAATTGTTTTGAAACATTACTCAAAACCGTCGAGCAAACCTTTGAACCTCACCGAAAATCAACCTTAAACAGCAAGAATCAAGAACTTTCTCCGAAAGACCACTTTCCATTTGTTGAAAACAAGTATTTTGTTTCATTCTATTCAAGATCAGAGAAAACTAATGTACATGAGCTGAGTTGCCTACTGAAAGTCTTAGAGTTTAATTGTTTTAGTATTCTCACCGCGATCAATTCAAACCACGATGACGGAGTAGGTTTCATGGTAGCAGACCAGGCACTCGCAGCCAAAGTATTCATACGCCACATGTTGTGCCTCTCCCTTGCTTTGGAGAAATATGACATGAACACCAAACAAGAGGCCATTACCGAAACATGGCAAAGCTCTGTGTGTAGCTGCTTGGATCTCTTGAATGATCTGGTCGAAAGAAAACTAGTGAGACACTCTTCCTGTTTGGAAGTACTACGATTTGTAATTCCCAGAACACTCAAGTTCTTTTCTTCATTCGGCAAGAAGCAAACACGAATCATTTGGAATTGTGCAGAATCACTGCTGGTGCAGATCTTGGTGCTGAGTTCTAACTACGACGAGCATGATGAGGACTTTGAAGAACTTTCTGAAAATCAAAACCATCAACCTGCCATTTACTCGACATGCATGTTAGTATTCAACATGGTTAAAGACAATTTAATAGAGCCACAAAATGCATGCAACTGGGTATTAAGGGCGCATGAAAATGATCCAGAGCTCTTGTTTCATATTTTAACATACCTGTTGTCCTATTGTAAAGAACGATTAGAAGGGAAGTCAGAAAAGAAAACCAAAAAATCGGACGTGACTTCCGTGGTAGAAGTTATAAGTTTAGTTGCAAAGAGTCATCCCCATATTATGAATTTGTTTGTCAGCGACATGGATTTCCTAATTTCCCCTAATGGAACATTAAGAAAGCTTCTTCTGGAAGTGCTAGCATCATGTTCCTACAAGGGAAACGATCTAGTTAACCTCACATGTCTGAACTTTATTATCAGCCGAACTCAGGATAAGGACGGATTTGTACGAGCAAAAGCGTTTCAGATATTGTCAGAAATAGGAGGTAACGTATCTTGGGTTGGAAGCAACCAGCAACTATTTTCTTTCGTCTTGGTAAGTGTGTTATGAGAAGTATGCTAAATTGAACCATATTCTATAGGATGCTGCCTGCAATCATGTTTTTGACAAAACAAAAATCGTGAGGATTGCTGCAATAGATTGTTTGACTTCCTTTGTGACCAACAATCCATTTTCGAGAAAATTTCCCCAGTCAACAATCCTTGAAGGGGAGAAAACGGATCATGAGGAATCTGATGAGAAACCCCAAACTCTTGTTGAGCATAGTGGCTGCAAGAATTCTCATTTGAACGAACTGTTTGTGCCCAAAATGGTGTTTGAATTGATACCAAAACTCGTAGAGTCTCTTCGGTTTGTGCTGGGATCAGGTCCTCTTTTCTGTAAGGAGTCGGTTGTTTCAATATTCAAGTTGTTGAATGTTCTTAAACGGTATAACATTTACTGCAACTGGAGCATGCTTATTGAACTTGTTCATCCAGGTATTTCGGATTTTGCTTTAAACGAGATCGCCAATTTTTTTGCATCTGACTTCCTTAAGGATCCAACTTGGACATTTTTAACTGAGAATTTAACGTATGTTTTCCCATCATAATTTTATTATTAACTTTTTATCTTTGTCCTAAACATAGAGAGAAGTATCAGTCCAGAACTGTTTGGGCATGGGGCCAGCTTCTGAAAACCCTAAAAGACAAAAACAAACAAATACAATTTGATGCTGTAATTGAAAAATGCAACCAAAATAACACGGACGCAAAATCACTGATGAAGATGCTTGTTTTATGCAACGTTGATATACGTTTTTGCAAGTTATTTAATATTTCAAATATTTTGTCTTTCCTAGAATCTTCTTTTGATGGAGAAATAGGTCATGACCCAAAAATTGCAATGTGCATAAAGGTAAGTTGTGAGGAAAATGGAAGAATGTTTCTTTCTCAATGAGACAGCTTGTCGAGGTTCTTATAAGCACAGATTCATCCTTATTGAAATGGGCAGAAGAGTTTGTAGAAAAGTTCATTATCGACCTATTGCTCACATATCCCGATGAAATGGTCTCACTCATTTTCTCCCTTCCCAACGGGAGAAGAACAGCGTATTATGGTGTTGGAAAGGTGGAAAGTGCACTTTGGCAAGCATGGTCTTCTGACAATGCTGTGTCTAGTCATAGAATGGTAAGTTTCACTTCTTTTTTTAAAGGATGAGTTTCGAAACTCATCCTTATTAGATCTCATTTTGCAAGATCGTGGGAGATGTTTGTTATCGTAGTTGTCAAGAAATCAAAACATGTGCAATCAAAAAATTCAATGAGAATGCTGACAGTATGGATTTGGATGATGACGAGATAGCAGAATCCGAAACCGACAACTGCTTGAAGGAAACTCAAAAAGAACAAACGAAAAACATGCTTATTCAAAAAGCTATTGACGAGACCATGATCAATGGGTTTTTGTCTCGATATGTACTTCTTTTAAGGAACATCTTGAATTCCAAAACATCCAAATATGTGAAAAGTTTTGCAGTTCTCGCACTAGGAAAAGTTTTCCTTGTATGCCGATCATTGGCCTCCGAAATTTATGCCGATGTTATTGGGTGCCTTAAAAGCATTTACACAGCAACAGATCATCATTTGATTTGCAGTTGCTTGGTTGTACTTGCAGACTCCTTCACTGTACTTCCTACAGAGGCTGAAGACAACAACGACCTCTTGTTGAAATACGTCAAGCATGACAATAAGATAGTTGCTGATACTGCTAAAAGATTAGTACAAGATCTATTCACTAGAAAAAAGTGCAAAGCAAGTTTACAAAGCCAAACATGGAATTTGAAAGAGTAATGGCAAGAATTAAATCAATAAAGAGAAGAGGGATTGACACTCAACCCAAGACGTTTTGATGAAACTGAACATGATCATTCAAAACACAAAGATTTTGTTTTTCCAAACATATTTCTTGAATGAAGAATTCCGAATCAAAAGGTGCAAAACAAAAAAAATGAAACCACACGAAGAAAAAGAAGACACCGATTTCATTCCGATGGCCAACACGATCATTTTGGAATATTTACTCGAATATTGCGGATCAGTTTCTGAAGTACTTTTAAAAGAAATTAAAACGAATTATGTTGGTCAAGATGTTTTTATTCGTGTCCGACTCTTGGCTTTACAATTTAAAGAATTACCCGATATATTAAACAACGATGAATCGAAATTTGATCAACGCTTGAACACATTAATGAAATCTTTGAGAGATCTCCTTTCTGAGATTAATGATCAAGATTTTCGAAACAAGTTCTTTGTGTTGGCTAGTTTTGATAAAAAGCCTTTTCAATCCAAATTAGACAAATGGGAAAAGAAGCTCAAATCATCCCTTAACTCAACACAAAAGCAAGCAGCACTGGAAGGTTTGATTAATAATGTTGATAAGCTCTGCTCATGTCTTCCTCAACCAGTACGAATGATTGAATTACTGAAAAGTGGTAGTTCCACCATGACGCAGCAACTGCGTTCTCAATTTCGAAAAGATTCTTCTACAGTATCATCTAGCAAAGTATCTACTATTCAACAAACATCAAATGACAACTCTACAGCCGACACTACACGACAGTCCGTGACAACACCCAAGAAAAAACTCAAGCAAACTGTTTTGACTCCCTTCACTCCCCAACAACAAGTAGAAGCCACCATAGAGAAGGTCACTATTTCGCAACATTCAAAGAGCCAAATTTCATCTGCGGGTATGGAAAACGAAGAGATGGATACAGCATGTGGAATGAGTGGTTTTGAAAGGTCTAATTCGACGGATTACAACGAATTTATCCTTAATAGAACCAAAAAAAAGCAAGACACAAAATATACCACCTTGGTGAAAGTGTTAGAAGAGGAGCTTGAGAATAACGAAATGCTTGATGAAGAATGTTCAACTGAAGGCGACCCTGAGTCTGATGACGCAGTAATTGTTGAATCTAGTGAAGAAGAGGCGAAAAAGCGGCCAAGGAGGACCAGAAAACCTAAGAAAGAAAAACTAAATCCATCAATAGCTAGGTCAATAATTCGAGAGTCCGCTTCAACACCAAAAAAACCAAATAGATTTTGGACAGAGTTAGAGGTGAAAGCGTTAGAATCTGGTTATAAGGAGTTTGGAAATGATTGGGAGAGAATCCTCGTTGAATATAGAGAAATTTTTCATGAATCAAGAAATCCTTCGGCTTTAAAAGAACGCTTTATTCGAGCCTTAGCTCCCAAATTTAAAGAGAAGTATGGCCATGTAGAATTGTAACAATGAAACAGAAATTAATATTAATTTTCGTTTTGTCAGTCTGGAACTTGTTGGGATTTGTGTTATTTATTGCTTGCATGTTTGTAAAAGTTTTTAGCAAAGGTGTGGTTGAATGAGTTGGTTATGTCCATGCTTTGGTCAATAATAATGTGTAATAATTCTATTACTACTATATCGTTGTTCATGGACATCAAAGAGAGTGGTGTGTGGATCGGTTCACCTGGTGATACGTGTTGGTGACACACTGTTTTCACAGAGTGAGTGCTGTTCATTGACTCGTTGTTATTATTATTTGCATTGTTGGAGTTACTGCTGGAATCGTGCATGCTGGCATCTTCTGTCTCAGCACTTGCGAGTATGTCTTTGTGAGTAGGAAAAATAGCTGCAGAGTGTCTGTTGGTGTTAGGTGTGATTAGTGGACTGAAAGGGCCCGTCAACACTGTTGAACTAGTTACGATAGAATATGATGGTGAAGCATCATCCTCTTCTCGATAATTTTGTAAAATATGGTCTGTAAGGAGAATGTCATCCACTCGTTCAACTTCACTCTCGTCATCGCTATCGTCATCATCGCTTGTAACATCATTATAAAAGTTCTTGTTGTTGGAAAAAGTTGTTGGGGTTGCATCTGTCACATCTATCGAGGGCAGTCGATTTTGTGACTCTGCAATTGCTTTAGAAAACTTTTGTGACATTCTTTGATATTCGGAAATAACTTCAGTGGTTGAATTATGAAGTTCTAGCAGTGTAGAAGCTTTGCTAAATGAAAAGTACTCCTTATTGAAATTGTTATATATCGTCGAGAGTCTATCAAGAAATATTTTGTCAACTCGGTGTTGTTCTAAAAGGACCGACTTGAGAGAAAAGCTATCCTCTTGCGAGTTATCACCCCTATCATTTCCCGAATCATCATCGGCCAGAGTATTTTTTGTCCATTTATCTAATTCTTGTAGCTCGTTCGCCAGCTTACTTTTGATGTTTTCAAATTCTTTGAGAATATAATTTTGAAGGACGTTAAGTGCCTGAGTTTCATAATTGTTAGCTTCTGTCAATAGTGGTTCACCAGTACTTGACGCTGAGTCATGTATATTTTCCTTCTCTTCATGAAAAGCGTTCTTCTTCTCTAGCATCATTCGTTCTTTCCTCAAATCCATGATCATTTTCTGAAATTCCTTGTCACTCATCTCCGTACCGTGACGATGACTGGGAGAAATATTCATTAATGCATTGTTCTGTTGATTGATGTTGTCGTTGAATAGTTTTACAGTTACACTCTCTTCTTGCATGGCTGATGATGTATTTTAGATGAATTATTTATAGCAGAGATGTACAATTTTTCACTGATGTAATAAATTAATAAATGGTTTGGTTGTAATGTTACAATTTGAATGTGAAGAATTCTTCTATATGTACACAATAGAATATACAGATCGAATTAATTGATGAATGTGTGCTTTTTTAACTACACTATTAGAGCCGATGACAAGAATTCAGCTTATTGTTTGAAACCACAAGCACGCTTCCGATCGACACGGAATATCGCCAATGAATTCCAATAATAAAAACACAGACAAGAATAATTAAAGAACAACAACAACAATCCGACAAGTCTCGAGTTTTTTGAAGAACAAAACAAACGGCAACGTCGGTTGTAATGGACTTATTTTTTTTCGAAGATTCCCTTTTCGGGCATGCTTGCCTTTATGAATTCCTTTGACAAAGCTGAATATTTATTAATAACAACAATTGAACAACAATAACGACAGGAATTCATCAACGACCATTTCAAGTGAGGACAAGAGAAAATACATGGAGAGAAGGAAAATATTGTTCTTGAAAAGGCCATTCTTACTTTTTGAAAGATTAGAATGGAAATATGATCGAAAATGAAATATTGTTTGGATTTGAAATTATTAGTTAGGTTTGTTAACGATCATCTCCTTCGAAAAGTATTTCACATAATTGCCTTAGAGTTAAGGTTATTAAAGATAACCGTGAGGAGAGAACCATGCAATAAATTGGAACTGATCCTTTCATCAATTAATTAACCGAGTGTCCAAAATCGTTCTCCTCTTTTAAAGAAGAACATGATCTAGCTCTCATAAAAGTTATTGATGAAACTATTTGCAAGGTTCCCCACAAACTGGCAGATCTGACAACCAAATACGATGTTTAAGTTCAAAACTCTGAAAGGAACAACAGTGTTGACGTCAGGAATAGAAGACTACTATATCCAGAGTGAGGTTGGTATCGAATGAAGTACGTTAAATGTTGTTGCTTCAGCAAACAAAAATATTGAACACTATTATGCCATCTGCGCAGTATGCAGGAAATTTGAGAAATCGATCACTCGTAAACGCACTTAAAGCTCGCACAGATCTTTCTTTGACTTGTTTATGTGGATACAAGTCAGATCGCAGGGATCGTATTGTGACTCATCTTATCTCACACATGAGTGAGTTAACCAAAACAAGAATTCTAAATGGGTCCGTCATAACCTTCTTCAACACTCCTCTCGAGAAATTAATTCAAGGACAGTTTCTACTCAAGATGTGTTATTACCAATCGAAGAGCAATCTCGACGAATGGACATTCAAGGCATAAATGTGGTTGCAGCTACACTTCGCAAAAAAATAATCGCACCGAATACCACTCCCACTACATTTTGAATTTATTTCGAGCACTCAAGGAAACTCACATACCAATCCGAAAACTCGAAATTTGTAATAATGCTTTCCAACACGTATTCTTTGGAAAAAAGATATTAGATGTGCCATCGGATAGCTGTCTTTCAAGACACATGAAAGCCATTTCCCGAGCCATAGATGAAATTATTAATGATAAATTACGACATGCTCCAGGGAAAATTACTCGTATGATTGATGAAAGTGATGGTTTTGTGTCTATATTTTATAACATGATTGAACATTTGAATGAAGAGGAATTGGAAATAATTTCAGAACAATACACCATGTTGCTCAGAAAACAGCTACGTAGTCAAAAAGACACTCGTAAAATGTATCAACTTGAGCGTCAATTGAAACTCAAGTACAAAAGGACAACCATTTGCTCAAAAATTCAACCCATGTTAAATCAAACAGCACAGACCTTATTTGAAACTGTGAAACAAGCTGAGAGTGGATGGAATGGCCGTCGTGTTGACTTTATGATGTCCGATAATGGGGCGAATGTGATTGCAGTTGCCAAGCCAACCATGCTCAACGTAACACTGATTACTTGTTGTGGCCATAATTTGAATTTGGTATACAAACACTTTATTACATGCTATAAGGACTTTGAAAGACATGTTGGAAAGGTGGTTCGAAAGCTACGATCGGATTGGAAATCGTTACGCTGGTTGGTGACTATTTTGAAATTCGATTTTCAATTTGTTGAAAATTATTTTAATTCACAAGATGGTACTATTATTATTGATGATGACCTTAATAATTTTAATGATGTAATGAAGCCTCCCTTACCAGTGTCCACTCGATGGCAAAGCGTGTCACGTGCTGCTGTATTTATTTTAGATCATTTAGAACCAATTTATAGAGCAGCGATTGAATGGGGTATTGACAAACGAGATGAGAACATTCAAGCAACTTGGTCCGATGTGTTGGATATACTTGAGAATGAGGATTTTTTAGAAGACCTACAAGTCAACAAAATATTTTATGAACAATTTTTAGAGCCATCTTTTAAAGAATTGAGAACTAATAATACTATGGAGTTTTTATTGGAATATATCAACTCTTGGAAAATACGTCTTGAACAATTACAAGCACCAGACAACGTCGACCATACTCTATTCAATAGAGCTCGAGGGGAGGGTGTGAAAGAATTGGAAAAGATTATGGGTGATTATGAAGATTATTCCTTTACCTATGCTAGCGCTTTATTGCATTCACAATTAAGTAGGATGGCTGCCAGAAAATTATTCGAATTTAGCCAAGATGAGAGAAGTAAGTGGGGATTTTCAGATCGATTATTAACATCGATACAAAATGGAACACATACCCTGATCGACTCACCAGATGCACTGAAACGATGGGTTGAAAATTTTGGTTCAATTGAATTGGACAATGAAAAGGTTGAAAGTGGATTTTCATACTTCAACTTGGATACCATTGCCAATCGAAAGGATCGAGAAGCTTATTTGAAAATTATATTGAATGACATTGATTTGTGGTATCATGAACTTAACAACAACAATTCCAGATATTTTTCCATTTACAAGGATACAGTGACAGACATTAATACAGAAGATCGTACTTCCCGGCCAAAGGTTGCAACTTACGCCCAAGCATTGACGAATATTAGATCAGAAATTAAAAGAAGACAGCAAGATGAACAAAGATTTGACAATGAAGAATGCATCAATGCCATTCTCTATTTATTTAGAGCGTACAATGCACTCCATATCGGTGATGCATTTGAAACGGTCAACATTGGTACAAGTTCCAACCGTTGGTTGACCACTCAAAATTTGCAAAATATTTTGGAATTTCTCGTCTCAAAGAATTATTTAGAATATAATGATATAGCACCCAATAGCCCAGGCTTAGCTGGTGTCATCTATGTGTTCACTAACCCAAAAGTAAGGCAAGCGATTGGATTATTTGTAGAGCAACAAGTACTTTCAAATTTCACAGAATTTGCCCCAACGTCTCAGCAACATATTCGTCTTCAATCCATCCAAGCAGGAGTAGCTGTAGGAAATTTATTGCCAGAGGAAGATAACATGTCCACTCATACCAACTTTAGTACACACCAAGATCATAGTATGGATATGTTTGACGATCGATTGATAATACTTTCTCAACCAAGAACGGCTCGAGTAACAACATCAGGAAGAGTGTTAAGTGAAACATCATTTGCTCGTTCCTGTCGATTCATATCATACACTGTGAGGTCAACTGAGACACAACAAAATCATTCACAACAGCAACGTACAACAATTAGAAATTCTTTACAACAACATGCCAACACATATCATCAAAGCCAAGCTAGTAATATTTCAGAATCACCAACAAGTCATAATTCACAACTACAAACTATTGATAACAAATCACAACAACAAACAATCAACAGTAATTCACAACAATATTCAACCATATCATATAATTCACAATTTCAATGTAATGGTGGTCATGACGATGATGGTTGGCCTTTATTTTATTCACAGGGATTTATGCATCAACCACGTGATTCACAAGTGTTTCATTGGGAGCTGTAGAAATTATTCCACAGATTCTTCCCTTGATATTTGTTGTTGTTTATTGTTGTGGGCGCCTTAAATTGTTAAATTTCCTGGTTTAGAAATTTTGGCATATCTGCCAAGTTGTGGTGTAGGTTTAATGCTTCCTATTAATTAATAAACAGTTACTTTATACAGAACACACAAATAGAAAGATCACTACCTAGCCAATGTTATAACCATCCCAAAAGAATGTGGGGAATCCTGACTATTTGCGTTCTTTTAAAAACCTTTTTGTAATTTAGATGATTATGTTCCATTTGTTCGGACGGACCAGTGTCATCCAAATGCATCATTCAGGTAAAATTAATAGTTTCGGATGATACTAATATCTCCTCAATTTATAACTTGCGCCGATTGGGTCGTTGAAATCTCTTCACCATCTAAACAAACGAGCCTTCTTTGGAACAGTCTGTATGGTTGTGACAAGTTGTGTCGTGAGAGGAGGAATGGTTTCCGCAGCCATTATCCAAGCGCGTGGATGACTTGGATGCAATTATTAATAAAGACTCTTTGTTAGGAATACCATCACTGTCGAGGGAATGAACAGAACTATGGATAAATTGTTGTGGTTGGAGTAAATATATATCGGCTACATTAATGTATTTACCTTTTTCGGAAGGTGGAGTAAGTTACCAAAAACGACGGATCCAACCGTTTTGATGGAGTGTGGTGTGGAGGAAGATTGTTGATCAAAAACAAAGAATTCTCAATCTCAACCGACGGTTATCATCATGCTTGTTTCTACTAATAATAACTCACCGACGACGACAAAGAGGCCGAGCCCTAAAGCACTTCTAACGTCATGTATTCACGATTCTAGGACCACTACGAATATCATATTTGTACTCTTCATCACACAAGGTTTGCTTGGTGTGCTTGCCACGTTTTTTCTGCTCTACACGACTGGCAAAGACATTTATGTTGGAACTGAAGCTTTTAATAGGACTTTGACCGCCGATAATTTGCGAGCACATGTGGTCAAGTTGGCCAATGTTCCTTCTGTAGTGAGTGATATGACTCAATATAGGATTTACCATGCAATACCTTCCATGAATTTAACACACATGTTTGTGTGGCAGAAAATGTTGATGCATTTCCGAAACTATTTTGCAAATCCTCAAATTAATTTTCAATTTGCCCGATATGATAATAACTTTATTGGGTTTTACAACAACACCTTGGAGGTGACAGAGGAGAATGTCACCACATTCTATTCAGTGCCACTCTCAAGAGCAGAGATATTAATTTCAGAAGAAGATCTTGTATTCATTAAGAGAGTGCCTATTCTTTACCGTACTCTATCGAGACCTTGGTTAAAAGAATACTTGACCAAGAATACCTCACACCCTTATTGGTCAGAGGTCTTTGAGAATGTATATGGTGATTATGCTATCAATTTTGTTTTGCCCATTGTTTTAAATGATAGTGCAGCTGGAAGAACGAAGAAGGACTTCTTTTATGCTTCTCTTCACAACCAACCTTCTTTGCATGTCGATCACTTATATGGGCTTGTGGGAGTTCAATTTACAATGAGTTATCTGACATCATTTCTACGAAACGTTTCGAGTGGAGGACCAGAACAGTCATTCATTATGAATACGAAGGGTCAGATTCTTGCCCATAGTACTCGACAGTATGCCAACGAGAATGACCTTGCTCACTACATCACTCAACAACATTTATTAAGGAAAAATTCCTCAACCTTTCGCTATAACAATCAATTCGATGTTGTTACGGAAGGACTCTATGATCGTTATGGTTTGGATTGGGCTGTTGTTGTTGTTGTCCCGGAACGATCATTTGTGGCACAAATTTTGACAAGTGGTGTCACATCCTTTGTTCTCTTTCATTTGCAACTCGTTGTTCAGCCATTCGTAATGTTCATAATTTTGCAGTACATTTCTCGATCGGTGCATTCAATCGTAAGGAACATGAACAAACTCTTGTCACTCCAAGGACTAGAGTCGTCTTATGAAAGAAAAGAGAGCAAGTCATTCCTAACAGATATTCGTGAAATGAGTCATAGTTTGAACACATTAAGAAAGGGATTGGCCTCGCTTTCGAAATATGTGCCTCATGTGATTCAAAAGAGACTGTCTCGTACTCAGATGATACCGAAAAATTTAACAACCGTGGGAATGAAATCGAGGAATATGAGTGTTATGTTTTGCGGAATTTTAGGCTTTACAGAAATTGCCGAGACAGCAGATCATGTCGTTTTTTTGAATGTTGTCACTGAATATTTTAACGGTGTTTGCAAAATTGTGGAAGTTCATCATGGTGTCGTTGACAAGATTATTGAGGGATCTGTGATGGTTCTTTTTAAGGAAGAGAATCATGAAGTTTGTGCATGTCGGGCTGCACTAGAGATAATAGAAAGTTTAAGCGAATTTGAAAAGAGATGGGAGGAGTGTAATTTCCCAAAACTTCAAGTGAGTATTGGTATCAACAGTGGAGAAATGCTCTGTGGATGTAAGTGGTTGTCTTTTTGTTTCTTGAGAGGTTAAAGTTTCTTTCATTTGAAAATGCATGATTAAGGCATGGGATCCAATAACCGCTTGAGTTTCACAGCCATTGGCGACAACGTGAACATTGCTGCAAGATTACAACATTTAGCCAGAACCTATTCATGTTCAATATTTATTGGTGAAAATACTTTTGAGGCATTGTCAACGAAAAGGAATGAATTTCTATGTTTTTTCGTAGATTTCATCAAGCTCAAGGGAAAGAAACATCCAACCTCGGTGTACTGTTTGAGAAAGTTCGAAAGTGATGCATCAGAGGTGGAACACAAGATTTCCCACGATTTGGACTTGGCCAAACAATACATCCTTCAAGGAGAATATTTTCATGTAAGGCAGGTGTGTGAAAACCTTATCAGGTTGAATAATACCTGTACTATTACATGCCGATTGCAACAGAGATCATTAGAATTAATGGCAAGAGTAGAGCGCGGCAGTATGGCAAGAAGTCGTCTATTTCTAAGCTCCGATTGTATATCATATTCTGCGACTCTGTCTCAATAACAATCAACAACTCTTAGGAAATTTAAGAATCAATTGTTCTTGAGCTTGTTACTGAATTACGACCTTCGTCTTCTTCTTGGACCCTCTCGTTTCATATTGATGAAAGGAACTACGAGCCATCCAATGATTATTGCAAGACAAAATCCTGACATTAATATTCCCATAGCAATGGCAGCCATATAATAACTATTATACAGTCTCGAAAACGGTAACACGCTCACAAACGTTTCATTTCTATCGGTGAAACAGGTGACATTGTGGACTTTGCTTCCATTCATTGTAGCCCCTGCATACAAGTAAAATATTTCTGATTTCACACTAAAAGAGTTGCTGTCTATCAGAGTTCTAAATGTTGTGTTTGGATAAATAATACACTCTCGAGTGTCTGAAGGATTAGCCTCATCATCAAAAAACATTAATGGAAATGTAATTTTAAATTTACAAAAGGTTTCGTTCAAACTTTTCACACAATCCACTCGTGAATCCTCAATAGTACAACAATTTTTATGCTTAAATACGAGAGCATTCGGATCGTTTGCTAATCGAGGATCACTGTTTATCGTCAAATAGAAATAAACAAACAAACTCAATTGTGGAATGATGAGTAACATAAAAAATATTGTAAAAATTGAAAGGAATATAGCTTTGCATTTGATCTCCTTCTTATTTTCCTCATCCTCTTCCGCATTGAAGGGATCTATGGTGCTTGATGTTAATGATGATGGAGTTGGTGGAGCGTTTAATTCAACATCAACAGTAGTAGGTGCATTCCGAGGCATTCCTAACAGTCGGGTTAACAGTGGTGTATGGATATAATTTTGTGTTATAATAATTTCGATTCCAATGTGATGATGAAATGTTGATGATCATCATTTCCCAGCGGGCACTCTTCCTGAACGGTGTCCAACCGATCCAATTTTGGCGATTTTTTTGTTTTTGAAATTTCAGAGCGCGCGATAGGAATCCCTCTTCCATTCCAGTAGGGCGGTATGACAAAAGCGAAAAATCATGTTCATCGTCATCATCGATGATAAGACTTACTTCCATTACCCTTCCTAAGAATCAAAGTTTTTATCCGAAAACAATGCATGGGCTGAGTTATGGGATGAGTTGTTGGAGAATCAAAGTTTTTATTCGAAAACGATGCATGAGTTGTTGGAGAACACTAAACCTCAGCCTTTCTCAGTCTCTTTGAAGAAAAAATGTCTCTTTCAACAAGTTCTTCATCAATTGAGCCCAATGATGACAACAACCACAAATATGGGACGAGCCTTCCACACAGGAATGAAGAAACAAATTTGACCATGATGGTGAGCCATCAGGATGTTCAAGTCAAGCCCATTCAAATTTCCCTTCCATCCTCCTCCTCCTCCTCATCATCATTTGGATGCATTGAAGAACTCGATCTCCGTGATGCCGAAAACAACACAACAAGTAATTCCAGATATACTCTCTGTGATCTACCTAATGAGATCTTTGATGTTATTTTCTTCTTTTTATTACCATCAGCGGAAGAAAGAAAAGAAAGATGTTTCAACGACTTGTTCTCATTCCTCCGAGTGAATAGAACAATAAGATCCAAGCTAAAAAACAATGGATACTTTTGGGGATCCGTGTTTGCTCGTTTTCAAGTCTTTATGAGTTGCTACTTGATGGATTTGCCTCTCTTTTTACCTTGTGATGAGAAATATTCTAATTTTTCGAATGATGAGAAGATTTTAGAAGAAGAGAGCGATTTAGAGAATACCAATGACAACAACAAATTTTATTATTATTCCATTCATGAACTAGCAGCTAAGCAATACATTGATTGGTTGTACACATTCTGTGATCCTTCACTTATTCGAAAGTTGGAGGTACCTTTACCAGTCGATGGAAATCCACAACAAGTTATGAATTTATGGCAAAACCATTTGTCAAATATTACACATTTCTTGACCTTTCCTGTAATGGATTTTCCAAATGACAAATATTTGCAGGCTTGTAATTTTAAATTCCATTCCCTTACTCATCTTGACGTTTTTGATGGCTATGTTGATATTAGCTCAATTATAAGCAACCATCCCGGCCTTAAAAGTGTCACCTTAGATGTTCCTTCCGAAAACACATCACAACGTTTGAAATCATTTGCCGAAATATGTACCAACCAACTTCCTAATTTAAAGAAAGTTCAGCTTTGTGTGCTTCATTTGCAATTGGATGATGATGAAATTTATACTGCCCTCCTATCATTGGCACCAAAGCTAAAACAAATTAATATTTATATTAATTCAGAAGAGGACATTTCTCGTTGGAATACTATTGCACAGAATACACAATGCATGACACATTTATATGTTAGAACTGCCATGAACTTACAACTTGTGAACGATCTTCTTGCTAAAAAGTACAGAGAAGAGTATTGTCTGTTTGTTGTACCAAGTACTCTGAAACAGTTAGGTGTGCATGATCAGGTAAGTATCGGAATTGTTGCTTTCATAATGGGATTCAACTTTCTGAATTGCTTCAAGATAAACATTGGTAGCTTCTATGAAGAGGTACCTGTGTCCGTGTGTCTCAATGGTATCAATTTACCATCTTTGACACATTTCGATTTGCAAGTGAGCTGTTTGATTGGAGATAATCAACTTCCTTTCCCTAAATTACAAGCACTATACTTTGACTCTTATGGAAACGCGAAAATGCCAACTGTATCTCTCTTTGAATTTTGGGCGAATCAGCATGAAACACTACGATCATTATTGTTCAATATTATTTCAAAACCAGAGGAGCCTTTAGTGGACGTCTCAATGGAAAAAACATCAATACAATCTCCAACGATAGTGTTAAAAAAGAAACCACTGCAAATGAAGTCCGTGAATATTACCATAGAGGATTTTGAGCTTATCATTGAAGATTGTCCAAGAAACCTTACAGTGGGCAATGTCACTAAAAATGTTTCAATCACAGGTTCAAATTATGTGAACGCTGTTTCTCTGAATATGGGGTCTCATCTCGAGAGTCATGATATTTATGTGAATATCAAAAATTGTGATACTTTAAGGACATCACCGCCACTTAATAACGTGACAAAAGCAACTCAATTGATTCATGGACACTATAATTCAATTATCATTGGATCTTTTGGTGGCAACTTGGCCCTCTTACCGCACATCCAGATCATGGACATGACAGACCTTGTAAATCTCTCTTTCAATTATTCAGGAATTTTCAGCGAGAACGAGTATGACTTGGCCAATGTCATTAGAGAATTTTTAAGTAGATTTTCCTCGATCGCATGCCTTAAAGCTACCTCAGAACAACGTACCTGTGAATTTTTCAATGTGAGAAGAGAAACCCTCAATGAAGAGGTATGCAAACAAATGTTTTTGGCGACTACAATCGGAAAAGAAAACAAACTTGTGACACAAATTTCAAGGTTTCGCACAGATTCCGACATTATGCGTTTACCAAATTTATCCAGCTTAAAAATTACAGCTGGTTCACCACTCATCTTAGATCGCATAACACTTTCACATTTAAAGATACTTGACATTTCTCACTGTCAGTTGTCTGTAGAAGACGCGTCAGTAGTGGACTTGCATTGGATACCCTTTCTAAAGCATGCCATATTTGTGGGCATTCATTCTGTTGATATTATTTGCTCAGATGAACAAGAGCATCATTACCTTAAATATTTATACATTTCACAAACTAACAAACTTAATGCCAAGATATCCTTGCGTGGACCAAATTTACGTGTTGTTTGCGTAACCAAGACCGAGTTGCAAGAAAATTCCTTCATCCGAATCGTGCATGCTCCAAAACTTGTGCTTTCTGTACTGCACATTCCAAATGAACACAAATAAGATCTGCAACGGACTCCAAAATTGTGATATCAACCATTATTTTCATGGATTCCACAGCTGACAATATTTTATACATTCCGTGTTATGAACTTTATTAATTGGACTCACTAACAGCACAACTCCCATTTGTCGATATCATCTCAGTTTGAACTGACATTTCAATCATGCTCATCTCTTGTAACTGAGCTCACACAATTTCAAGTTGAACATCACATCATTTTCAGACCATGAGCTCTTCCGAACTTTTCACATTCTAAACTTGCTGAACTTTCCAAAATAGTCTGAGATGAAGTTAACCCAGGCATAATCGGATCTACAAAACGACTAATATCTTGTTAAACAAGGTGATTTCTCAAGAAAGAAAGCACCATTGATTTTTGAGAGATCATTCTTTTATAAGCATTCGTGCTGATCATGAGTGAACAACACCAAAAGAAACAATCAACAACACCGATCTTCAAATCGAACCAATAACATCCACGTAGGCTATTCATCTCCCAACTGAAATTCTTCAACATCTACCACACTTCCTAAACATTCAAAAAGAATCTTCCAAACACCCGTCCTTCCATATTCTCAAGTTTAAGATGAATCGCAATGGCTTGGAACAAATTCTGTTTAATTTTGTGACTGTTCCTAAAGTCCATTCAAGAAGAATCACAAAGAGTCGATCCATCTCCACCACCACCGATATGAAATCAAAGAGTAATACTAGGCCCGTAATGCCCAAGAATCACTCGAGGCGACCACCATCACAGCATGACCACAGAGGTGCTGTTTCTGTAGAGTTCAATCATCATCCCTCAGTGACACCTGTATCGTCTTCACACACCATGCGTCATCCTTTTCACTCTTGTCCAACAAATCCTTGTGGCTACTTTTCTCCAGTTTCTCAAAACTGTCATGCTGTGGTTACCTCCTCCTCAAACACCACAACTCATCCTCCATCACGACCCATCATGTCGAATATTTCTCATGCCATCGTCGACACAACCTTTGTTGATGGTTTGACGCCAAATGTTGTACTTCAAGAACAACATCATTTGCAACAAGTCATTCACTTTTGTTCTTCACCTTCTTCAGAGGAGAGTGTTTCATTATCGAGCTCCCTTTCAAGCACCAGTTTGGATCCTTACTTCATGACATGTCCAACTGCAGGTTTGTGTGTGAGTGGAAACACCACTCCAAAACTACGAAAGATTAGAACTTCCATTTCCATAAAAGAATTACTCAATTAAAGAGAAAGAAACTCTCTGCATATTACTTTCATATTGTACTTGAATTAAACATAACTTTCAATCCACACTGTTTTGAGTGATGACAGTGATGACATTCAAGTGGTGTGATTCATCCTCAGTTGTGGGAGTTTGATCCTCAAGTATAAAACTATCACTTTCCTTTCGTTCTTTCAATAGCGCACTGTCCATTGGTACCTTCCGTGATGAAAGAAAAACCCAAAAAAAAACCGAAACTATACCCACTCACACACGTATTGAGAGAGAGACGCTCTTGAATCAAATCTTCTCGAGTTTTATAGACTTGTGGTTGATCGATGATGAATTCAAAAAGCATCACTGATGATCATCAGGATCAACATGAGGACAAAACGACGAACCAATATGATTGTTTGAAAAAAAGAAAAAGAGGTTCCTCGGAAGAATCCGAACCATTTGAAGAAGAATCCATTGCCTCATCACCATTCTTGGACTGGAACCTAGAAGAACCATCATCATCTCTTTCAGATGAAAGTATGTTCATTCCCTCTTCGGATCATCATCCTGCGAACTATTACCAACAGCAACACAGCTACAACAACAATAACAGCACTTTATTTCAACTTCCTCTCTTTGAATCCGAACAAGACATGATCCAGGCCTCACTTTTCCAATCTTATAATCATGATGATGAGGAAGAAATCAGATCATGGAACAATCACAACAAACGAAACAAACTCTCTCCTCATTCACATCTTGTAGACTTTATTAGAGACCATATTATGCAATATTTACTGTTTCATCATTTACATCAGCCGAAAAGCTCACAACACTCAAGTCTCTTGTCGTCGCCCGAGATAAAAACCACTCCTCCAGAGAGTTCTGACCATCATCCTACCATCAATGTTAGTAGTCTAATTCCTGTTGGATTGTTATTCGACTATATTGCACAACAAGCTCAAAGACTCTATTTTAACATGTATGAACATATTCGAGAGCTAGCTCAAATACCAACATTAAGAAGTGGCAATGATGGCACCAAGTACGACGAGTGGTGTAATAATTCCCTCAAAGCCATGACCTCTCAAAATACCAATGAGTGTATACTACCCACTCACATTCAACAGACCAAGCAAGAATTATCTCTGGCATGTAATGAATTTGAAAAACTTGTCATTGAACAGTTTCATTTTCTCATGGATCAAGTCCAATTAATCAAAGGAGGTCTTGTCAATTCATCCAATTCTCATCATGCAGTCATTCCCATGATGAAGAAGTATGAAAGTATTTTACCAATCAATTTTGGATCGATTAAGCTTGTTAGTGGTGTCGCTTCGTCTGGGATTGTAGGTGATGAATCGTCAACTTCAATAGTAGATGATTCATCACTCATTAAATCAGAGAATTCTCCTATTGGGATAATGTCTTCATCTTCAACAACAATCGGTGGCTATTGTGACATGATAGCCAACGCTCCTCACAACAATTTTGATATTTCCTCTCTTTTGAACTCGTGGTTCAAATTTTCTTCTCCAACTCTATCTTCATTCCCTAAACAACATTAATGATTTTCAACTCTTTAAAAAAACTCACGAGCAATTCAATTATTGAATGGAACATTTCTTTGAGTGTGTTTGCTGAGAACTGTTCGAAGAATTTTCCGGAGGTTTGACACTCTTCTTAAACAAGAGAGATTGAATGCAAGGAATATTGTCCCACTCGGACGGATGGTTTTTGTACTTGAGAGCTAGCTCATCACTGTTCATCTCTGCAAACTGTGTCAGTAATTGAAAAATGTCCATCATGGGATTCTCCTGATTATTATGACTGCGAGTTCCACCATCATTCGTTCGTGCAAAGAAAGACTCATCCCCAAATTGCATCAGCCATTTGCAAACGACCAGAAAATTATCCACAGAGAGAACGCTGGAAAGTTTCTGACAGCAAAATCGAATGACATGATCCATTTGTAAAATATTTCCATGATAAAGCATACAAATGACAAGAGAAATGTCATTATAATCATCACTGTTGCTTTTCTGTTTTTTCAAAACGCCATAACAGCTCTGTAATAGTCCTCTAATTGCCTTTTCCTTTAAAATAATTTCAGTATCCGTTGTTTGTTTGTCAGAGGTGTCACTTTCAAAGTCATAAAGATTGAGCATGTCTTTTTCATGACTGAATCCAAATTCTTCACCCAGCATTTTCTCCAAGACTGGACTCGCAGATGAGAGAATTGTTTTGTGTAAGTGAACCATGTTCATCTGTTTTGAATCAATGATTACCTTAACATCACTACTGCTTGTTGCATCATTGTACAACTTGGAAAATAAATAACCGTGATTGAACTGTTCATGAATGGGATGTGATTGAAAATATTGTACTTGTTGTCGTTTTGAAAAAAATTGATACAATTTGTGAAGAAGTGAAGTCGTGGAAGGTACATTTCTTTGCATGGGAAGAGCATTCGTTTCATTGGACTTTTCTTCAAAATATTCCATGAGGGTTTCAATTTCTGATAAAAAGCTCATAAATTCCACATCATCTTTTTTAACGTCACGAAATTTTTCTTGAGTTTGTTCGATGAGAAACAGAAACACAAATCTCTTTACATTCTCAACAAAAACGTCACACTCCGAGTGATTAAGGCAATACAACAATTGCAATTTTTGAATGAAATCTAAACGAGATAGAAAATGAATGAGCTCTTTTTTCTTATTCTGATAATGCCCCTGTACACAATCAATGATCAATTGTACAATAGAAATTTGGAAAGTATTCATAGTGGTTAAAAAGTTAGTGTTACAAATGACGTTAGTATAGAATTTGGGTAAAACCTGTTTCAATAACGGTTCGAAACCAAATATTTCCACAGATTCATGGAGCTTGTTCCAAGAATAATGTCGAATAGGAAAAGATAGAATTGGAAGCGAGTCAAGGATTGCCTTTCTGTGTGAAAAGTAAAAATATGACGCGAAGGCACCACAAGCGATTCTATTGATAATGTCTGTGGTCATGGTTTTGATCTTTTTGTAGGCTGCAGAAAAGTGGGCAGTATCTCCTGTTGCCAGTCTATCATTCAATGAATAGTAACCATTGAAATCGGCTATTCAACAACTGATTGAATGCTTGTTAAAAACATACCGTCCATCAGTGTTAATACCACAACTGTATGCATATTGATCAGTTAGCAGTAGAGAAAGTGAGGCTCCACATGAAATTTGTTTTGGAATGAGGTTTGTTTTCAATAAAGTAAAACGAGTACGCTTTTGGCGATCTCCCAAACCGCATTCACCATTTAAATTACTTCCAGCAGTTAAGATATTTCCTCCAACATTGCATATCGCTGTGGTATGCATGAATCCACACGCAATTTTTGTGACTTTGTATCCAATTTTTAAATGAATTTTGGTAAATCTTTTCACATGCTTGATGTTTCCAAGACCTTACAAAACCATCATGTTTTTTCGTTTGGAATTTCACACTTTGTAATACTCACCTATTTGTCCTGTTTCATTGGATCCAGAAACGTAAATAAATCCATCTTGTGAAAGCACAACGGCATGATCTTTTCCAAATGAAATATCTTTTGCAACAAATGAAGCTTCTACTTTTGTGAATGTTTTGACAGCAGGTCTAGAAGATCCTTTTCCAATACCTAATTCACCCATATTATTTTTACCAGCTACAAACAAGGATCCAGTTTCGCTGATTAGGGCTGAATGATGTTCTTGACAACAAATTTTTTTGATTGAAATGCAATGGGGTGTCTCCACGTGAATGATATCATCGGAACTATCTGATTGATTGTTGATTTCTTCACTACTCGTGTTTATAGATTCCATCATCGATGATTCATTGATGTTCTCTTCTTCTGAATGTTTAAAGTCTTTTGGAATTTCAATTTTTGTAAATGTGTCACGTTTGTTTAAATCTCCCTTAATGAAGGTAAATGTGTGAAGTATTTTAAAGTAAATAAATGATGACAGGGATTTGAAAATTGTTCAGAAACATACAACAGCTAATTGTCCACTCGAATTCAAGCCTACAGTTACAGTTCAACCAGAATGTGTTTGCATATTGTTCACCAGGTGAACCCATTCACAACAATATTTAATTCCTCAAAGTCACATCACTTACCAATTCCATACAGCTCATCATCTTCTGTCAAGATCATCAAATGAAACCATCCACTACTCATCAATTTAACTTTTTTTTCAAATTTCAAAGGTTGAAAAACTTCCAACTTGTCTGCATGCGTCAAAACTCCTTTAAATGAATTAAATCCACAAACAAACACTTCTCCACCTTCTGAGAGCATGACACAATGATAGGCTCCACAAACGACCTTCTTGATCATGGTTGGAATAAAGTATTCTTGTTGTTGTTCCTGTTCCTCCGATGAAGAAGGAGAAGAGGTTGTTGTTGTCGTTGTCGAATCTATGTGTTGATGAATATTTTGAGTAGTGGCAGCAGAAACAGTCTCCTCTCCATCATTCCTATCATTGTCATCATCACTTCCTCCTTGATTTTCCAATATCCGATTCAAGAATCCTTTGTATTTGACAAATCCACCTCCGATCAAAGGCTTTCTCTCAAAGAGGACCATCCGTGTAGGAACCATTCGATTCGTAAAGTCATTGAGACCTGTCCCGAGAGCTCCATACTTGTTTTTTCCAGCAGCAAATAAGAGGCAAGAAGCATCGTAATTGGGAGGAAGAAGTGCATGCGAGGAAGAGGAGGAGGAGGAGGATGAACGAGTGGTGTGAGTGGTGTTCTTCCTTTCATTGTCGTCAATGACGTTGAAAGCAGAGATTTCCGACGATGAAGGCATCAACATTTTTTGATGAGTGAGTTCTATCAATTGATGGCCACAATTTAATACAACAACAATGAAATAATATTATTATCAATTTCAAACGACGAAATTATCGATGGGATCAAGGAAAGGTTTTGGGATTGAACTTATAAAAAGTGCGTCGTTTCGCTGTTATGGCGGACCTGTATCAGCTTTTTAAAATCGCTCTCGACGCCGAATGGAAGGCTTGCAACAAACTCAGAGCAAAAAAAATAATTTGATCCTCTCATCGGAATTATTGCCATCTCCCAGTAGAACCATCGTCATCCTTGATCATCATTAGAGTGAGCTTACTGAGATCTGACAGCAACATCTAGGAATTTGTAAAAAATCGTATTTATCAAAAATATTACACTTAATCGGAAGTCTGTTGAAATCACTACTATCATCAGAGCTCATCACCGCTAATATTAATCTACAACAAGACCGTCATTATTTGGAAAATGGGAAATTCATTTGCTAATGCTTTTGTTGAAAAACAAAGAGCTCTCCAATTGGAGATGCAAGACCGTATGGCCATCAATCAAAAGAAATCACAAATGGCCATGCAGGAACGAATGAAGAGAATGCAAATCGCTACTCAAGTTGCTATGGCTAGAGAAAGGTTTTGGTGGTTCGCAGGATTTCATGCATTCATTACAACAGGAATGGCCATCAAGAGAAAGAATATCCCACCCGCAGCAGTTTTGCCCTATTTGGCGTTCACATTGGTCACCTTGTATCAATGGGACTTTGCCTATGGAAACAAATTAGAGAGAATTGAAAAGATTTATAACAAGGTGCAACAAGAAGAACATTGGTATACTCCTGTCGATCAAGAAGCAAAATAACATAAAGAATGATCCATTAGATCCTCCACCACAAAACTGTATTTGCAAACTTTTGGAAAATACTACTAAATTAGAATTCATTTTTGTATTCCTGCACCTCCTCAATTAAGAAATGCATAGTAAATCACTATTGGAAAAACTGCATCAAGTAAACATTTCGATGGTTGTTGCTTCATAAATATGTAAAGTTCGACAAAAATGGAGTGTTGCAAAAACACAACATAAAAAACATCATCAAACAATTTCGCTGTTGTGTGCTCTTGTTCTTTTGCGAGAACCAACAACAACAACAACGAGAATTTTAGCACACACCACGTCAGCCAAGCGCTGTTGAGAATAACATCATATTATTGCACACAGTGTGGTGGTGAGAGAGGATATCGGGCTACAACTGCTGCTATCATCAATTCTAATAATTGTATCAATATTATTGAAATTAGAATAACAGCAACAATACCACTCATTGTTCGTGAATACGACATTTATTATTCAATTTAGAATTATTGAACAATTACTCTTGTTATTTTATTATTAATTTTTTCATACATATATATATACCAAGATGCTGTATTGGTTATTAGGCTCTTTACCTTTTGTTTTTCTCTTTTCATTTGCCTATTACAAACAGAATTGGCTGTTATATTGCAATTATATGCCCCGAGGACAGGCCAGAGTCCTCGAATATTTACCTTCAATATTCAATCTACCCTTTGAAGATATCATGTTAGATACACTGGATGGAAAAGCAAAAATCCATTGCTGGTTTCTGAGATATATGCCATCAGGTGGATCTCTTGATTCTTCTTTCTTACAACATAAAAAGTCAACGGACAAGGCTAACAATGATGAAGATGCCATCTTTTCGTTTCATCATTCGAGCAGCAGTAATGCCACAACGTCGTCCCCTTCATCATCAGCATCACAAGGAAACAACAACTCATCATCAGGCGATAATTTATCACAACAAGACACAAAGAAAAAGATCAAGAAGGGAACTTCAAGTATGATGTTGCAGTACAAGAAACAACTTCAGTACACTCCAACAATTATCATGTTTCATGGCAATGCTGGAAATATTTCACATCGATTGACAAATGCTAGAGACATGTATCGCTCATGTAAATGTAATATACTTATGGTAGAATATAGAGGTTATGGACGAAGTACAGGAGAACCATCAGAAGAGGGTTTAAAGAATGATGCAGAAACAGCCATTCGATATTTATTGGAGAAAAGGTCGGACATTAATCCAAACAATATTTTTATATTCGGAAGAAGTCTTGGTGGAGCTGTGGCAATCTTTCTCGCTGCAAAATATGCCAATGTAATTCGAGGAGTTATTGTTGAAAATACTTTTATTTCAGTACCTAAACTGATTCCTTCACTATTTCCATATCGATTTGCGGTTCCAGTTTTGCAATATTTATGCATTAATAAGTGGGATAATGAAACAATTTTGAGAAGTGCTACATTCAGAAATGATTTCCACAGAAAGAGATTGAATGGTGACTTGCCCTTTTTATTTATCAGCGGCAGAAAAGACGAGTTAATACCTCCAGAACACATGGATACTCTGATTGAAATTTATTGTGAACGTTACGGAGATTATTGTTATGTCAAACGATTCGAAGAGGGCACTCATTACGGAACGTGGTTATGTCCTGGATACTATCTCAATTTATATCGATTTATCAAAAAGTTTAGAGTCAATCCACCTTCAGTCTCAGAAACTAGATCAAGAAAGGCATCCTCATCAACAACAAGTGTTAAGCCTCACATTCCAACATCTTCAACAGATCAAATTCACACTTCAGGCGATGATATTGTGATTCATGAAAACATCACACTTACATATGCAGATTCGCTTACAATTCCTCCCGAGAACCACCACGGAAGTGGCCATAACAGTGGCACAAGTAGTGGTGCTAATAGCGGAGACAACACACCAAGAAAAAAGGGAACCTATATGTTCAGATAAGAAAACACTCAAAAGAGAGAATTTGAGTCTCAATTTTGGAAACTTGAAAAAAATGAAAAAACGTAAAATCGAAGTTAATTCGGAGAGTTATTATTTATCATCCATGATTGACTTTATCAAAGTGGAATTGGAGAAACAAAATTTTGAAGCTGTGATTGATTATTTGGAACAACACCTTGATTGCTCCAAATATTCAAATCATGATGAAATTATTAAAGAAATATTATTTCCGATTTATTCATACTTTGTGAGAAGGATACTTTTACCGCAAAAGGAGCACAAACGAGCCTTGCATTTTATGAAACGAGCATTAAGGTATTGTCACTCTTTGGATGAACTGTGGGAATTCACATGTCCAATGCAGGAATGTGATGATCAGAGTTTTTTGCAGGTGCATAATGAGCTTTTGGAACATCTCATCAAAACAACTTGTGACCTTATTGTCAGGCATAGTGGAGAACTTTTTGCCAAATCCAAAATTGATTCATCATTATCTCAACAACAACCTGCCGATGGTTTACCTTCCTCCCAATCATCATCTTCTTCTTCTGGTACCACTTTTACCGATTGGGAATATGCTCTTTTCAAAACCGAGTGGTTGGAAATCAAAGATGATCAAAAGCCAGCTTTTTATCCCTCATCATGCCACCATTTACTGGATCCAATAAGAGGATACTCTGCCACAATTCTCATGCCTTCGAATGATCCAAAAAAAGCATTGAGAAAGATTTGAAGGTGCATTGTTCTTTTTGAACCAAGCGTTATTTTTAAAAAGTTGAACGAAACCACAATTCTTTTGGAGAAAGAAAGCAAAAATCCTATACAAACATCAGTCGATGGCCTTTACTTTCAAGTAACCTAACTGCCACCACCCAAAAAGCTCTTATCAAAAAAGAACCACAAATGGTTGCTGTCAATCTCTATTTTTTACTTGAATATATTTTATTGAATTCCTCACCTTCAACGAAATTAATCCTTTGGACGACTTTTTGTGAATAACTTTATTGTCTTTCATTACAGATCCATCTCACCATGATCTCTTACTTTACAGCCACTAATGCACAACTCACTTAATCATTCTGTGTCTCAAAATAATTAACAAGTTCTCTCTTTGGTTGAATCCATTGACGTTTTGAAAAAGGTTTCGCTTGATCCAATACGTGTAAGGTATATGCCTCTCGTGACTTGCTACTGGTATTCTCGAAACTCTTATGAAGCAAATAGCCATGCAGTAGAACCAATGTTCCACTCTTCACTTCCACAGGAATATACTTGTCATGTTCATAATTCATTTCAGTAGTATATTGGAGTAAATCTGGTTGTGTGACTTCCATTTTCATCTCGTGTACATTTGGATCAGTCTCTGAAGGAACTCGTACCCATCTTTTGATGCAGCCCCACTTGTGAGAACCTGGCAACACCCATAAACATCCATTCTCACGAGTGGCATCTTCCAAAGCAAACCAACAACCAATGACTGGATTTTCTGTTGTATCATTCTCGAGTTCATTGTAGAGAAAAGTGGCATCATGATGAGCAATGACTTCTCCTCCAATGAATGGTTGCTTGAAAATGACCATACTTTGCAAAATAATTGGTCTCTCAAAGTGTGATAATGTTTTAACAATTTCATAGAGTTTTGGCTGATGAGAAAATTTTCTGAATACTTCATCCTTCTCATGAAGAGCATGACCAATTTTGTTAATGCATGAGAATTTATCTTGTTTTAATTCTCCGGTCTCGGGATCAATATTTGCATTCTTTTCCAAAAAGAAGGAAATGTTATCAACTGAATCTTCAAAATACTTTTCCAAATCTCGTTTAGAGTCTTGCTTGTAAGTTGAAAACACTGCATGGTTTTTGTTGGGTTTAAATTGATGTTCAACCACATACTTGATCCTCTCTCGGAGCATGGAATTGGTTTCGGGAGGAATAAAATTCTCAATGATCAAAAAACCGTTTTGATTGAAGAACTCGATTTGATCGGAAGTGAGAGCATGATTGGAAGCTTGTTGGGACATTTTTTTCTTTTGGTTGACTGATCTTGCAAGCAACTCATAAGAAATTCATTTGGCTGTTACAACACAATCATGGCGCAAGTTAGTTTTCACCTCTTAGGAAGCAACAAGACACAAAGTTTAAATTGTTTCCAATATGCTCGATGTTTGTGATTTATTAAATTTCCGAGTCAAGAATATCATCATCAATTTCAAATTCACTATCCATGTCAATATCTTCACCTGGAGGAAGTGCAAATGTGGCATTCTCGTCTCGCACATTCTTTCCAAGTGAGAGATGATTGAATAAGGTTGGAAGGATGGATTCGAAAAGTGAAGATGACGAGGAGGTAGAAAATATAGAATTTCCTGAATCAGTTCCAAATAATGAAGGAAGATTGGGTGATGCGTTATTGGATTGTTGTTGTGACAATGTTTGATGATTCATTCCAGGAGATGATGTATTCACAACAATATCTAAAGTTTCGTATTCATCTGAGCTTACAAATAATGTCTTGGATCCACTCATTCCTTGTAATGGATAATTGTGTATGTTTCTTAATACTGTGTTTTTCACAGCAAAGGGAACTAATTGATTTGACTTCTTTAGAATTTCTAATAGATAGGGAATTTGACATTCAAAAATGTCTGACATTTCAAATAGGTTTGAGAGAGTTGCTACTTGATCGAATGGAAGAGTTGAAAAATTGGCTTTTTCTAGCATGGAAAAATTCTTATCTTCACATTGTAAATATAACAAGAGCTGTTTCAACTTCTCCTCTCGAGTTTTGTAGAATGCTTTTACAACTTTTGGAGCAAGTATTGATTTTTTGCTGTCGAACTTTTTGACCATTCCTTGGTAATTATAGAGAACGGATTTTGATGAAATCAAAAATTGATATTGTGAAAAATTGGTGGTAAGTTGATTGTCATCATAGGATGCTTCAAATCGTTTTCCATACAAAGAATCGCATTCTGAAAAACTATCTAAGGAATCTGCAACTGCTTGAATATCATCACAAAAATATGGAGCATTTGCCTGTACATAGTTTGTAATAGTTTGTGCACTGGTGTTTTTTTCAGTTTTGTAAAGATCCAAAACATCTCTTTCCAAGTGAAATTCTACTTGTCCATTAGATAAACGTTTTCCATACAATATACGAGCAGCAGCATGATGAATGGTAGTTGCATTATCTCTATAGCTGTCTTTGGTTTTGCAAATCAATTTCTTTTTCTTTTCGGTTTTCTTTTCCACTCTTTTTAAAATTTTGGTAATTTCTTCTTTTTCCTTTGTCTTTTTCTTAATGCCAAATAAATCCTTCATCTTTTTTCCTCCTCTTGCAAAGAATTGAACTTGGTGAATTGCTTGTCGCAAGTCACCATTAGCGCATTCTGCAATTTCCTCAAATTCAGATTGGTCAATAAATCTTGAAACTCGTTCTTGTTTACAAATTTCCTTAATTCTGGTCAAAATCTTATTTTCAGTCACCTTTGGTATTTTTACAACCTCGCAATGATCCAAAAAATCTCTTGGTAAATTTACCATAATATCGTACTCGGCAGATGATGAGCTTGAATATTCCGAGATGATAATAACCTTAATAAGTCTTTTCCGTTTTCGAACATCAATGTCTCCCAACAATGAAAGTAAATAATTGAGAGCTTCGAATAATTTTTCTTTTTGATGTTTCGTATATACTGGTGGTAGTTCTTCAATGACAACAATTTCTACACTATACTCATGTAATGTACTATCAGGTGTGTAGGTTGAATGATCCATATATTTGGTCAAGTAAGAAATATCTGAATCAAAAGTGGGTTTGGTAAAACTTAAAGCTCTCTTAATCACACATGATCTCATAAAATCCCTAAAGTGTGCAATGACAGTGTTGGGATTAGGACCTTTTGAAAGCCCTTCTTGGCCTCCATGGTCGTGATACCTAGTGTTGAGCTGTATATCTTTTTTTGATTGCAAATAAATATCTAACAAATCTGTTTCGTCCTTATTGGTTAACCAAGTGGATGATTCGTTGTCATTCTGCTGTTTTTTTTCTCCTAATAATTTTTTCATTATTTTCTGTGGGTGATAAACTTGCAATCGCTTAAATCCAAAATGTTTTTGTATCATCAAATAAATTAGACTTCTCTTTCCACAACCTCCACTTCCTGTCACAATGCAAGGTTTGTTTTCAAATTGGATTTTTGGGTCTGATGATGGATATTTACATAACCAATTTTCAAACTGTGATACTACTCTTTTGTTAATGATTAGTTCTGAAGGATCTGTTGGAGTATATTTTTCACACCAATCTTCGGTGACCTCTTTTTGGGATGGATCTCCAGAAGATTCATCATCAGAAGATATGTGCTCTGTCTTGGATTCTTGTTTGTGGTCGTTCAATATTTTCTCTATGGTCTCGTCATCGAGATCGAAGTCTTCTTCTTCGTCATCAACAATTTTTGAGTGCTTCTTTACAGTGGATGATGATTCATCAGCATTGCTTGTGGTGTTTTCTACTTTTTTCTTTTTTCGTTGATTGACAGATTTCAACGTGATGACTTCATCTTCCGATGATGATGAGCTTGTTTCTAAATCAATGATATGAGATGATTGCTTTTTCGAATTATTAGAAGCCTTCTTTCCGATTTGAGTCGATTTTTTAGGATTTTTCTTGTTGTTACTTGGATGATCATGTTGTTCCGATTCATCATCACGAATATTTCTGGATTTTCTCTTTTTATTATTTGGTGGTGAAAGAGATGATGGAGGAGGAGTCAGAGAAAAACTCCAAGAAGAATTTGATGATTCTTGACTTGATGAAATAACCAGATTGAGAGGATTAACGTTTGTAGATTTTCTTGTCTTGCTTTTTGTGTTAGTCTTCGGGATTGGTGGTGATGGTGTGGATGAAGGTTTTTTCTTCCAACCTTCAGTGGAACTCATTTTTTATTTTGGAGGGAATTGAAAAAATTTTATGTGGCTGCTTTTGCAATCTCAAAGTATGTTATGCTTCCTAGACTCGATACGAGCAATAAAGAACCTAGAGCTAACACAATATAGGCTGCAATTCTCTTGAGTAAAAGCCATCGTGAGTGAATCATAATTTCTCTCACTTGTTTCTGTTGTCGATGTCTCTTTTCGAGGATAATGTAGGCAAGGCATGGAAGAATATAGGCCATGGAACTGCCACTAATGGCACCTGTGAGTCCAATAATGACACCAAGATTGGAAACTGCTATGGCAATGGAGAAGGCTGAAAGTACCACAAACAAAGTGACACTATAATGCAAAACATCTTTTCCAGTTTTCGATGTGAAAAATTTGATATATCTTGGACGAGAATCAATGACATCGGCACTACTACTGCTGTTGTGTTTGAGTTCCATTTCTTGCTCCCTTTCCTTCATGCCTGCCATGTAATTCATGAGCGTTTTGAGAACAGTTATAATTGCAAATCGAGGCATGAATGCACTGTAGCATATAGACAGTCCAAGTGATACGCACACAAGAATTCTGGCAACAATAGCCATTGTAAGTTTCTTGGGAAATAAATCCAAAACATTGGCATCTCTAAGATTAGTGTCGAAAAAAATTAAATAGCTCGAAATACCCATTAAAAATAGAGTGGTAACTGCAAGACAAAGCATAAAGAAAACCACCATCATGTATCGTTTCTTGGTGTTGTCTTTTAGTGATCCAATTATTTCAAAGCTTATCTGTTGCATTTGAACAGAGAACATTTACACATTGTTCTCATATGCAAGTAAATAAGATTTGATACTTACATCATGACAAACAAACACAAAACTCAACGAGCCCATAGCACTCAAGTATTGAGGTCTAACAAAGTTAAAGGCAGTATCACTGTACATGACAGTTCTTCTTCCCAATGCACATTCATACATAATTAAAAAGGCGATAATTATCATGGAAGAAACAGAAATCATGGATGCATATTTAAAACTTGACATTTGCTTCATACTTGCAATAGGAAGCAAAATTATGGTAACATAAATTAAGATGGCATATCTACTTGTAAATATACTTTCATATCCAATAATCGTGTAAAGTAAATCAGGCAACACTTGAGAGATCTCAATTAATTCCGAACACACAGCTCCAAAATTAAATATAAAGATAAATACGCAAATTATTATATATCCTACTGTTCCCAAAGCTTTTTTCATCAATGCTGGGAAACTTGTGACCTTAAACATGTGCGCCAAATCGTACAGCAACATGAGTGTAAAAAACGTGACAACTCCAAAAGTGAGAACGCTCACAATATATGCTCCCAAACCTGCTTGAGCAATAGTATAACCAGCACTAACCGATGCAGGGCTAATGACATCGTTAATTAAATTCCACACACAAAAGAACATGTTCGTTTTGGTGTAGGCTCTCCACAAGTGCTCTCGTTCTGATTTTTCAGTTTTCACCTTATCTTTTCCAATATCCATATCATCCCTCAATAATATTTCTACGCTCCTTCTACTTGTGTCAACGGACGGCCTATGTGATTCATCTTCATCTGTGCTTATGACCGTTTCTTCGTCTTCAGAATTTGATTCATTAAATAAATTCTTAGTTTTAGCTTTGCTGTCCAATTCTACTTCATGGAATTCAGTTGTTGGAGCATTTCGTTTGCTTGCAAGTAAACTAAAATCGTCCTTACTCTCTACATGATGGTAATATTCAACATTGACTGGACTTGACACTGGAACGACAGGACTATTGCTCGTATTATTATTAATACTTAACTGTTGAAAACTTTTCGTGTTGCCAACGGTGAAGCCTGTAACTGATGAGGAAACTCCTGCTGAAGCCTTCACATCCAACATTCTTCCACTTTTTGAATTTTTAATTGTGGTGGCACTAATTGAGGTGTTGTTTGCATTTTCAAAATGCAACTCTTCATTGCGTTGAGAGGGAGAGAAAACAGATGAGTTGACAGTTCGAAGCGACAAAACGCTTCCAGGTGTGAGTGAAGATGACACTTGCATTTTCGTGTTGTTATTCATGTCAGCAGCATTTGAGGAGGTTCCAATCGGAATTAATGGGCTAGGTATGCCATTGACTAATCTTCCAAGACTAGAGACTGATGGAAATGTTTGAAAATGGTCGGCATCATTCAAAGGAACAGCATGTTCCCCTTGATGTTTTGAACTTTGGGTATCAATAGTGAGGTGGTTTGACTGCTGTGGAACAACCACATGTGGATTCATATCATACGGATTGGGAATTGCTGCTGTTGATGCCGAATGAAAAGACGATGAAGAACCGAATGAAAAGAATGGTTCGTGCTGTTGCTCATGATGAGGATAATGATGATAATTACCACGGGAAGGCGATGAAATCATTCCGTTGTTGAGAAGGTGGTGGTTATGCAATTGGCCGGGAGATGACATAGTATAGGGAGTTGAAGTTGTAGAGGAGCTGGAAAGAGCGGAATGGGAAGGAATTGAAACCACGAGAGGAAGAGTTGCTGTTGAAGAATTGATGGGTTCTTGGCTCGTAGTTTTATTATCATGATTGATTGTAGTATCATAATTATTTACATTTGGACGAGTCATGTGTTGTTGAGAGGTTGAGGACCAGGATGGAGATGGTTTCATTGTTGTTGGTGAGAGAGTTTGGCCGTTACCCAAAGCCTTTTCTTCACCTTCGGGATTCATCGGACTGATGATGAGAAGAAGAATCAATGCTAATAATTATAACGAAAGGATGTTGGTTGGTTTGTAATTACTCTCTTTTTGATGTGGTAACAATTATTTTTGATTGTTTTGGCATTTGTGTTTGTGACTTTTTTAGTAGTTGACTCTGTGCATTAAAAAGTGAAAATTCGAGGAAAACAAGAAAAACCCATGAAATCAAGCAAAAACAAGGGAAATTAATTCAACATCGATGTGCGAATTTGATCCAAATCATGTGTTTTTTCGTATTTGTTTCATTTTTGTCCTTTCATTCAACAGAGCAAAACTCAAAACTTGAAGAATTTGAAAACATCAAAGCTTTTGGAATTTTAATGCACAGGCCCAAGTTTTTAGTGGTTATTGAACACCATTACAGGATACACTATGAAAGCTGTAGCTGGAGCCGTCAAAATTTCAACTGGATTGGAAGGTCAAATTTTTGAGCAGCTATATACACAATCAAGGTAGGAAGAGAGGCCAAGTCAGCAAGCACATTCAAGAATACAACATCGATGCACACTCAAGTGATCACGCATTGTTTACTGACCTACTAGACTCTTCAATTTTCTTTTTGAAATTTCTCTTTCATCAGCCACAGAAACAGATCGACCACTTGTTGGCATACTACTTCTCAGAGAGGGCACTGAATCTGAGGTTTTGATTTTCTTACGAGTTGAGGTGCTTGATGAATCTCGTTCTCGAATACTACCCATGGCGCTCTTACTTCTCGATATGACATAGGGAGCGGTCGATGATTTTCTTGATTCTCGACTTGAAAGAGGAGCCAGAGAGGATGCATGAGTCGTCGATGAATTCGTCGTGCTTGACATTGAATGACAAGTTGGAGGAGGTGTTGGTGTAATTCTTCTTCCCTTAACGGCTCCAATTCTGGGTGTTGTGGTGATATTCGTGAGACCAATCGTGTTGGTTGCAGTAGGAATGACGGATGGAAGACTTTTTGAGTTTGTGGAAATGAGTGTTGGATTGTGATTGATGGGTATCGCTTGATGCAAAGTAACAGTACATGTGGAAGAAGAGGATTGCATTCTATTAAGGTTTGAAGGTGACGATGAAGGGGAAGAATTTTGTTGTTGTTGCTGATTCATATACATGGAAAGCATCTGATCATATGAATGTGTCGTCATGTCCAAAGAGCTGTTGTTGGAAATATTTTCACCATTCGATTTCGGAGGTGATTGATAACGCTTGATTTTCAACAGAGGTCTCATGATCATTTCGGTGGGATTTGCTCGTTCATCACTCAAATCGAATTCTATGGTTGATGACCCTGCAGGATCGTTGCACTTCTCGGCGTTGATGGCAGTAGTATCTTGAGTGTTCACATTGTTGATAGTAATAGTAGTATCATTGAGCTCAACCTTCGAGTCCTCATCTGTTCCTGATGTGATATTCGTTGGAAGTAATGATGGCATCGACGACTGATACGTGTTGACAAGGTCATTACTACTGTATCGGAATGTGGCATAGTCTTTTTCAAATAATTGAGATTTACCACCTTTCTTAGAGGGAGAAACTACTTTGGATTCCTTAATATCATAATAATGTGCCTCTTCTTCCAATAGTTGATTCATATATTCTTCTTTTAATTTTTCTATGGATTCAGGGTGACCCTTGGACATTTGATTCCATGTCGTTAAAATCTTTTCCAATTTATCTTGTTCTTCTTGCTTCAACTCTTTTAATCGCTTTTCTTTCTGAGAGTTCGAGTGCTCAATATGTTGACCAAGCGAAACAAAAATTTGTGAGACCTTAGTTGGAGAGTTGTGACCGCTCGAAGTCTGATGGTTGGATTGAGAAGAATTTGGACGTGATTTTCTGTTAGGGAAATTGGAAATAGCGTATTGAGAATTCACATCGAAATGAATAGAAGTGCCATTGTTGGTGTCTTTGTTGGTGATGTTGCTTGAGTAAGGATTTTTTCCAATATAAAGCGTAGAAGGATCAGAATGGTAATCTACACCATCATTTCCCATTAAATCTCTCGAGTTGAAATATTTCTTTCCATATCTCACAACTGAGTTTGGAATAATGTTTCCACTATTATTTCCATTTCTCGAAAAGTTATTACTTGGTTGATTTTCCTCTTCATGAGAACGACCTGTGAATGGATGCATATTATTCTTGTTATCAATCGTTGAGGACTTGTTATAGGACAGCTTTCCAAAATGTATTCCATATGGAGTGTTCTTGCCACGTTTGTTTAACGTGTTGTTATTTCCTTCTTGATCCTCTTCAACAGGAGGAGGTTCAACACCTTCCTCAGCGTTGTTGGGTATTTGTGGTGAATGTTGATCTTGTCTTAAATTCTTTCTAATGATGACATTTAACTTTGTGCTGGTGGTTCCCTTGTCAGAGGTTGTGTGAGTTTGTTCGTTTGTGTGAGTCTCTTCTCCTCTCACTCCTTGCTTGTCGTCTTGGGAATGTGTACTGTTTTGATTCGTGCGATTATGATTAGGATCATAGACCAAGTTACCATGTTCATCATAATAATAATCATTATAGCCATGAATTCTGAGCTGTTTTCCTTCCTGGCTTACCAATACTCGATCCACCAAAGTAGACATTCCATTTCTCTTTTTGAATTTACTCTCAAGAATCTCCATTTTCTCTCCATCATCTAAATGATGAGAAAATGTAACTTTCTTCAGACGAGCTTGTTTTTGGATTCGTTCTGCAAGAGATGAGGAATGGTCTTCTTGTGTGGAATGATGATGAATTTGGTGATGGCTGGTACTCGAATGATGCATGTTGTGTTTCTCATGTTTGTCGTCATGATTCATTGGATGGGTATGACCTGATTTTGGAGTTTTGTACCACGTGGATTCCTGGTGTTGATGGAGAGCTTTCTCCTCCTCAGGTTCCTCTGGAGGTTCGTCTTTGGTGATGAAGTGTTCAATGTCATAGAATATGGGTGAGTCACCACGAGTATATTCTAAGGACGAGATGACAGGTTGATGTTTGTGAGAGTCATCCACTTGCTCTTTTGGTTCTTCTTTTACACTGTGATCGATAGCGTGCACTTGATGTGTTACTTTTGTTTGTTCATATCTGTCCACTCGATCATTTGCAGAGTTGGTCGTCTTGTCTGTGGATGTTTTGGTAGAGTGAGAATTTGTAGTGGAGGTTTGTGGAGTTAAAGTTGGAGAGATTTCATGAGAGAGATTGGACTGTTGTTCAGGGATGGTGACTATTTCAGTGGTTGATGCTGCAGTGGACAGATTCACCTCGGAAGAAGAGGTGCCGTCTTTTAGTGATGATCCTGCCGCACTAACGATGGATGAGTGGTCTTGATTCAATTCGATTGGATTCTTCGATCTGTTCGTGTCCATTGTTGTTGTTGTGGCATGACTGTTGCTAGGAGTTGCAATTTCACTCTGTTTTTTCTTAACAGTTCTTACTACTCGTCGAACTGCAAAATCAGGGTCGTCCAGATCAAGTGGAGGTTCTTCTTGTTTGGGTTGTTGTGGGACATCTGAATGATTCAGTGAGGTTGTAGAGCTAGTGCTTGAAGTATTCGGTGTTGTTGATGTAATAGAAGTTTGCTCACCACTGCTAATGCTACTACTATTACCGAGTGAGTTATTGTTTGTGGAAGAGCTATTTACAGGTGGAGAGGATTCTAAAGTTTTTGTTGTCTTTGTTAAAGTGCTACTGATTGTTTCTGTTGCTTTTTTAGTTCCATTCGAAACCACCAATGGTTTGGTCGAGTAGCTTGTTAAAGTAGTGGTATTGCTCTTCGTTGAAGTGGAGACATTATTAGGTGAAGATTTGGAAGTGGTTGTTGGTAAGGACGAGGAAGGCAATGGAAGTGTTGGTGTTGTTTTTGGAGAGGTCACATTGATTTCAATAGAATCAAGTGTAGGAGGAGAAGTTTGTGTGGACTTGTCATGTTTTTCATCGTTTGACAATAAATCATTGTCATTGAATGTTTTGAAATGTGTTTTGGGAAGAAAGGAAGTGTCTGTTTGGGTTTCCATGTCTTTGCAATTCGACATAAACACAGAGTGAGAAACAATGGTTGGAGTTGGAGTAGGTAGTGGTGGTGCTTGTTTTTCCTCCAGTTTTTTCTTCATTTCAGAAAGTTGTTGTTTCAAATTGTCAATCGTTCGATCACGGGCCTATGAATTGGAAATCATGAAAAGAGCGCTTGAAATGTGTGTGAACATTTTTAAAACATGACTTACCTTAACCTTGTCTTTTTGTTTTTCCACATTTCCACTCATAATTTCGAAATCTTTCAAAAAGGTTGCCATTTTAGATTCTTGTTGTGCCTTCCAAGTGAACATATCTCGTAATCGACTTGAAAGGTCTTCAATTTTAAGAGAAAGAATATTCTTCGAACGAATATGTTCTTCTTCTCTTATACTTCCTAAATCAATCTCCTTTTGTAAAACAAACGTCTCTGATTCAAGGGCTGCTATTTGTTTTTTGTAGGCTTCAAATTTACGTATTGGATTCATAATGGCTTCTTTAAATTGCTTGGGATCATGCATTGTTTTGATCCTGGCTTCCATCTCTTCAATAATAGCAGAAAGTTGCATAATTCTGTTGTCTTTAGATTGGAGCCTCTTTTTGAGTTTTTTGATTTCGTCTTCTTCGCTACTAGAATGCAGCTCAGAGTCGTCTTCAGAATCGTCATTAAAGTCATGATGAAATGAAGTTCCCAAGGATGTGAAGGACAAGTCCTGGCTCATGGTAGTAAGCCATGTAGATGCCTTCTTTAAATCGGTGGTCGTTAAATTCATTTGAGCTCTTTGAATATTTTGTAGTGATACAATCTCCTTCTTGAGTGAATCGTTCTCTCGTTCCATATTTTCAAATTTTTGCAGCAGTGAGTTGTACTTTTCGAGCGACACAAGGTTTTCATTATCGGCTGAAAATTTGTCAGCTTTAAATTTGAAAGCTTTGGCTGTTTCAATTAAATTTTCGACGACACATTCTTTTTGATTCTTTTTCAGCTTTTCGAATGTCTCAGCTTGAAAATTATTGATGGTTCCTAATAGTGTTCGAATTTCGTTTTCTTTTTCAGTTAGCATGGTCTTGGTTTTTAACAACACTTGATTTAGTTCTTTCACCTTTTCATCCTCCAGAAATGTCAAGTTTAACACCTTGTCAAAATTTGCTGGGAAATATGAAGGAGCTGAGTATTGATAATTCAGTTTTAACAATTCTTCTTTCAGAGAAAGGAGTTCTTTAAAATATTCTGTTCTTTGTTCTTCAAGTTGTTTGTCTCGTTGCTCAATGAGAGAGTTTAACACCTTCATCTCTAGTTGAAGCTTTCTGTATTGATCAATACCAACATAATTTGGATTTCCTTCTTCTTTTGCGATTTCTTTGCTTCTTAGTTCTTGCTCTTTTTTGAGTGTTTGTGAGCTCTTCATTCGAAGCACAAATTCTTGCTGCCAATATTTATAGACAAGTTGAATTTGTTCATCGAAAAATTGTTGAATTTCCTCATCTGTTTTGATAATATTCGAATTTGCTTTTGAATTTTCCTTATTCGACTCAATAACATCCACTACGGTTTTTTTGAAATTTTTCGAGTAGTCTTCCTCTTCATTAGTTATCACAACATTCAGTTTTTTAAATAATTCAATTTTTGTATATTCTAAATGGTCTGCTAACCGCTTGACGACTTTTTCAATAAACTCCAAGGATTCATCATAATCATCGTCTGTAATAACTTTGCCGGTGGCACCAAATTCATGGAATGTCACACCTTGCTCCTTTGCTTCTTTTCGACGCTTTTCAATGACATCTAAATGTAAGCGGGATAACTTGGAAATTAATTTATCATCTTTGAGATCTTGAGCAATTTTTCGAAAAGTTTCTTTCGTTGGAGCTTGATTTTTTTTGTATGATTTAATTTCTTTCATTGTTGCTACCATTTGTGGAGAATCAAAAATCATTTTCTGCTGTTGGTGATTGTTTTTAAATTTCGAACTGAGTGGTTGTAATTCTCCATTTGGAGTCTCTGCTATTGTACTGTCTTCGTCATTAATTTTGATAGAAATTAGAGATTGCGAAGAGCTGTGATTAGTGCCAATACTCATTGAACTATTGGCTCTACTGAACGATCCTCGTCTTTTCAAAGCATTTAAATTACCCACAGTGTTTGATCTACCTGGAGATGGCATCAGTGAGAACCTGCCTGGAGATGGCATCGGGGAATACCTACCAGGTGATGGCATCGGTGAATAAAAACCAGAAACTGAATTCGAACGACCGGGTGATGGCATTGGCGAGCTTGAAAACCTTCCCGGTGAGGGAAGAGGAGAAGAAGTCGATCGACTACTGTTCATTCCCGTAGAAAGAAGCATATTACTATTGTTGTTCGGGATGGAGAGATGAAGAGAGGGAGAAAGTAAGGTCGGAGTCGATGATCGGTTCCTAGAGTGGTCATTATTGTTGTTGTTCGGAGTGGACTGGTTAGACATGGTGGTTTAATGATGATGAATAGTAGTTGTGTTGGGTAATATATATTAGGTGTTAGGGGAGATTGTAAAGCTCTTTAAGTAGTTATTATTTGAAGTATGTGATTTTGCTGGATTTAGTGCATCATTTTTTTATGACATGATCTCGCACGTTTTTTTGAGCGCCAAAATTCGGACTTGCGAAATTTCAAAATGATTCCGTACAGCTGAATCTACAAATTTACTATTTACACTCTCTGATATTTCGCTTTTTAAATCCTCACATTGAATTTGAATTACTGATCAAAACATTTTCGAAGGATTTACCATTTGGGCAAGATCATGAACCTAAAAAATTAAATATTGTTTATTGGCCCTTCGGTGCCTCAATACTTGTCATAAAACAACATTGGACTTCATTTTCGTTTAGATACTACTTCTGAATGTCGAATGTTTTTAACAGGATATCAAATATTAACAGATTACATGCTTGTGTTGAGCAACTGTTAACATGGGTTGAGTCCATGATTCAAACAGAAGGCAAAAATAAAGCAGTGTTTTGTCTGTTAATGCATATGGTTTTCGTTGGTTTGTAAGGTTGAGTCGTCAATTATTGTAAAAAGGTCATGAATAGGTATATATAGTGTTGATGGATATGATATGTTAATAATGATATGTATCGATTACCAGTATTGTCTTCAAAGTTCTAAGTCACAACAATTAATAATGTTGAAGGGCGGAGAGCAGTCTTGGATCCAATATAAGGTGAGATGATTCTTTCTTGTTCTTACATTCATTACACGTTTCTTATCGAATTGTTGATAGCACTGATCATCATAATACAAATATAGTATCTTGCCTTTTTGTCCATGATTAGTATGATCGTGAAGTTTGTTCTTTTGCTTTGTTTTTCTTTTTGGCTTGGCTTTGTCGGTGGATGATTGTTTTTTAGCTTGTGTGGTCCTTCTTGTTTTGCGAGGTTTGTTCTTTGGCTTGTATTCTTTTTTCTTGTTTTGATGGAGTTGGTTGATTCAATGTTGATAATGTATTCTCATCTTTCTCAACTGGTGGATCGTTAGTTTTCTCAACTGATGGATTTTCTCTAAAGGTGATTGCGTCACATAGATGATGTTGTAAAGATTGTAACAAGTGATGCGAATGATCTAATGGCTTCCGTGCCTTTTCTTCACAATTTCTGTTCTTTTCATTTCGTATATATTCATTAAGTTTGGCGTTTAATTGTTTGAGGGTAGCTGAAATGTAATTCGCTTGTTGTTCAATTCTTTCCAAACGTCTTTCCAGGCTGTGGAGCATGCAAGAGTCAATTCTGATGTTCATCTTGCGGTATTTTTTAAGGGCTCGATGAACCTAAAAAATGAAAAAACTGCTTGGCGTTGGAGGCAACAAAGGCTCCACCGTGAGTCCAGCATCATCACCGAATACTTTATCACCCATGATATCATCATCATCATCCCAACCATCACCGATAAATGATTCTGGTAGCCCGAAGGTTGATCCATCCTCAGCAGCTGCTCAAATTCAATCTCATATCAATTCAGGTGATGATTTCATTTTAGCCTCGTTGGTCGAGTCTGGTTTCATCACTGGTAGTATAAAAACTGTCTATGAAAGAGGAAAGGAAGATTCATTTTACAACTCATTGGATGTGTTTCTTGAAAAGCAAAAAACTGAAATTGAACATATCTGCAGCGAGAATTATGAAGAATTTCTCAAGTCCGTGAGTCAGCTGAAAAGTGTTCGGAGTGATGGTAAAACCTTGAAAAAGAAAATAATTTCTCTCAATGAAGATGTTCAAAAAGCAGGAAGAGAGGCTCTTGAATGTGGTAAACAACTGGTCATGTATCACAACATTGCTGACAATATTCAGTCGGCTATGCAAGTTGTTGATTTATGCAAACATGTTTCTACGCTTGCTTCCAAGGTACATACACAGATCCAGGAGCAAAAATATTTCTCTGCATTGAAGACTCTCGATAATTTGGAGAAATCGGTACGAACTGTGCATTTGTTTAGCTTTGCTCAATATCTGGAAAAACAAATTCCAATATTCAGGAAAAAAATTAAACAGAATGTAGAACGAGATTTTAACCAATGGCTGGTTAATGTGAAAAATAAGAGCCAAGAAATTGGAAGGTCAATGATTGAAAAGCAATTTAAACTGATGGCCAATAACGTGAATGTTAAATATAATGATTTTGTGACAAGCAATGAGTTCAACTTTACATTTCCCAACGTAGATATTATCAATGACAGTGTCACAGTATTTGACGTTTTGGCACAACACAAAGTAGAATTAACTCCAGTATATACTTGTAAACATATTTATGAATCTATGGACTCTTATGAACAATTTAAAGGTTACTACAAGAGAAATAGAGCTATTCAATTGAATCATGAGATTACTCATCCTCCCCAGCTGGAAACAGACAAAAAATCCTCCAAAGACACATCCATCTATCCTGCAACGATCCAAGAATGGCTTGAAAGATTAATAGGCTTCTTCACAGTGGAGTCGGTCACTCTTAAAACAACATCTTCTCTCTTGTCAAATATTGAGTTGAATGCCATGTGGGAACAATCTCTTCAGCAAATTGTCACAACTGTTGATGAACATTTAGCTATTCGGATGAACAACCCTAAAGAATACCTAAATATGAAAAAGATGGTATTGATATTTTCAATGACAGCCTCCGAACAGCTTGCTCTGCATACATCATTACTAATAGATTTATTGGCTCACTATAGAATTGCTTTTTCCAGATCTATTGAATTTACAGCAATAGATAACATTGAAAAATCGGATTGTAAAAAACAATTCACAACTGTCAAGCAAACCCCAGAAAGTATTGAGCAAAAGAATTTGAAAAAATTCAACTTGATGAACAGTAGCAATTTAAACGGCAACACTTTGACTTTCCCTTTCTCGGAAATTGTAGTAGTCACTTGTACTGCAATTGAAAATTTCATACTTGACTATGAAGTATATTGCGATAGAATTGTATCATACACCACAAGCATCAAACAGATGAAGAGTGGAGTTTGCAAGCTCTTTGAATGTGCTCTCAAATGTTTAGATCAGGAATTGCACAGCTCATCATCATCAGGAGTTGAACGATATGTACAAACAGTCCTTAACTACCAATACATGATAGATGCAGCACTTCCATATTTTGAGGATTTATATAGCAGGCGATGTGGAAAACAATTGAACACAGCAACCAGCTCTGGAAATGCCTCTCAATCATCATCCTCATCTAAAACCGCGTCTTCCTCGGCCACAACATCAACAATTTCAATCACATACCTCAAGGATCTACTTATCCGAATGCAACAATGCAAAGATAGAGGAGAAGACTTAATTCTCAAAGAGGTTCTTGCAAAATGTAACAAGCAACTCTCTCAAGCCAATAATTTTGTGTTTGCTCCAGAATATCAAGCCGAAGGTGTCATTACTGCTACATTTGGATTAGTGACAGATAACCTAAAGAATCTTGGTAACAACTTGTTGCTCAACAACAATCAATCTCAAATTGACCCTAAACAAGAAATGTATATCGAACCTCATCCTTTCATTATGGAGCTTATCAAAAGTTTGAACTCCTTTTATAAGAGCATTCAATATCTCAAACAAGAAAAGACTGAACAAATCATGTTTTCTGCGTGTGACACTATTGCCAGGTATTTGAAAGACATTATTTCAACTTCAAAAATAGTGAATGAAATTACAATGAAAGGAATGATGCCAATCTATAAGGATGTTCAACAGTTGGTAAAATTCTGCACCGTGGATCTGAATTTAAAGAATTGTGCATTATGTTTTTCTGAATTGCATACTGTGTTGCAGTTCTTGATTGATGTAGAGCATTTTAATGAGGAGGCATTTGTTGTATTTGATGAAGAAACCAAGTCACTTGTCGAGCATGGAGAGGTGGAAAAGAAATTAATCACCAAATTTGAAAAGGAAGAGTCCAACAGAGACAAGACAACTCTATTGGTGGCTATATTGGCCCATTTGAAGATAACACGAACTGAATTTTTGAAACGAACACACTTGAAAAAACCAAAGATTACAGACTTGAAGAACTTGTTTAAAAAGTAAATTCCACATTTGAATATTATTTGTGAGCCTTTACACTAATAATATATCTATCTGGTCGACACAAAGGTAAATCTAACAAACACCGTCGAAGGTAAATTTATCGTTGTGTGTGTGACCTACTTCGGAACAAGTATGATTCCTGAAGATCGAGGTAATGATTACATTCGGCAACAAAGAATCCCTCATGATCAAGAGAATTCAGATTTTTCAATTCAAGGAATGATGGTTCGTGTTGTGGCCAATCGATACACATGCGTAATATGGGATTTGTTGATGCTGCTAATGAAAGTATGAAGCAAGTGTGTTATCCGTATAAGAGATTTATAGTCCAGCTGGAGAAGAAAAACACGTCCAAAGTAAAATTGGTGAGAAAAAGACGAAGATGTGTAGAATTTGTTATGAAGGTATCACATTCAACGACTTGCCTAATGCATTTTTTTCCAAATTTTAGTATCGAATAAAAACTAAAATTTGGAAATAAATGCATTAGGCAATAGGTGAAACCCGGTTACCACCTCGCTCTTGGAGAATTTCGATGCTACCATACTATCGAGCTGTATTACTAACCTTCACTTGTCACTTTAGACAGGGTCCACGAATAGTCATCAGTGTTGCAAAAAGCAAATACGTTTAGCAACTCTTGCTGTTCTTCAAAGCAAATCACAACAACAACAACGCCAGTAAATATGAAGCAACTTCTTGTCCATTTTACAATTTTCGAGAATTTGGGAATTGTTATTCTGGCTGCTGGTCTTTTTGTAAAAACTCCCTCCTCATTCACTAATTATCCTCTTTTCTCTGAGAGTTATCCTAATTCTTATTACCACTATCTTGAATTGTCCTTATTAGAGTATTGTCAACAATGCCTAGATTCAAACATGTTCTTTTTCAAAATTGTATTCATTGTACTGGCTTTGGTGAGTGTGTGTTTGACTCTCTACATCCTCCACTTGATACATGTTAGATCAAACAAATGTGATTCCATCACATGCTTGTTCAGAAAGCATGTCGATTCGTCTGCATGTTCACATGACTGTTGTCATGACAAGATTGAATCGTTAGACCAAAGTGAACTCATCAACCATGGCAAATGTCTTCGAGTAAGCATGTCCTCCAAGAAGGAAGGTCGTTCATCATTCATAATGTTGCTGACACCAAGTGTTATTCTATACTTGTCGATCTTTTCAATGAGTGCCCTTGGATATGTGATCTTGTCTCTGTTTATAGTTTAGTGTCTTGTAAAACAAAAAATGGTCAGGAAAAGGAGGAAGGGTGGTCTCACTTCATTTTCGGGTGTTCCTCCCAGTGACATGTTAAAGCGAGAACGAGAGTATCGAGAATTTCGATCCGATTTGATCGAAAAAAAGAGAAAATTTGGTACATGCAATCCGTGTGAAGACGATCATTATGACCTGTCATTATCGGCGTTGTCAATTCCGTTTGTTGACATTTCAATGAAGTTTGACAAAGCAGACGAAAAGACGACCATCGGTAATCACGACCGATCGTCCAATCGATCAACTACAGACGATGGTTGTGATAAGGATCAATGCTTAACTCGATGGTTGATGGATCAGCTCAATACGCACTTTTGCAATGATTTATGTTTTGAAAGAGTGCCACAAGTGAATTTTTCAAATGTTTTCTCTCCTGAACTCTCCATTGAATTGTCACATATTGATGATTGCTCCTTAAGGAGAGGTGGTATCTCTATTTGTGATGAAAAATGTGATGAAACCACTTGAAAGTCAATTTGCTTTTCAATTAGTGGATGAATTTATCAAACATTCTGAACATTTTAAACCCTCTACAGGAATCAAAACAATGAAAACTGTTCCATACTACCAAGATCATACCAAACAAGTCAATATTTCAACATATCATGTGGATAAATGTTACATTACGTTTGTGTGGAATATGACTTTGAGGCTTGTTATCTATTGCTAAGCCCTGCAGAATACTTAGTTGGGGGGAAGTTATGGTGGCCATACTTTCTATGTATTGCCTTCATTGAGCTATGAGAGCTCTGATGGAAGTTGTGACAGCATTCTTGACTGTTACAAAAGTCCCACCGAAAATCATCAAGAGGATGACAATGACTGGGAGAATGGATATCAAGGGGAAATTGAAGTGTCACACTTGTTGAAATGTTTCAAGAACTTTCTAAATGTGCAAATAAGGATGAGCGAATCATGAGCATTGCTGTTTCCTGTCGCATTTCAGTTTTTCCTAAATCTAAAATTTTCAAATTACTCATCACAAAGCTGCGTGTTAGTGCAAGTACTCCATCATGTCCAATCGATTTATGACTCAAATTGAGAGCTCTTTTAAATTAGTAAGTTTTGAATTGTTTGCAGTTCATGTAGTAGCGCCTTCTTCTGTAAGTGTACACTGGATAAGTTCAAGTATGTGAAATGACTCACATTTTGATTCGTTACAAGTAAAGGCATAGCTCAAATCAAGAGATCGTAACTTCTTCAAGAATTTACTTTTCTTTAAATCAATTAAACAAGCACTAGTAATATTAATTTCACTCAAATTCAACTCTGTTACATTGCTCATACAGGAGCTATTTGTAATCATATAAACTCCCTCATCAGATCCAATATTATTTTGAGAAATATTTAAAATTGTTAAATTTTTCATCAATGGCTATTCACAATAAGCTCAACACCTCTAAAAGTCAGATCTGTATCGTTGATATTCAACTCGGTCAGAAATTCCATCTGTGGCTCTCGAGTGATATCCATTCAGCTCCAACATCTGTAATTGCTTGAAATATTCAATTTTTCCAAAAGAAGGATCTACAAAACACAGCTGCTTTCAAATGTTTTCCAAGTCTTGATTCATGTTCTTGTGATCTGGACAAGACCAATTCACGCCATTGTAAACAAGTATACACTTCCCGAGCACAGTGAAACCATAGTTTTTTAAAGGAGCATCATCACAGATCAACATGAATATCTTTAAATGGTCCAAATATTCTTGAATATAATCCTATCATCGGGTAAAATGGCCAACCGTTTGTCATTTGATCCAACGTTGTTGTTGTGGGCAAAGAGTGAACAATCATCATCAGGTCTTTTGGAATTGAGTAAAAATCAGTGAGAACACCTATAAACATCGACGTATCTACGTTACGGTATTTAAAGAATTCACTTCTTTTCACCTTTCAATCTAATCTTGAACAACACCTCCTGATCACGATGAGGATTCCTCTAGAGTTTCTTCTTCTCCTTGAGCCTTTTTTCATGATCATGGATGATGGTTTGGGAATTCTCAACATTCTCTCAAAGGCTTTTTTCATCTCTCTGCGCTGAAAATCCCTTTTTCAAGAAGGCTAAAAAAATAAACACACACGTGAAAAACAACAACAACAACAACAACAACAACACGCGGATATATTCTCTCATCAACCACACAAAGAAGACGTTCAATTTTCTCTCTTGGCGTGATTGATCACAAAAACACAAGACGAAACCAAATTGTATTATTTCATCATCATTATCATTATTCGCGGAATATACTCTCTCGAAGTATATTAGTAATCGGAATTGAAACTTTCTTGTAAAAACAACAACAACAACAACAACTTTGAAAATGATTTCATCGGGAAATAGAGGTGGCGGAAGAGGAGGAGGACGTGGTGGTGGACGCGGAGGACGTGGTGGAAGTGGCCACACTGAAGGAGGAGGTAGTAGAGGTGGTGGAAGAGGAGGAGGCAGTGGTGGTGGACGAGGTGGACGAGGTGGTGGTGGAAGTGGCCATCAGTTCTCCTCTCAACAAGCATCATCAAGTAGTAGTGGAGCAGGCCAACAACAAAGATTTGGCTCCAGACCTCCAACAGCATCAGAAGCATCAAGCTCGTCCTCATTTGGAAATAGAAATGCATTGAGTAGTGTCAAGATTACCTCAAGATCTATTGATACCTTGCAAACACCAAAACAAGTCACTGGAGAAACTGGTGTTGTGACTTCGACTACTATGGGCAATGCAGGACAGCCTATCAAATTATTAGCCAATTACTTTACATTACAGTTGCCAGAAGGCTCTTTCTGCCAATACGACGTCAAAATTTCTCCAGATTTAGACAACAAGAGAACATGCTCCGCGTTAATGCGAGATGTATTGAAAGGTGTCATCTATGTATATGACGGCCATAAGGTTCTCTACACAAAAACACCTCTCACCAAGTTGACCACAGAAAAGGTTGAAAAATCTATTAAGCACCAAGATGTTACTTATTCATTCAAAATCACCTTCACACGATCTCTCTCAGGTGCTGATATTCATCCTTCTGTTTTACAACTTTTCAACAACATTTTCAGAAAAGCGCAAAAGGCTTTGAATTTCCAACAAATTGGAAGATTTTTCTACAATGACAGTGACGAAGTCGTTGTATATGTGCCTGAACATAATGTCAAGATTTTACCTGGCTCCATTTCCACCACGTACATCAGTAATAAGGGAATTCTCTTTAACGTCGACATTATCTATAAGACTCTTAGAACAGACACTGTGTTGCATATGATACAAGATCTCGAGAACAAGTTTGGCCAAGGTAATCCACGAGTCAGGAATGATTTGAAGAACACGATCGTGCTTTGCTCCTATAATCACAGAACAGTGCACATTGATGATGTGGATTATTCAATAACTCCACGCAGCACATTTAAAAAGAAATCTGGAGAAAGCATTTCATATGTGGACTACTACAAGCAGCAATATGGCATCACCATTAAGGATCACAAACAACCGTTGTTACTTCACAGAGATAGAAAGGATCGCTCAAGAATTGAGTACTATGTTCCAGAATTATGTCTCATGACTGGTATTACTGATGAGATGCGAAAGAACTTTAAGGCTATGAAAGCCATTAAACAAGCCACTGGCTTGTCTCCAAACGAAAGAATTCGGCAAATTGTCAAGTCCATTCAAGAGAGCAACCAGAATACTAACTTCCACTCTGTATTAGATGAATGGAACATTTCTGTAGACGATAGGGTTCTTGAAATCAATGGTAGAATTCTGCCCTATGAAAAGTTGAAACTGGGTAACAAGAAGGAAATCCCATTACAAGGAACTACTTGGGACATTCGTAATGATATCTTGCTTAGACCGGTAAAAGTAGAGTCTTGGGTGCTATTTTATCCCAAAGGAAGTATCAAGGACGTGGAAAACTTTTGTGAAATCCTTTACGAAGTTTGTAAACCCATTGGAGTACAATTCAGCTCTCCCTTGAACTGTGAAATTTCTGACACCAGAGAAAGAGGATATGAGAATGAGATTAGACAATTTCTGGAAAAGAATAAGAATAAGCAGATTCAATTTTGTCTGATCATATTGACCTCCGATTCGAAAATGACCTATGATGCAGTGAAGAAAGTGCTCGTCAATGACTATGGCATTGTCAGCCAATGCGTTAAGAAGTCAACCATTTCGGAGCCAAAAGGAATACACTCCAAGGCTACCAAGATTGCAGTTCAAATCAACTCTAAACTTGGAGGAGCTGCATGGACTGTCGGCTTCTCCTTCCCTGGTCCCACCATGATCTGTGGAATGGATGTTTATCACTCTGGTGAAATTTATACTAGAACCAAGGCCAGTTGCGTTGGTTTCGTTGCCAGTATGGACAGTAGTATCACCAAATTCTATACAAGATGCATTGTCCAGGAGGCAGGAAAGGAAATTGTGAGCTCTCTTGCGCCAATCATTAAGAGTGCTATGGAGAAATTCAAAGAACTCAATAAGGTCTATCCTAAGAATATAATATTCTATCGAGATGGTGTCGGTGAAGGCCAAGTTGAAACAGTTCTTAACACTGAGGTTCATAGCTGTCAAAAGGTGATTAAGGAGTTGAACAGTGACACTCAGCTCACATTCTTGACCGTTATGAAGAGAATTAATACCAGATTTTTTGCACCTAAGGATGGTAGCACTCAAGATTTTACCAATCCAAAGGCAGGCACAGTTGTAGATACTGGTGTCACTGGTCCGAATGCGATGGAATTTTTGTTGGTTTCGGTTGATGTTCGTGACGAGCAAGGAACTGCCACACCAACCAAGTATCAAACCATTCTGAATGAGGCAAACTTGGGTATGAACTTTTTGCAACAATTGACGTTCAAGTTGTGTCACGTTTATTCGAATTGGTTTGGAACTATTAGAGTTCCTGCACCATGTATGTATGCACACAAGATTGCCTACTTGATTGGTCAGAATACTCACAGAGATGACTATCAACAAGCTCTGAATGGAAAATTATTCTATTTGTAATGACGTGATCGAGTTTGTTCGTCTCCACCACATCCAATAACATGTGTAAATAAACAACATGACATTTAAGTCATGTCTGTAGTCTATATTTGTTGTTTTATTTGGGAATGATGACCAATTCGTCATATCCAGTTTCTGGATCTAGCTTTCTTTCAAAGTAAACGTCTGTCAGCTCATTTAACACAATTTCAACTGTGGTGTAAACCATGCAGCCTTCCACCATGTGTCCACCAAAAGTACTTCCAGTAAATCCATCAGAAATGGACATGTGGATATGTGGAATAATATCCGAATAATCGTTTGTTGTTGAATTGTAGTTGGCCGATATCGTTCCGCTCAAGCTTACAATTTCATAGGGACCCTTTTCGAATGATGTTGAAAAGTCTCTATTTGCTAATCGCATCACTGCTTTGCGAACAGAACCCACTACAGCTTGAACTGTGACAGCTCTCAACTTGTTCACTCGTGTAAATTCCATCAATACTTGAAGAATATCTTGATTGGGAAAGAGGCGCATCGGATATGAAAAGGATTTTGAAGGGTAGGCTTTCGGAAGAATTGATGATGGTGTGGCATGAGTTAAATTTGGAGATATCGAACTCAAACACACCAATAATTCGACCAGAAAGAATTGGCCAGGACATATTCAATGCTTTGATGTATATATTTGTAATATTCGAATAACCACAACTTGGCGCGATCACCTGTGGTGGTTCTTGTGGATCGAAACAAATGGATGAAGTCACGATTTGATTTTTTTGGCTTTGTGGACCTTAGGAAGGACAAATAAAGTTGGGCAGTAGGAGCCTTGAATATTCTAATAAAGATTCCAATCAGCAGTTTACTTCTTCTTTGAAAGTGTTCGTTGTTTCTCTCCAAATTCCACAATCTTCTTATCCAACATTAAACCCTTTCTCTTTCTCACTTGGTCAATATATTGTTTTGCAATATTTGGAATATTGGCAAGTCCTCGTTCTCCCCACTCTTCCAATTCATCCTCTGTTGTGGGAACATAGAATGGATCGACTTCTAAAATTTGCCAATGTGAGAAGGCAATTTGAGGTTGAGCAGCACCACTTGTTTTAGTTCTCAATTCCTCTGCAAATCCAAAACTTTCAGCAACAGGTAAATAACATTGAATAATGAACAAATTACTTCCTTCTTCCATATCGTCAGAATAAATCTTGGCACGACGTCTTCTCAATACATCACACACAGATCCAACACTTTCATTGCTTGCTTGAATTTCACAGTGATACATGGCTTCGACAAGTCTTCTTGGACTTGAATCAAATGCTTTACGACATGCACCTTTCACAGCACTCATAATTTGACCTGTGAATGGTCCACCATGATCTTGATATTCGGTTGAGATGAATCCTGGAGAAGTAGTAGTGTTGGTGGTAGTCAATTCTTGTGATGATGATGATGCTTGAGGAGTTTGTGAAATACTTGTTGTGTCACTACTACTCATGGAATTCACGTGTGGAGAGACAGAGCCAGGAGATGGTAAAGATCCTTGCAATGTATTCTTCTCTTCAAAAATCACATCCTCAACACAAAAGCATACTCCATACATGGGTTCATCACACAATGGTCCAGATGCTGTTGCTAATTGGAAGCCAGAAATGAATGAGTGATCGAATTGTTTCAGTAATTCCACACGTTGTTGTTGCTGTTCAGGAGTGAGTGTTGTTTTTGGACCTGTGTTTGATCTTGTTGTCGTGTTAGAAGTAGTGGCAGCAGCTGTAGTAGTTGAGAGTGTCAATGTATTCTCCTCCTCATCAGCAACACTGCTACTTTTAAGAGTATTTTGCGACTGCTTGACACCACTCGACAACAACATGTTTGAAATTTGCTTATGCAATGGTTCAAAATATGGAGGTCTATAATCACTGATATGATTCAGGAGAATATTGGGTCCAATACGTCGAGGTCCCAAACACCACAAATTGTCCCACTCTTGTTCCCATTGTTTTCCAGCTTTCACAAATTCCATTCTCAATTGATCAATAACTTCAGAGGTGACAAAGACTGCAGTTCTCTTTAAATCATGATTAGAAAAGTAAGCTCTCAGATCGTCTCTATGTTTGTCAATGAATGATGCAATGTTATCTGGGAGAGGAATGGCCTTAATAAGAATGGTCCATTTCTTATTGGCTGTTTTCTTTTTAGCAATGGATGGAGGTTGTGAAAGAGCACCACTCTCAGTCACTACTTGTGGTGGTTCCACAATGGTTTCTCTAAAACTCACCAATGGTGGAGAGACAGTAATGGGTACTTTTGCAAATTTTTCATTCAAATCTCGAATGCAACGCTCTGCATGCACTTCACCTGCCGTGACAATGACATGTTCTCCAGTTTCTTGAACAAGAACTTCAACGGAAGGATCTGCTTGATTCAATAACTTCAATCCACGGACAAGTTTAGGCATGTCCATTAAATTCTTTGGCTCAATAGCAAATCTCACAATGGGAATGGATTGAATGTACATGGATGAGAAGATGGGTGAATAAATACTCGATGAAATGGTTGCTGTTTTGAGAATGTGTTTCCCAACTCCTCCCAGTCCAAATACATTACCAGCTGCAACACTGTCCACACATTCCAATCCTCTGCCCATGAGAAGATACAATCTTTCAACTTTGAATTCAATTCGATCCTCGTTGGGAGATGATGCATTGTATCGTGGTCCAAGAATGTGTAAGGTTTGTCCAACTCGGATCGTTCCACTGAAAATTCTACAAAATGCCACTAATTTGTTGGTAGCAATGGCTGCCGTAGAGAGTGCTCCATTTGTGCCTTCTTCTTCTTCATCGTCGTTAGCGATATTGTGAGTGCTGGAAGATGGCATTGACTCGAAGGATACACTCTTTTTTTGATGCTCATCAGCAGTAGTGGTGACGGTGGTGGTGGTGTTGTGATTAATTTCACTACTAGAAGGTTTGTCTTCTTGTTGTTGTTGATGTTGATCTTGTTGCTCCTCCAATGTACTTGTTTCACTATCGAGTGATGCTTGAGCTTGCACACCCATACTCTTTTGCTTCAATCTCTCTTCTCTCAACTTTTTCAATCGTTCTCGTTGAAGTTGGATGTGATCCATTTTGGATGAAGATCCACCTTGTGTTGGCAATTCATCTGCTTCGAACATTTTAGAGACAAAGATCATTACTTCAGCATTGTCACTCTTGTCGCACTCCAATAAATTTTTCTTCAACTTTCTTCTTTGTACTCGGATGTCATGAATTAATTTCGATAACTTATTATCAGAAGCGTCTCCGCCCAATGGAACATTATCTTGAGTAAAGTCTTTTTCATCCACAGTTTTCAATTCAGGTATCAAATCTAAAATACGTTCTTTTTGTGCCTCTTGAGGATTGGGTAATTTAGTCACAACCATTTCCAAGATAGAGTCTGAAAGTGGCAACCATTGATTCATTAATGTTTTCAATTGAGTCTTGTGATCATTTTTGGAGAGAAATGCCTTTGATAAGTTCAACTCTAACGATTGAATCATTTTCTTGATCTTCTCTTCATCTCTATTTATCAACACACAGTCATAGGCGTTGTAAATGTTTTGCAAGATAAATTGAACGAACATGTTAGGCTGATCGTCACGAAGTGGCTTTTTAGAAATAGTTTTCTTTTTAGCATTGAGATAAAAATCGCCCCACAATGTTTGTTGCAGAGTGTTCTTATTCATGCCCATTTTCTTAGAAAATAGTTCAGCAAATTCATTAATTCTAAATCCCCATCCGTCATAGGCGCTAGCGAATAACACGTTTCCTTTTTGAGGGGAAAAGAAATCATTACTATCCACTTGATACTCATCAAATACGTTTGAATAAACTTGTTTGGTTTTCGTTACGTCTGAGCTATCTTCAGCGTTCTCCTTGTTGTCAGTTGTCTCTTCATCTGTGTTGATTTTTTTAAATAATTGTGCGGTCACAAATGTTGTCATTAAGACATTGACCTGTTGCAAAATGTGCAACATTTGTCGGTAAGCCTCCATTGGTGTCATTTGTTTTTCCAAAATTAATCGATCAATTTTGTTTAAAACCAAGCATGGTTTAATGTGTTCTCTGAATGCTTGTTCTAGAACTGTTCGTGTTTGAGTACAAACACCTTCTACAACATCAACCAAGACAAGGCATCCATCGCTGAGACGAGCAGCCGTCGATACTTCACTACTGAAATCGACATGTCCTGGAGAGTCAATCAAGTTGATGACATAATCTTTAGTGATTGTTGAAGAAGAAGAATCTGATTGTTGTGAAACTTCGTTTTGAGAGGATGATTGGATTTCCTCCTTTCGTCGATATAATAAACAAATAGCACTAGATTTCATTGTAATTCGTTTTTCTTGCTCGTAGGCTGTGCTATCCATATATCTCATTTTGCCTGCAAGATTGGTAGAAATAATTCCATTACTGGAAACAAGAAAATCGGAGAGTGTTGTTTTACCGTGGTCGACGTGAGCAATGATGCAAATATTCCGAACATTGCTTGTACATTGTTGGGTTTGATGAAGTTTTTCGGAAGATATATGCGTCAGAGTCATGATGATGATAATGTGTGTGTTCTATTTTATCTATGAACGGTTTTTGTAATGATATTCAATAAATAATGGTGTCGGAATGATGAGGAGAGTGTTTATGAGTTGTTTGAATTCGTTGTTGGAAAGGGTTTATCGTTCGAAAGAGAGAAGATGAAATTTTTTTTGAAATTTGAACACGACTATCGGATTAAACTCAAAGTGCTGGTCGAGTTTGAGGTTGCATTTCATTGTTGAATCAACACATGGTCCACCAGATCTAAACAATCCTCTTGGTGATGTTGTAGAAGGCTCAAGAGTGGATTGTAAGATTTGATTTTACTTCAATTAAATTTAACTAAAAATCATCATCGACAAGTTTGTGACGATTTGGTTCCTCAGAGGTGTATGCTTTCTTTTGGTTGTTAAACTCCAATTCTTCTTGTTTACGTTGTTGTCGAATATCCCACAATTTTTTTATGGCAAACAGTAGTAAACAAATGCCGAGCACAATTAGTAGTTTCCTAATTCTTGATGGCAACATGGATCTCATATATTGTTGATGGAATAATTTGATGAGGGGATATTTCTTCTCAATAGAAGGACACTTTTGTTTCAGTTCTCTCAGGTTTTTTCCTGCCATGAATGAATAGAAATTTGCGGTTTGTCTAAATGCTGGTTTCAGCTGGCGATCTTTCTTAACCTGTATCGAGAAGGATTGCAATAAAAATGTGTGTAAAGTTTTCGTATTTTCCAAAGTGTAAGAAGCGACTTGATCACTTCCATTATAATATTTGGTTAAATTGGAATATTCTCTGGTCAGAGTAGCAATATATGTGTATAATTGAGCTAATTGATAATATCGACGCTCTCTATCCATTTTCAACATTTCTAATTCTGTTTCATTAAAATGTTTTGAATATTTCTCAATATTCAACTCAGCAACGTCAGCTGCTAATCCAAGCATATAAAGTGCTTTCCTAAACTGTAAGTCTCCAATCAAGTATTTTGCGTACAACTCCACTTTGGAAGCATCAAGTACCTTTTTTCTATTGATCTCTCTATTGTTTTGGAATTCTGTTGGAGACATTGTTTCTTGTAGTTTCATGAGCTCACCGTTGCATTTGAGAAACTCTTTCTCGGCATCAATCAAGTTTCTTTTGTTATATAAATAACAAACAGTAGGATGCTCTTGTTGTGCCTCCAATGTTTCAAACCCTAATTCTTTTAGCTTGATGTACAATCTTCTGAAATAAATATCAGCTTTTCTCTCATCATCTATCTTTAGGAGATAATAAATCTTTTTACACAAAGCACTGCAGTGGTCATGCAAGCTCTCCAAAGAGGGTTTTGAGGATGGTGAAGACACCGGTTTCTGTTGATAAATTTCCAACTTGTTGTCAACTGCAAACAGTTCTTGTTCAGTAAATCCAACTAAATCCATGATGGACGGTAACGGAACTTTTAATGCAATTTCAGGCCCATTTTGTTTCAACTCTTCATGCAAAAATCTCCTACTTGGTTTATCCACTCCAAGAAATAATGAATGATTTAAAATTAATTTAATTTTATAATAGAGAGGATCCGAAAGAGCTAAATCCGAAAACACTTGACTGCTATACATGACTGAAAAACTTTGAGTGGTTTTGATTTTGGGATAGAGTGAAGACAATTCTGCTTCCAATAATGTCGGTGTCTGAGAATCTTTATCATTTGTGTAGGGTGAAAAAGATAAACATTTCAAGGATTGATGAAAATATTTGCGTGATGATGAGGTTAGGAAGGACTGCATCGTGTTGGTGGTGTTTAATGATAACGAATGAACACTGAGCTTATGGTCGAGATGATGAGGAGTGATAATTATCGGAACACCACTCCCTTCCGGAAACAAGGTCTGTTTCGAGCAGCATCTCGGACCGACCCTAGAGCACGACAAAAGCAGTGATTTGAGCATTTTGTTTTGAAATCATAAAATTGATTGGAAGTTATTCTGGAGCACAGTTTCGGAAGCACATGCGCACTTCTCGTTCGCAACGGGATCAGAATGAAAGGTCATTGGAGAGTGTTTATCGACATATACGATTCCGCCTGAGGCGGCACAATTTGTTTCATCATTTGAGTTGTTTTCATTCATCTCAGCGAGGGTGATACGTCTGACGGCTTTGCTCGACATTATCCGTGGTGAGTATTTTGGGTTTAGAAAACTCAAAAAAATATTTCTAAAATATCAAACAGTGGCATAATCAACAATTTGCCCTCACCCATTTCTTTCGAATGGCGTAACACCACATAAAGAGCAATTTATCTCTTGGCAACTTCAATCTCAATTTGAAACCCAAGTGTGTCACCACCTCAATTCCAGGTTACACATTGCATTACAAAAAAATGAATTCAAATCCTTCCTCTGCTACAATCACTCCAGCTCGAACCAAGAGAATCATTATTCAACACAATAGTCATGGAACCACTCTCCCATCAAATCAGCAACTTGATTATAGCAGCTCTGGCTTATCCGGCACTGATGAAGATGAGATTTTCTTTGACTCGGAGAGTTATTTGAGTGGAGATCATGCCGGAATTGATAGAAACTCAACTGTGTTGAGAGGTGGCAGAAGGTTGAAGAATAATTTGCATTCTTCGAATCTCAATGTTGGAAGCGAAACAATCAGTGGTACCACTTCTGGCAACACATCCGATAACATTCCGATCACCAGTAATACAGGAAATGACATTGAATCAATGTCCTCAGCACATTATTCATATCCCCCCATGTCTACTGGTACGAATGTAATGGGGGCTACCACTCACATCGGTGTTTCTAATGAATTAAACAGGAAAAAGAAACTACGTAAAAAGAGTTTGCAATATCAACAAGATCAATTCCTCAAGTCCAGCTTTAAAGAATTCAAAGACTCGCATGGCTTTTATGGAGGCGTTCTTACGGAAGAAGATTATAAGAATTTATTTGTCATTCCGCATGAAGAAATTTTCACAACAGAGCACTTTAGGACTGTGATTGAGCCTGCATTGAGGGAATATGAAGATGCACAATCACGACAACGTCAACAGAAACACCATAAAACATACAAAGAGATGACTGTGAAAGAAAGATATCACAAACTAGTTGACAAACAAGCTAGAGAGGCTCTACAAAGACAATACGATGTAGAATTCATTTCACTTTTAGAAGACATTTTAATTCCGTTCATTAATCAAAGAAAAGTGGAGTCGAATATCGATATCGAAGAAGAACAAGAACCTGAAAAGAACAAGGAAATGCTCATGGAGAGACTGAAAGGCAATTTTATGGTTTTGTCCTTAGCTGATAATCATAGACGTTTTCTTGCACATGCTGTTTGCCAATTTTATGGATTGAAATCATTCTCCACTGATTTTGATTCACAAAGAGTGACAGTAATTTCTAAAAGAAGACATTTGGTCGAAACAGACCAATATCCACTCTATGAAACAAAGAAAGATTTACTCTCCACCTATTTGGCTCAATTCAAGCCAGAAAAACCATCCTATATGATCGGCAATGATTTATTCAAATATGAATGCAATGAAATTACCGTACTGGACAAGAAATCATTTGTAAAGCACTACAGAAAGAAGAAAAAGCACCACGAATAAATCTTGCAATCAAAACTGCGCTTGTCATACCTTTCAGCGCTAATTCTCTGGGTCGAACGTTCTTCGTCATTTTCAACGCCTCCAATAGAGCAAATCATTACCAAAAAAAAAGACTTGCTCGTTTTCTGAGCTGTCATCACCATCGTTCGTCTCTTGTTGTGGAGTGCTCAGTCATTCTTGATTGGTGATTGTGTTTTTCTCTTCTTCTTGTATCAGTGAAAAAACAACTCTGAAAACTCTCTACGCGTTGTTCATCCGTTGCAAACGATTTGCTCATACTCCCGAGAGAAATTTGGTTCCTCGCCTTTCCATTTCCTGTCACCTCTCAAACTCGTTTCTCCTTTTCTTCAGGATCATCACTAAAAAATGAAAGGGCTCTCTTTCTTCAATAGAAACAAGAATAAAAACAAGGGAGATCAGAAAGGCAAAGAAGGAGGCGATGATGGAGGTTCATCATCTCCTTCTGCTCTTTCACCCGGAGGAGGTAACAACAACAATAACGGCTCATTATCTTCCCGATCTGCTTCCACGTTTAGTGGAGCAAGTAGCACCAGCAGCAACGATAGTACTTTGTACACTAATAACAATACATCATCATCATCGACCAACACCACTTCCTCGACTCTATCATCATCATTGGGTACGTCCTCACCCATTAGTAGTGGCGGTGGTACCATCAACAACAATAACGACTCGACTAGTGTACTGGACAACATTCCGGCCGTTGCTGTAAAGACTCTCATCGCTAAAACACTCCAAGCAATTCATGAGGTTTGTGAGCTTCATGGAGAATATTTGACCATTGCTATCGATGATGAGCAATTCAAACAAAAGCTCTCTAGTCTACCCAAATCAGAGATTAGAAAACATATTGATTTGTTAATTGGAAAACGGGATGTTTGGAGTAGCGAGTCTGAAGAAGTATTTGCGTTTAGATATAACATCAGAAAGGCTCATCAAATGAGCGAGAACAAGTCCATAGAGAGAGGTGATTTGTTGCCTCCTGTCTATCTCACTTCTGATACGAGCTTTGATCCGAATATTAAATTCTATTGTAAAGTGAATTTGGTTGGAGGTAAGTACGAACGAATTGTTTATTATGATGATTATGCTGATCATACCAACACATTTCATTGTATTTACAATAACAACAACAACTATAATGATCTATCACGAATTTCTCATCATGACAACAACCACAATACACCAATTCTGTGTGTGAATATCATTGATGTTTGCCAAAACATCAAACGACAATGTTAAAACGTCAAACAATGTTTTTGTATTAATCCATGATTTGGGAACAAACGAAATCATTGACATCTCTCAGACAACTTTCAAAGAATGGTTGACTGTGAACCATTTATGTCTGCGGATGACTTTGCCGACTTTTTCATCAACAAGATTAACAAGTCACATTTATTGAATAGAAAGAAAGAGGACGTAAGTATATTTACTTTGTTAGAACATTTCATCATCATTTGACTCATGTTCGTGATGGCCACCGTATATCCTGGTTAATCATGTGGGTTGTATCATTACAAATCAAATGTCAATTTATCAACACAATACTGACAATTTACCACATTCGTTCTTTGATGTCGCTCGTCAACATACATGTGGATTTTTTCCATTTGTTCATCACCTTTTTCATCATGCTAACTATTTCATCTGTATTTCAATGATCGTAACAGTGGATCTTCAAAGCAACAGGTACATCAGAATACATTTACGGTAATGAAAGAATGATTGATTTCGAAGTCATTCGTAGATGTCTCAAACGTGGTATCACTCGAGTACAATTGAACCTCATGGACAAAGAGACTGTACTGAGAGAGTTGGATCCATATGACATGAATCTCAAGACTACAGATTATGATTTTGAATACAAACGCACACACAGATACTCGGTGCAAGATCATGCACGATTTCGTAAATTCCAAAAGGACATCCACAATAGAAAACATATGTATTTACACTATTCAAAGTTCTGTGGAGAGGAGAATCCCTACAAGTCATCCATGCATGACCATGACGACGACTCTAATAGTTTTACAAGTAACAGCGGTAGCAATGCAGCTGCTATTGATGAAGATGTAGATATGACATGGATCCGAAGGGTTGACGAACAGTCGAACAGCTCTACAAGCAGCACTTCCACAAGCTCTCTCACACATGATAGTCTCACTCTCAACAATCACAACAGCACCGAAACACTTATCAAACAACAAAAAGCAATCACTTTATGGGATCTACATCGTCCTTTCCGTATCAAAATTATGGGTATTGACAATATTCTAAATGCAGATAATGTTTTGAAGTATGGAGTACCTGGATTAGAGCGAGAAGCGATTGAGGGAGATCGTTTGATTTATGTAACTGCTCAAGTTTTTTTGGGAGGAATGCCATTGACAAATTGCAGAGTTACAAGATGTGTGTTATTCTCTGGTAATAAGTCAACTTGTCCACGTTTCAATCAATACATTACCTTCCCAGAATTGTACACTTCTGAATTGCCACGAGAAGCAAAGATTTGTCTGAGTGTGTACAGTAAGCCTTACTCTCAGAATGATCCTCATTTGATTATTCCTACGAATCGTTCGCCAACCATCCAGGATTTGGTTAAGATTTGCAATTGTACCATAAGAAAGGGAGTTATTTCTGAGAATACTGTTAACAGCGCAAACAGCAGTGGTGCAACTCTCAATTCATCGGGTGGATCTTCAGCCATCACAATTGTAAACAACTCACCACAGTCAACCTCTGTACCAGGTCCTAATATTCAAATACTAGGAACATCCCCTATCTCAAACCCAACCGATATGAATGGCGCTGTTATTAATGCAGCTGCTGTGGACGATGAGGAAGTGATGGATCATGAACATTTAACATCAGTAGAGGGCAAAAAATCAAAGGGTGACAAGAATGCAATGAACGCAATGCCTATTGGTGGATTGAACTTCCAATTATTCAATTTTTGTGGAACTTTGAAGCAAGGAGCATACTCTTTGAAATTGTATCCAAACAAAGAGGCTAGACCAATTATGACCAGTGGAGAGTGTAAATTGAGTAGTATTGGAATTTCTTTCTGTTTGGATGAATACTTGTTGCCAGTGGTATATCCTGATGATGAGGATTCATTCTCTTCTTGCGTACAAACTGACCAAACAAACACCTCTTTCAACAATACCCTGCAGGAATTGAAGGAAAGAAAGGAGAATTTGTCGCGCTCTTTGAGCAGTGCAACTCCTGGAACTTTTGACAATAGTGGAAGCTTATCAGCAAGAAACAAATCCCATACACAATCACCACTTTCAATGATGTCTTCACTTTCGGATTCCTCGTCAAATACCTCTTCATATACTTCTCAGCTTCAAACTACCAAGCCAATAGCACCTAATAAGCTCAAAATCAAACACCTTCCAGAACATTTAACAAGACGTTTCGAAGAATATGTTGCCAAAAAGAATTCTGAAATTTTGCGATCTCCAGAAATTATTGAAAAGAAACTTGAGAAAATTTTGCACTATGACCCTCTTAAGACGCTCAACACAGAAGAGCGTTGGTTATGCTTTACAAATAGAGACAAGTTGTACAAGAATCCAAAAGCTCTATCAAAATTCTTACTCTCTGTACCATGGAAATATCCAGAGGCTAGATTAATTGCAAAGGAATATTTAGCTAAGTGGTCTGTAATGGAACCTATTGATGCTTTGGAATTGTTGGATCACAACTTTGGAGCTAGTTTCATCCGAGAATATTCCATTTCGAGATTGAATCAACTGTCTGATCAACAATTGTGTAACTTTTTACTTCAATTGGTTCAAGTTTTGAAATTTGAAAGTTATCACGACTCAGCTTTGGCTAGATTTTTATTACAGCGTGGCTTACGTTCTCCGAATATTATTGGTCATATTTTGTTTTGGCATTTGAAGGCGGAAATGTACGTTCCCTCTATTTGTGAACGACATGGCTTGATATTGGAGGAGTACTTGAGAAATTGCGGCTCCCATCGTGTCGCTCTTTTGCAACAGTCTGGAGTGCTCAATCAACTTAATATCATAGCGGAAGGAGTGAAACAGATAAAGGACAAGGAAGAGTGCAAAGAGTATGTGAGAACATGTTTGGGCGAGTTGAAACATCCACCCAAATTTAAGCTACCACTTTCACCTCGTATGGAAGTGAAAGGTATAGAAATAGATCGATGTAGAGTAATGAGTTCGAAGAAAAAGCCACTTTGGTTGGTATTCCAGAATGCAGATCAAACTGGAGAACCCATTCAAGTCATGTTCAAGGCTGGTGATGATTTAAGACAAGATTTATTGACCCTACAAATTCTCTCGATCATGGACCAATTATGGAAGAAGAAGTCGTTGGATCTACACATGAATCCATATGGTTGTATTTGCACAGGAGATCAACAAGGTTTTATTGAACTTGTCATTGATAGCGACACTGTGGCAAATATTACTGCAGGTGACAACGGTGGTATTGGTGCAGCTTTGAACGCTTTCTCCTCAGGACCTCTGGAAGAATGGCTCATAAAGAATAATGGTGGAGATAAGAGTTCCAAAGAATATGAAAAGGCAGTTCAGAACTTTACATATTCATGTGCTGGATATTGTGCTGCCACTTATGTATTAGGAATTGGTGACCGTCACAATGACAACATCATGTTAACTCGAAAGGGAGACTTATTCCACATTGACTTTGGTCACTTTTTAGGAAATTACAAGAAGTTCAAAGGAGTTTACAAGAGAGAAACTACTCCATTCGTTTTCTCAGCCATGTATGAAAAAGTTATGAAATCCTATGACCAAACCTTTAACACTTCGTACTTCTCCCAATTTGAGGAGTTGGGAGCAAAGGCTTACAACATTTTGAGAGAGAACGGCCATTTATTAATGAATCTTTTCCTCCTCATGCTTGCAACAGGCATTCCTGAGCTTCAATCAGTATCAGACATCAAGTTTTTGAGAAAACGATTAATCTTAGATGAGACTGATGAAGAGGCTGAGAAACACTTCAAGTCAAAGATTGACGAAGCCTTAGATAATACTAGATCAAAGCTTATGGACTTTGTGCATATTGCCAAACACAAATAAACAGAAACACAAATTGTAATGTACATGTCAATATTGGCCAGATTAATTCGCTGTGGCAAACAACCAGTGATGATGAGCAAAAAGAATCGATCTGTGACAATCAAGAGACCGCCAGCAACAGTTGAAGGATGATTTCCCAAGCCCGCCCAAAACGTTATAACTGAATTTTTCATTTAAAAAAATGTCGTTTCTAAGGGTTTCTTCAGGCGAGGCTGTGTCCTACACGAAGCCATCAAGTAAGGCTTTTCAATTGAATGAGGCCGAGTTTGAGGATGATCCCTATATGGCGGAGAAAGTAAAGTCCCTCAAGGCTGCCCAAAAATTGGAAGAGCAATTTCAAAGTAAGTTTCGTTTCCGTATGATGGTCATGGATCATTGTTTACCACCTCACAAACATCAAAAGACTCATATCAAAGTATTGCATGGATGCGGAAAGCGATTGAGGAGGAAGATTTGAAGCGAGAGATGCTTCATCAACAACAGCAAACACAACGCACAACATCAAATGCAAGCGATGTAAGCGAAGAAAACGAAAACGAAATGGAGGAGTTAGAAATAGTGGAAGATGATCACATCACGGAGTAAGTATGCATCTAGTGATCACTTGTAACAAATATGAATTCAATGACATTAATAGTCAATTAGAATTTACATTGGATGATATTCCATTTCCAGCGAATACAGGAGTGCCAATTCATGAACGATTATTGAATTTTGGCTCGAGCTTGTCACTCAAACTGGAAATGATGAAAAAAGCAAAAGAAGAAAAAGAAAGCGAGCCAGCAGCTCCTCAAATTACGGATATCGCCAAGCAAATCAAACGAAAGGGATCTGTTGAAAATCGTTTAATTCAATCGAGAGACGAGCTTAATGCTAGAATCGAAGAACTTCGATTGAGAAAAGAAAAGCAAGAGCTTGAGGAATTACGTGGCCCAAAGATTAACAAGCGATCGAAGATGCTTAAAAGAGAGGAGCCAACCATTGACAGACTGCTGGGATATAGAGAACAAACTCTTGCCAAAAGAGAAATGATAAAACATCAAATCGAAGAAAAGAAGCAACAGGAAATAACAAACAAGCCCCAAATTAACAAAAAGTCACAAAAATTGAAGAGAACGCTGGAGACAATGGTACAGTGGGAAAAGGAGAGAAATTTAAAAACCGAACAGTTGCGGAATGAAATTAAAAAACAGCAAGAAGAACAACTTCAGAATCCTAAAATCAACCCCATTAGCGAAAAACTCGTGTCACAAATGGAGAGAGGACAAGATATTGGAGAGTATCTCATACAAAGATATGAACAAAAGAAGATGGAAAAGGAAATGAAAAAGAGATTGGAAAAAGAAAAGGAGAGCATAGAGGCAAAGCCTCAAATTTCCGTTCACTCTGCAAATTTGGAGAGAAAAGGAGTTGTTTTCGAAAGATTATATCAAGACAGTTTGGAGAAAGAGAATAAGAGAAGGGAGTTGATATCTCAAATAGAAAATCAAATTAATCATGGCATTGATCCAAACACAGGTCTTCCCCTTCATAATCCTGTGATTAATCCGCGCTCTGCCTTAATGGAGAGAGAAGAGCCTGTGGAAAAAATACTTCTTAAAAAGAAAGAGGAAAGTGATAGAAAGAAGATGGCCTTAGCAGAACGAGAGAAAAAAGTGCTTGAAGCTCATGGAAGCAAAGTTGGAGCTTACAGCCAACTTTTAGTTGAGCTTTTAGAGAGAAGAACACAAACATCGACCATGGACCGTTTAACACGACCTCCAAAAAAACCAGAACCAAGCATTGCTCAAACTTATTCTTTCAGACCACATATTAACCAAAGTTCTGTTGAAATGGATAAATCAAAGAATCATGGTACACCAAGACAAGAGCTACTGCTTCGTAAAGGATTTGAATACGAAATGCACAAAAAAGAAATTGAACAAAAGATTAAGGAAGAGGAAGAGGAATCATTTTCTCCTGTAGTCTCCGCGAAGAGTAAGAGTATGAAAACGCCAAAGGGCTCAGTCATTGATCGATCCTTAGAGTTTATCAGAAAGAAAGAGCAAAAGATGGAATCCGAAAGAAAACTAAAAGAGTACAAGGAAGCTGAGGAATGTACATTTAAACCTAATGTAAAGAGATTGGATGTGAGTCATATAACACCATGTGATTCTCATTTCAAAACCAAAGAAGAGGAGACAAGCTACGCGGCTGCTCTAAAAAACAGGGAACAACTGAGGCAAAAAGCCACCACTCCAAGACAGGAAAGTAAAAAATCTCGAGTGAAGGAGGAGAACAAGAACCCAAATGAAACAAAGAAGGATACTCCCAACAATGCAGGTCCAGTGACAGGAAAAGCCAGTGCTCAGTCAAGTTGGGCTCAACCAAGGCCAAAAAGTCGTGGCTCTTCCTATGCTGCCAAACTCGCCAAAGAACAAGCAGGCCCTATGGAAGAGCAATCAAAACATGCTCCTCAACCTCAAAAACTCAAGTATCAACAAGAGAAGCAACCAAATAATCAAAAGGTAGATGCCACTCGTTCTTCTGTTCCTGCTCAAAATCATCGATATGATGAGTTGGGAGAGCCAAGTAGTGAATTTCTTGACGACAATGATATTGTGTACGAAGATGTGGATCCAGAACTTGAATTTGAGGAACTCAAACGGCTCGTTGAGAATGATAAGGGCAAGATCAAGTCTCAAATTTCCAAAGCACTCCAAGTTGAACCTCCCACAGTCACCAATATGAAGAGTCATCGTTTATCAGATTCACCTTCGATACGTGATTTACTGGACTCTCAGTCTACGTTAACCGAATTGTATCGCCTTTCCAATGAGAAGGAATCTACTTTGAAAGAGGTGGAACGAAACATTCCTTCAAGCTTGACACCTCAGGCCTATCAGATGATTACGGACATGATTCGAAAATCAAAAAAATGAAGGGACTGTTGTAATATACATTCATTGCATTCAATTCACATAAAATAATATTATAATATTATTCGATAGTTACAATATTGTGTGTGGGTTTAGAATGCGCCAAAAATTACAAAATAAAAATACAAAAAATTTTATTTACATGTCTCAACACGATTTCAACGGTAAGTCTGCCGTTTGTATTTTGTTTCTCAAAAAATCACCATCATTCATTGATCTCTGCGATTAGGAATGTCGAGTGGAGGAGAAGAATCCAAAAGCATGTTTGTTGGAGCAAGTCTTCAGTCTACCAACAATCAATTAGTAAAATGTAAGTGTGAGTAATTCCGAGATCAATATATTAATGACTGATTTTGGAAGGTATTGAGGAATTGCGATTAAGAAGGGATGAAGTTACAAGGCAGATTATAAAAGAAGAGGAAGAGAAGAACCGTATCCAAAATGAGCTTCGTGTGCTTTCCGAGAAACTCAATCGCCTCAATGACGGCTTGAGCAGAAAATTACAAGCAAAGCAAGAGTATGAAAGAACGCTGCAAGAAACAGAGGCAGCCTACAACAAGGTAAGATCCTCAGCGACACGTGTGTGTAACAATTTTCATTCCAACAAAATCAATTTCAACAGATTTTGGAGAGTTCTCAAACATTGCTTCATGTGTTGAAACGAGAGAGTGCGAGCCTTTCCAAGAAAGTCGGGCAATAATTGTCTATTATTTCAATATTTCATTTTAGTATTACATGATGAAATTTCTAAATGACCTATAATTGACCACCCAACCATTCTCCAAAAGGGATAACACCACCCCTTTCAACAAGAACACTCCCTCTGAATTGCCTGTCTGTTAAACACGCATGTTGGCTCGTTCGAGTCTCTAATTTCTTCACTCCCAATAAATTCCGCCTTTTTGAAAATGGAAAAAATGTGTGCAAGAGGAGTGCTGTTGTTGTCGAGGAATGACTCTCAAAGACTTTTCCGATGGCTTGTAACACCAAATCAGAATGTTTGGAACAAGCAATGTTTTTCAAAGACAATCATATTTAAAACAACATGTATGACCCGATGTTTTTCCACGTCGAGCACGTTCATGCATCAATCCAATAACCAAGAAAATAATAACATTTCATCCTCTCATCATCACAGCAAATCACACACAGTGGTAAAGCCTCCTGAACCTAGATTGCACAGTTTTGAAGGTCTACAACCGAACGCAACTAATTTAACACAATATAATACTGTAAATCGTTCTCCTCGGGTTAAACATCACATTTACACCGAAACTGATGAACGAGATAGCTTTTCGTCAAAAAATGGAGATCTGGCTGAATCCGCGAGAACATTGACACAAAAAAACCCACAAGATGCTATCAATATTATCAAAACATCTTGTGCACTCGACAGCAATGGGAGGATAGATATTTTACATTTACTTTCTCAAGAAAGAGGTATTGACGTACTCTGGAGACTTCATCAGGCATATTCCGAAATTGGAAACCTTGAGGAAATGAAGCATATTTATTTGACTGTTGCGGCTCAACAAAATATTGATTCTATGTCGAAAAATATGTTTAAACAGGAGTTTGTCACTTGTTATTCTAAGAATGGAAATTTCAAAGTGGCATTTCAATTATTGAACGATCTGCCAATTTCGAGAAAATGGATTTATTTATTTGTTGACACATCAAACGAAATTCTGAAGAGAAATGTTGAAGATGTGTATCTCATCATCAAGTACCTATCTCAGTGCATTGATAATAGAATGGAGGAAATTAAAAAGAAAATTCACAATCCGGAATTGTTAGAGCAATACACTCGAAATATAACCCATGAAGATTCTAAAATCACAACTAATAGCCAGCACACATATCACTCACTAGAAAGCTCGCTCCGAAAAATTAAGTTATTCTTTGAAACTTTTGGCCTTGAATCACGCTTTATCCAATTCTCTCTCATGATTGCTGAAGCCTACTCCTCTCTTGGCGAACAAGCGATCGTAGAGACCATTTTCAAATTTTCACTTGACACAAAAAAGAGTGAAAAACGTCTGAACGAAACTGTCAAATCTAGAAAACTGAAAACATTAGCTATGCAGTCGCTCATATATCAAAACAGACACCAAGACGCTATCTCGTTGTTTTTTGACAAAACCATTCCATCAGATAACAGTAGTTTTGAGCAATTAATGAAAGCATGCATTGAAAGTGGACAAATGGATTTTGCAATTTTTTTATACAACAAGTACATTACAAACCCAACATTGGGCATATATGTTGAGTTAATTAAGGCTTACATTCTAAAAGGGTCATTTCAAAAAGCAGAGGAGTTAATGAAAGAATTTTTGGAGGTAACTACTATCCCAGAGCATCGTAAAATGGTATTGAAGACATTGCTAATAAGAACTTACGCTCAGAATGGCCTCATTCATCAAGCTCAAAAATTATTTGATATCATCACTCGACCTGACACTCAATGCTGCAATGAATTAATGAAAGCATACTGCCACATGGGTGACAGTGTGAAGGTTAGAGAAATTTTCATGAATATTTCTGAAAAGGATGCAACGAGTTATTTGTATCTACTGGAGAGTTATATCATTGATTCTAATTCTGTATCCGCTCTAAAAGCGTATGAGCAAATTCCAGAACCTGCTAGTATTCATGCGGATGCTGTTATACGAACTATTTTGAAAGATGTGAACTTCGGTGGCCTTGGACAAGCTCTTCAATTTTTTTACACACTCGAAAATCCTTCGTTGAGCACTCAGAAACACATATTGAGAGCTCTCGCAAAGTTTGGCACTAAGAATCAAGTTGATGAATTTTTGCAGGGTATACCTAATCCAGATACTGAATGTTTTAGCTGTCTACTGCTACACATATTAAAACGTGACAGCGCTGATATTGAGTCTGCTCAAAAAGTGTTCGCCATGATTCCGAATCCTGATGGTATTTGTTACGGTTACATGATATGCATTTATGGCAAAGCAGGAGATTTAGATATGGTAAATCAGTTGTTTCAGGAGTTTCCATCCACTTTTACAATACAAGCCTATACCAATGCGTATATATCGAACAACAAGTCCAAAGAATTGTTAGAACAGTTTCCTCAACTAATTACCAAATATCCTCGTTGCTTTAACACTAATGACGCTTATTTATCAGCAATTCGGGATTCAATCACCCATAAGAACCCATATTCAGCTTTGGAATTTTTCGATATTTATATGGCGCATGCAAAAATCAAGTTCGCTCATGATTTTGTTTCAATTCTTGAATTTGTTGGAACTGGGGGAGATGTTGCGAAATTCAGAAAAATGCAGCCACTCGTTCAGAAAATATGGGAAGCCCTACCAAAATGTATTGCCACACCAAATGTCCGTAGCAAGGTCGAGAATTTAGCATCACAAATTATGGAGATATTGAAAGAATCATGATTTAAAAAATTAGTACTCTTTTCACAACTTGTCCATCGATGACAACAACTGATAATTTTATCTAATCATCATTTTTACGTGGAGGATGTTTGAAGGCTTCTGGATTCTTTTCCATGATCTCTCTCAATAAATCTTGCTTTTGTTTTTCTTCGGATGTTGGCAATCCTAATTGTTTTTGACGTTGATCGTACATCATCTTTTCAACTGTTGCTCTTGCTTCTGGGTCCAAATCGCTAAGCTTGGATGTTTCAGGTTCAATTTTTCTGGTGTCAATTTCTGCATCACTTTCCGTTAATTTACTCCACCATTGCATGGTGTTTGCCTTTTGTAAAAAGATAACAACTTCCTTTTTGTCATCAATTTGCCAAAATGAATCATCCACAATAACTTTTTCATGTAATTTTCCCTTTTAAAAAAAGATTATATATAATGATTAATATAATGATTAGTATAATGATTGCAGGTTAACGTGTCATTCATTGATCATCCATTAGATCATCCATATATCAAGTCGTGTTTGCAATTTAATAAAGCATGATAATCCCGATCTCGAACAAGAAACACAACCTACATCAATAATGGGTTCTCCTCCTTTAAGCCCAACTTTCAAATGATTTGGCGAAATCACCACATTAACTTGCTTTCCGGTGGTTCCCACTGGTACCGGAACATGAACAGTCACCTCTGCCAAGGTTTGGGTGAAAGAATACTTTTCATAATCGGCTCCGTTGCCTCTGTTTGGGGTCTTGAGTGAAGAGGATGATTCCGTCATTTTTTTTTGATTTCCGAAAACAACTTCCGAATAAAGCTCAGCATTTAATCTTGAAAGTGTATAGAGTTGAATGTTTTCAATTGTATTTACAAAAGTATTACTCTCAATGTTGAGCACCGATGTATCACAAATTTAGTATTTACATTTCATTGTTGATGATGACATTTTCAGCCAGAATAAATTAATGTTCAAGTTGCTCCGAGAATGGATCTTCTACATTCTTTTTCATCTTCATTGCTCTTTCAAGAGCTTCCTTTTCCATTTCCTCAATTTTTTGTAACGTTATTGATTTGAGGGGCATAATTTTAGGTTTACTCAAAATCTCGCTCAGTGTACTCTTCTCGGAATAGACAAGTCCTGCTTTGGCTATCACTTCGGTGATCTTTTGTTCTTGATCCTATCATTGTCGGATGGTATTCAAATTATTCCACGTTTTCGTTATTATTGTATGTGTTGTTGTGTTGTTGTACAACATGAATGTGGTACCACTCATCTCTCAGAATACAAACAGAATACAAACCTTATTGTTTGATGCCATTTTTTCAGTTTGAATTTCCCAATTTTTCGCCAAAAGTTGGAACCATGTCTCTCTCTACATTAAACAAAGTGAAGAAGCATTGCAGGTGAAGCATTGCAGAAACACATGTGCCTTAAACCTTTGGATTTACCTTGTGGTCATACATTTTAAACTTTCGTCTCTGAATGAAAGTATTTCCTCATAAAAGACATGTTTGAAGATGGAAAATAGTTGGTCATCATCGTCATTCACTTCGAGAGAATTTTCATCAATTTCTTTTGCTTTCAGAAGAGCATCATTTTGAAGATAAATGCAGCTTGCAAAGTATTCATGTTGAAGTGCTTGTTTGATAGTTAATCTTGATTCAGGGTTCCATCTTAGCATGCCCTTAAGAAGGTCCGCTTCTAAAGGATGGAAGTTGGTACAAATTTCATCGAGAAGAGGTCGTCTATGTTGGTACTTGTTAGGATCGAGTTTTGATTGAAAGTATTGAATGGATTTGTCTGTACCTTTAAGGTCATGGAGTGAAGGGTAACCTAATACTTCACAAAATTTGTGTAAATGGTCGAGAACTGAACACAGGGAAGCATGTAGACCACACAAAAGAATCATGTATGCAACAAACCATTATTATGTTGCACTCAATAGTCATTCATTGAATGATTTTCGCCCTTACTTACCACCATTCACTCGGAATAATTCTTTATACTTGAACAAACCATGTTCAAGACAAAGTAATTCGAAAAATATACATCCTATCGAGAATGCATCGATGGCTGTTGTTTGTTGATGGTATTGCACTGTATTGTGACAAATAATATTGAATTGTGTCATAACAATGACGGCATTTAGACTGAAAAAAACGTACTCACAACTTCGGGAGGTCTGTAATATCTGAAACAAACGTAAGAACTTCCTTTCTCTGTTTGCTGTTTTTTTGAAAGTCCAAAGTCAGCCAAAACCACCCGTTCTCCATCCATAAGTAAATTTTCTGGCTTTAAATCACGATGAATAATATTGAAACTATGCATATAATTTAGTCCACATAATATTTGGCACATGATATTTCTTGTAATTTCTGGTGATATAGTTTCTTGCAAGATTCTGCTATTTGACATAAAATTGGCTAAATTTCCATCTTTCATAAATTCCAGAACAATGTATAAATCTTGCACTTCTACAGGAAATTCTTCAAGTTGGGAGGGAGAATAAAAACCCTCTCCACCAAAAACACTTGGTGAAAGAGAGCCAATAATCTCTAAATGAGGACTGTTTTGATTTCCGGTAATGTACATATCCACAAGTTTGACAATCTATTTAAAAGTTATTGAGACTGTTTAGTCATGCATTTCGACAAAATATAATTTTCTCACATACATTTGGATGACCATTCAATAATTTCATTATTTTGATTTCTCTCAACAAATGTTTTCTGTGTAGTTTTGAAAATACATCTCCAATCTTCTTAATGGCTACCTCTTTTCCTCCATTTTGATTGTCAAAAGCTTTGAACTGATCATGTATTGAAATTTATAATAAATTATTATAAATCAATAAAATCAATAAAATTATGATTGTGGTCAGTTAATATATATTATTTGGAAGAGTCACAATTACCCATAATAAACAAATCGAGATCGGTGTTTTGAAAATTATGCACCTTAAAATAAATACAAACTTACAACTATCCCGAAGCTACCAATTCCGAGGGCTTTCACAAGCTCTCCCTCCATGGTATGCTTCAAGTCCGGTATGTAGCGTTCTGGGAGCAACACTGTCGTATCATACGATCCTTTATATTTCAAATATTTACAATAAAACATCTTCTTTGATTGAGGTGTTGTAGTATTCGTAAATAATTCCACAGTTGATGGTTGTGGTGGTTTTGTTTGAATAGTAGTAACAGCACTATCAATCGGTGAATCAATTTGTATCTTGAGAGATTTATGTTTGGTGGTGGGAGTCGTAGTACTTGATTTCCTCCGATGATGATTCAGAGAAGACTGCTGTTGTTCCACTTCATCGGAAATGATGGTACATCCAGAATCGACTTGAGTCATTGATGTAGAAGATGGAGATGATCCTGAAGAAGAGGATGATTGGCAAGATGGAGAATTCTCCAACATTGGGTCGGAGTGGATCCAATTACCATCATCATGATGATCATCATCGGACGTTAAGCCTTGCCTCCTCTCCTCATCCTGATGATGATGATTGGAAGACATTTTTTGCTTAATGGACAAATTCAATCGTCCCTTTCGATTCGAGTGTTCATCACTTACTGCAAGTGAAATATTGTCAAACGCTCTCACAGAAATGCTGACTGAAGGTTTATATTTATGGTATTTACTTGCTGGAAATATACGAGCGAATGAGTCAAGGGTCACATGGCCATGTGAAAGAGAGTTGAGATCCTTATCAAGTGGAACAATGACCTTCATTAACCATATATTCTTTCTTAGAAATATATGCTGTCGAAAGGGATCTTTGAAGAGTCACTTGTGACATTCAAATCCAAACCTCCCGCCAAATGAATTACAAAAAAAAGTAAAAAAGAAAAAAAGAATGAAAAGGCTACACACAAGGTCTTCGTCGTCTTTGAACACTGCATCATCATCATTGGGTACACCCTCAGCCAACACACGATCCTCTTTGAATGGTATCATTTCTGTTCAGAGAATCAAAAACACTGCACAAGGAAATCCGTTTATCGACGAAGAGGAAGATTTAAAATTTCATAATTATTCGGAACGTAAATTAAAGCAACCGATAGGACAAACAATCATGGAATTGGCAAATTCAAAATCAAACTCTTCTATGAATAATACAAGCACATCTTCAAGGAAATCTCAAATGAATGGATCCAATACTGCTGCAATTCCATCATCAAGTGTCCAATCCAATACAGATTCCTCAAAACCATTCAAAACTAAAGAAGAGTTGATTTTGGAGGAAGAGTACATTAGAAATTTACAACAACAAATTAATTTACTTTCTACAGAGTTGGATATGCAAAAGAAAGTAAATCAAGAACGAGAACGAAAAATGGCTGAAAAAACAGAGGTCTTGGAAGATCCAATTCTCACCCTAAAGAAAAAGTTTGCAGAAAAAGATGAGATTAATCATCATTACATTGAAAAGTTTCAACAAGAAATTGCAGATCGTGAGAATACCATTGTCAAGCTAAAAGAAAAATACAAGAAATGGAAAAACAAAAACATTCAAGAGCGAGAAACTGCAAAACAAGAAATAAGGAATATCCATGAAAAATATGTGCCAGAAGTGATCAAACTCGAAAAGCAGGTGGATATGCTTCAATTACGTCTCAAGCAAGAACAAGATGAAAATGAGAGGAAGAATGAGGATGTCAAACAATTCTTGAAAGAGATTGGAGAAATTACCAAGCAACTGGATTTTCTCAAAATGCAAAAAGATCAAGCAGAGAAGCAATTGCAGCCTCTCATGGATGAATTATCTCAAGTGAAAAAGGAGCTCTTGAGCTACAATACAAATCGTGACAAGGACAAGAACGAGATCGAATCGCTGAAAGGAAGACTTGCTAAATACGAAAAAGAGTGGGAAGACGCCGTCCATAATTTGAAGAAAAAAGAATTAGAAACAAAACAACTGGAGCTAGACAAGGAATTGTTGTGTGCTGAGAGAGACAAGGTGAAAGAACAAGTTGTGAATCTGAATCAAAAGAATAACCAACTCGACACGGAAATTACCAAACTACAAACGAAACTGAACGAGACTCAATGGGATTTGACGCGTTTAAAAGTCAATTACGAAAACATTTTAAAAGAAAAAACGAGGCAGGAGAAAGACAACGAAAGAGCACAAACTGAATTTAGAGATAACCAAATTAAGTATGAAGAGATGAAACGACAGTATAAGGAATTGCAAAACAAACTTCAAAGCAAAGAAGAGGAGTTGAAATCATTCCTACACACCCAATTCAACGCTCTTAAGCTCAAAAATGAGAATTTAGAAAACACGCTTAGAGACCTTTCGAACCAAAACGAGATGCTTCGAAATGAAAACAGAAAACTCACCCAAGAGAATGAGAAATTGTCACACGATAAAGAAATGTGGCTTGCTGAGAAAGATCAGTATGAAAAGAACGACATTCAACGAAGAATTCTCGTGAAGAAGCTCAAAAACCAGCTCAAGCTTTCCATGGCTGTCACTGCCATTGACAAGCAACAGTTGTCGACGATATTCAAATCAAACGTTAGCATTGCAGAGAGTATCAAGTCGTTAATGGATGTCATCAAAGAAGGAAACGAAATTACTGAAGAAGAAAAACAGTTTATGAATCAATCACAACCCACAAAGGAACATAGTATTGAAAATGCTAATCCAAGTCAAAAGCGATAACAACTTCTGTTCTATTTGGAAACGGTCCTTTCAATTTCATCTCCTCAAATCTTGTGAAAGAAGCAGAGGGTCTTCTACACGAAAATATTGATTGATTCATTATCGTCCAAATTCGAATGTCACAGTCAAGTGATAGTCAGAGTGCTCAATTATGAACAGACATGCTGCTTGTTAGTTTTCGGATGTATTCCTGAAGGAAATAGCTCTTCTTGATCACCTCGAAATTTCTAACAGAATTGCTGAACCACTCTGCTTGAGACATTTTCTTGAAGACTGGTTTTGGCATTGTATGAATACCTTTCTTTAGTAAATTAATAGAATCCTCAATGTCCTCAATCTATTCAAAATTTTGAGCAATCCATGATTGTGAATAATTATGTGATTAATCGCTTGAACATGTTAAAAAAATTTCATACCTTCTTAGATGCATAGGGAATCATAAAGAAATTCACAGTTTCGTTTTTCTTGAAATTATGATGCCACATATGTGGATGGATATGACCATTCTTTCTAAAGTTTGTACTTGAAAAGTACGAATCAAGCAACGCTTGCATGTGCTTAATATTCAATTCGCTCATATCCCTAGGGTGTACCTTGTTGAGAACAAAAACAATTTCAGGAACGTGACCTTCAAGATTAGTTGTTGCAGAGGAAGAAATCTTTCCACACTGAGTAATGCTTGGTACTCCTTGTTGTAACATTCGAATTGTTTGAATAAACTGAAACATTTTGAATTGTTCAAGAACATCAGATTGATGATCCAACAGTACAATAACAACATGCGCAACACTGAATACAAACAATGCAATTTGAAGACTAGTAATGTCAACAAAACTCTCCAAAGCAGCAATTGATACGGCCTCGACGGAGGTCTCAAATGACTTAGATCCGCTAGAAGTGAGCCCAGCACCATGTCCAGATGTGGAATAATAGTGGCTACCACCGCTTGTTGGATGTTGAGCTGGAGAGGCAAACAATGGCTGAGTATCAATGAATATTTGCTGGTCCGAAGTTCTATAAATGTCAACACCACTTGTCTTATATTTGCAATCTAGAAAACAGTCTAAATCCTCAACAGCAAAAACCTCTCGGTTTCCAATAAGAGAATTCAAAATAAGAGATTTACCACTTCCTTGCTTGCCAATAACTCCAATAACAGAATAGTTATTACTTTCAGTGGATAATTGCTTATCATTTGGAAATAAATTTGCAAGTTGTTGCAGATGTTGATTGGATTGCAATTCTAGAATACTGTTATACAATCCGGAAGCATTTTCGTGAATAAGACTTAACCCCTTGTTGGTAAATCCTTGAATAATTGGATGATCTTGAGGCTTTTGTGCTGCAACAGATGATGTACTTGGTTTGTTTGTCTCGAGTTGGCCTCCATTCAACTCAACCTTGGAGGACGCGACTCTCGTTGCAATATTCACTGGCTGCTGTGTTTGTGCAACCACAATGTTTGCCGATGTATAATTCTGGCTAATAATATCACCGAATGCTTGTTGTGATGTTTGAGAAGCGTCTGCGCTGCTCTTAGTTGTAGGCTTTTGTAACAATTGAATACCTCCAGCAGTTGTTGATGCTGACAAAGTACCATTCGCTGGCACTTGTGGCTCGGTTTGACTTCTCTTTGGAGCCAATAGTATTTGTGGAGTACCTTTGATTTGAACATTGGGTTTGGAAACTAGGCTTTTGTAATTGGACTTTGTTGGAGAAGTGATGCCTTTACCTTCGTGTGTTGTTGATGATCCACTAGCAGATCCCTTTCCGGATGAAGCGTTTGGTGAGGTCATGAGATTAGATCCATAGAATTGGGGTGTTTGATGTTGCTTCTTTCTTGAGGAGCTACTACTACTGCTGCTACCACTCGTATTGGAATTTACTCTTGCCGATGATGATGATCCATTGTTGTTGTTGGCATTCATGGTAATGTTCATTTGACCACCACTTGGATTGCTACTATTACTAGTAGAAGAAGAGATGGTAAACCTCGGATTGGATGGTGGTGTTAGTGATGATGATGATGATTGATGCTGCTGCTGATGGTGCTGGTTCATACTCTGTTATTCATTTCAACATATCATAGGCCGCTTTGTATAACCAACGAGAATTTAATAAATTAATTCCAGTTTCTGAAACTAAGTGTAATATAGTGATGAACGGAATCGAGATTCTAACGTTAGATGAGAACACCAATCTATGAAATCGAATTTAATCTTTTCCCAATAATAATAATAATAATGAAAAAAAATCACCACTTGATGCTGGAAAAATAATTTTTTTGAAATATAATTTTATTGTTTTCGAAATTGTGAAAACTCAGAGTTGGATTTGATTCAAATGTTGTTTCATTTCCTCCTCCTTTTGTTCTCTCAATCCTGACATGCCTTGCAAAGCATGAGGTGGGAAATAACATTCACTGAACTTGTCTAATTGCGAGGAGAAAATGGCAAGCTCTTCCTCTTCGCTATAAAAAGCACCCTCAATGAGAGAATCACCACTTCCACTCGAACCAAAGAAGGAACTTGTAAAACCACTCACACCACCGCCACTACTACTATTACCTTGCAAAAAAGATTGTGCGGATGATGCAACAGAGGGTACAAAGGTTGTCTTGTAAGAAGCTGTCCAATAAAAACAATACACAACACTCAATATCAATATGAGAGACATGAGGAAGAGATGAATATAAGTCACATCACCAGTCTTGGCAAAGAAGAGAGTAATGTAAATTTGAGCAAGGATGAGACATGCAAAGGTTTTTTGTACGACCATTTTGTTTCTCTCTCGATAGGATGTAATGTCTGGTGAGATTTTGAATCGAGCTCGATCATTCTTTGAGCACAATCTTGAAATATTGTATCGATCAACAATGTGCTTCACTAAAAAGTAGAAAAATCCAACTGGTAACACAAGTGGAACGAATACAGAGAAGGTTAACAAAATTCCAAAATAGCTTGTTAAATATCCATATTCGAGAGGAAGATCAAATTCAGCAATGGTGGTTGCTTGTTCCTTTTCCTCCTCTGTGACACTCTTAAATCTCAAATAGAAATATTTGATAAGATCTTTCATTCGAATAATGTCAACAAAACATCCCAACAAGGCATATTGAATGACATAGTTCAAGAAGAAGGCACCCGATTGAGGTAAAAATAATCGATCGAACAAAGTTCTCCAATCTTCTCCGCTTCCTTCTGTTTGGAAATAACGTAAAATACCATCCAATGATGTCAATAAACAAACTGGAAGTACCAATGTTGACAGAATCAAATAAACAAATAATCTCAAAAGGTAAACTCGAGACTCTTCAGAATAGGCCTTATATTTCTCCAATGAGGTTAATATTGGAATAGTCATTGGCAATAATTGAGTTACTAAGAAGAGTAATAGAGTTGGCAAATAGTGGAACAATAAATCTCCAGTATATCCACTTGCTTGTTTCAATTGGTTGAACGCTTCAGCAGCTTGTGGAATTCTGTTTGCAATTGTTTGAATTGCAGACACAATAGCGAGAGGACTTGTGAAAAATAGCAACAAAATGAGAAGTGCAACATTCACAAATCCAACTCTTACACCTCTTTGCTTACTTGTCACAGCATAATTCTTCCAATTGATGTCACTTGGTTCGTAGGTACGAGGTTCAATTCGGAAATCAAGTCCTTCATTAGTTTTGAACCATTTCAAGCCATTCATGCATTGAGATTTACACTCGGATGCGTCATGAATCGATTTGAAAATTATGTGGCCATATCCAGTTGCTTTTGGCATCATTTCAAACGTATGTTCCCAATCAGAAATTTTTTGTTCTAATTTTTCTTTTTGTTCTCTCCAATAATTCAAGGCATCCACTCTCTCAACAATTTTTGAAAAGCAATTGGCCTTCTTGGAGCTCGATTCGAATAACTTGATCAATTTCACATGCTTATTTGTTTCATTTTTCACAAATTCATAGTGTTTGATTTGTTGGAGAGCGTTTTGGTATTCCTCTTCGAGTTTAATTCGTTCACTCGTATCATGAATTAATCGACAGGAATAAATTCTTAAATTTGGAAATACACTTTCCACTGCTTTTCTAAATTTCATATTGTCAGTGCATTCAACTGGAAGATCCTTGACAAGTACAGCATAGTTGCTGACCATACTGTAAGTCGATCCATAATTGGAAGGAGCATTTGTATTGGACAAGGTCAGTAATCGTCCTTGATCAGCACCAGTAGATGCTGAATTGCTGTTGTTGTGATTACCAGTATCAGATTCAATACTATCGACAGTTCCTCCTCCACCATCCATATTAATATATTGTGTCACAAACTTTGATGAGGAAAATCGGTGCAATAAAAAGAACACCAAAAGTGAAAAGGCATAAAACAAGATCACATGAGCATACATTCGATCAGGAAGTGACAACACCATATTCACACTGGTTCTATACAGAAAAGAAGAGGTCTCAATCTGAGTGGTATTTAAAAGACTCGAATTGGCAATGGTTGGTGTTCCTGTCAAATGCAATGGCAACAAGACACTCAATCCAATCACCATTGCAAATCCAAAAAACAATATGAATTGATGTTGATACCACAAATACACGCTCACTTCTTGTCCATATAATTTTCCAATTTTCACATATTCACTTTCAAGGAAGAGCCAAGAATAGAGTCGATAAAAGAAGCGAGAAAGAACATTTTGTTGAGCAGAGGAGGAGGAGGATAAACTGGGTGATGATGGAGTGCTACTACTACTACTACTCACGGATGGCTGTTTCTTCTTCTTCCATAATCTTAAATTTTGAAGACAACAAAACAAAATCAATAACCCCAATAAAAAAACCTGATTTGGAAAAAGTGTCACAAGTGACGATCAGGGTGAATAAATTTTATGTGTGTGATCACGAAATCCATGTAGCAAATTATAATTGGTGATTCATGATTCAAAATAAACATTTCGTTTAAATATTCATCAGTCAACAATCGGGAACTGGAAGTGGTCAACCTTCTACTTACACATCCATCGAGAATGAGAATAAAACTGACACCACTATGATTAGATTGTAATTGCAATACTTGTGAAGAATTTAAACTATTCGTTGTGATGATGGTCGATGATGATATGGAATCTCCATTTTGTAGTGTCGACGTTGTCATTATGATTGCTGTTGTGTGTCAAAGTCAGAGCAGCGCTGCAACAATTTTTTTGTGCTCCTCGATGACAGGTCCAAAGACATCGATTATGACATCTAAATTCTTTTGAACCTTAAGGTCCATGTTCAGAAAATGCTCTTAGATCCTTCCACTGGGTTCAAACCACAGAGGGGAAAATTATTCAACCAAATGCTATACTTCCACTCGCCTGTGAATCTCTATTTTCTACATGAGGTTGCTCTTGTTGTTACACACAAGAACTATTTCTGTGTTCCAACTGCAGGCCAACCGCAATAATACTAAACCCAAAGTTCGAAGGAATCCGGGTAATGAATCGGGTAATAACATACTTTTAGGATTCTCAATGAGGGTCAAAAAAATTTCCTTTTCAAGAATTTTGAATTTCCTGAACACGCACTCCATGACTGGTTGACCAAAAACCACTGAACGAGCCTTCATCTTCTCCAATTTTCCATGATGCATGCACTCCATCCTCTCGATATACCCTTCCAAACAACATTTTCGAAAATCCATAAAAGTACATTTTCAGCATTAGCATCACCATTTGAATATTCGGAATCAGAAAGAAAAAAACCAAACCACACGATCCGCTTGAGGGCCAAATTGTTTCGTTGTCGTCGGGAAACCATACAACACTACCACCACCACAACCCCGTAACACACTCCGATCTGATAAACGACCACCACAACAATCAAGGCTTTTTTGAGTCTATTGGTTGAGATAATACTTGAACGTTTGTGAATAATATCGGAAAGAAAACACACACATGAGGATACTATCAAGATGGTTGCAACGTCCATGTATGATAGAATTGACGCAGAAAAAAGATGAATTGCCTGATTTCACTCACCAACAGGGTGATGATGGTTGGGTTGTTAATAACAAGCATGTTCTCCACAAGACGTATAGAATCAATGGACACTGGATGCTCATCAAGGGCTTGGTGGTGATTCTATTGTGTTTGGGTTGCATGAGTTTGTCGTATTTTGAAATATTTCGAAAGGTATCGTTGTCGCCGAGTGACAACATGAACCAATTGAAATCACTGCATCTTTCCTTAGATAAGAGTCATGAATATAATGTCATGTTCCTCAATAAGACCCAAAATTTTGGAGACACCTCCTCTCAGAATTCAGATTCTCCTCAAGAGAATACCAAACTTTGCTCGAAAATTGCTACCTATGAATTAGATCAATGTCAATTTGCAAAGGAAAACTGCATGTCACCACTTGGTGGCATGTTAAATTATATTTTTATTCGTTATTGCACCTTCCAGAAGTTAGAACCATTGTTCTATGTTTTGGCCTTTCTGTGGATGGTCTTTTTATTTTACATGCTTTCGAGTAGGTGTTTCAATTTTCATGTTTCTTTCCTTTTAATGCGAATGATCACAAATCCAACAACAGCCACTGCTGAAGATTATTTTTGCCCGAGTCTTGCAGAAATTTCTCGAATTTTAAGATTGAGTCCTGATATTGCTGGTGTAACTTTTCTCTCATTTGGAAATGGGGCTCCAGATATTTTCAGTACCATTGCAGGCATTTTCTCTGGAAGCACTGGATTTGGGCTAGGTGAGCCAATTGGATCTGGACTTTTTATTTGTAGTGTATTGCTTGCATGCGTCACTTTGGTTGTGAAAGAAGCAAAAGTGTCAGCCTTTCCTTTTCTGAGAGACGTCATTACCTATCTCATAAGTGTTACATTTGTGTTTGTGATCATCTTGGTCGATGGTTCAATCAATTTATGGCAAAGTATTTCATTTCTGGCCATTTATGTTGCATATGTGGTGTTTGTCATTGGAAGTAAGCTTGCCATGAATAGGATACAAAACAGAAAGCAAAAAATTCAAGAAAAAAGAAGGTGCCTTATCAACAACGAGGATCCATGTGTAGTTTGTGACTCTACCGATAATGAAAAACAAAGTCTCATCCAAGAGCAATACTATACGAAATATGACGAGCTCCTCTCTGAGGACAGTTCCTTCGATGAAGCAGATTCTTCATCATCGGGCTGGAAGGAAGGCAAGCAACCCACGCTTCGATTCTCCAAAGTTGAGGATATTCCTGACAAGGTGATTGAAATTTTACGAAAGAAGCAACACCATTATGGAGCTCAATATAACCCAAAGTTTGGAATCTTTTTCTATGAGACGCCATCTTTGGACAATTTGAGCAGTCAAAAGTTGAAATCGATTGACATTGGCTCTGTTATCATTGAAAATCATTTTGATCATAAAAACACAGGAGAAGATGTGTGTGACGCATGTCATGAGGCTGGAGGAAACAGAACTTGGCTCGAAAAAGTGAAATGCAAAGCTTGTCATGTGTGGGCTGAGTTTTTGGATCAGTGCGAATGGGAAGAAAATCGAGGGGAGAAAAGTTATTCTTTTTATTGGTAGCACCAAGCATTTTGATTCGAAATTTGACCATTCCCAAAGCAGATCCAAATGAATGGAGCAAGCTTTTTGCAGTTCTAAATCCAATATTTATGCCTCCATTCGTATTATTTGCTCTCGGATATTTAGACCTGAAGGTGGTCAATTCTGAATTTCCTCTCTGGGCATTACTCTCATTGATAGGACTTGTTTTCTCAGTATTCATCTTTTTCACTTCAAAGGCCAGTCGAAAACCCAAGTATCATATTATGATTGTGGGTGTTTCATTTATCATGTCTGTGATTTGGATTTATACCATTGCCAATGAATTGGTGGATGTGCTCAATTCATTTGGAATCATGTGGAACATTAGTGATTCCATTCTTTCCATTGCCCTTTCTGCTGGCAATAGTTTGAGTGATATGGCTGCTGATGTTGCGGTGGCCAGACAGGGTTTCGTTGAGATGGCTGTTGCTGCTGCGTATAGTGCACCTGGGTTGAGTTTACTTTGTAAGTAGTTTGAAAATTTAAGTTCAGGAAATTGTTGAAAACTTTGTGTGAAATATGAACTAACAACACATGCCAATTTTGGGAACATTTTAAAGTTGGTCTTGGCATTTCCATGACAGCCAATTATATCATGACATCAAACCCATTCCCTATTGAATTTTCTCCAACCCTTATGGTCACTTTTGTTTTCCTCATTGCCGTTTTGATCAGTTCCATTATTGTCGTGCCAGTCGCAAAATTTCATTCTCCCAAAATCTTTGCTTGGTTTCTTATTGCCATGTATTTGGTCTACTTATGTATTGCCATTTTAGTTGAAAGCAAATTATTACTTGCGTGAGTTATTCACACAACTCAACTACACTGGACCATCGATCGAACCATAAATTCAAAAACAAGAACATATTCAGAGAGGACCATGTGTTCAAGGATTGACCACAACATTCATCCCTTAAACATTGACCACTTTTCCTACTATTATATTCGTTTAAGAAAAACAAGTGAAATCGTTTCATAAAAAATGCACAAAAAGTTCTCTAACTTGTTCCGTTTTGAGGTCATCCACAGGAACGTTGTAATCCTGATGATGGCGATGGTCGGGATGATGATGCTTGTTGCAACAAGAGGTGGCTATTCTCTCCAAATTAAAACCATTCCATTAACTCCATCATCATCCTCACCTTCTCCCATTCAAGTCATCCAAACCTCTCTGTATGGACATGAAAGGCTCTCTCCTGGTGTTCCTCTGCAATGGATCAGCACTAGAAAGCAACCCATGCAACATCAGGTACCTCTCGTGAAATTACATTCCCGTATTCAATACCAACAAATCATCGGATTTGGCTGTGCATTAACGGAGGCTGCAGGCTTTACGTTCGCCACCATGAATGATCAAAACAAGCAAAAAATTCTAGACTTGTATTGGACTGAAAAGGGTTTGAATTATACATTGGCTCGAATTCATATGAACTCGTGTGATTTTAGTTTGGATAATTATTCGTGTGATGATGTCGATGGTGATTATGAATTGGTGAATTTTAATATTAGACGAGACAAGTTATTCACTCTTCCTCTCATTAAGAAAGTGCTCAATCAAGTGAAAACTGTTTATCCTAATAAGGGTGGGGGATTCAAAATCTTCTTATCTCCTTGGTCTCCTCCTGCATGGATGAAATACAACAAACAAATGGATGGTAGTGCTCAACCCAATGGTTTGATCAATTCGACACAAACTATGAGTGCATGGGCATTGCATTTCTCAAAATTTGTAACAGCCTACAAGAAAGAAGGTATTGATCGAATGTGGGGTCTCACTGTTCAAAACGAACCTGAATTTGCTGCTCCATGGGACGCTTGTTGTTATACTCCAGATTATCAAGCTTTTTTCATTTCTAATTATTTAGGACCTCGTCTTAAGGCGGATCATCCAGAATTGAAAATTATGATTTATGATCATAATCGTGACCATGTCGAGAAGTGGGCCCAAAGCATCTATTCAAATCCTAAAGCTGCACAATACGTGGATGGAATGGCTTTCCATTGGTATGTCGATGAGGAGTATGAAAATTTGTCACGTGCCTATCGTGTAAATACTCAAAAATTCCTATTGGCCACAGAAGCCTGTTGGGATCATGGTGTTTCGCTTGGAAATTGGTCACGAGGAGAAAAGTATGGTTATGACATTATCAATGATTTGAACAATTACGCAAGTGGTTGGACAGATTGGAATTGTAAGTAGTAGTGCACCTTAATGACATTTTCCAATCATTGTTACTAATATATTAATCATTGTATATTTCGTATTCACATTTCGACAATGATGCCCCTAACTTTGCTGGTTATCATTCACTCTTTGTTGTTAACGAATAGGTATTTTGGATTACCGCGGTGGACCAAATCATTTGCAAAATTTCTGTGACGCGCCAATCATTGCTGATAACAGAACCCAGGAAATTCATATTCAACCAACATATTATTATTTTGGTCACTTCTCGAAATTCATTACTCAAGGATCAAGAAGAATTCATTTCGAGCAATTAATTTCTGATGGCAAACAGAAATTGGACAAGGCTCTTCTTCTCACCTCATTCAAAACTCCAGATAATAAGATTGTTACAGTAGTTCAAAATAAGGAAGAATATCATTTGAATTTTTATTTGGTGGATACTGATGTGTACGGAGAGGAATATTATGCGTTCATTGAGGTACCTCCAAGAGCAATCAAAACTTTGATTTACAAGTATTAGTTTGAGATTTTTTGTTTACATGAGGTTGGTGTGACACTTTCATGTTGTTTGATTAAACCTTTTGTTATGCATGACTCGAAGAAAATTTGACCCTTTTTGTTCAATGATATCATCCAATTTTCATATTGGTCTCGCTCACAACAAGCTCACAACAAGATCATCGAGACACAGCAACAGTTCGCCTGTTAAAAAATTAACACACATACCACGAGGAAGCTTGATTTTTTGAGTAATATCTTGGGTTATGATGGATTTCAACAATTGCCCATCCTGGTTATAAATTGAAAGGTCTTGTGATATCTCGGTGCTGGTAAGAATTAGTTTTGATAGAGAATCATAGAATACCATGTCCATTTTGAAACTTGAGGTCTGCTTTAAATCTTGAATTTTCTTCCATGTTTGTTCTTGATCCTTTTGGAAAATTGAAGCTCCTCTGTGAAAAACAATCATGGTCTCAGAGTCCATAAATTCAATACGACGAAGAAATTGGGCATGCTCTCCAAGTTCAAATGTTCGAATGCATTCACCACTTTCCAGGTTCAAGACAACAATATGGCTTGCACAAATATAGACTTGCTTTTCTGATGGTAAAATAGTTATCCAATCTATGATACATGAACATGATTTTTCATTTCTCCAAATAAATGAACTTGTTAATTCACCCTCATTTTTACAATTCAAAAATGTTTTTAAAGCATATTTTGAAATGGTATGTGCGTCTGCAAGAAGAAGAGCATCATTATGCATTCCATCATAATTTTCTTCAATTCTAAAGAGAAGAGATTTGTTTTTGACTTTTTCAAACACAATGGACTGTTTAAATTCTCGTGAATACAAATCAAACACCTGAATGGCATCTGGTAATGACCTATTCCAGGAATACACATTCACTAAAATGACACCCTGATGATAGGAAATTCCAATCTGTTTCGCATGATAGCGTTCTAGCTCATTTCTAGAAACAGATAGTTGCGAATGGAATCCAAAATTCATGCAAGAAAAGCCTTTTTCTCTCTTTGGAATTTTCCTCATCATTATTTCTTTTAATTTGTTTGAATAGGTTTGAAGGTCCTCCCAATAGTTTTCCTCCACTGATGATGAGGAGGAGGAAGAGGAGGAAGACTCGTTTCTTGAAGAAGAAAAAGATTTCTGATTGAGTGATGAATCCTCCTCTTCCTTCTCACCAATTTGTTGCTCCGACTTGAATGCATGCAACATTAGTTTAACTCTGTGGTTGACCGCCTTGTCTTGCATTTTTTTGAACTTCTTACGAAATTACAGGTACTACATTGCCCTGACGAACAAATAATGGAAATACGAAGCACTCTATCACTCGAGCACTCTCCTTCACAACGAGGTACTTTTTAGACTCAAGAGAAACCAACAAAGAATGTCATGTCCTCTAATTGGGGCAAAATCTTTTTGAACTTCAAGAAATCTTTTTTCTGTCTTCGGCGTCTTTCAATCGACGCTTGACATCTTCTTTTAGACCCATTGCATGATCTAGTCTGTTGGATTTTGTGAGGTTATAGAACACAATCCCTCTTCCAATATCATCGGAATTGGGAACATTTCCAGTCAAAAAAAATTCAACAACATCCCAACAACAGCACTCTCCTCTCACCAGACTCTCACCATCATGACTCGTACGTAGTTTTTTGAAATGCTACCGTTTTGTGTTGTTTTGATGAGAACTAGCGACTTGTCATCATCAAATGGAATTAAATGTATGAAAAACCATGTGGATCATCACGATGGTCAGGCGGAAATCAAAGAGATATTGATCGCCAACGTGCCATGAACAGAAGAAAGAAAGCCGGAGTGGATAAGGACAAGAAGGATGATGGACTCACTCCTCAGCAACGAAAAGAACGTGATGCTGAACGACTCAAACAAAAGATTGCTGCTAAAGAGAAGATGAAGGAAGAACAACAATCTAAATAATGAATTTTACTAATAATAATGAATTTAACCAACGTTGATCATTCCGACACATACAACATCATTATTGGAGAACAATTTTATGAATTACGACTCACACATGAAGATGATTAACTGACAATCTTGTTCACCATCATGTAAATAAATGTATAACAACACAATTTCCAATGTAAACGTAAAACAACCCATCTCTATATGCAGAACACCAAAAACACGATTTATGATCAATCAAAACAACACACAACATTAAAAAATGATCCGATTTGGTTGGAGGCCTCTATCGCAACAACAAAGCCTCATCATCATCGTGTTGATATTGACCACTTTCATTACCACATTACTTATTGGAAATACTCACTGTAAATCCGATAAATCGAGTACATCATCAACAGAACATCCGATATTGTACAGATTTGGAGTATTAATAATTTCAGTAATAATTATTGTGGGTGGATGGTATATCATTGTAAAATGTTTTCTGATTCGGTTCAAGATTGTGAGAGAGCTTCTCGGATTGGAACAGAAAAAACCAACAAAAGTAGTTGTAAAGAAAACTCCACGTGTGGCTTCAATTTCTGTGGATGAAGAATGAGATGCATATTCCTATAACTGAGATATTTTGTACATTTAAATGTAAATATTTAATAATGAACGGATGCTTTCTATTGTACTATTCGAATACACATTATTTGACGCGTGACACATGCACAACAAAAACTACTGGTCCATCTAATTGGTAAGCGAATGCTTGAATGGCAAAGTTTTTCCGACTAAGCGACCAAGCGTCCCAACTAAACCACCATTTCAAGGCCGCTGACCATAAACTGGCAAGTCCATTTGGTTTGAGGCGAAACCATAAAGGCGCCGAAAATATTTTGCTGCTCAACAAAAACGAAAAAAAGGAGCCTGTCAAGGCACTGGTCTGTTTCTTCATCATTCATGGTATTCATGAAAGAGAGCAAAAGAATGAACACAATTACAGACAGCTCTTTACCAATTTCACTCGATTCTGAAAAGTTATCTGCTAGAAATAGTCAGTCTGCCACAACCATTTCCAATAGTAGTGTCGATAGCACAAGTACTGTGCTTCAAAAAGACGTTGTTTCATCAAGTAACATCGCTCCGACTCTAACATCATCGCATCAGTCACCGTCCAATGTAGTTCAATCCAAGGCACCCGTACTGTCTCCTCTCAAGAAATCAATCTGCGACCATCCTCTCAGCAGTGATACGATAAAATCACCCTCAACATGTCACACATCTTCAGGAGAGGTCTCGTCTTCGTCACCAATTCATATACCTCACAACCACGTAGAGAAGCTTAGACATGGCATCAACTCCAACGAGCAGCGATACATTCTTCTTCAAATATGCCCAATTCATGACCTTCTCTCGAAACAAAAGGATTTATACGGCACTGATTTCATAGCGAACTCGCTTGTCACGATCAAGTTTTCACAGAAGGATCTAAATTTCATATTCGAGCTATTCACATCCAAAATTACTCTTCACACGAGAGAATTCAGCAAGCAACTGTTTGAACAATGTTTTGATGGAGCGTCAGCAATGAAAGTTGTCATGGACATTATTTCTCAACACTTCAAACATGTTCTGAGTGCAAGTCTCACCTTGGAGAAATTATCGCTCCATATAGGACAATACTTTTTGACGACTGGCAAGTTTGAACATGTGTTGCGAGAACATTGCTTTAAGAATGTAAATACTCTATTCTATCATCTTTTGAATAATAGCACAAAACCATTAGATACAACACCGCCAACCACTCCACTACCATACATTTCCTCCTTCGCAACCATCAAATTACCCAAGTCTCCAAATTGGTTTTTACTCATTCCTCAAAGTGACACCTTTATCGCTCAACATTCAACTAACAGCGTTGAATTGTTTCAATGTCCTCTCGATGCTCAATCGAATGTTAACACTTCTATTCAATATTCACCAATTCTACGAAATGTCAGTCTTTCTCAACTTAAATACGCCCTCCTTCATGAATTACTGCCTCAAGAGGAAGGAGTAGAAATGCTGTTAAGAAACGATGACATTGGTTTATTTACATTTTTACAGAGGACCAAATTTCAAGAGTATCCCGATTACATTACCATTCAACTACTGTCCGTACGTTCCATGCATCGACTAACTTCTCAATCCACCTTTGCTGCATTCAGTATCAGTAAATATGGTTACAGTGACTGGGGTGCCAATAAGGAACGATTGTTGAACTGGTCGGACAAGTTGGTGAAATTGTGTCAGTCCTCAGAGTGAATCATGAGTTAAGTTTTAACTCCATCAAGCAAAATTGTAATTCGTATGGATATTTGTAAGAGAACAATAGTACTCCCTTATTCCAAAAAATGTGAAGAGGATTTTGATCTTGAGACTCTTTTGTCCACAGTGGCACTCTTCTCAATTTTAGTTTCGACCAAAATAAAAAATCAATTAAAAAAAATTTTATTGAAAGAGTTTGATTGACCCCAAGTGGGATCGGTCATCCATTACGTTTAGTTGTCAAATAATCTTGATAGTATACAGTGTGAGATTTTCCAACCATCAATGTTAGTGCAGTTTGAATCTCAACCCACTTCTTTTGAATTCCTATACATTCCTTACAATTAAAAAAAAATGATCAGCGAACAAGAAACCACCACAAGCACCACAAAAAAAGTTCATGCCATGAAACAACAAGAGATTGGCATGATCCAAAACAATCAAGAAATAATGGATTATTACTATCAACAAGAACAAGAATTAATTCCGAATCAAATGTTGTCCACAAATACTTTTATATTACCCCTTTATACTCCGATCTATATTCAGAACAAGTTGAATCATCGATATTTATCGATACCATCTTCAAGGAGGAGCTTGATAATCACACCTCCAACAACAAGCTTGTCGGAAACATCAACCGTGAACTGCAGTTCTTCAATTTTAATTTTTGAAAATTACATGACAAGTAGTGTGAGTAGCGATGATGATAGTTGTGGTGGAAAAACTGAAAACCAAAAAATTGAAACAAGATCAAGCAAGTCATTGACATTATCTGGTTCATTGTCAGCACCGCCATCGACCAACACCACAGATCATGGTCGTAAAAATAATCTCAGTGATACTTGTCACAAAGATTTTTTCATGACAGAAAAACCAATTACTCGATTTATCTATACAGGAGATTCTAATTTTCATATTCTCGAAAGAGAGGATTTATTTTATCATGTAGAGAGTTTAGAGGTTATCGATTGTAAAAACAATGAGTTAATCAAATCAAAATTCAACGAAAATCTTTCACAAAAATGGCACATTGGTAAATGCAACACAAGTCACACCTATGGATTAATTCGTTCCATTGAAAATCCCAAACTGAAATTATACTATGATGGAGAACATGTATTTTTAAAGGAAGAAAAAGATCATTTAGCAGAAATGGACGATGGATATTTGTGGAAGTTTGTTTTAGAGGAGCGACCTCAATACAGTTTTTTAAATCGATTACAGAGCTCTACAAATACCTACAAAACTATTTCTAAAAATAACAAACTGTATGTCACTGTTCAGCCCAATAACCAATTAGGTCTTGCGTTTTATAACTCAGTTTTAACAGGTTTTCTTTTAGCTCTCAATAATGGAAACACTCAATTTTTCAAAATTACTCTCGACGGTTTTATTGAATCCAAAATTTCAAGCCCCACTGAAAAAACAGAGAAAATGGTCATAACTTGGGATTTGGAAGAAAACAAAATCAAACTTGCGAAAAACGAAAACCTTTTAAATCAGAAATGGATCATTGTGCCCCATCACAAAAATCACAATCTCTTCAAAATTCATTCCGTCTACGAACCCATTTATATTTTAGATACCTACAAGATTGAGAAAAACTCTCTTCTATGCATTAAGGAATTAGAAGAAGACATTGACGATCTTTATTGGAACATTGAGTAAGAAGAATGAGATTGAATCAATGACAAAGAATATTACAAGCCACAGCGCCGTGACATTCTCAATGAATCTCATGATTCGTTCGTTGACCTTTGCTGCTTTCCAACTTGAATGTGATTGATGGAATGAGTGTAATAAAAGGTCATCAAAGAATCTCTCTGAAATTTTACATCCGCAACAGCAACAACAACGAGCTTGTCACCAACGTTCACGTCCAAAAAAAATGTGGAAACGAACGTTGAGCTTCCACTCGGCGGCGAGGGTCGGAACAATGGCCTGTGGTAGTCGTTGTTGTTCGTCATCATCATCATCCTCCTCTTTTTGGATGTCGTCATCCTTGTTGTTGAACCTACTGGATAGCCGAATGGCCATGATCGTGAACAACGATTGTTGTTTTGGAATGGACAACTCTTCTCCTCATCGGAACTACAGCTGTACCAGTAAAAATCTTTCTTCTGCTCTTCATCAACAACAAACAAATCCTCATACGGAACAATCACCAAAGAATTTAATTACACCTAAAATTAGATATCTCCATAAGGATTATAGAAAATCAACAAGCGTTAATGAGCCATACAATATTTTTGATATTGAATATAACAAATTAAGAACGGAATTGTTGGTCGAGAATGAAGAACAGAACTCGTCGGTGTCTTCTTCATTGGAAACTTCCTCTTCTGTTAATGAACAGAAAAATTCAACAAAACCACATTTGAATAAGATGTACTTAATTGCACAAGGATATTGTTTGGGAAAGGCTTATCGTCAACAAGTTCAAGGAGATGATGAAAAATTATATGGCGGAGAAGATGCGTTTTTTATTCAAGATAACAACGATATGACCTGTCACAATAATCCATACAAGGTTGATCCAGCAAATAGCGTGCAATGTGTTGGTGTTGCTGATGGAGTGGGAGGATGGTCACAATACGGACGAGATTCAAGTTTAATGTCTCGACAATTAATGCAAAATTGTTATTTTTATACCTTATATAATGGAAAAGAGTATGCAGATCCCGTCAAGTTGATTGAACGATCGTATTCAGATATTATAGAGAAGAAACAAGTGTTGGCAGGTAGTACAACATGTTGTGTTCTGATCCTGGACGAAACAAATGGACTTTTAAAATCTGCGTATATTGGAGATTCTGGATTTTTAGTGATGCGACGAAGACAGCAACAACACCAAACGGATGGAACTCCTTCTAAAGGTTCTTATGAAGTGATATATAGATCCACGCCCCAACAACATTATCACAACGCTCCTTATCAATTAGCTGTGATACCTGAATTTTTGCGTGGAAGATTTGACGATTCTCCAAAAGATGCCGTTTGCCACTCTCTAAAACTTTGCAATGGAGATTTAATCATTGTTGGTACCGATGGATTATTTGATAATTTATATGACCATCAAATTGTGGAATTTGTTAATCAAAATCTTGACAAGAGTGAGTTTGAACTTGCCAAAAATTTACTACTGAAAGCGAGACAAATTGCATTTGGTTATGAGAATGTTAAAAGCACTCCATTCCAAGATCAATCCGAAAAGAATGGATTTTTTTATTTGGGTGGAAAGCCTGATGACATTACCGTTGTTGTGGCGAGAGTGGTCATGAAATAGAGGAGCGTGTTTCTATCTTTGAATTTAATCAAGAACTTGTTTGAGAGTTGTATTTTGTGTACATACCTCAATGTGAGATTTGAATCGAAGTGACTGAGGTGATACATCTGAGTTGGCTTGTGTGAAATTTTGAGACCAATTGCCTTTTTTGACGAATATGAAAACACAAACTTTTGCTATTGACCTTTTATAAAGTGAGTTATAACAGTTATAGATGTGTGTATTTATGAGTGCACAATACTATTTACAAAGGTGGTTGTGCATTAGATGGCGTGTTTGTTCGGAATTGAATTCTTTGTACAAACACACTTAGAGGGAGTAATGAGTTTTGAACTTGCACAATTTCTGAGGATTCTCTACTCCACTTCAACTTGATTTGTGACGACATTAAATTCCTTCAAAAAACCTTCGAGGGACTGTTCAAACAGTTGATTCCACTTTTTTGAAACAAGTGGTCGAACCAATACCATTGGAATGCCATGAAAAACTTCAACATTTGTGATTTGTAATTGAGTGGATGATAAGCAATCGAACGACCATATGTGACACGACGCTAATCCACCCTCTTCCTTACTCCATTGGATGGTACATTGTTCCTCTGATGATATTAAACCAGTGATGCATTCATGAGAAGTCTTTGATCCGATCGGAAACCCCAAATTCAAATCCTGAGAGAATTTAGTTCCAATCGAAAGCGTGTTTGTTTTTTGATTGTTGTGGAAGTAAGCTTTGGAATGAAGTGGAGAGGACCATTCATGCCATGTTTTTAAATCTTGAAACTTGTCAAACATTTTCTTCATGACATGTTGGGATGAATTCTTTTCTTGCAACTCCACTGCTGCACCATCGTTATTGATACATTGGAGGATCACTGTGCATCCAATAATTTCAGTTTTGATGGACTTTTTGGATGCATCAGCCTGTCCAATCATCTTCTTGGCTTGAGTGACCTGTTTGTTTTTGGACTCCAATGTGAGTCGTGTGATTTTGGAAGCGAGTCGTAACATGTTTGTCAAAGGGTGTTGCGATTTTATTTTGTTACTTGGCAGGTTTCGACTGAGTTCGATTCATATATTGTGCAAAGAATAGTGCGTCAGATTGGACGCGTTCATTATGTAGTTTATTGAAAAGGTGCGACTTGGAATTCCAAATTTTGAGGTGCGCCACGCATCTTATAACCGTTTCATCATGCATTATTTGGTTAATGTACTACTGCAGATGGAAACAGTTAGTGCTTTCGCAACCATGATGAAATTTTCACAATGCAAGGTTTCATTTCCAAAAACTTTCTAATTTCAAGTTAAATCTTTAAAAGAGTCAAAAAAATCTTCACAATAAGAACCATATGAACACTCCAAAGAGTTGCATCTCCTCATCCATGTATCCTTCAATTCAGGGTGATATCATTCAACCTGATACGACGATTGATTGTTCTTCCTCCTCTTCATTTCCTCATACCACCACCACTTGTGCTCCGAGATCATGTTCACCTCCCGTAAATGTTCCGAATGTGAAAAATCAAACATTGATGACCGCACCCAAATCATTATCTTCTGAAGAATTGCCGTCGATCACTTCTTCACATGGAATGCCTTCTTGCAGCGCTGACAACAACAGGTTAGATCCAATGCTGTTGATCAGTTTGGTTGAAACACTCCAGATGCAATTAGAAGAAACAAACCGATGGAAAGCTTCTGTGGATGAACAAATCCAATGGATGGACATGAAAATGAGCACAATTTTGAACTATGTGAAAAATCGAGTTGATTCTCTTGGCCAACATGGGTCAATGCCATTAACAACAAATCAACTCGAGAGTGCAGTCGTCGTAGTGAATGAAATGCCCTTCCGTTCCAATTCGTTGCAGTGGCATGAAAGGACCAACCTTAATGAACATCAACAAGGAAGATCATCACAAATCACAAATCCAGATACAGACCACTCCTTAAATCTCAACGACGTCGTCCATCGATGGGATGACGAAGAACATGACCTCGAGGAGCTCACGAAACACATCAACCAACCAACCATTGATTCGGATTTTGAAAACGATGTTCAACTCATTTGTGAGCTTGGTTTTCCTGAGGAGTCTGCTCGACATGCTTTAAAGAGTTTTGGAGATCGGGGATTGGCGATGAGTTACTTGTTGGAAAATCAATCCTGTTAGAAGAAGGTTTATAAAATTGTAAGGAATACTTGGTACTGACCTTGCTCGCTGCTTTAGGTTGAGTTGGTTGGTCTCGTTCTTACATTCATTATTGAGTAAAGGTGTTGAGGTTTCAAATGTTCTAATAAGGAAACAGACAACAAACTGAGGAATGTTATCATCATCTTGATCTCAAAAGGTAATTCGTCATCGTCATCGTCTTCATCGTCATATGTATCCTTTACTGAATTATCAACAACAACAACAACAAGTTCAAAGTGCTGATTGAGGGTATTGAACACCTCAACACTACCCAAACACCAAGCGAAGAACCACAAACTCTCAAGCCAAACACATCAACAAGCTTGCGTTCTAAAATTATTTTTTGCTTTCCGATCGGTTGAAGCAAGTTCCAAGAGTTAAAGAGAAGAGACTCTCGATGACGCTCTCTGATCAAAAAAACATCTTAAAAAAAATAATTTGAAAGAGATCTCCATTTCTCTTCATTCCAATAAAACTACTCCACACACAACGACGATCAAAATGTCTGACGAACAACAAGAACCAACAACACCATCCTCCAAGAGAGCACTCGAGAGAAAGAAGCAACATGAAGAATTGTTGGCCAAGGTAAAATCTCAAAAGGAAAAGAATCGATTGGTCGTTGATGAAGCCACTCAAGATGATAACAGCATTGTTGGTGTCCATCCAGATACAATGGAAGCCCTAGAATTGTTTAGAGGTGATACCGTCCGTATTGTTGGTAAGAAACACAAGGATACCATTGCTATTGTCTTGTCCGATGAAGAATGTGAGAAGGGTAAAATCAAGATGAACAAGGTGATGAGAAAGAACTTGCGTGTTCGTCTTGGTGATGTAATTATTCTCAAACAATGTCCCGATGTAAAGTATGGTAAGAGAATTCACGTTCTCCCAATTGATGATACCGTTGAAGGCTTAACTGGTGATCTCTTTGACATCTTCTTGAAGCCATACTTCCTTGAAGCCTACAGACCAGTCAGAAAGGGTGATTTGTTCAATGTTCGCGGAGGTATGAGATCGGTGGAATTCAAGGTCGTTGAGACAGATCCAGACGAATATTGTATTGTTGCTCCCGATACTGTCATTCACTGCGAAGGTGATCCAATTAAGAGAGAAGATGAAGAAGCAAGATTGAACGAAGTCGGCTATGACGACATTGGTGGTGTAAGAAAGCAATTGGCTCAAATCAGAGAAATGGTTGAATTACCATTGAGACACCCACAACTCTTCAAATCTATTGGTATCAAACCTCCTCGAGGTATTCTCTTGTACGGTCCTCCAGGTTCGGGTAAGACTCTGATCGCTCGAGCAGTAGCCAATGAAACTGGTGCATTCTTCTTCTTGATCAATGGTCCAGAAATTATGTCCAAGTTAGCTGGTGAGTCTGAAGCAAACTTGAGAAAGGCCTTCGAAGAAGCAGAAAAGAATGCTCCTTCGATTATCTTTATCGACGAAATAGACTCGATTGCTCCAAAGAGAGAAAAGGCCAACGGTGAAGTTGAAAGAAGAATTGTTTCTCAATTACTTACTCTCATGGACGGTTTGAATACAAGATCAAACGTGATTGTCATGGCAGCAACAAATAGACCAAATTCAATTGATGAAGCTCTTCGTAGATTCGGTCGTTTCGACAGAGAAATTGATATTGGTGTGCCTGATGAAATTGGAAGATTGGAAGTTTTAAGAATTCACACAAAAAATATGAAATTGGATGACGATGTTGATTTGGAGGCTGTTGCCAAGGAAACTCACGGTTATGTCGGTGCCGATCTTGCTCAATTGTGTACTGAAGCTGCCATGAACTGTATCAGAGAAAAGATGGACTTGATTGACTTGGAAGAAGATACCATTGATGCTGCAGTTTTGGACTCTATGGGAGTCACAATGGATCACTTTAGAGCTGCTCTCACTACTCAATCACCATCATCCCTCAGAGAAACTGTTGTTGAAGTTCCAAATGTCACATGGGCAGATATCGGTGGTTTGGAGAAGGTCAAACAAGAATTGCAAGAATTGGTTCAATATCCAATCGAATATCCAGACATGTTTGCCAAATTCGGTCAAGAAGCTTCAAAGGGTGTCCTCTTCTATGGTCCTCCTGGATGTGGTAAGACACTTCTCGCTAAGGCCATCGCAAACGAATGCCAAGCAAACTTTATTTCTGTTAAGGGTCCAGAATTGTTGACCATGTGGTTCGGTGAATCTGAAGCTAACGTTAGAAACATTTTCAACAAGGCTAGAGCTGCTGCTCCTTGTGTTTTGTTCTTTGACGAATTGGACTCAATTGCCAAGGCAAGAGGTGGAAGTCTCGGTGATGCTGGTGGTGCTTCTGACAGAGTTATTAACCAAATTCTTACAGAAATGGACGGTATGGGTAAGAAGAAGAACGTTTTCATTATTGGTGCTACCAATAGACCAGATATTATTGATCCTGCAGTCATGAGACCAGGTCGTTTGGATCAATTGATTTACATTCCATTGCCAGATGAAGGTTCAAGACTCTCAATTTTGAAGGCATCCACCCGAAAGTCGCCACTTGCTTCTGATGTCAACTTGCACGCAATTGCTATGGCCACTAAGGGATTCTCTGGTGCTGACTTGACTGAAATTTGTCAACGTGCTGCCAAGTTGGCCATTCGTGAGTCCATTCAGAGAGAAGTCGAATATAGAAGACAAAAGGAAGAGGAAAGAAAATCAAAGCAAATGGAAGAGGAAGATGAAGACGAAGAATTGGAGGAAAATATGGACTTTGTCCCTTATATTACCAGAGCTCACTTCGAAGAGGCAATGAGATTTGCTCGTAAATCAGTCCCAGAACATGAAATTAGAAAGTATGAAATGTTCTCGACTTCCTTGCAACAAGCTGCAGGTGATGTCAGAAACTTCAAGTTCTCGGATTATGATACTGCTGGTACAACCTCAACAACTACCACAACTGAAGAGGTCATGGACACTGATCTCTACCAATAAATCAATAATATCTTTTCTGTATATTAATTTGAATATGTTCTTTCCAATAAACAAAGTGATCCATCCACCCTTCGAGTTTTTTGAAGCCCAGGTCAAAAATTAAGATCGATAAGCTGTTTCTGGATAATACAATGTTTCAATCAAGACCAAGTCAATCCAATGAATGCAGAGATCACTTGTTGGAACAGGATCCCTCTCTGCCATTCAACGATTGTCCAAAATAATGGCCACTTTAATTCTCACCAAACTCCTTTAATGAAAAACCTTAAGGAACGTTTATTCAATAACTTTTATTTCACCAATCACAGATCAATCACTATTAAGGCAACTTGAATTTTGGTGAATTCTATTCGTTATTTGCAGAATCTTAATTTGATCCTTCATGTCTAACTTCATTTGATAAAAATCAGCTGAACTAAGACTCATGAACCTGCTTCCAGAAATTTCCTTCTCACTCAATATGTTTCTAATATTGTTGTACAACTCTTCGTCGTTAAGTTTGATAAATGTTCTCAATTCATCTACGGTCTTTCTAGTGACATCCTGGGTAGTTTCAGTGAAAATGTATGTGCATTCTGCGATGGAGTTTTGAGTGGTCATCTTTGGTGTCATGACATTTTCTTCGCTGTCACTCTCTAATGGAATGGTCTCAATGGCCTTGGGTGGTTCCTCTTCAGTGAGATCCACGATTAAGTCTTCCTCTTTTTTGACTATTGTTGGGGCTGAGTTGGTGGCAATTCCATCATGATCTTCTTCGTCACTGTAATCAGATGAATGGTCCTCTTCTTTCAATGTTCTTCTTTGAGCAGTGTTACTCAACTTTTTCAAATCAATATTATAATCGTTCAACTCGACGAGAAAACCCAAATAATTTCTATACTTGTAAAGAGATTGAAAAAGAAGGTTTTCCTTGAAAAATATTGTTTCAGTTTGTGATTGTTTGCCTCTTTTTGATGTTTTCTTATGTGGTTGGATTTTGCTCGATTGAATGGTGACTTGCATGCCACAACGCTTTTGTGCCGTATTGGATAATGTTTGGAGTGGAGTCGAATTCGAAGAAGATTTGTCAATTTCTTTTTCTTTGTCACACTCTTTCTCTTCCTCCTCTTCATCAGAATCATCATGATATTTTCTGATTGAAGTAGCCTTGTACACCTCAATTTTGATAACGCCATAACCATTTTCTGTCTGGGTGGAACTTGATGCTTGATTAGTGACATTCTGTGTCCGTTCTGGATTATGCACATACTTGTTAAGCAAGAGTCTTTGTCTCATTTTCTTCCTTAAATCGTCATATCCATGAAGATTCACAACTTCTCCTTTCTGTACAACAGTCTCCATTTCTTTCAATTCTTTACCATCGATGAAGAATTTGAGTATCACATCCACTTTACTGTTATTTCGACAAAGAATTCCTAAACGAACTTGGTTTTTCGGAGCTGTTTCTTCATTCTCTTGCTTGACATTCAATGATGATGAGGAAGAATGTGTCGTAGTTGGATCTGTAAAATCAGAAATATGTGAAACAAATATTCTCTCCAGGACTGGCCCTTCATCATGAATGACATGTTGTTGTTGAGTGAGAAATATTGATCGTTCCTTCTTCCAAGAAATCTCATCCATTTCTTCCATTTCTTCCAAATCATTCTGACTCGTCAATAGTTCAAAATGAATCTTGTTTAAATCCTTTTCACGAATCACTCCAGTCAAGTGAGGTGGTAATTGAATGTATTCTCTTTTTGAGAGATGAGGATTGATCTTTCCTTCAGAATGATCGGATGATTGATATTCCTCGTCGGAAGGAATATAATCCTCATCACTTGAGTCATCATCCACGAAAAATGGATCCACTCTCATGAATGATGATCGGTTTCGTTTGGACATTTTTTTTGTGTGTGTCACATGATTTTTCGTTCTTTGTAAACTCTTTTTCTATTACTTTCTAATAGAAATTAATCTTTACAAAACAATCATCTTAATTTTGTATAAATGACCTTTTGAAGTCGATATTAAACAAAACAATGTGAAGATATTAAACATATGAATATCGATACTAACAAGTAAGAATTACAAAGCAAAGATATATTAATACTGTACAGTTTCGTCAGAAATAACACTTCCATCTGGCACGAGAGCCTTTTGTTTAGCCACAATGTTCACCTTTCCTTTCAAGACAACATTCTTCCCAAAAGTAACATCTCCAGTCACATTCAGTTCTCTCAAATCCACAATATTTGGAACTCCATTCTTGAATCTTGCAAGATAATCTCCAACCTTCTTGTAAAATTTATCATCAAGATTAATAATTGGTGCTTCTTCAGATGTGTTCTTGACCAAGCAATAGTCATCTCCAAGGTTGTATAAGTTGGATTGCACCAAGAGCAAATCAGAACACTTCTTCACAGGTAAGAATCGAGATCTTGGCACATCAACACCAATGGACTTTTTGAAAACTTGAATTGCAGCTCCTGCGGCTGTTTCCAATTGAATCACTTTCACTTCATCTACCTCTTTTTCATTATTGATAATTTCGACTCTTTGTTTGAGCTCTTCCAATTGAGTTTCAATAGCAGAAAGGCGAATCCACAAATTGTTAGTGTTAAAAATTTTGAACTTTTCAATAGATTCAAAATCTTTGACATGTTCTTTTGGAACTTGGGCAAGCTCTAGAAGTTTGACTCCTTCTCCTTCATAATTTATGAGTGTTCCTCCCTTCACGTCGGCCAATGTTTTCTTTGTGACTTCCATGCAAAAGTCAGTTCTATTATTGGTCAAGTGATTTAAAATCTTTACATCAACAGTCGCTCCCAGGTTGTCAATATTCGACAAGAAAATGTATTCTTTTCCTGCATTCTTATATTTGCTGTACAGTGGTGACTCAAAGAATGAGCTGTAGAAATCTCCGTGACCAGGAGGGTACCAAGCTTCCTTGTTCTGTTCATTGGGAATGTCATCAGGGAATGGAAGTAACTTTTCCTTGATGATTCTTGGAAATTGATTTTGTTCAAAGCACTCGATCGTGACATTAATATTGGCATATTTGGGGTCATTGATAATTTTAGCTGTGTCATCGGAAGTGTTGAATGAGTTCATCAATACGAGTGGCACATTTACATCATATTTGTTGTTCAAGTACTGCAGGAGATGGATACAAAGATGGGTGATGATGAGACAATTCACATGTGAAAATTGTGAGCCCGATGAGCCGAATTGAAAATCAAAATTGTATGAATGGATTGGAATGAATATTTCATACACACACGAATCATTAATAATCACATTCAGTTCATTCGCAATCATGATCCGTTGCTGTGGATATCAATAGATGTGTGAAATTACATACCTGAATTTGCTTGATGGTCAAATCCAAGAAGGTATCATGACCTCGAACAGCAATGACAGACTTTGGGCCTGTGCATCCCATCGTTGTTCCCAATCCTCCATTCAACTTGACCACCACAAGTTTGCTGAGAATATTCTTGATCGCGGAATGATCCAAATCACTGCTCAAATGTTCATAATCCTTCAAATGATCTTCAGTTGGTGCCCGAATACGATCCCAATTAATCTGTGCTTGATTCTTTTGTGAGGCAACAAAACGGTTAAACAACTTCAAGAAATCATTCATTTGCTTGCCAAACTTTTGTTGTTCTTGCTTGTCTGAGTGGACTTGATTAAAACGTTGTACAAGTCGTTCAACTGCTTGATCCATTTTGTTGTTAAACTAATAGTGGTAGTATTCGAAAGTATTTGATAAAATTGTAAAGATAAGAAATGTAGTAGTAGTAGCGTGTGTTTGATGATGATGATCAATGAAAATATTCGGAACCTTTTCAAAATACAACAACGGAAAAGCTTGAGAGAATGCGAATCAAGCTTGAGGTGTGTGTGTTGATTATTTTTTTTTGGATGATCCTTGTGGAAGTCACGAACAAATCAAGCCATCCCAAATTCGTCGACTTCACTTGTGGTACGTTACCGTCAGGATCTATTATGGAAGGGGTCTTTGCATTTCAAAGGTCCATACTCGTGAGATGGTCCTTGAATGGAGGAGACTGCTGAAGATGTGGTGCTTTGGGTGTTGTTGTTGTTTGATCCCTATTAATACTATAGAAACGTATATTTATTGTGTAAGGCTTTTTTGAGAAAGAGAAGGAATGGAAATGGATTCGCTTTTGGGGTCAGGTGTGAACAATCTGTCATCTCTAGAATTTAAATTGCTGCTTCAGCTCGTTTAAGATGGACGCTACTTAAAAGTGAACTAAATTATTTATCAATCAAGCCCTCAATAAATATAAATAGCTCGTAAAATTGCATGGTTCATTTTCCAAAGCATTTACATCAATAGATTATTTATTTGTCGTTGATGGACTTGCAGACCATGGAAACAGTGAAATGCTTCACATGTTTCTTTAGCCTTATTTCCAGCGAGATGCAATTATTTGATTTGCCTTGAGTCACACACCTCATTACAACACTATAATATGGGAATTAAACATGGTAGAGAGTAACTGAATCTTTTGGATCATGTTCTTCGGCAGAATCCGCTCGACTGGAATCTTCCTTAATTGGATTTTTAGAAAGTTCCTTCTCTTCTTCTTGTTTCTGTTGTTGCTCTTCTTCTTCGTTGGAAGTTTTAACTTTAGCAACGAGTAAATAACTAGTAGAAATTACCACAGATAATATAGTCAAGACTAGGCATATGGTCATGAAACCAAATTCAGGTCTCTTGTCATCATTGAATCTGTCAATTCCTTGAGATAATCCAAAAACAACAAAGGTTGTGATCATGATGTAACATGAATACAAGAAACTCATCACTGATGCCAATTCATTCACACCTGTCTGTTCATTCACTTTGTGGGGTACAGTGGACTGAATGTAAGCAATTTGAGCGCAATCACTAGCTGCAAAAGAGCCAGAGATCAACATCATCGCTGGTACAATACAAATGGCAAATATCAAATTGTTGCCTGTCTTTGCATCAAAAGAAAGGAATGGGAAAATCCACATCAAGTTCAAAAACAAAGCATCCATCAATATCCAAATGGTTGGTTTCTTGACCTTCTTGGCCAGTAAGAACAACAATCCAGCTCCCAATAATTCTCCAAAATTTGAACCACCCAACATGATTCCTGAATAACTTCCCCTTTTCAAAATCATTTTTGCAAAAGCTGGAAGGAAAATGTTGTCGATCAATTTGTGAAGGGTTTGAGGCAAAACAAAACATGGAATAAGCCAAATGTAATATCGACTGGTGAGAACAATCTTTGCGCCAATGAACATGCTCTTGAAATAATTCTTTACAGCAACTCCAACACGAATCGAAAAGGACTTGGCTCTTTGAGACCATTTTGGGCGTTGAGGGGTGAGGCTTGGTACATCCATTGCTGAAACAGAAGGGTTGAATGTTTTTGGTTGATCCTCTGTTTTTTGTTGACCTTTCGTGCTAATGAAAAAGAGGAACACTGTACAAATTGTGAAAAATAGAGGCATGTGACAAAGTGCATAGACAGATCCAAGTTTTTCAATGAACACACTTGAAAGAAAAGCACCCGCAGTACCAGCACACTCGTAAATAATGTGAATACTTGCATTCAATCTTTTAAGGGTGACAGATTTGGAGTTCCCGAGAATGGTTGCTGGAACAATCTTTCGAACAACTTCAATGACTAATGAGAATATCAGATCACATCAATGAATAATAAAGGGATATTAACTTGCTGCAATACTCACCTCCAACGTTAAATCCGATAAAAACAAAAATTGGGAAGGTAATCCATGGCGTCCAATATCCTGCTACTGTTATAGTACCGCCTGTGGATGCTTCCAAAATAATTATGATTAAGATTAATAGAGAAAAGAACAAAAGAGCCATACTGTACAATCGAGTGGCTCGAACTTTTTTCAAAAATCCCTCCACAAACGTTGAAGAGATGGATTGAGATATTCCAAAAGTAATGGCTAATAAACTCAAAATTGTCGTTGCTCCCAAAGGATGTCTCTCTAATCTTGTGAGAATGGTCAGACCAATGGCACCTGACAAGGTTTCAAACGAAAATTTGTAACACAAAGTTCCCAAAAAGAAGAGAATCAAATTTGATTCTCGTTCTGAGAAATGTCTGAGCAGCGACAGATTTTGGAGTTGTCTCAGGAGTGGTGGCAACCTCTCCTTCCGCATTAACTTTGAGATCATTCAACGACGACGATTCCAACTTGTTGTCTGACATTGAAACTTCTAAAGTGCTTGTCGTTGAGGGTGGGAATGTGGAATTATGATCGATGACAAGATCCATGCTATTGCAGACTTTGAATGAAGGGGGAGTATCTTCGATTGCTTGTGATTGGTGGTGTTGTTGGTGATCATCATTTGGTGAATGCCTTAAATGGTATTCAGCCAAAAGAAAATTTGGCATTCCGTTCAATAGATTTTCATTGTGAGTAATGTCCATCACATCTTCCAATCGGTCGAGAATGGTTTCTTCATGATGAGATGGTTCCGAGTGGTGTTGTGAGGTACCTTGATGTCCATGATGTTCCTAATGATGGCTACGGGGAAGATGAACAAAAGTTGTATTTTCGTCATTGAGAGATGGGAACGAATGAATAATAGTTGTACATTCAGCTCCATGTTGAGGAGTTTGAGTTTCCAAAGGAGTTAACTCATCCATTCAATGGATTCCGGTGAGAGAGTTGCACGGTCGAGAGCGTAGCTACCAGCAACGCAATCAAAGATTCTCCTTCCATATTGGGCTAACTTAAAAAGTGCAATTAGCAAAAAAATGCAGTTCCACAACGGACCCAGTGCTGTAAAGCATCGAAATAAGAGGCAACATCAACAATCCTCATTCACAGTTCATCCAACTTCGACTTTTCAAACACCTCAAACTCCATCATCACAGGAATTAAAATTTAATTGCAATGGCTTCCCATCCGATAAATATTCAGAGCTGCTTTTTGGTGATTGTATATTCAATGCAAACTATAAGCCGATTGCAATTAAAACAGGGACCAAATTGAAATCTGTTGAATGCAATCAACTCGGCACAAAAGCAACCGGGATTTGCAATAATTGCCAATCTAAAATGAACCTTGATAAAATTATTTCAAAGAAAGATGATATTTTCCAACAAATTGCTGATGGAGTCCGTCCCGCACCTAAAAGTTTACTTGCGTATCCTTTACTCATGTATGAAATAATTAGCAAGTTAGTGGTTCATTCAAAAGAGTTAACTGAGACCGAATCTGAATTAGTGTCATTATTTCGACAAGCCTAAGAACATTATGATTCAACCTGGAATTTTGAGTCAGTGAATGTTGAGTATGTGATGGAATCACCACAAAAGAAAGTTAAATTAGATCTCAGAACAGAACCTACTTGTAAACCTTGTTTGCCAGAAATGAAAAAACCTTTTGAGGATACATTTTTCATGCAATTTATATTCGACCAATTACGAAATTATAGTAGAGATCCGCGTCATCACCAGTATTCTGATATTGCAAAACGTTTTTGGATTCTTGTTAAATATTATGCAGGAAAGCAATTTTTTGTCAGAATGGCCGGAGCACGAAATCAACATCAACCATGTAATTGGTTCAACCATTTACATTACAATCTCATAATTCCTGAATTAGCTACAGTCAAAAATTGGTTTCCAAAAGGTAGTCGTGGTATCATTCCGTATTTCAAAGAAACTCTTGAAGATATTGTTTCAAAATCCTCCTGTAAGAATGCATGTATTTCTGTTGACGGCATGAAGGTTTTGAAACATATTGACACACTAAATTCAGAATTTGTTGGAGTAGTGTTCCCATGAATTATTGATAAATCTGTAACTGTTGTTTGTGGTTGTGCTGATGCTGAAATTGATGCTCAGGCTGTTCAACACGCAATTCAAGCTACGCATAAGGATTTTGTGTTTCTCAATGATTATGTTCACAATTTTAAGAATCAAAGAAATGCCCTATTTACCTCTCAAATTACTGAACACAAAATATCAATGCCAACAATAGTCAATCTCATGCAACAATTTCCACACTTGTATGAATTGCTTGATAGAGAGGAAGTAGCTCCTAGTGATATCATGGCGTTACAATATTGTTTAAATTTAACAAGCTCACCGGTCATTGAACAGTTGAAAGCAATCAATACTCCACAATCATTAGCCGCAGCAAATTATTTGACGTTAATTCGAGAATTATATGACTGCATTAATGATAATAAGTGTCAAGTTGAGCAATTACATAACATTAAGCAACGATTTGAGCAGTTAAATCCGTTCCCCTCAAAAACAAAAAATATTTGCATACACACTATCAATGGATTCATCACTTTGATCTCACATTTTCCAAATCTTCGATCAAGCTGTATCACCACAAATTCTAATGAACTATTTTTCTCTATTGTAAGACATAAGTATCCTCGAGCAACAGAAAAACAGTTCTGTCAAATGGGTTTGTTAACATTTTTCATATATTGTATCCTTCATGCCCCTGATGATGTTCGAGGATTTTCTCTTCCTGATATTCCATTAACTGATCATTATAACGGAATGAGTGGAAAAGTGACAAAAATTCCAGATTTTTCGCCATACTGTAGCCCAAACTCTCAACTTAAAGGATTCGAAAAAGAATTAGAAAAAATTAATCAACAAATTGCAAATTATGCCAGAAAATCCACTTTGAGATTAGATACTTGTGCTCCAAAGCGGATCTTTCTTTGTTGCCCTGTACCTAATTGTAAGAAATTGAAGCCTTATCTTGTAAAAGGCTGCTTTAAAAACCATTTGATCAACAAACACAAATATGATCAGAAAGCAGCTGCTGAAGAGGTTAAGAATATGGAATGTCAAGAATTTCTTCGTCAAATGCAAAGAGATGTTGAATTGCGAAAAGTTACAATGTCACATGGTGAAGAAGATCAATACAAAGATTCTCAATCAGAAAATGCTACTACTAATAATTCAATAGAGGAGCTTAAGCATAAGCCTAATGAATTACGGTCCGTATTTAAAGATAAAATTTCGGTGATACATTCTAGACCTCAAGGGATAATATCATCAACACAAAATCTCATGAAAATCGGAAACAAATTATATCATATTGTGTTGATGGATTTGGAGACAATGGGAGTCAATGTCAACACCAATACTATCATTCAAATTGCTTTTCTATCGCTGTCAACACATCAATTACATTCAATGTTTGTCCAACCAGAACCAAATGCAAATTGGCATCAAAAAGCTGCAACAATGCATCAGGACAAACTGGTCATATTAGCCAAAAGTGATTTTCTTCGGAATGTGATTCCTGATGTTGTTAATTATTTGACATACGGAGAAGCAGCCGATGTAATATTCTTAGTTCATTCATGGAGTTTGGATGAGCAATTTTTCACAAAAGCGTTAACAAGTCTCTCTCATCAACCCAAAATTAATTTTCATTATTGTAGGACGATGGAGAAAGTGTTACTCGGAAGAGTGGCCTTGGAGAAACAATATTCGTCTCGGATTAGCAATGATCTTCCGGGAACTCCTCACAATGCTGCTGTTGATGTGGTTATGTTGTATGATTTGCTGTTGAGCAAGTTTACGACTGACAAGAATATAGAGCAAGCTGTTGTGAAGCATCTGCAACTTCGTCAAACCACCCTGCAATAAACATTTTTTTGGTTTGCTACTTTTATAGTTAGGCCCAAAATGGAAGGCTAAAGTCTGATTGCCTACGCTCTCGATCCCCCTCCCCGGAGTTGCAGGTAATCCACTATCTTCTATTTGCTTATTTGTTGGTTGTTGTTGTTGTTACTCATCTTGTTGGATTCTCTACTTTAAACTGTTACCGACCAGCAAAATGGGACGGGTTTGCAACCTCTTCTCTCGTATTTAGTCATGGTTGTATCTTATTGCCGTAAGTTTCCTAAATTTCATCATGCCTTTTTCGAAATTAATAAAAAAATTATTATTGTAAAAAACATGTTGACCATTTTGAATCAGACCAACAGACTCCTTTGTGATTCTTAAATTCGTGAAATTGAAAACACATCCATTCCGCTTTTCATCTAACAAAATAGCTCAATAACTGATTAGTTCAGTTGTATGTGGAAAACATTTTTTTCGTTATCGAAAAAAATTAAAACCTTTTCGTTAAGATAATGGATATCTTTTCAAAATAATTCATCACGGTAAATGGACCGAATCAACTCTCCCTTTCTCTCGATGCACTTTTCTTTTCTTCTGACGATCGTTGGAGTGTTCATTGTACATGTAATCACCTGTAAAGATCCAAGTGTTCTGGCATCTTCTTCGGTGCATCGAGTTCTCCAACGTTCAATCAACACGACCGTTCATTTCCGAGTTCATTTAGATCGTTCTCCACAATCACCATTTCATCACTATTGGAAAACAAGTGTAGGCAGCGGTCATGCAAGCCTTTGTCTTCATACGACATGGAGAGAACATGTTCTCAAGGCAAAGCAAGAATTAGGCTTTACAGGTATTCGTTTTCATGGAATTTTCTCGGATGACATGAGTGTGGTGTTGGGTCCTGGAGATGATGATCAAAAGCCTTACTATTATTCCTTCTTTAATGTTTTTAATTGCTTTGATTTTTTACTTCATTCTGGTGTAAGTAGAATATATTCTTTTGAATTACATGAATCACATGAATGGTATGATGATGGTTTGATGTCAATCAATTTACATGTTTGGAAATGATGAAAGATCCGACCTGTGGTGGAAATTGGATTCATGCCCGAGTTGTTTGCCTCTAATGCATCACAAACGGTCTTTCATTGGAAAGGCATTGTTTCACCACCAAAGAGATATGATCTATGGGATGATTTAATTTCCTCATTTGGAAATGCTCTTGTTCAAAGATATGGCATTAAGGAAGTATCGAATTGGGTCTTTGAGGTTTGGAATGAGCCTAATTTACGGAATGGATTTTGGTATGGATCTAAGGAGGAGTATTTTGAATTGTATCGACATACTGCTTTGGCATTGAAACGAGCTCATAAAGAATTGAGAGTTGGAGGTCCTGTCACTGCCTTTGCAGAGTGGATTCCCGAATTTATTCAATTCACAAAGAGTAATAATGTTCCTCTCAATTTCATATCGACTCATCAGTATCCAACTGATGAATTTCCAGTGTTGAGAGATTTCTTATGGCAAAATGTGAAAAAAACAAAGAGTATTGTCGTGGATCATTACAAGTTGCCTCTTTATTATACTGAATGGAATGCTGGTTTACAGGATGGAAGAGGTTCTCACTTTTATCAAGGTAAGTAAGAGGTCATTTGTAATTATCATCTTACATTGCCATTCATGCGAACAATCGATCCAAAAAAGACTCTGCCTATCCTGCTGCCTACATTGTGAAGGCTCTTTTTGAACTATACTCTCAGGTCGAGTTGTTTTCTTTTTGGTGTGTTTCTGATATTTTCGAAGAAGGAGGTCAACAATCGTTACCATTCTCCGGAACCTATGGCTTAATCACCAATAATGGAATTAGAAAACCAGTGTGGAGAGCGTTTGAACTGATTGGCCAAAGTGGAGATTATCTAATTGAGGTTGAGAAAGTATCAATTCCATCATTGAAAAACTCCACCGTTGATGCGTATGCCACTGTGAACTCAAAAACTGGCGAGTTGGTGGTGTTTGTCACAAATTGGCAAATACCTGGATTGCCTCAAATGACCTATGATGTTTCTGTTAGCTTTTCAAATAGTCTTGTTGATGCTTGTACATTGACCATTATTGACGAAACACATTCAAATGCATTCACCAGATGGCAACAGTTAAACAAACCTATCTATCCCACTATTCAACAAATTTATGACCTTCAAAAGAGTAGTGAATTGATACCACAATCCCTTAAGGTCAACTCAGATGGAACTATAACAATTTCAACACCGATTCTTTCGCCTTCGCTTCATGTCATTCGTTGTGTAAAAGCGAAATAAATTATTCTTCAGGTGAATGTGTTTTTCTCTCGTCAATTTGAGTTGTTTTTTCAGGTCTTCCAGAATTTTGAAAGCAAAAAAATGAGAAAATTTGTGGCATCATCGAATATTCATTCATCAGCTTCCTCTCTCTTTCTCAAATCTGTTTCCCAACAACAACAATTTTGTTTCTATTCACGGGTGAAGAAGGAACAAGAAACACCGGCAACAAAACCAGAGAAAGAAGAGGGTTCCGTTCCTACTGTTCCAATTCCAAAACCAAACAGCATTGAACAACAAGTGAAGCAAATTTTGGCTTTCAACAGTGAAGGACAAGTCGCCGAGGCTGTTGAGGGCTATGAAAAACTCAAGAAGATGACCAAGCACATTGACTTGAAAACTTTGAATGCTATTGTGAGTTCATTTGCTCCAAAGAAGCTTCTATTTAAATGGTTTAAGCCATACAAAGATTATGTAGATATGTATGTGGAGGCTAGCAAGTTCAGACCAAAGGAAGTATGTACTCTATGTTTGTTCGGTATCCCAATTTCTAATTATTATTTTATTTATATATTCATCAAAATAATTTTCGTTTTGATGATGATGACGATGACTGTTACTTTTTAACCCGATGACCATCATCATTTGTATTGTTGAATATCATTATTTGTTCATCATCACCCAAACCACTTTACAAACTGTTAAAAATTATTTCAGAGATTGGAGGAGGCAAAGAGAGTGTTTTCCGATATTTACAAGTATCACAATTCACCTGATGCCATCTCGTACAATGCTTTGATGAAGGTACAATTGAGCGCGGATGACGTTTTGCGTGTTTTTGATACATTCAACGAATTACAGGCGTCAGGTATTGGACAATCACCCATGTATAAGGAACAATTATTGACCAGTATGGGTACCCTTTTGAGAGCATGTTCCATGCTTGAACAAGTTCAATTAGCTGAGGAAATTTACTTCTTCACTATTCAAGACATTATCAAAGACAGACTTGGTTACTCACATGAAAAGCCTTGGTCTGCAAGTGATAGTGTTTCATACTTGACATTTTGCAATACCATGTTGGATGTTTATGCAGAATCACGTGATCCATTTGCTTTTAAGTTTTTCGAGCAAATGGTTGCAAACTCATCATCTGCTCACTTTTCTAATCAGAAAATAGATCAAAAAACACGATTCAAGAGATCACCTAAATTGTTAGGTTCTCTCAATGGTATCACTTTCAATACTTATGCAAAGGCCTGTATATTTTTGGACCATAGAATTAAACTAGTAGAAATGGCAGAAAGAATGAGAGTTGAAGGTGTTCTCCAATCAGAATTGTCGAAACCAGTAAGACTTGAAATCAAGCATGCTCTAGAAACCTACACACAGGCCCTACACAAACCACATAGAGGCGAGCTTTTGTCTGAGGGTCCACATGATATGATTGCTACTGACCACTTTGCTGACTTGAGAGACTTCCTTATTATTGATATTGATGATGAAGACAGTGCAGCATGGGGTAGAAGTGTTGATACTAAGGACTTTAAGTTTATGAAATTCATGAAGCCAACTCATGACATGTACAAGATTGATTTGGGTGACAGTTTCAAAGGCATACTCAAACAACAATAAACACTTTCTGTGAATGAGGTTATAGTATGAATTACAGTCAGTTACTGCCTTCAAGATTGACGCTTTTTTCAAAAAAAATTTTTAAAATATTCCAAAAACATGAATTATTCTTGTAAAACAAATGAGGACGAATATTTTAATTACGAATCAGGATTTATTATGTAAGGACCTCTTATTATTCTCAATCTCATGAGGATGTCAATTACTTTTGTCCAAAGGAGGAAAATTCTTCTTCTTCTTGATAGAGTTTGAGAAAGCTCACAAATCATTAGAGGGAGAGACTGAAAGAAGAAAAAAATGAGAGCTCTAAAACCATTCCTCTCAGAGAGGACCTCTCTGGCAAGGACAAATACGATTCGCATCGGAAGAAGAGGTGTTGCTTCCAAACCCTATTGTTACAACCACAGTTCTCCAATGATTTTATTCTTTTTGAATAAATTCAACAATCACCAATCGAGCTTCCCAACATGTTGCAAAGAATCCCATCAACAAAGAATGTTCATGCAATCCCGAACCGAATTCAACATGGAACAAAATCCACCATCTCTCCATGATGATCATCATGACTCGAGTAGGACTAGCCCTTCCTCGTCTTCATCAAGCCAAACAAATTCAACGAGCTCTGTACAGCAGCAGATTGTTGCAACAAAATCATGGCCACAGAAACTTGTAGAATCAGCACCAAACTCCATCCGACCCTATCTTTATCTTATGAGGCTTGACAAGCCTATTGGTACATGGCTTTTAATTTATCCGGGTTTATGGAGTTTGGCATTTGCAGATGTTGCCTCTCTCATTCCGAGTCCTTACAATGCAACACTACTTGCCATCGGCGCACTCATTATGAGAGGTGCTGGATGTACAGTGAATGATATGTGGGATCGAGATTTTGACAAACAAGTCGAAAGAACCAAAATGAGACCAATTGCAAGTGGTCAAATATCAATGAGAAATGCTACTATATTCTTGACAGCTCAATTGTTGGCTGGTTTGGCAATTTTAGTTCAATCCAATTATTATACCATTGCTCTGGGAGCCAGCTCTTTGTTTCTTATGTTCACCTATCCTCTCATGAAAAGAATTACGTATTGGCCGCAGAGTTATTTGGGCTTAACCTTTAATTGGGGTATTTTTGTGGGATATGCTTCCTTTGCTGGTTTCTGTAATTGGTCAATTTTAGTGCCCATGTATTTGGGATCTATTGCATGGACTCTTGTCTATGACACTATTTACGCACACCAAGATAAGAAGGATGACAAGGATATTGGAGTGAAATCCACGGCTTTACTTTTTGGAGACCGTACACGGGAAATTTTGACAGGATTTTCTCTGATTTTTGGAGTTTGCACATCTCTTGCTGGTCACAATGCTGGATACGACTTGGTGGAGCAGTGGCCTTATTTCCTCGCAATATTTTCATCCGTTCTGGGCTCCATTTACAAAATTCACACCATCGATTATAACAATCCTCAACAATGCATGAGAACATTTGTTCAAAACAAGTGGATTGGATTTGTGATTTTACTTGGAATTATTGGAGCTAATTGGACCAAGCGAAGGAAGGAAAAGCAACGTTCTGAATAATTTTTATAACTTTTCTTGAATTTTAAATACAATGACATCAATTCAGATTTGGTAAATTCTTTTTTTTATTACTTGATATTACTCACAATGGAGTGCGAAAGAGATGTAACTCGTTTTTTCTTTTCACTTAACCGCTTATCAATTTCTTCATAGAGTTGCCTGGATACTTTTGTTGCTTCATGATCTTCTCCTAACAACTGTTCACGTAGTTTGTATGCTTTTTGAAAATAGTTTAGAGCCTGTGGAAGATTTCTATCCTTAAATAATATTAATCCCATGTTGTGTAGGGCCAAAGCATAATCATATGTATTCACTCCTAGATGTTTTTTTCGTATAGCAATCACCTTATTTTGATATTCGACAGCTTTTTTGAATTTTCTTAAATCTTTCAAAACTTGTGACATGTTTTCGTAAGTAAGTGCAGTAATTGAGTGGTCTTCCCCTAAAATTTTCTCTCGTATTCTTATGGATTTATCATAGTAGTCTATGGCATCCTCTAGTTTTGACTGATGGTCGAATATTACTCCCATATTGTGATAAATATCTGACAAACATAATCGATCATCTCCCAAAATATCTATGCAGCTTTGTTGCTCTTATGCAAAATCATTGTGCCATTTGTTACTTACTTTCAGCCAATTTTTGTGCTTTTTGAAACATGCCTAATGCTTCATCAAATCTCTTTTGGTTTGTATATACGAGAGCAATATTAACAAGTGGGGAAACTATACCAGGAAAATTTTTCCCGAATTTATCCTCCAACCTTTGAATACATCTATGATACAGTTCTAGGGCGGACTCTTCGTCACCTTGTCCATAGTAAGAAATTCCCATGGCCAAAAATATGTTGGCACACATCTCTGCATCCTCGATTTTCGATTTCATGAATATATTAAGACACTCGTTGAATCGTTCGAGGGAAGCTTCATATTGTCCCTTGTCATACAGAACCATTCCTCGTTCATATTCATTTAATATCAGTCCTATGGTGTGTTCATGTGATCCTTGTTGCAATTTCGACGCATTATTATTCGTTACAGGTTTTTCCTTTTTATGCGCCGAGGCACAACCTTGAAATTTAGGTCTAAACTCTGCAATATCAATACTCGAGTCCTCTTGAGATTTATCATTTAAATAATTTTGCCCGAAAGGTTTTGACGAATTCTTTGTTTGTTGGAAATTGTGTATCAAGGCGTCATGATTGTATTCCATATTTGTCCTTAATTGAGGATTGATTGAATGTTCTTCTGACTCCGAGCTTGCTTGAAACGTAACCTTTCTATCCTCAGAGATCCCTGACACACCGACAGAGTTTGATTTTCCCTTGCTGAGTGTAACATCACCACTTTCATCTTGTTCAGAAAGTTTTGATGAGGGTTGTTTTGGCCTCGAGGGAGGTCGTTTGGCTGCCGAGTCGGAGGATGGTAATTGTTGTTGTTTAGGTCTCTGATGAGATGAAGTTACCTTTCTCTCCTCAGAGGTTCCTGATGCAGATCCAGACTTGGCTGTGGTTGCCTCTTTTCCCTGTTGAGGTTTTTGGGTGCTGCTTGATGGCGCATTTGCAAGCAAAGGGTTCGATGAAAAAGCATACATTTTTTTTTGGCGGTTGTTTTTACAATTTGTTTTATAAAGAAAAAAATCACTTGAAAATTCAACTACAAATCACTTGAAACCTTTCATGCCAAGTACTGTATAATGATGTTTCTTTATCATTACAGACAGAAATACAAGTGGCAGCAATCGAACCTAGCCTATGCTAATAGATATCTGAAAAAATCATTTAAAAAAGAATGAAGAAAAAGTACATACTTGACAGCACATGTCCAAAGAGCATCGTGAAGCTCCTCATTGTATGCCCTTTGATAAGCATCCAACCTAGAGAAGTGATCGTCGAGATTGGATAAAATCTTTGCAAATTTAGACAGTTCGATGGATGTTTCACGAAGCATGCCATTCTTTCTTTCTTCTCGTCGTGTATTGACAATATCTTGATATTGTTTCAAGAGTCCTAGTAAACTGATGTAAATCTCTTTGAGCTCTTCTTCCTGTTCACGGTCCATGTGAACTGTGTTTGGCTGAACAAAGACCTCAAAATGATATCTCATTTGTTCCAAATAAATTACAAATCTGTGATGAACATTCCTTTCTTCCTTTTTCCACACAGAGCTTATCAAATCAAAACTTCGTCCAGTGATTGTGGCAATAAAATGTTTTACATTAGTGGTATTAACTTCATCTTCCTGAGAGTCATTTCCCCAAGTTTTAATTCGATCTTCCTCTAGAGACTTGGTATTGTTAAAGAGTGTCAATGAGAGAGGATGTCTTACCAATCGTAAGGAGCTGGTTATTTCAATGTATTTTTTGATCAATTTGACCTCATTATCACTGATTCTTCCTTTTCTGCTTGGAGTTTTCAAATTGTATTTTTTCCTTAATATTACGTATTTTTCATCCTCAAAATCTTGTTTAAGTTTGTGTCGTAATTCCACATTGGTAGTAGTTGAGCAAATAAATTTAAACAGAACTGAATGAGGTTCAATAGAGATCACATTCGATTGTTTCACTTCTGTGTGAGCTGCAGAGTCGTTAGTGGTGCTAGCATCCATCGTGTTTGTCATCTTTTGTTTTTTTCTTGATGGTTCAGCTACTTTTTGTTTTGGTATTGCCTTGCTAACATTTTCAGCAAATTTTCGGTGTGTATCTTCTTCTTCATCATCATCAGAATCAAAAACAGCAGGATGTCCCTCTTCATCTTCGCTACCTTGTTTAAACTTTTCACTGAATCTTAATGATGCAAGTTGATTTTGTCTTTGCGAAGCATCTTTATCATTATCCCTTTTCGCGCTATTTGATGAAGAAAGACTTGAAGCAGCTCGAGCACTACTTCTTGTGGTTCTTTGAACAACTTCTTCCTCTGATGATGCTTGTTGGTCATTATCATGATCCGTATCAGTCTCTTCCAAAATATCTGCATCCTCTTCTTCCTCTTCGGATGAATCATAAACAATACCTTCCGAATTTTCCAATGTTGGTTTACTTGCTTGAGATGAATTTTCCAATGCTTGATCCTTGGTAGGGGATGACGAAGATGATGATGGCAACGCAGATTGTTTCTCAGGATCTGTGATGCTGCTGTTAGTTGCTGGACTCAAAACAACCCCTGGCATGGTGCGTACAACACCAGTAGCAGCACCACTACCGCTTCCAGAAGAAACCATCATCGCCCGATTCACCACTTGTTCTTTTGCTAGCTCTCCCGATGAGGCTGTCCCGAGAACACCCACAGATTTTCGGGCGGTAGGGAGAGGCTTTAGGTCTTGAAGCATTTTTTCTTTTAGTTTGGATTAAAATATTATTATAATTTAATACTTTGGAAATATATTTTTCATAGGAATTAGGTATTATTTATTTATTAATTCTCTGATATAAACTAAACTAAATGGGTTATAACAGCTATTAGCATTACATCATGTAATGATGAAACTCATGTTCATAGAGATGGCTACAAAGTTCTTTCACGTGAAAACAAGTTGATCTCATTGTTAGTGATTGCAATGAACATGAAACAACTTTAAAAAAAACATCATCCTGACTCAATCATGTTTCATTAAAAATTGCGTCTCTTTGTGGATTTACATCCAATCCTGATCGAAGAATTTCCTCAATTGTTTTCAACAAAAATCGGCACAACATTCCAAGTTAATTTTGAATTCGAATGACATATTATGCATCACTCATAAATTCTCTCAAGTTTCTTCAATGTTGATTTCTCCCATTCATTGATTTCAATGAAATGCAAACTAAAGACTTTCCACAATAACTTGGAGTAGAGTCTTGACAAATTCTACCTGAACCTTCACTGGAATTACATCATGAGGAGGAACGTGAACGAATAAGCTGTAACATTTTCTCTGAGACTTTTTCTGCATTTCATCCTTCTTGTTGTTGTAATCAAGACCATTCCTACTCACATCACCACATGTGGAATATTGCAAGGAATGATAGTAACAATAATTACAAATAAAGAGACCTGCATCTTGGGAAGCTTTACAGAAAGCTCCTGCATTGGTAATGAGAGAAAGAGATTCTTGTAAATCGGTGCGCAATTCCTCGAGTTGTTTTTGAATGAAATCTTCATTTGGATTGGAAGAGAGAGCATTCTTGGTAGACTTCACACCACCAAGTGTTCCAGTCATGTTGATGCGACGTAATTTATAACGAGCAGATTCAAGAACCAATTGAGAGAGTGGAGGATGGAGAGAATTTTCATGTAATTTAAGATTGACGCTCTCAATGATGGAATTAAGGTGAGTGGTGAGATTGCAATGGAGGAAGGAATCAATAGGAAGGTCTTCATTAATGGGTTCATTGAGAGGTTGTTCTCCTTGTTCATCTCGTGCACGAAAGGTCTTTTCATTCTTGGCTCTCTCTGTTGTGTGAATGAATGAATATTGAATGATCATCATGATTTTGAATAAACGTTAATGATGAATAAAATTTCAAAATTTTACAAAAAGATCAGATTGTTGTCGATTTTGAATTGTATGAAGGAATTTAAATGAGCATCATATGAATCATCATCAATTGATATTAATTGATATTGACAAAATGAATAAATTATTATGGATTTGAAATAAATGTCACACATCACCATACCTTCCAACTCGTACATGATGCTATTTCCACTCACTCCAAAATGAATGAAAATATCAATGGATGGATATTTCGAATCATCATCACCACCACCACTATTACATTTCATCTCTTCAAAATATTGTTGGACTGCTTTCATCGAAGTTTCAATAATACTGTAATGAATGGGATTAATTTCATAATCATTGTTGGTGATCGGAGAAGAGAGTGCAAAATTTTCATTCTTCAAGGTTTCAATGATCAGCGTGGTTGGATTCTCTTTCACACCAGCAAATGGTCCAAATCCTGTTAAATGAATTGTAACTTTTTGCTTCTTTTTTGTTTCATGGCTGTTGTTGTTGCTTGTTTGATTGGTGATGGTTTCAAACATTTTCTTCGTGTTTGAAGATATTTTTTTGGTTGAAAAATTAACGATGATGACGTGAACCAAGAATAATTTAATACCTTAATAATTTAAGGTAAATTCCATTATTGAGCGGCCTATTGCTCTTCATGAGGAAGATCAAAAATATCAGTCGACTTGTTTTCACTTGGTGAAGGTTGTACATTTGGTGTCAACAAGTTTGTTTGTTCCTCAACAACGACCCAACTCTCTTGACGATCGAGTGGCTGTCCCAACGACGACTCAGTTACATTTTCCTCTCCTGCTTGTAACACTTGAGAAATATTTTCTGGAATGCCAGAAAGTCCAACTTCCTCTGGTTTGATGGTAAATTTGTATTCCTCTGCTAACTCATTGTAACCAATCTTGTCTAAAAATACAGCATATTGCTGATAGACGAAATATTTGAGTTTTCGACATGTCATTACAAAATCATCATGGTTCTTACTACTGCTATACAAAGGTTCGCTTAATTTCGATGGAGAAGAGACCTTCAATATGAAATATCTGTGAAGCTCACTAAGTGGTAAATGTGGTAAATATTCATCGTAGGCCTTGGTGAACAATGAGGCAATATCATCAAGTTCTGACTTGTGTAACAGATCTAGCACCTCCTTAAAAAGTCCAAGGCTCATCCAAACACCAATAGATTTCAAAAGTTGATTATTACTTTGAAGGTGATCTGCCCATCTTGAGAGCACAATCAAGCAATCGTGATCAGGTAAAATGCTTTTGGCAATACGAGCTGCTTTTTCCCACATATCAAAATCTTGGAGAATTTTGCAAGCTTTCAAGCCCTCTCCAATTGAGCACAATAACTGTACACCAAACTCAATGTCATTTTCCTTCTTCAATGAAATAAGAGAGCTTGCAACAAATTGAACAGTTTCTCTGAAATGTAAAGGAGAGTTAGAGGCAGCTAAAACCGTTGCATGTAAGAAATTGGCATACAAGTTCTTGCTATCAAGTGGCGTTTGCAATAGTAGTTTGACTGCTTGGTCCTTTTGCAACAGTTCGCTCTCATTTCTTGCAATGAAAGAGAATAAGTCATTGACTTGTTCAGTTGGGGCACCTGATTTGAGCTTGTGCTGAAGAGTTTGGTCGTGCTGTTGCAAAATTTTCATCTCTTCATTTCTAACAGACTCATTATCTCGCAATAAATCAAACGTGGCTGGAAGAGGTGAAATCAAACAAACATTTGCATCAAATCGTTCTAACTCAGTATTCTCTGTAAAGAAGTGCTCTTCTTCCTGTTGTGGTGCAGTTTCTTTGTGAGTGGCCTCTTGATGTGTTGGAGTAATGTCTTGTTTTGAGAACTTGGTTAAAAATTCTATGGCTAATCTCCAAAACTGTTCTGCGATTTTGTCACCAAAATATTGTGCTGCAAGAAGGCATCGTTCAGCAGTAGTGGTTGCAGGATTTTTCAATTTGTTCAAAATATGATCAGGAATCAAGTATCTGTAGCTCAGCATCTTATCATGAAGGCTTTCAGAGGCTTTTGGAGTAATTACCTCTCCAATGCAATTTCTGAACGTATTGGGTGAGTCAACAACTTGATTCTCATTAAACATGTCATCGAATGGTAGCTTGTTGTTCTCAATGAGGGCTCTAAAATATTGAGCTTCATCACTCTTCAAGCAGCAAGGCGTCTTGATATAATCACTTCGGCTATGGAAAAGCAAGTTGGTGTTGCATGTAGTAAGTTGAAGATCAAACACGAGAATAGAGCCCGAGTTGGTGGAGATGACAGGATAATTGCCTCTCGCCCAATCAGCTGCTACTGCTTTAACATAGGCTGGAGAGCTTGCTACTTTAACGTTTTGATCAACATCCCAAATACCAAAATCCCCATCTGCAAATAACACTAAAATATGATTGTGCTCCTTACTGAATGCAATTTTCTTAATAAGGCCTTTGTGGGTGTGCAAAACTCGGGACTTCTTTTTCGCCAGGTCCCAAATTGTGACAGTTCCTACATTGTCTCCTGAAACAAGAATGTCACTCTTCCAAGCTAATGCAGAGACAGGAGTGAAGAATACTTTTTGTTTTTTAACATCAGGCTCAACCTTATAATTTTCAACCTTGTAAAAATGGAGTGAACCATCGCTTGTGGTAAAGTATAACATTTCACGTTCTGGGTGATTTTTGGACAGAGGAATCCACTCCAATGCGGTAACATTTGTGAATGGAATCATTCTAATTAATTTCAGTGTGTCAAGTCTCCAAACCTCAATAGGTCTATCCTGCAAGATTATCACAAGATATTTGTAGCTGTTACTAACTCGAATACCCTTGATACCTCCTGCACGTGATGATTCTTCTCGTTTGTTCTGATCTTCTCTGTTTACATCAATGGTTGTATGCTTGCCTGAAAGGATGTTTACAAGTCGAAGCTCGTTATTCTTCCTGTCCTTTTTCTTTTCAAATACAGAAGAAGAAAAGCATAGCAATGAGTTAGGGCCATACCAACGAATTCCCAATACTGGAGCATTATTGAAAACATCATGCTTAACTTTAAGAGCTCCAGTTAAAAGATCATAAATCATTATTAGTCCATTGCTTGTACCGACAGCAACACGATCATCAAATGGAGAAACCTTAATACTGCTCACAGTTGACCCAGTAAACTCGGTCAATCCTTCAAGCATCCACTTCGAATTGACCTTAATTTTTGAGGAAGTCTCAGGAGAAGATTCACCACCTCCAGTGAGCATCTTGTTCGACAGGTTAACTCTCCACAACCAAATCTTACCATCTGCGCTCACTGCTGCTACTTTTGTGTGATCAAGTGGAGAGATCGATACACCATAAAGCAATCCTGGTCTATCAGCTCCGTGTTTCGATCCTCGTACCACGTCACACACTGTAGAATCGTACTTTTCTCCATTATATTCCCAAACACACATTGTTCCATCATCGTGGAGTGAATACATTAATTTAGGTTCATCTTCAAACGTGTACAAGGTTTGAAAATCTGATCTTCCTCCCTTTAAATGTTTACCATGAATGGTAGTTCTAATAGATGAATCAAAAGTAGTGATCTCCTTCTTAGCCACAACGTAAAATTGATTTCTTGTGTGGGAAGAGCATAAAAAGTCCTTCAATGTAGTCTGAGTAGCACCAGTCTTTTTATCCATGCTGCCATAAAGTCTTCGTTGAATTTCTGCAGGCTTCTTTTTGACGTTTAAATCATTCAAGAAATAGGTCCATCCACTCTCACTTGGCAAGCAGCATGTTTTCAATGTGAAAGGATCAATTGAAAAACTTGAGATTGTTTCTGGAAACTCAATGTCCCAAATTCTCGTTGCTGTTTGTACATTCCAAAGAGAAAATACATTATGTGCTGACAAACTCATCAAATAAATGTTGTCTCCGTTCAACCATTTCAATTGAACAATTGATTTTTTTGTATTTCCATTATCTTCGGCAAAACTGGAAATTTTTCTTGCTTTTTTGTAGTCCCAGATGACGATGAAGCCTCCCTCGTCACCACTCGCTATTATGTTGGTGTTTCCTCTCTCTATGCCTCTCGATTTGCACATATCACACCACTCAACACAAGTTGTTAAATATCTGTGACCAAACAAAGATGATATTTGTTGCATGGAAAGTGGATCAAAAATCATAACATAAGTCTGACAACAGTAGGCAAGTAAATTATTGTATCCCCATGATGTTCTGTTCTTAAATCTTTTGAACTTTTCTGCATTTTCCTGATACACATTGTTAAGAGAAAACTTTTCACTGGAGCCAATTGTGAAACTACTGTCCATCAAAGGAATTTGGAAGGGTAAAACTGATGAGATGGTCTCTTTACCAGCTCCAAGTAAAGAGGAAATTACATTTGATCCTGTGGATCCTGATGATGAAGATCCACCCAATGAATTCAATACGTTACCAATTCCGCCTTCCATCACTGGTATTCTGTTCGGATCATAAATTGGAGGTCCAGGAATGATTTTTGGTTGAATATTGGGTATTCCTGACGATGGTGATGTTGCAACAGACGCAGTACTGGATGATGAGGTAGAAAGCGAATGAGCAGGAATGGATGATGTTGCCACTGTGCTACTAGTCATGGCTGATGAAGAAATATTTTCGGCTGGCAATGATGAAACTCCATCAAGGCTTCTTTCCAAAGCAGGAGAGGAGGAATGGTCCAGAACGGACACGGGTGGAGAGGAGTCAGTTGTACTTGCTGTTGTTGTGGTGATAGAATTTGCTTGTTCCTGATGATGATCCGATGATGAGGTCGAGATCATTGAAAAACCAGCAGATTCATCAATGGTCCCAACAGAATTGTTTTGATCAGGAAGAGACATTTTTATGGAGATTTTTTGAAATTCGAAAACAAAACTTGTGGAGACCTTCCTACCAAACTTCATGTGAGACCATTTGGATTCCATCCATTTCGAATAAGACAACAATTCTTTAACACAGAATAACTTCTTCTCTGTTATATTATCAAGATGTGCTGTTTGGAATCACAGTTCAGTCATGACAATATCCTTATTTTGCAAGATCTGATCATGTAAGAGTTCGAATCTTATTGAATCAAGCAAAGAGGTCGAAAAGTTTGCTTTTCCATTTCTAAAGTCTTTTTGAAAAGGAGGATGATTTTAAAAATTTTATTGAAATGATGAAGAGTGTGTGTGAATTGAGAGGCGAACAGACATAAGAACAGATTAGTCTGATGAAATTGTGGTAATCATTGAAATGACTCATACAAAGTGTGTGTTGGGAAGGATGATGGAACGAACTGTTACAGTCGTCTGGAAAATTTGTAAAAGTGTTTGTTGCCAATGCTTCTTCTGAAAATTAAGCAAAGATCTTCATGGTGGTATCCCATGAACCTGTGGCAAGTCCATGACCATCAGGTGACACTGCCAAACAACTCACACGATTATCATGTCCATTTGGAAGTCCATCAAGACTCTGTAAAATAGTTCCCTTCAAGGTATCCCAAGCAATGACTTTCTTGTCTTCATAAGCTGCAAATAAGATTCTTCCTGATTTGCTGAAACTAATGCAAGTCACACCTTCTCTGACATTATCATCGGAATAGGTCATGACTTCACGTCCAGCACGAATGTCAAATAATCTACAAGTACAATCATCTGATCCAGTTGCGAACGCATGTCCGTTAGGGAAGAATTGAACCGAATTAATGTCACCTTCGTGACCTGTGAATGTTGCCACACACTTATCCATTCGAATGTCCCACAATTTTGCTGTTCCATCGCAAGAACCACTCACAAAAACATTGCTGTCACTTGTTGGTGATACTGAAATTGACATACAATCTCCAGTGTGTTCTTGGAAGTGTGTGACAGCATGAGTCATTTCAATATCCCAGAAAATACAGCTCTGATCTCCAGAGCTTGTCAACATGTGACGATCACTAGTAAATAAACAATCACTCAAATATCCTGTATGTCCTACAAGTTGTCTGTATGGCTTGTATTCATTTGATGAGTTTTGTAATTGTTGAGCCACCACAGAAAGTGAAACTGTTTGGAAAAAGGAGTCAATGTGTGTGTGTGTGAATAATAGAGGTGTGAGTATTGTTAATTCATCATCATCATTTGTGTGAGCATTAGGTATATTATGTGTTGATTCATTATTAGAATATATATTTCATAAAACCAATCAATAAAATAAAACACATCATTGAAATTTTAAAAATGTGTGAGTCATCCAATGAATTGATTGTAACAATATAACTACTACTACTACTACTACTATTACTACCATGGTACTTACAAATAGAACAAGTATTATCCAAACCACCAACACAAACATAATTTCCACTCGGACTGTAATCGCAACACATAATACCACGGCTTGTTAATGGAATTGCACTCAATTTATAAGTGGTCATGGCATCCCACAACTAAATATTCACAACAACCATGTAGTGGTGGTGGTGTTGGTGTTGGTAGTGGTAGTAGTGGTGTTTGGTTTATGGGTGGTGTTTCATTGACAAGTAGTGAACCATGGTTCAATGGTAATTCATCATCAAGTTTGACAAGTTTGAGTTTTTTCACAAACAAACACATAATGATGATATTTGTGTGAAAAAGTGAATTCCAAAAAAGGGTGTCATCAAACAACACAATGAGAGACCAACAACTCTTTAGCAATCCTAATAGAATAACAACACTTACAATTAACATTCTATCTTGTCCAGCCGTAAGAATTTGCTTTGAATCTTTCGACCAAGCCAAAGAAGCAATTTTTGAGGAGTGTCCTTTAAATACTCTTCGTTCTTTCAATTTTGGAGGATTGATTTCAGAAATATCCAAATCTTTCACTGATTAGAATTGTGAAATGATATTGATGGGGTCAAGGGTCGTACGTATTCACAAATGATGATTCCACACACCACACACACCCATCACAGGGTTCGAAAGAATAGGATGACGTGTGGTTGTTGAGAGTCATTTCAAAAGAGAGAGAACATTACATTGCGACCATTTCAGAGTCATCATCAACACAGTGAAATTTCCACAACAACAACAAGATTGTCGTAGATTCATATCACCATTATTATGGACAATCAAGAATTGAATCGTAAATATCAGATATTTCGATTCATCATCATCCAATCAACTCTCTCTTGTGTACTTACTGTTCACATCATTAATTAACTTTTTCTGTGTCGTGATTTTCTCTTTCAATTGCTGAGCCTCTAATCGGGCATTGGCAATCAATTCTTGTAAATTGGATTGGTCAGAGGAAGAGGAGGAGGACATTTTGCTGCACTCTTATTGTTGAGTAATAATTTGTTGTTGATGTTGTTGTTGTTGTCAATAATGATTGAAAAAACTTCTCCGTTATATTGTTGTTGGTGTTGTTGTTGTTGTTGAAGAGAGATGAAAGAGATGATTTGTGTGAATGTGGATAATGATGGGAAGATGCCGCCACGACTGGTGTTGACGGGTGTGGGGAATAGATGGAATTTTTTCAGTCGTCTCTGAATCTGACTTTTTTTTTGATAACGTTCAGAGTGACAAGTGACAGGGCAACTTTGAATTGTTGATGGGTGGTTTCACGAGAGGATGATCAAATTCTCTTTTTGATAACCAACGCCATCAAAAATTTTCCTTCTTGCTATTCATTTATCAAATTCACTCACAAAGAAATGTTCCTTCATACACAGGGACTCTAAATGTTCATGGCATTGAGATGTTTGGTTGTCCTGAGAGTCCAAACGTTTTTATTTCCATTTCAGGATAATTGAAATAATAATAATAATAATAAACATAAAAAAATGTTATCATCAAGCGTTGAAATTTCTTCATGTGCGCCTACAAAAAAGTCACACAAATTGTATGATGTGGTGATTATTGGTGCCGGAATGAGTGGAGTCAATGTTGGAAAATTACTCAAAGAAAAAGGCTTAACGGAGAATGTCTTGATCTTGGAGGCAAATGATTATATTGGTGGACGTTTGCGTTCAAAGGTGCTTTTGAATGGAAAGGCTACCATTGATATCGGAGGTGAGTGGGTTTTACAACATATTTTGATGTTTTATTATTCCGAAACACTAATTTGAAATATATCTATTTTTAATGATGATGATGATCAAAATATGATGATACACACTATCAATTGACCCATATTGATCGCCATTTCTTAATGACAATCATGCATGATCCATGAACTTCATTGCTCATGAATCCTTATTCAGGCCAATGGATTGGACCACCACAACCAAAAGTGCTCAAACTTGTTAAAGAATTGGGATTATCAACTTATCCTCAATATTTTGAGCAAGAAAAAAGAAGATCCTCTCTTGTTTTCCCAAGCATTGGCGGAAAGAAGCATATTTTGAGGTATACTGGTTCCATTCCATCGGATCCAAAGAATGTCACTGATGAGGTATTGTTGGATTTTGACACTTGTATTAGAAAAATTGAGAGAATGGCAAATACAGTACCAGTGGATGCTCCACATGAATGCGACAAGGCAGAAGAGTACGATTCCCAAACAGTTCAAACATTTATGGATAATTTATTCAAGACGGAAATTGCAAAAGATTTCTTCAAGACCTTTGTCGTAACAGGTAGGTAACGTAATAATCAAGAGAAAACGGTTCTATATTAACTCATTGATTGCTGATTCTGGTATAATGTTGCATATCTTTTACAAACATTTGTAGTTTTTGCATGTCAACCTTATGAAATGTCTGCACTTTTCATGCTTTGGTACATTGCTGTTGCTGGAGGTAAATTTGAAAATCTCATGAACGTTAGAGATGCTGCCCAGGATTGTAAGATTTATCGTGGATCTCAAGGAATTGTCACTGGTGTTGCTGAAAAATTCAAGCTTAATGTGCTTCTCAATCACCATGTTGTTAAGATTAAGGATGAAGGATCACTCATGACTGTCACTTGTAAGAATGGTGCAGTCTTCCAGAGCAAATATGTAGTTACTACCAACTTGCCATGGACTCATCTCGGTATTGAATATGATCCTCCTCTTCCAAGCGCAAGACACAACTTTTGTCAAAGAACTCCAATGGTTTGTTTCACACTATTATTTTATCTGTGAAAAAGTTTATTGACACATTTTCCTCTTCTTGATCATTTACTTTTGAATATTCTTTATTTTCCTTACTATCATTTAGGGATATGCCATTAAATGTTTCATGCTGTTCAAAGAACCATTTTGGAGAAAGAAGTATGACAGTAATGGATTCATTCTATCCCTTCAACCTGAAGATTATATTACCCTTACTTATGATGTTGGATACAAGGATGACATTATTTGCGGAATTTGTGGATTCGTATATGCCGAGAAGGCATGTGAATTTAGTACCTTACCAAGAGAGAAGAAGATTGATTTACTCCTCAAGCAATACAGTGAAACTTTGGGAGGCACTTATGAAGAATGGAAGAGCCAATTTGTTGATTATATTGATAAGGATTGGGGAATGGAGCCATATGCTAGAGGTAGTTACGGAGCTGTCACTGCACCAGGAACCCTTGTAAAAACCAAGCTCGCCTTCAGAGAACCTTTGTATAATCGTAAACTATTTATTGCAGGAACTGAGAGTGCATCAAGATGGATTGGTTACATGGAAGGTGCCATTGATGCTGCTGAAAGAGTGGTCAGTGAGTTGACACCACTTTTTGAAGGTCAAGGAAGAACATCCAAACTCTGAGTGGAATTATACACCCAATAAATTGTAAATATTTTTCACAATTTATCAGAATATTAAATTTAATGAACCTTTAATCACTTCATTAAATTTCAACAACTTGAACATATAAATTCAAATACATTTACTTATTATTCTTTAAATACAAGTAGGTTGAGGTTCCCTCAATAATCTTCATAAATTCAATGAGGGTTAATCGTTTCTTGGTCTCAGGGAAGAAGTGATCAACCAATGAAGACACTTGATCATTAGAAAGATTAAGCTTGAGATGATCTTGCACTGCTTTCTTAAATTCAGTCTCTCCAATCAAACCGTCCACGCTCTTGTCGGACATGACTTTGAAGGTGTCATGAACTAAAAGTCTTCTAGTTGATATCTTTTCATTGAACACCTTGTAGGCATTGTTGAATGAAACCGTGTCTTTTTGCTTTTGAGGCTGTACAGCTTGCTCCTTCCTTGTGCTGGTAACTGGTCCAAATGTGATCGCATTAATGAATTCACTCAAATCAATAGTACCATCTTGATTGGCTTTGAAATGTCTCAAAATTGTGATCAACTCGTGTTCAACCAAATCGAGGCCCATGCTTTGCAAGAGTTGACGCAATTCGTCCATTTCAATTCTTGCTCCACGTTGAGCACTTCCCATAGCATCTCTCAATTTATATTCCAAGGAAGAGTCTTGAACATGTTTTCTAATCTTGTTCATAATAATTTCAATATTAGCCTTAGGGAATTGTTCTGCATTTTGTTCCATGTAATTCACTGTAAATTCATCTGTTTCCTCCAAATAAAAGATAAAGTTGTTAATGTTCAAAGTGGCTCCAATAAAGGTTTCGTTTGCCTTATAGTACTCTCCTCTTTCGTTCTTGACACGGGATCGTTGCAAAAACTTTCCACCAATGACACCACTGTTTCTTTGTACAGGTTCAAATACAGAGATGGTGTCGTCTGAGAGATAGTAGGAAAGAATGAATTTTCGTCCCTTATCCTCTGGTTTATCGGTCACCAGCACAGCTGAATATCTAAAGAGCTTGTGGTCATTCTCGATATACTTCTTAACATCTTTCTTTGGTGGCTTAATGACGAGATACTTCCAAGAGCCCAAAGAATCTTCTTCATCACCAAATCCATTGTATGGAGGCTCTTCATATTGTATTTCAGTTTTTGGAGCATCTTTGACGTCGATGGGTGTCATGTCTGTAATGCCATACTTCTTGGCATAAAATTCTCTAGTGAATGGGTCACAGTCATACAAGAGGAAGTTCTTGGAGAAGACGATAATTCTCTTTCCAATACCAAGGTCTGTTTCATCATAGTAGGTGGTTGGCTCGTTAGCAGAATTCTTGATTCTTGGCACCTTTTGTCTCTTCAAAAAGACTGGGAATGGATCATAACCAGAGTTGGCAGAAAATACTTCTGAAATTTTCATCGTGTCGTCCGACAAATAGTACTCCAATACAAAGAATCGTTTGTCACCATACAACTTCTCGGTATCATCCCAAGCGCAGAAGAAGCGAAGAACCTGTCTGTCAAAAGCAAGAAACTTTTGGACTGCCACCTTCTCTTGCTTGGATGGATTGGTTCTCTTTCCCTTAAAGGAGTATTCCATATACTTCTTAAGGTCTTGATCCATTGGAGACAAAGTCTTGTAGGGATTCATGCTCTTCTGGATACTTTCTCGCTTCTCAGTGTACTGATCTCCTGGATAAGGTTCAGGCTCTGGAACTTCAACGCCAATTCCGTTGAAGAAATCTCTAGTGAAGGCATCACAATCGACAATTCTAAAGGTCTTTCCGTACACGGTAATCTCTCTTCCAACATTGAGATCATCAATTGTATAATAGACATTGGAATTTCCTTGAATTCTGTCTCTTGGAATGCGATGTCTCTTTACAAGGGTTCCCTGAGGAATGCCAGAGTTGTCTTGTTTTGGTTCGCTGATATGCATGGTATCATCTTCAAGATAATAGAAAATGACACATTTTCTGACTCTACTTTGTTCAACTGGACTTTCATGAACTCCTTCTTTGAAATAGGCATAGAATCTGAGAACTTTCTTCTCAAGAGAAAGCCAGTTCTCTTTTTGTTTTGTTTCGTTGGTTGTTGTCGATTTGTAGAGTTGGGTTGTACTTCTCAACATGTCTGCAAGTTTTTCAGTCTCGGTCTGTAATTCATCCACCTCAACAGGAACATCATAATCGTGGACGACCGGAATGTGATTCTTGTATGCGAGCAATTGTGATTTGTGGTGCCTCTCCTTAATGAACTTATCATCAAACGTAAAACCCGGAAGGAATGGCAACTTTCTGTCCTTGGATGGAGCAGTCGTATTCATGAACGAGAACTCCTTATTGGAAGCGAAGGATGATGATTTTGTTGCAAACGACATTTTTTTGAGTTTAAATTTCGTAAATCTAACAATTTTGAGCGCCAAGAATAACGATGGACGTTTTTACGGTTGGCGCCAAATGTCACTCATCATCAACAAAAACATCAATTCAAATTGGATTAGATCTTTAAACCCTAAGCAAATCTGAAAAGAATACCAAAAAAATCACTTGAAGAAATTTCAATTGTATTGTTGTTGAGAGAGTTTGAGTTCATAGCAGTCTGGCACTCCTATTAAGCAAAAATCTTAACAGTCGTGTCCCATGAACCTGTGGCAAGTCCATGTCCGTCAGGTGACACTGCCAAACAACTCACACGATTATCATGTCCATTTGGAACACCTTCCAATATTTGAAGAACCTTGCCTTTCAGGGTATCCCATGCAATGACTTTCTTATCTTCGTAGGCGGAAAACAAGACACGTCCAGATTTGCTGAAACTAATGCAAGTCACACCTTCTCTGACATTGTCGTCGGCATAGGTCATGACTTCTCGAGCTGCCCTAATGTCGAATAATCTACAACTGCAATCATCTGATCCAGTTCCGAAAGCATTTCCGTTAGGGAAGAATTGAACCGAGTTAATGTCACCTTCGTGACCTGTGAATGTTGCCACACACTTATTCATTCGAACGTCCCACAATTTTGCATTTCCATCGCAAGCTCCACTCAAAAATAAATTATTGTCTCCGTCTGGTTTTATGGAAACGGACATACAATCTCCGGTGTGTTCTTCAAATCGTGTGACAGGTTGATTCATTTCAATGTCCCACAAAATACAGCTCTGATCTCCAGAACTTGTAAGAATGTGACGATCGTTTAAAAATTTACAACAACTTATATAACCTGTGTGGCCTGTTAATTCTCTGTGAGGTTTTAGTTCGGTTGCATTTGGATTTTGTTGTACCGTAGAGAGAAGGACTGTTTTTGAAATGTTCAAACAAATTCGTGAGTTCATATGTAAAGGAAAGGAATTGAAAAATGTGTGATTGATGAGAGGGAGTATGAGTGTATACGTGACACGTGACAAATGTTTCAAGGTCATCATTGAGTTGAGACAATATTGTGTTTTGAACAAATCAGAATTCAAAGGTAAGCTTGTTCACGCAAATAATATTGTGAATACATACACACTGAACAAATATTATCCAAACCTCCACAAGCAACAGCATTTCCAGAAGGACTGTAGTCACAGCACATGACCCAATGGGACCGAAGAGGAATGGCGTGCGTCTTGTAAGATTTCACAGCATCCCAAATCTATGTAAAATTGTTTGTGACATGATTCAAACGAACAATAGGGTTGTTTCATTGTGTTCACAACAACATTTCAACAATCATCATGAAACATCATTTCGTGAAAGGGACCAAACGAATAAATTCGAGTATGAGAAACACACACACACGCACCAATATTGACACTTACAATGAGTTTACCATCTTGACTTGCACTCACTAACGAGGTTGAATCTCGTCCCCAAGCTAAACTATAAATCTTTGCATAGTGTCCTCTCAATACTCGTCGTTCACGAATCTTTATGGGAAGAATATCGGGAACATCCATATCGCGTACTATTCATAGAAAGAGTCAAAGATGGAGCCAGTGAGAATGATGATGATGAGAATGAGACAATTTCGATTTGGTATACGTGTGTATATGTGTGTATACCAACAGAGGCGCATGATTGAATATTTAACAACAACAAAAATGTTGTGATGTCAGTTGAGAATGACAAGATGATTCCATTCACGTTACGTTTTTTCAAAAACATTGATAAATATTCATCATGATGATCTCTCATTATCACAACAACAATATTCACAATAGTACATACAATTTGCATCATTGGTCTTCTTTCTCTGATTCTTTATCTGTTCGTGTAATTCTTGAGCCTCTCTTCGGGCGTTTGAAATGGCTTCCTGTATGGCCGATGATGAGGAGGAGGAGGAGGACATGTTTTGAATGAGTACTATATAGTGTGTCAATGAATGGATAATAACCACACAGTAGAGGGTATCGGTGATAATGACGGTGAGGGTTCTTCTCTTCAATGTACAAATTTCTCAAAAAAAGCGGAGAATGTGTTGAGAGATTTTTTCAGGCTAGACATCCGACAGGTTAAACGAAGTTGTGGTTCACATCGGGAAATAAATGACTTGAAGAGGACGATGCAGCACAGGGTGAATGTCGCCTGGCCAGAAATATTCAATCATGCGTCTCTGTTGGATCTCTGCTGGATCAAAAGGTATGTTGGTCATGCTTTCACATATTTGACAACTCATCCATCTTTTCCCTTAATATTCAGACAATCCAAATGACGAGAGTGTCAATAACAATGGTCTTCAGAAATTGGATCACTTATTTAATAAATAATTTAATTCGTTGGCTGTAGTAAATGAGATTCAGGAATGTGACATCCCAATGTTTGATTTTCACTGGTCTTGTTGTATGAAAGTGATGCGGTCGACAATTTTGAGTATTTAGATTCCAAATGTCGTGGACATGAACGACCAGGCAGAAAAAGCAAGGCTTCATTTCTTGGATGAGGTTGATGTTTAAAAATTACGAGTCTACCGCAAGATGCAAAATTGATCTAAATTTCGTCCGCGCACATATTAATATGCTTGTTGCTGACATGAAAGTTCGTGAAAAGAACTGAAGTGTTTCGAATCTATATTTCATCAAACGTTGATTGGTTGTTATTAGCTCCCAACTACAACTTGAATAAAACTGAACTTTATCACTGAACGCCAGAGATGCTTTAACTGGTCCGACCTTATCGTTCTGTTGACCAAGACCTTGCCGGTTTGTCCTTATTTCAACGAAGTATAACACCTTCTAAATTTGCATTTCGTCACTTGTTTTTAAAAATTTGTCTTGGGTGCTGACAGGAGATCTCTTTGAAAATGTCTCTTGTCATAGTCTTCGCACCAAAACCAAAAATACATACTCCCAAAAACAAAGAGACAAATAAAAAATGGAATCATCCACATCTTTGACTCTCAATGTTGATGGCAACAACAGCATTTCATCACCCTCCTCATGTATACATATTACCTCTTCAACTTCATCTCCTTCGTTGTTAATGTCAACGACGAGCCATCATCCTTCGAGTTCATCACAAAATCAACACTACAACCTCACGAGAACCTCTTCTGCCACCCAAAAGCAATCACCAACTTCGACTCCCCAATCCAATAATAATCACTCACATCATCATCACCGATCCTTCAAACAATTCTTTTCAAAACTTGCCACATTAGTCAAGCCAAATCCTTCTAAAAAGAAGAAGAAGAAGAAAGAAGAAACAACCTCGAATAATTCTTCTTCTTCCTCCTTATCGGGGAATGGAACTCACCTTCAAGGCTTGAATGAAAAAACTACAACACCCTCATGCTCCTCCTCTCAACCACCACCACAAGTACCCCTCTCCAATGCAGTTGCTTCTTCTTCTTCTTCTACCTCTCAACAACAACAACACACTCATCCACATTTCATGTTTTCCTCCGTGATTGCCAAGACAACACGAGATTCTCGCACCAAAGTAAACAGCACATCGAGTACATCCTTGCCAGATTCTGTCACTACGGTTGTGGGGGCAGAGTCGTCGTGTACAAGTCAACATCATTCTCCATTGACCAATACGACAGCCTTATCCATCTCTCCGAGAATGGCATCACATTCTCACCATCCTTCTGCAAGGAATTTTAATCATTCGAGTTCGACGATATGTAATGAGGAAGATTTGGATTTGGATTGGGACGATGTCGTGGAAGATTTGGAAAAGTTCAGTTCCTTCAACACGACGACGATGATGATGAATCATCAAGTTGGCAAAGATGATCATGAGGAAAACAAACAACATTGTTATCAGGATACGCACGAACAACAACCACCACAGCATTATCAATTTTCCGTTCAAAATCAAACACCTGTCACTGCTGCCACTTCGAAATATTCCAAAAGAAGACACACCACTCATGTCACTCATTCTCTATTCTCTGGCAAGTCGTATCATCACTCCGCATTTTCGAGTCCGAACAAAATGCAAAATTCTCAAAGATCCAAGCGAGAGAGCTCTAAATCTGAAAATCCAATCAAAGATTTCTGGAGTGGCAACTCTGATTTGGATATGATGTTGGATTTCGTGTGGATTACGGATGGTCCAACCACTACAAGCACGACAATGGAAAATGTAAATAGAAAGAAGAACCCTTCTCTGTTAGATGCTTCTAATGCTTACAATATCTCTGTAGATACGAATAATAACCAGAATGGAAACAACAGTACCAGCCTTGTACAAATCAAGTCAACCAGCGCAAGTAACTTGTATTCAAGTTTGTCATCGCAAGAATTTGAGGATTTTTCATTCTCTCCTGGTTGCCTTCAAACCTCTTCATCGATTATTGCCCTGTAGAGAGAGTAACAATTTTACGATGTCATTGTCACAACACTTCACTGAGGAGAGAAAGAAGTTTCCTTAGAGTTTTTCACACTCAAAAGAAGAATCACTAATGGAAAGTCCCACCACTGGAACGTTCTTGACACTACTGTTTTCAGAATATATGACATTATCATGACATTCTAATTTTTCTCATGCCACTGACTTCTTGTTGACGTGAAGAACAACATGTCAACAACCACCTCTTGTTCAAATATCAACACAATCATCTTCAATAAACCACAAGCTTGAAGTAACTCATTTTGTCGAGTATGATCTTAGAAGCACGATGTTGAAGGCAGGCAATAATTAATTTGATGGCAGGTCTCGAGAGTTGGTCCATGTCATCCATTCCCTTCAAAAAAGTCATCACAAACAAAAATGAAAAAGACTCACCACTATGGTCTCGATGATGATGGTATGATCCCAGAAGCCTTTGAATTACCATCAAAGCAAGAGGTCATTGTTATGGAAGGGAATGGAACCGTACACGAGGTTCTTCCACAACATCTCCTCAATGAAGAGGATGCCAAAAGTACTTCAGCATTGAGTACCGTATCGGACCAAGAAGAATTTGAATATAAACCCGTAACAAATCTTGTTGAGTATTTCAGTGATGAGAACAACCGAAAGCAAATTGATGTTGTGTTGCATTGTTTGGCCAAGTTAGAGGAAGAGTCGTCGGATAAAACCAAGGCTGTCGAGCACAATGGAAAATTTCAATTCTTGTGCAATATTCTCTATGAATTGGATAAATACGAGTTGGAATTTTATATACTTCAATTATTGTACGTAAAATAGATTCAATCCGATCAGGTTACATTCATTATTATCATTATTATTATTATGGTCATCACGTATATCCATCATGCGTATTTACTTTGCAACGATTCATGTGATTACCAATTATTGTGATCCAATGTTAATCACTATCTCAATGATGGTACGATTGATTTACATTTACATGAATAATACGACAACTTGTATATGGATGAAATAATAATATGATTGATGTTTGTTTTTATATTCACTTCGGATAATATAAAATTTTAGAAATACATACATGATGAAAGCTGGAGAAGGTGAATCACATTTGGAACGTTACATTCTTGAAATATGTGCTCACTCCATGCATTTTGGCATTAAACTAAGCTGGCTTCTTGATGCAGAGCTATATACCCTTGAAAATCAATTGGCGCAATCACCAAGTAACATCAAATTGAAAAAGAGAGCTCAAAGAGGAATGATATTTAGAAACCTAGTGGAAAAAGTGACAATTAATCAAGTAGTACCTATTAATTATATGAATGATAACTTCCTGAATACATCCATACTTCAAGTCGATGCAGAAGTCACAAGCGAAGAACCAACAGATGAAGAAAAATCTAAAATGACTTCCTTTGTGTTACAGAATGTATTTTCAAAACAAAGAAGATCGAATTACTTTAATGATGAGCACTACTTTGTGCATACTCTCACGGATTTATCATACCGATTGAAAGCATATCCTCCTGGTGACATTAGAAAACATCGTATGAAGGCAGAACTCGAACGTATCAATCAAACAATTCCATACGGTGTCTATTACCCTCTGTGTGACTCCAAATCAAAACATTGTAGAATACTGAGAGTGTGTACAGATGCATGTCGCGTTTTTAGTACCAAGGAAAGAGTTCCTATTTTGTGTGTATTTGAGGTTGTTCAAAGCGAACATACATGCAACCAACCAGAAAATATTCTTCAATTTGAAGAAAACCCTGACGGAGAGTACAAGGTTTGGGATTGTCTGATTGACAAGACCGTTGATGCCGGACAATTAATCAAGCCAAAGTCTACTCTAAAAAAGGAAAATTCATCCTCAAGTATTAAGGTACCATTCCTTGAAGAAAAACGATCTTCTATTGTCTCAAATGCAGAACCACTCCCAACAAATAACTCTCCCTTGATAGGAAAACCTGTACACACAAGGTCAACCTCTGAACTGCCAATACTACACATTCCTAACCTCAATAATGACGAATTTGTGCTAATTGAAAAATCAGACGCAGACAAACACTTAGAAGAGGTTGCACAAGAAATGGACTCGGTCTTTGGAGAGAGTTTCGAAAAGATTAAAGCCAAATATCGCGCTCTCTCTCCTTACGGAAGCATTCCTGGTTGGGATTTAAAGTCTGTAATTGTTAAAGCCAATGATGATATCCGACAAGAAATATTTGCCATGCAATTGATCAAATTATTTGCTCAAATTTTTGAAGAAGAAAAACTCCCTATTTATATTAGACCATATGAAATTATTGTTACGAGTGGTAATTGTGGAATGTTAGAAACGGTTCGTGACACTGTATCCATTGATGGTCTGAAAAAGAAATTCCCCAATTTCACAACTCTTAAAGATTATTTCATACGAGTGTACGGATCACCAACATCAAATACTTTCATCAGAGCGCAAACAAATTTTGTCGAAAGTGTTGTTGGTTACTCCTTAATTACATACATTCTGCAAATTAAGGATAGGCATAATGGAAATATTTTACTCGATCGAGAGGGTCACATGATTCACATTGATTTTGGATTTTTCCTTGGCATTTCACCTGGTGGAGTTAAATTTGAAAACTCTCCGTTCAAACTTCCTCAAGATTGGGTTGATTTAATGGGTGAATTGTTTGACTTGCACTTTAGACCTGTTTTTTATGTGGCATATTCTGCCTTGAGAAAACCTCGCAACATGAATCGATTATTGAACTTGGTTGAAATGATGATTGGAGCTAATTACAAGTGCTTTGATAATAATCATGCCAACATTATGCGAGATTTACGAAATAGGTTTTATCCAAATCTTTCAGATGATGACTTTGCAAAGATGGCTCGTAAACTTGTCGATGACTCGATGGACAATTGGTTCACCAAGAAATACGACCAATATCAATACTTGACGAATGGTATTTTGTAGATTTTGTTAAATTTTTGATAAACAACAACGGCCGCCTATCATTGGCCAACATTGAATTTTGTGATTGTAAAATGAATGTAAAATATTTTTAGAAATTCTTCTGTTCAAAACCATCAAAAAAAAGACCTTGAGTTCATCATCGTTGGCAATTACTTTATCCTTCAACTTTGATCATCATGAGTTCATTTGATTTGGATCAATATATTAGTGGTTATTCAGGACTCACTAAAGTAAAGAGACTCCAATTTATCGTTGAAAATTCCAAGGAGTTACGAAGCAAAGCCTTGGTCAAGCTCATTGATTTGTTGAAGACGGGAAAGAATACCACTCTCTACAAGGAAGTGATTGAAAAGTACGGAAAGGAGTAAGTGTCAAATGAATTCTAATGATCCGTTTCTAACAGATGCTATTCATGTGCGTCCGCCATGATCTCAAATTTAAATCTTGTTATAATGATCTCTCACTTGGATTGTCATCATCGCGTATTATTAATAATATTCAAACATGGTCAATATTATAATAACACATCATCATCACCAACACAACAACAATTTACACTCATACCGCATTATCCAAAATTCCTGTACAACAGAGTCGGTCAAAATTTGGATACTGAATGGATCGCTCAAGTGGATCGAGCAGCAACCAAACAACAAGAAAAGCTCGAAGTTGAACTCAATGCCCATAAAACAAACTTGATCAAGGAATCTATTCGTGTTGGTCATAATGATTTGGGTGATTTCCATTTGGAGAGAGGAAATTTGCAAGAATCATTGAAGAGTTACCTCAGAACAAGAGACTACTGTACATCATCAAAGCATGTGAATGAAATGTGTCTAAATGTTATTCGTGTTAGTATTGAGATGGGAAATTATGCTTTGGTTAATCAATATGTCACCAAAGCTGAAAATACTCCTGATGTCTCCGATGGTACTGATGTTATTACGACAACAAAGATTTTGGCCTCATCCGCTTTGGCCAACCTTGAAGGAAAGAAGTACAAGATTGTTGCTAGAAAATTGTTAGATTGCGACATTCAATTGGAAAACTCATTCAATGATGTCATTACCTGCAGCGATATTGCTGTGTATGCAGGTTTGACAGCTCTTGCAACATTTGACAGACGTGAATTGAAAGAAAAGGTGTTGTCAAACAACAAGTACAGAGGCTTCCTCGAATTAGAGCCTGATATTTCTAACATTATCAATTGCTTCTATGAATCCAAGTATACTGCATGTTTGGAATCACTCGACAAGTTGTTACCAAGATTATTGTTAGATATTTATTTGAGAGATCATGTTTCCACATTGTATGAAAAGATTAGAAGCAAGGCTTTGGTTCAATATGTCAGTACCTTTACTTCTGTCGATATGAACAAGATGGCTGTTGTTTTCAACACTACGGTGGAGAATTTGGAAAAGGAGATTGCAGCATTGATCATGGACAAACAAATTAAGGCACGTATTGACAGTCACAAGAAGATTTTGTATGCACGTGTTACTGATATCCGTAATGCCACCTATCAAAAAGCTTTGGAAATGGGTGAACAATTCATCAGAGAATCTGAAGCTGCCATTTTGAGAATGAATGTCAACAAACAACGAGATTTTGTCATCAAGCCAAACAGAAAAGCTGCTAAACAAATGATGTTCTAAGCATACTGTATTTGTTGGCAGTTAACGCAATAAATATTATTATGTGTAAAGAGAGTGAATGAGTGTATGTACATCAATGTTTGGGTAGGATTCATGTTGATTTGCTGAAAATTTCATTTCAGTGTTGTGAAATTTCTGAGCTTCTGTGCTTTGGGTGAGACTTGTTTGGCAACATGGAAAATACATTCAAAAAATTAATCAGTCAAATCCTCAATTCTCTTCACTTCAGCCATTTCACCATTGAAAGAGCCCATTCCAAGTCCATCCTCCTGCAAAATATCATCCACTAACGTACAGATTTTTCCATAATTTTTCAGTACAGTATCTGAATCTTCTGGTGTTTTTCTGCACACTGTTTTACATCCTTCCATCACATTCTTGCAAACCTCTCTCAATGCTAATTCTCCAAGATCCTCGTCACCAACAACAAAAAATAGAACGGACTGTATTCTCGTAAACACAATCATTCGCTCATTCATGAATGAAAAAACTTTAAAGAAACCATCGGGTTGAGGAATGGATCCCTTGTTCACTCTTCTCACGTAATCTACAATTGTGTCAGCCCATGCAATGTTTTGATTTTTATAATCATTATTTAAAAGAGATGAGGATAACGACGGTGATCCCTCTAAATTGCTGCTACTACTGGCTATCGTTCCCGATCGTTTGGCCATCATGAGTGTCGTACTGAGTGATGATCTCTTCTTTGGAGAATATGACGCTGGTTTAGAAAAAGATCCTAATAGACTTCCTTCATCTTCCGATTGTTGTTTTTGCTGAAATGATGTTGAAAGAGAAGAAAGAATGGTGGGTGATTTTCGAGAGAACAAGACCTTGAAATAGTCGTCTGTGATGATGACCCCGTCGAGCATTTTTTTCAAGTGAGAAATTTTGATCGCGAAAGGGATGAAGTTCAATAGAGCTCCTGTGCTTCTTTTTGGTTGAAACAAGCAACAAGGAGGAATTCATTGATTCAAATGGCCATTACGTATTTCACAACCACTGAAATCATTTAGGAATCTTATTCGAGCAATTAAAATTGGCTTCCTGTAAAGAGCTTTTTTTTTAAAAAAAAATAAAGATGCAACTTGCCTCAATAATTGCAGTGGTTGTTGTGGCCTTTACGGCAGTGATGATGATGGCAACGGCTGTTCATGGTCAAGATTTTTCTCTTCTCGTTAGACAAAAGAATCAAAGAACTGATTTTCGTGTGGATGGAACCATCGAAAAGGTAGAATCAGACTCCACCTCAACCATCAAGGAAATGATGAGAGGAAATAGCTTCCCTTCCTTAATGAGAGTGCGTGGTTCGGGTGCCTCTTGCACTTATGATAATTCCAATGAAAATGATAAAAGATTTGTCTGTAATGTAACCTTTGAGAAGAAGATCTTCACCAAGAAGGTCCATGTTTCAGCCACTGTAATTTTAACTGCTCATATCAAGACTCAAACCATTGATGTTGAAGTTCAAGTGGCAGGAAAGACCTTGTACAAGAAAACCTATGCCATGAACGCCGTAAATATTCCTCCATTCTGTGTTTCATTGATTATGGACGTCAGCTTGTGTTTGGCTTTGAAGGATATCAAGTTCAATACCAATGCTCCCGGATGTGTGGTGTTTGATTTGAGTGCCTACTTGGATGCATTCGGAGCCAAACAAAATTTGGTGACTCAGCAAGTCGGATGGAATGTCAATGCTTGCAAGAATACAAGAAGCGTTGAAAATTTATTCTTGCTGCAGCCTCAGTAATGATGATGAGAGTAAAGAATTGTTGAGATCATCATCAAATGTATTGTTGGAGTATTCTTCAACAGCAAGCAATGATATTTTGGTTTCTAATTATTTCTTCTTCGATTCTTGTTCGAGTGTTGTGGTTAGGCCAATCATCCACGTTCTCAAATAACAATACAAACGCTCCCGAACGGCAGTATCACCCACTTCATTGTGACCATGTATCCAGTCTTCGGGATGCTGTGCTCGTTTATAGAGAAATGTTTTTCCTCGACCTTTCTCTCCGACTGTGTGTTGAATTTCATACACCATGTCCATGATGAGATCGTCGTCGTTGTCTAATTCAGAGCCATGTGACTCCTTTTCGGTGAGATTAGAATGTGATTTTCTGCAATTGTTTAACAAGTTGAGAACTTCCGGTGTCCTTTGCTGAATGACTTGCTGAACAGCCTCCTCCACAGCTTGGTTTCCTACGTGAGTGAACATGCTCCACTCCACAGAGCTCGTGTCACCGTCGGCTGTATTGATCAATCGCATCATTTTTTTTGTCTTGTTCCTGGTTTTATTGGAACTGACGATCCCGCCACAGAGAATGTGAAGATTAAACAATTACAGACCTGTTGAGTCGAAAAGAGTGTTTTCAGAATTGTTGTTTTCTTGAATCCATCCTATAATTAGCATAACTTGACCAAATGATGATCAACATCTATGGTGTTTGGCTCTTTTAAAACTCACCTAAATTTGCCCAATAAACGACAAAATCATGTTATCATCTATATCTTCCATGAAAATTCATTGAACAGAAATGAGGTCTTGACTTTATTTTCCTCTTGACTCAACCAGCACCATCTCCCTTTTTGAAATTTCCATATTTATCCATTTTTCTTGAAAAAACCCCTCGCTTGGTTGGCAATAGCAAAGAAGAAGATGACTCGACATATTCCTTGCCCACTTGGAAGAGCATCCACACTCAAAAAACTTTTAAATTCTGGCATGCCGTTCGAACTCTAAAAGGAACAACAATCAAAAAAACAATCGAAACAGCGTTGATAACAACGTATCGACATAATGAAGAAGAGCACCTTGATTCTATTGGGTCTTGCGGCCTCTCTACTCATACTCTTTGTTTGTTCCTCTCAAATGGTGGTTGCCTCAGAGGACAAGGATGATTTCAAAGATTCAAATTCAAAGGACCTCTCTTCCACAAGCAGCGAGAAGGTTGATGAAACAAAGAGCACTCTTCCAGTTGAAAAGGACAAGAAAGAAGATGAAAAGAAAGACAACAAGGAAGAAGACAAGTATAAGAAGAAAGAATTTTCTAATGACTCTTATTGTCGTCACATCTGTATCAAACACAAAGTCAAGAATGGCAAGTGTTTGAAACACAAAGTCATCGATCAAAAGAAAGTGTGCGACAAGTATGCCACCATTAAGGCCAAATGTTTGAAATACAAAACCACCTCTCATTGCGATGAATACAGTCAACCAGACAAGAAATGCATCAAATATGCTCACAAGAAGAAATGTATCAAACATAAGAAGGAACGTGTCTGTGATGCGTATGGGAGTAAAAAAGTGTGCGATTGCTACAAAACCAAGAAGGTCTGTGATAAGTACATTACAAAGAAGAAGTGTGCCAAATACGACTACAAGAAGATTTGCAAGAAGCATGAGAAGGTTCCTATTAAGAAGTGTGAACAAGTTTCAAAAAAGAAACGAAAAGAGGAAACGGACGAGCATCGTGATACTCACTCTAAAAAGAAGGATCTCTCCGATTCCTACATGCCTCAACCCATTCAGAAGTGCCGTGTGGTTGGCTATGAAAATAAGTGTGTCAAACATGAGAAGGTTAAATTCTGCTCGAGGCACAAATCGGTGCGCAAGTGTTCCAAGTTCCTCAAGAAAAGGTTGTGTGCCAAGTATAAGAAGAAGCGATTCTGTAAGAAACACAAGACTCTCTCCAAGTGTGTCAAACATTCTAAGAAGAAGTATTGTGTCAAACACAAGACGATTGAATCCAAATGCATTCGATTCAAAAAAGAAAAGAAGTGTGTGAAAAAGTCGAAAGCGAAACGTGTCTGCAAAAAGTACAAATTGACAAAGGGAGAAAAGATTTGTGTCAAACATGAAAAGAAGAAGGTTTGTGCTGAGAAGAAGAAGATTTGTGAAGAAGCAGAGAAGAAGAATTCGAACTCTCCAGATTCGTATGTGTTGATGTAATTGAGAGATTGGAAATCCATTTTCAAACCAGTTCTGTCGATGAGATACAATTTTTGTAAATTTTGAGAAGAGTTGTTTGAATCAAAGAGAGTACTACTTTGAGAGAGTGAGCAAATTTTCGCAACCACCAGGTGGTTCTTGTTAAAGGAGCAATGCATTGGGTATCCATTCTTCAACCAAAGGAAGTTTGTGAGATCTGAGAAGAATGTTTTCAAATACCCTCTGGCAACCTCTTTGTCTACCTTTTCGATCAACAGCCAATAAAGAATTTTGTGAAGTTTTGGCTTTGAAGGATCTTGACATTCTGATTGACCAAAGCTGATCCATCACCGGTTGAACGTCTCAAGGACATTTGCCTCTCTTGAAATAACTCAAAACGCCACTCTTACAAGGTAAAGGTCATCTCAAAAACCTTGTAACCAAATCACATCAAAGTCGTGCAGAGTTCTCGAAATGTTTGGAATATCCGGAAAGTATGAAAAAAATGAAAGTCTTAAAAACGGCAAAACATCAAATTTCTTGTGGATTTTTAATCTTCTCGGAGAGAAAGCATTATCTCCTGTGTCATACGACATGCCATAAAACACCACCCAAGCAACCCTTGATACCTTCTCAAATCAATGATGAGAAGTGGACCATTCCGAAGGGCATGGTGGATGAATCCATTCCGACACAAGTGGGAGATGCAGTGGAAATTGAAACTGCAGTTAGAGAGTTGAAGGAAGAAACAGGTATTGATTTGAAGGAAAATGAAGTGTTGAGGAGAGAGTTTTATGAAAAGTGGGAAAGGTATATTTAATTATTTTTCGCATCATATGGTTTCAATATTATTTTGGATTAATTTTACATGCGAAATTTTCTTATTTTATCTTATTTGGATTATTTAATTACATCATTTGTTGATTTTTATGACATAACAATAATAATTTCACAATCATGAACCTCATGATTGAAATTTCACAAATTATTCCAATAGAGGAGAGTTGAAATTTAATTTACACACAGAATATAAAATTAAAAGCAAGGTAGTGCGAGTGTATTTACTGGACGATGAGAAGGGATTAATCAAAAGCCAATATTCATTGAGCGACATGAAATGCTCCTCACTCATTGATATTGATCATCCTTTGAAAGGTTATCCTGAAGTGGATGCCTTTTTGTGGTGCACAAAATCAGAGGCTTTGAAAATTGCTCTAAAATCACAAAAAGTACTGTTCAAATGACCTTGTTGTAATGTTAACGGAAAATTTTGGACACAACTTGTCCATATTACCACTTTCGACAGGACCACTTGTCATATTGAGAGAATATTTTTTAATAATTATTATTAATGTAAATTACCTATTTGAACGATTGTTTTTAAATTTTTGGAGAATAGAGTTAGAACTTGGCATTGCACTGCATGATTAATGGTTGAATCAATTTAATGATAATCATTTCCCAAATAAGCACCATGATAACAATATTGCATTCTTGCTTGATATAATTCTTCACTATATTCCAATACAAAACCATTGCATTTGAGAGCTTCTTTTACAAATTCTGCATCTTTCTTAAATACTTCATTTGCATACTTCAATACATATCCATTATTCTTCACAGCTTCCAACATGAGTTCCTATCTGATAAAATATAATCACAACTTCGAGATTATATAATGGAAAGACTATTGTTTTTGATTGCCTGTATCACAAAATCTTTGTCGCGCATAATTTCTTTTGGCGCATAATGAAGTAAACATGAATCGTCATTCTTAGCAGCTTCTAACAAGAATTGTCTGTCGTTCAATAGATCCTGCGATATATTACTTAAGTTTTGAAGACACATACGGGAAGTGGTTAAACATCAAGGAGATGCATTACAATTTGCAAGTTATGACATTCGTAATGATAAAGAATTGGTAATAGAAGCCACAAAACACAGTCTACTTCCCAATTCTCCATCTTCCCTTAATTGTTATGATACCTATTCCAATCTATAACCATTCTTTTTGATTTGATTCAAAACAAATTTCTTATCATTCATAAACTCAACAGACTGAGGAATAAATTATTATTCAATATTCTCTATTTTCGAGCCATTTCTTTTTTCCTTGTTGTTTCAATAAGAATTTCTCTCTCAATAATAACTCAACTCCCATTTCCGAAGATGATTATTGAGTTCAAAGTTTTCTCCAAAAACAAAAGAAGACTTTCCTTTTTACCAAATACATTTATACACAAATTGATATAATTCTCAAATATTTTCCCACTCGATACGGAATGGAGTTTGCAATGAGTTCTTGTTCTGTTTGCCCAATAGAGGCAACTTCGGGGTGAGTGTAAATGACATTGGGAATGGCATTGTAGTTCAAGTGGGGACTTGAACGACCTGCCAAGTGCTCGGCCACAGCGAAACCTTCTTCCTCTGCTTTGTGAGCCAACATGGGACCTCTCACGACATCTCCAATGGCATAAATAGTTGGTACAGAGGTTTGTAATTGATCATTCACTGGAATTCGACCTTTTGAATCCAATTTAATTCCAACATTTTCTAAACCCAAATGATGTGTGAAAGGTCGACGGCCAATACAAACCAAAACGACTTCTGCTTTGATGGATTGTCTCACCATTGGTGAACTACCATCATGATCATGAGGACTGCCACCAGTAGGAATGGACCGGACAGATTCGACTTCGAGAGTGACCTTCTTTTGGAGAGTGTCCACATGTCCATTCTGAACGGAAACTCCCAACTTGAATGTCATGCCTTGTTTTTCGAGGATTTGAGAGACTTCTTGATCGAGGAAGGGAGAAATTCGATCAGGATTCGATTCAAGGACTGTCACTTGTGAACCCAATCGAGTGAAAACAGATCCCAATTCAACATTAAATTGCATTATCCTTTTCAATATAAATAAAGGAATAAATGATGAAAAAAATGCTTTCACACTCCACTCGAAGACACCTTTTATTCGGTTTCATTCCGAAAGGAAAATCAAGCCAGTACTTGAGATGGAACAATTTCAACATTGCTAGCAACCATCATCACTTGATTCAATATGTACCACAAGTCTTCGGATTTCATTCCTCAATTTTTGCTCTTAAAAAAGATAAACCATCACCATCATCATCAACGAACAAAACTCCAAAAGCACCCACAACAGCACCAACCTCTTCATCTACTTCGGAAGAACCATCGGCCGAGTTTGGAGAATTTGAATTAGGTGAGGCTAAAAAAGAAGTCATTGAAGCCGTGTTCCGGTTGTTTTCAAAACACGGAGATGTTTCCAGTGCTCAACTATATCTTCGGACTTGGTATAATGAAATTATTCCAAGAGAGAAGAAGTTGAAATTACAGAGAACGAACTATGATGAATTAATCGATTGTTTACTTTTTGGATATTACGGACAGAGTTGTAAACCAAGCGGAGAGGAGCAAATTTTAAGCCATCAATTACTCACAAAATCCTCAAATATTTTCAAAGAATTATTCTTGAAGGATATTCAAGACTCGGATTTGAGAGAGAATGCTCTTGTACAATGTCCAAAAGGAGAGAACTCGCTCTTGCAAGAAATTCGGGGTAGAATGAAGAAATTAGTACAATCGGAGATGGGCGAAAAGGTCTTGTCAGAGAAATTTGGCATCTCTGATCGAACAGATTTACTCCAAAGACTCGAAAGATGTGATTTTGTGACATCGGTCTGTTTGGCCATGATGTACTATCACGACGAAAAGATGAGAGACTTTTCCAAGTCAGAGTCCTTCTTGCTTCGTGCCTTGACTTATAAACCAGACGATGAGAGATGTCTGTTAATGTTGGCCTCATTGAGCGAATTTACTGGTAATGTCAAGAATGCCGAACAAGCATATCTATTACTCTCACGGTATAATCCAGATGATCCTGATGTGTTGGGAGATATTGCTGTTTTTTACAGAAATATCATGCGTGACCTCATGAAATCCAAGAATTACTTTAATATGGCTCTCAAACTGAAACCAAATCATGTAAATAATTTGAGAAATTATGCCATGTATCTCTTTGAAGAGGAGTTAAATGTGGAAGAAGCTCTTCAACTGTTAGAACAGGCCATAGGAATTGTACCAAATGATTACATGACCATGTCTAGTTATGGTGTGGTATTAATGGTCGATGCAATGAATAAGCCATCATCTCAATCCAATACTATTTTCAAAAAGGCAAGAGATGTTTTGAAGCGATCGGTTCAACTGAATCCATTCCAGTCATGCAATATTATTATGAATTATGCCATCTCTGAACGTATGTGTGGAAACAAAATTGATGCCAGGAAGGCCTTTGATGTTGCTGTGAAAGCATTTGAAGAGAACGAGTCCGAGACACCCAATGAGTCTCATGTAGAATTGTTCAATAATTATGGATCCTTCTTATTTGAAGAGGCACTCTATGAAGACGCTAAGGAAAAGTTCCATAAGGCTCTCACTCTAAAGACTGATGCACCTGAAATTCACACAAACCTTGCCTTGACGTATATCAAGTTGAATAATTTAGATCAAGCAGAAAAACACTTTCGTAAAGCAACCAAAAATGTGGCAGATTTAGATGAAAAAGAAGTTGCTGCTGCCAAGCATGGTCTCTTTAACTATGCAAAGTTTGCATGGGAACAAACCAAAGACATGGACAAGGCAAAAACATTGTTTGCACAAATGATTACTATTTGTGACAAAGATGGAGGTGAAAGGAATGAGGATAACTCAGAGTACTATAAAGAGTACAAGGAATTCATGAGAGCCAGTCCTTTAGGTAATAAGAAATAAATCGAAAGCGCAAACTATTATTATTTATCAAAGGTCAATTTCACTTATTTTAAAATAAATAATTATTCTCTTTCAATTTTTGAATATTTCTTTGCACAAGCTCGATACATTCTTGTGCATTCTCCATGGCGAACTGCTCTACAAACGACGGAGGAGCCTTATCTTTCTGTGTGGAATCATGAGGCTGAGGAACATACGAAAGAGTATTCGGATAACCTTTGAGAGTAAAAGACAAAGAGGTGTTGTCAGTCTTCTTAAATGAGAGCTTGACGATTTGTCTCAGTGTTCGCTTCCACAAAATAAGGCCGCTACCCAATATTTGTGGATGTGGTTTTAGGCACATGATTAAATTATCTCCCACTGCAATATATCTTGGTTCTCGAGACTTTCTGGTTTGAGCAGTGAATAGCTTAATGTTCTCTCCAAGAGTCGATAACTCGTCAATTTTCACAACAGTGGTTGGTTCTTGTGATGAGTCACCGCCACTGGAATTAGTAGTGGCAGTAGCATTTGAAAGTTCATCGTCGTCTGATCCTGAGCCTTCCTCTCCCAGTGAGAACACAGGTTTTATCTTGGATTCGATCGTGGATTTAGCTTTTGTGAGAGAGGCACCCAAACGAGGAACCTTATCCTTGTTTTCATTGACAAATTCTTCTGCCATCTTTTTACCCCATGTAATAAAGCTGGAAACCTTTGCAGTCCATTCCTCGGTATTAATTCCAGAGCTGTTCTTATTGACATTTTCAACAGTTTCATCTTTGACATATTCAATTTGATTGGATGTCATGAATTTGATGCAACCTTTAAAGCCGTCAATTGCAATCGAAACATGAGGAAAACCTCCTGTCACAAACTTCATCGCAATGACTCGCAATAGGTTTTCTTCCTCAGGCAATTTTCGTCCGGTACCAAAAATGATGAAATGAGAACCTTTGGCATCTTGGAATCGTTGTAAAATAGCTTTCATCTTCTCGTCATCATAACCAACGCGAGTACCAATATGAATGGCTGTTGGTAATCGAGCATATTGGAAACTCTTCACACTTCGACAATCAATGATAATATACTTGACGCTGGTGGTTTTTGCTCGTTGTTGCTGTCTAGTTCTATCTTTTGTAAAACAATCGACAATTTCACTTGTTGGGATTGGTAAAATGACACTCTCCTGTAATTGTTTTTTGATAGCATCAAATTTCACTTCTGCAGATGCTTGGAAGAGTGACAAGAGTTGGTTACGGGCGCTGAGAGGAGTTTCCTTTTCCAAATTTTTAACTTCCAAATATAACGAAGAAATATCACTCTTGACAGCAATTATCTGTTGTTTGGATGTTGATGAGGTGGACAATGCATCTTTACAATATTGCCTCAACTCATTGGTAGTTGTTAAATTAAGCAAGTTTGTTCTGTCTCTAATTAAAATTGAAATTACAAAAAAGGTAAATATCACAGGATCTCGTTCAATAATTAAAATATCCAGGAAATATGTAAATGTTTCAATAAAATTAGAGTTGAAACGTAAAATCAAATCGACCAATAAAGATTTTGACCACGGAATTATTTCATCAACAATTACTTCCAATCGATGTCTATCGAAATGGATTTGCAATTCTGGATCATGATATTGGAGTAAAAGTCTAAACATTTGATCAAAGCAATCCAACAAGAGATGTAATTGTTCAGAGTTGTCTTTGTCTAACATGGGATTGCTCTTGCTTTCAAGTGGTTTGAAATATCTGGTGAGCATGACATAAACCATGGGATACAATTCGGTGCAAGGCATTGGTTCCACATTGATGCATCGAATAAATTGATAGACAAATCTTGCCATTTCTGGCCGATAACTCAAAATGTTTGGAATTATAGGTGGAACCATCATGTTTGATGACGAAGAATTGGCCATTGAGGTTCGTTCAGCCATATATTGATGATGAAATACCAGAATTTTGAAAGTCTTATCAACCGCCCATTCCGAGAGGGCAGTAGTGTCTTGATTGACAAGTCTCAAATGTTCGATCAATTGATTTTTTGTGATCGGGAGTGATTCTTCTTCAGTAATTGCAGCAAAGGATTGTTCAGTAAGTTCACTTGGGGCAGCCTTGCTCGATAGTAATTTCTATTTTCGATGATTGATCAATCATAACCATGAATAATAATAATAACATGGCAATTAAAATTGAAATGATGATGGTTGAACCATCAAGAACACATCCATGAGGAATTGTTGTCCACGATACGATTCAAAATTTCATCATCATCATCGTTGAAAATAATAGAGAGTTAACGGAACTTGATGACTCATTCAAAATAATTCGTTCTTACCTTCCAAACAGCAACTCTCAATTCATGAGATGGAATCTCCGAGGATGGCATGATCATGGTTTCTCGACAAAAATCTCTCAACTGCTTCTCCGACATTTGATACACATCTTGGACGGTCCATCCCTTCCATGGATCTTGTTCATCATAGAGAAGGGACATTTTTTTTGAAAAAGTATTACCATATATATCAGAACCATAAATATTATAATTCAATCAAATAATGTTTATGATTTAATGTCGAACAAATTGTAATTTGAATTGGAAACATGTTTTTCCAGCTAACGATTATTACGTCACGATTCCTTAATAAAAAAAACTACAGGACACACCAATTTTGACACAAAGATTTTGTTTAATGGAACCGCGTATTGTTTTACTTACAAAAATAACATGGAACTTTGTTGTGAAAATTGTTTTTGCTGATTGTGAAATGCTTTCACTCTCTTTTGAGTGGAATACTCTTCAATTTGTCTCTTCATGACTTGCAACAGGGAGGGAACACTCTTCTTAGAGATCCATTCTCCAAGTGATGCCGAATTGACCGTTTCCTGACACTCTGTGACAAGAGGTCTTAAATGATCAGATCCCTTGAAGAGCACTTGTGGTTCCATTTCGATATGAATGAAATACGTCGCTCGAATGGTTTGACACTGTTTGGAATTGGTGGTCATCTTGAAATCAGTGGTGTTTTCCAATGGTTCCAATTTCCATCCTCCTTGTAAGGATTTGAATGGACTTGATTCTTTCAGATGTGAAAAGGAAATGCCATCTCGAGTGACATGGACCTTGATGTCATATTCGAGAGTTGAAAAAAGGATGGTCGATTTCAAATGAACAATCATTTCATGGTTCTTGGATTCATTCTTCTTCAACGTGTTTGATGAATGTATTCCTTCCACACGTTGTGGATACTTGTCAAAATCTGTCAACATCTCCAAACAATCCTTCAAATTGGTGTTTTCAATGAGACAGGATTGACTGGAAAATGCCACACAATGTTTGTGTTGAGAAAAAGAATGGTTGGAGGAATCATGATGTGTTGGAAATTGAAGCATGGCCTGATTGAGTTCTTCTATCAAAGAGATGGATTCTTGTTTCTTACTTTCGAAAGGGCATGACGAGCAGTTATGAGTATCAGAATCTAGTAGATTTGTTGGATATATCAAGAGTTCTTGTTGTTGGTCCTCCTCCTTCTCCTCTTGACCATGGATAACATGTTCAGCAGCATTTGACATGTCTTGTTCTAACTTGGCGTTAGGATGATTTGCCTTGACTTGCTGTTGACCACATGCTGGTAAGGATTTTGTTGTTTCAGGATCATCAATGATCGATAATGGAATATCTTTTGAAATGCTTGTTGAGAGTGTGGTGGGTTTTGAGCAATTCCATCGACGAGTCGTGACGAGTGCTGCTGCTTTTTCATCTCTCTTTTTAATTTCATTTCGTTTGGCAAGCAAAGGATGAGACGAACGATGGACATGATCTTGTATTTCGGGAAGGAGATGGGATTTAAAAGATGTTTCTTGATGGTTGTTGTTGTTGTTGAGTAGTGTATTCGACACGATGAAAATCAAGGACATGGGAACGGCGGTTGAGAGAATTGTTGTTTGTTTTGTTGTTGTTTTTTTCTTGATCGATTGAAAATGGATATTGAGAGAGAAAAATATGTAACTTCTGTTGAGGGACGGTAATGGCCATTACGGCATCAAGTTTCTTTTCATGAGGTCCATAAATGGAATAATTGAAACTCTAAATTTCTAAATTAGTTCGGCATCATTTCCATTCACAACCTGCTTAATGGGATCTCAAATTTTTTAATGATGCCAATCATCCTCAACAGTAATGTTTCTCAAATTCCAATCAATGGTTGTGTGAATTTGTTTTATCCATTCACAAGTGTGAATGAAAATGGAATTAATTGGACAGCAAAGCTCGTGACATCTTATTCGCACAATCAATCTTGTATTGGAACCACCAAGTGAAGAGTGTTTTTTGATAGTCATCCATTTTCTTTGGATTTTCATAAAAGTATTTGATCAAGTCAATCAAATCAGGATGTTGAACATAGGCATGTTTTGATATATCAACAACTTTTAAAGGATGACCTTTTGGAAGTCCACTAAATGATTCTAAATCTTCAGGAATTGGAATTGCTCCATTTTCAAGGGCTTCCCACTGTCGCATGTCAAACAACCAATGAAAATAGAGTTCAAAAAAAATTCAATTTCAAAAACATTCTACTTACCACTCGGAACTGTTCGGGATTATTTCCTGCAGGGCACAACACTAGAGCTGAATCCAACATTTGGAGAGAATAATCGACCTTACTTCCCTTATTGAAACCGTCAGTGAAAGAAATGTCACAAATTTCTTTTTGAACTATTTTTCCATCTTCTGTGAATGGTATCTTCTTCATTTGTGCAATTTGGAATCCAGATCGAATGCGACGTTGACCTCTAAAATAACAAAATTTACCTCGTTTCGAAGCAGGAACAAGAGATGAGAACTGGAAATCAGCAAGGTCTTTCATAAATTTCTCATTATTTTGAATGTGAGGAGGAAGTCGAGGAATATAAGATTGTGAAACATATGGATAACAAGTAAACAGAGGAAAGAAATGAATATTTTGCAGTGTGGCATTCAAAGATGTTAATGCATGATTCCAATAATTTCTAAAAACAGCGTCAAAATTCTCATAATTTTCCTTTTTAAGAACAACCAATTGTTCGTCTGCGAGTTCAAAAAAATTCGGTTGGGTGACATGTGAATGATTTGAATGTTGGAACACAAAACCTACCTCCTATCAACCATTTCACAACTTTGGTGTGTGGATACAACACTCCGAGTTTCTCCAACACAGCATGTTTAAAGTTGTTGTTATATCCAGGAATTGGTTCACCCTCATCCTTATGAACCAAAATCAAATAATTGGTCTTCTTTAATTCCTCTGTTTGATCCAAACGATGACAAATCATTTCTTGAGGTTCCTTTCCTTCATATTTCTTTATCAACACTCGATGAGAAATGATGCCACTTCTAGGAAGCCTGAGTAAAGTTTCAATTTCGCAGGAAGGAGAAAATGTAGTCACAATGCAAATATTACCATCATGTGCGAATGACTCTGTTGGAATGAATTGATTCTCGACCTGTAATTCTCGATCTTTTCGAGATGGAGTGTTTGTTGTAGAGAGTGTTGAACGTTGATGATGAGCATTAGAATTACTACTCGAAGAAGAAGAAGACGCTGATGATGATGATTCGTGCGTCGTCATGACAGTAGAACTGGGAGATAATAATGTGAAGAAGATGGATAACACTGCCAATACAATCAAAATTTTCCAAAATTTGTCATTCTTGCTTGGCGAGAGTAACCAAGAGGACCACCACCACCGCTTGTTCGAAGAGAGTGTTGAAGTTGTGGAGATTGTTGAGGTGTTGTTGGTTGTAGGGAGTATGAACATTTTTTTGTATGCTGGCACACAATTATGACATTCTTGGGTGACATTGACAAACTCCAGGTTGGAGGAGAAATGATATTATTGAAATGGTATCTGTGAGATTAATTGTGCAAATGCCTTCATTCCTCACTCGTGAGCTGTCATCGAGGGAATTTCCTGGATTCTTCCAACAAGAACATGCTGATTTTTCATTCAACAAACAGCTCTATACAAAGAGCCCAATTTAAAACCTTCTCTTATAGGTAACATCAGTTTTTAACACTCTCCAACCAATAAATCCAATCGTGAGACCACTAGTAGCATTCATCACATTCATTCCATACATGACATCTGCGACTTGTGTAAAACATTCATCAATTTCACTTGAAAAGTGGTCATGGCCTTCATAGCGTGAAAGACAGACTCTCTTTTCTCGAAGGCAAATTTTAATGTTCGAAGGAGGATGAGAGTCTTCTTCAAATGGAATCATTGGACGAGTGTTGCTGCTGTTAAAAGTGGTAATAGTAGTAGAAGTACTTGTAGTAGAAGAGGTGGAAGTAGTACTTGTAGTAGTCGTATTTGTGGTGGTATTTAACTTTTCTTTGCTTGTTGGAGTCAATGTGTGTGAAGTCGACCATGAAGACAATGACGTTTGTGTGGAATGTGGAATCTTTTTTGAATATTTAGTACTATACATTCGATATTGAAAGATCATGTAGAAAAAGCTCAAAATTTCTCTCATGAGCCAAACAATACAAGCAAAATAGGCCTTATTGTGATCCTTTTCTGAGAGATTTAAATTCTTAATTTCTTTCTTTAAAAAATCTGGAAAGAAGATTGAAGTGATATTTTCCTTATTGCTATATAAGGATTCAATAAATATTTCAGCAAAACTGAATTTGTTGAGAGGAACGCGTTTGGGATAGGATTTGTAAAGACGATACGCTCCTCGTATGGGTGAAGTGACATATTTTCGAAAATGTTCCAATTGATGTAATTCACGTGAGACAATCTCTGAATCTTGATCGATGGAAAATTTAGTACCATGTAGAATTCGATGCTCTTTGAGAGGATCAAATGCAAGAAATTTCAATTGTCTTGTGCTGTCTTGTAGGTGATGCAATTTGGCTTCACAATTCTCTCCAAATAGAGCCACTGGCTCCAGTTTGACAATTCCAAAATTCGAGTCACACATGACATGATCATCATAACTGGGTAATAAGATGGGAAATTTTGTATATTCGCCTCCAAGTTTGGCAAAATGAAACGATCGTTTCAAACTTCTCTCAAAATTTAAAAACAATCTGGATATTGAAGAATTAAATATATATTTTTCCCACACGCATAAACACCACTCTTTGGAGACCATTGCAAAATTATGAATTAATTCAAAATACGAAATAAATTGAAAAACATTTCCGACAAGAACATCCATCGGAAAGTCTTTGAAATAATTTTTCAGGGCATGGTCTTTCTTATTTGTCTCCGACGTTATAGAAACGTTTCTACTGATCAGTAATAATTCTCTCATAAATCGCTTTAGTATGCGTTTGGAATTTGCATCATATTGAAGTTGACTTTTGTCAGCATTGGACATGCTGTATGATGATAACTTGGACGGTTGCATTTTTTTGGAAAGAACTTCTTCTAACCCCACGAAGGAAGTGGAAATTAACTGAACAAAGGTAAAGGGGCAACTTGACATTAATTAATTGAAGCAAAGTCTCACAAAATGCGATCACACTTATTTAGCAGCAACGACTGTTGACCCAATCCTGAATTTTCATCTTAACACAGATGAACAAGAAAGATCGTCTAGAAATCGATGAAGAAAACAAATTAAGAACTAACAAGTCATTGAGGTGCACCGAATCTTGGGATTCAATTTGAGAACACTGAAGATGAATTCTTGTCTATTTTGGCTTTGATATTTAAAGGAAGGTAAATTAGGCAAAGAGGTTGTCCTTAAAAAAACCAAAAGGAATGAAAGAAAATCAGCCGTGACATTAAGCTTTGCAACTCGTTTGTTCGCTGGTAAAGCGAGATGAGCATCCGAATTCGGAACCAAAAGTATTTGAGAACAGCGGCAGATTTGATATCTCACAAATTGAGTTCGCAAGTTTATTCTATGAATCTCGTTAATGTTGTTGCTGTTGCAAAGATTCCAAGGCTTGTTTTATACTATCATAGGACAAATTTTGAAGAGCGGTCCTGAAGATCGTATTACTTTCTGCATAATCCTTCCAGATCTCCATGTAAATTTTTAATTTATCTACCAGGTTTATATTGTCCTTTGAACTCTCATTGAATAATTTACGAAGTTCCTCATCATATATATAAAAACAACATTTTAACAAACATTCCATATCAAATTTCTTCTGGTAGGGGATGGGATGTTTTTCAATAAATGCTTTTGCATAATCTTGAGCACAAAAGGAAACAGTTCCTTGAAAATAAGAAACATTATAATGTTCTGATTTTTCTTCTGCAAATCCCCAATCTAACAAAACGAGATCATAGTCTACTTCTGTCGTTTGTACAATATTTTCAGGTCTAATATCTTTGTGAAAAAAGCCTGCATCGTGAACATCTTTCAACAAATCTACAATGCATGCTAATTTGTTAAAGGGAATAGGTATTAATTTGTTAATAATTAATTGTGTATATTTTGGCATTAGCAATGTATTTTCATCTCCTTCAGACACAATTTTAGGAATGTGTTTTTTGCTTTCTGATGATAATTTTGAGTGTAAAGTTCTCAATATTTTCTTTTCTTTCTCGACAACCATTCGATCAATGGAGGTACATAATTTCATAGCGATTTTTGATGATGGATCATTTGGATCAGTAATTTCATAGACCACAGATGTCGCGCCAATTCCTAAAAAACTATGAATTTTTACAGAAAAAGTTGGAGTTGGAATGTCTATATGCAAACGAAGCATGTTTGAGAGATATTGGACACCATCAGAGTTTTGATCATTGCTCTCATGAGAGCATAGAGGAAATAAGTCCGTGATGAAATAATGAATCTGATTTTCGTCTCGTTCTGCTTTTACAAATCTAATTGATTTATATGTTGAAAGAGCTCCAAATGCTTCTCTTCTGTTTTTCTGAATCCGTAAAATTTCTGTCAAATAAAAAAACACTTGGCCGTGTGCTGAGGAGTTAGAAATATTAGTATGCTTCACCTCAATGATAGAATGTAATATCGAACTAAAACCACTCGCAACTCGAGATACGTCTTGAATGTCAAGATTCTTTGGAATCAAACAAACATCTGGCCTCTTATTACCCAAAGTAACGTGTCGAGAGGTATCATAGGGCTTTGCATTATATTCAATTCCGCGAGCCATCTCGGTAATAAAACTCATAAAAGCTTGTTGTACATTATTTTCATTGTTAAATTCACCGTATCGTTTAGTTTTAACGGTGATCCGTTCCCCAATTTCTCCGAGCCATGTTGGTGTTACAATTTCGGTCAGGTTATTTTTGACATGTTGTTCGTAGAAATCAAATTCCGAAATTGAAAACGCATTTGGTGTTTGGATGGTAAGTTTCACTCTCTTTATGCGTTGCTTTTCCAGCTCAACTTCTGCTAGCTTTTGTTTTGTTTTTTCTTCTTCAGCTTTTCTTTTTTTCCTCTTCAGCTTTTCTTTTTTCCTCTTCGATCTTTATTTCTGCTAGCTTTTGTTTTGTTTTTTCTTTTTCAAGCTCTACTTCTGCTTGCTTTTGTTTAAAAGCAAGTTCTAATCTCTTTAATTCCAATTCGGCCGAAGATAAGTTTTGTGTGGTTGTTGATGATGGTGTTGAATGTTCTGACATGTTTGGGAAGTGGAGGTATTTTTTTTTCTGCGATTCACCATCCGGCCGATGATCCAACCTTCAGGTTGGAATTTCCAGATTTTTATTTTTAAAATCAACCTTTCATCAGATCTGAGGATTTAATTTTGAGCGCGTCAAGAACAAATGTACGTACTGCAGGAAACACAAAGCAATTAATGAATTGATAAGGAACAAAATGATTTGTGTTCTCGCCAAAATTTTGGATTGCTTCTTTCTTGTTGTGTTTACAATTGGATTTTAATCTGAGTGAGAAGAACAAATCTTAGTCAATTCAAATGTCACAACAAATTGCAATAAATTTGGCATACTCGTGTAAGGTGTATACAAGAATCAGTTAGCATGTTGGATGAGTATTAGAAATATTCGATGATCGATCAACTATCTCCTTAAAAATCCTTACGAATATTAATAATTCTTCTTCAAATGCTTGTTTCTCTGTTTGAGCATGTGAGAAAACACCGAAGGATAGCCATACGCCACAATAAAGCAAAAGAAAAATATAACTAGCATCTTCTTGTAGAGAGGATATGGATTTGAGGGAGGAAGAGATGGTTTTTTCTTTCTAGAGATTTCTGAGTTATTACTGCCATGGTGATCAGTCGCTACTGTTGGCATTTCATTGCTTAGAGTTAATGTGCCACCAACAGAATCATATTGCAACCATTTTGAAAAAACAACACGCAACACTAATCCAATTTCACTCAACATGCCAATAGGATATAAAATCAAGAATGCATTATATCTTAAAAATTTCAATAATTTCACAACTTTGGCTGTCTTGGGATCTTTTTCTAAATCACACGTTTGGCTGATGTAATGTGAATATCGAATAATGTCTGCCAATGCCCATGATACTTGTAGAGTGAACATTGTAATGTCTGTCAGTAAATCATTATTTGGTAAATCATCTGCTATAAAATAAGTAATAAACATTCTGCCGAGTGTCTGTCCTAGAGTTGTTGAGAGAGATGAATTTGGAGTTATACCTGTAATGACATGAACGGTCTCCATTAATTGCAAAGTTTGAATAGTTTTAAGATATTTTCTATTGAAAGTCCATAATGACGGTTTTTTCGCTGATAATCGTTCCAAAACTTGTTTGTTTGTAAATTTTAATCGACCACCATGTTTCTCAAGCAGAGGTCGAACAGTTCTAAATAATAATAAATTAATCCACTCTATGGCTTGTAGTGCATTGTAAATGGTAATATATTGTTTGGATGTAATGATCGCCATTGTACACAGATGATGAGAACAATTTTATAATCAACGAAATATTAATAGATTGAATAAATTGGCCAAAGACAATAATATGATCGGAGACAAGCAGGGAAAGTTTATCTCGTTCAAGGGCCCTTGAAAATCCTCTCTCAAACAGTGTATTGTTGTTTTAATACCAGCTCTGGTCTTTGGTCACAAACAAATTTTTTAAAAGAAAATTCCAATTTTCCTGTTTATTTGAAATCCCTTGCGATTAGCTCAAACATTGGATCAACACATCGGAGAGTGACCGATTGGTTGGTGAGAAGAGATACTGCAGGGAAGAGAGTTCCAGTGATATTTCTGAAACATTCTCCAACAAATTTACCATTAATGTACCAAGATAGAGTCGATCCAATATTGTTTTTGGGATCAATTGCGTCTTCAAAAGCTTTGAGATAGTACTTGATACGACCCTTCACAATGTCACCCTCATTGAAAGGTACATTATTCCATTGAACTACTGGATCACAAGTGAATGGTTGTTTGTGTTTGAGATGGGTATTTGAATAGAAATGCAAATTGTCACCATTTCCACCTGCATACCCAAATCCAGCATGTCTGTCGTATCCTATAAGATTGGTAGGGGTAGACTCCTTATAAGGGAAGGCCTCTGTTTCAAGGCCGACTACAATCCACCATCCATTGGCATTGGACTTGTCGAATTTTTCTATCTTAACTTCAAACTCATAGATTGCAACATCGTCCGTAATGATATCGACTTCGCCGTTTTCAAGATCACTCGCTGATATAAGAGGAAGGGTCATGTATCCGTTTTTACGCTTCTCCATTTCTGTTGGAATTCGAATTGGTAAGTTCGTTCTCACAGTTTGCCAATGATAAGTAATATTATCCTCACGATAAACAGTTGCATTGTTGTTCTTGAATTTGATGTTATTTCCACGTTCACAAGTGTCCCAGCACAGTTTTAGAGCCCAATTAATAAAGAATCGATAATAGGTTTTCCAAGATCTGTAATAGCATGGTGGCTTCTCACATGCATTCATAAATTTGGATTTAATTTCATGAAGTGGAGTGCCTGAGAAAAATCTGGGATATCTCTCTGATGATTTTGAATTGGTCATGTTCTGATATTTACGTTTCAAATAGTAACTGTACACGTTCATACAGAGTTCTTTCCATAACATTTCATTTCTTGCAAATTCTCGTTCAAATTCTTTGCACACCAAGCCAATACCTAAAGCAAGTTCTTTGTGTGTGAGAAATGAGAAAATCTGGTAGTATAAATCGGGAATGAGTCGAATAATTTGTTTCTTAACTCTTGGTGTCGAAACAGTATTGCTTGTAAAATGAGTTGGAGAGGCAAAATGGAATGGAGTCGCGAAATTCATTGGATCCACCATATTTACAGGAAAACCTCTATGTACAGGAAGAAGTGGAGATGGATTGGCCCTCAAGACTGGAGATGATGGAGAGTGTGTGATGAGTTTGGAGGAAATTACTTTCTTTGTTGGAGTTGAAAATGGTGCAATGTCTAATACTGATGTAGTAGTGGTGGTAGTAGTGGCATTGTTGGTTCCAACTGGAATGTTGTCATTAAGGCTATTGTGCATGCTGTTGGATGCTAAATATTGTTGATTATTATTGTGAGACATTGTTGAGGAGGAAGATGAGGCAACTGGAGGAGGGCCCACAGTCACCTCTTCAGGATACAAAGGTTGTGATGAGGAAACAGATCGTTCCCGATGATTTTGTGTATGAGGGACTCTTGAGTGCACATTCGAAGTGTTGGTTCCATTATTATTATTACCATTGCCCATCCACGAGGAAAGAGCAGTATTGTTCTGAGAATAGACATGATAAGCTTTTGGTTGAGAGGAATCCAAATTACTAAGCAAAACTCTCTCCAAACTAATCGGAGGTCTGAATGGTTCTGTTGGTGGCACAAAGCAAAAAACATCGTTATTAATAATTTGATCCGTACTGTCAATTTCAGTTCCTCTAAGAGAGAATAGTTTGGGCAGTAATCCATCGCTTTCTTTTTCACTTCGAGCACTTCCAGCTCCAACCTGATCCGTAGATGATGCATTGCTTATGCCATCCTTGTTGCTACTCAAAATGAGTGAATATCTAAATTTTGCAGAAACCATTGCTATTAATTCCTCGAATGATGTATGAACAGGGTCAAATGAGATCATCTTTCCATATTGCAGGGTACCATTCGGAAATACATGAATTCGTACCATTGGTCGGCCAACGATATAATTGTCTTGATTCAAGCATTGAAAAAGACTTTCGTTAGAGTGGTGATGCTGAGAAGGATGATGGTGATGATGATGTGCAGAAGCATGACCAGTATAGCCTGAATGGAACGGCTTTCCATGAAAGCTGGTCATGTTTGCAGCAATTTGTGGAGGTGAATGAAGTAGGGTGGAAAATGATCCGTCGAGCTCTGGTGCATGAAGCAATTCGTCATGATCTAAAAGAGCCAAGTTAGGTGCATGATGATGTCTATGGTGGTGATCCGCAGAAGCAGAAGAGTTCAATAAGAAGGAGCCAGGCTCGGCCATTTGTTCCTGTTGATGATGATGATCACTGCTGCTACTGACGTTGTAGTAGAATGGTGAGGAGGATGAATTTTCTAAATCATAACCGTGATGATGCTGGGTTTCCGGGGAAAGAAGTGATGGAGATGTGAATGACTGAGTACTGTCCCTCAACGTTGTTTGGTGATTGTTGTTATCACGGCTGGAGAAGAGCATCCTACTGCTGCTGGGATTATTCGAGGTGTTATTTTCAATCATATGGATAAATCTTCTCAGTTGGCGCTGTGGTTGTTTGTTTTATATTCGTGGTGCTGTAATGAATAATCCGTACAGATTGTTACTGGTGATGACAACAGGAAATTTAAATTGTATTATTATCCTCGGCTGGTTTGGAACGGTTGATAGTAGTGGTAATCCTTGCGTGCTATTGTTGTTGTTACAACAACCATACAAACATCCATACCTGATGATGAATTTCTCAACGTTGGTGGTTGAGCAGCAAGAAAAAGACTGGCGAATTAATTTATATTCACGAATTCGAAAACCACTCTTCTGCCTTGTTGATTTCAAACCAGGCACTCAAAGAAACAGACTACCGAGGAAGAAGAGGGAATAGGAGAAGCAATTTTTTGGGAGGGGTTTCCTTTTTGTGCACACCACGTGGTGTGTGAATCACAAGTGTTCCAATTCAACCTTGGCTTTCTTGCATGACACCTCGTAATCATCGTTCTCATCATCTACTTCATCATCCTCGTCGCCGTCGTGAGGAATTGGTTTTCTTTTGAGCTCATTCTCCTCTTCGTCGGCCATTCTCATTTCCCAATATTCCATCCATTGTTTGAAACGTTCTTCTAGTTCTTTGTAGGCTCGAGAAACAATTTTGTAAACTCGTTGCAGACGATCTGACACATAATCTATGGCACATCCATTCTCATGAACTGCTTGAAAAGCCACCTCTTCGTCATCTCGCATGCAGACGAGGCATACTGCAAAGCAAGTCCATCATTTTGAACGGCTGTCAAGACAATCTCCTTGCCCGTAATTCCTCCGAAGCAAGACTTAAACATGCACCTCTGTTAGAGACGGCAGCCAATACAATTTCCTTATCTCCACTTAATGGTTCGTTTTGAACGGCACTCAATACATCTGGGTGCTGTTTCACTGCTGTCATGACCATTTCTTTATCTTGTCGGAGCGACTCATGGACACAAGAAAGTACTCTTCCATCTTGTTTTAAGGCCTCCATTACAATCTCCCTGTCACATTGCAATTCATCATTGGCATATACGAGAGAAAATGAATCATTTCTCACTGCAGCCAAAACAATTTCCTTATCGTTCTGAAAATCATAACTGACCCAGCCCAAAGCCATATCATAACTTTTGACAGCAGCCAATACAATTTCTCGGTCTTCTTGAAGAGCGTGTGGAATGCATTCAAATACTTGACCATCACTTGTAACTGCTTTTAAGACAATTTCCTTGCCATCGAACCAGTCTTCTGCATACCTTAATGCATCTCCAAGTTCTGTCACAACCTTCAAAATAAAATCTCGATTGTAATAGAGGTCATTTCCAACATAGAATAATGCCTCTAAATCATTCTTAATGGCCTCCCAAACAATTTCTTCATCGTTAATGAGATCATCACTGGCATATCCTAACGCAGGTCCATAATTTTTAACAGCAGCAAGCACAAGTTCTTTGTTGCTGCGTTGGGACTCTGGAGCAAACATTAAGGCATGTCCACATACCTCAATCACTGCTCCATATCCTTTCATGTACTCGTTGAATGACATGGGGTGTTTGTTTTCCCATAAATTACATTGACGATCAATATCTCAATTGTTCGGACAAAGAATTGCAACATCCTCTTTGGCTGCCTCAATGATGATATCAAGATCCTCACTGTGATCAAAATAGGGGTAAACCTCTGGTCTTGATCGTACGGCCTCTAGCACGTGAGCCTTTGTGGCGAATTCATTAAGTGAAGAAATATAATCTCCATTAAACTTGACAGCTCGTGACAGCGTTTCCGGTGAAATGTTAAAGTTGATCCCTTCTAAATCTTCAACAATGTATGGTGAGCTGTTCACTGCATGTTCAATAATTTCATCGTCAATGTTTAAAAGCTCATCTCTCGTGAAATACATTAGGGCATCTCCATTGTTCTTGCATGCCTCTAATATGTATTCGCGAAAACCTATCGATTGTGGTGATAAATAGAGGATAAATTTCAAAGCATATCCATCTTCTCTCAGAGCTCCAACAAAATTTCATGAGTTTGTAAGGGTGTGAAATGGATCGCACAACCATTCTGTTTCACAGCAGCTCGAGCGATTTTGGTATCCATCTCAAGAGGATTTTCGCTGTCTTCTACAAGTTCCAATAGTAAGCCATTGCAAGAAACCATTTGTAATGCCACTTCTCGATCCGTGGTGATGAGCTCCTTGCTTGCTTTCATGAGTAAATACGGATGATATTTGCCCAATTGCAAAAGCATTAATTTTTCATGTAAATATTGTGAAAGTTCTTGACGAGTGGTTTCCATTCGGTTTTTCAATTCTTGGAAGAGGGATTGTTTTGATAAAAGCATTCCGATGATGTTTGGGAGGCTGCTTTTGTTGGAGAATCCAATAGCACCACTGTGGTTGAAAATGACATTTTTTAGTGGAAACAACATCAGTTAATTAAAGAACCACATAATGAACTCGAAAAGAATTGCATTCGAAATGAAGATCCACTATTGCATTTGACAGACTTCTGGAGAAAACTATGTATTTCTTTTTGGGTGTGAAAATTCTAATGAGATGACAGGTCAGTCATTTCTTCTGAAGTGACAGCACTCTCACTTCTTCTTTCAGCAGTCTTTTCATCGTCTCACATGACCCTATTACTTGTTATTCAACCTTCTGTAAAATCTGAATGAATTGTGACTATCATTCTCCAAATATCGTCTCACTTGATCCATATTCTCTTTTACATAGGCTGGAAGGCGTTGTTGTTGTGTTTTTACCGCTTGCTCAATTTCCTTCTCTTCCTCACTATCTGTTGAATCCTCTTCATAGGGATGCTTCAAATCATTCAACTCTAATTTTCTTTGTAATTTTCTGTTCTTTCGACGAGTTCTTTTCGAACATTCCTCTGCCCACTTTTCAAGGCGATGATTCTCTTTCACTTGTTCTTTCAATAATTGAGGAGAGTACGCTGGATCACTCATAATTTCATTATATTCCTCAACAGCCTGTTCTACTGATGCAAATTGATAGTTATCGGAAAGCACTGGAATCGTACCCCAATACTTTCTACTTGGATTCGATGGGATCAAGTCAATACTTGTAGCTGGATGGTTGTTGGACAAGACATCACGAACTTTCTTTCGGTAGACTCTCCTCTCGCTTCCTTTGCCATTCTTTCTGTATTCATCGCTATAATAATCGACAGCTTTCTTGTGGGATCTTGTCATTTTTTTGAGTTCAAAAGTTTGAGTTATTTTTATCACCTGATTCAGTTCATGGTGAACTAAAACCCATCGATGATGTTTCTGGAACAAGTCAATCGATAGTGATAAAAAATAAATTATTAGTATTATTTTTTATCACTATTACTTTGTTTTAATGAATAAAAAAACTACATTATTTTAATTATTTAAATTTAATATTGGATTTTTAACATTGTATTAATTAATTGGATCATCGCTTGATTATGGTTAATAATTTAAATTTCAAATGTTTCTTCTGTTTGTATTGTTGAGCGCGATAAGACTGTTTGGAGAATTTTCTTCTTCTATTCTTAAGGATCGTGTTTGGTTCGGAGACGGAAGAGAAAGAAAGGTGGCATTCCCTACAAGTTCCCCAAGTCTTGAATGCAGTGGGACGTACATTCTTCCAGTCAGTTGTTTGTATTGTCTTTTCAACATCTGGTTGCGGAGGTAAAGATAATCAGCAAGCAAAATCAAAGTCATAATGTAGATCGCGTTCTTGGACAATATGGTGGCTGCGTTCACCAATCTCAAGGGTAGTTTAAAAATTCCTTTCAGTGCATCAAGAAACAATCTTGATTTGTTCATTTTGAAATGTATATATTAATTGATGAGAATTTATGATCGAGAAGAAGTGTTGAACATTTTTTAATTTGAAGGAACGACAAGGCGCGCCCAAACGACCGATACATTTTAATTTAAAAAAAAAGAATTTGCAGAATCATGTCCTCCGTGGTCGTGCCACAATTTTTTCCTTCATTTCATTTTCAAATTACTCAAGATCCGATTTCATCTTCCAATAATTCTTCGTCGTCCCCTCTGGTCACAAGTGAACACTATGGAAGTATTTTACTCATGATGTTTCTGGAACAAGTCAATCATCACCACGACACGAGTCAAGAATTATTCTCCTTTCCTAATGATGACAACGATGCATTTGAAGAAGATCCTTCCGAACTTCCCAATGCAAGCTCAGACTCGGATGGAGTCATTGACCAGAATATTCTCTCCAATTCGAGACGATTGAGTCATGTTGGTTGTCATTCTTTTCATTCCTCTGCTGAAAGGACATTGAACGATGAACAAACAGTAGAGGATGACAAATCCACAACCAATTCAAAGAAAAGAGGAAGAAGGAAAATCCAATCATCTATTATTCATCATACATCTAAAAAGAGAAACAACAAAAAGACCACTTCCCGTCAATCCAACCCTAAAAAGGATGAGCAGAATGAAGAAGAAGAACATGTTTGTTCCTCTTCTTCGGAAGATTCCGAACAGTCAACAACAGCACGTGTGGCAAGGAGGAAACGAAATACATCGTCACGAATTGTCAAACAAAAAAAGACAATGAAAAGAGAGAATTACAAAAAACCACGTGTTGCCAAGAGGTAGATTTGAAAGTCATTCATTTTAATGTAAACGATTTGTCGAACGATTCACATGAATGTTAATTCTTTATACCACCAATGTTGGTGTCCAACATGTTGTAAATAATTTCCTTAATATTTGATAGCTCTAGATTTAAATAAAATTTCATAATTAAGTGAAGGTAATATTTCTGTTTGTGAATTTATTTTGTTTCATGTGTTTAATATCTATTCACACACTTGTTCATTATTTTCTCACTTCCAAGGTATCAATGTAAGCACAAGCTTCACTTCCATTCACCTCTTGTTTGGTGGAAAAATTCAACATATGATACAATTTGCATTCTTTTCCATACTTTCCATGTTTGGCATCTTCGATAATTCTCGAAAAATCTTTTTGTGAATGATTTTGAGAAAAGTGATAATATCCTTTCAACACTTGTTCAACATTCTTGTTGTGAATTTGTTGAAGTTGAGCTCGAAGGAATTTAAACATGGCAGTCGATCGATGAAATGGATTGGGTGATTTCATACATCGCAATGCATTGAAATCTCTATCATTGACAAAATAAATTCTTTTGGCTTCTGTTTTCGAAATGGTGGAGAGAGCACTTGATTTTTGACACTTTTCACAAACACAATGATCCACCAAATAATGATAGTAATCAGGATGAGTCGGTACTTGAATGGAACCTTTCGATTGAGCAAGAGTCATTGCATTATCAAGTTCAACATCCAATCTTAAATACTCTCCACATTGAATGCAACAGTTATCATACAATTTCCTGAAGAGAGTTTTGTAATCAAGAGTTGGAAAGTATTCTTCTTGAACAGAACGAGCACGAGGACACAAAAACTTCACACACAAACTTTCCCACAACGAATTCATGGATGAATAATAGAACATGGATCGAGAGATTTGTGAAAGTTGCAATAGTGAATCGAAAGGTAGATATTGCAAGATTTCATACCAAATTTCATCGGAGAGACCTAACAAGTAAGGAGATGGACCTGTCACTAGGGAAGTGCGATTCCACTCCACCTTCCCATTTGGATCGTTCATCTGATCGTGTTGTTCTTGTTGCTGTTGATCAAAAGACATTTCATCGAATGAGGAAGAAGAAGAGACTTGTAAGGTAAACGACGCATCTGGATGAGTCGCCTCTCCTCCCAAGGAAGAAGAAGTACTGGTGGCACGAGTCAAACCCTCTTTGGTGAGCTCAAAGTTCATCCTTGATTCTTCTTCTTCTTTGTCAAGAAAGAAACTTTGTTTTTCGTCTTTACTCTGGTCCACCTTGGAAATATCCTTCTTGAACAATTCTTTCTTTTTCTGAAGTCGTGTTTGAACTCTTGTTCCTGAATCATCAATGATAGACTTTGAGGAGCTCAAAGTTTTCGAACTCTTATTGGAATTGGATTTCCTTTGTTGTTGAGGTTCTCGAGAAACCTCTTCAATGCTCTCTTCATTCACAAGGAACGATTCATCATCATCCGCTTCCTCTTGCTCCTCCTCCTCCTCAACATGATTCATTCCATTGCCACGACGAGTATTGGAAACTCCTTTTTTCACTCTTGTCTTGTTCTTCTTTGTTTTCTCTTGTAGTTCCTTATTCTTCTTTCTTTTCTTGGCATTTGCATTTCGTCTCATGGCTTGCCATTTGATAATGAGTTTTGAGAGCATTTGTTGATCCTCCTTTTCAATTTCACCCTTTTCTTCATAATCAAACATGCATTGAAAGGGTCTATGAATCTGTGGAATGAAACAATCCAAATGAAGAAAACATGGAGGTGGTGAATGGGTTGAAGAGTTATAATTGGCAGCCCTTTCATTCATCAACACTCTCCATAAGGTTCGTTTTGGATGAAATGGAAAGAGTGTTTCAATTCCGACCACTGAATTCATTCCAATACACAATTCCTTGTGACCGAATGACTTGCCACACATGATGCACTCTGCCGCAACATGTGGTGCTTGTTGTTGTTGTTCATGAAGATCGGATGAGGAGGAAGAACTCGTTGTGGACGAGGAGGTTGATTTAAAGTATTCGACCCACATGAGTGTTGTTGCTTGTGAAGTTGATGAAATAAGAGTAGTAGAAGTGGATGGGAGAGATTTGGAAGTTTTTTTGTGATTCGAACGGGTGACACAAAGATAGATCAAGTGTACACTCATCAACCTAGTTGAAGTTCGAGTAAGTGCTCGAAGTGTTGTTTGTTCCACTTGTACAACTATTTCTTTAACCCTTAAACACATCATTCACTTAATCATCTCTCTGAGGGGTGGCATCAGAATGATGTTTTGATATTTATGGTGTTCACCATCTTTTAATATTGAAATATATAAATTATAAAAATGAGAAGATGGTTGTTCGTTTCATCTTCTTCGAAGGCAGTGGAAGCCTTTTCCTTACGCTACAACACTATAGTAGGTTGTCGGAAAAGGTTTCCATGCGGAGATGGATACTTTCATGTTCCCCATCATCATCATCATCATGGCTTACTTGTTCGGCATTCTGATTGGACCAATAAAAGGAATTGGCAATATTCTTTCCATAGGAATTGTGTAAGATTATTTCATCATCAAAATCGGGAAAGTAATAATCATCATCCTGATACAAGAGACTCAAAGATTTCATTCAATTCCGATGAAAAGCAAAAATCAAGAATATGGAGAAAATATAGATTATTTCGAATTACGATAGGAAATATTGGACTTTGGATTTTATGGATTGCAATTGGAAGTGGAATTTTTGTGATATTAGATTCGTTATATTATTCATACAGAAAGGAATTCGATGCTCTTAAACGAATCTATCAAACAAAATTTACTCTCAATCCTAATCATGAAAATTCTCCAATACTTTCCATGGACGCAAAAATTATGGAAATGTTTAAAGAAATATTTCAGAAACATTCAAATGGAAAAAATTACATGACCTTGGAAGAATTGAGAGGATTCTTTCAAAATGAGCAAAAACATTTTGATGAAAACAGCTTACTTGAAACCATGCATAATTTGAAAATCACGGAATCGCACATTAACTTGGATCAATTTGTCAGGATAATTTTTGCCAGTGCATTCAAAAGCGCTGAAGTATTTAGGGACGATCTTCCATTGTCCAACTATTTTGTTTCGTCCTCACATAATACGTACCTGGTTGGAAATCAGTTGACGAGTGAAAGTTCTGCCAAAGCCTATATTGATTGTTTGAAAGATAACTGTAGATGTATTGAGAGTAGGTTTTGTGTGAGACTACATTGCATAAGGCATGAAAATATCAATTTTACGAAATTTAATTTTTTAAAATATCATCCATATTCACTGCTGTCATTTTTCATATATGGCATAATTATTATTTAAACTGTTATTTAAATTGCTTGCAACAGTTGATTGTTGGGATGGAAAGAATGGAGAACCAATGGTACACCATGGATGGACCTTGACTTCAAAAATTCCACTCACAGAGGCTCTGGAAGCCATCAAAAAGTACGCTTTCAAGACCTCAGAATACCCATTAATAATTTCTCTGGAAATCCATTGCAATCTTGAACAGCAAAAGAAAATTGCTAAATATTTGAAGAACGCTTTTGGTGACGCCATTGTCGTTCCTGTCTCCCTTAGTGATGAGAACTTGCTTCCTACACTTGCAAGTTGTAAAGGCAAAGTTTTCCTTCAAGGAGAATGGGCAAATATTGAGAAAAAGCTTCGTCAAGTTGAAATTGATATTGTATCCGACATTTTCTTTGAGAGTAAGTGTGATTGTCATGACTTTTTATTGATGGCATTATTATGATTATAATTATTACGATTGATTAAAACATATCTCTACAAAATTAATCTTTCACCAAAACATTTGTGATATCACATAGAGAATATATTTCATAATGAATTTGATCCACCACCAGAATTTACCCTCTCCAAAAAGAAAGCTCATGACACTTCGAAACTGGAATCGAAAAAGAAAATTGCAGAAACTTTGGACGAGTCCATTAAAGTCCTCGATGAAGCATTTCCACAATTACATCCTGAAAGTGATACAATTGGAAAGTGGGCAAAGGAACTCTATGATTTGCTCTATTTCAAAGCAGTGAGAGATGTCAACCATGAATATCCCGAGGAAGCATCTCCTCTCCACAAAATCATTAATCTCAGCGAAGGTATGGGAATGACTCACATCTTCAAAAAGGGAAAAGACTTTGCTGCTCACAACGAAACCCTCATGTCACGAATTTATCCAAAAGCCACTCGATTTTTCTCCACAAACTTTAATCCACGAATTTATTGGGAATCTGGGTGTCAAATTGTGGCTTTAAATTATCAATTTTGTGATCAATTCTTGAGGATGAACAATGGATTTTTCTCAGCATTTACAAGTGGATATGTACCCAAGAACTTCCTTTCAGAAAATATTCAACAAAAATTATTTACCATTGAGATTTTAGACTTTGTATCCTCACACGACTTGCATGCCAACATCTCTCAAATGCCAATGGCGGTCATTGAACACTGTTCACTTGTAGGAGAACGAAAAATCAAAGCTCACAAAGTGGATGTTTTCAAAACTTCACACCCAACCCCAAAACAAACACTGCACATTTCCACACATCAGAAAAAGGGAGAAGTTATTTCATTTGGATTGTTTCAAAAGAAAAGCTCCTTGACGAGACCCATCTCGAGACTGTTCAGACTTGGAAATTATGAATGTCTTGCCTACGTTTCGTTCCCAGTACATCAATTACAACATGGATATCGTTTCATTCCTGTTCGAGATGGAGAAGTTTATTTTGGTGGCTTCTTGATTCGTGTGACTTCCCACAAGTGATTGTTTTTTAAAGTTGGCGCTTGGTCTCACTCCTGGCACTGTAGTGCAGCAGTTTGGAATATGAATACTTTCACGTGAATATTGTCTGAACCTTATTATAAAATCCATAAAAGATACTGACATTCTTCTGTCATGTGCATTCAAAACCTAAAAGAATCCAATCATGCAAAAAAAGAAATTTTTAACACAACATTTTTTAGCGCAGCAAAAAATAGAGAGGATCCAATTCCTTGAGAGCCTATCTCGTCGCGTTGTGGAGTGATTCTTCTGTTGGTTATTTCTCGTCATCATCATCATCACTGTGAGTGTTTTAAAACCAAGTGATTATTCATCTCTCTCGGACAAATCTCTGAATGAATTAGACGTTGTTGTTGTTGTTGTTTTTGTTCAAACGCGAGAGAGCACACACACTCCCTAACACACACTATTCCAATCATCATCTCTCAAAATAGAAGAAATTATAATACTTCCGAGCTCTCTATTATTCAACAATTGATTCTTGTAGTTGCAGTGTAGATTTCCATCATCATCAGCCCAACACCACATCATCCTATCATCATTCGTAAATTGGTATACGGAATCATAACGACTCTTATATGTACACCTCCGTAACTCCCTCCTCATCCTTCTCTTCCACATCATTATCAGCTCATCATCCAAAACAGGCTTCCTCTTCTTCTTCTGGTCTTGAAATTTGTTGTGTCGGTGGTTCGTGTTTTTCTCTCCTCATGCAAAATCAGCCTTCTCTTCATCATCATCATCCCCAACAACAACAACCACATGACTGTAACGATGAATGCGAGTCATCTTCTTCATCAACACGTACCTTCCCCAACTCGTGTTCTTCTTCCTTGAACGAGGCAAAGTGTACGGGTTGTGGTGGTCATTGTGGTATGAGTGGTTCTAGTTGTTGTTGTGGAAGGGATGATCATCATCAACCACACCTTTCAGAATCTTCCCTTTTCCATAATAACCACAAGTGTCAGAGTTGCCACACTTGCAATCCTGAGGAACAACACCATCCTCAAATCCAACCTCATCATCAAAACTCCTCCTTATTTATTGTGTCATCTTCCTCCTCAAAGTCTCCCATTCATCACTCCTGTTCCATCTCCTGCCAATGTTTAAATTGTAAAGGGTCATCACCATCGTCACCGTCCATCCATGCATCCATCTCAGCTTCAACTGTTGTTGTACAAGAGAGTCATCATTATCATCACGCTCAACATGGCCAATCTGAGGCAAATGGTGGTTCCGAAAGAAATGACCAACTCACTCCTAACCTTATTAATTTATTGACGTTGTCCAACAGTACCACATCAACAACAACAACCGTTGCCTCTTCATGCAGCTGTTCTGACAAGAAATGTGCTGATGCAACCATAACAACAACCACAGAAAAACCTTACATGACAGAAGTTTTGCCTCCCCGAGTAGTTCCAAATACTTCCTTAGATACAAACACTGCCAATTATTTCAAAATTGTTTTCGGAACAAGGCTTAAAAAAGCTGAAAGTAATGAATCCACTCATAGTGCTACCGCTGTTTCCAAATCAAAATGTGGAGGTTCATGCGGTTGCTCCTCCGATGCTAAAGGTATTGACGCTCAATCGGATCCCATTGAGTGTTCGTGCAACCCAGAACAACCATGTCCCATTCGAGATAGCATTTTGCTCAAACAAGAAAAGAGTGGATGTGGTGGAAATTGTGGTGGATGTAATTACTCTTTAGGGCAAAGCGCCAGAGCAGCAGCTGTAGTGTCAATAGCCTCAAATTTACCAAGTAGATCAGCGCAAGGAAAATGTGAAGGAAGTGTCAAAATTCAAAAACAATCTGTCATGCAAAGCAAGCTGAAGAAACATTTGACCAGAATACGAGCATCTACCAATACTGGTTCAGATTCCTCACTCCCTCCTCAATGTTTATAGTTCCGTACTTTTTTGAGGTTAAATGAGATGTAATAAACGTGGTTGACATTTGCAATTATTAATTTTTTTAATAAATAATAATCGATTAGTCAAATCGAGAATTTCCCTGCCTATTCAAGTATTCAAGATATTTGTTTATTCAAAATGTAAAAATTGAGTTAATTTTTGAAAAATTGGAAAGCAGAAACACCCATCAAGCCAACAATGCTCAAAAAGAAGATCAAGAATCCTGGTCCTCTCTTTTCAGGATAACCGAGTCCATAAACAACTCTTCCGACAGCATAGGTCAATCCCAAAGCACCACTCAATTTATCGTTTTGTGAAGTGAGAGCACAGAGCCATAAAGATGACAAAAACACAGGTAAGAATTCAAGACCATTCATTTGAATACGATAGAGCTTTTCAAACTCAGGATGTCCTGTTTGGGTGGCGATAGGATGATTAAAATTGGAATGAATAGTAGTACAGATCATCATCGATATTGATTTAAAAAGGAATATAATATTTTGAGTGTCATAATTGATAATCATTGAACATGATTCGAAATGGAATACCTACCAGTAGTAGCTGGAGCCTTAACGCCATACTTTTGTCGAGCACCTCCTACTTTGAATCCAGTGTACAAGTATTGAACCAAATTGATGAGAGTTGCTGAGACGACGAGTGGGTATTGTTGAATGAGAGTCATTTTGTTTTGAGTGCGCATCGTACTCGAGTGCGCAAAAGAACATCAACTTTTTCAAAGATAAGTTCGACATCTGATTCAGATATCATGGTGTTGGTGATGTATTTATTGTACATTATTCACATCAGAAAGGAGGGAAAAGACAATTGTGGTAGAAAAGAGAAAGGGAGAGAGACAATAATAACTTAGGAAATGAGCTCGGTTAGATGAGATCGTTGACAACTGACAGCAGCTGACCAACTAATTGGATGATACAATTAGCACACCTTTTGAAATGCTCTCCTTGTTCTGTTGTTCCATAGTTTTCAAAAGAGGCGATTGTTCAGATTCAACAACAACAGAAGTTGAACTTCTATTGTTTCCAGTATAAATCACATGATATGAATTTTCTCTGGCCTGGAGATCCTTGCAAACAACACGGAAGGGATCGCAAAACACGACGCAATGTCTTGGTAAGCAACTCTCAAAATCTACCAAGTCCATTCCCATCCTGGTTGCAATATCCATCAAAATAGGATCAGTTTGTACTCCATCCAAGAGAATACTTCGGAATGCTTGGCCTCTGAGCGGATTTGAAGGATACCAATGATTCTTAAAACGAGAAATCAAATCATTTTCAAGAGTAATCTTAAACTCTGCAACCGTTTTAGAATCAAACTTTTTCACCAGCCAACTTGCAAAAAACTCGGCTGTTCTTTGAATTTCTTCCAGCATGATGATGTTGTTTGTAACGGTTATCTGTACAACAAATTTTACAAGGATGTTGATGATCAATACGGAATATCGATGATGATGATGTTGTTAATAATGATACTATCACAGAGTACTATTCGCTGCTACGATTCGGTTATGTGCGGACACAATTCTTGAATCTTCAATTGAACTGGTGATGACGGTGGTGAGGAGGATGATGAAGATCAGTTTAAAAAATTTTGTATGTCGAAAAAAGGCTTCAACAAAAAAAAGCGGTTAGTGTTGTTTTTTTTTAAAAAAGAAGTTGCTAAAAATTCTCTCAAGAAATTCTATCCATCGAGTTAAAAATAGATCGCTGACATGTGGCAAAGGAACAAGACGCGTTAAGGTGACGCGAGTTGACAAGAGAGGTGTTCAGATGATGGGGCGATGTAAATGCCGAGTTCTTAATTCAAAATTGCTTTTCTGGTTCTTTTGAGATCTTGGTGATGACAAATCGATAATCATTCAATCAATTGTGTGTATACAATCAAAAGAGAGAGTTTTGTTTGTTACAAGTATGGACAATGTGGTTAGAATAATACATTCACCAACGGTTGCGTCTGCGTGTCAAGTGGTTCTGACTTTTGAATCACAGCCAGCAAACTCTTCTAGTGACTGATTCATTGCATTCAACTCACACAAATACCACTCGCTCACTCTTCTTGGCAAGAAAATTATTTTTCAATACTAATCCCAACTTTTCTCCTTGATAGGTCTGTTCCAGGTGTAAGGTGTAAAATCTTTCATCGTCGCTGTCAGTCAAACAACCACTGATTTTAATCTCATGTGCCTTTTCTTTTGGAAGAATTTCATCAATGCATTCCTTACTAATGTGAATGGTTCGAACTGGCAACAATAACCGTGTTGTGCTGGTAATGAAAACTTCTTTCCATTCGAGAATGTCTGAAATGTTTGGATTAATTTCCATGTATTCTAAACCCTCTTGAGGAAGTAAAGTGTCACAATCTTTTGTAAGGGAGTGATGCAACACGTCTTGCACTTTGGTTGGTATGATGGCAGCTCGAACGCTACCGAATAGTATTCCTTCCTTGGCTGTGAGGACACAATTGTGTTTGGAAATGGCAAAGAAATTGGAGCTGATGCCTTCTCTTACAATTCCATCGTTTTCACACATGAGAACTTCTTGACAAGCTTTGTGTTTTCTCTTGTTGAGGGGATCTCTTTCGATAACCCAATGACTATCTTTGGTGTTGGCAAGATGGACACGACTGCCTGGCATCATGTCCACGGAGATTGGTTGTGACAATTCTTCCATTTCTGTAATGTGTAAAAACAAATCAAATCCAACACATTCACAATTAGAGATGGATTCCATAGTTTCTTCAATAAATTCGACATGTCCATTTATGTCACCCTTTCTGTAGCAATTAATTAATATTGTAAGCTTTAACTCGTTGCTTGGAATGTCATTCTCATTGATATTCTCATTATTAGAAATTTTTTTTTGTGTCATTTCACAATATTTCTTAATTCCAACATTCAAAGCGTTTGAAACAAGTTGTTTAAATTTTTGGAAATCATAAAGTAACGCGAGAGGATAAAACCCCTGATCTTTTTCTTTTGCTAATTCAATATCTTTCAATGCACATTTCCTCGCATTGTGATTCGAGGATGTCATAAACAATACTTGACTCTGTGAGTACATTAGACGATGAATGTGAAAATTATATTCAAATACAGAATGTACCTGAAAAGTACGCATGGTGGTATATCCACCTCGTGGGTATTGTTTCAGAAAATCATGAGCATAAATGGACGGATCAAAATCGGAGCAATTGCATCCATTTCGGAAGAGAAGATTCAACGTGGTCATGATCTTTAAAGGATTGTAAATTCAAAAAAACAATGTTGTTATTGGATTGATCAAGAACAAACGTTTGTTGTTGATCACTTTTCGCTCGAGAGTGTGCTTGTCCTCTTTTTGAAAATTTTTTCGAGTTCCGTTTTCCATTTCGAAAAAAGCCTTCTTCTGTTGTTGTTGCAATCAAGTTGATCGAAACAACAAGTTCAAGTTTCATTCCTCTCTCACTCTCTCTCTGAGATTACAGTTGTTGTTATTGATTGAACTTTATGATGCTGAAAGAAGATTCATACTACTCGAGTCGGAATGACTCTTCTTTTCAAATCTATGCTTGTGGAAAAAACAGATTTTGTCAATTAGGCTTTGAATTGATCAAAGGAAAGGATGATGCGAAGAGCAACTCTTCGAATCAAGAAGTGACACAATTCACTCCGATACCGTTTTTTGAAATGAAAAAGAACCTTCTCCATAGATACAACCATGGCATCGTAACCTCTTCTCCTCCACATCTAATGTCATCATCAACAAACCACAACCATATAATTCATCTTCTCCATATGCCTTACAAATTCGTAAAATTGTTGGATCAAGTATTTCCACGTTTTTTCTGGGCACTCGTGGAGAGTTGGTCGCTTGTGGTTGCAATCAATTTGGACAACTCGGAATGGGAGAAGTTGCATTTGTGAAGGAAATTTCTCGAGTTCCATTGCCATTTGAAAGAAGTGTCATGTCAACAACAACAACAACAACCTCTCAACAGCATCAGCAACATCATCACCATGATCGAATTAAAAAGACTTCGTGTGGAACAAAACATTCTCTGATTTTGACAAGACCTCATGGAGTTGTTTATGCAAGTGGACAAAGTGATGAAGGTCAAATCAATCAAGCTGGAGAATGTATTAATACCTTTACAACAATATATAGAGGTGCTTGTTATGTGAAATCCATTGGAAAGAGAAGTTTTGTTATTGATCGAGAGAGTAGAGAGTTGATTTTATGTGGAGAAAATCATTTTTGTCAACTTGGACTTGGAGATTCCAAGAATCGAGTCTCTTGGACCATTCATCCTTTCTTTTCAAAATTGAAACATGAAGAGGGAGAGTTTGTGACAAAGGTCGACGGAGGAATTAGTCACACAGTGGTAATGACTTCAAAAAAGAGATTTTTTCATTTTGGAATGTGTTTTAAATTGGGTGAACTCTCGTCTCATCCTTGTTTGCTGACATTGAATCATGCAACTATTTCTCGAGTCAAATGTACTCATTATGCCACCTTTTATTGGACCACCTCTCAAAAAATGTATGCCAGTGGATTGAATGCCATCCATTGGAGGCCTTTGTGAAGGTCGATGAGGTACCCATAAATATGCATCCAAGTCCTTTGTCCATCATCAACTATGAACATGAAGACCATCACAAACAAGCATCTAGAATGGAAATGAAGCTCGTAAACTTTCTGTGGGATTTTAATTCACCATGCAACGGACAAGCAAGATGTCGTTTACCAGTTGGTGAGTGTGAGGAACAAACCTTTGATATGTATATGTGTCGTACAATGAAACCACATATGTACACAAGAATAGAACAATATTCTCCTTGGATCAATCGAACAGGAGACACTGAAATCAATCGTCACATAATATATGAATTTGAATATCCAAATTTTCCTTCCTTTGGAGATGGTGAATGGGCCAAAAATTATATGACCGTAAATCAAAAGAATGTTGGTGATAATCTTAGAAAAAGATTCCAAGTTGATTTAAGTGAAGATTTCGACAATATTCCTTACCGTTGCATTGTATCAAAGTTGGTGATCTCTTACGACACCAGATTGGAATTATATTATGCCTACTTGTGTCATTGGGTTCAAGTGAAGGATGGAAAATATTGGATTGAGAGCTTTTGAAAATTTTCGATTAAAATTTTCGTTTCTTTTGAGAAACTTGTGTACTCATTGTTCCACTAAAACTGGTCGCCTGATCGCTTTGTCGTGTATTCTTTGCTTGTTTTCGCTTGGTTGTCGTTTCCTCTGATTGTTTTTCTGTGTTTTGTGATTGTTGCTCTTGTTCTTGAAAGCTTGTAGAAATAGTTTGCTGCAAAGTAGCAAGATCCACATTCGACTCATCCAAATCGTAATACAAATCGTGTAATTCTTGAGGTGCTTCTTTGAGGTGAATTGAATTCCATGAATAAATTTGTTTGAGCCGTTTTTCATTCCAATACGTACTTCCATATTTCTCTCCTATGTCAATCGCAGTCAGGACTTTTCGCCATTGCCATAACAGCAATTGTTTTGTTACATGAATTTTGTGAAGACCACCACCGTTATTAATCACTCTATTAAACACGGCATGGTGAAACAAATGAGAACGTTCGAACCCTTGATTACTTAAAATAGATAAGGACAAATCATTGTCAAGCAATTCTGTCATCATAGATGGAAGATGTGTAAGAAAATGAAAATAATGAGCTTTGATACCTTTGCTCCATATTCGATAACAAGCACATAAAAACTCCATGATCATCTTGTCCAATTTAAAGATTCTGCCTGGTGTAAGTTTTTGTTTGGTATTGGGATCATCTTGTTTAGCCTCAACGATAATTATAATATTCCTTAATAATTTCAAAATATTCAAATATTTCTCCTTAGTGTGCTGTTCGATGTCATTCACTATCACTTCAACATTACTTAAAATTGTGTTGCATTGATCTCCAGACAGCATGCTCGATTTAGCAGTAACTCTTTCTGACGTTTGTGAAATACCATATTCAGTCACTCGTTGTTTCAACTCTCTCCAATTAAAATGCTCTAATCCTTTTAATTTTTGCAAATTCTGCAATATGGTATTATTGTATTGCCCACTTGAAGCCATATAAGCAATTGTATTTTCAACTAATCGCTGTTTAACATGAAGAGCACACATTAATTAAATCTTTAGGACTGAATGGCAAGGAACCTCCAAGGGTTGTTCGATTGCGTGCTCTAAATTCTTCAACAGTTTTTGCCATGCAGTATGGACAAATATCAAATTCAAATGTAAATCCAACGTTGTGCATGTCTGAAACATAGAACAAATGAACCTCAGATTTTTCAAAATATGTGTTTTGTGACACAGCTTTGATTTCGTCTGTCAATGTTCCAATGGTTTCCTTAATACTCTCTTTTGTTTCAGACATTTGAAATAATCCAATATAAAAGACAGAAGATACAGCTTGAGAAGGAAACACATCTCTTAAATTAAGAGGAACTAATGCAACGGCTACTTGTTTCACTTTGTTAATTTCACGTCCATCCACAGAAATTTTGAAAAATATTTTCTTTTTAAGTTTTCCTCCCAGAGATCGATATAACTTTAGAATATAATAAATAGCTTCATCTAAATCTATGATGTGACCAATGAATTCAGCACTTGGGCATCTTAATTTGAATATTTCTTCCACTCTCTCATTCAATTGTTTTTTTAAATTGCTCATTTCTTTCTTACAAGGCAACTCCTTCATTAAGGAAACTTCTTTTCGAAGGTTGTGATAAGTATTATCAGAAATTAAATTATTGTCTCTCCAATACTGAACTATTGTAGGATCTCTTTTTTCGATAAGATATTGTTTCAGTTGTTTGTACCGAGTATTTTCTTTCAAGTTTTTTTCTATAATATTAATTGTTTTTTGAATGCCTTCTTTTGTTTGCAAGAATGTTTCAAATCAGGCGTGAATATTGTGTCCAAGAGTCCCTAACATTTTCTCAAATACTGATACCATTTCTCTAGCTCGATCTTTGTTATTGCGAGTAAAAGTATCTTGTCCTAACTGCATACTTGAATATTTATGGTCATGTGCTTGGATATCATGACATCCACAATGTGAACATTCCCAAAATTTCATGTTGACGGTATTGGTATCTTTATTGCTTGATATAGGATGATGTGAACAAGCATGGTTTGTGAAAATATGATGCGAATGATGTTGATGTTCATTTGTAAGTTGTTGTGAATTATTAGTCAATCCATTCCCATGAGAGTGTAAATGAGTATTCAAGCAATGCCAAAGCCAATGTTGAGAGAGTTGTTGATGAAATAGCTCACTAGTATGCACAAACGGATCCATATGATTTAATTGCGGGCTGTGTGGGTGAGTGTTTTGAGACGGATTGAATTGTTGAGTCTGGTCCTGGCTTGGTGGAGATGGAAAATCTGAATTGGTGGTTGATGTTGCGTGTTCATTTCATTTTCAGAGATTAAATTCTGCAAGATGGTATCGATGGTGTTATCTTCACTTTGATCGGTTTGATTTTGTTCACTTATTGAGGAGAAATTTGTGAACTGAAATAAATCGTCACTAAATTCGTCATCGTTTTCTTCTGTTTCGTCATTGTCTACGTCATCAAAATAAAGAGCGGCTTCGTTGATTAAGTTGTTGTTGTTGTCTTCACAATTACTATAACATTGATCACAATCATTCCATATTTCACTATCGATCTCGTTATCAAAATCCATAACATCAACCAAGCTCGTTTCTTTTGAAAAAGTGGTGAATATGTGGCGTATTAGTTTTTCTTGATCTTTTTTGCCTGTAGATAATTTAAGAATTGTTTGCAATGAAGCTACCAAATTCGTGATGATGACTCCATTGCGGAAGGGAGATGGCAATCCGACAGCCTGTTGCTGCTGATGATTGAGTGTATCTTTGCCATCTTTAATGGTGAGAAGTAATCTTGATGTTTTTGCGTTTTTTCCAACAAAAAAAGAATAATTTCATCTGCTGCAAAGTATTGCTGTCCATTGTATTCATATGATTTCAAAGAGTGGAATGGAGGTAATTGGTGTTTAATCTCCAAAACTTCACACATTTTTTGATGAATAAAACATTTCAATCGACTCGGATGATGACATGGCGCAAAACTGAAATTGAAGACTCAAGTTCACACTACAGAAATTTTTTTTTTCGAGGGACATAAATCGTGTCCCTGAAGCCCGGAGTTCACTTTCGCTGGCCAGTCCCGCCATGATTCATTAACAGTACAATGTTGCCAAGTGCGTGTGTCAATTCTTTGAAAGAATCCAAGGATAGAATTGTCGCAAAAACAGTCCTACTTTCTGTTGACCTTGAAGATGGTCATTATTCCATTTCTTGTTCGAGCAATTCTATTCGAAAAATCTCGTCTATTTCCGTATTTCAGTAACATCATTGCAAATATCTTTAACTGCATCAAGACTTGATTTCAATTATGAACTCTTTGGCAGAATTGTTGTGCTCATCATGTTAGGAGATTCACTTTTTCAATTTGACAAGTGACAGTTTGGAGTCAAACCTTCAAACAAAAAAATGTTTTCCAACACACGAAACAGGACAGATTCCAACTCATCAGACAACTCCAACTATGACCCTGGTTCTCCATTAAGCGCTTCGAGTGCCGGACAAGCCTCTCTTCTCAAGCAAATGTATTCGTAAGTGTCCATTCAATGTCCTACGAATGAATTATTGATGATGAAACACTCTCTTGATGATTCATGGAATCATTTCTTGATGTTATTGTTTAATTAATTTTCGTTATTGGATGATCAATTTTATTGGTATATTGTGTGGTGATTGGCATTATCATGAAAATCAACAACAATAACTGACACATGTCATTTCATTAAAATTAACAACAATAACGATACCTAAACAATATGATTCATCATGGACTCTTTCCGATGATTGATGTACGACAATCATCACTTCCATGATCTGTGATACGTGCACACGATCAATGAATCGGATGGACATATTTCGATGACTCGACAACAAAATTTCAATTTATAACCACCATCACCATCACCTCCTCACGAACATCACAATTCCACACAATTCTACACCATCATCATTATTTTCACATCAAATTCATCAAAACATAAATGATCAACTCGTATTATTCTCAACAGACAACGTGATATTGCCTTCAAATCTGGAAAATTAATCAAACAAGGCAAAACTGTTAAAAATTGGAAGGAACGTTATTGTATGTTAAAAAGAGATGCTCTGTATTATCACGAATTGACTCCAAAAGGACAAGCTGGTAAAGTGAAAGGTAAAATTTCATTCAAAGAAATCAAAGGAAACACCAGCTGCATTCACAAAGTCACCATCACTGTGAAAAACAAACAAAAACAAGCAATTTCCATCGATTTACCAGAACGAGTTTATTTATTATATTGTGACTCTGAATTAGAATTAAACGACTGGTACAAATCCATCATTCAGGTCCTCACCATGAAAGATGAAAATCCATTGACCTTGTCCACAAAAGGTAACTCTTCCTCCACACCAAGCACTCCGACCAGTGGAATTTCACAAGATATTTTCTCACCTAAAAGTGGTAGTGGTGGCACTGGAACTCCCTATGGATCGTATGGATCTGCTGTGAGTAGTTTTGGAAGTTATTCGGGAGCAGGTACTCCACCTTTGGGAAGTAGTGCATTGTCTTCCCTTAAAAAAGCATCACCTTCCACATCGTCACCATTGGCTGGTGTTGGAAGTGTCGATTTGGGAGATTTCATTCGAACCAGTAGTAATTTATCAGAGACCTTAAGTGACGAGTCGGATTCTACGAGCTCTTTCCTTCGATCTCAAAATGATTTACTCTCAGAATTTGACGAATGGACACATCATGGAACGGGAAGAAATTCCGATGCCGATAGTGACAATCTGGAAGGAGGAGGTTCCAGTGGTCCTCTCCTCACCGAAGACGAAGAATACAATATTGCCATGAGTGCTGTTGAGATTTTCTTGAAAAAGGAAGAGGGTCGAACTCCACAAGAACAAGCTTACATTTTGGCACTGAATGAATACAGAAGGAAATTAGAGGAGCATGCCAAGAGAGTGAATGCTCGTCCAGATTATTCACTCGCTGTCGGCACTTGTATATTTTTAATTCCTGAAAAAGATCGAACTCCATCAGAGCAGGAATACATCAAAGATGTCATTTCAGCCTTCACTGATGAAACCAAAGATCATGACAAACATCGATTATTGCCTCTCAAGATTCAACTCGATATTGTGAAAGCAGCGAAAATCATTAAGGAAAAACCAGAGAAGGATCGAACCGAAGATGAAAAACAATACCTTATTCGAGTGGAAGAAATTGAAAGACAAATTGTCAAATTATGTATGAAACATGGTGTGAGAGTGAATCATTCATTGGGTACTCTACCCACGAGTCGACTCTTTTTCCAATCTGTGATGTCAAAGACGCCAGAGGCAACGTCCAATCTTTATCACATCAATACCACCACCAACACCACCAATATTCAACATCCCATTCATCACACACAAGAATCTGACACTCAACTCGAAGAAAAGCTTCTTCAGTGGCCATCCATTGAAGAATGGGATTTTCATAAGGTGTTCTCCACTCCCAACTTTTCCATTTGAATGAATTGAATATCGGATAGGGACAGACTTCCATTTCGATTCAAATAAAAAAATCCGTTATTGCCCTCTCTCTCTCTCGAACAGTTCCACCACCGATTCGTTTCATCTTCGGGTCGGGTGTACACTCAAATTTGAGAGAACATCGTCGTTGTTGATTACGAACAACAACAACAAACTTTTTGCGGATCCTGTCGTCTACAAAACTGAATTCACGGTGAATAGTTTTTTTTTGGTTGAGGCTGAAACTGTTGAAGAGTTTCTTGTTATCATCATCTTTGCAACAACTCTCTCGGAGGTCTCTCTTGAAGAATATATTTATAACCATTATAGAAAAAGAGATCATTTGAAGTTGTTCCATTATATAACTTGCAAATATTTGCTTGTACAGAATTTGAACATTACGATCGTACGAGTTATTAGTACATTGTAGACCTTTAAAATCATGCGCCAATCTTCAGGAACATCACCGGAAAGAGATTACAACTTTCAACAACAACTCACCCGCTTGGAATTATTCAAACAAAATCATGATATTGCATTCAACTTTTTAACGAAAGGAGTAGAATATGATGAAAAGAAAGAATACGAAAAGGCCAGAGACTACTACAGAGAGGGTAAGTTATTCTTAGAAAAAATCCAAAAACAGTATTAGGGACAATACAGTTCATGCTTTCATTATGGCCATCGTGCTGAATGTGGACATGTGTATTTCTATTGTCATGTCAACCACTTTTTGGAAATACACCTGATGAACACAAACTGCTATGAACGCTCACTCATGGTTGATATTGTTAATAATAATCACAACAGGAATTCAATGTATATTGCAAGCAGAAAGAGTTCCACTCTCACAACAAGAGCGATATCAAGCAAAAGCCATGTTAGACAAACTCCAAAAACACAAAACAAACTTTTACAATAGAATGAAAGAAATTGATCAAATTCTATTCGACATGCAACAACAAAAACAACAAGAGTTCAATAAGAATATTATGGGAAATAGCGGTGGAGGATTTTTCTCGAATATTATGAACCTCTTTTCCGCAAACGCTACCACAACAAGTTCCAACTCAACTACACAGCAAAAGACACAGGTCCTTTCAGAGGATACACGTCGATTAACTACGGTCGATGGCACACGTCAAGACCCAATTTATAACCACTACACGACAAATAGTCAAGTTTTGAGGAGTTTTCCAGGAGGAAATAATCGTCTTACCTCATCGGCAAATGGAAAAGAAACCAACTCAAACCCATTTGCTGGAATGTACAATAGTGTCAATATTTGTGATGGCTTAGCTCAACAACAGGCACAACCACCAGTTCATACTCGAAAAAGAAGTTCCTCTAATGAACAATTGCATGGCCATGTTGCTTCTTCCTCCTCTGGTGGTGGTGTGACTACTAGTAATGTAAAAAATCAAAATTTCATTAGCAACAACATGACTCAATCGGCCATGCCATCCTTTTCACAACATCAACAACAGACTAACAAATCTTCTCCACTGATGCCATATCAACCAGCTAACACGTCAACTGGTCACAATTTGGCATCAATTCGAAATAATTTATCGAACAATGATTCGAACAATATCAAAAAGAAAGCGTCAAAAATTGACCAAATACCAGAATTTAAAGGAGTAGATAGAAAATTGCTAGATCATATTTTGAATGATGTTATTGAATCAAAAACAACGAATTGGGACGACATTGCTGGCTTAAAAGATGCCAAGCAAACACTCATGGAAACAGTTGTATTGCCAAGTTTAAGGCCAGATCTATTTCATGGATTGAGAGCTCCCTGTAAAGGTATTTTACTGTTTGGTCCTCCTGGCACAGGAAAGGTATGTTGTATATTGCAATAGAACATGGTTATCATGACATGTTCTAAAATATTATGTAAAATGTGACATCTCATCAATGATGATGTTAGACCATGATTGCAAGAGCATGCGCTTCTCAGTGCAATGCAACATTCTTCTCCATTAGTGCATCCTCACTCGTTTCGAAATATCATGGAGAAGGTGAGAAATTAGGTAAGTTGTTAACATCATGTCCGCATCAAATCATACTCGAGTGTCAATATCAATTCATGCTTGGTTATTTTATTCATGACATTACTATGACACCTGATAGTGAAATGTCTTTTTGCTGCAGCTCGATATTTGCAACCTTCTGTGATATTTGTCGATGAAATTGACTCAATACTTTCAGCAAGAAGTTCTGAGGAGCATGAAGCCTCACGTAGAATGAAAACAGAGTTTATGGTTCAAATGGAAGGCGTTTCAAATACGACTGGAAAAGACGAACGAGTACTTGTAATGGGAGCTACAAACATCCCAGACAGCCTTGACGAGGCAATTTTGCGAAGATTTACCAAGCGAATTTATATTCCACTTCCAGATTTTGAAGCTCGATTTGCTCTTATCAAACATTTGTCATCTGGACAAAATATGCTATTGAGCGATCATGACATTCGAAAAATTTGTGAGGCAACAGAAGGATTTTCTGGATCCGATTTAACGGCACTCTGTAAAGAAACAGCCATGATTCCAATTAGAGAAATTAGCGTTGAGAAACTCATGTCCATAGATGCTGGCAAGATTCGATCAGTAGTGCTGAATGATTTTATGACATCGCTGTCTCACGTGAGACCCTCCACGTCACACGAAACAATAACAAAGCTGGAAAAGTGGAATGCTCAATTTGGTACCTCAGTCAATATATAACAGATATCCAAAGTGATTTATGTTGGAATCTTTTCATTTGTAAAACATTTTTCCCACTTGGGGTCAATCAAAGTTTGAATGAAATATTTTGTTCTATAATGATGAATATGGAGAGGATGAAGTGCCTTATTAAGTTTTGAAAGTTCTATTGTTGAATGATTGATTTACCGATCATTGTAAAACACGTATGGTTTTGGTGTCTCTCCATGTTCTCGCTTTTGTTTTTCAATGGCTTCCAATTTTGCTTGCCTTTCTAGCTCCGCATAATAATCAATTCCTACTGAGAATAATTTTGCTTCTCCAAGTTGTGACTTGTCAAACCGATCTCTCAGTTTTTTTAGATTTGCAGTACCGGTTGATTGTTGTTCCTTCTTTTTTTCCATAAGCAACAATCTCTCCTCTGCTTCCTGGTCTGAGATTTCAAATTTTTGATGTTCCAAAGCCTTCTTCATTAAATGTGAATTCTGTGAATAATATTTTTCAATTAGTGCGTCTTGTTCTTTAATTTTAGCATAATACGCATAGATGATGGAGACAGTCAAAATGATTGTTAGGGATCTTGAAAAATATCTCCTAATTTGATGATTGAGTAATAAGTGAGCTAGTTGTGGAGATGACAAAACCTACCATGCTTTGTATTCGTATATATGATTACTTTCAATGTGCAATATTCTCTGTGCTTTAACAAAGCCGTCAACTGTTGAAATGTCATACAATTGATTCATCTTTCTTGGGTAGCTCCACAAAGTGGGAAAGTGGTCTTTCCAGTTTACTTCCATATCTAACAGAATGGCTTCTTTTTCCTCCTCCGATAAATGTCGAAGAGACTTTCTATTATTAAATACAAAGGGATTTATAGGGTTCTCCTGTTGAGTGGATAAGGTGGCCGTTTTTTCATCATCAGCTATGATAGTATTAATATTCTGATTTTGTGATTGAGAATTTTCCGCAATATTTTTCATTGTGGAATTTGTCTGATAATCATTTGTATTTAAATTAATATTTTCCGTTGTGATAGCCCTTGATGATGAAGAATTACTACTCTGCCAAGTACTGCTAAAGAAATGATGATAATTTTGACGACAAGAACCTTCATTGAAAATGAATTCATTGCGCCCTCTATTTCCATTCCGATCCGATTTCATAAAATACATGCCCCAATAGGATTCCAAACATTCACTCATTGTCCTCCGACACAAGAGTTTTCGCTTCAGCATTTTTTGTTAATTTTTTTTAAAATGGAAATAATTTAAAAATTCAATTTAAATAAAAATGCATCACAACGACGACTGGAAAATCATCCACAAGAAAATTGAAAAATTTATTTGTAAAACTTTTGTGGAGGAGCCACTTGCTCCGAATAATATGACATCACTGATATCAGTGGATCATCATGAATTGAGAGAGTTCATAGGTGGAGAGTGGATAAAGTATTATCGATTAGTGTTGGATCCGAATGATACTAGTAGAACTTCTGGTTTATTGTATTTCAACTTGTTGCAGAGATCCATGATGAATGTTGTGAATGGAAAAAGGCAATCGTCATCGAAAGAGGAATATTTATTAATGCAAGAATTTTTGATTGAATTTTTACAAACATGTGTGCAGTGTGAATTTGAGAGAGTATGTTTCAAAGTTTGATTCTCGGACTTGTAATCAAATTGTTGGTTATAATTGATGATTCAAAATTAATTCAAATTATTTTTGGTAATAATAATTCAAAATTAATTCAAAATTAATGGCAAGAAAAGAGGATAAAATTTCTGGAATCTAAATTTGATCCATTCAATGACTCTGAGAATGAACAATTGTGTAATAATAATAATATAGAACAAGAGAGTATTGAGAAAATGACGGATTTTTGCATTGCAACTTTGGTTCATGATGCATTTCAATTTTCAAGTTTAAATTTCATGTTAGATGAGTATGTTTTGGAGTAGATTTCATTCTCTTGACGACCATATGTTTAACAGTTCTACCTACCTGTTAACCATTTTTACTCAAGTAATTTCTTTGCTTTCTTTACATTCAAATGAATTGTTGCATCCTGTCAATTGTCAAAATGCTCTTCAAATGCTCTTTCGACTGAACCAAATGTATGGAAATTCAGACATAGAGTTCTACATCTCTAAAGCACAACAATATTATGAAAAAGAAGTATTACCAGCGGAAAATTTACATTATTACAATTTAGAGATTGACAAGATAAAAACTGAATGGAATGAAATGTGTGACAAAAAGACGAGCCAACAACGAAAACTGAAATATGTCAAAGAATTATTATCAGGTACGCAACGAAATGATGTAGTTCATGATGCTCGTTTTGTTAAACTCTTTTCTACATTCTTGAAAAGGTTCAGAACCCTCAAAAAACGGCATCAAACTCGTAACACAGCATCCAGAGATCACGAACACAAATTATTACTCTTTTCGTATTGTCACATGATCTCTGGAACGAGTGTACCTTGCGAGATAGATCATTCTTCTCATCCAGTCGATACCATTTCTAGTTCTGTCATGGATGAGAGATTTATCTCAACTCATTCTCAACACATCTCGCTCACTGAATTTCTTGCACAAAAGAGACAAAACTCTCTGAAAGAACTTTCTAATATTGAACAAATGGTGAATCAATCGTTTTTAGAATTCAAGCAAATTCATCCCCAAAATGCCTCGTCTTTGGAGCAAACATTCCTTTCCTATGCTAACGAACCTCTTCGATACGAAAAGATGCATGAAATTATCACAAAGAAGCTTTCTACACAACTCCATGAAGATATTAGGAAAATGCAAACTGTTTTTGATGGAAATCCAATGCTCAAGTATATTTTTGGAACTCCTTCAGAACATCCCTTTATGAAAACAGAAAATTCCATGCATTCACTCACGCTTAAAAAGGATACAAGCGGTGACATGTATTTAGTACTTGATGATTGTCATGACGAAGGTGAAAGGGTCAATAGTCAAATGTTGACCTTTTCTAAAACGAAACAAGACGATATTTCATCCTATGACATGCTATTAAATTGGAGAAATGAACTTCTCATGTCTCCTATTAACGAGGAGACTGTGAACAATAATATAGACAGTCATGCCATTGAAAAAGAGATTCTTTCTGTAGAACACATGAGTGACATTGCACTGTTATGCTCATCCCTAACGCCAGATCTTCTTCATTGCCCAGTATCAATTAGAGAACAAGATGGTGAACAAACAAAACACACATTTTTGGATTACTTTCAAGCAATATTCAATTTACAAGCCAAAACATTGATGGAACATTTCCAAAAATTATATTCAGAATATTCGAACGGTTATGTGAAAGAATTTGGATGGCCAAAAACAAATCAAATTTCACCCATTGTTGTTGTCATTCAGCATCATGACCAAGTGTACAACATGTTGAGATTGCGCAAAGATTGTTCAGAAAGATTGTCTGACATGTTTGAGGTCATTTCTGATCATCTCAACTCCTCTTCTCGTTGGTTCGATGATTATGTAGAAGAATATAAGAGTTTATGCAAAATTGGTGAACATGTTCGAAAAAACCAACAAATTGCAACCATCTCCTACAACTCTTTCAATGTATTAAGATATTTGAATGAGAAATACTATGAACACAAATCTACAATAGAACTGACAAATCCTTTGGAAATGTTGACTTATTTTGTGAATAACATATGCTCGTCAATGGGAGAAACAGAGAAAGATCAAGTTTTAAAATGCATGTCAGATGTATTAGTTCATTCTTCTGGAGATTCTTCGCCAAATCTAGAGAGTATTGGCCAGAAGATTGAACATCTTAATGGTAAGTTATTTCTTTATGTTTTTATAATTATTATTTTAAAACTGGTGTGACAATAATTACAATAATCACACGATAAAGAATTTATAATGCAAAGTCTTAATGCCACTATTTCAATAGCAAGGAAAAACTTTGAACACTCCATGGGACTTTTGATTATGCTAACGATTCTCTCAAAGTTTGGTTCTAAATTTTTCACGAATTTTAGCTTGACTCGACCGATCATCATGCAAAAAGCTCAATATTTTGTGTTGAAGTTAGTAGAGATGATTATTTCAGAGATACATGACCGCTTTTCACACACAGATCTATTTGATCTGTTGAGAAAAATTCAAATTCTATCGGTCTCCCATTCATGCCTCTTTGATCTCAGAAATGCCATATTCATACAATATTGTCATCAAACAAGTGACTATTTGCAAGCAATGAAATTTGTGACTGATCATTTCAAGATTGAGCCACTTTCTGAGATGTTGAAAAATTATCCACAACTCTTTACTTGTTTTCTAGAGATTGGACAGCATTCAAAGATATTGGTAGATCGAAAACTACGCCTATTCATGAATTATTACTTTCTTTTTCCTGAATTTAATCGAAGCTGTGTGAATAGGATTTTAACCACGAGCCATTCACCACTAGATCCTGAGAGAGATATTTTCAATTGGTTAGAAAAGAGTATTGAACAGTCATTCTCATTACCAACACAAATTAGTAGCATTGTATTTCCGCTTAATGTGAATCCGAATGAAACACTCGCTGAACGTGCCCTCCAAGAGTATTATACTCAATTTGAGAAGCAAGTGAAAGATGTCATTGCTGTCAATCATGAAATGATTGAATTGGAATTGATGAATAAGAACAACAACAATATTGAGAATCAAGAATCAACCATTCCAATGAAAGACATACATTCTCAACACGTTCATTTTGATGATATTTTGGAGGATTTATCCAATGTGTGCGAGGTATTTATTGTCCCATCTTCAGATTCAGAGTTTTTGACCAACCATCCAGAAATGATCAGAAACATGATGCTTGAATCTCTTCCTATTATACTCTTCGATATTTTGCATCCGTTTCCTGATTCGATCAATCAATGGGCTTCTTTCATCATTCAACAATTACTGAGCTACCTCAGATCACCGGAATGTACCATATATTTATCAAGATTTTTTACAAATGAAATGGACACCAAGGTGACACCTTCCATTCTTAGAATGATTTCACATGATGATGATTTACCACACGAGAAGGAAAATTCTACTCCTCTGAAAAATAGTGAAATTTGCATACTTTTAGCGACCTATTGTTGTAGATATCTATTCAAAACCATACAAGATAAGGCATTGAAACTTTGTGAGAGGATTTTTGAGATGTGTCTTGTAGTGGAAGGTTCATTATTTTCTCAATACAGATTCTTTACAAAGTTTAATGTCAAGAGTAGCACCATTCAAAATACCATTAAGAAGAATTGTGAAAGTATTAAGGAATCATTATTATGGAATAACAACGATGACGATAGGAATGCAGCAATTGACATTTTAACTCTCATGAAGGAACAACATTTCAAAGAAGAAAGTCAAATGTCACAATTATTGAAGCTATTCTCTATTGCTGATGAAAAAGATCTCTCTCATTTATTGAATCGTGCGTTCCATCAACTGAACATTCACATCATTGAGGACCGATTATTGAACTATCATTTGAATATGTTTTCAATGAATGACAATCTTGATTTTCTAGAAATGGATCAATCCATACCTATTGTGAAAACTCTCGAAATGGTTGGATTAGAACATTCAAAAAAGAATTTACTCTCAGCAATTGCTTGGAAACAAAATTCATTCTTTGAATTGGATTTTGAAGAATACGCAGATATCCTCCAAGAAGTGATCCAAGTGGCTAGAAATGAGAGTATGACAATGCTTGGTCAAACTGGAACGAAAACAATCACTGAGAAAGTGACGGACCAAGGTGACAACCATACACTCATTCTTCTCTATTTACATCAAGTCGTGCTCATATTAGGAAATTATCCTTTTCACAAATTATTAACGAGCAATTTAACAGAGGACAGAGTACAACATGATTCTACTCACAATAAGGTGCCTTATCTACATCCCATCATGCATTCATCTGTTTTGTCATCGATTGCTTCAAACCCATTGGTAGAAATGGGTGTGAAAGAATTGCATTCACATCACAAATTACGACTTGGAAAATTATTTGATGATTTGGTGAGAAAGTGCCACCTCGCACGGTTTGAGGCGCAAACTCAATTGAGGGAACAAATGAAGAAGGATTTATTTGAATCGAGCCATGAAATTATAAATGTGAAGAATGAAGTGGATCAAATGAATCGATCCATGTTGGAAAAATTGTTGGCATGTGCGACTTCCATGAAGAGTAAAGAAAAAGTTCTCCAAGCAGAAGAGATGTCACATGAAAAAGTCAACGATGAGTAAAATTGTTGTTATATTTGCTAATAATTATAAGTGCTGGTGAGTTTATGAGAATATGGAAAGTCTTTGCAAGCCATGTTACAATATCAATGATTTATCCAATAAGGAGGATGAAAAGAAAAATCAACAACCTCTTAGTGATCCTTCTGCTTCTCTACTTGAATTAAAGATCCATGTAACATGTTATGAAAACTAAACACCAAATAATACGCGACTTGCAGTAAAGCAATCAAAAAATTCCACAATCCAAAATTTCCAAATACATTTAACACCTTCGTGACAGCCAACGTGGCAAAATAAAGTCCCATCATGATAAATATTTCTGAAATCACTTGTCGACTCTTTTTCATTTCAAATTGCAACTGTAATTTTCGTTGCAGTAAATTCACAAAAATCAATCCCAATGCAAAGACTGAAATGAATCGAATAAGAGTAGATGGTACGGAGAGGAGGAGCACATGATTGTCGAGATTAGGGGTGGCTTCCACTACTTCGGAGGAATTGGATGATGATACAGATGGAAACCCCCAAAACCACATACTCCAACCCGGAAAGAAAAATGAAAATATATATGGTACAAGATGAAGAATGTTGAGAAGAGTTAATTGATTGGAAGAGAGTTTTTTGGTTTGTTGTAATTGTGGAAGGAAATTGATGGCATCATCACGAAGAGTGAATGCCAGTTGAGTTAAATCGGCGATGACTTGTGACATTTTTTTTGATTTGAAAAACTTATTTTGAATTATTAATTTAGTATAAAATAATAGCAATTCGTTAACACAAGTTCTTATTCTCTGAATGAAAAACTTTCATTGGGATCTCCAAATGGACATTTCAAATGCATTTCAACTCCATCAAAACCTTGAACTTCTTCTCGTAAGGGTTCCCATTCAGGAATTTTAGGTTTGGCTAAATGTCTCAGCCATAAAGCTCGATCAAAAGATTTCAATAATTGGAAATCATATGGATGATTCAATTCAAATACAGGGTCAATGTCAAGTAATTGTTGAACAAATTGATCGAGTTGAGTGTGAGTTTTAAATTTGACATTCTTTTGTTGGGCAGGAATGTTGAACTTTTTACGAAAGTCTGTTGTGACCGTGACATGGAGGAAATGACGAATATGAGTTAAAAAAAGATTGACGTTTAGACACAAATCGTAACTTACTATCATCCATGAAAAATTTCATTCCACCTTTTCCTTTCTTTTTCAATCTTTCAAAGTAGGCACCCATGGCTCCTTGATAAATGGCCTTTTTATCCACTCCTACTGCCTCAAGAATTTCATCGACAAAATCTTGACAATTTCCTTCTTTACCTTTTTCTCCTCCTCTGTTTTTATATGTCATTTTGGTATTCCATTTTATAATCACATCTGCAATTTTGTCAACCATCTCGTTAATATTACAATTTGAAACAGATAATTCAGTGGTCAAGTCACATGCAACTAGTGCTGCAGAGGCTACTAATTTTTTGGGAACACATAGACTGGCATCTATCCATTCAAATTTCCAAGGTCCTGTTTGTTAAGCATCACACAAGTAGTTTCAGTTGTTGAATTAGAACGAATTTCATCACAGTTAGATGACGTCAAACACATTGATCACACGGAATGAATCCCATTCACCTCAATCACACACAACAAAACCTACCAACAATGACCGCCGAGTGAAACATTCCCATTTCAGGAAGAAATTTGGTATTAGACAATAAAGGACTAAATAATTGTCGAAAAGCCTTCTTTCCTCTCGAGTCACAAATTTCTGACACTATTATTTTCACTCTCAACCTATCCTGATTCAATAATGATTTTTGAACTTCTAAATGTTCTGGTGAATTCATAATTTCTCCCAAATCCAAATCTTCCTCATCAGAATCATCATCAATGGTAACATCTTTTTCGAGACTTTGATGAATTGCAATATCACTTGCATTGGAATTTGTTGAAGAAATTCCTTTCATAATATTACCGACAAAATTTCCCTGTTTGCTTTTACCCTCTCCTCCCGATGCTGTTGATTTGAAACCCATGAGACCTCTACCCGAACCACTCATGCTCTCGGAATAGGTGGATATGGCATTGATGACTGATTGAGCCCAATCGGTCGTCAGATAAAAGCTCTTTAATTGTTGCTTATCCGATAAAACAACGGCTAATTTGTACATTAAATTCTCATCTCCTTGTGCAGCGTTTCTGTAGTAGGTACTGCTTTTAATTTTGTTGAGAACGATTTTGAACTCTTCCGATTCTCCTCCACTCATGATGATGAAATTTTATATAATCAGAGTTGTTGTTGTGATTTACTAAATTATTGGTGGGATGATGTCTAAAATTTATATAGAGATGATGATGAAAAGAAGTGTCTATGACTACTGTAGTACTATTGAAATAATGGAGTGTACAACGGTGGTACGTATTATATATTGTACAACTGTAAACGACAGTACTGTACAATCGGAAGAAGAAGTAGAGGAAGAGAATGTGAAGAACAACGTTGATGGAGATCAAATGATGATGATGATGCTGTGAGGATGAAAACTAATGAAATTTTTTCAAGTTGAAACACCCAAAAGCCAAATTCGGAAATGAATGACTAGTTGGTCACAAACAGTGGTCGAATGGAGATGGAGCAACAAGACAGATTCCGAACGAGAAAATGAGCCTGATTTCTTCCAACAGTTGCTAATAGAAGTTTTGTTGCTGAATGAAATCTGAAAGATTTAAAGCTTCATTGAATGTTCTTTCCATTTTTAGATTAATAAATGAAATCCAACACAAAATCCGTACCATGAATTCATGCGACATCTGCCACTCAATAATTTAAGGCTCCTTTAGGAAGAGAATCACCGTATACTGGCAACAAGACAAAAAAATTCCCAATTCTGGAGATTCTGAAGGCCTTTATCGCTCCAAAAAAATAGGAGAAACTCAAACTCCTCTTTGTTAGGTAATAAATTAAAAACGTTGGTTGGAAATCGTGAAGCAACGACGCCATTATCATCATCCTTGAGGACTTTCAATTACAGCCAACACCAACGAGACTCATTCGGAACGAACGAAAAATCAACGGAGGACTTCAGTTAAGGCTTTAAAGGATGACCACCAAAAAACGTCTTGTTCCATCCAATACTCCAACACCTACATCTTCCTCGGAGGAAAATTCATTCAATATCCATAATTTACCACAACAACCTCATCAGTGTAATCATCTTGGTGATAACAACCATGTGAATAATAGTCATCATCACGTGATGTCCACACAATCCTCATCACATCCCAATAACAATAGTGCGTCTAATAATAGTAGTAATCATCATCCGAACAACAACGCACCACCAGACAATCCTTCCGCAACTTGGGGTACTAAAGTCAATAGGAAATACCGACAATTGCGCAAAACGTTGAAAACTTGCAAGCATTTCGAAGATAATTATTTTGTTTTGGAGTTGAATTCAAACAACCCGCAACCATCTTCGTCACACACTTTAGATAATACGGAACATTCGAAACCAATGTCGCAGTCGCCATCGTCTCAAAAAACTCGTCGTAAGAAGTCTCCTCATGAACAACACCAACAACCACCACTGGGTCCTGGCGCAACAACTTCTCCAGTCGACATGTTAACTCTTCACTCAACAGCCCCACCAAAAAAGTCGGCTCTCTTGCCCTACCAAGGACAGGTTCAATTTATGAGTGAATTCAGTGTTGTTCGTCCGTGCGAAGAAGAGGTCGTTCCTCTTTCCATCATCAACCGATCCGAAGAGATGGAGCAAAGAAACAAGAGAACTCCCAACAGTAGCACCTCGGGTTCTACCTCCTCGATTACACTTGCGGACACGACAGAATTGAAGTCTTCAAAGAAAAGAAAAACTAAGGAAGAAGACAGCAAGCATGGTCAACCCTTGAAGAAGAGGGATTCCAAAAAATCGGCCGTCATTACCATGTCCAACAGTCAATATGCTTCAACACAGTCTCAAGAAAAATCAGCTTGTTCTGCATCTGTAGATATAATGAATGACACATACATGAACCCGATAATAATGCAGTCCAATTTTTCGAGCCATGAATCATCTATGATTTCAATACCCTCCTCACTGCCCAATTCTCAACATCACGCAGTTTCTCCCACTCAGACATACCTTCCAAGTCACAACAACAGCAATCGCACAAATGAACAGTTCCTTATGGTTAGCTCTGAACAAACAAATTCCTCGCCACACCCAACAACCTCTTCCATCACAACCAAAATTACCGTAAATCCAAATCACAATTCAACCAAAATTACTGTAAATCCCAACCTCGACTTGGTATCATTCTCACCTCAACATTCACCAGGATTGCCATTAACGGGCAGCTCATCTTCAAACACCATCAGCTCCCTTCCCTCTCTGACATCTCTTCCATCATCAAGCATGGCTGAACTTGCACATCAGATCTTGATCCTTCGGAAAATAAGCTTCCCAGTTTGAATAGTTTTGATAATTACAGCTTCTTTAAGGCTGACTTGACGGATGATTCAATGTTCAAAGCAACAAGGAATAGTCAAGAAAGATTATTGCAACGAAACAATTCCACTATTTCCGACTTTCTTCGTTTGGAGGACATTCATGCAACTCCATCATCAAACAGTTTCCATGTGATGGAAGTAAACTCGAAACAAGAAGAAGGGCTCAAGTTGGGACAAGAAAGGCCAAGTGTTGACTCGTTCAGCAATGTCACCAACACAGGACAAGGTTTTTCTTCCTCTAACTGTCTATTGAAGAGAAACCCATCGGGTGGTCTCCCTAGAAGTATGAGCCATGGCAGCCTTTCTATGCTTGACACTGCTAACGATGAGGAAGCAGACACTAACACTAATCGAATGGAGACCTCAGACGAGAGAAGCAGTAACTTTTCGAGGTCGACCTCTTCCGATTCCATGAGACCAGTTCCGAGAATGACCATTCTTCAACCCCATTTCCACGAAATGCAAACAACGGACGAAACTACTCATCCTCGTACAAATATTGAGCCAATTACCACCACTGTTTCAACGATTTCTCCCTCACTGACGAAGGAAGTTGTAATTGAAAGAGATAAGATTCTTGTGAAAAGTCCTTTCATTACACCTCTTAACTCTGTACTTTATAAGAACATCTCTGTAAGCAATATGGATCTTGTGAAAATGGATGTACCTAGCATTGACACATTCAAGAAATCTGGAATGGCCTCTCCAGAAAAAGATCACTCGCATTGGCTGCAACAAATTCAAACCTTGCCTTCTAATGACTCGTTAACTCGCATCCCAAGTATTGATTTTGATCTTGGACCAGCCGAAAAGAAATAAACAGTGTTGATGAGTTTCAAGATTTTAGTGATGACTGTTTACCTCCATTGGGGTTTGTCATTCTGTACTTGATTGGCATATCTAGTTCTAGTGGCTGACATGGATCGAGCAATCTTTTTAACGTAACTGGGAGAGTCATGAATGACAGGTTTAAAGGTGCACTCGTTCATGAGTTTTCTTTCATTTTCAAAGGCAATCTCCCTCAATTTCCGTTCTTTTTCTTGTTGTTTCTTTTCTAACAAGAAAGAATTATTAATAATGGAAGTAGATAATTGTTTGTCCCTTGTTTTGGAGATATTTGGCTTGAAGGTGGCTCCTTGTAACTCCTTATCCAATAATTCCTGTTGTAATTGTTGCAATTTCTTTTCCTTTTTCTCAATTCCATCTCTACAAAGTTGATCGGCAGATTTTTGCGGTAAGTTTTGGGCCTTACGTGAAATGCTAGGTTTAAATGTACACTGTTGTTGTACCTCATCGAGCGCTCGTTTCAACTTTGAGTTGATGTGAATATTAAGGAGGAGGAGGAGGAGTAGGTCATTATGAAAATATATTAAGGAGCAGAATCACATTATTCATGTATTTATGAAATTAAATATTCAATCACAGAGTCAAGCAAACAATGACTTACAGTTAGTTCTCTTCTTTGTTGATAAAATTCACATCTCTTCTCAAATTCAGTTCGATTCACAATAGCGACGCTCTTCTCATTAATTGAAGGCTTGAATGGATGTTCTGTCATTTTGATAAAATCCACTTTTCGTTCTCGATCTTCAATTAAATCCTGTTGCCGTTTTAGAAACTCGTGAAAGTTCGAAGAAGGTCTGGTGAATTTACCTGCAGATTTAGGCCTGCTCATAAACAACATGTCGAATTTTTCATTCTCAACAATATGTGGATCGGAGCGAGAAATATTCGGTGTTTTTCTTTTGCTCAGTCGTGAAAAAGCATCTTCACTCAAATAATCCATACAGCTCCTGTTAAAACATATGGAATCATTGGTTTGAGGTTTAAAAGTACATTCTTCATCTAAGGGAAGTTCTTTGGTGGGTGGGGCTTTTTTAGGGGAAATATCTCTGTACTTGGAAGAGATTGAAAAATTATTCAAAAGTTTTGGCTTAAAAGTACAAGTTTTTCTAAACTCTTCTTCTGTTAGTTTGTATCGTATTTCATCATTTTTGTCAGATGCTCTGAATGAGTCAATGTACAATCGATCATGCACGTCCATGTTATCTTCATGTCGTTTTTGAATAGATATAGGATTAATTTCTGGCTTGAAGGAGCATTCTTGTTTGATAGATCTATTTAACTCTTTTTGTTTTTGTTTGTTTGCTTTTTCAACATTTGCTTTCCAATTTACAGCTCTCTCAAAAAATGTTTCTCCCTCCTTTTCTTTAAATGATGATGAAGAGGTTTTTGAAATTTCATGCGAGGATTTTGTATTCTCAGAGTGTTCGGTATTCTCATTCGAAAGGACAGCTGTTGAATTTTTCGAATGAGATGTTCCTTTGGGAGAATTCTTTACAGCTGTTTTCGGTGAAATGGCTTGATATTGAGCTGTCAATGATGGTTCTTTTGCTGGAGAATAATTCGCTTTCGTTTTAGATGATGTCTTAGCTTTTGGTGAATTATATTGAGCTAATAAGTTAATGGACGATGTGCGGGATGATGACTTTACAGGTTTTGAAGAAGGTGAAGACTTTGAAGGTGGTGGATGATTGGTTGCCTGTTGGCCATTTTGTGGATTATTAGAAGAAGTAGGAAAATCATGCTTTCTGTAAACCGAGGTGGAACTCAATTTTTGGGATTGTTTTTGAGGAGTTTGGTATTTTTGAAGAATATTTTGGATCATGCTATCGATTTGTTTCAATTGGAAGTCAGCAGACTGGTTCAATGCTTCCATTGTCATGTTGAGTGACGAGTCCTCTAATATATCTGAAATATAATTTCGTTCTTTTGATGGAGAAAGCGTTTTTTGAATCTGGTTGGGTTTTTCCGATGCAGTACAATCTCCATCCGTTGTAACACTATCCATCACGTTAAACAATCCATACTTTTTGGAGATTAATTGTTGGTTATCAAATATTGTAGTTTGCATGGTGTTGTTGTTGATAGGATTGTTTTCAAATATCGTGGAATGGTTGTTTGAATTATTGTTATTGTAATTAGGACAAGCAGATGACACTGGTCCACAACAATAATTTTCAATAAATCTGGAAACTTCAAAATCCTCATCATCTTCCAAATAAGATGCAGCATTTGAAACTAAATTACCGTGACCATCTTCTTCCAAACCAAGAGCCTCTAACAGGGCCTGCGTGTCGTCGTCTGTAGATGAATTTGTTTCATTTTTCTGTTGGTCCGAATTCAAATGATGATGATGCAAATGCACGTGATGGATCTTGAGTTCAGGAGCATTTGATAAATCGGGCAACATCCAATCCGAGGACGATATTTCAGAAGATATAATGGAGGACGAACACGACAAAGATGGTGAGAGGTGGTGCTGATCCTCAAGATCATGAGAATTCTTCTCATAGGTCCAATCTCGCTCATGCTCTTGTGCATCTGGAAAGACCTTAAAACTCATTTTGATGCGAACACGACGACTCCACTGCACGTGCTGCTACTACTACTACTACCAATCACACACTACTCCAGTAAGGCTATAATGGTTCGACTTCAGCAGATCTTCCAACCAACGAACAGCTCAAGTGGAGCGCGTTTATTTTTTTTTGTACGAATGAATTGGCGCCATTTTTCGAAACTATTTGCAAATGACGATTGGCAGCTCTTGCTTCCTTAAATTCGAAAGCAGTTATTGATCGGCAGGAGGCAAGTCACAATCATCATCATCAATTTCAACAAGGTCATGAAAAACACTCTTCTATGATTCGAGAAAGGTCCTGTCAATGCTTTGGTATATGCAGCTAGTTGTCGTCCTTCTTTTTCATCCTCTTTTTGAACACCACATTTCACATGATGGACCACCTCTTTCACATGCTGTTCCATTTGTTGAGGACTCTCAAATTTCAGCACGTACATTTTCAAGCCAAAATGATCCGAACAAAAGAGATAATCTTTCTGTTCAGCTAATTTGAAATAGTGAAAGGTTTTCCACCACCATGGCGTTTCAAGAGGGGTCAATAATAAAGAAGGAGGAGATGAACTTTCTTGAGAAATCTCTTCCTTCTTCCTCTCGGTGGTTGAACGGGTTGTCCATTCACAGAGGGGAGTGTTGGCAGAAAGTTGCATCTTTTCTTGAGTGGCAACTCTTCGTTGAGGACTTTTTCGAATGAGAATTCGAACCAATCGCATGCGACGAATTTCCATTCCCAAATATTTACATCGAATGAAAGTATTCAGATAGGAATCAAATGTGAATACTGGATCTGAGTCTTCCAAGTGTGTTTCTTTCCATAAATCAACGTATTGAATCTTCTCAATGGTGTTTTCTTCAGATTCCAAATGAATATTTAAATCTCCCATCAAGATGACTTCATTCATGTCTTTCAAATAATCTTGTTGAGTGATATGTAAGAGTTGAATTTCTCTTTTGTTGGCATTGTGGTTGTAAGCACTTGTGTGTGCACTAATCACACAAAGAGTTTCTTCTTGATGGTGCTTCTCTTGTTTGTTGTTGAAACATGAGTGAGAAAGTGTACAATAAAGAACAGGATTTTTCACAACAGAATTGTCCAACTTGAACATCTCCAATGGAAGATACTTGCTCAATATTAAATTTCCTTGATTGTCTTTACCAAGGGTTGCATTTCGTGTTTTCAAAGAAACACTCTCTTCACCCTCTTCGATCACTAGGTCACTAAAAAAGTAAAATTCTCTAAAGAATAAATCCCGTTGAAGCATGAATAGAAATTCTGGAGTTACTTCATTGAGGCTACAGAGGTCGAAATTTTCTCTCTTCAACAATTCTATCGTGTAATGAAATCGTTCAGCATCTCTCACAATGGAATTTTTAATAGGAGCTTTCCTCTCTGCCATGATGTTAAAAGTTCCAATTTTTAGACCACTTCATGTACTCGTCGTTCCTTCGTACAGAAAGAACAAGGAACATGCATGGAAGGATTAGTGCGATCTTTAGGAAAAGATCTTTGATCTTCAAAACAAGAGGTGATCCACGTGCTAATTGAGAGAAGAGTCGTTTTTATTTTGTGGACCTTAATTCCTCCAAAGAAACGAAACAAGAATCAAATAGAAAACGTTCAAAAAAAATGTTTAAATGTTTATCGAAGCAATGTTTCTCCCACTCGAGTCTGGCAGCTGTTTGTAGCTCTCCAAGAATACGTCAAGTTGGAATTTTTAAACAGTTCGAACAAAATCAATCGAATCGGAGAAGTATTATTCACAGAGTGAATCCATCATCATCGGAGACATCTTCAATATGCTCTGCAACAACATTTCATCCTTCTCTACCTTCCGACAACACAACAACACGATTGATGGGAATGAGTAAGAATGAAATGAAACAACTGTTAGAAAAAACTCATCCACATATTGCATCATCATTCCGATTGGATGAAATTTATAAATTTATGTACAAATTCGGAGCACGTAATTTTGATGATATCACCGTGTTAAGTAAAGCCGATAGAAAATCGCTCTCGGAATTTTATTCCATTGATTTGGTTGGAAATATTGAGGAAGAGGTTTTATCAAAGAAAGACAAACACACACGCAAGTTTTTGTTTGCTTTTGAAAATCCCAAATTTTTAAAATCAGAAAACCAACAAAGCGCCCACGCAACATGCAAAGACCATGACGCAGATGTTGACACAAAAACAATATCGTCCTCTAAAAAACTTACCAAGCAACAAAAACCATTTAACAAGGTGGAAGCTGTTTATATTTATCATCCTCCTAAGGCAACAGATTATTTTGGAAGAGGTACGGTGTGTTTGTCAAGTCAAGTGGGTTGCTCTTTAAGCTGTGCTTTTTGTAGAACTGGTACAACACCCATTGAGAGAAAGTATGTCTTCTTTTTTTACTTCAGATTCATATATGAGCATTACATTCATGTATATTGTATATACATGTATATATTATATTAATTTACATCGTCACTTTCTACAGCTTACTTGCCTCGGAGATTGTGAGTCAGCTTGTGAGTATCAAACATCACTTGCAAGATTTTCCAATTTACATGAATGAAGATGAGAGAAAGAAAGCCACCACTGAAAAATCTCTTGTCAACAATATAGTATTCATGGGGGAAGGTTTGTATTGGATTTTGGAACTTGGAATTCTTAAAACTATCATTGATGATCTATTTGTTGATCTCATTGCGAATTGACGCTTTTCCATGCTGAACTTGTCAGGAGAACCTCTTTACAATTACAAAAATGTAAAAAAGGCATGTGAAATTTTGAGTGATGGATGCGGCATTTCTAAGAGAAAAGTTATTGTTAGCACCTCAGGTGTTTGTAACCTAATTCCAGATGTTGTGAATGAGTTGGGCGTGAATTTAGCCATCAGTTTGCATGCAACAACCAATGAGCTGAGAGATAAGCTGGTTCCCTTGAATAAGATCTTTCCAATTGAGGTACTTTTCGATACAATCCGTGAAAAGTGTTTCAAAAACAATACTCGCCACATTACTTTTGAGTATGTCATGTTGGATCATGTGAATGATTTCATTGATGATGCCCAACGATTAGTTCATCTCGTGAAAGATATTCCATGTTCTGTCAATTTAATTGCTTTCAATGAATGGGAGGGAAGTGGATTCAAATGTTCACCCAATGAGAGAATTGAAGATTTTTCCAAATTTCTTTATCGCCATGGAATTAATGCTCCCATTCGATACAGCAAAGGACAAGACATATTGGGTGCTTGCGGTCAACTGAAAAATAGAAATGAGAACAAAGAATCTGTTGTGTTACAAAAGAAAGTGGCTACAACACTAAAGACATCTATTTAATGATCCAATGGAGGATTTATTTGATAACCTCAAGCTGTGACGCAATGGAAGAGCTACTCAAGGAATCACTTCTTGACGAAATAATCCATATGGAAAGAACTCTTTCTTCAGTCTCTGCTTTGGCTACTGACACTCGATTTAACAAATACCTAGGAATGGGACACTTTTCATCAATCTCAATGAATTTTTCACACACTTGGCGAACATGATAATACTCACCTTTTGCCAAATAATGCTTGGACGCATCCAAATCCTTTTCTAACTTGCGGTCCAATTCTGATGCTTCTTTTGAAAAGCATTTAAGAGCATACACAAGTATGGGTCGCTTCTTTCCTTTAAGCTTAATGAAATCCACGAATAAGCACACAAAGTGAGGTCTTACAACGTGATACGTGTGACTGCCAATTACGATGTGCCATGAAATATGTTCCGCAACATGCTGCAATCGACTTGCAACATTTACATTATCACCAATAACTGTGTAACTCACCCTTGATAAAGATCCCATACCTTTTTTATGAGAATAACATTCATGAACGACAGAGATCCGTAAAATGGTTATGAATTACGAAACATGAAGATTTTCAAGAGTTGTAACACTCAACTTACATCCACAAAACATTTCTCCACTATTAATACCCACATGCACGTGCAGTTTTGGATAACCACCACGAGTTTTCCAGAGTGTCTCCATTGTCTTTAATTGCTCTATAATTTCCAATGCCGCCCTACATGCATAAATTTCATGGTTGGCACATTCAAACGATTTGTCGTTCCAAAAGGCCATGACAGTCCCCTCCATGATCTTATAGACGATACCATTATGCACTGCAATGAAGCGACACACGATATCCAAAAACTCTGTCACCACCTCTAAAATAATATGAATAGAATCTCTAGAACGAACAAAATCACATATAAGACAACAACATATTTCCCATTTCTCAAAATTTCTGAAAAGAAAGCTCTTTTAAAAGTAACCACCACAACTGTCCAATTGAGACCATGTTCATCAGTGATGAAAGCAGTTTTCACAAGCAATTGGTTCAGTCTTGAGGAAGGTATGGTCGAATGTTGCCCTTTTTCATTGGCCATCATCATGAACGCAATGGCCTCTTGGGAAAGTTTGTTATAATGTAGTGTAATGCTAGAATCAAGTGGGAAAAGGTGAGATGTACTGGCAATAATAGTTCCAAAAGAGTTGACAATAAAACTATGCTCATCATGATTTGAGATATTTCTCAGTAAGGAATTCATGAAATTAAGGGTGAATTGAACTATCCCAAAGAGATGTTCTATAGGTGTTTGATGAGAATACAACGACGTTACGTTAGAACGTTCTAATTTTTGAATGCGTTCATCAATATAGATGGGCAACACAAAAGTCACAGCTCTCTCCTTATACACATTCGTGAAAACATCGGTCCAGTAAGGTTGTGACGCGTTTTTCCTAAAGAATTGATTGATCCAAGGCCTCGATATGGTTGCATGTGTGAGTTGTGGATAAATATTTCCATGAAAATAAGAGTCCTCTTTCATCAACATTAGAAATGGAAAATAAGGTCGCCTCATTGCCCTCTTTCACTTCAAACGTATTATTGTAGAAACCAACGAAATAATTATCGTATCGAGAGAATTGAATCATGACTGCAGAATTTGAAAAATATTCAGCCAAATGCACAAATATCTTCATCCACCACATGAGATTCATAACATTCATGGGAGTACCATAATACAATCGGTAGTAGATGCCATTCTTGCCAATTTTCCAATTTCCGATTGGACATGAAGCAAATGTTGTGCTGTCATATTGTTTTCAGTACTCGCATGAATGCTAGCACCATTCGTATGAAGAAGGAAAAAAGGCCAATATTCCTAAAAGACCTTGAGTGATGAAAAGCACTAGAATGATATTCATTGTTTTGCTTGTGTGTTGCAGACATTTGGTGCATTTTGCTTTGAGTAATTGAGGGTTTGAGTTAGTCATGAATCGATTTTCTGTGAGAGAAATATGAAATCAGAGGATTCAGTGATGAAAGGAATGTAAGAGAAGAGCCAACAACAAAATGCATCCACAATCTATTTTCCCGACCGTTTGTGACAGTAGTTTTGTGCTATTATTGTTTTAAAACACAAATGAAGTTGGATATGCTTCTCGAATATTTAACACGGGTTAGCACTGCATTTTTCATATTATTCATCCACATTTGGACATTTTACACAATTGCATTGAGCATTCATGCATGAATTGCGTTATTAGATGGAAATTACAACCAAATCCTGAATTGTGGTGTTACTTGGTTCTAGGATCGTTCAAGGGTAGTCGCAATTAACAAATCAAGTGATCCGAATAATCTTTAGAGGATAATTTTGAAAAGTTACCCAAGAAATGTGTGTCCAATTGACCTTGATGAAATATTTGTCGAAAAGAAGAACCAGAGAGAATCTTTTCCAAGTTCATCACCAAAAAAATTCATTCTTCTTGATCATCATCATGTGTGGTTCACCAATCTCGGGTCCCCTGCTTGTGCTATTCTATCCAGCTATTCTTGCTGTGGGTGCTATGGATTACATCGGGAGGTTAGATTCTCGGATCAGAGCCAATAATGAAAAGGTGAGCCACAAGTGGCAACAAAAACGAAAAGAATTCAAGACGCGTTTACTTTTCCGAAAGCAAATTAAAGCAGAGAATAAATTGAATAAGCAATTGAAGAAATTCAACCAAGGGAGTACTACTTCTTTGCAAGATCACGACAAGTTGTTGAATGAGTCAACTGAAGATATGGAATGCAAGTTGGATCAAGCCCAACAACAAACCGAGGATGGATCAACAACCAATGAAGAAACTCAAGAAGATGCCATCTTATTCGTTCAGAGAGCTGTTGTGAGAGGTGCTGCCAATGAATATGAAAAAGCTCTCAAGGATTTGGCATTTGCACAAGAGTTGTATCCTGCTTTGAAAGAAACTTATATTATGTTGTATTTGGAAGGGTTTTGCTATGCTGCACTGGGTCAGTATTTAGATGCTGCACGCTCCTTTAAGAAAGCCATTCAAATGAAAGAGGAAATGACCTCTGACAGTTTGGACAAATGCTTAGATGTAGAACGAAAGATTTTTGAAATCCAGACAGAGATGAAACACACATATGAAAAAGCGTTGCAATCGATTGGAGAATATGCCGTGTCAACACGACAATATTTGCACAACACAAAAGAACATTTGAAAAACAAGCTGTTGGGACGAGGAAGCAAGTCACAAACTTCTGATTCAGCCTCACACACAACAGATGTCGAGTCTCCTGCCACTGTTGAAAAAGACAATGGCTCTCTTCCACAATCACTGATTTCATTAGAAGAATTGTATTTTAGAGCTGGTGTTGCCTATTATTATTGCGCCTACTACTCTGACTCGATCACTTATTACACAAAAGCGATTGAACTTCTTTCACAACACCAGCAATCGAAGGAGAGCAGCTCTCTGTTGGCATCTTATTACTACAATAGAGGACTCTCAAATTATTATTTCAGTGAATTGGATCATGCTCTCAATGATTTCCTTAATTGCACGAAATTACAACAAAACATTGATGCTCTCAAAATGATTGCAGCCACTTATGGAAGAAAAGGATGTCTCACAGAGCAATCTGAATACAAGAAACAAGCAAAAATGTTGAACCCACTCACAAAATTTGTTTCTGTGTTTCACTATCGGTTGCTCGATGAAAATTGCACACATTTGGTCTTCTCCTATTTACCAATTTATAGCCTAATGCTTGTAGGAGGAACTTGTCGTTACTGGAGAGAATTGGCCATGCAAAATTTGGGATTTAGACCATACTTTGAAATTTCGTTTGATAATTTAATTAATAATGTTGAGAAGCAGGTCGAGCGAGCAAATCATGCCTCACTGAAAGAGAAATTATTCTTACCAACTGATCATTACAAATCAAGTGATGACTTGTTGAGAGCTGTATTGAATGCATCATTCTTTGATCTCTATGTCAAGAAAGAGAACAAGAAAGTTATCCTTAAAGAATATTCGAAACCTAACTATTGCTATCACTACGACGGGTCACCTTTTCACAGATTCATGGTCAATGTTTCTTCATTGCACATTTGTTATGATTTACTCTTCTCATCTTGTGTGATTGACGAGTTATTCCGAAATAGTGTCCCTCCTTTGGAAGAGTTGGTGATTTTTGGGGCTGATAAGGAGTTCATATCCATCTCTGACTTGCATGCATTAGAGTTTGCTCAGATTGATTTTACTCGATTCACGAGTTTGAAAAAGTTGGTCATTGATGTCTGTGTAATTATAGATGGTCCATTCGACTCTTCAAGTGGAGATACTGATAGAACCATCAAGCTTCCTGAAAGTATGGAGATTGTGGAGTACTGTGCAAAATCCAAACCATTTATTCAACGTATTGCAGAACACTATCCAAATTTCACATTCAAAGAGCTATAAGCAATTCGACGAGATCACTATATTTCAAGGATTCCAGTATGAGAATGTATGATGGTTTTAAAATGGACCTTCCTCTTTTGCAATTTCAAAACCTGCGTGACATCCACAACGAAACTTCACCGAACATGAGTCGAGTCACCACAACAGGCCATCAATCAAATGCCACTCTCACTACAACCTACAAAATTAGACTAAAAAAAATGTTCAACCGAATGTCATCACCACCTGCCAACAGGACCTTCTTTTTGGTCATGTTATTGCTGTTGGTGATTTCCTCTTGTCTCATCCATTTTCTCTCTCCAGTCCAAGCAGCATCAACACGCTCTCGTGAAGTTTCCTACTGGAAGAAGAATCTCTCACTCCGTGATGCTCGCAAACTACATCGTATCCGAAATCAAATGAAACGCACTCGAAGAACTTTGAAAGGCTTGAAATTGGAATTGTCATCTTCCACAAACTCTCAAAGACGTCGTCGACTCATTAAAAGATTGATCAAGAAAAGAAAACAACGAATGATCAAGTTGAGAAGAAAATTGAAAAGACAGTTGAGAAGAGTGGTTCGAAAGGCTTCTTCAAGAAGACGCAATTCTTCTCCAAAAAGATCTCAAAGACGTCGAAGAGCCTCTGTCAAATGTACCAAGAGAAATCAAAGACTCAGAAAATGTAAAAAAATTGCTAAACGAAGATTGGCAAGACTTGGCAAACAATTAAGAAGAAGAATTGCTGCTGCAAGAAGAAGAGCCGCTCGTAGAAAATGCTCACAAAAGAGACATCGACGATCCAGAAAGTGTCAAAGACTTGTTCGTAAAATTTTACAACGTAGAAGAAGAGAAAGACGTGCTAACAGACGTCGTTCTGCAATAAAATGCACCAAGAGAAATCGAAGACTCAGAAGATGCAAAAGACAACGATCTCAAAGAAGACAATCCAGAGGAAAGAAACCTTTGAGAAGAATTATGAGAAAGGTCAGAGCAAGAGCTTTGAGAGATGCTGCAAGACAACGAAGAGCATTGTTGAGAAGACTGAGAAGACAACAAAGACGTGCTGCTGCAAGAAGACAACGACGTTCAAGAAAATGCACCAAGAGAAATCAAAGAAGATGTAAAAGACAACGATCTCAGAGAAGACGTTTCGTTGTTCTTTCATTTAACAAACGTGCATTCTTGAGAAAATTATTGAGAAGAAAATCTCATCGTTATTATGGATTAAGAGGATTCAAGAGATATGCTCGATTGGTCACCTTGTTGAGATGGATCAGAGCAAAGAGAGCTTCTGCCAGTCGTCGGTCTCGTTATTACAGACTTAAGGAGAGAAGAATTTTAAGAGGATTGAGAATGTTGAAAAATCGTTTTGCCAAACTTCGTCTCCCAAGAAGAAGAAGATCTCCATCAAAGGTCACACGAATTGTGATTCATGGAGTCAAAAATAAGAAGCAAGTCAGATTGGTCATTCCAAAACGTTTGAAGAATAAGATCAAGAAGGTTGTTGCCTATCGTGTCTAAATGTGATGAAATAATTAAAACCTTGATTGACACAATTTCATGACCCACAGATTCTCACCGATTCGAAAAAGGCAAGCAGCTATTGTTTTCTTCGAAATATGAGAAAATGTTCATCGCTTTCCGTTGGTAGAATGTTTAGTGAGGTCACTCCTCCTTGTCATGGCCGCTCTTTTTGTCAAAATGTAAATCCATGCGATGAGACGAATCATCAGAATCATCAGCTCATGTCATTCATTCCAAGAGCATCACGAGTTGCTCCTTCCTCTTTCACACGAAATCTTTTCAAAGAAAGCAACCCGCTAAAGTCGTGTGGACACATTCGTTGCAGACTGTTTGTTGACCAAACATCAAAATCATTCATTCTGAAAAAAGAAATTACAAATCCGCACTGTCAGCGATTCTTAATTATCGCAAAACAAAAATTCATTGTTGAGTATTGTCCAAGCAGTTATATTGTCAGTTGATGCCAAGGAGAATGACAGCCGCCCGACAAGACAAGTCGTCATCATCAACTTGTAAGCCACAACATCTGCCACCTGTCAAGATTAGCTGTCAAGATGTGCTGCAATATTTTGAAATGAATTTTAATGCTTTCATTGATTATCCACCAGCACGGCAATGCTTTTTCACATTTCTTGAGTCGACGCATAATACAGGTATGTTCACATATGATGACATTTGGCATTTGATGACCTCTCATTGTTCACATGTTCATCATCTTCTCACACTTTCATCACCGCATTCTCATAATTTGCACTGTCATGGAAAATCATATCGAATATCCACTCCTCACCAAATATAGAAATCACACTTTTTCTCGAGCAAATTGAAATTTTCAAATCTCTTCATTCTTCACAATACAATATTTGCAGTCAATCCAATTCCACTTCCACAGCTGAATCGAACACTTCGAGCACAAGTTCGAAACAGTCTGATAGTTATTTCGATCACGAGACAGCGGAAGATATTTTCGAATATCATCTTCATGGAGCTCCAACACTCTCTCAAGCTGCTTTATTGAAAGCATGTGAAATTGCAGATACATTTATTCAAGATCATGCACCTAATGAATTAAATTTGAAAAGTGACACGAAAAAAAAAATTTTGGAGAAAATTGAAAAGAATCGAAATTTTTATGGATTGAATTCTCAACGAGAGGAGGACGACGATGTGAATGGAAAGCAAGTTTCTGCAGTTCCATTTCTGGATGCAACAATTTTTGATGATTTGGAAGCTCATATTTTACTTTCCCTTAAATCCAACCAATTTGGAAATTTTTTGGCAAGTGACATTTTCAAAAATTTTGTTGAAAATGTATCGATAGAGACTCTTTTCATTTTGGGAACTCCAAGAAAGGGAGTATCTAGTACAGGAGGTGTTGACTTTTTACAACTCCTCAATTCCAAACATTCTCAAAAGACTTTTTCAACTCGAATTTCCATCAATTCATACAACATTTTCACACACAGTGAGGCCTTAACACTTCGAGAAGTTCAATATTTGAGAAATACTCTTCTCCAATACGATCATTCCTCTCCAATTTGGACGTTATTGTCCTATTCGAAAGAACAGGAAATTTACGCGACTGTGATGGATGGAGATTCATTTTGTGAACAATTATTCGGAAGGAAAGATATCATGTTCTACAAATCAGTAACTCATTATCCGTATGGATCTGATCGAGTGTACAAAGCTCTAATTGATTTTGAATTTAGAAAGTCTCACACTACAGAACCAGTGAGTTCGAGTGAAATTTCGAAATACATTTCTGGAAATGTAGCATCATCGAATTCACTGCATTCTTCTGTATCCACAGGATGTTCGAATCAACAATTAGATACAGTGATTTTGTCAGAATTGTATGAAATGAAATGGCCAATTAGAAATCGAGAATTTGTGACAAGTTGTGCAGGAGTTCGAGTCACTACTTATATTCATCCTTCCAATTCGAATTCTTCTGCCACATCGATGTCACTCATCTCTAATCAGACATCTACCAATCATGCTTCAACCAATCATAATAATGGTAACACAAAAGACACCATTGGTACTACCTCCAATTTGGATACTTTTTATTTCTTCAAAAAGTCATGCAATCACCAAAATATTATTGACTTGCAACAAGTGTTGAATTCTGACAAGGCATTGCTCATTGGTGGAGTACTTTTCAATAATTCTTTATCCACCACTGCCAACTCTAAATTTAAAAACACAGTTCAAGGATATTGTTTGAGTGCACTCAAAGTGGAACCAACCTCTTCCACGTCATGTAAATCGACACATGTCATGTTTGTGGATATGAAAGGATTATTAACTCAAAATTGGGCTCAGAAAATTTTAACACACAAATCCAAGAGTGGTAAAAAACATGTCACTCTTTTGAAAACTCCACAACAGGAAATGGCTCAATGGATTGAAAAAGATTCCCTTGTCGCATGGAATTCACCAGTGACAGATGCAATTTTGAAAACCCTCAACGAAAATGTAAACATTTTTTAATGAGAGAGAGAATGAGAACAAAATCTATGATCAAATCCTCCAATGAAGATATGGAGAGAATGGAATTACCTTTTCTTTCCTTATTGAATAATTGTAAATACACAAGCTTTTATGAAAGTTTCTTCTAATTTCGAAACTGCCATTCCTCAGCAGTGGCAATCATTTTAAATTTCTTGACATGATGATCTCTTTATTTTTTTTTAATTAATTTAAAAATTTTCAAATTTAAAATTCATTATTTCAAATAGGATGACTCGTTGTGATAAATCAAATACAGAGAGAATATCACTTCTGGTAGAGTCTAATCAATGTCAACGTGAATGATGTTTATTCGAGATTATAAAATTGGAGTTAGGAGAAGAAGGCGACAAGACGGATGTCTTTGAATTCTCATCTTACCGTTAGGTTGATGGTGGTCGAAACAAGACAAATCTCGAATTTGACTTGGTTCCAAGTTTTGATCCTGTTCTTTATTGCTTGACACTTCCTTTTTTCAGAAATTGCCGAATCTGACATTGTTTGAATTCTTTTTTCAATGTTTGAAACGCCTGTGCATAATCCTTTCGAAGAGCATCTGTTTCATTCCTTAAATCCTGAATAAGAATCAATAACTGAGAGGCCATTCGTTCAGAATCTTGCACTTTTGTTTTGAGATGTAAATTTTCAGTGTGTAACAACACCATTCGTTGAGAATAAAGAGCTTTCTCATTCGAAAATGATTTAAATTGTTCTGCAAGAAGTAATTCCTTTCGTTCGACTTGTTCTTGCAAATCAGAGATTTGTTGTTGGAGACTTTCTTTCATGGATGCATTGCTTTCTAGTAAGAGTTTGAGTCGATCGATGTTTTGATTCAATTCCTTGTTCAAATATTGCAAAATTTCGATCGAATGTTTCAGAGTGGATTCTTCCTTCATGTTTGAATGTGGTTGATCTGTTTCAAGTTTTTCAAGATTTTGTCGAAAGATTTGTTCCTTTTCTTCAATGTTCCAAGTATATTGATGGAGAAGTGCATTCAATTCATTCACTTTCATGGAGAGTCTTCCATTTTCTTGTGACAATTGTCGACATTCTTCTTCTCTCTGAAAAAGTTTTGTTTCAAATTCTTCACATTGTCGTTGCGAGAGATTCTCGTATTGTCTTTGTTCAGAGAAGAATTGAAACATTTTGGATTCCAATCGTTGAAGAATCGAAGTAGTACTACTTCCAGTAGTTTGTGGTGGGAGAGAAGATTTCATTGTGGAGTTATGTTGATACGAAAGGGTGTTTTGGTTTGTCATTTTGTTTTTTTTCTTGGTGTTGGTTGCGAGACAATTTCCCTTTGCTTTGGAAAATAAGTTTCTGCGTTATTATAAACAAAGATGGAATTTTAATATGCATCTCTTTGAACTGAAGGTGAAACTTGGAACACCTGTTTTGAAAATTGTCTGCAGTAGTAAAGAGATATTCCTAAAGTGGATTTTTTTTCGTTCTTCGTCATTCTTTTGGAAATGCAACTTTTAAAATTAATATGCAAAGTTAAATTACCACATATGTGCATCACAATGGATAATTTGTGGATACGCAGATTTTACTTTGTATATAGTCAATACGGTGGCTTGGTCTGAATTACATCTGTTTTGAGTGACAAGTGACAGTCTTCATTCCCTCCAAAATTTACAAAAAAAAAATTTATAACCAGCTGCGGATGATACGAATTTAAATTACATGATTCACTCCACTTGCAACTTGTAACATCACGTTCGTGGTTTTTTTCAAATACAACAACATTGCGCCACTAAAACATTTTTCATTCTCAAACCGTTCCTATCTGTCACTGGTCAATTTCAGTCATTCATCGTTTTCATTCCAACTTTGGTTCGAATTGGTTTTCTTTGTTGAACACACCTCTTCTGATCAACACATCATCATGGGTCAACGTTTATCCCTCAATGTGGCAACCATTTCTAGGCTTGAAGATTTAATTCCCATCTCTGCATCGGCTTCTGGTCGTGATGATGATGAAGGACAGGGTCCTCCTGATCGATCAGAAGCTCTTCGGGAAGAACAACAAAATACGATTCGTTTGAAATTATTGAAAGCCAATGTCGTGTCAGCTGCCACCTCACATCATGGAAATAACGTAGCATCAAGCGCCTCCCCAAAAAGCTTTGTTGATAGGAGAAGACGTGGGACTGATGCCGCCTTCAAACACGAATTGGGAAGAAGGCCGTCCTATAGCTCGGACAACATCTCACAACCATCCTTTGGAGAAGAGCAAACAGCACTCATTCTTGAAAAGATGAAAAACATTGGACCTCTTCAACAATTTGTCGAACAATTGAGTAATGAGGAGAAACTCTTAAAATCGTATTTGGATTTCAATTGGATGACAACAGTGGCACTCATTGAGAGATCTGCATCAGAAAGTATGAGATTTCTTTCAAAAGGCATTGGTGACTTTTTCAATGTTGCAATTACAGAAATGCAACTTAAAATCTCAGATTCACAAGCAGACTTGACCTCACTGGAATCCATTCATGGTCAACACTATGTTGAGGTCAAGCTTGTCATTGTGCCGTACATTCATTTCAATGAAGGAAGTAGCTTTAGCACGATCAGCTTTCCAGTTTTGGATCACTTTCCAGTGGATTCTGAGGATGAACCTTTTGTTGTGACCAATGTGTCACCGCGAAGCAATAATACCAGCAATCATAACACGAATACATCATCATCATCGAGTCCTCTCCGTATCAATGTCACCAAAAAGCCATCCAAATTTACGCTGGCGCTCGTGGTGGGTCCTTGGCTGGTGTTTTTTGATCCTCTCACTAGCTTGGTCATTCCCAAAAAGTTGTATGGAATGGCGAAAATCATTGCCTCGAATCTTCCTGAATTGTTCATCACCAAACAAAAAGAAAAACTCACTGAAAAGCTCGCCAAGTGCATTGTGTCGTGGAATACTTCGAAATTATTCAAGAATGAAAAAGATATATTTTCCTCTCCTCGTCATAATTCCACAACCATGCAACAACAGAGCATGTATGGCAATGGAATTGATTTCATAGATGACTATCTTTTGAATTATTTGAATATTGACTACACAACTTTTCCTCTCGTGCGATATTTTAAAACCTTTTTAGGGAATGCTCGACAACAAGGATGGTCTCAAATGGTGATTGATTTGGATGAGAACTTAATTGGAAAATATGGACCTGTCTTGACACCCACAACTCCATTACACCCATGCTTTGATTTTTCTCAATCCAATAACAAGAGAATTTCCACCAACAACAACAACGAAAATAGTACAACAACTAACAAATCAGGGAATGTGTGTACCTTGATCATTGAAAGTCACGAAGAATTGGACAACATGATTAAGGACATGATGATCCATGATCTCATGGAACATGCTGCGTCATTTAAAGTTGAAAGAACATCAACTCCAGAAACACCACTTGGAAGTGAGCCTCCAGCATCGCACATCATTCCAAAGAAAGAAAGCCATAAGACTGTCACACAACTTCAGCAACCATCATCATCCTCTTCCGCTGCGACTACTGCTGAATCTGAGAGTACTAACACCAAGAAGAAAACAACGCCAGTCTCTCACTTTTTCATTGATGTTCTGAGAATGTTTGATCGAGCTTGGTGGATGAGACACTTGTTTGATGTGAATGAAGAACATGTTGAGATTTCAACACCAAGCAATAAGAAGCATGTGTCGACCACTGTACAAAGTTCTGGCGACTCCCCAACTCAAATTCGTCATACGCGTGATTACATTAGTGAAATTGGATGTCCCTTTGGTCATGCAATTCCGGATTACGAAAAGAATTTGGAATGTTATCCAAGAAGGCGCAAAAAGAAGCTCAAACAACAAGGGGTGAGTAGGCCAAACTCACCTTCTTCACCCAATACAAGCAGAAGATCCATCACTTCTCTCAGTCCTCGAAAGTCACCATCAATTCGATCGAATGCCTCTCCCAAAACTCCAGTCCAACCATATCCACAATCAACTAGTAGTGACAGTATACCCATTGATGGCTTGAACGAAATAAAGCGGTAGTACTATTAGCCTATTAGCAATAAACAAGTATTTTCGAGTTTGGAAATTTCAAAATTAAATTTGTAATATAAGATTCATATACATAATATTATATTAAAGAACATCGATCGATGGGATTTTCAAATGGTTTTTTTAAATTCAATTATACTCCAATACTTTCTCTAAAAATTGAATAATTCTAGTGACACTATAGCCGTCAAAATGGAATAAAATTGATGATTCAGTTGATTCACATGCTTGATTTAAAATAAATAAAAACTCTAATTGAATTTTAAGGATGCTGAAATGTTAGAACCATAAATAGCTGATGATCGAGAATCGTCTAGGTGATTCCTAATGGCCTCAAAACCACCCCTTCCATTAAGAATATTAAGAAAAATGTAATACGTATCTGGAAACTTTGGGTTTGAGATTGCCTTAATCATATGTTCATTCTTGATATTACCTTCCAAAATTGGAACATTTGACTTGAGAAGCGACAGAAAATGTGGAAGAGACATTTGGTTTGGAATTCCAATAATTCTAACAGCTTGTGTCTGTTCTTGTCGTGAAAAGGACGAGCTACTGTCCACAGACTGTTGATCTTGAGAAACGAAAGAACTTGCATTCGAATAAGTAGAGCAATCGCTCAATAAATCTCTTTGAGCAGCAGGCAATCGAATTCCTTTAGAATAATATGTTTGTTGTTGATAACCCACTGACAATCCTTTCATGGAAGTATTGGAGGATGGAGGAGGTGGACGATAGTGAGGTCGTGGTGGTGGTCGCTGTGCATATGAATCTGAATTATAATAATAATTACTATTATGATAATTATTGGTATTATTATTTTGAGATGATGATGAAGGATGAGAATAATACGGTGGATTGTTCTGAGAGTTATTATTCATAACAACATTTGGATCGTTGGACATGTAAGGATGATGAATCACAGGCTTCGAGGATGGATCTCCACCATCATAGATTGGATTTTGAGAGAAGGGCATGAATGGGGGTGGTTGTTGAGGCATTCCGCCGTGTTGTGTTTGGAATGGTGGTTGTTGTTGTTGTTGAGGCAAGAAGGATTCCTGTTGGGATGACATTTGGTTTAAACTCGTATAGGAAGGCCATGCCATTGATGATGAAAAATCGGTTTGAAGAGGTTCCTCGAAGACATGAGTACCTTGAATATCATATTGTGGATGATCAACATTCCCTTCTTCATGTGGATGAATATCAATAGAATTGTTGTAGTTTGATGAAGGATAGTTCATCATCATCATCTCACTGTGGGGGTGGCTATTTGGAAAATTATTCATAGGTTGTTGTTGATGATGATAAGAAGAAGAAGAATATCCTCCTCTTCCATTGCCATTACCATGATGACTACTACTACCACGGAAAGAATTATATCCTCCTCTTCCTCGATTTGATTTGTTATAGCCACCACGACCTCCTCTTCCACCTCTTCCTCCACCTCTACCACCAGTCGTGCCTCCTCGTGATGATGATGATGAGGAAGTGGTGCTGGATGGATGGGAATAATTCTGATTTGACATTTTTGTTTTTGAAGGAATTCTAAATACGTGATTTTGTAAGGACTTTAATGTTGGTTTGATAGACAAACTATAATTTGGTGATCACAAAAGAAATAATTGACAGCAAATGAACAGGTTCACCATTCATGGGAGTGAATATGAACTTATTCGTGTGTGGCATTGACCAAGACTCTTCCATTTCGTTAATAATCTCTATACTGTTGACAACAAGTCACTTCATAGAATGACACACTTTTTCTTCTCCAATTTCTGTTGTCCACTACCACTCCCTACACTCTTCCCTGAATGAGCCGAATTAGAAATAAAACTTGGCGACGTTGCACTATTGTCCATTTGTGTATTCAAGAATGTAGGCGAAGGAGCAGCATCTGAAGTGGTTCTCCTCAACAAGCTTGACGTGCTTCCGGAAGCACCTCCTTCGAGACTCGATAATTTTCCATGACTAAAAACATTGTGTAAATAATGAGTCGTGTTTTCACTCAGAGAAGGAGGACTTGTCGTGATTGAAATGTTGACATCTTGAACTTCTTCAGAAAGTTTCACTCCCTTATGGATTAACACGTGTTTTGCTGTTCGTTGAAAGGATTTTTTAACATTCATTCCAGTGAGTGCAGAGCAATCAAAATGATCCAATTGATGTTGCTTAATAAATTTTGTGACCATATCGGCTGTCACTTGTCGTCGTGGTTCTTTCAAGTCTGCCTTATTTCCAACCACCACAATGGCTGGCCATGAATCTGAATCTTTCACTCGCAGTATTTGCTCATAAAATTCAGAAATATTTTCAAATGATTTCTTGTCATCTATTGCGTAGACCAATAAAAAGCCATCCGCATGTTTCATCCAACTCTCTCGTAATGATTTAAATTCTTCCTGACCTGCCGTGTCCAGGATTGAAAAGCCACATTGTTGGCCATTTTCGAGTTCAGTAAATTTGTAGTATCTTTTACAACAACGTGAATAAGATAAGAACCATGAAAAAAAAACATGAATACATGTATTTGGTCGAAAATGGAAGACAATTCCATATTTTGGTTTGTTGGTAATATGGTCATGAAAGTTCAGCAAATCATAATAACAAGTACATACGAATCTTCAATGGTAGGATCATAATTTTCAGAAAATGTTTCTTTGGTGAATCGAAGAGTCAAACAACTCTTTCCGACACCTCCGCTGTTCAACAACCAACAATTTAAAGACAATGTTTGACAGAACAGTGTTTGTAGTACAATTTCATGTAACATTTGACAGCTGTTGAAGATAGACGAAGAAGCAGAGCGGTGACTTACCTGCCAATCACTGCGATTTTAACCTCCATGGGATATGTATTGAGAAGTTGCGATTTGTTTGAGAAGAGACAATTTTTTTTGTGTTGTGTCCTTGATAAATCATTGCAACCTGTCTGCTGTCATCTAAAAGAGATAGGCCCAGTTCGCTCCGAGAAGTTTTAAACATAACGAATCCTTTCTTTCTGTATGAGAAGGGCGAAAGTGACAAAATTAAAAAAATTGTTTTTTATTAGCACCAATTTCTTTCTTTGTATAAATTAAATATATCATTCTCGAAAGATTCAACTTTGATTATAACACACAATTATTTTACAAGATCAACATCATCATGGGACAAGCAAAATCAAGCAAACACACAATGATGATGATTGAATTCAATGATTCCGATCGATGTTTTGACAAAGAATTTTTCAATTATCTACCACCCCATGAAAGAGAAGAAGAAAAAGAACATATATGATCATCCTCTTCCAACCTGTCATGACAAGGAACTCCTTACAAATTTTGGAGAAGAATCGATCATATTTATCGGAGAGAAGGATTACCATCGACCGTTCTGAATCCTTCTCTCGCTGACAAAAAGATTATTGTTGATTTATTGAAAGAGGAGGATGATGGTGAATCCAATGATGAAAAAACAGGAATTTTGGATGATCAAAACAATTGCCAGAAGAAATGTTTGTCACAATTTTACATTACTTGACATCATCAGAAATTTGTCGAACTGTCATTCCTCTCAATTCACGCATCAATGGTTTCGCTCGAAATCAGAATTTATGGAAATCCTATTACATGAAAGAATGGTCTTGTCGTTTCGTTACTTGCAACACTAAAGAGGAAATGGTGATAAACCATGAGGACCTTCAAAGTGATAATAATACTGTGCGAGAGCAGTTATACCACCACGTTCATGCGTTGAAACATGCATCTTCGCTGAGGAGCAGAGAAAACGAGTGACGGACACTCATTCGATCGATACGATTGATTGGTATAATTGCTTCATTATTCGAAAGACATTGGAGAAGGAGTTTTGTGCCATTCTTTTTGGTGTTTTGAATATCAAATATGGGTTCATGAGTGATAGCAAGTTTTATGTGGAGAGAACTGTGTGCTGTCGACCAATGCATGTAAGTAGATGGTGGCTATGTGGTTGGTGGTTCAGACAATTGAAGTTGTTTTTTGGTTGGTCCTTCTGGATACCCTTTTTGCCAACAAACTCATTGGTTGATTCATTATGTTCCTTACTCATGTGCGACAACTTTTTAGCTTTAATATTTCTGGTTATGGAGGACATTTCTCCTTCTGTAGTGTACTGCGCCCCAATTTATAATGGACAGATCGTAAAAGACCTTTCGAGTGGAATGATGCATCTAGATTCGTTGTTAAACTGGAGAGACAATCTCTCCACCCAATTTATCGACTGGGGGAAAACATTTCTTTCTGAAACTAAGGTTTTACCTATTTCAGAGAAGGAGAACAAAAAGTTGTGATGGGATGAGCAAGCTACAAAGGTGGAATTTTATTCGGACTCGCATCTATGGAGCCCAATCACTGGCCAGATGCGTTGTAGAACGGGAGAGGATTTATTTAACTCTGTGGTTCATATTGTGGGCATGACATTGAGCAAGTGTCATCAACACAACGAGACAATGAAGAAGGTATTCTTGCAAAATATAATTGTGAGAGGTGGATTCAGTAAAGTGGAAGGTCTAATGTCGAGATTTGAATCTTACATTCACAAACAATATAGAAAATATGAGCCCAAAATTTCAGTTAAATATGACCCACTTGATATCATTGCAGGTGCTAAAATCTTTGCCAATTTAAGGTCATTTAAGGAAAATTGTGTATTTAATGTGTGAGGCAAAAGTGTTGTCCTGTTCGGCAGATTACTCGAATAAAATCATGATGTAATAATATTTTAAGATTTCGTTCGACAGCACTTGACGATGCAAGCTGTGACCAACCATGGTAACTGGTTGTACTCTAGCTGCAAATATTTGGGCCATTCTCTTATAAGGATCTTAAGGTCTATTTGGACGTGATATCATCGCTCTCTTGGCTTTCTGAATTTTCGTCATTTTGGTCGTCATAAGTGACCTCTTGTTGCTCATTATCACTACTGGTATCACTGTCATAATTAACAGCTGAATTGCTCTTATTTCCTAATAGAGACGACACCAAATTCATGTAAGCCATAAAATCTTGTTCTTGCTGTCTTTCCTCCAATGGCGTAATTCCGTTTCCGATTCTCAGTGTATTTTCCTCGTTTGATTCTGCCTCGTCACTTGACGAGTGTTGATGGTTTTCAATGGAGTCAGTTCCCTCTCCCGTCACTTCTTGAATCATAGAGCCCTTGGCAGTCACTTTTTTCTTTTCCTCCAATACTCCCAATGCGACATTCATTTCGATATATGGTTTAAAGGGCTCCTCTTCTTCATGCTGTTGAATTTTTCGTTTTTTTGATTTAGGAGAGAAATTTTGAGTCTCCGAGTCTTGTTCTTTTTCCTGGTTGTCATCATCTTCCTCATCACTTTCATTGTATCCAATAATTTCAACACATTCCTCCACATCATCTTCCGATAATTTATGTTTTAATTGAGCATTTGCTTGTTCAATGAGCGGAAGAAAATTTCGTATTCTACTCAATAACGAAGATGGCCGCAATGAAGATATATCTTCACCTAGAGAAGTACTCTTGTTCTCCGACTTTTTTGCAATCATATTATTTAGAAATGAAGGAAGTACAGTATTTTGTTTTTCTTCCCCATCATCATCCAAATCATCACGATGAATGATTGGTTCACTTTGCTCCGATATTTGAATTTCATCGGAATGGTCATGATCATGTACGAGACTATTTGTTTCATCCTTTGGGGGTTGATTTTCTTCCTGTCCAACCACTTGAATGAGCGGTGGCTTTCTGCATGATGATGAGGAGCGAGTAATTTCTATTAAATTGTTGTGTTGCATTTTTTTTGAACTTGAAATCCAAATCTGTTGTCGACACTTGTACACGATCATTTCACGTCTTGACGATTCACTCCACACTTTTCATCGTTGAGACATGAGAGTCATCGCCTTAATATTGGCCTTAAACAATAAGTTCATTCATACAATGAAAAAAAATGGAACACTCGAATTCGTGCTTATAATTTGAGAAATCTTATGGAATTCGAGGCTGAATACCTTCATCCCAGTTGGGAATCGAAATGTTGCTTGTCTCCACAAAGGATTGCAACGCATTCTTTGAAAAGACAAGTATTCATATGTGATTCACATCCAAGCCAAATGAATGTTAAAATTTTAGACTCTCGAACAGGAGAGAAGATGAGTGAAATTCCACTTGACATCAGTCCATATGGAATTGTAATGACATTCAATCATTTTTGTGATGAAGTCAAATTGTTTTGTTCAGTTTCGAACGAAGATGCATCTTATTGTGCCATTCAGGTACTCTCATGCAATGCAACGCGTATGGAATTTGAAAAGATTATGGAAATTGGAGAACTAGGTTCAAAGGAAGGCCATCTTAACTGTCCCTATGTCATGACTTTCATCCTGTCACGAATTGCATCATTGTAAGTGATATGTGCCATACTTCTCTAACAAGGAACGGAAGAATTCAAATTTTTAAGGCTCATGACGGAAGGTTTGTTAAATCTTTTGAAAACATACCTTATCCTTGTGGCCTATGTATGAATGAGCTCAACGGAAAGTTATACATATGCTCTGATCATGAACAAATTTATGAATTCATTTAAGACAATTAAAGTAGAATCAATAATTAATAATGAATTTGGGTTAAAGTTTAAAGAGCAAACGAAGAAATTGCAAAATTGAAAAAGAGCACAAAAAAACGAGGTTGATATCAACCCAATGTTCAGAGTGACTATTGACTTTTATGCAGACAATCTTAGCAACAACACAGCACTATTGAATTTCCAGAATTTATTCGTCCTAGAAGAAAAATCAGTCGTAGAATTGACTAATATTTCAAATGACATGGTGCTTAACGGAGTGCATGAAGATCAAGCAATTTCTAGATTGGTTGCAGAACTTACTCACAATTCTCCATTTGACAAAGATGCATCATTTAAAGCATACATGTATTGGAGGCAGAAAAAACTCTTGCAATCTAATTTCAAGGAAAATCGGTTGATATTTGTAGATTCTTTAGGAATTATCAAACAAAAATTATTAGAAAAATTTGAAGAGCTCGGAACAATATACAGTGTCAAGGAATAGAGATTTGATTTATCAAAAAGTTATCTCTTTTTAGTGATGGTTTTCGTTTTGACCTGTGGAGTACCTCCACCTGAAGAACCTCCCATACCTAAACCTCCTAACATACTCGAGAGATCCATACCTCCTCCTCCCATTCCTCCAAGCATATTTCCTAAACCACTCATCAAGTTATTCAAGTTCATTCCACCAAGATTTGGCATACCACCTTTTGCCATTTGCTTCATCATGGCGTTCATGTCCATATTGCCCATTCCTGGCATACCCTTCATGACACCTGGAAGTTTCTTTTGAAGACTCTCAATGTCTTTTTGTGACTTGATATTGTTCAAATTTAAGGATCCTAATTTGCCAATCATACTTTGGAAGAGCTTGAATTGTTCCAATAATTCTTGAACATCTTTGGGTGTTTTACCGCTTCCTCTTGCAATACGCATTATTCTCGATGGCATGTTTGGTAATTTTGTGATATCCGTACAATCCATTTCTTCATCATTGAAAGAGTCCATAATGGTCAAATATTTCTTTAGTCTGGCATTTCCTTCTTGTTCTGATCCCTTCGGTAATAATTGTTCACTGAAGCCTGGAATCATTGACATGACTTGTGAGAGGGGACCCATCTTCATGATGGATGTGAAATGTTCTCTCATGTCTCTCATGGTATAAATACCTTTTGCAATACCTTCAGCCATTTTTCGTTGTTTTTCTGGATCGACTGCCTCTTGCACTGTTTTTAAAAGTGTTGGAATATCGCCATGGCCTAACAATCGAGAAACAAAGCTTTGAGCTTCAAAAGGTTGAAAATCATCAAACTCTTCACCTGTACCAATGAAAGTAATTGGAGATTTTGTGGCAGCTACCGCACTGAGAGCACCACCTCCCTTAGCATGACCATCCAATTTGGTAACAATGACACTTCCGACTGCTACTCGTGACTTGAAAGCAGCAGCCTGTTCCTTAACGCTTTGACCAATACTACTGTCCATGACGAAGATGACTTCATCAGGTTTAACGGCCTCTGCCACTTGTTCCATTTCGTCAAAGAGAGATTCTTCTTGTTTGTGTCTACCTGATGTATCGACAATAATTAATTCATACTTTTCATTCTTGAATTGTTCCACACCATCTTTTGCAATTTTGACAGGATTTGATTCAATTTCATCACCATAGAATGCAATTTGAACTTTGGCTGCGTTTTGTTTCAATTGAGCGAGAGCACCCGCACGGAAAGTATCAGCACAAACCAGAGCTGCACGGAAGCCCTTCTTTTGATAATATCTAGCATATTTTGTACATGTTGTTGTCTGTATTGTTTTTGTTGTTGTTGGAATATTCATGATGATGGTCGATCATGTAATTGCAATGTACACGAGAATCATCATCGGAGATGCAGAAATTCATGTATAAAGATTGTCATACATTAAAATATTATGATCATTGAGAAAAATTCATGTGTATAGATTATTACACAAATGGTTCATCATCATTATCGTATGAATTCATTATTATGTGTATCAAAGTCATAATAATAATAACAAAAGTTTAACTCATCACTTGATCGACTACAATCAACGTCTACTTACTTTACCAGCACCTTGCAAACCGACAAACATGACTACATTTTGCTTTCCTTTCACCGGTTGAAAAGGTTTCACTCCGGGATCAAGTAATTTACACAATTCTTGATAAACAACAGCCTTGATATGATTTCGTCGGTTGATTCCTTTTGGTAATTTATCAAAATCCAATCCACTTTTTATACCATTACGTAGTTGAATCACTTGTTGTATATTTACATCCGCAGCCATCAAGGAATTACCAATTTCCTTCAGCAACTCGTTGATGACATTATCATCAATGACCTGAGTATTGATATTTCGGAGCGCATTGGTAATACGTGAGCCCAATTCAGCCAAGACCATTTTTTTGTGTGTTCGCCGTCGATATTTTTGTAACCATCATTATGGAGGAGGGTTTGTTTGGACTGTTATTATTATTTGAAGAAGAAGGACTGGCACGTCACGCTTTCCGATATCCACCAAGTTATTCTAGAGTCTCATCATTGAAATTAATGGGTTGGATTCACACCTCCATTTCAGAGACTCCCAAGGGCATATTGACATATTTCTTATGATAGAAGAGAGGTCGAAAATGTGAACGGAAAAGTACGATTAATCGAGGAGAGCCACCACGTTGATTGAGACAGAGATGTCAAATGGGGCCATCAAGGCAAATAATTTCAATAGTTCCTTGCACCCTCGTATTTTCACTATTAAGGGGTGTCTCGCGTTAATTTTCCGTCAATGACAGCAGAGTGAGATCGACCTTTGAGTTCCTCCCTCGAATTCGAGGGTGATCAACAACAACAATATTGATGACACACCATTCAAGGATGCACTTCTTGTGTTGTATATTTTTATGGTACATTCAAACAAACACCCACTCTTGAACACACCCACTCTTCATTTTCATCAAACAAAAAGAGGCCCTCTCCGCCATCAATAACAACACCCTATCCAAATCCAAATGGCCACCCCTGGCATGATTTGTGCGCAAAAAGGAAATTCACTATTAGAACTTTATCAATTTTGGAACCCAAAGGAGACAAGGCAACACTGAAATTCGAACAGAGAAGAGTTCGTTCGACGGCTCTTTCTCTCTCTGGACACCAAGAGCAACACACACTCACTACAACGACACACCACCACCACCTCTCGAGACACACGAGAAAACATACATCAAAAAAAAACATCGTCACCACCACCATCACCACCACCATCAACACCACCACCTTTGTTATTATTATTATTTTTATTCTTTCTCTTTCGAGGACAGAACAATTCTTTTTAAGCCTTGAACCTTGAAAATTGTTGATGTAATTGAATTCATACAACACAAAGCTTGAGACCAATCAACATTACTGTGTATGAAACAAGATTCATAACACTTATCAAGTTTCAGTCCACTACAATAACGCGTATTGAGTGTTTCAATCCTTTCTAACTTTTTCTTGTCCCCATATGTTGGAAGAAGTATTGAGTCATTTACTTGACTTTTACTCCAAATTCATCCTTCGCAATGAATATGCCATCACCTATTTGGACAACAATTATTATTCATTGACCATTTTAGTGAGTGGATTGTGGGTCGGGTGGTCCTTGGGAGTCACTCTTCCCTGCATGATGATCCATATGTATTGGTATTTCAAAACAACGACCAATGCATCGCATTCACCAACCTTGTCCACCACTACTACCACCACCACTGGTCATTCCATCGTCACCACCACAGAACCAAGATCAGCACCGACCACCACATTCAATACCACAACCACCACAACCACCTCGGAGAGATCGGTGACCTCCTCCTCTCATGGCGGACATGGTTCATCAACAACAAACACACTCTCTCCGTACATGATCCACTGCGACCATAGTTCAACCACACGACGACCACAAGGCCGATCGGAACAACTCGACATCGAGCATCCCTTCGCTCTGCATGACCAGGAGTATCGAGAGGTGGAAATGTCTTTTATCCAGGAGCAAGAACAGCATCGAGTTGTAGTGTCAGACTGCAGGAACCCATCTTCTCATAGTGATGATGAGCAAACGGTCATGTCTTGTTGCTCTTCTTCCTCGGTATCGAGAACTCGACGGCAATATCATCACCGATCGTGCTTTCATGTGTTCACCTATATTTCCTTTTTGGTCTCGTGTCTATTAATGGCAATTGTCTTCTTGTTGAGCTCCACGTTCAGCAAAATTCATTTCATGTGGTCTTCGTTATTCATGACGAGTGTTTTGTCCATTTGGGTGATGGGTGTTTTTGTGTTGGATTTTAAAAGACTTGTGGTGGAAATGCTTTGTTGTGGTTGTTGTTGTAGACGTCAACAAAAGAAGTGTTGTTCATCGACCATCTCCGCACTTGTCACCACCATTGAAGAAGGCCAAGAAGAAGGTCACGAAGAAGACCCCATTGAAGAACTCATTGAAGATCATCCCATGCAACATGAGAAATTGTTAAAGGTGACACATGATCCATCATTGCATGAGCGCGACATAGACCATCACCAAATTTCAGCTCTTCTCACTCCACAAGTCATTCCTTCTTCCAAATTCAAGTCACATCTTTCCTCCATGTTAAATTTTTGCCTCAAAAAGCATTCCAACAACTTCATCCTTCCACAAAAATTCTGTAAACCTTACATTGCAAACAAGCCCTTCCTCTTCACTACTCTCGTTCTTTGCATGGTCGTGTCCCTTATTTTCCTTTTTTGTACATTACTCTCCTATTCCTTGTACCATATTTGCATTGCAACGGATCCTATTGAAATTTCGACTTTATTTTCGAGAACAGTTCTCTCCAATCGCACGTGTCCATTGGATGACATTTGTTTCACTTACTTGACCGCTCCAGAACGAATGAATTCTCAAATGATTGTAAATTTTCAAATTTCCCTTTCGTCGAGCAATCATTTTCTGAGGAGTTTTGTGGAATTTAACAAGTTTGATCCTAAGGACCCCTCACTTGTCAATTCGAATCAATTTTGGTCACAACAAGAGCCACAATTTAAAAAAGCCCATTGTTTTCGAATGGAAAATATTTTCGAAGAAATTCGATATCAATGTATGGCTGAATTGACAGCACTCGATTCCGACTCGTCCTACATAGTTCGTGCTATTTTCGAAGACACATCCATCCCTAGCCAACGTCACACTGGAACCATATTGAAATTTCGAACCACTCCCTCTGAAGAAAACTCCAAGAAGAATATTGCATTCCTTAATGGAGGAGATTTATCATGGAGAGAACCCACAATGGCTCTTGCGAAATTTGTGCAGTCGATGGGAGATTCCAAACAGGATGCACCATGGCATTCCTCTCAAAATTTTGACCTCACAAATGACAGATCCGATTTGGCTCCCTATTTTGCCATTGTCGGAGGAGATGTGAGTTATGACAATGGGTGTGCTGCATGTTATCGAAGATGGGACGATTGGTTTCAAAAGTGGACTTGTTACATGACGACCACAATTTCCTATCCAACTGGTGGTGACACGAAAAAACAACAACCAAGAACGAACAACCAAGGAATGGCAACGTCATGGACAAGTCATACTTACACACTTCCTATTTTGACCGCTGTTGGAAATCATGAAGCTGGAAATTTCATGCGATCTCGTTCTGATAATGCCTATTACATTCGATACTTCCCCATGTCCATTTCAAAGAATGGTGAAATGATTCGAAATGACGGAATGATGGAAGATCCACAATTCACACGACCTTTACAACATGTGCATTTCCTTTCGAGACACACCATGATTGTGGTGTTAGATAGTTGGGTGCATGAGTCACCTCAAGAACAGGTTCACTATTTACTAGATTTGTTCGAGCATCAGGTGCGAAATGAACAATATGTGAAAAATCGAATTGTGGTGATTCACCATCCCATGTATTCTTCGGAAACAATCAAAACAATCATTTCGAAAGAAATGATCCACTCATGGGAATGTCTATTTTTGAAGTATAATGTGACAGCCGTGTTTGAAAATCATGTTCATGCTTACAAGCAAACATATCCCATTAAGGAAGGTCAAGTGACCACAACAAAGAGTGATTCGAATCTAAAGGGCTCTTTTACTTATCAAAAGCAACCTCATGAACATGAACAGCATGGAATTGTTTACATTGGTGATGGCAGTTGGGGAGTCACAAATTGGGATCCAAGTTTGGACTTTGATAATCCCATCTTTCGACAAGTAGGCTATGTGAGTCATGTGTTTCATGTAAATACTCGAGAATTGGAATCTGGAGAGGCCTTGTTGGAATTATCAGCACTAGGTTATAATAGTACGAGCGAAACTATTTATCAAGTGGAAGGATCAAGATTGAGAATTCTAACTGGATAATGTGGCCTATCGTGTGTTAGAGAAAATATTACTCAAAACACTAGTGTTATTTCTACTATTTACAGTTTCTTGCCTTTCAAAGAATAGATACTTTACACAAAAAAGAATGACCGTCACGCGCGTATAGAAAGACGTGATGACACTGTCAGTGAGGATATTAATGGGCAGTGAGTTCAATTCAATTGATGATGCACAAACAGTTGAAAAGTAGATCCTACTGAAACAGGAAAGTAGCAACCAATGAGCAATTTCATGTTTGATCAGACATGTCGTGTGTGAAAATGAAATGATTCAATCCACAAACAAACACACTCACAACATTTAGTGTCCTCCTCCACCTCCACCAAAACCCAATCCTCTCTTCCTTCTTCTCTCAATCTTCTTTGGAATAATTAAGAAATAAATCAAAATACTCGAGATTAGAACACTCATGGCACCAACCATCAAGGTCCAAGCGACATTTCCATGTGAAATAAAGGAAATGAGAGGTCCCACCGAACTCATCACTAATTGAGGAACTACAATAAATATGTTCAATAGTCCCATATAAGTCCCTTTTTCATGTTTTTTAGCAATGGTTGCCACAATGGCAAATGGGATCGTACCATTGACTGCCCATGGAAATCCAAAAGTAGTAATTACCAATAAGGCAAGTATTTTGTTTGTGACGAAGAGAGTAGAACCCAAACATAGAGCCAATGCAATTTGACCCACAAAGAAAGTCCATTTGAATCCAAGTTTGTGAGTCATGGAGGGCAACATGAGAGAGAAGAGAATGCTTGAACCGGCAAACCCTGCCAATCCAAAAGATCCATATTGAACACCTTTCACATAGAGTCGATAGGCTGGAGAGTTTTCATCACTGCTGCCATGAAAGACATTCTCACCGACCCATCTGTTGTGTAGAGTTGTGTAGATATAAATGGATTTTTGTAATGTATGTGTGAAAAATAAATAATTGTGAACAATCGGACAAATGTTGTAGATTGACAGATCATTGGTTAGATTTTCATGTTGAAAAAAAAGAATCGAATATTCATCGCGTTTTTCAAAAAACATCAAAACTTACGTTGTAATGTACACTAAAAAACAAAACCATCCAAACCATGAAAAGAAATTCACCAAACACACTCTCCACATGGCTTTTGGTAAATGTAACGCTGCTCTCAAATATTGAGCCAATTGTCGAGCAGATTTCATTCCACTTAATGAAACATTTCGAGTATCTGGTGGGAATATCGTATGTTCTTGCTTTTCCTTAATGAGATTGTGTTCGAGAATGGGAGTGGCATCCACAAGAATTGTTTGAGAATTTTCTTCTTCTGCATTGATTGGTTGTTGTTGTGAATGTTCATTCATTTTTTCTTCATTTACCACGTCATGAGTGTGACGACTTGAGTGTTGATAATAATATTCATCATCCTCATGAGCGTGATGTGAAAATAATTCTCTTGAATCTGTCAAGCTCGAGTCACCAAGTTGAATAGGCTCGCTTTGACTTTTTCTAATACTATTCGTGTAAGGATCACCATCGTCTATGGATGAGCCAACTTGCAATGGTGTTGTGACTCGAGTGGTCTCTTGTTCCTCATCATCATCGTCTTCAACAATACTATTAATGGACTTGTCTTGTTTCATCAATAAATGATCTGTTTCACCATCCATCATGTTTGTTTGCGCTTCTCCAAGTTTGGTTGCAGTAGTGGTATGGTCATGGGAAGAAGCTTTCTTTTTCCATGTGGATTCCTCACGAGCAGCAAATAGCGTGACCATAAAAGTCAATAATAAAAATCCAATACTAATGAGAAAACAAATCTTTAAATTTTGACATCCTTCCGAACAAGCTTCTGTTTTAAAAACTGTAATGTAGGAAGACCATTTGACAAATCCTGCCAAATAGCCCAAAATATTTCCCAATCCACTCCAAAAGGTTAAGGTTGCATTTCCAAATGCTTGATTTTTGTGAGAGGCCATGTCAGCCACTAGTGCTCTTGTTGGCCCTTTTTGATGGGATCCAGTTGATCATGTTTTGAAATAATTTGTGCGAATAATGGATGTGAATATGATTTTTCGACATTGTAATTAAGGGTGAATTCAATGTTTTGAAATTTTTGGAGATTTGGTTGGAGTAGTTGTTTTTTGAAAAAACATCGTTCTTTCACGTGACCTACCTTGTAGCGTATTGTTTGAAACATCCAAAATCCAAAATCCAATAATTGCTAACACAATGGCAATAGTATGATCTGTGGCTGTATCTCCCATCCAATGACCTAAATCTAAACTATTTGGAATGAGTAATAAAGATAATGCAACCATGATGGTTCCAACAATGAGGAACGGTCTTCTCTTTCCAAGTGGACTTTTACATTTGTCACTTAAAACTCCAACAATGGGTTGTACAATCTGGATTGTGGTGGCGTTAGAATTGAGGTTATTTAGTTTCAAATTAACAACATTTCACATCATTCAAAAATTATTTGAAAAATAAATTAAAAACAAATTAAAACCCAAAAATTTAAAATCGAACCAATGTATATTTGAATGATAATGAACATTGGAATTATTGTAATGAGTGATGAAAGATGTGAATTCTTCAAAACATACCAAACCAGTCACAGGTCCACATAACCAAACCAAAGTGATGAGAGTTTTTGAGAGACCCAATTCCAAAATAAAAGGAGTTAATAGAGCTATTTCTGTGTGTCACATTTCGAAATTATTCATGTATGAGGGAAATTTTTTCAAAATGTCATCATCACAATGTGCAAAATTTTGTTATAATTATTGTCAATCACATGTGGGAGTTCATAATTGAGCCATCATATTCAAACTGTCACGATCATCACTTCTAGTACTTACGAAGTGCCCAACCAAATTGCAGTCCACTGAAACATGCAGTTGCCCAAAACACTCTCAATTTTGATGCCTTCTTTGGAGGTGTGTTTGTCATATTTTCCAAATTTTGACTCGTACTTTCTTGGTATACAATATTTTGTGGTTCTTCTTCCTGTTGAGCAATCGATAATTCTTTTTCACTTGAAATTTCCACCAACAAATTTTGTGTTTCACTACTGAGCGTGTGAATTTGGTTGGCCTGAAAATTATGTTCTTTCTGTGGTTGTTGCTGTTGACGTTTCGATGCTGAGCGACTGCTCAATCCTCTAAAATCAAAATAGCTATCAAATTTTGTTTTTCCAAGCTTGGAATGTGTTCTTCTGGAAGTTGGATTGGAATATTCTTGAAAGAATGGCTCACGAGAATGGAGTGACAAGTGGTGTTGTTTGATGTGTTTACTATCCAATGAAGAAGAAGAAGAAGCGAGAAACGTGTCGTCGGAAGGTACCTTCTTGTGAAATGAGAGAAGAGGTTGTTGTTGCTGGTGCTGGTGTTGGTGTTGGTGATTATACTTTGAGATGATCTCCTCTTCTGGATTTGTGGAATTTTCCAAATGGAGAGACGGAATGCGAGTCTTGTTGTTTGTACTATGATTACTACCGCTACAACTCAAAGTTTGAGGTTCAATTCGTGAAAATGGTTCCTGTTGAGAGAACTTGTTCTTCCGATCCCCTCGATCGATGGGTAGTACTAAAGATTCTTGTTCCGATGGAATTGCTTTTGGTGGAAGAGCCAAGTGAGGAGCGTTTTTTTCTTCTTCTTGAAGTGCAGGAGGAGGAGGTTGGAAGAAGTATTTCTCAAAAGAAGATTCTCTCTGATTATTGTAATGAATGGTCGTGTTGTTGTTGTTAGGGTTTGGGCTGTTATGGTTCATGAAAGGAAGGATTTCCTCACTATTACTTGGAGATTGGAAATCGAGATCCGGTGGTGGTGGTGGTGATTTTGTTTGGACGATTGCAATTGAGGAAGTGGAGGAGTTGGCTGGAATTTCAAGAGTGTGAGTGATAGGGGAGGAGCGTGGACCCTCTTTTAGTTTGAATTCTTGTTGTTTTGGAGAAAAGAGTGAGTGAGGAATCAAATTAGTCGACTTGTCTTCTTTGATGTGATCCTTTTGATTGTGGAGGTTCATGATGTTTTCATACACTCTTTCAGGCTTGATGGAAGAGGTTTTGGAGTGGTTTGGATTCAAGTTACTTGGAGAGTGTGTTTTGGTTTTTTTTGAAGGACGATGCTTCCAAATCTGTTCAAAATCTATTTATTTGTATTTCCAAAGATGTGCATAAAAAGTTTAAACGAGGATACTATGATGTTAATAATATAAATAATCAGTTCATTCTAGATGTGATGGGGTTGTAGATCACATGGTAGATCGTTCCCTTAGCATGGGAGAGGTACCGGGATCGATACCCGGCAACTCCAAATTTTTTTGTTTTTGTCTTTGTCATGTCATTTGTGATCGGATTCAGCTTCATAATAGCGGTCCAAACTTTTTATCCAAACAACTTCATGACATGTCATGACCCCTTTATTATCACGACAAAGCTCACCGAAGAAAATGAGGTATTCAGGATTTATCCATTAAATATAAATACAAAAGAACTTAATAATGTAATTATATATAAAATTTGAAGAAACATATGCTTCTGGAAAAGAAGAATAAACATTCAAGAATTTGCACTTAAGATTAGGGAAGGATCATCAACAGTGACATTAAACTTAGGCTCACCAAAAGTTTTTCCACCCTTTCATTGTAAACAACACTCACCGGTTGAGTAAGAATTTTTGAAAATTTTTGTTGAAAAAAATATCTTAACAAGACACCACTCTCACAGATCACTCCACAAAATGAGTAGCTTTATTTATAAGGGACAATTAGTCGGCCACAACGGATGGGTCACCTGTTTGGCCACCTCCCCAAGCAATCCAGACATCTTGGTTTCTGGTTCTCGTGATAAGTCCATTGTCGTTTGGGACTTGACCAAGGAACAAGGAGCTTATGGTGTTCCAAAGAGATCCCTCACTGGACATGCTCACTATGTTTCAGACCTCTGCATGACTGCTGATGCTCAATATGCCTTGTCTGGATCATGGGATAAGACTTTGAGATTGTGGAACTTGAACACTGGTAAATGTGAGAGAAACTTCTTGGGTCACACCAACGATGTCTTGTCTGTTTCCTTCTCTCATGACGATAGACAAATTGTTTCCGGATCTCGTGATAAGACCATCAAGTTGTGGAACACTTTGGGTGAATGCAAGTACAACATTACCGAAAGAGGTCACAAGGAATGGGTCAGCTGTGTCAGATTTGTTGCTAACAAGGAAAAGCCATTGATCATTTCTGCTGGTTGGGATAAGGTTGTTAAATTGTGGGACTTGACCAGTTGCACTCTCCAAACTAACTTGGTTGGTCACACTGGTTATATTAACTCTGTCTGTGTTTCTCCAGATGCTTCCTTGTGTGCATCAGGTGGTAAGGACGGTGTTGCTGTTTTGTGGGATTTGACCAAGGGTGAACACTTGTATCACTTGCCATTGGAAGGTAACGATGTCATCAATGCCTTGTCTTTCTCTCCAACCAAGTACTGGTTGTGTGCTGCTACTGATAACTGTATCAAGATTTGGGATCTCCAATCCAAGTCAGTCCTCGCTGAATTGGTTCCAGAATCCAAGGGTGGTAAGATGCCAGCTTGTATTTCTCTTGCTTGGTCTGCTGATGGTACTACATTGTTCTCTGGTTACACTGATAACACTATCAGAGTCTGGGGCTGCTACGCTCAATAAGTTAGCTAGTCTTGAGTAAACTCATTTTGCTTATCTGAATTTCATTGGTCTTTATTGAATGTCTGTTTTGTATCGTCGACGATAGGTTTGTCTCTAAATGGAAAACTATGCATGTCTTAAAACCAATTCAATGCAGATATTGAAAAAAGCCTTTTTAAAAATCCCTTATTTACTTTGAGGAGAGGAAGGTAGATTCTGAGCCATTGATTGCAAAAGAAGAATTTGTTGCATCATGGATGCATACTCAGCCTCAGCGTCATTATCGTCAGCATCATCGAGGGGTGGTGATGTGCTTTGTGAAAGATGTTGCCCAACAGAGATCTCTTTTTCTTCTCTTCTGTGTGACACTGTTCCGAGTTTGTCGTCCGTGTTCCGAGTTTCTGGTCTATTTGGTGTACCAGAAGTTGGTGGCCAGGTCGGCATGTTCGACGACATGGCCTCTCTCTTTTCTTTCAAAATGTTGCAAAAATCACTGATTAATGATACAGCATGTGTTTCCATGTCGCTCAATGAACGTTCACACATATCACTAATTTTTCGATGGCTTTCACTAAGGACAGCCTGTATGCCAATAATATTCTCCATTAACTTGGATGCCTCTCCTTGCATGTCCATTTGTCCATACAGCTTGACAATCTTTTTGTAAATATCCACAATATTATCATCCATTTCTTTGAGCTTTTGGCTCTCTAGAGTGGTCAAATGTTGAGCCAATTGTTGAATCTGGTGATCGAGTTGGGTCGTAACTTGAGACAACATTTGAATTTCTTGGCTGAGTGTGGTGGACTTTTGCAAGGCCGTCTCAACATGTCTCTTGTGTTGATCCATTCTTTGATCAAGATTGACAGAGAGCGTGTCTAATCGATCTAGCATGGTCTGTTCCAGAGCGTGCATGTTTGTGCAACATGTTGAATTTGCATTCTCCAACATGCTCACGATTTGTTGCTTGAATGAGTGTTCTACACTAGCCAAATTTTGGTTTAGCAAAGTTAAATGATTTCTAATTTGATCTGTCACATCCCTCAATTCTTGAATGCTTTTGTCGTTTGTTGAAAATCTCTCATTAAATGTGTGACGTATAGACGTCTCTTGGATCTCTAACATGTTCAGCATTTTCTCTTGCACTGTAGTACCACTCGACGCCATTTCATTTGTAACCATAATGCTCTGCAGCTCTTTCACACTCCTATCCACATGATCGTCGTGTTCCTTTAGATCCTTGACCAGACACAAAAGATTTTCCAACTTCTCTTCTGAATTGATTTTCCAGGTGTTGAATATATTCAAGTGTTGAGTCGTAGCTGCCTGAAAATCTTCTAAGGTTGATTTGTGAGATTCTAGAGTGGTATGAATCGATGAAATGCGTTGATTGGTGTTTTCTTCAATTTTTGTTCTCCATTCTTGTAGTTGTGCAATGTGCGTGTGGACACGTTCAAGTGCAAGCGAGGCTGCATTTTCAGTAGTATTACGTGATTCAATGTAATTCTGCTCCAACTTTGATTCAAGAGTGGTTTGTAGCGCATTGATTCTCTCTGTCAATCCAATCTCGGTGTTTGTAATTTTCTCATCTAAATTCCTCTTTATCTCGTTCGGGCATGAACCAACTTTCTCTTCCAAAGCTACAATTCTATCGTTCATATTCGACTCCAAATTTTCGGTATGCATCTGGATATCGGATATAGTCATTAAGGCCTCATTGAGCTTGCCTTCGATTCGAATAAACTCTTCATGGGCCACATTGATAATTGTAAGCTGTTTTTCCTCAGATATTTTCAACTTCTCTTGGAAAGAATTTTCGAATTGCTCCTTGCTTGACTGTAAACCAATAAGTTGTTGATGAAACATATTCCAATTGAGGTCAGTCTCTTGTTTCCATGTTTGAAGTTTAGTAATGTCCTTCAAAAATTGTTCGGAATTGGCCTTTTCTTTTTCGACATCTTGTTGGAGGGTCTGTATGAAACCATCAATGACACTTTTCCATTTATGAATCGATTCAATGTGCTGATTAGTGGTAGAGATTTTATCTGAGAGTCCTCGCTCAGAATGATGAAGTGCGTCCAATAAAGTGGAGCTACTTTTTGAAAGTAGATCAATATCTTTTTTAAATGTCAAGACATGTTTGTCAAGTTTCAGTCCATTCGAGGTTATTAGAGTATTCAACTCGTTCATACGTTTCTCTAGATCATTCATTGCCTCTTTGATCATAGTATTGACTTGAGACGTCAAGTTCTTTTCCAAATCTTTAACTATTTTTTCTAAAGAATGCATTGTTGAATCCATTAGATCGTGTCCATTCTGAATTTCTTGTGTCTTTTTTTTCAGTAATACAACACTGTCCTCAATCCCACTCCTCCAAATTCCCAGTGTATCAAATGTTAGACGATACTCTTGCAAACAAGGTTCAATGATGGTCTTGTGGTGAGTGTGAAGCTGATTCAGTTGTGCTGAGAGAGATTCTATCAATCGACGTAGCTCTGTTTCAATGAATTGCTGTCTTTGGCTTGATGATGAAATGTCGTCTTTTAGAGACGATAAAGATTCGAGTTTGGAGCTCTGCAAAGACAATATATTTTCGTAATACATTTTCATTTCTAGAATTTCTCTTTGAATATCGGAAATTTTATCCTCCTGCTCTTGGAAAGATTTGTTATATATACTCTGATTTTCTTCTGAACGATGTTTGATTTGAGCCAACTCTGTTGTTACGTAGGATTTCATTTCCGATAGAGAGCTAGTAATATCGTTTGCATTCTTTGCTAGTTGTTCATTAATAGTTTTAGAGCGTTCATCTAAAGATAAGAGTGATTCATTAAATATGAAAACTTTCTCTCGTAACGTTTCCACATCTTTTTGAATACACGAAATTAGGGAGTCTCTTTCGGTGGATTTGATTTCCACATTTTGTATGGAAATCTTGTTTTCATTTCGTACGCTCTCTAAATTCATGATAGCTGTCTCAATGCACTTGTTAGTATCCAGTTGATATTTTAAATGTTGTTGTAAATCTTTTGTGTTGGATATGAGATCTTGCCGTAAATTATTTACAATACATTCCAATGATCCCTGATGATTGGATAAATTATTAATTTCTTGTTGAGCGCTCGAGAGTTTTTCTGATGTCATTGCTATGTTTGACTGTAGCTTTGAAATGGTATCCTTGTGAAGCTCTATTTCATGCTCCATATTTTTCATAATATCCTTTGAAGAGGTTTCTTCTTCCAGTGATTTGTCGAGTAAATTTCGGAGCGACTCGTGCTCGATTTCAATTTTTGAAATTTTCTCATCATAAATTTCTTGTAATTCTCGAATTTTATAATTTTCTGTATGAAGGAGGTGAATATCTTGGGTTAATTGGATATTTGATTTTGCAATTGTTTGCATACTTTTTTCCGATTCATCTTGGTGCTTGAAAAGATGATCAATATTTTGTGAGAGCTGTGAAATTTGATGAGCAAAATATTTTTTTGTTTCCTCTAATTTTGTTTCATAGAGGCGCTCTTTAGTTGTCATCTCTGCCCAGCTTTGACTTTCAAGAATGCCTAAATATTTTGAATCGTTCTCTGAAATTTGTGTTTGCATGGAATTGATCTTGTCATTTAAAACGCTTGTTTCTTTCTCCGTTTTTGATTTTAACTCTCGAAATTTCTTTTCAAAAGTTCTTTCAATGTTGTTGCACCTCTCCAATATGTTACTTGTGCTCTCCAAATGTCCAAACATGTTCCCTGAAATTTCTTTCAATTTTGATTCGAATGCATGTTTTAATCGAATTAAATCTTCGGTGAAGAGCTTTCCTTCTTTAGACTCAACGTTATTTTGATTTACAGAACTCAACACTGGAAGGTTCATAGGTAAAGTTGAAGCAACACTCTGATGTTGAAGTTTGAGGAGATCTTTTTGCAAATTTCCAATACTTGAAGTTAAGAAAGAGAACTGCTCCTCTGAATCTTGAAGAATCCTATCCATCATGAGTTCAAGAGCTTCATCATTTTTCTTTGTAACTTCCTTAATAGAGGTATCTATTTTCTGGTTGAGGCGTTCATATTCATTTGAAAATGTTGATGAGTAATGGGTTACTTCCATCGAATGATTATGTTGATGAGAGCGTAATTGTTTTTCAACTTCTTTCCTCACCATTACCTCAATAGAGCTATATGGTACAATTGATTCTGACCTATTGCATATTAATTGATTTGAAATTTCTTTGTAGGCCAACATGAGATGTGATACAATCGATTCTAATCGGTTGGACAATATCCACTTTTTAAAGATCTTTTCACTCACTTGAATGAACATGTTTTTGAAATTTGTAACCTGTTGATGTAGACTCTCAATGGTGAGTCCTGTTTTGTGTGGATCCTGATGGGAATCAAACATTTGATCCAGGCCTGTCTTTGTCATTCTCTGAATTTCCTCTTGATCGTGCAAATCGTTTAACCATTCCATAATGTATTGTTTTTCATCTTGTGGAGGAAGATCCTTAAGAAGCTTCTCAAGCTCCTCCAACCGAATGAATTTAATCGATGATTGTTCATCGTCCGACAAGAGAACATTTGTGTTCACTTTTGAAAATGCCAACCTTGCACTTTCCAACGACATGTTTTGATTATTATGTAAATATCGTAAAAATCGTTCGGCTGCAATGGATTCCCGTTGGCTGAGATCTTGCTTGGAAACAACTTCCCATGATTCACAACCCATCATAGGCTCCGATCTTAATCGAGGTGAGATCATGATGGCTTCATTTCGTTTCCGAGGGCTTTTGGGGGATTCCATTAAGGCTTGAGCTCGAGCTTTTTTCACGTCCAATTCTTTGGAAGGGGGTGATTTAGAGGAGGAATGAAAGTTAACGACTTTCCGTGGATGGGTAGGAGTGTTCTTTTCAGGTGGTGTTTTTCCCATCATGGTTGGTAGTTGTGGTTTGGAGTTGAAATTACTTTTCGGAGTGGTAGTAGAAATAGCCGGAGGAGATGATCCATAGGGGCTATTGGAGGGAGAACAACCTTTTTCTTCTTCTCTCGCGTTCATGTTGTTGAGAATGTCCAAGAGAGAATTGTTGAATTCTTGGCAGTTTGGAATTACGATTAAATTTAAACAATTTTTTTTGTTGTTAGGGGTATATTATTCATAGTACCATATGGAATCTCTCTCTTGTGTAAACAATTTTTCTTTTGTGTGAATGGCATTGACAGTCAATAGTAATTCAGTTTAGTTGATCAACCCATGATAATTAAAGGGTCCATAAAAATGTCATTATCCTCTCGACGCCAACGAAAGAATACAGTGCCGATGTCTTCATCATCAAAAATTCTGGCATTCAACGGAGAGGATCATCCTCTTTCTCCTCTTTCTACATTTTCGGAAACAGAACCATTTCATCATCGACACGATGTACATACAAAGGATCATGATTTTATAAATTTGGAATCACCACAGATGAATTTCAATCAAACACAGTCATCATCATCACTCCGGCTCGTGATTTTAAAAATTTTAAATATTCTCTTCGATCGACTCGATCCATTATCCAAACATGTGTTCCATCGTTTTGGTTCCTTTTCGAAATTTTTACTATTGCTTGTGGCGTGTATTGTGTTTTTGGAAATTTTAATTTTTCGATTTCAATTCACCTATGCACCTCATGCTGGATTTCTTAGTGACAATCGATCTCCCAAATTTCATAATATTTTACTGATTGGAGATCCACAATTGACCGATCGATACTCATACAAATTTTTGACAAGTGAATTTTCAGTACTCTCTCGATTTATATTTTTCATTTGTGACACTTTTATGAGAAAGAATTTTCAATCTATCCTTCGAATGAATCGTAACAATATTCACACCATTATATTTTTAGGAGATTTATTTGATAATGGAAGACAAATTACCGACGATGAATTTGAACGGGAATTTGCAAGATTTAATTCCATCTTTGAAAATAGAGATTCGTCCATAAAAACACTCTATCTCTCTGGAAATCATGATATTGGACTGGAACGATGGCCACACCATGTTCTTGAACGATTTGAAAAATATTTTCACACACCTCTCAATTTCAATTATACCATTAATAATTATTTTAAAATTATTGGAATTAATTCCATGTATTTGAATCAGAAAGGAAATCCTGTTGAATTTATATCCAAAAACATTGAAAATGAATTCGGAAGAAATATTCTCTTGACACACATTCCCTTATACAGAGATGGAAATTGTGAAAATGTCGATTATAATCAACTCCTGCATGAAAATGCACGAACAAGACCTCTCGAACAAGGAGAAGGTTTTGGCTACAAGAACATGTTAGACTCCATGTATTCATTGGCCCTTTTACAAATGACTCATCCTCTCATTGTCTTGAGTGGTGACGATCACGAATATTGTAAATACAAACACGAGTTACAGGAAGAAGGATTCTCAGTGTACGAACATACCATGCCAACATTTAGCATGTTACAAGGAACCAGAAAGTATGGTTATGGAATTTTGACTTTGGATCTCGAAACAAATACCATGCATGGCATTCAAGTATTTTACATGCCCAAAGTGTGGAGTATTTTTGGATTTTACGGAGTGTTGAGTGTCACTGCATCGGTGTATGTGATCTTTCAATTCAGATCGATGTGGTATTATGGAATGGCATTGAGTAGTGCATTGTTGACTTGGATGTTGTGTCAAGTGTGGTGGTGGTTGGTGATTTGATGTGTGTGTGTGAATTGTGAATTTTGAATTGGGTCAGAGAATATTTGATGTGCACAGGATTGTCCAAAAATCCCAATCAAGTATCCCTATTCCTATCCGTGCCGCTCATTGTTTCCTCTCTCTTGCTGATCGGAAAATATCAAGTGTCTGTTGTCATATTGGATCGAGCGTTCGTGATTTTCACACAACAAAAAAAAATGTTTCTGACCCACCAATCATCAATGATTCTCTCCTCGAAGAAGAGACAACCCATCCTCCTCTCATTGTGTGCTCTCCTGTCGCTCTTTCTCATAGCATCTTCAGTCTCTAATGCTCAAACTTGTCGAACCAATCTCATCACAAACACTTTCACACCTTCCTTACTCAATGTTGATTATTGTCCAATCGGTTGGATCAACACTGGAACTAAATGTGAAAGATTTGCTGATGTATGGAAAGCAAGATTAGGATCTGGTTGTTCTACCTCCTTGGATTGTAAATTCTCTTCTCTTTCTTGCATCAATAACATTTGTAGTCCATTAAATCGAATGGAAGGAGATACTTGTACTCAAGACTCTCAATGTGTACAAAATGTCAATGCCAAATATGGTACTACTTGTTTCAATGGACGTTGTCAACCTGTGACTCTTTCCAAGACTGCAAAAGTTGGTGAAACTTGTAATGTCAAGAATGCTGCTGACAATACCATCTCTGATTGTGCTGAAGGATATTGTGCTTTGGCAAGTTTTTTCAATTCCATCTTGCCAGGACTTGTCACTTCCAAGTGTGTGAAAACGTCAGAAGCCAAGAAGGGTGAAACTTGTGGTTTCAAATACACACCCGTTCCTCCTGCAGTGACAGATTATATCACCTGTGAATCAGGTACTACTTGTTCATTGGTGATTGGAGGTACTTGTATTCCTGTCATTCAAGAAGGACAAGCATGTTCCTTGACAGATTCCTCACAACGATGCCAAACCAATACTTACTGTCGAAGAAAAGTTGCAGGTGCTTCCACGACCTGTGAATACTTGGCACCAATTGGTCAATACTGTGATACTGTTCTTGATTGTGCATTTGTAAATTCAGGAATGATTTCATGTGAAAACAACAAGTGTGTTCGAAAAGCATCGAGACCAAACGGACAAGGATGTACCTCCAATGATCAATGTTATAGCAGATATTGCGATTCAACAACTTCTAAATGTGCAGCCTATGCAGGTAGAGAAACATGTTCTACTTCTGCCAGTTGTACCACTGCCATTTCACAAGGATGTGGTTGTGCAGGAAAGGAAACAGATAGCAATCTTGGAAAGTGTGTGGCATCTTGTGAGGGACAACTTTTAGATTTGAGAGCTTGTCTCTATAATTTGGGAATGTATTACTATGAAAGTATTACTCCATCACAATCGTTGGGATATACTCAATACAGTGATGAGACTTCTACTGCTTTCAGATCATGTCGATATTATTATGATCGATTTTATGGATGTATGAAACAAACTTGGAATGATGCAGGAATTTCAACTTCTGATTCATCCATGCCTGGTGTTGGATTGGGAAGTGGTGTGAATGATGGGAATTCTCTTCTACTTCCTGAGAGAAATGGAAGTGAGAGTTTGATGCGTGGAATGAATCAATCGATGATGATGATGGTTGTCGTAATCGTCGTGATCATGGTAGTGATTCTTTCTTTGTATTAAAATATTGAATTTCACTTGATTTTAAATTCAACTTGATGTTCATGATGAGCTCATCACTCTTGATGGAATAATTGATGGCATTAACACACATGTGACAAACACAACACACATCACCACCAACAACAACAACTCAATCGCTCGAACTTATTGTCCATTCAGTTTCCACTTTGAACTCATTGGAGTGCTGGCTTGAAAAAGAACCAACTTTACAAAAAAAATGCAAACACTCGGAGTGTCCAAAGAGTGCGATGGTTGTTCCTTGTCCACCATGTCGGTCGCTCCCATTTTCAAATCCCCAAGTCTTAACGGGTTTTCTGTATCGGATCATTGTAATTATGTATTCATTCCATCTTTGAAGATTTGTTTCAATGTTGGATTGAATGTTGAAAAGAGTCAGGAACAATTGGTCTCTTCGTCTTCTTCTTCATCCTCAAGCCAATCCCGAGAGAGAAGAATTGAATTTGTTTGTTTGAATGATACCAAGAGTGAGAATATTCAAGGCTTGTTGTCCCTATTGGAAGAACAAGTTCATGAACGAGAGGGAAAATTAAAGATTTTCCTTCCTGCAGGCAGAATGAACTATTTGAGAGCAATTTGTGAAGGAATTTATGGATCTATTGAAAAATCTGCTCAATTTGTTGAATTGATTGGTGTTTCAGATCATTTCAAATCGTATCCATTGTGGTCCAATCATCCGTCTTTGGAATTGAAGACTTTTCCAGTGAGAGACATTGTTGATACTGAGAACATACATTGTGAAATTGGATACTCTATTATTGAAAAGAAGAGAAAACTCAAGACTGAATTTTTAGAGCAAGTGAAAACATTGAAAGCACATGAGAAGAAACAATTCATGCAGGACGATTTGAAATTCTCTATCGAGGAGTTCATTCACTTTTCCATTGTGAAACAAGTGCTTCCAAATGAGCGAGTATTTGAATGTAACAGAGAGATTTTACGCAACTCATCAATTTTATGTATTGGTTGTTCACAATTTCAATCTTATTTGGGATACAATTGTGACACTCTTTCTCAAAAGGAAAACCAGCCACCGAGCGAATCCACGTTGAATATTGAATCTTTGAACTACCACATTTTGAATTCGTTCAATGGAAATGTTCTCATTTTGACACATCTTCCTAGATCATTATGTCTCTATGGAGAGTGTGACATGTATTGCTATCTCATTCCTCGTATTCCGCCTCAACAACGAAACAAGCTCAAACTCTTGACCTACCGATTGAAGAGGCACCAAGTAGAGAATTGTCCCTATACGCTCGAACAGATTCGAAACATTCAAAAAGAAAGAAAATGGGTCGATTATGAAACAGAATACTTGGACATGGATCAATACGAGTTTCGAGAGAGAGGAGTCTATTTTGGAGGTGGAGAGCAAAAACGAAAAAAGCTTGACTCTCTCTTTAAGAAATATCCGCAAGGTTTCATCACCGCTTACAAGTATAAGGACAAGTACATTTCTCGATCGAGTGCTTTCTCTCTCTATGAAGATGGGTATTATGAATTTTTGAAAAACCATCCTCAACTTTTAGATTATATTTGTGATACTTGTTGTGACATTTATGACACTGAGCCATCCAATATCGAAAGTGGATATGATTATGAACAGCAAGACTCTAAGGAGAAAGGTACTCATTTGCAAGATGTGGCAGTGAGAAGAGCTTTGAAGCGTTTGGGAAGGGAATTTAAAGGAACTCAGCTGCTCCAGCTTCGTGGTTACAAGTCACCGTTATACTTTTTGAATCCGTGTGTCATACCTTTTCATGAAAGGGAAAATATCATTCAACCTGAAATCATTGAGGAATTCATGTTCAAGCAAAGCGTGGAAAGTTTTTGGCAATCGAATAAGGTTATTTTAACGAAAAAGGAATCAAGAGACCAGTAAATCATGATTGATATAGATTTTAATTAAATAATCACCTCCAACACATGACGTCAAGGCGTTAAAAACCGAGCATGGACGGAAAATCAAACCGTTTCATCATAATCTTCTTTTGCACTAGTGTCTTTCACACGCACTGGTTTTCCAAGAATGAGGTCATTAGGATCAATCTTGATAGGAGATAAGGCTACATTGTTCATACCCTGTGAAGATTGTTCCAAAATTGAAATATCCACAAAATTAAACGGTAATGATTGCAAATGCGTGGAAATAAGCTTGACATCGTTGGGAGAGAGAGAGTATGTGAAGCGCTCCTTGCAAATGGAATTCACTTCCATGGTTGGGCCTTCCAATTCAATTTCAACACTCGATCCATTTCGTTTCAATACGACATCTACATAAGAATTTTGTTTAGAATTTTCACTGCTGCCACTCCAATCAGATTTCAGTTGCAATAAGAGAGGTACCGTGACTATATGGTCAGCTACAGATCCAATCTTTAGCTTGATAAAACTTTTGTCATTGGTTTTCCAGTAGCAATTACTTTGCTTGGTGCGAATGAAATGAATTTTCTTGCCATACATTTCATAACAAACAGGGTAATCATCATTTAAGGAAGGCTCAAACATGTGTGGTGTACAATATGAGAATTGTTCATTCTTCCACGACAGTGTGACATCTGTAATTTCGTTTTCATGTGTAATGGTATGATAAATTTCATAAATATCTACTTTGTTTCCTATTTTCAATAAATATACGGATTTTTCATTGTTACTTTTTTCCAAAATTGTATTGTAGAGCTCTTCAATTTTCTTGTTGCATGCAGTATTGAATTTTTTCCCTCTTAAATGCTTTGAAAAGTTCGATGAATCCAAATTATAATTTTTACAAAATAAGTTTTGAGATTTTCCATTTCCAATCCAATATAAATTGAAAAAGCTTGTCAAAAGTTCATAACTTGGATTCGGAATAACTTTCAAGGTGGTTATTTCAATTTGTGTAGGAGCAGAGTTGAGTGAAGAAGAGCTGTCGTTGACCGCATTAGATTTGTTTCTTCGAGAAAGAGGAGTGTACACGGGCTGTGACAAAAATGTTCTCAATTCGTTGGGAGTTGCTACTCGAATACAATCTCTGTTTGCAATTCTTAATTGTTCTGATAACTCATCTGCAAAATGATCCTTCGTTACCACAATGAACACAACTTCCTTGTCAGGCAATTTGAGAGACAAATGAGTATGAAGAGATCCAATGAGTAATGTCAAACATGTATCGGCGGCATCTTTTTTCTTGGTAGTGGAATGCATGATTGAAAACCATGGTTGTTTTTCAAATCCCATGAGACCTTCATTCACTACTCCATTTGCAAACACAGCCACCACTTGAATAATGTTTTTTGAAAAACTAGAAAGTCCTTCAAGTGAAAAATCCGCTGATAAATTGTCTCCATCCATAAAAATTACAAATTTCATTTCATGATATAATTTTTGAAAAGCGTGAAATGTCCTTTCCACAATTTTTGCTTTAATCCTTTCCCAATCCCATGCGATATCATATTGATATAAAAATGTAAAATAATCTTTTGAAACAATCTCATAGTTTTCTTCCAATCGGATCAAGTGTTTCAATAAAGCAAATCTTCCGGTAATGTATTTCTCTCGTCCTTCCAACATTCCATTAAAAGTTTCCTTCTGTAAACCATTTTCCTCACAAAACGTTGCTGGAATTCGATGGATCACTTTTTGGAGGACTTCGGAACGAGACATGAGTAAATACTTTTCAATGGCCGGAGGTAAATCTAAAGGTTGTTGTAAAAATCCTTGTTGTAGTAGTGGTGATTGCGGTTGAGAAAAAGGAGAATTCATGGGAGTGTTGTTAGGAGTGGTGGGAGTGGTGGGATGGCTGCTTGTAGAAGTGCTTCCGATGATTGGCTTTAGAGAAGACATTTTTTCTTCATACACACTTGATGCACACAAAAGGAATTCCAGCTGAGGATCCAATCTGCATCTGGCCATTGTAGTTTGTGACATCCGCCACGAAAGAGGCGACGAGGACTTGGATTTCTGGCAAATTGTTGAGCTTTATTTATACAGCTAATTGGGCTTTGACACACGCTGTAATTTGGAGTTTAAGTTTGTCCAATTTTCCTTGTAGGATTTCATTACTTTTTTGGCAGTTGTGAAGAGCGCTATTTTTGGATAGTGGTTGTTGCAGATGATCTTATCAGTAACTGGAATCACAGCACACCCTACAAGTTTCAAGGATTTGTTGTAAAGAAAATGGTCGAAGCAGTTTTTGCCAGTTGTGGTATTGTTTGAATCAGGATCATAATATAGGAAGTCAATCTTGTCAACTTCATCTACAAGTTGATAATATGTATTAAAATCACCCGCTATCACCACATGTTTATCTTTACATATATTCTTGATAGTCTTGAAAATACCACGCAGTTCTCTCTTCCTTATCTCGAGTCCTTTAACCCCATCTCTTCCCTTTCTAGACAAATGTACATTAAGAAATATCACGTTGGAGAGCTCCACATATTGGCATCTGTATTTCTGAAGTATCTCAAATCTCTGAAGTGATTGTTCATTTAGAGGCATCTGTGTTCCTTTACATAAACCTTTCTTTTCCAAGACAACAAATGTCTCTGCACAACATGTTTTGCCAGTGGGTATTCTAGCAGAATGGTAAATATGAGTTTCCTTCAAAGGTCCCAGTTTGTCTTGAACGTTCTTGAATCCAACCTCTTGCAATACAATGTAATCAAGAGGAGCGAAAAGGTGATAGTACGTCTTCATACAATATTCAAACCGTGCCTTCGTGATACGGTTATTATTGCTCCCAAGGTTCCAAGTCAAAGCAGAAAATATGTTTTGGATGATGGTTGCTTGATTGGCTTGGCCTTCGTCATCATGATGATTCAACACCTTCTGATCACGAGATTGACCTGAGCAGTTTTCATCTCTTGTTGTTTGTGTGTGATCATGTACTTCTTTATGGCTTGTGGTGTTTCTGATTTGAATTTCATTGATGTTGCTGATGTGAGTAGACATTGTTGATAGTGTCAATAGATAATAATAAGAAAAGGTGTGGTAGATTTTTTTGAGAGTGCAAGCTGAGAGATATATTCATTGTGGTGAGAAGCACAGTGCTGTCTGAATGCCTGTCAGTGAAAAGACAATTTTAACCTTGCAAAATTGTATCTCCCGAAAGGTTCTGCTGGAGCAATACGCAGTGACTTTGTTGATGCAGCGCTGAAGGTTTGAATGTCTCTCAAGATTCAATAATTTTCGGTCTGCAAATGACGCTGGTGACGTTGATAACTTTGATTGAGCAGGAGGGTCGTTCACACCATGTCATTGTATTGTTTAATAGGACTCACTGCTGTATTGTTCGTTGTAAATCTTCAGCACAACATTTTGGTGCTCACAAAGATTTCCATTTCCATCGTTAGAGTGTATTAGTTGTGTTTGTTGAACAGTAGAGGCTCCACGAAATTTTGTAATTCATGTTGGATTTAATTGTTGAAACTAGGCGTTGAGAATGTGTATTGTCATTTTTTTTGATGAGAAAACCAAAGGCGCCAGTCAACGTCGATTAGAGTCACCTGTCAAACAACCAATCAATGAGAATGACGGATAGAAGCAGATGATTGGATGACAGTCGTCGGTGTGTTGTTCACACATAAGTCGAATGAAATGCAGGGAAGAATTGAGCAAACTAATCTACCTGATTGTGGAGGTAAAGAATGTTCCAGAAAAAGAAAACTTGGAGAAATGCTGTTTGTTATTCAAGATCCAACACATTATTCACTGAGTTTTCTTCTCTCTTGATTTCAACCAATGCAATAATAATAACTTCTTCAATTTCACAACACCCCAAACCACAAGTTTCACAACAAGTCCCATAAGTATCCCATAAAAGGTAATAATGTCCAACCAGTAATATTGATACCATGTCAAATGATGATCTGTTAAGGTCCATGAGGATAAATCACCATCAAGTTCCAGCATCATTTCAATGACATTAACCACTTTTTTCATTCCTCCTGAATATTTCATGATGGTTTTCACTTTTTTCACAGTGGACTGATAGTTCCTACTCTCGAGTGGTGAATAGAGTAATTTCTGAATGGCATTTGACATTTTCTCAATAGAATAACTTTCACCTTTTGCAGTATATAACGAAATTCCAACTCCAAATTCTTGAATGGCGTTTGAAATTCGTACATGATCAAACGAGAAGGGCATTCCTATTAAGAGTTTTCCAAAATAAAGAGCTTCTGCAACAGAATTTGCTCCACAATGTGTCAAGAATATCTTAATCTTATCCAAAGAGAGAAGTCCTCTCTGAGGTACAAATCCTTTCAATAAACGAAATCGAGGATGTGTCAGTAATGAGGTCAAACTCATCGTTGTCCAATCATGGTTATTACCGTTTTTGGTACTTTCTTCCAACAATGAATGAAATGTTTGCATATTATTTGTTCCCAATGAGAGTAGTATGGAAATGTGTGAATTTCCCTCAATAGAAACCATCATTGAGTTGATAAATTTCAGCAACTCGTCACGATCCATGACTGTGGTGGATCCCAAAATGGAAAGCATGACATCCTGTTGAGAGTGGATCCAATCCAATAATCCATAATAACCACTCTCTGTTTGTGAAACATCCACATTGAGTTGTTGCAATCGTTCCAATTCATTCTTGATGTGATTTTCATGAATAAAAGGTCCCACAAGAAAAGTGTTCAATTGTTGACTGCTTTTTGATGCGAACTCAAATCCAAAACTATAAATTTGAAATCTTGCACAAGTTTGTTCACTCAACAAGTGCTCATCCAATGAAGAGTATTCTTCCATTTTTGAAATTAATTGTATTCCAAAAAGCATTTCTTTCCACGCCAAATATGGCATGACTGTCAAACGTTTCCAAGGATTTGTGAAATATTCCAACTTGTCAGCACTATATGAAGGATAATGAAACAAATTATGAGGAAGTACTGTTCCATAAATTTTAGAACACGACACTTGACTCTTTGCAACAATTCCCTGTATCGCGAAAAATGCTAAATCCACATTCACATGTGCAAATAAAGTTTGAGAAGGATCATTCTTAATTCGAACAAATCGTTTCACATATTTGCCTCCTCTCTGTGAAGTTTGTTCTGGAGAATAATACTTCAATTGTTCCAATCGACCTTTTCGATCAGTAAATGGTATCACTTTTTGAATGGAACGAGTTGAAAAGTATTCAACAGGATGATCCTCAATTTCCACAAGTTCCAAATGTTCAATTAACAATTTTTCAATGGGACGAATGGCTTTTTCAAATCCCTTCTCAACACCTTGATGAATATTGCTTTGTGAGGCTTGTTGCATCAATTGCTTGTAGTGTTCGGGTCGAAAGAATTCTTCTTCGTGACCTTTTGGTTTTGTGGATGTTATAAACTTGACATGAATTTTCTTGTCATTTTGGGATTGTAAATGACATGATTGGTTCAACATTCTTGTTTTTTCATCATTATTAGGATCATTCTGTTCAGGATCAATTTGTTGACAAGAATACCATTGTTTCAAACGAGGATCAGCACCCAATGCAACATCCAATGTCATCAAGGTAATATTCGAAACGAGAGGACTTTTCGAAAGAGAATCCATTAACTCGATTTGAGAAAGGACATGTCCTGGATATGGAAGTGAAAGAATCAAGACATTTCGTGAGAGGAGAGGAGAAGGAACTGATGATGATTCTTGTTGTTTTAGGAAGATGGAATGGTTGAAATCAATAGTCGTGGTGGTGGAGGTGTCGCCAAGAATAGCAGAATGGCAAGGACGAATGAATGAACAACGTGTGAAACACAGGACCACCAACCCTACCATCATCATCATCATCTGGAATGATGAAACTATGGATGGATGACAAATAAGCTGAGATGGTTTCAACATTTTTTAAAAGATTTCTTTTTCGACCCAATGAAGCATACTATTGATTCTTTTTATGGTTGTTTTTTTCTAAAAAGTATCTTGAATTCCTCTCACACATATATTATTTAGATCACAAAAATGTCCTTCTTGCAAAGGATTGAATGAGAGAAAGGATCCTCACATGTTCTTTACACAGTTTGTGTGGTTGTTTGTGTGGTTGTTGGTACTGATGCAACACCGCCACCACCATTATTCACCACTCGATCCAAAGTCTCTCGATACACATGAATGGAAGGTGCCAACGCCACTGCCTTTTCCAACATGGCAATTGCTTTGTTTCGATCACCCTTTTCCAACACTAATCCTCGATAGTAATACATTTGTCGATTGGGTGGAGCCAAACAACTTGCCTTATCAAAATATTGCAATGCCTTGTCGTGGTCTGAATTTTCAAACCAAAATCTTCCAAAATAGAAATACACATCGGGGGATTGAGGTGACAATTCCAATGCCTTTTCAAACATTTGTAATGCTTTTTCTTTTGATTTTTCTTGTTCGTAATAATATAATCCAAAATAGCAATAGAGTGAACCAAAGGCAGGAGCTAAATAAAAAGCACGTGAAAACATGTTGAGAGCTTCTGCATATTTTCCTCGTTCGTACAACACTTCACCTAAATTGGCAAAAATCACTGGATTTTTCAAGTCATGTTTCAATGCCTTACTATAGTAATAAGTGGCCTTATCGAGTTGTCCCATGTTAAATAAACAAACACCTAAACTATTGTATCCTTCAGCAAATGTTTCATCAATTTCCAAAGTTTTTTCATACAAAGCAATGGCATGATAATACATTCCAACGCGTTGATAAAGACCTGCCAATTGGAAATAGGCTTCCAAATTGGTTGGATTCAATCTCAAACTCTTTCCGTAATAGGTGAAAATATTCTTAATGGCATTCTTTCGTTCCATTTGTGTGACATTGGAATCATCGGCCGTGTAGAAACTTGTCAATTGATGTTCATGTTCCATGAAAATATCCATCTCCATGTCAGATTCTAAATGTGCAAGAATGTCTTCAGCACTGACATTAGTCAAATGTGCTCCAGCACTTGAAACAGTGGTTCTTCGTCCTTTAAAGTCATCCATTTCGAAATCTCTAACAATGGAAGGTCGATGATTGAGTAATAATGAGTGTGAATTCATCTCTGTTGAAGCATTTTGTTTTTCACTGTTATTTGGTTTTTCACTGTTTGCAGCATTTCCAGTACTCGTCGAAGATGACAAGGATTTTGCATTCGATTCACCATTCTCACTCTCATGAATCAAATGCTCAACTTTATGTTGTCCTGAGAGTGATTGTGAAGTCATGTCACGTGACACTAAGGGATCATTTCTCGAAGTCATGTTACTTGGCTTACTGTTTGTTCCAAATACTTGACTTGAATTTAACATTTGTTGAACTTTTTCAATGTACATCTTCTCCCAAACAATTCCAATATTAAAATACAACACACTCACATCAAAGGCATTATTATTGGTCATTAGCATGTGACTAGTTGCCTTTTCAAATAATTCCAATGCTTTGACAAGTGAATTTTTTCGTTCCTGACGCTGAGCTTTTGAAGCATAAATTAATGCCAAAAAGTAATTTTTGAGCGATTTGAATACTGACAAATTATTGTCATGAGTGGCTTTTGGAGCAGGTGGAAAGGAAGACTTTTTTTTGGTAATTGTTGATTGTTCTTCTGAGGTGTTGAATGGGTCCATAATTGGAATTGTTGTGGTGGTGGTGTTGTGTGCAGAGGACAAGACATCCGTTTGTTGTTGTTGTTGAGAGATGGCAGAAATGTTCATTTCATTATTGGAGTTGTTGTTGTTGCTGGTGTTGTTGGTTTGTGGTGAGGGTGATGATGAGGGTGGTGGTGAAACGACTTGAGTTGTTTTCTCATTGTCATGATGATTCTCGTCATGATTCGTTCGGGTGATCACCTCCTGCTGAATGTTTTCTTCTGTGCTGATGGTGGTGGTGGTGGTTGAGTGATGCTTTACTTGAACATTCACATCCTCATGGGATACAATGGAACTAGTTGTTGTTGTTTGGTTGCCATCATGTTGTTCTGGATGAGTCATGATGGATTGCTTCTCATGTGGGTTGGGAAGTTGTTGTTCTTTCATGGCAAGTTGAGTTGCTAACAATTGGTCTTCTTCTTCTTCATGGAAGACGGAGGAGGTATTTGCTGATGAAGTGGAAGGATTCGTTGGTGTCAATGCTACGGTCGCAATATCCACACCACCTCCAGTAGTGGTGGCAGTGGTGGCAGTGGTGGGTGATGAGGTGCTGTCTAGAGACATTTTTTGAAAAGTGTTTTTGTGGTTGGTTTGAGTAAATGATGATAATTGACAGTTGTCGCTCTACTTTTGGGGAAAGGAGATTGTTAAAAATGTTTTGGCTCACACCAAATCGCCTCAACCATCCACACCGGACCTGGTCACATATAGAGGTATCTCCTCGGTTTAAAAGCTAGGGTTGAGTTTATTGTCAAGTTTGTAAATCAACAACAGTGAGAAGAGTGCGAAAGAAGCTAGAGGAATTATAATAAATAGAGTGTTCAAATGAGAATTCATCATGAGAAAGCCGAATCAGCAAATTGAATAGAGTTCTGTTTTCCGAAGTTAACGAGCTTCAAATTGGATTTCTGTAAACATGTTTCAAATTGAGCAACAATTCATTACAAAAAGAACATTTCCGAACAGTCAATATTGAATCATCCATTGTTCAATTTAAATTCATCCATTCAAAACCAAAAAATAATCATAACAACGAAATATAATTATGGTAATCGTACATACAATGGTAAAAATATTTCACAAATTATTTGAGTCAATTATTTACCAATTATCCCACATCATTATCTTAGTGATACTTACTTCTTGTTGTTCTTTGCTTATACAAAATACGATAACCACATTCTCTACAACGAATCACATCATCTTGTTTGATTGTATTCAATTTAGCACAGTGTCCGCACACATAAGTGACGGCAACAATTTTCTCACGTCTTCCACTAGGTACAGTTGGTTGTGTGGTGGTTACAGCGGCCGATGATGAGGCTGTTCTTGCTTGATAATCGGTTTCTTGGAATGGATTTGGTGTTGCTACAGGACTCATAGCAGCACCTCCAGGACTCAGTCCCGAAGGAGAAGTGGTCATGGGTGGAGATGGAGACAGGGCACCCCCGGGAGAGTATTGGGAATAACCATAATTTCCAGGTGTTTGAACCGTTCCCGGAGAGGTGTAATTTGTTGGTGAGTATCCTGTTGTTGGAGAAGAATAGGACATTGTTTTTCAAAGGTAGAAAAATAGGAATGTGATGATGAGGATAAGAATATTTTTTTCTCTAAAGCTTTTTGGTGAAATTTGTGAACACTCCAAAATCCTCTAGATTTTACACTAGCACACAGAATAACAGTTGTTGATAAATTTTTTTTCTAGCACATCCATCAAATATCGGGCGTGTAGTTGGTGGAAAAATCCTTCGTGTACCGGACCACAAACGGAACAATGATTACAAGAACTCTTCTTCTTTTTTCCAGCCTTGTAGAAGACGAAGATGATGAATCTTATCACCCAGAATCAGATCAAAATAGTGACGATGAAATGGAATTTGATGAAGAAGAAATAGTAGAACCTAGAAGAGGTGATGAAATAATCAACACTATTATTCACCTTCTACTAAAGTGTGAAAACGAATTCAATATTGTGCTAGGAGATTTCAATATCAACACAAGGAAACCACAAAATTCGAGAGAAAAAGAATGGAAAGAACTTATTGAGTGTTTTCAACTCAAAGAACTAATCATCCCAGAAAACTATACATATATCAGAAAAGTTGTCAACACTTTTCAGAAATCACGACCTGATCATATCTTCGTTTCAAATAATATTAGAATAATCAGAGAAATAATTCTACCACCTATATCCAAAAATGATCATCTACCATTCTATATTGACATTGAGTTCGAAACAGATTATTGTTGGAGAAACTTTATCTCTAGGAAAGATATGAATAAAATATCAACAACATTGAACCAATCACACTATGATTCATTTGAGGCACTCCAAAAAGACATATCAGAAATGGTTAACAATTTTTCATTCAAAGACGATAAAACCAATCTCAAATACATTAACACAACTAATAAGAAAGAAATTAAAACCAAAGAAATAGAACTTCTCAATCTTGTAACACAAGAAAATGGTCAAAATACTGATGAAATTGAAAAACTAAGAAATAATATCAAAGTATTATATAAGGAAACTGGAGCTGATATCAAAACGAAACTAAGTGAAAATTTCAACAAACATGACAGCTCAATGATTTACCAATTTGACAAACATCTAAAAGAAAAATCAATAGATTGGAAAGATATCAAATTCTCTGAAGAAGATATTGTGCATCACTTTGAAACAAAATTTACTTCAATATCCAAATCATCAGACTTTGAAAATCCATCATCAACCGTCAAGAAAGGGCCAAAAATACCACAAATAAGCCTTAAAAAAGTCAAAGAGGCGATTTCGAGAATGAAATCCAATACACCTGGCCTAGACTCAATATCTTTCCAAATTATACGTAATCTCAAAGACGAACATCTACAACTTATTGCTGACCAATTTGAAAAATGTATTCAACAAGGAAATATTCCTGAAGAATGGAAATCTGGTTGGGTTAAATTACTCCCCAAAAGAGACGTCCAAAAACTAAATGATATTAGACCCATAACTATTCTCCCAATATATTACAGAATACTTTTCAACATAATTGCATACGAATTAAGACAATGGGCTTCCAAACACATCAATCTAAGGCAACAGGCCTTTATCTCACACAGAAACACAATGAATCACGGATTATTACTTTCATCTTTAACCAAAAAGAACAAATCGTCATTCCTATTGGTAAATTTAGACATTGAAGGTGCTTACGATTCCGTTGAAAACCATATTATTGAAAAAGCTCTCACGTATTGTAAGTTTCCAGAGGAGTTGAAATCTTTCATACTAAATTCATATAAGAATCAAACGTTACAATTAGAAATTAATCAGCATCTCTCAAGACCATTCACAAAAACAAGAGGAATACCACAAGGATGCCCTCTAGCTCCTCTTATATATGATTGTATTACTCAACTCATAATTGACAAATGTATACAACAATGGAAAATATCAATCAAACCAACCAAGCTTAATATTAACGATATTGGATTACTCTGCTTCGCTGATGACATTAATTTTATTGCAAACAGGTATTGCAATTATAACGAAAGACTTGATAATATTTCAAAATGGCTCGGCCAATTAAGCCTAAAAATTAATCCTTCAAAATCCATGGCAACCACTCTCCCAACTAAAAGCACAATGAAACCAATGATAGAGGGTACAATTATACCAAGATTCAAAAACCTTCGAGTGCTTGATCATTATCCTTGGGATGACTCTACTCTAAATGAAGATATTGAAAAAAGAATCCTCCAATTTCAACTCTCACTCAAATATATTCCACTGAAAAGAATGGAGATAACAAATATTAAGAAAGTAATCTTTGCCAAATGTACTAGTTTATTTACACACATTTTACGAACAAATTATATTCCTGAAACGCTTGTTGATAGAATCAACATTGAAGTAAGAAAAGCAATAAGAAAGAAAATTTTCATGCATAATGCTAGTCCAACAAACTATTTTCACCTCCCAATCACCTATGGTGGATTAGGTATTCCAAGTTTCGACATCTTTGCTGATGAAATTAGAATCAAAACAGCCCTTTATCTTATTAACAATGAGAACGAACTCCTTAGAGAAGTCTATTCAGAAGGAATTAAATATGAAAATTCGATTTTTAAGGAAATGAATAGATCAATGAAGAAATACAAGATCAAACCTCAACAATTTAATAATGATGAAAATCTTCCAAAACTCAAAGGAAAGAATTTTACTATTTACACTGACGGATCAAATCTAAACAATTCAACAGGTTTCGGCTTCACCGCCAAAGTCAACAATTCCCAAGAAACCCAAGAATTCTCGTACAAAATTAACAGTGAATACTCACATAACGTCGCTGAATTGTCAGCTATACTCACATCACTAAAGATACTTCCACCTAAATCCAAGGCAAAAATTCACACAGATAGTGAAATATCCATCCACATCTTGAAAAACAAAGCCTATAATGGAATGTTTAACTGCTTTAAACATGAATATCATAAGGTCATTCAACAATCCAAACTGAATATTCAACTAATCAAAGTTAAAGGACACGTCAACGAAGGAAATATCAAAGCTGATGAATTAGAAAAGAAAGGAGCTCAAGAGCACAACTATTTTGACATTAGGAAACTTTTTTCAAACCAAACCATCCTTACTACATCAAATACCATTATTTTCGACATCAAAAAATCCATACAAAAGAAACGTTACGAAGTAATGTTTAGCCAATTTGATAGAGATAATTCCAGTCTACACCTTACCAAGAACTGGTCATCTATCAATCTGAAATTCATCAAATCTAAAATTGACACAGAGACTAAATGGTCAATCTGGAGAAATCTGACAAGTAATCATATCAAACAACATAAGGAAAGACAATGCGCTCACTGCAAATGCCCCGGAACCCTAAAACATTTTATATACTATTGCCCTAACACTCAATGTTTTAGGGACTTTTTCTACACAAAATTCCTAGAAATTACATCAATACGATGCATCCTCAACGATTATCAAGAATCAAGATACTGTGATAGAAGAAAATTTTTCATCATCCACCATGACGGAGTAATGATTCGAGATACTCAAATACTCAACCTTAAAAATTTACCAAATATTTACCAAAATTGGCCTGAAATCCAAATAATTCTCACCTTACTAGTTGGTAAATGTCACATCAAATACTATGAAAACTCAAGATTCAAAAAACCATTTCAAAAACAATCCCCAATCCTCACGGATTTACCAGCACCAATGGTGCTAACAATAAACTAATTGGATTTTTTCCAGCCTTCGTAACGCAATACTTGTAGCAAATCTTCCCTTTTTCTGCTCTGGACATTGCAAAGTAACAAGATAGAAATTTGTTTAGGTCCTCATGATTGAATGATTGTTCCCACCGGGCAGAGTATTTCAATTTATTTCCAATCCTATTTCTTGATGTTACTGGTAATAAAGATCTACCTCGAGTCCCTTCGTTGCTCAACATGTTGTCGACTCTTAATTGTCTTCTCTGGTTCATGTTGTCGAGAAAAAGTTGTTCAACCTCATCATCAAACAACAACTTAAAACAATTTAAAGGTGTAACATCAAGAAGAGTTCCTTTGAAACGACCTTTTTCATAATCTTTGGTGTAGTGATGTTCGGGTACTATTGTTATTCCTTGTCTTGTAGTGAATGAATCATTGTCGTTAACTGTGTAGTGACAATAGTGAACGTTTGACAAGCCCTCCTATTAAGTGTAAATTGAATTTGAACATTTGCCATTTGTAACACCGACAGATGAAATGCAAAACATTTTCACTACAATCCTCCAAAACAATGTTGTTTTGTTGATGAAAGGCTCGTCCCTGGTAGTGACTTGTAAAATCTCGAGGAAATATTCTTACACTTGCCCTGTAGCACGTGAGCATAAAAATTCAGGAATGGGTTTATTGAATAATAATAATAACGGATAGATAATGCGGAGCTCGACTCAATAATCCGACGAATGTATGTTGTTGTTTGGGTGTTTGGGGATGTCATGAACTAAATGATTCAATTAATGATAGCAGCAGTTGAGCAACAAATCACAATAGGATGTCACTTTGAACGAGAAACGAAACAAATACTTCAATGTGTAGAGGTTTCTTCTTCAGGTAACATGAATTGTGGTTTGAACGACATTTTCTCAAACATGGTGGTAGTTTTATTCATGCTATTCGTGTCGATTTAGACGATTGTTGTGATATCACCACCATTTATCTTTAAGGGGATGGAAACATCAAGCGGTAAAGGTGGCTAGTGTGTAAAAAAAGTATACGATTATTATCAAATTTTAATTATTGTTGAAATGCATTATCTCGTTGTTTTTGGCCTTAAATCATCGTCATCTTCAAGGAAATTTTCCTCAAAACCACCACCTGCATTCTCCAGCTTACTCGTAATTCCACCAAGATTCAATGTTAAATTAGTTTTCGATTTGGATCCAAACATGCCAGGTTTCAACATAAAAGTTGGATTCTTACTTTCGGTGGGTGTCTCTGCTGTTCTTGAGGTTCTTCGAGAGCTCGATGTGGTCAATGTTTTGGTCACTTGTATGATACAAAAGAGAGTCGTTGGATGCACCGTGTAGACACGGAGTGAGGAACCCATTTTTTGTTCCTTATATTCACACGACATTTCTGTACTACCTTGAAAGCTTTGACCATAATAATTTCCTCCTGTTCTCAGTATAGTATTGTCATTGGTCAATAATACGGTAAATCCACCTCCACAGAAAACTCTTCTCAACATGTACGAAGAAGAGAGATCAATTTTTTGGAATTCATTTTTGGGAGAATAACTTCCATTACCTAATTGACCTAAATCTCCTTTTCCACATGCCCACAGTTCTCCATTCAGGGTTAATACCATGGTGTGTTGAGCACCACATGCAAGATCCTTAATGGTTTGTCTTTCAAATGGAAGACTGGGTGGATTTTCAAATTCAGATCTTTCCAGTGGAAGTGCATATCCCAATTGTGAAAATTGATTATTTCCAGTGCTGTAAAATACATCGAAATTACCATTCAGAGTGGCAACGATGCAGGTATGAGCTCTGCCACATGCCACAAATTTAAAATCCACATATTTCTTCTCCTCATCGGAATAGTCTTCTCCAAAATCGAATTTAATCTTTTTCAGAAATCCATAACAATCTAAGGTCGTTCCATCACCGAGTTGACCATTACTGTTGTTTCCAGAAACAAGGACTTCTTGTTGTGACGTCACAATCAAAAAGTGATCCGAGAAGGGCGATGTTCCGAATAATTTAATCTTTTTTCCTTCCAATTCTTCATCTTGCAATCTCTTGAAATAGCATGAACTACGTTCTCCACACATGTATATTTCATCATCTTTGGTTAGAATGAAAGAATTATTTCGACTGCAATAAATACTCTTAATTTCGAAGGGAGGCATTGTTTTCTCGGAACTAGAGGCACCTCTTGCAGTTTGTGGTGTCGTTTGTTGTGCAATATCTTTCAAAAAATCTAATTGAACTCGAGCATCATTCATGGCTTCTGATTTTAACCTGGGAATGACCAGATCTTTTGGATTGGCATTACTGGTCTTTCTTTGTTTAATGAGCATGGAACCAAATGGTTTCAAACCTCCACTATGTCTCTTATGAGTTTCATCATCCAATGAACCAATCAAGTCATCCTCACTCATTGGAGTCATGGATGGATCACTTCCAATGCTGTCAAAATCAAAACTTCCCATACTTCGACCACTGCTGTGACCTATAGAGGAAACACGTTCTGTGACGGCTGCTGAGTGACCACCACCATCACCGCCACTCGAACCACCACTACCACTACTCAACGTTTTCACACTATTCGTGTTAATGGTGGGAATTCCAGAAGAGTCGTTTCGACGGTGAGTGGGTGGAATGGCATCGCTATTTCGACGAAGAGTACTACTGTTACTCAAGCTATTATTATTACCATTCGTAGCAGTTAATTCGGAGGATCCTCCTGATGAAATGATAATATTGGGAGAGGTGTTAAAACTGCTGCTTAATGAAGAGTCGTCTCCATGTTGATGAATATTCACACGTTCATTGTTTTCACCACTCACACTCAATTGCACTTCTTCTCCGTCCATGGTGGATATAATTTGTGATGAGGAAATTCCAGAACCAACTTCTGTTTGAGGTGATGTGACATTGGCAATGTTCTGATGATGAGTCGATGATTTTTTGTGTTTTCTCCCCTTGCTCGAATCAAAAAGATAATCATAATGTGTGGTTGCTGAAAGTGGAGTTGCACTCGATGGATTGCTTTGGTTGTTGTTCGTGATGTTGTTGTTATTCAGCACAATACTGTTGAGAGTAGAATCCCGATCCAAGCTCTCGGAACCCATTGGAGATTCAGAAGAATTCGAGCCTTCGATTGGTGAATTGACTCGATTCCCAATGACATTTTCTGAAGTGATGAGATAGGTATCGGTGGTGACAGGAGCACTCGAAGAAATAATACTAGAAGAATCATTTGTTGTTGTCGCTGAGTTACCACCATCCGTCAATGCATCCGCACCGCCTGAAGTAGGTCGTTTCCTTCGTTGTAATTCCAAAAAATCATTGGCAGCCACATCTTGTGACGTCGATTCAAATAATCTTCCTAAGGGTGATTTTTTCCCAGGTGTTTGTTTTTTGAGTGAAGTCGATGACAATCTCATCGATCCAAACTGTGAGAGTGTGGAAAGCATACCAAGTCCATTATTAGAATCCTCTTGAGGAAGATTTGGTAAGGTAGCAGGAGAAGTAGTAGTCGAATCCAAAGTGGTTGTTGTTGTTGTTGAAGCAGTAGCAGAAGTAGTAGTGGTTGTAGTGGCGGTGACAGAATTTTTTCCCAACAAATTGGGAGTGGTCGAAGTGGTGGGTGTGGAGACAAAAGCATTACTGCTGCCACTGTCATAGGAACCAAATTTTCGATGATGAAGAAGATGTGAAAAATCAACACGTGTTAATTTGGTGATTTCTTCCACGTTTTTACCCATTCCTAATTTACCATAGGCATTACTTCCACAGACATAGAGTTCATTGGTTTCTGGTGTGTGTGCGTGCACGTGTGGTTTTGAGATGCATTCATTAAAGATGATGTAATGATTGTATTTTCAATTATTTGTGATATACATGATGCAGAATGTTCATTCATGAGTGGTGAGAGATGATGATATTCAAAGTCATATTGTCATGATGCACAAGGTCATTCATGATAATGCATTCAGTGTTCGGAAAGCATGTTGTTTTCATTGAGATCGTGAAAGATTTCGAACAATGTCAAGGAAAAATCAAATTGGAGAATAAGTGTGATCTCAAAGTGTGTCACCATCTTTTCAAATACATACCTGTTAAAATCAATGTGTGATCATATCCAACTGCAACTTGTTGAATGGCAACTTCTGGTGGAAGTTTGGGTTCAATCAACTTTTTCGTTGGCTTGTTGTTTCCCGTACAGAGTTGACCTATTGGAATGATGATTCAATGATAGATTTGAATAATTATGAATTATAGAAATTCAATGATAGATTTGAATAATTATGAGAGGGGTCGATGTTGAGTATGGATGGTTCATTCAAATGTGACAAAGGTTCATTGCAGAAAATTTGTGTTTGACGGATGACAAAAGCATTAAAAAGTACACGTCGATAAAGGTTCATCGAATGTGGTGGTGGTTTTTCCAAATCATTCAAGTGTATACAAGCACCATTCAACAAGTTATAGTTGTTGCATCATCATCATGATTGGAACACAACATCAAAGGACGGAACGGGTTCATAGGTCCGTCATCATCATCACATTTACCGTAAATCATCATCATCGTCCATTAAAAAATCATCGTGATAGATTCGTTCGTTGTGGATAGGTGTTTGTGTTCAATCATTGAGTTTGTTATTGTCCACATCATCCAATAATAATAATTTGAAATCATTATTTGAAACAAGTTGTAGGTGGTCATCATCATGTGATCATTTAGAAAAAGTCGAGAAAAAGATCAATCACAGTTTGGTTGGTCGGATTTGTGTGAGCTCCTTTCATGCCAACAAAACAAATCAACGACAACTTACCAAAGTCATTATCTCCACTGACAAGCAGTGACCTCTGTTTCACCTCCATTATTTTTTAAAATTTGATTTTTGACAAGCCGAGGCAAATGAAGAAGTTTTTATCTCAAAACAAAATGTCAAGTAATACTCTCATGACATGTTCATTTCATACGAAAAGGTTAGAATTCTAAATCTTTATTGTGAATAAACAAGAATGCAAACTGGTCTTGACAAAGGAGTCATCGTGTGTTGTCTTACTGGGATAATTGTGCATCCTGTTTCAACACTGATGTTTGAGAAGTTCTAACATGGTCAAATGAGTGCATGAATGGTGTTAAACCCAATAATGATTTAAAGAGATTTGTAACGCCTTAATTGAATGTCAGCATGCTTTACAAAATATTACATAACAGTCATAATAAACAGCAAGATGGTGGTTTTAGAGACAATTTGACATCTAGGGGTTGAAAATGGTTTCAACCAAATACGGTGGTACATTTCGACAAGCCAAATGATGCGGAATTGGGTTGAAAATGGTTTCAACAACAATCCAAATATTGCACGTTCCTTCTAAATGTTCCATTATTGTATGATTACTAATTGATGTGAACTCAAATCATTTCAACCGTGACTCTTAAGTATGGATGGACTTCTCTAAGCATGCCGAGTCATGTCACTTCTCGTTGTGAACATGCTGTTCTTCACGAGGGCTTGTTGGCGGAGTACTCATAGGACTATCCGTTTGTTTTTGAATTCGTTTCACCACTCGTGCTGCTGCGGTGCCTTTTCTTGTAATACTTCCGGCCGATACAATTTGTGGTTTGCTTGCGATGGTACTAGCAGATTCAGGAGGAGTAGTGGGTGACAATGAATCGTTACTGAGTACTCGAACCACTTTGACAGGAGTTTTTCGTTTGACGGTGCCAGGAGTTCCTGGAGAGCTATTTGAGTTGTTATTTAAGGAATTGGCCTCAATGGAATTCAATAGTGGTGGTTCTGAGGAGGTTCTGGTTGCATTGATGTCATCATCATCATCATCATGCTTTAAAGACAGACATTCTGAGTTTGTATTTTCCAATTTCACTGTGACCTTATTCACGTTGAAAGGAATTGCAAGTCTTGGTGAATTATTGGTACTACTGCCACCACTACTACTTCGTGAATTCAAATTGAGAGATTTAATTTTCTCACTCACAAGCCAAACCAAACCATGTAACACTTCATCCATCTCAAATCCATACAAGACAGACTTGACACAAGCAGTCTGCAACAACCATTTCTTATTATTATCATGAGCGTATCGCATTAATAATTCAGCCACTTCACAAACACCATCCATTTGTCGTGGAGAGCATTGTGGTGTAATAGTGATCCAGTGAATAATACTATTACTATTTATGTTACTACTATTACTATAACCAACACGATGATGATGTGAGGATGAGGATGATTCATGTAATAGGTTTTGTTCAAGTTTCTTGATGGCATTCTCTTTGGCTTCATTCATCAAGGCAAGAGGATCCAATCGTTTCGCTTCTTGCAAAAAGTGAAGCAATAGGATCGGATCGTAATGATTATGACCGGTTAGGCATTGTTGAGTGATGGGTGAGGGAGGAGTATTTCCTTGATGATGATGAGAAAAAGAGAGAGGCTGATGTAGGAATGAAGGAGAACAAGAGGATGGAATCAACGAAGAAGAAGAAGAAGAAGAATGGATTTGAATACTCGTACTGAGTGGACTGCCATTCGTGTTTGCAAAAGAAGAAGGTGATGATGATGATTGTTGTAGGAGAGTATGTTGTAGATAGGAATGATTGAAATCACTACTATTACTTCCGCTGCTCATCCTAGGACTCATGGAAGAAGTAATAAGTTGTTGTTGTTGTTGATATCCACCACCACCACTCCAATCGGTCATGAGGATGTCGAGCACAGAGATGATGAATCCTTTAAAAAAAATTAGGTTGTAATATAAAACAATGATGTGGTCTGATGACAATCAAGATGATCTTCAATGGATGATCAACACTACCATCAAGGATCAGTGCCTTCAAATGCAAGTTCAAATAAAACGGACTCAAACGGTTGGGTGAGGTGGTCAATTGAATTCACTCTTCTGAAAGGAAAGTAGAAATTTTTTTCAAAGTGATGATGAGATCTCACAATTCCTTTTGTGGAAGGCCAAACAGTATGTGCTAATGAGAGTTCACTGCAATATCGAATGCACCTTCAATACTTTTTTCCATTAGTATAACGAAGCATTGAAAATTCTTTTGTAATCTTCTAAAAGTCATTCACCAATGAAGGAGTGAAAGCACTGCTATGCGAGATGGATCCAAAGGGACTAGTTCAATACAGCATGCTGTATTCTGTCTTTCAAAATGAAACTTCAGGTCAATTCACCAATGATTTACATTTTGTTGTGTCGACAGCAAGATCCTTCCTTAGCGCACACACTTTTGAGTTTCTCCTCAACTTGGTGCTTGAAGGAGTTGCGAAACTCCGATGCGGTTCCAAAATATTCATTTTCAAACCGAAAATTCAATAAAAAAATTCCTTTCCAGTCTCTCAGTTGTTGTCGTTGTCCTTTTTTTTCAACATCCCCATCATCATTATGGCTTCCCGCAAAGAGTTATTGAAAATCATTGTCCTCGGAGATTCGGGTGTTGGAAAGGTAGGTCTTTGAATATCATTCCGAGCTCTCGGAGTGAATGTATTCTTTTTTGATCATCTTTTGAATTTCTCTCATGATGATGATCTTTTTGTGAATCTTTTGCAAAACTTGGATTCGTTTGGAATTCAATCCACCTTTTGGTGATTACAGACTTCTCTCATGAATCAATACGTTAATAACAAGTTCAGCAATCAATATAAAGCAACCATTGGAGCAGATTTTTTGACAAAGGAAATTATGATTGAAGATACATGTTGTTCTTTATCCATTTGGGATACTGCAGGTAAATATTGTTGTTGTGCAAATGGTATTATTGTTGAAATAATGTCATAATTCTTTGTTTGTTAATGGAATGGATGGTGCTATGAATGTCGTCATGATTCTCATGTCACTCCTAATGGTCACTCATATACTCTAATGTTGAACCAATTATGCATATGATTTTTCAATCTTTTGTGCTCTCCTTATGATGGTGAATCATTCATCATGCAACAACGTTATATATTGTGAAATTATCACAAAATCCACTTTCTTAATTCACCATTACAGGACAAGAACGATTTCACTCATTGGGATTTGCTTTTTTCAGAGGTTCAGATGCTTGTGTATTAGTATTTGACGCAACCAGTAAGTTTTTCGAAAAATCGCTTTTCAAATATTGTCATCACATCCCATTCTAAAGCTCAAAAAACATTTGATAATATTAATAATTGGAGAGATGAATTCTTGTTACAAACAGGACCATCAGATCCTGAGAATTTTCCATTTGTATTGATTGGAAACAAGATTGATTTGGAGCAACAAAGAGCTGTGCAACAAAAACAGGCACTCGCATGGTGCAAGAGTAAAGGCAATATTCCATACTTTGAATGCAGTGCAAAAGATGGCACCAATGTTGAGCATGCTTTTGGTAAGTTTTAAAAGTTGTGACACTTTGAAAGATATGGCTTAACAAGAACATATTTGGCGAATCACTATTACGGACTGCATCGATATGGATCATGTGAAAAACCCTTGTTCATGAATTGACCTCTCATTGCAGTGACGGTGGCTCGAAAGGCCCTTGCAAATGCTAAAGATTCAAATGGTGTCACAGAAGGAGCAAATACTTTAGGTAACATTGATGACGAGCCAACTCCAAGACCAAATAATGGATGTGCATGCTAACCATAATCGTGGCCACTATGGTGATACCATATTATGTTCCTTTGTAAATATAACAACAAATCAACAATAAATTGTGAAGTTTTATATTGCAAGAAGGGTCACGTCATTCACAAACACCACCTTGTGGTTGTGTCACACTAGTGGATTGATTGCCTTATTCGTTAAAATTAAGGGCAGCTGTGAATTTGGTCTTCTCCAAGTCATCTACTCCTTTTTCTTCGCCTTCATCGCCGATTCGACAAATTTCATGTAGAAGGGCGTCATCACGGTTCAAACTAAAGAATAAATCTCTGTCGAATCGTTGGTTTTCAGTGATCAATCTGGTTGCGAGCTTATCAATTGCAACTGTAGCTAAAACTGTCTGAATGAAAGCATCAATCAAATTGTCGACACCCAGACCCAACTTGGAAAAGTCTTTTCTGTCACAAATGATTAATCTTTTTTGATCAGTGTCCCATTTATCTTGTCCAAGCTTGATCGATAAATTGGTACCCAACATGTCCCACGAGTCTTTTCCTTCAATGTCGTCAGTTAGTGGGCTCTTTGCTGTGCGTGTTTTTGAATTGAACAAGATTAAAATTGCACAATTAGTTAGAAAACACATATTTGTGAATATTCAAAATGTAAATCCAATATTGATCTTTTTCATCTTTTCAAAGACATACCTTTTCTTGCATACAGAGCAACAGGTGAAAATCCTCCTTTTGCAAAATCATACATGATCATCATTCTTAAATCAGCCACATAAATATTTCTCTTTGAGTCGGGTACTGTAAAGTTATGGTCATCACGATAGGTTTCAAGAATTTCAATTAATAATATTACATTAGTATTTTAACAGCCTCTCTCAAACCTACCTGTTCCAACATGATACAATTGTCCTTGATGTGTGTGTGAAGACCATTTCGAATTTCCAATTAAAGATTGCACAATAAATTGGTCATAACGATCTTCAGTTTTCATAAACTCTTCCAATTCTTGTGGTGAAGTTATTGTCCACACACCTTGGCCGCCATTAGAATAAGGATTCTTAACCACTGCATATCCACCAAAACTATTTTGAAAAAATTTAAACGAATGAACATGACAGGTTACTGGAATTGTCACAACAAAACGTGAAGCCACTTACGATTCAACCCAAATGGGAACAATTTTCTTTTCGACGTCTCTGATTGTTCTTGGAGTATTGAGACGAATTCCATAACCATTGTATTGACTGTTCAAAAAGTCGTATGCCTTAGCAGCCAATAATTTGTTTCGTCCTCCTGCCAGACAACAAATCACTGGGTTCATGATCATGGTACGAATTTTAGAAACGGGTAGTCTGTCCCATGGTCGTTGTGTGACATAACGGAAACATCCACGGATATTGATCCAGTTGTTGTCCTTGTCACGAATTTGCAAAATTTGACCATTGTCTACAAAACGAACTGGTGGATCCTTGTCGCTTGCAAGGTATTCCACCAAATAAACAGTCTCTCCGAAAACATCGGCCACTGTTCCAAGAATGAAACCATATCAAAGTGTCACAATGAGTAAAATTGCATCAGGAAATGTCGTATTGATTCATTCATAGATTGTTTTCAAAGTTTCATCACCAAAAAATTAGCACGGAAACAACAAAACTTACTTGTTGCAGCATAGCCACTAGTTTCCATCTTATTCTTATCATAAATGACAGCTAATTTTCCATTGGGAACTGTATTGCTTCCGAGTTGTTTTTCGTGTTCTTCCAACATGGGTTTAAAAGTTTTTTCAATAAGAGTTCTGTAACCACCATGATCGTCATGCATATTGAGCACTGGCATAGATTTTTGTCCACTTGGACAACTGTTAGTTTCAATGAGGACCATCTTTCTCAAACCTTGAGAATTGGTGACATTGAATAAATCAGCTCCGGACCAGTGAAAGAATTTGGGTTTGTAGGAAAGGAGTTCAGTGAGATGTTTTTCATCAACTTGAGGGTTCAAATGAAGATAACGCTTTAAAATTCTTGAATTTCCTATTGTTTGTTGTCACATTAAAGAGTGCATCAATCAGAACAGAAGTCATATTGTTCCGAAAATAGAATTGTCACAAGAGTCAAACCCAACCAATGAGTCACGATGCCAAAAAAGATCAATATGATATTAATTCATGGATTTCCATTCAAATTTGACCACCATATTGTGTGAAGGGTAATACAATGTTCATACGTTCATACAACGAATCTCACTCGAATATCAACTTACCTAACATCATAAAATCGCTCACAATTTCACTCACTTGGGCGTTGATTGTTTTTGGATAAAAGTGACTGTCGGAATCAAACGAGTCTTTACTCACTGGAACAACTTTGTCCTTCGTGGCAAAAGCCTTTGGCTGCTCATTCACTCCAGCAACCAATCGGTTATGAAGATCATCCTGATTATTATTATTATTTGAGGATGAGCCTTCCTCGCCTCCAGATCCGTTATGAAAGATGGTCTTGATGATGCTACTCATGTTGATACAAGGTGAAACTGTTCGCTGATTTGGATGTTTGTACAATCATAATATTAGGATGAATTCATAAGAGTCACAGCAACAAATGTCAGCCAAACAATTAGATCAAGACCTGGTGGTACCTACTGTCGAGAGTCGTGAAGTGAACGGGATCCGAGTGGAGTACTCTGATTTTTTTTTCTTGTTGTTCTCCCTCTGAAGAAAAGCCTTTCTTTTCCAAATCGGTTCATTGGACAACACACTCACTTTGCTTCAACAAGAAGCGATCACGACGTGGGGACCTAAAAAGTTAACTCGAGAAAACTTCAAGATGACCGACTTGCATCCAGCATGCTATCGAGAAAGAGGAGGTGATGATGGCTCTACGGAATGGAACGAAACACCTTCTCGCGAAAGACTAAGGCGACTACGCTCAAAGTATGAATTTCCTAAAAAAATATTTTGAAGCGCGGCAAGCAATTTCCAAATCACATCATCATCATCTTCAGAGTAATTGTGCTTGTCATCTTGGCCTTAATATCTGAATTTTGTGTTCCAGCCTGATTATTATCAAGTAGGTGAGATTGATCCGTGTTCTTTGACAAGAACCTTCGATTGGACAGATATATTTCAAATGGGCGGTTATCCGAGTTCGGGCATGGTCCCTGCGGCCTCCAACAGCAACAGCCAAAAATCATCGAGAGGATCTATCAACAACAACAACAACAACAACGACTCCCCAATGTTCCTCTCGAATCCGTCTTCAACAACACGAGCTTCAAAATCTCAAAGCGAATCCACATTATTTACCATTCCTAATAAGCGAGCTACGAGTAGTGGAAAGGAGGGATCGGGAACAATGACCCAATCCTTAAGCCGTCTTTTAAATCAACCTGCAATTCTTGCAAACACAGAAAACTACTATGAGGATGACGACAAGTCAGACGCCTTTGCATTAGATCCAGATGGCATGTATTCCAAAACCAACAACACGACCATATCCTCAAGATCGCGCCAAAGTAGCAACAATTCCAACAACAGCCCACTCTATCACAACTCCACTTCTCCCTACCCTTCCATCTCCTATTCTTCCAATTCGACCTCACAAACTAGTCTTTCATCATCCCCACAACAACAACAGCAATTTTCAAACGTCTCTGTCTCCATATCGTTGGAAGGAGAAATACTGTCGGGGCAACATTCATTAAGTACCACATCATTGAGGAGAAAGAGCCGACCTGCTCCCATTCAAACCGATTCGGATACGTCTCCTTCGGGAAGTCGAGGAATGAGGCCAGTCATTATGGACAATCCAAACTATCTTCAGACTGGAGACGATGGCGGTTCCTTAATGGTGGTACCCCTCATGCATTCGAATTCGGTGCGTATGAAGAAAAAACAGACCAGTCCTAATGAAATTGATGACATCCTCAACACTACCTCCAATCCTAATGGGAAAAACCATTTGTCAAATATCCCAAACAGTAAATCTCAAATTTCGACTGGAAAAGAAAAGGTCTCCAGATTGGGCCAAACCATCAGTAACCAGATCAGAATTTCCGACGAAGACGAGGAAGAAGGAATTCGGCAGGTTCATTCATTCAACTCTTCGTCGAGGAATAGAAGCACATCAAAGAAAAAGTCACAGAAAATATCTCAAGAAATGGATGACTACATCGATTCCATTCTGAAAAAGAAGGGGAAATCTGCAGATGACTTGTGTAATGACACGGAAGGAGAAATCAATGATTTTAGAGAGACCAATCTGCCAATTCTTGTTGGACAAGAACCTGTCATGTACCATCCAAATCCGAATGATTTAGGATATCTTGGCAGACGTCGTAAGAGTACAGTAGCCTATGAGCAAGAGAATCCAGAACAACACGCCGTTGAACTTGAAAATGTCTTTCGAAGAACTAGATCCACCATTAATACAAAAAATATCGCCTTACCAGCCGCAGGTGAACAACAAGTTGAAATACCAGTTCCTGAGACGAGTGTGCAACCTGTGAATAATCCAATGATTGTAGTGTCAGGAGGAGCAAAACTATTGAGAAAGGACAAATCTCTCTACGCTGTTGGTGGTGTCATCAATGAAAAAAAGAAAATTGAGCTCGAAAAACGGAGACGAAAGACCATCAATCGATCTAAGGTTGTGGGTAAAATTGGACCCCTTATAACAGTGGATTCTGATTCTGAGAGCGAGGAGGAGGATCGCCCCGATGACACGAGTACTCAGTATGATCTCCAAACAGAGTATTGTGAAGGAGAGGAATATTAACACTCTTCAGGTTTTGGTTGAGTCAAGCCTTATAACACCATTTTGTAATTCTTGATCATGTAAATACCCTAGGGTTTATCAACATCATTTTAAATGAGCTATGTGCAAATGCTTTCCATAGTTTTCCGAAATTAAATTTTTAAAGTCATCAAGTTCATCCACAGAAAAGATAATTGTCACTACACCATTCTCTTATGCATGCGCAACGCAGTTTTTGGGTGACGCCAAGCCACTTTCGCTGGAGAAAAGACTACTGTGCACTGTTCAATCTCGAAATTAATTTTCAAAAAAAATACATCACCACTTTGCCATCAGTCCAATAATTTAAATCAAAATTTATTATTATCTCTTTAATTCTAGAATTTTCAGAGCACCACCAAACCACAGAAAGCAAAATGAACCATCTTCCTGATGAAATTATACTGCACATTCTTCATTTCATTCCCGATGAGGAGTGTTTCCATTCTACATGTTTCACACGAAAGCATTGGGTTGTTGATATTTGGCCAAAACGTAAACAAGTTCTCTCTTTTAATTATCTTCCTGAATTGGATCGTTATTTGCATTCCGTAAAAAATGTTTCTTCATCGGCTTCAAAAACAAAAATTGCAAATATTGGATCTACTGCTGGTTCCATCAACGCGTCAGCCACTGCATCACACATTGAAGAAAAAAAGGTCAAAATTATTGTTTTATTTGATGCTTTTGAAAAATTTACAAATTTAAAAGAAATATCACTTGTGAATTGTGGATTGAACGATTCTATTTTGGAAAAGATTTGTACAAACTTTAAACGAAAACTTCTTATATTGAATATATCAAAGAATAAGAACTTGTCATGGAGCAATACTCAACGATGTATCATGTTGTGTGAAAATCTAAAGAAATTGGACTGGTCCTATAATTTTCAATCTCCCCCCAATATTCCACAACAACTACCAGGAGGAGGAGGCACTACCAATAGTACTGATAGAGACAATGGTTCTACCGCACTGAACGAATTGTGGGTTCAAACAGTGCAATTTCCAAAGAGTATCGAATGGGTTAATGTCTCTGGATTTTTGAACCAAATTCCAAACTTTGAACATCTCTATATTTTGATTGAACGATTTTCTGAGGGAGCTTCATTGAAAAGTAATCCATTTGAAGGCATACAAATTCCACATATTCGTGCTTTCGTTGCCAATCATTTGACTGACATTTCGATTATCAAGACAGAGAAGTGTCAAAAATTAATGACTATTTCCATTCCATCACTCATGGAAATGTATCATCATTGCTTAATTTATTTGAAATCAGCTGCATTTTCCATCATTTATGACGCTTTGCATTTTAATCCTAGTGAAGATTTAATTTATGAATGTATTCTGAAAGGCCATGTTCGAGTATTGGAATTATTGGCCTCTGTCGACTATACCATTGACAATATTCCCATTGATGTCATTGAACAATCGATTTTGAATGGAAATTGTTCTCTCATTTCTAAGCTTCGAGTATTGAATTTTCACCATTTCAATGATCTCTCAGACGATTTGCTTAATCAATTAATATGTAAGGGAGATACTTCAAGTATTATGGAGCTACGTACATGCAATTTGAATCGTCAAAAGTGGGATCAAATTAAATTATCTTCAATTGAGGAGGCCGTTCGTAACGGGTCGAAGGATGTGTTGGAGCATGTACGCATGCTGAATTTGACAGATTTGTTGAACCAGGTTGCGGTAGAGCATGTAGAGTATTCTTTAGAGAAGGGCCACTCTGGAGTTTTGAAGCAACTCGCTCATGCCAATTATCCTAAATTTAATGACCTTTCTCCACATGTTTTGGCGAATGTGATCCTAAAATCCCCTGCATTAGAATCCACTCTGAAAAAAGTTGGCTACTCCAAGTTGAATCAAGTCAAATCACTCATGAAGCAAGCCATTCAAGAAACCTCGGCATCTACGGCCAGCACCACTCTCACCAAATCACAGAAAAAGAAGAAATAACAACTCAATGAGGTATCACAAAAATCTCCATGATCACTAGGAAATACAACGAGCTTTGATTCAATTTCATTGAACAATCCATAACTTTAATAGTCCTCTAATCATTACAAGACAGTGTTATTAGATCTCTTTTTAAGGACTGACCTAAAGTCCACTTGATTGCTTGTCGAGTTGGAAGTGAGTTTTGACTTGTTTTCAAGTTCTGCAATCTTGTCTTTGAGTGATTTTGGACTTGTTGAAGTCTCTGGTGATGAAGGATGCTGTTTTTGTTGGGGTAATGGTGGCAGATGTTGACTTGTTGGCTTCTCCCTAGTTGTACCCTGTGTTGATGTCTCTGGTACCACTGGCACTTTGCTCACTGGTGAATTATGGGTTGAAGAGGGAGATGCCTCCCCACTATTCTTATTGTTTCCAAAAGGTCTTTCTTTAAGAGTCGGAGATTGCGCTACGATTCCACCATCATTTAGTGTGTGAAATTTCTTTGGGGTTGAGTCTTTGGGAGTCGAGTCGCTCCTGCTGTTATGATCGAGAGTAGTATTAGAAGAGAATATTGACGGAATTTTCAATCTGTGAATGGTCTTTGGCGATTCTGGATTTGTCATCTTTTCACACTTGGGCATATCACCCGTTGTTTGAATTTCATTAGATTTCAAATTTGTATCAGCATCTTGTGGAATATCAAAAATACTACGCGATGGTGGATTATTCTTTGGTGATGCAAGAGTCTCGGTTGGTGATGGTGTGAGATTCTTGGTGAGCTCGCTCTGAAATTTCTCTGCCATCACATTGTTCCCCTTAAATAAGGGTGGTTTTGCCACAGTCGGCTCTTGTTGTTGAGAAACCTTTTCCTGACATTTCTCTGTAGGACGGATATTATTGACATTAGTGGCATCACCACTGCTTCTGTTCAGTGTTGATACTTGAGGTGGTGACATTGCATCATCATGATTTGCACGAGGTGGTGACTTGCATGAACGAGAGATTGGTGCGGTCGTTTTGGATGCCATTAAGGGAGACTTTTTCAGCTGTACACTCGCTAACATGGATGAGTTCATGACGAAAGGAGATGAAGGTTGTGAGCGTGTGGGACTCTGAATGGTACCACAATCATCATCATCGTGTTTACTGTTCTTATGGTAGGAGCTCACCGATTGCTCTGTTTGGGGTAATCTCTCGCTTATAGCGTCGGAGACAAAGTTTTTTACATGAATATCAATATGTTGATCATGAAAATCATTCGCTTTTTTCATCAACTATGAGTAGTTTCGTGTTTTTGAAATGTCAATACGTTTTAAATAAGTGCGGTAAATTTTGATCAATTAATTTTAACATGATGAATCAAAACTCCTCAAAATCATACCTTAATGATAATAATAATAATTTTTCCAACGATTGAAAATTGAATGCTCATTAGAATGATTATTATTATAAGGTATCCATACCCACCTCTGAAATGCTCTCCCTCTTTTTGGCTCTCCTTGGAAGAAGACTCATAGATTTTCTGTTTGCTCCAATCCTAATGTTGTTGTGTGCTTGTTCCAATTCATTCTCCCGTTCTTGTAACAGCCACAACGGAGCATTGTTGTATTGAGGTTCTTCATACTGTGATAATTCCGTTAAGCTGGAGGATCTATTGCTTTTCACCTGTTCCTGCTCAACCTCCTGTCTGCCCTTGGGACTCAATTCCTCTTGGTCGTTCATCTGAGCCTTAGTCCTTTCAAAAGTACCTTCCTCAATAATGATTACAATGGCTTCGAGAATCGCACTATTTTTTAATTGATGAAAAACCTCTTGGTTGATAATATGTATTACATAATAATAATACAATTATATTATTAATTAAAAGAGTACCCTCTCATAGGACTACATCTATTTATTTAGGATTCGGGAATCAACCATCTCACCTCTTTCCGCTGTCTTTCCTAATGATGGAACCGATCCACAACATAATTGGAATGAACACTGAACACATGCATCATCATTCTGCCGAATCCATTGGTCTTTCCAACAAAGAGATGTGATGTGTAACCTCCTCATGTTTTATATTATCTGAGATCTTGTGACGTAACGAGACTTGTGCTATTGGAATGAAAAAAGAATTTTCTATTAAAAAATGTCCTATTCGTACTTGTTCAAATACATCATCATTGGTGATACAGGTAAGTGGGTGTTTGTTGATGAGAACCGAAAGGAATCAAGCCTTGGTGTGTTTGTTTCAAACTTTTGCTGAAACAATGATGAATGAACCGGGTGATGTGGTGCTGTCTTTTCACCGCTCGCTTGTTCTTATTGATCATCATCAACGAACCAACGTACTTTGTGTGCCTCATCACAACAATAATATTTGTCTCGAATTTGATTTCTTTTCAATGTCTTCACGCGTTCCGTAATTAACTATGGTGTTATTGTTGTTGTTGTACCATCTCCGTTCCTCCTTGTTATTATAATTCTTTGCTGATTGTTGTTATTATTCTCTATTGAATCATCATCAATCACATCATTTATTATTATTATAATACTGGACAAACGCGTACGCAACGGAACACCTGTTCTTATCCCACGTGTTTAGGTGTTGGAAAGTCATGCCTTTTACTTCAGTTTACCGATAAACGTTTTCAACCGGTGCACGACTTGACGATTGGAGTTGAGTTTGGAGCCAGAATGATCAATATTGATGGAAAACAAATCAAATTACAAATATGGGATACTGTAAGTAGCAACAACATGATCACGAGCGTGTGATGCTCATATCTCTTATTATTGATGAATGTCTGTATTCTTTCTTGAAAATCTTCTCTTGATTCTATTCTGCCGTTTTACACGACCAAATTTCATCGTTATTTGGCGATGTCTGTGTGATTGTTATTGCTATGATTTAAAAAACATCCTATTATCCTATGAACAATGTTTCCTTTTGCGCGACTCGGTCATTGATTTTCAAAATCCTATTCATACTCGTATATTCTCAAAACATTTCCAACTAAATTTCAACATCATCTCTTTAAATCTAAACATTGAATCATCATTACGATCATTTTCATGACCTCTCTCTTTTATTTCTCTACCATCCTCCATCATCAACAACAAACACTTGAATGTGCGTAACAGGCTGGACAAGAATCATTCAGAAGTATTACTCGTTCATATTACCGTGGAGCTGCTGGTGCTCTTCTCGTCTATGACATTACGAGGCGTGAGACATTCCATCATTTGACAACATGGCTCGAAGATGCCAGACGACACTCCAACTCGACAATGACCATCATGTTGGTTGGAAACAAGTGCGATCTGGACTCACGACGTGCTGTTTCATATGAGGAGGGCAAAAAGTTTGCTCAACAACATGACTTGATCTTCTTGGAAACAAGTGCCAAGAATGATGAAAATGTCGAGGAAGCTTTCAATTACACTGCACGAATTATTTATGAAAAAATTGAGAAAAATATTATTGATGTTACCAATGAAATGAATGGAGTGAAGGTTGGAAATGCCCCAACAGCAACAACCAATCTTTTGGATAAGCCTGGAAACTCATCTGAACAAGGAAGGGGCAAAACTTGCTGTGGATAATTCAATGTCAAAATATTGTAATATTCTCACAATCATATCACACCATCATCATTGCCATCATCACAACACTACTCTTGGTGGTCAACTCTCAGTTCCATCGTGTTCATTATTGCAATCTACCATTCTTAATTATTTTCCATTGCACTTTTGCGCCTCGTTCTCGCAAATCTGTAACTATAAAGAACGTTCATAATAAACAAATTTTGACATTTGCGCAACCATTCCATGAAAAATTGCTGGAGTTGGAGAACATTTTTCTGTTTTCACTTGCATGACACTTTACTTTCTTCTTGTAAAACATCGAATTTTCGGAATGACCTTTTCCAGATTTTCATAAAATTTGACCATGTTTCTTCGTTGCAAGGTCATTTCTGTAATTCCATTGTCCAAATATTGAAAGCCTTTCGCAATATCTTGTGCATGAGAGGGCTCGTTTTGGAGAATGCTTTCCACTACCATCCTGTAACTGTTTTGATCCCACAATATCAATCCAAATAAGGTGTCGCTAATATTGTGCAACAGTTCAATATCAAAAGTTTCATATAAAAGCATGTTAACACATTCCTTGATGAGCATTCCAACAAATGACTGATCCTGTAAATCAAACGAATTTGGATATTGAGATCTAAATGATGAGAGAGCATGTATGGCATCAAAACTTTCTTGTGCAATGTCCAACTCGAAACTAGTCACACATGAAAAATTCACATGATTCACAAATGATGAGAGAGCACATGGTCAGCAACTCAAAATTGAACAACACTACTTACTGTCCCAATCCAAAAACTAAAGCGCTTATGAAATGGTTAAATAATGGTTGCGGTAAAATGGTCACCTTCTCTGGATACATTTCCATCATGAATGAGATCAACCTAAAGTATTGTTTTCTCAGAGGAGCAAAATCTAAAAGATCTATCGTTATCAACGGAAGCATCAAATGAATTCCTTGAAAAACATAATTTACAAGTGCATCTGTTGTGTGAGTGTCGGTTTTCACTCGAACCTCTGCAGAAAATACAGCACTACTTCCATCCTCAGAAAAATCCAAAAAATCTCTTGATATCATACAGGTGAGCATTTTTAAAATTAGTAATAAATCCTTGTATCGTTCCTCTTCAGATAGATCATCAAGGGCATTAGGTCTTCGATGTTTAGATCCTCCTGCTTGTGAACTGTCACCATTCTTTTTTGAATGTATCTGTGTAAAGGTTTGAATCATGGAAAGTGCAATGCTAAATAGAGATTTACATTGGTCTTTTGTAATTGAGTTCACGAACGCCTTAATACAGCTCTTAAAAACACGAATGATGAGAGTAACAAATTGTTCATGAAGATAATATTGATGCATGAGTTTCACTAAATTCACTAAAATCTGTTCCGAATTAAAGAATTGAACCATAGTAGAAGCAATGTCTGGATTTGTAGAACCTTTTGCAATACCCAGAAATTTTTCAAAGCAGTAATCTAATTGTTCCATCACTTGTGCTTGCTGATAGGTTTCATGAAAGTCACTCTTTGCAAGAATCGAGTTGAATTGATCTCTCAATGGAACCAGCACAAGATTCAGCACGTGATGGAGTTCATCAAAATTTTTCTGGCCCTCCTCATTGACCTTAATGAATGAAGGGCAACATGAAATAATGCATTGAGTGAGTTTTCCTTTAACCCAATTTGGTGCCTTATGGAGAGTGTTAAACGTATTGAAATCATTCTTGACAATTTCTGCAAAGGTATTTGTTTTAACAACACATCGTTGAATGGACTTCTTTTTTGACATGACAATGAAGAGTTTGATAGTTTCTTGGCAAGTATCGTGCTCAGCTGACCAATGTGCTAAATTATGAGAAATCTTTTGTAATAGATAGTCGACAACTTTGACACCATTCTCTGATTTTTCACCGTACATTGCAAGGATAGACCTACTTATACTTTCAGTGTAATGGGAGACTTCAGGCATGAGATATGATTGCCCCCATCTCCAAAAGAACCACATTAAAGTTTTAGAAATTCTTGGGCTAAGCATTTGTGGGCTTTTCGATAGGCATAGCAATTCAAATTGTGAAAACTTTAAAATTCCATTCACAAATGTAAAGAAAATATTGTCTTCAGTGTCATCGTTGGTAAGATCGACAATTTCTGGTGGAAGAGTTGGAGTTTCACCTTCAGCATCATCAGCAACAACATAACCTGCAATTTCAATGATCCATTCAAAATCTTCCCATAAATTATCAAGTGCTCGGCTGGTCTGAAAACTTTGTCCAAATAATGATTGAAGTTGCGAGAAGCGAGTTGAAAATTTGTGATTCAACAGCTGTAGCGATGGCTCTGCAAACTGTCGTCCCATAATACCCATTGCATTCAATTGTTCGTCCACAAATAGCTCGTCATTATCATCTTCTTCGTCCTCATCATCCTCATTGTTGGAAACGGGCCTTTGGTCTGGCACTTTCAAATTCACATAACTCTTAAAAATTTCAAAACAGCACTGTCTAACAAAATCAGCACCTTTTGCGTCAAGATAACTGCCTGTCACTGAGAGTCTAGAAGTGGCAATACTCTCGCAAATGATGCTCCAACATCCTAGAAGAGTTGTTAATCCGTCAACAATGAATTGATCGTTAAATTTGGATGAAATTTCCATAGTACGAATTGTAGCTTGGGTTAAATGTTGCATAATTTCAAAGAACTGAGCTTGATTGGTCTGGGATTGATAAATTTCAATGAAAGGTAAAAATCCAAAATTAATAAAAAGTCTGTAAATGCATTGTGTACAGTCATAAATTTCTTGACCGCAAATTAGAGAAAATTCGAGAGACGTATAGGTTTGCAAGGCGCTAATTTCACAAAAAATTGTAAAAAGCATGAAATTATTCATTGAATAAATAGTTGTTGAACGAGTAATTCCATAGAATCGAAAAATATAAAACTTACTTTCCCATAAGGGCAAAAATACTCGACAATAAGCCCACAAAGAAATTAAGTTTGGCCATCTTATCATTTTCAAAACATTCGTTGGAAATGTTGCACCACTGAGTGAGGCAGAGTCTCACTTGATGAGTAATCCTTATGAAAAGTTCTGCCTCCAATGCATTGGATGAAGTGGCACCAGACATGAGCCCTTGTCTAAATTTTTGGTGAAGTTGAATGAACATGTTCAAAATTTCAGTATTTGTAAATCTCTCTTTCCATTCTTTGGAGTTTGGATTAATTTTTCCTTGTTCTATGGAAGCAGAGCCGGCACCTCCACCACTACTAGCATATTTGTTTTTATACATTTTTGTGGAAATGATGGATTTGAGAGAGCTAACTTCATTGAAAGGAGAAAAATCCCAACAAAGTACCTCTCTAATCAAATCAAGAGCGTTCACTGACATTTTCAACAATTCTGAAACATCTTCATTTGTGACCCTTCCAAAAAACAGTGATTCATCTCGAATCGAAAGCGATCTTTTCAAAATATCAATACCCAACCCAAAACAATTTGGAAGAAAATCTTGTTGAAATAAAATTCGAGATTTTTCATGAAATTCCCAATTCATTCCAATTTCCGATGATGATCCACCAAGAGAAAACTCGGTAATCAAACTCAATAAGAGTTGTAGAGCCAAGTTTTGGGATTTTTGTTGAACCATTTGATTGTCCAGATTCAGCAATTGTTGAATGTGTTTATATGTCATTTCTCGAAATTGGCTTCCACCTCCTTCTTCATCAATCCAAGAACGTTTCTGTATAATTGCATAGCTTTGCAACAATTGATTTACTATTTGTTGTAAAATTGATGGTGGTTTTATGGAACCAACACCAGGAGTTGTGCTGCATGGTACTCTTCCGCCCAACACTACCGATGTAATATATTCAAAAATGTATTGACTGAGATGAAGTTTTACATTAAGATCCAAAATACTCCACTCCTGAATGATAGCCTTTTTCATAATGTTAGAGGCAAAGAATTTTGTTACTTCCGAATATTGTTGCCCTTCTAGAATGGTTCGTATAGAAAAGTATGTTAAAAGACGAATAATAATAATAATAATAAAAGAAATAATAATAGATTAAAATTGAATGTAACAAGTGTAATCATTGAGGTATTTGTGTGTTTGTGGGTTTGAATATGAAGGTTTCTCCTTACAAATTCACCAACATACCTAGTACGTGCCTACAAAAATCGTAGGGTTGAGGTTGATTTTGGCAATGTTGAATAAAAGCCTCCGATTCCTTTCTCTTTTGATTGTCAGGACTCTGTTGAAATATATTTTCCGATACCAGAGTTTGTGAAGAATATTAGCGAGAGTTGATTAAATCATCAGACGCAGAATTTAATGTTTTCAAATGAAGTAAAATTTAAATATTAATGATGATTGGTAAGATTAAAAATATAATGTAATAATAATCATACGAACATTCATCAAGGAGCATGCCTCTTCCAGTTTGCTGCCCAACTCTTGAAACAAAGAAGACGAGGGCATTTTTTAAGAGCTCGAAATTCTGATGGATGGAATTCTTTATTGTGTGAGTGAGATTCAACTCAATTTGGGTGTCGAAACGTCATCAATTAATATATACGTGTGTTAAAATATTCGCACACATATATTAATTGACATTAACATTGTGTCGTCATGGAAGAGGGTTTCAAATTATAGAGATACACTTTCTTGTCCCAGGTTCCGACTGCAATGACATCTACTTGATTGTTTTGTTCACTCTGTGAGAGCGTTTGAATGTCACAACAGAGTACAGAGTTGAAGTGTTTCTCTGATGGAAGCATGGAACTTGTTGATGTAGAACCAATTTTGTTCACAGAAAGCATGCAGTCCTTTCCACCTGCCACAAAGTAATTTCCTGTGGGTGAGAATTTGCTGCATAGAACACTGTCTGAATGTTTGTAGAGAACGGCTTGCTGTCTCAACGGCATCGAACTGAGAGAAAGAATTTCCAAGGAACCATTTTCTAAGCCCAAGACCACATACTCTCCACAGCTTGTTGGCGAGCAACACATGGTCAAGATTCGAGAGTCTGAGCCATACTCTTGAATAACACTCCCTGAATTAATATCCCATAATTTAAATGTTTTATCCAATCCTGCACTAAGTAAGCATGCAGAAGATGATGAGGCATTGTAAATCTCCAATGATGTGCAAGGTGCTTTGTGACCTTCAAAGAGTCTTACAAGCTGATGATTGGACCTTAAGTCCCACATGGCAACTGCACCGTTAGAGAGACTTGTGAACAGAAGGTTATTATTACCAGTAGTTTGCTCAGTTGCCTTACTAGATTCCATGAGACACATCGCATAGGAGAGTGAGCTCTCAGAGGTCTGAAGGACGAGTTTCTTTTTTAGTCTTTCTAAGTCGTAACATTGTATTCCTTGATTAGTTTCTCCACATGCATACAAGGTTCTTTCGTCTCGAGTGATTTTTAATGCTCGCACAAATGCATTCTCTGAAAATGGAAGAGATTCAACATTCATCATGTCAGAAATATTGGAGGTTGTAGAGGAAGAGGAAACAGCTACGGACGATATCATTGGAGTATTATGGTTGAACACATGATCTATCATCATTGGCTGGATTGGCAATACCTTAATACAGCCTTTCCCGCCCACGTAGAGCCTTTGTGCATTGTGGTTTAAGGCAATCGATGATACAGCATGTTCAGTCTCATAGGATGAGTGTGTGCTCAACAGCTTGGAACATGTATTGACTCCAGCAGGAGTATTGCTGGAGGCTGGCGGGGTCAGAATCATTTTAGAAGGCGAGGAAAGTAACATTGCTGTTCTAGGAGTGTCAACACCGCTCTTGGTATTGCTTGACGAAGATGCAACAACATGAACAGGAACGGGATGAGAAGGTTGCACTGTGTCTGTGTTACTGTTGTTGCCTGTCTTGTTTTCCATCGTGATGTTGTTGTTGAATGGAAGTGACGTCTCCGCAACAAGCAACCCTTCACCACACGAAATACTTCGTTGTTTGAGCCTGATTCTTTTTTCAATGTCGGCAACAGTGACTTTACAGATTTGACTCACTTCAGTCTTGTATGATTGCACCTTCTGAATGGCATAATGTTGTGTAAGCATACGCATGCATGAGCCCACATTGAATGAATTGATAAATCACAATGTGGTGATGATGAATTAATATGGTATACCAAATGAATGCCATCATGATGACACTTACCTCTTCGGGAAGCTCTTGCAACAATTTGTTGAGAAGGTTATTCAAACGTGAGTTCATTTCTGAAAGCTTGTGATTATTGACATTGAGAAGATAGGCCATTTCAAAATACTTTTGAAACATGGCACAAGATTGAGTCATTCACGTGAATGAGCGTTGTGGTGGATCAACAAGATTGAATATTTCAAACCTCACGGTGAGTAGATATGTTGAATGATGAAAATGATGATGAACTTACCTTCTTAGATTGATCCAACATTTCCTCCTTCTCAAACTTTAATTTTTCATTTTCTACCTTCATCAGGCTCATTTGGGTGTTCAAGAACTGATACTCATATTTCATCCTATCACAAAATTCAATGGCAGATATTTGCTGCAACAGATTTGTTAAGATTTAGTATGATACATTAGAGTATGGTGATGGTGTGAGTATGATGATGAGCAAAGAGTTGTTCATAGCCCACCACGCATAATGACAAGACATCATTTTCCAAATCAGGTAATTTTTTAGAATTTCAACCCTTAATGTGATGGAACAAGACTTACCATTGTACTGGATGGAGGTGGTGGTGGTAGTATTGAACTGAACGGAATCATCATGTTGGGATTCACCGAGGGTGTGGTTATGTGTGTTGTTGCTGATGGGATTCCATTGATCATCACGGCTTGCTGACCAGAGAAAATTGGCTGAGTTCCTTGAGGTGGTTGTTGTTGTTGGGAATGAAATGAGCCTTGCTGAGCAAAAATGGTTTGTATTGGTGAGGCAGACGATGAAGGGATTTGAGGAAATGACATTTTTTTGAGGCTTGAATGTCTGACAACCAAGGCTCTGATGTTGTGACCCCATCGCTCCACCAATGGATAACTACCTGGACAAATCGAGAAATTGCGAAAAGCAATGTATACAATGCAACTGATACGTGAGTGCGAGTTATTTATTCTCAATCTTACACTTATTGAACAATTGATAGACTAGAGATGCTTAGACGATTTGACCATATACAGTTTCTATTGGGACTGATTCCTTAATGAAGACAAACATTGCTATGCCCGTTTGGAGTGGAGACTTGCTAGACTTGATCCATTCGTTGGAGCCTTCTTCACGAATCTCGCAAGCACATTCTTGGGAACAGTAATGTGCCAGTTTTGAAAAGGGACACTCCGATTTCATGTACATGTTCGAATTGTTTTTAAGGTTAAGAATTTTAACCTCGCCAGTTTTGAATTTGTCGAACACTTGAAGGTTGAGTTGAGCAAATTGCAAGGACAATTTCAGCATCATGAGTCCATCTTCATTAATGTCGGAGGAAAAGTCAAAAGGTTGGACATTGGAAGCACCGCCGTGTAATCCAACCAAAGTCCATCCTTCGCTGCAAAATACTCTCATTGTGTGTGCAGAATTTACAGACAAGGAGGGATGAATCCATTTCAGCCCCTTCTTTGTGTCACCTTTCACATAGAGGTGATTGCAACTTGAGGCGGGATTTAAAAATTCTGAACCAATGACTCGTGTGCCTGACGACATGATCCAATTCATTAGAATGAAAAAAGTATGGCGAAGCATGAGGAGGGACATGCATGTAAGGTAAAAGTATATAGTAAAATATAATATATATCAATCAAAAAACCTGATCAAGAGACCTTACCTGCTGGTAAAACATCTTGAGGCAACACATCCAACATGACCTTAGTCGAAGATTGTTGCAAAGCTGTCATTCTTGAATAGGAGATACGTTTCTTTTGCTCTCTGTCTTTGAGCTTTCTCAACGAAATGGCAGCCTCTGTAATTTTGTTCACGAATTCCTTTTGAATTCTGATGATTTGTGAGAGGTATTTGTGCTGTTTACCAACTGCTCGCACAATGTCCGTGTGGTTTCTTTCAACATGCGTCATGCCGAGTGCATGCAATTCGTTGTATACTTCTGACATTAATTTTTCATGTAAACTTGCACTATTTTCTGCAATTCCTTCAACAAACTGTTTCAGCTGAGCTGACATATGCTTTCCATTGTCTTCATTGGTTTTGGTTTTTTGTGCTATTTGCATTTGTTGCTGGACAACCTTCTCCCGTTCTTGCAAGAGATTTTTAAGGTTTTGTTTTTGTATTGGTGTTTGGCACTCATTTCCTTCAAAGGATGCAAAGCATTGACATCTATCAGTTTCAATACATATTCCATTTCCAGAGCATACATCAAACGCATCAGATAGCTTTCCAAAACATGAGAACATTCGTTGTGACTGTTGAGAATTGGCAGAGTCCGTTTTGTTGGAGATCTGAGTAAGTTTCTCTTCTTTTGGGGCCTCGATGACAGTAGGTAACTGAGTTGTTATCGTCACATTGTTGGGATTTTCAGAATTGATTGGTTGTACTGGTTGTGATGTTTCACTTGATGTTGAATTCTTGGAAGGCATGTGTTGGGATTCACTGGAGTTGCTCAATGAGTTGTTGCTTGTGATTACTGGGGGCTTTTCTTTTTGTATATTGCCCATCTCGTGTGACTCCTTCACTTCGGCTGAGGATAATATGGCATGTTGTTCTTGAGGAATTTCATGCTGCGTCTGGTATTCTTCGTTTTTACTTCTTTTCTCTCTCTTTTCTTTGACCATTTCCAGGAGTTTTGATTTGACCGTTTCTCGTATTTCCTCCTTTTTGCTCGTTTCACCCTCTTTCTTACCCCTTTTCTTGCTTTCTTTATCTTTTGATCTGCTTTCTTCGTGCTCAGTGGATGTATGCAAATCATTTGTTGGAGGTTCTGTAAAACGAAGTTTGTCATTCGATTGGCTTAATTGTTCCTTACTCTCTTGTTGTTGAGTGGCGATAGGCGTGGGGGAAGAAATTTCACTTTTCATCTCAGGGGATGAGTTGGGAATCTTGTGAATAGATTCTTCAGGTGTCTCTGTTGGTGTTGTTTCCATCTTTTTGCTCTTTTTACCCTTTTTCTCTCTTTTCTCGCCTTCTTTTTCCAAACGTTCAGTTTTTGATGTTTTTTTTTCATGTAAAGATGGTTCAGTAAAACGAAGATTCTCATTAGATTGTAGGTGTTCCTGATGTTGAATAGTAGTGATAGGTGTAGAGGGAGAAGAACTTGTACTTTTCATTTCGGAGGAATTTGGAATCTTCAAAACAGACTCGGTTGCATCCAAACGATTTGATTTTGGGTTTTCTAATGGACGTTCTTCTCTCGTTGGTGATGGCTTCAAAGACTCCAATGATTTTTGAACTGTGGGCTGCTCTTGCCGCACTTCGCTGGTGGGGGGTGTAAGCGTAAGTGGGGAAGGTGATAATGGAATCTCAATGGTCTTTGTTGGTTGCACCACAGCTTGATCATTCTGAATTGAAGGTTCTTCCTTCTGAGTGGGAGGATTTAATGCAAATTCTTCGGTCAGTTTCATTTCTCGTTCTCTTTCCTTCTTTTTTTGCTTGTCTCCTTTTCGTTTGGATTCCTTCTCCTGTTTGGAGGTATATGACGGAGAAGGAGCAGTGTCGGAAGGTGAGTTTTCGATAGGAATTTGCTTTCTCCTTTGTTCTTTACTTTCATTTCTTTGCTCTTTAGATCGTTTTTGTTCTTTCCCTTGTTCTTTTCTATACTCCTTCTCATCGTTTAGAACGAAAGGTTGTTGTTGAGGCATCACCTCTTCTGTTACATAACTCATAATCTCTCCATGTCTTTCTTTATTCTTCTCTTTTGATTTTTTCTTGGATGATCCGTAAACATGATTATGATCAATCATTGCAATCATCATGATCAACACAGAGAGAATCAAACACAGAACCATCAAGCTCCGTTTGGGAGCCTTAAATAATGTCCTGCATAGCATCAGTGGATGCGGCAAATAAATAGGGATTTTTTTAAAATAAAATATTTCAAAGAAAATGATCAACCGCAACCATTATTCAGAACAGCTCGACCTGTTTCAAAACATCGGAATGAATTAGTTCTCAAAGAACCTCCATTATTGTCTATTATTCAAACAAAGAGAAAAACGAGAGCCTTTCATGATTTGTTTGAAAGTATCATTCAATAATTCCCAAAATTAAACAAAAAAATGTCGATAAGGTGCTTTTACAACTGCCGGACTCGAACTAGTCACAATGTTATCATGATACTTTTGACTTTTAAAATTGTTTTTGCCAATGCCGAATTCTTTGTATCGAATCCACTCCTGCCACTTGTCGAGCTCCGTAACTAAAAAAAATTCACAAAAAAAATGTTCAAAAGTCGGACGGAGCATTTACACGCTCTTCTTCAATCCAATAACAGCTTCCGATCTGCACCAACCACCCACACAAACAACAAATTCAACAATGAACCTTCCTCCTCCAATTCCGATCTCTTTCAACTCGATCTATTCATTGAAAAGCTCTCACTCGATGCTTCCACACTACAAAACACCACCACACCCATTGAAATATCTCCCTATCTTCTCATCAAAGTAAATGGAACTACTAAAGCAAAAACTCTTGCCAAACGAAACAATTTAAAACCACAATTCAATCAAAATTTTCCCCTCATGTTAGAGAATCCCAAGAAGGACACGATCACCATTTGCGTGCATGATAAAGAGAGTGGTGGAGATTTAATTGCTCAATGCGTATTGGATGAATTGGATGCGTACGTGTATGGAAAAGTGACTTCATTAGTGGTGGATTTGGAATCGGGAGCAAGTCATGGAAGAAGTGGCAGTTCAAATGCTTCTCTGGCATCATCATCTTTTAGCATGTTATTTCATGAGGGTGTTTGTGGTTCATTATTTGTGGATGTCAAGCCTTTGAATTTTGGAAAAACCGAATCTGAACAGCAACAACAACAGCAACAACAGAACACTCAAACTCATGGAAAGACGAGTAGTATTGGTAATATTGGTAAAATTGGTAATATGGGTGGTAGTGGTGGTAAAAAGGCATTGAATGCTTCTCCTTCTGAGAAACTTCAAACAACATCAACCAATCAAGATGAAAGAAAGAAGAACACAATTTCAACCAATGTTGTGCCTTCCTCCTCTCATTCAGCTGAAAAAGCAAACAAGCCTTCGAAAAACAAACCCACCAATTTGAATTGGGATTTCATTAAGAATCATCAGGATCATGGTCATGGTGATTCAAAAGCCTCTCTCCACAACAACCTCCACACCACAGAGGAATCATCATCATTGATCAAAGATGGTAGCAATTCCACAACAAACACAACCAACAACACCACTACTAATACCACAGAGAAACGAAAATCTGCATGGTTTTCCAACAATGCTGCTCTCCACTCCCCATCCTCTCTTACACCCACGGCTCATTCCGAGAGTACCTTCCCTGGCTTTTATGATTTTCAATCGGGTGATGAAGAAGACTTGATCGCCTCTTCTTCTTCTTCTTCGTGTCTTATTCAAATGGAGGGTGATAAGGAATTTGCAAAAACCAAACAACAGTTCAAATTATTGTACGTTATGGCCATTGATGTTCAAATGTTTGGAGAGAGAGTTCGCAAGTTGGAGGAGCTTCTTGAAAAGTGGAAACTTCCAGAGAATGATACAGACAAGATTCGTCTCAAAATTCAAACGAGTATTCAACGAGTAGAGAAGAAACGAGAGTTGTTGGATCAATTTCTTCCAAAACTTTCGAAAAAATTACCCAAAGTGACGAATTGTAAATTAACCTTAATGAAGCTCTCAAAAATTAAGCAACAATATTCAGAGATTGATCAACACTATTTGCAATTGGTGAAATTACGACAGAGTTTGGAGAGAAAACACAGAAAGAGGAGAATGGAGCAAATGATGGAATTTGATGAGTTGATTGATCAAGTCATGTTTCAACCTTCTTCAGAGACGTTGTTGGGTGGTGGTTCAACTGGTGCTGCAGTTGCTTCTGCTGTTTCAATGCTTCCTCATCATGATGCATCAGCAGTGGTTTCCTCCAATCAGCAAGAGAAACAACAGCAACACAAAGACTACAACAAAGACACACCAAAGAAGAAGAATCAACAACAACCAGCCACCACTACCACTACCACTACCACCTCAACAACAATGGAAAGCAATCATCATACTTTACAACACTCTGTAAATACCACAAATACCACACTTCCATCTTCAAATACTATTGACCGAAAAACACTTCGAAAACAAGAACAAGCCAAACAAAAGAAACAACTCTTTCAAGCAATTGAGGCTGGTGCCATGAGCTCTGGAGCCAACCAACCTGACCATCTCATCCGAAAATACGAACAACATCAAAAGCAACTAGAACAGGCCAAAGAACAAGCTCAACAAAAACAAATTCAATTCATTCTAAGTACAGCCGATGCAGAGACTATTGAGATTGAAAAGAAAATTGCACAAGAAACGAAACGAGAGTTGGAAATGGTCGAGAGAGATTTTGCCGAGCTCCATGAAATGTATGAACAAATGAATTTCATGTTGAAACAACAAGGAGAGGGCCTGAATATCATTGAAAAGAATATTCAACAAGCGAATGAGCATGTGAAAGAAGGTACAGAATATGTGAAGGCTGCAAGTGCCATGACAGGCACAGGTATTTTAACAGGAGGATTTACAAAGGCTGCTGTTTTGAAAAAGTTGCTTTCATAACCATGATTTTTTACACAAACAATTAAGTTAATATGCCATATATTATTTTCAAATATTCGATTCCCATAAAGATGAATTAATATTATTTATTTCAAATATTCGATTTTTTAAAAAAATATTTTTAAAAACCCTTCCCGAAGAATCTTCAAGACTTTTTTCCGAGCCATGACGAATGTTGAAGACACACGGATTCATCATTAATAATATTAATAATGAATAATAATTTTAGTACTATTATCGTGAACGAAAATCATGAGTTCTATCATCCAAATAGTTGCAATTTTATACAACCACACCAACCACAGCAACAACAAGTATCATCAGAATCATCGGTAAACAACTTTCATTCATCACCACAATTAACCTACCAATCGGAATCAAGAGTGGAATCTCCTATTTCGGCTACTGATGATCATAACGATAAAAAGGAAAAATTAACCGACAACAATGTCAAGCAGTCCGTTCAAGCTACCAACACACTTCCTCGGGTCACTACTGCATGCACATCATCCACAAGCAGCACTCATATTGTATCATCACCAACAATTAACAACAACAAAAAAGAGATCTCTAATTGCCTTCAAGAAGAAATTATTATTTTAGACCCCAATGATAATAGTAATGAACCAAAAGCAGAAGCAGTAGACGACGGAATAGAATACAGTATTGGAGATGAAAGAGAGTATGACCATTATGATGGATTATTGTTGGAAAAATCAACCAAGCCCAACTCAGCAAGTAAGCTACTACGAAAAAAAATCTCTGGCATGCTTCAAAATTCGGTCAACAAGACCATAAGCGGAGGAAGGAATTTATTGTCACTTCGACAGCGTAAAACACCAACTTCAGGAGAATTTGTGACTGATTTTGAATCAAGTAGTGTGATTGGTGCTGCCAATCTTGATTCTTCATCAATTGTTAACACTACTATCCATCACAGATCTGGTTCTGAATCACATTTCGATTCAGATGGACCACACAATTCTGGAGACACTAATTTAACACAGCCGACACCACGAACAACTAGGGCAATTTTTGCACTCACTTCGGTTTTTTCGAAAGCAATTTCCGGATGGAGAAGAAATGCTCAATACAGAAAAAGAAAATTTCATCAACAAACATTGTCCAGAATCAACACTATCAGACCTCTCTCATCCTTCTCAAGGAGACATCACAATAGCGCATGCACGGATTTATTTACACAAATACCTGAAGAACTATGGAGATATGGAATTATTCCGTATTTGGAGTGGATTGATTTATTACGTTTGAGATGTGTGGGTAAATGGAAATTAACAATTATTGTGCAAGAACAAGAACAGGTTTGGCAAATACTTTTTTCTGAAAAGATGAGCAAGTATTTTCAGCAAGAAAAAGAATTATGGAAATCACATGCTAAAAACTATTTTTTCTTTGATTTAGATGAGGCTATCATTAAAGAACATTACGAGAAAAGAATTCTGGAAAAATACACGTTACAGTACAGAAGACAATTTTCCATTCAAAAAGAGAAATGTTTTGCCTTGCAACAAAACCACGACTCACACCACCAACATGATAGTATTTCTCTATTCTTACATTCTTCAATTTTGATACAACATGAAGAAGCAAATTCAGAAGGTCATGCTGACGATCATTGTGCTCATTATTTTCACAAAAAAGTGCCAGAAATTGCTCCCACAGATCACGCACAAGAAGACTTTATTCATTATCTTTCTTGCAGCCGTTCTGTACATGAAAGAAAACAACAAGTTATTTCTCGAAAAAAACACGAGCAACAACAAATTCTGAGCAATAATGAGCATAGAAGTGCATGGTTACGGATTTTCACTTTACTCGTGACTATGCTTTCTGCTGTTGCTGCGTTTGTATGCATTTCTGTGAAAGATTTTGCATTCTCAAAGAACATTGATATGAACGCTGTCTGCAACATGAACAGTAGTAGCAACACTACTTCACTACTCTTCCCTATGTCTTTCGAGACACAAACATCCTTCAACAATTTTCATCAGCAGTCTCTTTCCTATTTGAAATTGATGGATACGTCTTGGACCATGCCTTTTGTTCCTGTCTACATTGCCATGCTATTCATATTAGGAACAATACTATTTTTTTGGATTCGATATTCTTCAGATAATGCAAAATTCAATTTAGAAGGAGATGGAAGAGAGAGACATCCCAATGAGATTTATTTTTACATGACCGTTTTATCGATTGCTGTAATATTGTTTTTTGTATTTTTGAATATTCGAATGGTGTATCCGTATTGTGAACGTATGATACACAAACTTCACACGGAGGGACAAGCAAGTTTTTCAGAGGATGAAGTTGCAAGTCTACTTGTCTCTGAGGTATTCTCTAATGGTGTTGTGCTATGCAGTCCTCTTTTTGCCATTCTAGGAATAATTACTATTTATTTTTTCAGATCACTTTATGCTGGAATTATTTATCGACGCTATGTGTTGAAATTTCACATTCACTTGGTAATGATTGGAGTTGTGCTTTGGAAATTTATTGCCCCTTTTGTGACATGGATATTAACAGTACTATCATTAACTTTGTTCATCTTGTACATGGTTCTCAATTTGCATCCATTAGTAGCTACCGTTCCAATCATGTTGCTACATTTAGTTGGAATTTTTGTTTTGGGATGGATTTTTGTCATGTTTTCCGTCATGTTGTTAACCTGTGCGGTAGAGAGATCAAAACTATGGAAAACCATTTCTACTCTGTGGTATTCATTCCTTCTCATTTCATTGCCAGTAGTGTTCTACTTGTTGATTGGACTCAAAATGAGAATGGGAATTGTGGCGCTTCCTTGCTCGGTATTCTTTGTTGTGATTATTCTGTTTGGTATGAATTATGTGGATTATTTGGAAGATTTATTTAGTTTTGATGAAACTGTTTGGCCATTTTCTTAATCTTTAGGATAAAGATCAGAATTGGTCAATGCCGCACGAGATAATATGGATTGTGCTTATGGGATGTTCAGAATTGATGCTATGAATTCACACAACAATCAATAGGATACATGTGATTGTTTGATGCTATTGATATAATTATTATTTTTCTATTGATTCATTGGAAAACCTCCCCCAAATAAATCAAACATGTCACTGGATCCTTTACCACGTATCATGTCCAATTGTCTTTGAAGCGTGTCTTGCATGTGTGGATATTTCTTCATGGTTCTCTCAAGAAGACGAATGGCATCATTCGTCCTGGATTGATGATGAAGGAAAGAGCTGTAAGCAATGTAGTGTTGAAATTCCTCTGGCTCAAGAGAAATCACTCGTTTGAAAAGCAAATCAGAAACTTGTGGGTTCTTTTCCTGAGTGTATAGAGCCAAACAAGCCATCACATTTGCGTCCTTTCCTTTCGTTATATCAAAAGCTTTCTCAAGGAGTGCAATACTTTGGTCGACCTCACCCATGCCATTGCTCAAAATGGCACAATTCATATAGAGCTCTGCCATTGCTTTGGGTGACAAATTCGAAAAGAGTTTTGCGAATGTAGTTGAAAAGTCCTTCGTCTCAATAATTTGAATGATACTATCGAATAATTGTTTAGCTTCGAATTGTCGTTGGAATTTCTTCAATAAATAGGCTTTGACATTGATGGCATCTAAGGCTGACACTACTTCATTATCTTGAGCATGAAATCGATACGATCCGTCTGACACTTCAAATGATGGGAACGACTCATCTGTATTTTCGTCATCACCTTCGAGTGGTAAATTGACGACTCGTCCAGATGAAGGATCTTCAAGTAGGAGTGTTTTGTTTTTTTCCATGTCACTATTTCTGTAGCCAGCCATGTATGAATCCAAATGAGAGATCAACTCGTTCTTGTATGAAGCAGGTGCTAATATTTGTGTTTTCTTAAAGTCCACTTCCTGATCTTCTCCATCTTCAAACTTTTTCAGTAACATGTCCAACATGAAAAGCGCTTGTTCTCTATATTGTTCAAAATGCTCTCCCTTTCTAGAATATAACATTGCCAATTCCAAGACTGCTCCAAAATGATTATGTGTATTCATGAGATCCTTTAACAAGTACTCAGCTCCCTGAAATCGAGAACTTTCTTCGGCATTTGCTGCCCAAATTCTGGCCAAATGAATTTTGGCATCCACAAAGTAAGGATCAATTCGTATGGCCCTCAAATATAATTCAGCAGCAGAGTCCGGCTTATTTCCTTCTCTTTCAAATAAGGAGGCTGCATTGTAGACAATAATTGGATCATTATTATAATTGAGTTGAAGACTTTGTAAAAAGTAAAACAAGGCTTCCTTTGTCTTGTTCAATTTTTGCAAACAGTAAAACCCTAAATTATTGTAGCATGAGGCCAAATCTTTTTGTTCTTGTGGAGAGAGAACACTTTTGAAAGAGGCTGTTGGATCCTCGGAGCGAGCTTGTTGTACTCTCTGGGAATATTCATGAATTCTTTGATGAATGGACCGAATCACTTCGGGATCAATATATTGCTGAGAGGATGAGGATGATTCATCGGAATACGTATGGTGGTGTTGTTGTTGTTGAGAGGAGGAGGAGAACTGTTGTTGTCGGCCATCATTAGAGTTAACATTACCTTGTTGTTGTTGTTGAATCAATAAAGAGGGGGTACTAAAAGAACGATGAACTGAATTCTTTGCAAAGAAAAGATGATTCTCCTCACTACTAGTAGTAGTCTTCCAAAAAATATTCATCACCGGAAGAAAGGGTTGTCGCAAGCATGACGATGCCAATGAGCAATGGGTTGTTGTTCTCATCATGATGATGTTTTGATGAACAAACATTCGATTCATTTTTTTTGTTTTCCCCCAACTAAAAGCAAAATGAAGCCAATGATAGACGGTACTATTATACCAAGATTCAAAAACCTTCGAGTACTTGGACACTATCCTTGGGATGACTCTACTTTAAATGAAGATATTGAAAAAAGAATCCTCCAATTTCAACTCTCACTCAAATATATTCCACTGAAAAGAATGGAGATAACAAACATTAAGAAAGTAATTTTTGCCAAATGCACTAGCTTATTTACACACATTTTACGAACAAATTACATTCCTGAATCACTTGTTGATAGAATTAACATTGAAGTAAGAAAAGCAATAAGAAAGAAAATTTTCATGCATAATGCTAGTCCAACAAACTATTTTCACCTCCCAATCACCTATGGCGGACTTGGTATTCCAAGATTCGATATCTTTGCAGATGAAATTCGAATCAAAACAGCCCTGTATCTTATTAACAATGATAATGAACTTCTTAGAGAAGTATATTCAGAAGGAATCAAACACGAAAATTCGATTTTTAAGGAAATGAACAGATCAATGAAGAAATACAAGATCAGACCTCAACAATTTAACAATGACGAAATCTTTCCAAAACTCAAAGGAAAGAATTTTACTATTTACACTGACGGATCAAATCTCAACAACTCAACAGGTTTCGGCTTTACCGCCAAAGTTAACAATTCCCAAGAAACCCAAGATTTCTCATACAAAATTAACAGCGAATACTCACATAACGTTGCTGAATTATCAGCAATACTCACATCACTAAAGATACTTCCACCTAAATCTAAGGCAAAAATTCACACAGATAGTGAAATATCCATCCACGTTTTGAAAAACAAAGCCTATAACGGAATTTTTAACTGCTTCAAGCATGAATATCAACAGGTCATTCAACAATCCAATCTAAATATTCAACTAATCAAAGTTAAAGGTCATGTCAACAAAGGAAACATCAAAGCTGACGAATTAGCTAAGAAAGGAGCTCAAGAGCACAACTATTTTGACATTAAGAAGCTATTTTCGAACCAAACCATCCTTGCCACATCTAATACCATTATTTTCGACATCAAAAAATCCATACAAAAGAAAAGATATGATGTAATGTTTAGCCAATTTGATAGAGATAATTCCAGTCTACACCTTACCAAGAACTGGTCATCTATCAATCTAAAATTCATCAAATCTAAAATTGACACAAATACTAAGTGGTCAATCTGGAGAAACTTAACAAGCAACCATATCAAACAACATAAGGAAAGACAATGCGCTCACTGTAAATGCCCCGGAACTCTAAAACATTTCATATACTATTGCCCTAATACTCAATGCTTTAGAGATTTTTTCTACACTAAATTCCTAGATATTACATCAATGCAATGTATCCTCAACGATTATCAAGAATCAAGATACTGTGAAAGAAGGAAAGTTTTCATTATTCATCATGACGGAGTAATGATTCGAGATACTCAAATGCCCAACTTTAAAAATTTACCAAATATTTACCAAAATTGGCCTGAAATCCAAACAATTCTCACCCTACTAGTTGGTAAATGTCACACCAAGTATTATGAAAACTCAAGGTTTAAAAAACCAATTCAAAAACAAACCCCAATCCTCACGGATTTACCAGCACCAGTGGTGCTAACAATAAACTAATTAGATTTTTTTTGTTTTCCTATGAAATGAACATTTCACACTTCTTGGCCAAAGGTGAGAAAGAACGGAAACACTAATAATTGTTTCGATTCGACAACATTGTTGACAAATGAGAGCCTTCATTCATACAATTCTAGCTTTAGTGATCAGTTAGATAGAATAATTTGTAATGAAAAAGTTAAACGCAAAGAGAAAGACATACTTCCTTGTCCAAATAAGACGCTAAATGATTCAATTTGCAGAATTTTATGTTCATTTTGTTCATTGGGATTCATGTGATCCAAGAGACACATAAAGGTAATTAATTTAAATTTCAAATAATGCTCAAATGTTCTTACTCCATCGTCACACTACCATTTAAATTAAAAATCGCCATGAGTGCGTACTTGATGGTCAATAGAAGTATAAATTTGTTTAAACAGAATCATCCATTAATTAGTTGAACTAATCAGACCCTTTTTAGGCATTCCATAACTGTCGAACAGTAGAACTGTGAATACATTTTAAATGGCTGGAGCAATAGATTCCCCACATTAAAGTATTTACCTTTCTAGGACCTTTAAAATAGATGGATCTTGTACTGCTTTGAGTCATGTGGAATCCGAATATTATGGATCAAAATAAATTCGAATCATTCCAACCAACTGCTGTCATCATGATGGTTGTATCGAACAGTAAAAACTCGCTAAAGTCATGTGTGAACCATTCCAGGACCACTACGAATATCATATTTGTGCTCTTCATCACACAAGGTTTGCTTGGTGTGATTGCCACGTTTTTTCTGCTGTACACAACAGGGAATGACATTTATTCTGGCACTGAGAGTTTCAAAAGGACTTTGCCTATTTTTTTAAATGATTCAATTCGTGAGACAAGACAAAGAAAGAAGGACGTTTTTGAGGCTTCTCTTCACAACCAACCTTCGAGGCATTTGGATCACTTATATGGGCTTATGGGAGTTCAATTTACAATGAGTTATCTGACATCATTTCTACGAAATGTTTCGAATGGACGGCCAGAACAGGCGTTCATAATGAATACGAAGGGTCAAATTCTTGCCCATAGTACTGTTCAAGGGTATACCAACGAGAATGATCTTGCTCGCTACATCACTCAACGACATTTATTAAGGAATGAGTCATCGACCTTTCACTTTTGCAATCAATTCAAAGTCGTAACGGAACGACTCTATGATGGATACGGTTTGGATTGGGCTGTTGTGGTTGTAACTATGGAACGATCATTGGTGATTGAAATTTTAACAAGCTGTGTCACTTCCTTTGTTCTCTTTCATTTGCAACTCATTGTTCAACCATTCATAATGTTCATCATTTTGCAGTACATTTCTCGATCGGTGCATTCCATCGTAAGGATCATGAACAAACTCTTGTCACTCCAAGAACTAGAGACAGCCTTTGAAAGAAGTGAGAGAAAGTCTTTCCTCATAGATATTCGTGAAATGAGCCTTAGTTTGAACACATTAAGAAAGGGATTGGCCTCTCTTTCAAAATATTTGCCTCAGAGCTCGTTCCAGGACCATTTAATTCTAGACCTTTCAATGCATTTGAAACGTGTTATTTAAACTGAATAGGCTTTCATAAATTAAATCATTCCTTTAAGCTTGGGATGTTTCAAAGGTATTGGGTGATTTCAAAGATTTTGGCGCGTTTCAAAGAATCCGAAACATTCCAAATCAGCTTCTTTTCAACTTAGCTTGGGAGTTTCAAATAAAATTTTGAATTGAAAAAAATGTCTCTCGATATCAGCACAATTTGGATTTGGATAGGGGTGTTTGGTTGTGGAGTTGATTTTGGAGTTTTTTGTGGAAGTTTTTGTGGTGTGTAGTCTTGTGAACTTCTTTCCGAGCCTGAGGTTATTCTTGGGAATTGTGTCTTTCTTGGTGATATCAATCTTTCTTCATTATCAGAACTGCTTTCTGATCCTTCACTATCCGAATCGCTTTCTGATCTTGATCTTGAGGCTTGCGAATTGGATCTTTCATTATCAGAACTGCTCTCAGATCCTTCGTTATCAGAAGCACTTTCTTGTAGATTTCTTGGAAGTTCATTATCCGAGCCGCTTTCTGATCCTTCATCACCGACTTGTACTGGATTAGAATTATGTGAATATTCTAGAATTTCACGAGTTGATAGTGTCATTAATTCAGTGTCACTCATTGTCAACATTTTAGCAATAAGGTTACATTGAGCTTTTCTTTTTTCCTCTGCATATTCTTTTTGACGGACAACATTAACAGAGGGTCTTAATAATTTTGGCTTTTCTATAGGAAAATCAAAGTCTGAACGCATCCATTCCTTGTGGTGATCTAATACTTGAATATTATATTTTTCTACGAATCTATGAATGTCAAACAACACAAATGCAATTTTAAATTCCACACATTTTCCAAATCTCCACTCATTTTAGCAACTGAATGAGGATTGAAAAATTTGAATTTCTCACCAATATGAGAGAATAATGTTTCAATCATACCACGAAAAGCACCAAATTCTTCATTATATTGTGCTTCACTGTATGTTAGATCTTGATTTCTTGGTTTTCTAATTGGAGTTCTGAAATTTGACTCATCAAAATCATATTCTTTTTCTTGCAATTTTTCAATATAATCAGGAATTCCCAAGAAATAACCACCATCAAAATACATCCACACTAGGATCTAATAGTTTTGAAATTCTCTCCATTTGCTTGAACATACCAATGTCTGTATTAGGAGCACATGGTAGGGATTTCGAAATAGCAATTGCTAATTCTTGATTATCCATCAATACTTGAGTTCTTAGTCCAGAATCTTTATATTTGTAACTCCAATACTCCCTTTTAGGATATTTGGCTAAATTACTATATTCAATACGTGTATCATGACCATCTAAAAAAGTGGTTCCATCCTTGAAGCCTTTTTCGTTTTCAATTATACCAGTAAGACATCGAATAATAGGATTTGAAAACATTCTTTGCAAACAAGTGTCAGCCCATTCATTAAGTTGGCCATGAAATTCAACGAAAATTGTGTGATGAATTCTCCATATTGTAGACCTTGCGATAATTCTCCTCTCATTTAAGGATCCGAATGTTTCATTTTCAAGTAACATGTAAAGAATTAATAAGATTTTGCCCACATTACGATAAGGACCTTCTAACCATCCACAGATAGTACCAACAATATGTAAGAAGATGAATGTAGCAACATATCCAATTCTTTGGCGGACTATTTCTTTAATTCTATTCATTGTAGGAATATCCTTGATATCCTTTCTACCTTTTGATTTCTGAATAATTGGCAGCTCTTCATGCAATACCTTCCATTCATTGGCCACCAATTTTTTGACCTCGATTTCCCTCAATCTCACAGCGTCTTCTTTGCTGATATCGAGAGACATTTTTTTCAATTCAAAATTTTATTTGAAACTCCCAAGCTAAGTTGAAAAGAAGCTGATTTGGAATGTTTCGGATTCTTTGAAACGCGCCAAAATCTTTGAAACCACCCAATACCTTTGAAACATCCCAAGCTTAAAGGAATGTTTTAATTTTTATGAATTTTAGAACCACTAATGAAACAAGGAACATGCTTTGGAATTTGGAATGACTAATGGGACTGAACCGAGCTTCTCATGTGATTCAAAAGAGACTGTCTCGTACTCAGATGATACCGAAAGATTTAACAACAGTGGGAATGAAATTGAGAAATATGAGCGTCATGTTTTGCGGAATTGCTGACTTTACAGAAATTGCCGAAACAGCAGATCTTGTGGTGTTTCTGAGTATTGTCACTGAATATTTTGAACGTGTTTGCAAAATTGTGGAAGTTCATTATGGTGTCATTGACAAGATTATTGAAGGGTCTGTGATGGTTCTTTTTGGGGCAGAGAATCATCAAGTTTGTGCATGTCATGCTGCATTAGAGATACTTGAAAGTTTAAGAGAATTTGAAAAGAGATGGGAGGAATGTAATTTTTCAAAACCTCAAGTGAATACAATATTGGTATCAATAGTGGAGAAATGCTTTGTGGATGTAAGTGGTTGTCTTTTTCTTGAGAAGACAACAATTTCTTACATTTGAAAATGCAATCACAATTGATTAAGGCATGGAATCCAATAACCGTTTGAGCTTCACAGTCATATGAACACAAGATTTCATACGGTTTGTAATTTGACAAGAAATACATCCTTCAAGGAGATTATTTTCATGTCAGGAGGAAGGTGTGTGAAAACCCGATCAAGTTGGTTCTAAACAACTACTCTTGACATGATTATTACTCAGAAGCAACCTTTGTTTTCCTGAACAATGACATAATACCTTTTCTACTTGGATCCTCTCGTTTCATAGTGATGAAAGGAAACTAAATATGGCCAATGACTTTGCAAAAGATCAATCCTGACACTTATATTTCCATAATAACAATTATACAGTCTCGAAAACTTTAACACGATCATAAAAAGTTTCATCTACGACATTTTACTTGCAAATGCAGACGTTGAATGGGTTTGTTTGAATTTACAAAAAAAATAATGCCATTTGTCATCACATCAATACAAATCTTCTTCCTTTAATTGTAAAGTCAACAAGACACACACCCAACCATTCAATTCATCGATCATCGTTGTGGTGACCTGACTACCCATCGATTCAACCTCCACACACACATTTTCTCATTCGGAAAAAACGACAACCACCAGAATGATCACAGACGACAAACTTCACAAAGAACCACCATCTTCAACTTTTTCTCCACAACCACCAACAACAACAACAACAACCAATGCTGCTGTGCATATCGGCACTCTCAATCTTGATTCATCCTCTTGCTCATCGTCCACCATGACCACCCAACAACATGTGGATTCTAATATGAATAACAAAGCATTCACTCGTAACTCCTCGAAACAACAACAACAACTTCATGATCATCGAATGTTAATGTCATTTCCACCTTCAAAAACATCTTCTTTGAATTCGTCAACCACACCAACAACTGTGTTTTCACCGAATACGAATCATAATAATAATAACAATTCGACAACAACACCGAATACTATCTTGTCACAAACTCCATTTTCCTTCTTTAAACGATTATTAACAAAAGCTTCATCATTGAACACGTCAAGGAATACAAATAATAGTATTACGAATCATCATCAAACAGCAACAATATCGAAAGAAAATGATGATTCAAATAACAATCGTGAAAATCATTCCAAATTTCCATTCGATTTTCCCATTGCACAGAATTCATCATCTGCTTGTTTAGAACCGAAATTTTCAACAAGTTTCACTTCAGAAAATACTTTAAAGATGAACCAACATGAAAATGATTTACAACATGTAGTGGAAAATGTTGAGGATCCAAATCGTGCTACAAGAACGACCACGCGTGTGACCATTGTAAACATGGATGCATTCACATCCTCACAACCATTGACGATGGATCAAAATAATCACATCATCCTTTCAAATCGAACAAGCAGCAACAATCCTACGACTTCTACTCTTGCAACAGTGACTCCATCCGTTGTTCAACCATCTCCTCATGAACATTCTCAACAACAACAACTCAATCACCACCACCACCACCACACGGGTATCCTCATGCAATCGTCCAATCGTATTGGTGTAATGGACACCAATGAAAATACGAGTATCCATTTGGGTGTAGATCCACAACACTTGTCCACATGTCTTCATGGTAGTAGTAACAGTGAATTATTTTCGCCAAAAGAATCTCCGCATTCAACATTCAAAATTTCAGCCAATCTCTTGGACCAAGAAACCTTAGAATTGACGACAACGTTCGAAAAATCAAATCATTCCATTCACACCAAGAAACGAGAAGAGAAACGAAACCCACAAACCTCTACCACAACCTCAACTGTCACTTTTCAAACCATCAACCCCACTCCTAAAACTACTAGGAAATCTCGTCATGCCTCTCCATTGTTTCGAATGAATCAATCCAATCCTACGACGTCTACTCCAAAAACATATTTTAAAAAGCTCACTTTTATGGAAAGTTTATCCATCTCTGCAGATCCTTCGACCTCTACTTCGACCACACATTTGAAAAACAAACACTCCAATGTTGATATTGTGGAAACTGATTTACTTTTCAATGATTTACAAGTGTTTCAAAATCAAGTAGTGAAGAGATATGTGAAAATATTGGAACAACCCATGGTGTGTAAAGCATTCAATTATGAAGTATTGGGACCTCAGAATTTTCTTGTGAATCCATACATGGGGGGACGAGTTCCTTCCTCAAATGATCATACTGTCACTTCTTCTGATACTTCAAAGACAACCATCTTGAATCCTCAAGTTTTTACAACTTCTCTAAATGCAAGTCCAAAATTAGAGCAAAATTCTCAGTCTCCATTAACACCAACACTACCGCAACAACCACCGCAACCACAACAACAACCACCACCACAATCAGTCAATCCTTATCTCTTTGATGAGAAATTTATTCAGGAATATCATTGGAGACGAAGGAGACCATTTTCAGAAACAATTCTTCATGCAGAAAATAACATTCATGGTGGAAATTCAAATTCCTTAATGAAAAAGAACATTCCGAATGTACCTACCATTGACATGGTGTGTGAAGATGGAGCAACTTTATCATGTTATTTTGAGTTCATTGGACAACAGAATTTGAATTTTGATAAGAATTCTTCTCATACATTGTCTCATCCTTCTTCTATGAATCATCATCAAGAATCAGATACAATGATGATGAATCCAGGAGGTCACAACACGTTCAACAGCAATAATACTTCTCATCATCATGGAATGACCCATTCAAAGAAAACAGTCATCTTCTTTCATGATGGCTCTGAAGAAGCTTTTGAATACTTTTCACATCCATCTCTTCGCAAATTTAAAGATTTTATTCTCTCGATGGGTCTTCAAATATTTATTTTTGAATATCGAGGTTTTGGATTTTCCACTTGTGCACGTGGAGAAGATGAAAGAAGTTCATTGCACCGATTTTTAGAAACAGATTGCAAATTAATTCATCATCTCTTCATCACTCGATTGAAAATACCCATGTCTGATGTGATTGTTTATGGAAAGGGATTTTTAGGTACTACCTGTGCCATACATTATGTCTCTAAATTTCCAACTGTGGCAGGACTTTGTTTAGAGTCGCCTTGTGTTGATATTCTCAAATTGATACATGCCAATATTCCAGAAGAGAGGAATACATCATGTCTTCTTTCACAGAACAGTTCTGTAGAGTCATCAGATTTGTGGAATTTGAATGTTCGACTCGAAGAGGAAGAATCCATCAAGTTTGAATTTACAAATTACAACTTTGGAGTGGAAGAATATTATCGTGTGAAAAAATCATTGAAATCCGTTCACTCCTCTTCAATATTGAATCGAAACCCGTCGTATAAAAGCAATACCACCACTCAACAACAACGAAAACCAAATCTTCATCACACAACCACAACAACCATTGCTTGTAAAGTCGGTGATGAAAAGTATCACACCATGAAAGAACTCAAAAATTGCATCTTGCATCATTTCAACACAGTGGATAAGCTTTCTTCATTTAATGGAAAATTACTCATCCTCTTTCAACAAGGAAATGAATTGGTTCCATATGGTGACATTGAAAGTTTTTTCAAGAATGTAAAAACAGCAGAAAAGAATATGTATCTACTCTCATTGAATGAAATGACAAGCTCTGCATTGAATTCCACCGATGATCCATTCAATTTATTTGAGAGAAAATTCTATGCATGTGTCAAGGCCATTCATCGTTTTGTTCAATCCTTGGGCCACGTCTTGCCTGAAAATTATGGAATCTTTCTCGACAAGTTGCTCGAAAAAACAAAACCCTCAGTCCATCATAGACGACCCACAACACCACTCACTCAAGAAGAAGAGAATGAGGATTTAACTTCTGAATTATCTGAACTTGCAACGAGTTCCTATGTGGATACTTTTCAAAGTTTTGGTGGACGTGGACGGAAGTTCAACAGATACATGCCTCCTTGTGGTGGATGTGGTCATTGTAGAGCGTGTATTGACCAATCATTGTTGGAAGAAGAAGAGAGACTCGGTAAAAATCGTTTCAATCATTCTCTTCATGAAGAGGAGGAGGAAACAGATGAAAACGATCGAACGGAAAGAGATTTGGATGATGAATATATCGAGGAGGACGAAGAGGAAGAGGTTATCATTATGGAGAATCCTCACCAAGAAGAGGAACAGAAAATGGAACCAATATTCGAATGAACAATAACAAGTTCACCTATCATCTCACGTCTTTTTATTTGTCCAGACCAATTTTTTAGGCCTTGTATTTCACACACGGATAACTAGAGCGAGTGATTTCAATTTTTTTTGCTCCACAATCTTGAATGGAACTGAAGAATTATTTCATTATTTCTCATTCTGTCTTGTTTTGAATGGATGATATTATCAATTATATGTGACATCAATTTGAGATGATCGCGAAATGTTGAATTTTTTAGGAAATTCCTTTTTATTCATTCGTATCGCTTGAACGTAAGGAACTCAAAGTGCTACGAACAATAGGTTGTTCTTTTTTGAAGCGAATCCAGTTCTGGCAATGATAACGAGCAATTATTACTCCATGAAAACTTGTCTTATGCCGAAAATTGCATGGGTATCTCGCCACTTCTTTGCATTACTATCAAAAAAGAAATAGTGCGGGGGCATTATTCCAAATCGATCCACAATTACAAACACACTAGTTTTCCGAATATCTACAAAAACAGAACTCACAAAGAATCTACGCTCATCCATGTCATAAGTCTCTCCAATTTCAAACTCTTCCAACAGCATCACATTGTTGCTCCAAGCAACATAGACTCGTCTCTGTTTTGGGTCTATTCTGAAACGTACTAACCGAGCACTTGTTGGGTCATTGTCATCCTTTCTAATTATCCCATAAGAATGAAATGAAAGTGGAGCTTTAGGGACATTTCTTTCATCACACAATTTCATTTCTAAATACACTGCATTCTTGTGTGTAGCAGTAACTTGGACGCACATTGCGTCTTGATGGTTTGTGAACCGCAATATCGAAAAATCGTCCTTCTTCTCAACAATGCGAACTTCTTCAAATTTAGGAATTGGTCCCATGAAAGCGTATTGTGTGTCATGGGCTTTCCTTGTGAATTCCGTTCTTAGTTCAAAGTTTTCTGAATTGTAATGTAGGAAATCATCGATTCCGTCTTTTGAAATATCCCATGAAAGGATGACATTATCGTATGGAATGCTTAAGTGACCTGTTGCTAAGGCATACACTGCAAAATCGATTACGTGAGGAACAAGGTCAAGCGTGTAACACATAACTCTCATTGACAGGGATTCTCGAGGAAGAAGCGTTGAAACTTCAGCAGGAAGAGGAATCATATGTCTTATTGTCGGAACCGAATTTTTCGTTTCATAAAGAGCAAGTTCTTGGGTCCAAACAAGTTTGTTGTTTTTGTAAACGTGCAACTCTGTAAGTGCTGAAGGGCCGTGAGAAAGGAAGCTCAAGAAAATAAAACATCCTCGAACGCTTCATTGAGATTTGAAAGTGTCAATGATTCGAAATGGTAATGTGTTTGAAAACAACAATTTTTTCAATTCTTACCTCACTTCTTCTTTGTTAGTGTTGACAAATGTGCTGTAGGAGCCATATGCAGGAAAAGGCGTCACAACGAATGAGCGATCATGAATAGGTGAACGTACGCTCACCAAAGGGGCAAGTTTTTTCTTGACCTCTTGTTCTGAAATATTCTGATTCTCTACTTTGTATTTTTGCATGCAATAATTCATTCCTTGTTCGGTCAGGAAAATAATCTGCCCGTCAATTCTTGTCCAGTCTGGTTTATGTACTGCCGGAGGATGTCCTTTGCATTCAGTCACACTGTTTAATCTAACGATATAACTCGGAAGAACCTCAATTCCTGAATCTAACCAAGTAATTTCGTCTTTGCGTTTTGAATGTAATTCTTTGGATGACTCTCTGACCATTTCATGAACACAGAAAACTTCCGACCCGCTAGAGACCTCACTTTCGTCCTTGGACTTCCTTACAAGACAAACATCGCCTTCGACATGCTCATCCTTTGTCAAATCATTATAATTTAGGGACCATTTCAGACCAATAATTCTCAGTGGTTGATTCGATCTGTTGATTAAGGAAGTACCAGCACTATAAATTGGCCCGTTTGGATATTTAAGGCCAAAAGTGTTCCACACAACAAAATATTTGTTGGCAATCATTTCATTGCTCAAATCCACTCCTGTTAGTTTCTTTGTGGCCAAAGTTTTTTCTTCCATGTAAACACTGTCCTCCAAACAGCTCTGATAAATGGATGTTTGAACCTGTTTTACGGAATTGTTATTGCTCGTCAAGTTATGATTAAAAGATTCTCCCATCAATGTTTTTACAACTCGGAAATTGTTCCTTAATGTTTTCGCGGCCCATATGGACGACGTTTTTCCTTCTCTGCCTCTCAGTATTGAATTCTTTAATTCTTCCCTTGCAATTTCCATATTCCACTCTGGCTCGTATTCTAACGGAATGATTTCGTTGAGTTCTTTTCGAGAAATCATCGGATGACCTTTTTTCATCAACAATGAAACAATCATTGGGAATGTGATGATGCTCAATCCCACCAAAACAACTATAATCAAGAATAGGGTACACCTTGAGCTCATGGATGTCCCATGTTTCACGTTTGTTTCAGATAAGAAATCGTGATTCTCCACATTTTGTGGTGGTGTTATGGATGAATGTGCTGAACCGCGTTTGGTGCAAGTTGCTCGTTGCATTTTTTTAAGGCTTTGTTATCAAATGATTTCAACACAACGACAAGCCAGGACTGGGGTAGCTCGTTTTGACACACACGGAAAAAAATACAGGGCCACCCTGCTTCAGTTCGTTGTTCGTTGCGAGCGAGTTGTTCGCAAAAATCTATTCTCCCAGAATCAAGTGGATGTCTTTGTATTGCATCAAGAAGAAGACCCCAAAAACAGTCCACTTCGATCGTTAGGGAATGAAAAAAGACATGATTTTTTTCTTAATCTTTTATAACCCTTATATCGGCGGGTTCTACCTTCAAAATCAAAATCGTAAGTTCTTTCATGCTTCCAATTAAAGCTCTCAACTCCGCACTCCACCAGGAGCGGGTCATAACAACAACTACAATTCTGCAAAAAAATAGGCTCTTTCACTACTGGTGATTTTTTTACATCGATGAGCATGTTCCGAATACCCACTCTCGAAACATTTCGTACCCCAGGAATTGTGGTTGCTGCTTGGTGTATGCTGGCAGTCGTATCCTCTCTGATCAGCGTTAAAATTGTGGTACTCCAAATCCCTTTCATGGTTGCTTTGAACAGTTTTTGTTTATTCTTGTTCGTATATTGGATGGAGAGGCTTTCTTCATCAAATACCCAAAAAAAAGTTCAGTTAAATAATCACCATGATGAGAATACAGAGGTACAACTTGAGGCTGGGCTTGGTTGTAAAGAGACTACTTGCAATTTTGCCTCGGAACAAGAGCCTTACACTGCTAAATTACTTTCTTATAAGTTAATCTTTGCACATTTAATACACCAATACACTAATTTTGCCATTGGTTTTTGGATTGGAAATGCTTATATCATTCAGGTTATAAGGAGTATTGAACCTTCCATTACCTATCTATTGTTTTCAAGTAATTACGTGCAAATAGACTCAGTTGTTCACTCAATAACCACGTTATTAATCGCTCTTATGCATTTGTGGACCTCTCCTTCTTCGATTGGAGGCTCTATTTCCGTTGTGATGAACTCCATTCTATTGAGTTATAGAAACAAACTATTAAGGCGACTCTATTTGCTTCCTAGCTATGCTCAACAACAGACACAGATTTTTAAAAAAATTGCCTTATCCACGGCGATCATAATGGTGATTTTTTATATCCTTTTATTTGAAAAAGCTCTTCAAATTGAATGGCATTGGAAATGGATTTTATTTGCTTGTTTGGGCCATTCTACATATTTAGCATTTAATATTATGTTATTGAAAAGCTGGAACACAGTTCTTTATTCTGCCGCTTCAGTTTTAAAGAGAACATTCGTGACTGCATTTTTGTTTATATTGACATGGTTTATAACTCACACATTGAATTTTCAATTCAAAGAGCAAATATCTACGGTTTTGATTGCACTTTTGGGTATTTCATCAGGAGTTTATGTTTGTCTCAATCATACATTTTCTTCGAAAAGAATGATATTCGCAACCATTTGTGTTTCATTCATGGCGTTTGTTACGTACTTGTTCCTGTTGTCTCAAATAGCGATTCGACAAAAACCAAACACACCCAATGTGAGTTCTTCTGATCTACCTTTTGTTCGTCTGAAACCAATGAAAGTTGCCATCTATACCGCTGCAGGTAATGGAAACCTTGGAGACAATATGCAAATTCATTCATGGTTGGCACATTTCAAATCTTGGAATCGAAGAAATTATGGTGGAAAAAGACCTTTGGAAATTTTTTCATTGTCAGGAGAGTTTTGCTGCTATCCTTTTGATGATAGGCGTAAATATGTTGTGAGTACTGTTGAGTCGTTACACAATTTTTTGTATGCACAACAACCTGATTACGTAATGATAGGTGGTGGAGGAATATTTAGCCATCCTCATTTCCCATGGGCGATCAATAGATCATGGAAAGACACCCTTGAGTTATTTCCTGATGTCTCTTGGGTTTTTGCAGCTGTTGGAGCAAGCGAAGGTCAGCACAGTATAGAGATTGCCTCAAACACCGTCGGTCTTTTGAACCATTCTCTTGTAGTTGCCGCAAGAGACACACCATCCCAATCCGTATTGAGCGCTACCACGAGTACAAATGTCACACTTTTACGTGATCCTGTTTTGCTTGACTCAATGAATTTCCCTTTTCAAACAAGCAAGAACAAAACACACCACGACAGAATTACCTGTTGGATTTTGAGACAGCCAATTCCTGAAAGTTTGGCAAAAATTTTGGATAAATACATTAATATGGAGAAGGACTTGTTTTTTGCCCTTGAACAACAAGACGGTAACTTTTTTAGGAGATTTAAAAGTCAAGTTTCTGTATACTCGACAGAAATTGAATGGTTCTGGTCCAACATTCAAAACTGTGATTTTGTTGTTTCCATGAGGTATCATGGGGCAATACTAGGATTCAGAGCAGGAATTCCAACGCTTGCAATTGAATTTGAAGACAGAGGTAGAAGTTCTCACAAAATCCGATATCTTTTCGAGGATCTCTTGGGACGTTCTGACTGTGTAGTGAAACATATTGATGCCACAGAATTTGATGAAAAGTTTAAAAAGTGTCAACTGCAAAAGGGTAATGCTTTGAAAAGCAGACTTGACGAACTGGATCGTGAATTCACTTTATTCATGGATACAACATTTAAATGAAACAGGGAATTGAAACTTCACCATGGAACATGTTGAATTCATTATTCCAAAATGATGATGAATCTGGGATGGCGTTTGATGTCTTGTATTAATCCCTGTCTGAAAAAAGTATTCACACCAAATATGAAGAAAATAAAGGAAATGATCAACATCTCGACAACAAAGAGATTGAAAATGTCAGCCAAAAGTTTCGTCCATAAAGTTATCAAATGTTCTATCTTGTTCTTCCATTGCTAAGAACATGTCTTTTTCAAGGTCCATATGGCGTTTAATGATTGTAGCTAATTCTACAGAAAGAGATTTGAAAAATGGCCACCCTGAGTGAAGTATTGTCTATCGTTATTTGATGGATCTCCCTTCTAATAGCTCCATATTGATCACCCGTGTCGATAGTTCGACCATTCAATAAGTGAGTGACCAAATGCAACATTACGACCAAATGCACCAAGAAAACATAGACGGTAGAAGATAATCCCAGTAATATAATGAATATTTGCAAAGTGTCACCATATTGCAACACACACCAAAACAATATACAAAACACTTCTGTCACTAAAGTTGTATTGACAAGAGAAACTGATGAATGAAACACAATATTCCAAAACCTTAATAATATGACATCGGTTGCTAAAAAAAATTCCACCTCCCACACCACAAATGAATATCCTTTTCCAATTCCATTCGCTCATTTGTATCATCTCATACAAAACAACATAAAGAATAAACATAATAACAGTCGAACCTGTTGAAATTTTTCTTAGCAATGTGTTAGAGTTTTCTCTGGTTAAGTGGAATTTTCTCCAATGGTTTTTGAAATAGAGGAAATATGTCCACTAACATTGACATTTACAGTACCATTGTGTATTAAATAGAGTAGCAATTAGTTGAATGTATCATATTTCAAAAGAAAAAATCATTTTCAACAACACTAACACCTTTGTCATCGTTTATATTTGCATTGAAGCAAATATTGCAACTTTTTCGATGTTGATCTACAATATCACGATCAAATAAGGTTTTGAATATTGTTCCGAGCTTGTAATTTTCTAATTTTTCTAATAATTTTTGTTTGATCATTCCTAAAGAATCTACAAATATCAACCGATTTTCCTAATGGTTTTCTAGAGGGCCAATTGTTGCATAAAATTTTCCACAAAATGGACACTTAATATTCAACCTATTGTAATGCTTTTAGCAACTTTTTTTAGGTAGGGAAAATAGGCGTTGTGTATCTGTTAAATGTTCAATTACAACAATTCGATGTGACTTAAAAAAGGATGCTACACAAATCATAAATGCAAAAATTATTATACATTTGTGTTGTATCAAACTGAAAATCAATTCTAAACCGTTGCTACTTATTGCACTTGTTAATATTTTTTTCTGATCTTCAACAGGTCTATCTGAGAGCTTGAAAAATTTTTGTCCAGCTTCAATAGCACGTAATTCATCGCTAATTGTAGTGATATTACTGTCTACGGAATCATAACTTAAATCTGAACCAACATCTGAGACATCATCATTGTTGTTGTTTTTGTCGACAGTTTGGTCTTGCGTAGAATTTTGTTGTGATGACCAATTTTCATAATTATCGAATGGAAAACAATTATTGCTTTGGTTCTCATTGTGAGAAATAATTGAGTCATTAGAAGGAAATTCAGACAAACTCCATGAATGAAACCATAATCGTTTCAGCATTCTATATATCGAAACAATGCCCCTTAAAGTTTGATCTGAAATGATATCCAGTTTTGTCTTAAAATATTGAATACAATCATATAAATCATTCAATTTAGCCTCCAATGAAAGCTTTTCATCATGACAGGCGTAATAGAATTTTCGAGTATGCCATAAATAATAATACATAGAATCAACAATAGTATATTCTTCTTGGATGGTGAGTGTCGGAATATTGTATTTTTTTTGAAATACTCGTTCAATTGTTTTTCTGTCATTTTGTTTAAATTAGCAATATCAATATCTTTCATAATAAAGTCTGTTATTCCACTCTTATGAATATTCTTGCTGTCACTAAGAACAAAGTTATTGAAGAAATTTGGTACAGAAGGAAGATTATCATGAAATTCTTCTTTTAAGTTAGATCTAATTGTTTGTAATGCTTGCAATACATCCTCCTTAATGAGATTCAAACAACTTTCTACATTCATTTCATCTTTGACGATTAAATCTGATCTCCTTAACTTTCTATTAAGATTGTCGTACTTGGAAGTCAGATAAATCAAACCCATCATAGATATTGCATGACTGCTGTCAATTAATGGATTTCTTAATCGCTTGAGAATGTGAATGTAATCTTCACAATGAGTCCATTGTTTGCGCTCATTATTGTTGTTCAAAAAATTCTCTACTGTAGCTGGTTCAAACTCACCATCCGTGACAAAACCAATTATACAAAATTTTTCATGAACAGACCATTTTTGATCTATTTCTCTAACCTTGTCCATAATAAAAGAGAACATATTGGAATTTGGAAGAGCAAAGACAGCACAAACATTTGAAAAGTTGCCATATAAATCAATAATTTGAAATACAATGGCCTTCTTCGCAAAATTATCTGACGAATAATTTTCTTGTAAAAATTGTGTATGTGTAACAGGACCTGAATCTAATCCAAAAGCATAGCCATTTTGACCATAAGACAAGCATGGTCTAACAGTTACAATATCCCATGAAATAAGAGCAATACATGATCCATGTTGTTCTAGAGTGGTTGTGACTAGTTTCTTAATAGTTTCGTCCGTGTATAGGTGACCATAAATAGGTGGGCCTGCCCAATTCTTAAGGGAATCCGGATGAGGAACATGAATATTGCTGTTGTTATTATTCCCTTTTAGAAGCTGTAACACTCGTTCAGATGAATGGAAACGTATAGATTCCCAATAATAAGCAACCTCAGGAGGATATGGTTTTGTTGTTTGAGGATGCATTTTACGATAAAGTTCGTCATGTAATCTTGTTAAATAAAACGAGAGATTTTGATGTTGAGCAAATTGTTCAATAATATTGAACAATTTTTCATATACTTCCAGTTCAGTAACTGGTACGCTTTTCATTGATTGTAATTCACTTCGTAAAGCCTTGATATGGTTGTCAATGATTGTTGGATGTTGAAGATGGTCTCGCCCTCGGAACTTACTCGAACACAAGTCTTCATATGTATGATTTTTTTT